GGCAGTTGGTAGCTCAGGCTCCTGTTGCACAATCAAAGATCCTGGTAGTTCGGTCTCCTGCAGCGCATCAGAGGATCCTAATGGCTCGTCCTGGAGCTGAAGACCCAAGGTCTTAGAAACAGCAGGCGAACTCTCCACGGCTTCAGATTGAGGCTCGGGCTCCCAACTCACAGACTTGTTCCTTTTCTTGTTCTTGGAGCTGGCCGCCGGAGCAAGTTCTTCGACAACGGCCTCTGGAGACGGTTCAAAGACTTGCTCCGGACAAACCTGGGGGATGATGTCATTGCTTGGAACAGAGGCCGAGTCACCCAGATCGTGGCTTAATTCGGTCTGCTCCTGGATAATAGGGGTTTCGTTGCTTGGCACAACAGTAGGTTCTGCCAAATCGCCCTTCAAGTCGAATCGTTCCTGGATATAGGGGATGTCGTTGCTTGGAACAGCGGAAGGCTGATCCTGAAAAAGGGTGGTATCGTCGTTAGGAACGAGAACTGAGACTTCGTCCGCTTCCATTGATTTCCTTTTGTTTCCCTTCTTGGAGCTGGTAGCCGGGGCAAACTCATCGACGACAGCCTCCGTAGGCTCAAGAGCTGGTTTGGCAAGATCCCTGATCAAGCCAGGCTGTTCCTGTACAAGAGGGGCGTCATCATTCGAGACAACGACTGGCTTTATCATGTCATGACTCAAGTTGAGCCGTTCCTGAACTGGATGGATATCATCGCTTGGAGAAGAAACCGGGACCTTATCCAATGTAGGTTGAGGTTCTAGTTCCCAAGAGATCTGAGCTTTCTTGCCCTTCTTCTTACTCTTCTTGGGACTTGTCGACAAGGTAGACTCGTCGACAAGCGGGGTTGGAGTCTCAAGGGCAAATGTTGGCAGATCGCGACTCAAGACAGGCTGTTCCTGAGCTTGAGGGATGGCCTTGCTGAGGACAGAACCCGGGACGACGTCTTTGACTTCAGTTGACTTCCCCTTCTTCGATTTATTGGACGACGCAAGGCTGGATTTTGATGATGGGCCGTCCTCTTTCGGAAGACTTACAGAACGTTGAGGCCCCTCGAGGGATTTTGAGGTTGCGAGATTGCCTTCTCGGATGGGTGTTTCAGTGTCCAATTGGGCCTCCGTCGCCAGTGCATTCTTCTCATCATCACCACAGTCATGGAGCAGAGCATCGGCCATTAGCCCACCAGCGGCCACACCAGCCATGGCTGCTAAGACGGACGAGCCCCCAATCTTGTCGCCTCGGGAACGTGTAGAAGAACCCTCAAGGGACTCCTGAGCACTCCTTGGAAGATCTATGGCAGCTGGTTGCTCAACCAAGTACTGCTGCAAGCTATCAGGCAGCGGAGGCAAAGCCGACGTCCCCAGCGGCCCCTTCTCCAACTCGTCGTCCCAAACGTGGGATGTTGACAATCTTAAAACATCGTCTGAGGGTTGACGCATAACGTCAGCCTGCGGCGTCGCCTGGTGATAATGGGGCAGGTATTCTGTGGGGACTGAATCTGCCAGAGCGGCCGGGATATCGAGCTGCAGTGGATCCGTGGATATGCTGCGATTCCGTTCGCCATGCTGCAAGCCTTCATGCTGGCTCGCAAAATAATTCTCGTGCGAAGTGCGCGGGGAGGGTCTACTGGGTAGATTTTCCTCCGGTCCTGCAAGGTAGGAAGAGGAGGAACCGCGAGAAGTCCTCTCGACCAACAATAGTGGCTTGAAATCCTTGGTGCTGTCCCAGGAAATCGGGCGACGACGTCTTGTCGTGCTGCCTAGCTCGACTTGATCTCCTATCGGAGACCCTACGGGTGAAGACCTGTGCAAGTCGGTGTTCGGGGAGTTTTCCGCATGACTCTGCTCAAATTTCACCTTGTCAGCCGGCTTTGGCGAGGCCGGGCTGGAGCGCTGCCCCATAAGGAACTGAATCGGAATGGCGCTCTGGCTGGGCGACTTCATTGGCGTCTCGAACGCACTACGGCGCCGGACATGAGTGGCTTTGGTGGGTTGCTTGACGAGCATATCTCTCCACAGCTGCCGCTCGCGCTCGGGTGTCTCGGGCCGACTGTCCGGCAGAGGGGGAAATTCACCAGTCTCGGAGGTTGAGGTGGGAGAACCAGGGGTACTGGGTGGCAATGGTAATAGGTCGCCATACTGTGGGTCTATGGCAGGTCGGATTTCCCTCTGCACGATCTCGGGGTCGATGACGTCCGAGACCCTGCATAAGGGAGGAGTAGTAGGAATACTGATGACTTCCTTTTCCAAAGGAGAGTCGGTGGCCTTCTGGCAGGACGGCTGGGATGTATGAGCAACCACAGCAGCACCCGCCATGCCGGCACCCGCGCCAAGGGTGCCGGCATTACCTAAAAAAGAATTCTTCTTGTCCTCCTTGTTGTCAGATTTGCGCAATCCGTCTTTATCCTTTTCGTCGATTAAGCCTATCGACGACTTGAAACGGTCGAAAAAGCCAGAACCAGAGCTGTTCCCCTTCTCCTTATCTTTGTCTTTGTCTTTACTACTCTTCCGGGTATTGCCACTGGCAGCAGAGGCAGCAGAAACAGCTGGCTTGGCATCACCATGGTCATCGTGCCCATGTCGTCTTTTGCTTCCGTTGGAGCGATGGTCGTCGACGCGGGTTGGAGCAGACACAGCCGAGCTATCGTTATTCCGGAAGTCGAGAGGATCAGGCTCCCTATCCGGAGGCTCGGCTTCGCCTTGGGGGTCCTCATCAGGAAAACCCCCCGAAGCGTCGCTGCATCGCTCTTCCTTCCTGCTTCTTCTTTCAGAAACTGGGGAATTGCCGAGTTCTGACCCGTGCGTTGACCAGGACGAATCAGTGTAGGAGTCACGTTTCGACTTCCTCCTGGAGCTTGTGGTGGAAACCTCGGATGGGGCGTCGTAGACATCAGAGTCCCGCTTTGACTTCTTCTTCTTCTTCTTCTTGGACTTCTTGGGTAAGTCTACTTCCTCGTCCGGGGCAGCGCTCCTCTCAATCCGCATGTCATTAAACGAGTCAGTCATCTCTCTTGGTGTATCTGACCAATCGTCGTCGTCAGGGAGAGGGATACGCGAAGGAGAACCATATGTAGCTGAGTCCCGCCTAGTCTTCTTTAACATCTTTGGCGAATCCCACTCATCAACGGTTTCAGAGGCCGGCGCGGTGGTGAAGTCTTCCATGGTGTCACGCTTCTTACTTGGCGGTTCCGACACTTCTGAAGTTGCCGCTGACCATGTCGTATCGGTGGCAATTGAGTCCCGTTTGGCCTTCTCTTTGCCCTTCTTGGACAACCCCCACTCATCCTCCAGTACGGGGGCCGTGTCAGCTACGGTCTTCCAAGAGCTTTCACCAGATAGCTGAGATGGTACGGGCGGAGAAGGCAAGTCGTAGGTCACGTAACCATGCTTGGATTTCTCCTTGTCTTTTAACATGGCGTGCCACTCGTCACCTGGCGTAGGAACAGGGCTCTCCACAATCTTTCCGGACGCATCCACAAACGCTTCAGAAGGCTTGGGCTCGTGCTTCGACTTGTCCTTGCTCTTCTCCGGCACGTCCCACTGGTCATGAGGTGAAGGGGCAGAATGCATATTGTTGGCTGCAATCCTTCCAAAATCGTCCACAATTATCTCCTCCGGCGCCGACCCGGAAGGAGAGTCGTATCTCTCAGGTGAGTCGTGAACACCCGGCTCAATATTTGACGTTTGCTCGGAGATGTTTCTTTCATTTCTAGACCGTGCCGGCATAACCAATGGAGCCCGTGAGGCATATTCTGGGAAGGACTCTTTAGGATTATCCACACCATCAAGCTTTTCGGGTTCCCCATGGATGATGACTGCCTTCTTCTTGTCCTTCTTGGATTTCTTCTTCTTGGAAGAGGTGTCGTCCCTCTCTTCAACGGCAACGGGGTTTTTGGGCGGCAGCTCTCTGGAGGAAGCGATCTCGACTACTTCATCGGCCTGTCGCGAATATGCTTTGGCGGCCTTGTCTCGCTTCTTCTGCTCCTTTTTGCTGAGATTGGTAGGGAAAGTCGACTCCATGTCTTTAACAACCGAGCGGAAATCATCAGCAGGCTTCTCCTCAAAACCCTTCATCTCCGACATGTTAATGCCTCTTCGTTCAGCCGTCGGGTCAAGCGTCTTCGACTCTTTGTTTATAGGCTCGATGTCGTAAGTCAATTCATACTCCTTAATGACCTTGCGGAAAGCCTCGGTAGACTCATCCACCTTGGGCGCTGCAATCTTGATCTCCGACTTGTCCATGCTGTCTTGTTTGGCGGCCTTGTCGAGCTTATCCATCTCATTCTTGCTCAACTTGGAGTATATCTCCGACTCGCCCGTCGGCACATCCTTCTCATCTGAGAGAGTCTCGGGAGTTTCACCAATATGGTAACTGCGACTCGGACTAGCCTTGGAACTTACCTTTATATCAGATGGACTGCCGGAATCATATATGCCCAAGTCGCTCACGGTCTCAGCAAAAGGGCTGTGGTATGCACTACTGATGGTGGCTGACCCCGGAGGAGAGTCACGTCTATGATACTTGGCATCGTCGATGACAATGTTGGGATCAAATCCGCTGTCTTGAAGCCCCGCAGCCACGGTGGCAGTGAAATCGGGATCCTCGGCAAAAGCGCCTGGCATTTGAGGACTTCTTGGACTGGGCGGCTTGGGACCAGGGACCGGTGGCTCCTCTCTGATCTCATCAAATGAAGCAGAAGACCCGCGTTTGCCCCGTGATAAATCTCGGGACTTTCTCGACTTGTTGGAAGCAGAGTCCGATGTAGTCGAAGCAGCAGCGGCCGCGCCAGCTCCTCCGATGGCGGTTGCAATGATGCCCCATCCACTCTTCTTGCCAGACCTTTTGGGGGTCTTAGCTGGTGTCACAACCTTGGCACCAGAGTATTCATTGTCATCTCGCTCGGGGCTTTCCACGACGTAGTGCTTCGTGGAATTTTCACCCCAGCTGACTGCCTTGGACGATGTTGATGGTGACTGGACAATGTCGCCTCGGGGTCCAATCACCACATCAGGGACGGACCTGGAGCTGTCGCCTGCACTCTTCTTCTTGGGCTCTGGCACACGCTGGTCTTTGGCCTCCTCCCGCTGCTGCTCTGATGGCACAGGTGTGGCAACAGGAGTCGGGTGCACAAGGTTTAGCATGGGTCGATGCCCATCAGTCGAGGGGTCTCTGACGGGCCGGCGCGGGGCCTGGAAGCGTCTCAGTTCCCTCGGCACCATGATGTTATCGATACGAACATCAGCGTTAGGTCCGTCATATGGACCCTTGCCCTTGGGCTCGTCCTGTTGTGGAGGGGGAACAATCTCAATGACTGGTTCGTGGTCTTCCTTCCACCTGTCCACGACTGAGGTTTCAGGCGACGCACTACGTGAGCGCTCTTCAGCAGCCTTACGAGCGACCAGTTGCTCGCGGTAGTATCGATCCGCTTCTTCCTGGATCTCGTCTCTCGTGGGTGACTTTTGGCGGGACCTGTTTCGCGAGGTTGAGTCCCCGCCACGACTACGGTTGCGACCACGATGCTCCTCGGCTACCAAAGCGCCAGTAGCGGCGGCAAGGGCCGCTGCCTCTATTGGCGCCGTCGCGTGCTTGGTGGATTCGTATATGTCCTTGGCGTTACGAACCTCGCGTTCGAATGAGTCTCGGCGGCTCATCCTTTCTGACGCGCTGGTGTCATCGGGTTTGGACTCAAAGCGGGCGAAGTCGGGTTCTCGGTCCACGGTTACCACGTTGGGTGTCAGGGGCCGCTTTGGTGTGTTGTAGATAGGCGTCTGGAAGGCATCGTCCTCCACCTGGAACTGAAAGGGGTCAATGGGACGTTCTGCAGGTGGGAAACTGGGGTCCTCTACACGACGATACTCCTCCATATCCTTGGTTTGGCTGAACCGCTTGTCGTCGCTGCGCTCCAATTTGGGCGCGTCTTCCTTCCGCTCATCCTTTGGTCGATCCCGGGAATCGCGTTCATAGGCGGAGCCATCATCCCGATATTTGGCGTGGCGTCGTTTTTCCCGCTCGTACTCGCGGTCTGTCTTGGAATTCTTTCCATCCTCGGTTTGGTCTTGGGTTTCACGTGAGTAAGTAGAAGAGGCATCATCCCGGTGTTTATCGCGACGCCGCCTTTCCCCTTCATCATCACGCCCCAACTCCTTGTCCTTCTCCCGCCGTCTCTCGTCTCTGCTCCTACGTTTCTCAGCTCGCTCGTCAACAGGTTGGGCATCTGACCGCTTTGATCGGCGCTTCCCATCACTTTCGTGGCGACCCTCGAGGTCACGGTCATCTTTATGTTCGGACAAGGCACTGGCCAGCGCAGCCCCAGCAAAGCCGGCGACTGCAGCTCCGACGAGGGTTTTTCCAGATGATGATGATCGCCGTGAGTACTTGGTATCAGGCTCGACCGCATCAAATACTTTACTAGAGACTGGCGCGATGGGCTTGGGCTGCTGAATTGGAAGTGGTGCAGGTCGAGATCGAGAAGACTCCTGCTGAGCTGAGACTATCGAGCCTCGGCCAGCGTCGAACCGCGTAGGGTCTGACGTGGGAACCGGATACACTGTCCGAAGTTGACCACTCTCAAGGGACACGTTTTCACTTGGGGCAATGGAAGGTTCGTACCCATCTCCTGTTGTCTTGCGGTCAACTTTTTCAAAGCCACAAGGAGTCTGGACGTGGCCACGCAGGGAGTTAACGGGTCCAAAAAGTCGCGGATCGACTAAAGAAGGCTTTCGGTTGAGCGTCCTCTCAGTGTTTAGTTGATGGCCGTATTCACTTGAATTGCTGATGTGAATTGGCTTGTTGGCATCAGTTTGCAAGTGAGTTGTAGACCCATAGGCCAAGCTGGCATCGCTGTCCTCACTGCTGGACTCATCGCCCGACGCAGACTCCCACTCCGAGTCGTCCGAAGAGTATTTGCGGCTGTGTTTGGAGGCGCCGATGCCTCGGTCGAGGCGGTCGCCTCCCGAGTTGTTGCGGTGAAAGTGGCTTAAAGCCGCAGCTGCACCGACAAGCTGGGACGGCCGAACCCTGCCCGCAGCTCTGAAGTCCTCATTGTTTTGCTTCCGCGCAATCTCGGATAGCTTCCTCCCAATCTCACGAATTTCTTCGTCCGTCTCCCCACGCTTTGGCAACGGAGGCCTCTCGTGGTCGCTCACGTCTTGGCGCAGCCGCTGGTCAGACGGAGAGTGGAGGTCGCGACTTCTCCGACGGTCACGGTCGATGTAGCCCTTTCCATAGGCAAGGTCCGAGTTGAGCGAAGAGGAAGAGGAGTTGCTGAATCGAATCAGGCGACGGGATCGTTTCTTTCGTACGCGGCGATGATGCTTTTGTTCAGAGCTCGAGAAGAAGGTGCGGAAGCCAAACCTCTTAGGCTTCTCTCGGGAGATATTAAGTAGTGAAGAAGATGTAGATGAATAAGAAGATGATGAAGATGAACTGGAGCTCGAGCTCGAAAGCACACGCAATTGTCTGTTGTTGTTGGGTTCGTTGGGTATATCGTACGGCGCCGTCATTGGAATGTGCTGACTCTGGAGCTCATGCTCTCTCGAGTCACGCCTCTCTTTGCGCCGCCGACGCGAGCTTTGCGGGCTGCGCCGGCGATGATGCTCCCGAGACATCATCTTGACAGCTTGATTTTTTTGCTGCTCTCGTCCATTCGAGGCGCTGTCAACCGACGTAAGGAGCCTATTGTGTATTTGAAAAAGAACGTGTAGTGACGAAAGTACTGTCAACCTCAAATGTTTTGTTTGGGTGCGGCACCAACCGTCGGGCCCACACAACTTGGGAGCGCCTACTAAGAGGTGGCTGGGGTCCTCGTCCAGACTACCAGACTACCAGACTACCAGGGTATTTCAGCTCCCAAGGTTCTCAGCCGTAGTAAAGTTGGACTTGGGGGACTTGGGTGCCCACCTTCATCCGTTTTTGATATCAGATGCGTCCCGTGGTTGGCTTGCAGAACCGCCACGTCGCTGCGTTATCCTAGTTGCCACTTCTATCTTGAAAGATTGTACCACGATATCCCCCATGTCGAATCTCCGAATCTCAAAATCGGATATGGATATTTATCGCGATTGCAGCGCTGATGAATCAAAAAAGGCGAAGATGCATCCGACTGAACGTGTCCCACTTAGGACGCTAACTACCTGCGAAAGAAAAATCGTTGTGTCTGAGTCCGTGACGCACTTCGTTTCCGGACCTATCAGCACATCTAGATCCGTAACCCAATATCTTTTCCTCTAAGCTAGCCGGATTCGATTGAACTAGACTGCCTAATCGTGTCCAACACTCTTCAACAGTCTATCGCCATGTCTGAAGCAATAGCAAGAACACACAGCCGGCAACGGCATGACAGAATAAACGGCACGCCTGGGGTAGAATAGTATGGGGTAACCCGATATTCCAGGTAGTAAATTGGCGTAACGCTATACTGTTCTACCCTATGTGCGACGTTGATCTTGTCACCTACTACTTAGCCGGTACATCTATCAGCCTCCACCAGTTACATTACTGAGGTATTATATTCTACGTAATATGATCCAAACCTCAATCTTTTCGAGCTTGGAAGTAAAGAGATTAATTGAGTCTTGTTTCAAATCTGGCAGGCGGATACTTCAGTCAGCGGCACATTTGCATCTCTAGAGTTAGTCTGTGGTCGTTCTTGGGATTGGCAGTTATCCAGTTCTCTGACGCTTTGATATGCAAGACAAAGATACCAGAGCGATGGTAGCCGAGAAGGTTTGACTTTTTCGGCCAAAGCCAAATTGGATGCATGGTGTGGTTTTCATCGGGAGTCTCGTCTCATCAGACCTAGTGGTCTTCTGCGGTTCGTCTCGCGTTGGCAATTGGACATAAATGTGAATGAGTTTTGTTCTAGAGGGCAGTCCACAAAGCCTTACCCCCGATGAAGGACATCAAAGTGTTAATGATCCAGGTAGCATAGTCAGTATAGGCCGAAGTATCAAGTTCGTTTAAAACTTTCTGTGCAATAGCATGGCTGATCTTCTGCTCAAGTTTGGATCAAACTGAATAATTTGGACCTGTATTCGAGGTTTTCTGCCTTGAGAAGAGAGACACTGGGGCCATATCCAACAGCGAGGCTCTCATCGCCCAAGGGCCTAAATTGTGTCAGGTGTACTTCACCATGACCTCAGGTCACCAATTTCACACGATCCCTACTATATTGCTACTACCCTAGGGAAGGGGCGGTCCTAACATTGTATTGGGCGAATCTTCGGCCCGTGCCGTTTGTAGATTCGGAGCTCTTTCGGTTTTAAGATAGATTTTGTTAACACGCCCTCCCCCATACACCTAGTTACCGATGGCGGGGTAGAACCTGCTGAAGGCTGATGATAAAATGCTGAAATCGAGAGTGGTATTCCCGCGCTATACTACCCCAAATCTCCTTTGACGCGGTTCTGGAGTTCTATAGTTTCATAAATCCACGCTCCTCACCCACCCCCCGACGAAACTGAACAGACGTGGATGTTGGGTTACCATAAAGACATCAACCTGACAAGTCCATCTTGAGTTCGAACGAAAAATTCTCCTTCTAATACAAGCCTTTTAAGATGACTCTTATTTCAATGGCCTCTGAACCCAAACCACAGATATGAGCCAACTTCCTCCATCCTCTATCAATTCTTTCTCTATACGTTCGAAGTGTTTGCCTCACACTCAGAAATACACTGCGAACCACCGTGAGCGCTGGAAGTCGCATACTTTTTTTGAGTGCCAATTCTCGGAGCTTTAGATGAGGAACGTTCCAGTTGAACTACCCTTTCCTAGAACGGCCAACTTACTTAGTAGCCCTCTCCACGACTAATGACCTCCTTTACGGTAAGTCTAAACAATATTGTCTTATGTGCTTCATTGATGGGGATCTTACAAGTGCACAGAGACGATTACTCACATGCTCAAATTGGGCTGAGTATGACTATTTCTTGTCAACCAGAGGCGGGTAATGTTCAACGATGCCAGATTAGACGAGATTGAATAGTATCGACAGAAGGGAAGAGTGCTGAAATTCTTCTTGAGAATGTGCAACTGCGATTGGGCTGAAGACGGACGTAAGTTGCCCATTGGCGCATCAAGACTGCGTAGGGCATACGAGACTTCACCCTGATCGTAAACTCGGCCAGTAACAGTGGTGCAGAAGAGCTCAATGGCAAATATATCGCCTTCTTCCATCGCAGCAGCTTCGTCGTCTTTACGGAGGGAACACTCTTGGTGCCATGGATGCTATAGGGTAAGATGGTATTGTCGGCTATGTTGCGAATCGGCTTGATTGGGTAGGTATTCCCGTTTATCTCACATTAATAGCTGTTCATGGCCTCCTGGATGAGCCCACCTAGCTCGCCAAGGCAAACATCAATTCCCGCTTCACGGACACCAGTATTCATCGCGTCCTTGACGGCTGCGAGAAAGTTGTCATACATAGGATCGACTGCTATGGTAAAAACGGTGTCGACGATACGATCATTCACATAGACGTCGATGTCAAGCTTCATTACAATGTTCTGCTGAAGCACAGACTTATTGCCTGCATTTGCACTGAAGTGGGCAGCAATCTCGTTGAGATTCAAGATACGGGAAACCCATGCCAGTGTCAGAGCCACAAGTGTCATCCGAGGCGGGCCGGCTTCCACCAGGAAGGAAGTCGTTTGTGGCGAATGAGGAGCCGGGAGGCCGTTTGTGGCGGCTAGAGAGCCGCTTGTGGCGAATGAGAGCTGTTGAAGCCGTTTGCAGCGGATAGGGAATCGCTTGGTTGCAGATAAGGAGCCGCTATCCAAGATATTGGCCGAAGTCGGAGGAACACAGACATGCGGAAGCAAACATCCAGAATCCAACAGAGAACCTCGGCTGGCTATAAGTAAGGAGTCGAGACGGAGGAAGATAGAGAGGGGAGAGATCAATGAACTACTGTGGACACCCCTACCTGCCATCATCAAGTGACCACCAGTGATCACCAGGTGACCACCAGGGGAACACGCCTATTTCTCCCCTTCACTCTGTACTATCGCCTTCGGTCCAGGCCGTAACCTGACAGCCAGCAACAATAGCATCGCCTTCGGATAAGCCATCGTGTCCGACCAGACGATGCATACTATCCTTAATACCATTGGCATCTCGGTAAGGGTCTGACCTGGCTTGATGTTTTTCCGTGCTATCTGACGATGCGTCTCAGCCGCCTGGCGGTAATTAGAGAGGAGGTCGCTGTTGACTTTGTCCAGATGGCGCTTCTCTTCATCGGTAGTGCGATACCGATTCTCGTCCATGTGTTCGACTTCTTCGCCCTTTGGGTAGTTGTTGTTTGGAAAAAAAAGGGATATGAGAACTGATGAGGTTCAATCTGGGCGGTGGGAGCCTTGTTCTTCTTAAGCTTCTTGGGACCACCTTCACCAACGGCAGCAGTGGCTTCAGTGACATTGGTCAGAATTTTCACCGGATTCTTCGCCAGGGTGTTCTGCAGCAGCATCGCCGTGGGCATTTCTAGACTCTTTGACTATTTATACACAAGCGCCTAGCTAGTGTCGCTTCCACCAGATGTGCTCAAGAGACATATGACCCACCGCCGAGTGCCTTGAGATCATGCACAGGGGTTCTGGAGAGATTTTGCCCGACCAGGTACAACACCTAAGGTATGGGCAAAAGTTCAACATATGTCCAACTTAAGTAAGGGTTAGTAGTGTTTCCACCTTTCCTTCAAATATGTTAACTATATGCCAATAATACCTAGCCTATGCCGTAATCCAAGTATAATATACATTAAACATATGTTAAACATATATTATACTGAGGGCCCCTGTAAGTCACTGCGGTAATGTCTGTAACCTCGTTGGGATTAGAGAGAAAGAAGAGCACCTTACGGAGCCTCTTAACGCTAAACTACGTAGCACATTGCGTAAAGTAGGCATAGAGGTTAATATAATATCTATCCAGAGTTATGAACCGAGGGCAATTTCCTCAAATAGTATATTCTTACCATAATATGTGACTTAGCGACAGGGTTGTTGGACGTTGTTTTTCGGATTTTCGGATTTCGGATGATTTATGCAACAAGCCTGCTTCTCAAACATCTAGTTACACATTCAGGAGGCTTGCAAGAAGAAGCGACAAGCTGAAAATAATTGAATCCTCGTTCCCTTTGCCGGTTGAAGCCCTATTTGTTTGATGACCTGCTAAGGTCTTATTCTGTCCTTCGTGCCCGTTGAGGCCGTTATTCGTACCTGCTGAGGTAATTTTGTTGATCTAATTAGGACGATAAGGCTCTCGATCTTTCTTTTTGTTATCCTTCCAGACAGCTGATCTTCTTGTTCGGCTCCGTTAACTTCACCTTAAACGTGCGGGCATACACTGCCCTCGTCACTATATATTATATACATAAATAACTCTATTTATTAAAGATCTATCGATATCTTACCTGTATTCGGCGTTAAGAAAAGGCTACGTAAGGTGACAGTTTTCCATATCGCTACTGGGTAAGTTCAACATATGTTCAATCTCGGAGCGCGTTATGCTTTAAGTACCTGCTGAACTTTACGCTGGGCTCTGGCAGCCATTTTACTAACAAGGGTGGACCTTGAAATGTCGTTTAGAGGAATCAGTTACCCGTGCGACGCTCCACGGGTAAGCCTTGCCAAAAGTTAGGTAGGGCACACCGGTTCCGCCAGCTCCATCTTGGAGGCGCTCGGGCTACCCAATCAGAGGAGTACGTTTTAGCGGGCGCCTCGTCGGGAGCTTTCCCGTGGCTTCCTGGCGGAGCCGATATCGCTAGGCCCATCCTGTGGTGGCCTGTGCGGTCTGGAGCAACAAATGTGCTTCGCCAAACCGAAAGAAGCAGAGTGCCCGAAAAGCCCCCGCTTTATGGATACAAATCGTTCGGTTTACAACACCCGAATTATATGGAGCGGCCCAGATAGCATTGATCTTCTCAGGGGGACTTTGTTGGTAGGTTGAGAACCAACGTAGTATGGTAGTGAACGCAACGCAGTCGCCAATAGGGCGAACCGACGACGCAGCGTATGTATTTAGTCCAGCCATTAGGGCACGGTTTGACATACGGGAGTACTAGTAGAGGTACCGGGGGCTTCGAGCCTACGGCGTATTTAATAATAATAAAAATATATGGAGCGGGGATCCGGGGTTGAGGTTACTTTCTTTCACATCCCTACTTTGACTGACAAGACCAGCCAAATACATTTCTTTGCGCTTCCATCACTGCCACTGATCGTCTCTCGGTGTTGTCGCTGCATTCGATCGCAGGAGGCGAGCCTTGCCACGATGGCCAACGATCCATCAGACTACTATCCAGGAGGAAGTGCTTAGGAGCAAACTGTGGAAAGGATGCCGGAGCTTTACAATGCCCAGCATGTCTTGACAAGCCGTGCCGCAAGGACAAAACGCGATGCGACCATCAAATGCCAGTTTGCAGAAGGTGCCAGGTCAAGGGGATCACCTATGAGTGCTATTACCGTGGGCCTTAAGAAAGAAAAATCTGCCCTCGGCTGCACATTTAGGTTGCTGATGATTTCTGAGCATAACAGTGATTTCTTACACCAGAGCAAGTTAAGAAAGTCAAAAAGCTGGTGCGGTCTGACACTTATGGGATACCTCTGTACGAGGGGTATGAATATGAGAACGAGGACGACGAGGATAATGGGGCGGGATATTATGGCACGAAACGTCTCCTAGCGTCCAGTAAGTAAATTGTGTTGCAAAAATACATCGGAAATACAAAGTATAAGATTATTTCTGAAGTGAAGATTGATCTGGAGGGCACGTCACATCAGGGCATAGTTATAGTTAAGAAATTACTCCTCAGACGTATAACGTATATCTACTTATTAAAATATGCTAACAGTCATATACCGGCGGCAAAGATAAGGTCAACTTCACTATCATTGTTAAGTGTATTTCCAGACAATACAGGCAAGAGAGTTGTATTGATGATGATGATGGGACTAACTCCCAAAGGCTGCAGCCACAGAAGGGCTATCTATATGCAGTTGGTCCAAGCGCTGCACCCAGCACATAGGCGGTGTGCCTGGGGCAAGCAAAAGTTTTTATCCGCCGAACTCAACGCTGAGATTGCAAACGGGCCGACGAAGTGCTATGCTCCTCGATGGTCTGGAGGCAAGGACCCTTGTTCTCCCCTATGACCGATATAAATTTGGCCTATGTAGGTCCTTCCTTCTCGACTATATATCGGGCTGCGCTATTGGCTGCAGAACGGAGTCAATGCATGACCTACTACAGACGCCAGAAAGTGATCGATCATCTTATTAGTCGAAATGGCTCCCTTGAGAGTTGGCAGATCATCGAAACAACATGTGGCATCAAAATAGACTCTCGGTTCAGGTTTGTGGCGCACTGCTTCATCCAACTACCAATGAGCATTTTTATTATCTCGCTAGATCAATTTAATCGCAGCCAATAGACTTGGGTCCATGGCTTGAGTAGCGCGGGCAGCGATGCCCGCGCTATGTCAGCAGCATCACCTCTCCTATACCATCCCATGCGAACTCTCACCATGATGAAAGAGCAAGATCTCACATAGTTGGCGGCGGAACCCTTACGTGACCCATAACGACGCCCTTGCTGCATGCACTACTATGGTCCTAGTTCTTATGGCAAAATGGCCGGTATGGTGGCCGATATGGCGGCTTATTTTGCTGTTGCATTGGACGCTAGTACGAGTGCTGCTATTGGCAAAGACACCTTTACACGGGGTAAAAGCGGGTAATATGAGGCTGGCTCGGGGAAGAGAGGAAGTAAGCTATAGTGTACTTCGTGGTACTCTTTCATCCGTTGCTTTAAGTTGTTAATGTATGCGAAGAACTTTTGATCAACTGAGCTCCGTAACGTATTTCACCCCCATTCCGACACCCTATAAAACAAAACACCACGAATAACACTGCAATTTCAAACAACCACCACAAATTCAATTCTGAACAGCTATACAATCGCTTTCGACAGTAGATACATTAGATATTTCTGAACCCGAATCATCAACAAGAGCTTCATTAGATACTTCCCTCATCCGCCGTACGTCCTCAATCCTTGCGAATTTCGCGTTTGGACTTATTTGCACCTTCTTTTTTTCCGTGGCTTCATAAGCTCCAATCGCTATTTCAAGCCCTCAATTTGTAATTCTGCGCTTACTAATAGATAATCCTTCTCATCAAACCCTTTTTTCATCTTTCTAAATAGCTGGCGTTGTGTAGTCATGTTAGTTTGTTGGAGTCGATTGAACTCCCTAAACTGGCGCTCTATATCTACGCTCTTCTTTGGCGTTGACCATACAACATTGCCCTCTGAAGGCGTCTGGAGCGTTTTATGGACTTGCTGGGTTGTAATAAGAATGTCTGGACCTTGGTGACGTGTGCGGTTGCTATTTTCAAGCAGAAGAGGGCTAGTAAGGGGCCTAGCGACATTTAGGGGCCATAGACCACTTGTACGCCAACCAGACTTGATATTTTGAGCCGTTAGGGCCCTCTGGCGTGCTCTGGCGTAATAGCGCATAAAATTCCGCTTGCCAATAGGTTCTGAATCAGTTAATAGGGTTTAAAACCCGACCTCCTTGCGATATGCCGTTTTCATAGCTGAGAACACCCCAACATCGAGGGGCTGAAGGGCATGAGATGAGTGTGGGGGTAAAAATAATAATTATATGTTGTTTTGATAGCAAAAAGACATAAAATTATCAGTTGTGTGACTACCGTTACCATCCAAAATAAGTAAACGAGTGTCTGAAGGGTCCTGAGGAAGCGTAAGGGGTATAAAAACGTCTTCAAGCCATTTGATAGCTATCGTATCGTCTGTCCAGCCCTTGGGGGATGCCTTGAAGCGCCAGTCCTTGAAGTCCTGAAGATTTTTATCAGGGAACCACTGCTCTTGGACGTCCTTGCCCTTGAAAATAACCAGGGGGGGTAAGGTATTGCCGAGGGCATCCACACATTCCAAAATTGACGTCCACGCCCTCGAACCAGGCTGTTTCTGGTGTATTGTGCGTAAGGTAGCGCTCCCGACAACTAGCCCAGAGACCCCTTGACCCTCCATAAGGCCATGCTCATCCATATTATACCTGCATTGCGGCTTAATCGCTTGAATTGCAGGAATACGTAATTTTGAAGCAAACCAGGCTTGGATTACCTCGGTAGACGCGCCATTGATACGCTGAGAGTCGATACGGCGTTGCTTTTTAGTCTTTAGTGCTGGGTGACGCTTTAGAAAGGCTTCCAGCCAATTCTTGCCGAGTGATTGGTGGTCACCTTTGAGGGCTAGGACGCGCTGCGCGAGCTCCTTGATTTGCGCGTGCGTTGGGGCTAGTCCAAGGGCTTCCTGGACCAAAACCCAGTCTGCTAAGTGTTTTTCTTGCACTGGAGATAGCCTCTTCTGGCTAGCAGAGGCCTCGCGACTTGATTAAGCGCCTTGAAGTCTGTCGATAAGTGTAGTCCTTGGTATACCCCAATCCAGGCCAGCGCGTCGCACAGATTTACCATTTGCGACGTCTAGAACGGCGGCAGCGAGGTCTTCTTCCGTATATGAAGGCATTGATAGCAGATCAGATCGAATACTTGGAATAAAGTCAATTGAAGCAAAAGTGGTTGAGAAATAAAAGGATAATGTAAATAGCGGTGTGGTTATTGTTGGGGTTTACAGGGGTGTCGGAATGGGGGTGAAATACGTTATTCGATTGAGCAAATGGATGAGTTCTTTAGCAGAAACGTTTTGCCAACTGATGCAGTATTCGGCCTGACACGTTGTGGCCGAATTTAGAGCATTTCATAAACGTGTTGGCTCGGATATCGCATGAAGTTAGCATTTGGTATTGGTGTCGTCCACAGAACAGATACTGGATTGGAAGTCGAAGCGTATATTCTAGTTAGTATGACCATGCGTATTCTTAAGAGTAGTGTAACATGAAATCGGTAGCAGCGTCATCTATAAGACGAATATAGCTTGATTCAGAATTTTCAGGAGGCCAGCAAAATGGTTGGCGCTTAGAAAATGGCGATGACCGAGGGTGCATTAGCACCTGAGAATATCTGACTAGCTTACTCAGTCCATTATGGGACCGAACTTGTATGCTAATTCCAAAGAATATCGAATATGGACGCTGTACTCCTATTGATCGATGAAAACTTCAAAAATTTTGCTTTAGCCAACTTCAGTTCGATACTAGGCAGAGGTTGCTAAGCTTACTAGAGGACTGTTGTATATAGCCTATACTCGCACCTTCCGGATGTCTTATCACGCATTGAATATATTTGCCCTAAGGAAGGTAATATCTAGTAGAACAGCAGACTGTGGATTACTTAGAGCATCAGGGACTCTGGGGTACAAAACTGTATAATTTGCTATATCATATCGAGCCATTCTGGTCGAAATCGAGCGGTAACCGTACAACTACAAAACTCCTAGAACTCTGGATCATAACCCGAGGTCTCCTAATCTCATCGGCACCATAACCCTAATTGGCTTGCTACCGCGCGGCCTGTTTCTTAAATTGCCTGCCTCGTATTCCTCCACACCTGAGGCCACAACTTCCCACATCTGCACGATAACTTAGTATGGCTTACAGCATCAGAATAACGTCCAAGTTGGCGACACATAAACGACCCGGCTGATCGTTGAAGAGACCGCTAAGCTGTAGACTCGGCTACGTTATATATATATCTATACCCATTGGCTCCGGTAAAACTACTAAACCGTTGTTATGGATCTAACGGACGAGAAGGTAGCCGACGTTACTGCTAACGGCCTTTCGAAGGCCTTGAAGCCTTAATAGCACTAACGTTGTATTCAGATGCTTAATTTAATGCTAGCTCTGCTGGAATCGCGGCTCGGCTCGAGGGCTAGTACTAGATAGTGAAGGTAGGTTGCTGTCACGTTGGGAGCGTCAGTTCTAGGTCGTGATGATTGTTGTGCCATAGGGAAGGAAATAATGATGTGGAGGGTTGCGCGTAAGGCGCGAGGTAAGTCCTGCACGGGCCAAGTACCAAGGTACATGGGTTAGGTCGGGCTGGCGCCGTGACAATTGCGCTTATTCCTTTGTATAGGGACCCTAACTACGAAGTCTCTCAGGAGCTGTGTCAGACGCACTAGCTTTCGATCTCTAACTACTGTCTTTTCCGGTTTCCGCTACTACAGCTAGCTAACTGATAATGGATGAACCCTGAGTCCTGAACCCTTGGTAATAGTCAATTGTTAGAACTTCAGGAGCGAAACCTCTGGTGTATTAGCAACTGACTCAAGTGTTTAGCCAAAAAGTATATATTTCTGTCCTGAAGGCCCTTATGTCGACCATTACTCCTTTGGAGTTGGGGAGATTAGAGACACCTCAACCCTATATTTCGTTGTAGCTTGCAATAAGTCCTATTGCAGATTTCATATCCAGTCAACTGGGTGTTGTAGCGATAGCAAGGAAAGGAAAGGAAAAACAAAAACTGCCCCTAGGGTTCAAAGGCTAGTGCCGTCCGACAATCCCTTCTTTGAAGACTTCTTTGAAGACGACACTATGAATCTTCTCCATTGGGGCCAATTGGATCGGTTCAGAGGACAGAAGTCCTGCCAGCATGACCATAACGTTGCACTAAATCCCGCATGACATTCAGTACTCTATACAAAGATATCAGCAAACATTCATTGCGCGATAGTTTTGGTGGTCATACTGCACCCTCAGAGTCAGGTTCTCCGTGAAGAGTGCAGAAACATGCGTGTCGAATCTCCTATTTCGAGGTTACTATACACCACCAATGAGTTGAAAGATTGAGACCATGGCTGTCCCTACAGTCTGTACAGATCTAGACGACCTTCAAAGTCTTCCTCGGGAGCAGAGATATGGACGAATGTATTGTACGCGGCTAGGTACTCATCCCCAAACCTGTTACAAATTGGTCTCCATTGGCCAAACTCATCTACGCACATAGTCATCATTAATTTAGGGATGCATACAAGATGAGTTTAAGGACTGTGGGAACGGCGAGAGCACTAAATAGAAACTCACACTCATTGTGGGCGTAAAAACAGCACGCATCGAATATTACGGGCTCGCCACTGTCGATATCAATCCCAGAGTTTGCGTACCATAAATCTCCATGGACCAACGACGGTTTCACGGACCTGCCTTCCGTCTCTAAGGGGCGGAGCAGCCGGGGGATGACTCTGTCAAACAGAGCAGGGACCAGCTCTTCGAATTCCGGGTCGTAGCCTTTAACTGCGATTTCGAAATCGAGGGCCTTTCTCATGGTCTTGGTGAAGAAGGTCTCCCAGCTGTCTTCCCAATTGGTCACTTGCGGTAGATTCCCACTGTATGTCGTCACATGGAAGCCAAACTTCCCATTTGGGGACCTGCTGTTTAGGTGGATCTTGGCCAAACGCTCGACAAATCTGTATGGGTCTGGTGTGTCGTCCATCATGTCTCGAAACTCGGATAAGAAGAAGTGAGTATCAGGTATGGTTTGGTATGTTCCGCAAGCTATTGGCTTCGGGGCAAAGCCGGGCGCAAGTGAATACAAGGCCTTCATAGACTCGAATTCTCCTCGGGTCATATCCTTGCCTCTTTCATTCGAGATGACCTTGATGAAAAACACCTGTGGAGTGCCGTCGACGAGTTCCACGTCAATTCTCCCTGTGTTAACCCAGAAGCTTACACCATGACTATCAGTGGAAATCACGCGGCTGCCCATCGGTAAAACTGTGTCAATGCCAGGATTAGCGCTGTGGCTACAGCTTGTTGACGTCTGATATTTCAGGCTCACCAGCAGCGACGCTTGGGTCAACATTGACATTCCCTCCACCAAACTCCAACCCTTCCGCACCGTGGTAATTCATTTTGATCGGACACTTTAATTTACTTCTATCGCTTTGCACGACGTGCTATTCCAGCCTTCGTATCAACTTAAGTTGGTAACATTTAAGCGCGCAACTTCCATTGGGCGGGGTAGATGCTATTTTAGAATGATGACTTAAGTAATACAATTTGCAACGCCTGCACGCCAGACTCTGGTTCTGCAAGGCTGAGTTGCTTCAAGTATTGTTTCAAGTCTTTGCAATTAAACCGTAGCAACGGTGCCGCTGAGAAACCGCACTTGTGGCTACGCGAAGATGTAAGATGTGGGTAACGAATTCTCAGCTGCCTTTACTTCTATGCCACAGAGTACTGTCAGCAGATGGCTCTAAGTACTGGTATCATTGCAAACCTTAGGAGAGGCCAACTTCAGTTGAGAAAGAGCAAATCGATTTGATCATGAACGAGCAGGTGGTACGCATTGTTGGTCTCATAAGTTAAGCATTCATATATATTTGCCTTGATTGTCGTGCCCGACTTGCCATCCCCACACAAGATCAGTGCCCAGCCATCGCAACCTGGGCGATTCTCTCCTTGTTGCCGACGAATTTTATCATGACGCCTGCATCCTCTAGTCTCTTCTGCATTTCATTTTTATTTATAAAAGTCCCAGGCTCCTTGATTCCGACATACACAACCTTTATTTTATCCTTAAGCTGGAGGATTCGCTCCACACATGTCCTATTCCCGCTGAGCCGTTCATTGCACGGCTCCATTGTCGTGTACAAGGCCGTGTTCGGAGGCAAAATGCCTCCAATTCGAGTTTCTGAGGGGCCGTCTCCAGGATTGTACTTGTTGGCAATTTTGATGAAGCAGCACTGTTCAGCGTGGGTCGTTCCCGGGTCTCCAGGCTGATCCCGCGGCAACTCGAGTGAATATCCCGTCGAGAGCACCTCGCCTGTGTCTGCGTTCACAAGAGCTGCTCCGACACAGAATTTTCGGGTTCTGGTGGCGACTTGCGCGCTTGATCGAGGGCATATTCCATGAATGCTGCATCGTCGCCCACCGCAATCGTTGGATGTGTTTCCGCAGCTGTCATTATAAACTTTACCTGGCAGAAGTTTAATGGATTGAGGAGTGTGAACGAGTTGTATATTGAACAGATATGTAATATTCAGCGCGCTGAAAAAGAACACACGACTTAACACTGCTGGAATTTGCACGTCGAAATTGTTGTTTCACTTGTGCTGATGAGTACATCGTGAGGGCGAGCTGCCTGGCTACACCCCCACTTTGTCGACAATGGTACGAGTAGGCAAGTAATTCGGCTCAGGCATTATCGCCCGACACCATAATCCCTGCCACACTTATTATAATCCAATTAATTCGATTCCAAGTGCAGAGAGCGGGGCACAGGTTGGCACGTTTATATGCACCTAGTATTGTCGGGTGTGCCATGGCCGCCCAAGGAAAGACGATGCGCCAGGCAGTAAACGGTTTCGTGCCCCAACGATCAAAATTCCAGGCGAGCTCCATATCATGCCAAATTTTTTGTTATATGTGTTTCATACGACAGGCTCCATACATAGACGATTTGCATTAATCCGCTGCCAATTTTGCCCTGGCGTCGATCAACATGGTGGGTTTTGCAGTAACCTGACCCCACGTCCATGTCTGACATAGGATGTTAATCTGACCTGAACACATCTTGCGCAGTTAACTAGAAGCCTTCGACGCAAAGGGCCCAACGTGTCCAATACCGATACCCGCTCGAATAGTGTTGATTCATTCCCCCACAGCACAGCCGCTATCCTCGTGGGCGATGGCACAGACGATCCCAGGGGACCGCTAGGGTTGCACGTCCTTCATTCTCCAGCTGAACCCCTAGCTGAACTGATATTCGTCCACGGCCTTGGCGGTGGCTCTAGGAAAACATGGAGTAAAGAAAGTTCTTCAGCGCACTTCTGGCCAAAGGAGTGGCTGTCCAAAGACACAGGGTTCAAGAATGTACGAATCCATACTTTTGGGTACAACTCTGACTGGGCCAAGAGCAAGGAAAATTTTCTGAACGTCCATCACATCGGCAAGTCCTTTCTCAGTGAGATGAGTACTTCGCCTTATCTAGACGGGGCAGGCATCCCAATCGTGTTCGTGGGCCATGACTTGGGGGGCTTGGTCATCAAGAAGGCCTATATGCTGGCAAAGAAAGACGCGTCATATGAAAAGCTCTCCAGGTGTTTTCAGGCCATATTCTTCCTCGGAACACCCCACCGAGGCTTGGATGGGGCAAAAGTACTGAATAATATCATTCACGTCGCCTACTCACGTGCCTACGCTACAGATCTGGAGCGTAAATCGGCGGCCATACAGTCGATCAATGATGAGTTTCGCCATTTTTCTGCCGATATTCAACTGTGGTCATTCTACGAGACCCAAAAACTGAGCATTGGCCTTTTCAGTTCTCTTGTTGTTAACCCTGAATCAGCCACCCTCGGATACCGAGAAGAAAAGCAAATGCCTATGAATGCTGACCATCAATCCATCTGCAAGTTTGAGTCTCCGAGTGATCCAAACTACCTGATAATTCGCAATGCCCTTGCATCTGCAGTCAATGGTCTGATCAGGCCAGGTAGGGCCCACATGACTTGCCTTGTCAGTCATAACTAATTCTTACCAGTTTTCGTTGAGCAAGCGGACGCGAGTCGGGACCAACTTCAGGCCCTTGAAAGTTATCTCAGCGTGTCTCAGACGTGGCAAAATGATCTCGTCACTGTCGAGGATGCTCGCATGTCTGGCACATGCGAGTGGCTTGCGGCCAACAAGGCTTTCTTAGAGTGGGCAGACGAAAGTATGGATTCCCCGAAAATCTTGTGGATCAACGGAAAGCCTGCAGCTGGTAAATCCGTATTGGCAGGTTTCGTGATCGATCAAGTTCAAAAGCATAGCTTGAATTGCAGCTATTACTTCTTCAAGCACGGCGACAAGTCCAAGTCACGGTTGAGTTATTGTCTACGCTCATTGGCTTTCCAAATGGCCTCTACCGATGCCCAGGTGCGAAAGGTCCTGGTAGCCATCCAAAGGGAAGGCATCAAACTTGATGACAATGAAAGCATGATATGGCACACCTTGTTCTTATCAAGAATATTCAAAGTGCAAACATCTCGGCATTACTGGGTTATTGATGCTTTAGATGAATGCTCTGACGCAATCTCGTTGTTGGATCCCATGTTGATGAAATTGGACAACTCGATACCGCTACGCATCATGATGACCAGCCAACAAACACCAGAGCTAGAGAAGAATTTCTCCATGGTGGGTAAACATCGCTTTGCAGCAGAAAGCATACCAGCAGCAAACACACTCACTGATATCAGGGTTCTTGTAGAAGCCCGGGCAAGTTCTCTGGTGGTCAAAGACGATGATGACCGCACACGCTTGGTGGAGAAAATACTCCAAAAGTCGAGCGGGTCTTTCTTATGGACCACGTTGGTTTTGAAGGAGCTCTCGGGTTCTCATAGCGAGACGGAAATCAACCGGGTGCTTGAAGATATGCCGCTGGGCATGAAACCATTATACGAACGCGTTCTGGAAGCAATGACGCAAGCTTCACGGGGGACAAGGATATCAAAAGCCATCCTCACTTGGACAGCTTGCTCCACGCGTCCATTGACCACGAGGGAGCTCGAAGGAGCTCTAAAGCTGGACGTCAATGGTAACTTCCTGAAGCTGGATGAGACCATAGCAGCGTTTTGCGGCCAACTCGTGACCGTCGATAAGTTTGGCAAAGTTCGTTTGATTCACGAAACGGCCAGGGGATATCTTTTCGACGGTGATCTTCAATCAGAATTCAAAATCGATAAGACAGAGGCACATACCCGGATTGCCAGAGCATGTCTAGCGTATCTCAACGGGCAAGAGATGAAGCCTCCTCGAACTGCCAGAAGGGGAGCCAATGCAAGCAGTTCAAACACCAGAACTGAGTTCTCGAAATACGTTTTTTCAGAATTCGCATATCATCTGGCCAAAGCTGATTCCTTGGATGACGGGGTGTTGGAACTCACTGAGAAGTTTTTAAAATCGAATATTCTATCATGGATCGAGGCAGTGGCGCAAACGCAAAATCTCAGTCCCTTGATTAGGGCTTCAAACCATCTCAAGACATACCTCAATGCCCGCGCAGGGGGCAGATTGCCATTGGGGCCTCCCCTGCAAACCATTAGAGGCTGGACTATAGACCTTATTCGCATTGCGGCAAAATTTTCCGACGCACTCAAAACATCCCCCTCGGCTATTTTCACTCTTATTGCGCCATTCTGCCCATCTGAGTCAATGATACACAAGCTTAGCAGGTATGGCCGACGACTGTCAGTCAGGGGCATCTCAAACAATCATTGGGACGACCGACTATCTTCCATGGACTTTCGACAGTCGCAAGCGAGCGCAGTCTGTTACGGGGAGGAGTTCTTGGCTGTTGGCCTGATTACGGGCACGATTGCCTTATACCACGCGGCGACTTGCCAGGAATACAAAACCCTGATCCACGGCGAGACAGTCAAGTTCCTTACATTCAAGAAGAACACAAGCCTGATGGTGTCCAGCGGGATGAGAGTGATCCGGGTCTGGGATACACGAAGCAGTGCCTTGATTCATGAGTTCGAGGCACCCCGGAGACCCATGGCAGTTGCTTTTGACGATGATCTTCTATTGGTGGCTTCTTCTAAAAACTTCTTGGAATCTTGGGACTTGGGAAACAATGGAGAACACCAAACACCGAAGGCATGGAACAACTGCGATGAATTCCTCGGTAAACCACTGCGCTCTCCACCATCCGCGATTTCAATGTCTATGAGCCACAGGATGATGGCAGTGGCCTATAGTGGACAACCCATAACGCTATGGGACCTTGAAGAAGAAGCTTATTACGGGAGCTCGGGCAAGAAACTGGAAAATGGGGCCACTTGTACCCACCCGATCACAGCGCTGTGCTTCAATCCCAATCCCGATATTGAACTGCTCGCAGTCTCTTACCTGGACGGGACTCTGGTGCTTCTGAACCCTTTTGATGACCTGGAGTTGGATAGGTCTCATGCCAATTGTCACACGCTAGCATCAAGCGCCGATGGTCGCCTTCTAGCCGGAGGCGCTGGTTTCGGAATACTCCACATCTATGAATTCGCCACACTGAAACTACTATATCAGGTCAGGTCAGAAAACTTCCACATTAAACAGATCTCGTTCAACAGAAGTGGTCTTCATCTTGCCGATATCCGGGGATCCCAGTGCAACGTCTGGGAGCCAGGGGTATTACTACGGGATGCTGTAGCCGATGACAGCAGCGACGGCTCCTCTGGTTCCACAGTGGAGGCGATCACTTCAAATAGAAAAAACCGAATCAGTGCCATGGCCATAAACACCGGCGGCGAGGTAGTCTTCTGCGCGAAAGATGACGGCTCCGTCTCTCTGTACGACAGAAAGACCGGTGCCCACTTTCGAACGCTTTATCGCCACAAGTCAGCAGTCCGTTTTCTTTCGTGGTGGTCGCGCCAAGGTATAATATTGAGCATCAATGCATCCAACGGGGTTTTGGCCTGGCGCATCGGCAAGCACCCCTACGATGGATGGGTTACGAAAGAAGCGTTGGTACAATCGCGTCTCGATGTGGACAGGGCCATCATACAAGTTTTTCACGGGGAAGCTAGAGACAAGTTCGTCTTGGCTACCAGGGAGTCTGATCATCTCTGGAGCCTTGATGGCAAGCAGGAGCAGGTGCAGACTAGACAAGATCGACCATGGACCCAGAGATGGGCTCCACACCCACGATCTGAGGAACATGCGATCTGCTTCGACGGGACTGAAGCTCGAATTTTATGCTGGGAAGATTGGTCAGAAGTGACTCGTATTTCACTGATAATCCCTTTATTGGAGTTTCAGCCAAAGAGCGTGAGCTTTCATGGCAACGGCACAGCACAAAAGATATTGATGGAGACCGGCGAAGCAGGTGACTCGGCGAGGATGAGCAGTTTGTTTCTTTTCGACAGTGATGCCTTCGACATTCAAGGAGCAGGACAAAATGCTACTACGAAGACTGCGAGGTCGACTTTCTCGACGTCAATGAGCACAATCTCAGACCATGTCGCCCACATTATTGGAGTTAGCGATGCCGGAAGGATGGTGTTTCTAGATAAGCAGTCTTGGGTCTGCTCCGTCGAGCTTCAGAGTCTAGGCGCAAGCCCACCGACACAGTTAAGACATTTCTTCGTCCCATACGATTGGTTTTCTGGGGAACGCGGCATTACGTGCGCTGTTTCACAGCGGGACATCTTATTTGGGCATAATGACGAACTCGCCATCGTCAAAGGGGGGCTTGAATATGCGGAGAACGTGAGCGTGGAAGAGGGCCTGTTGAGCGTATCTGCACTGAACATAGACTACCGTTGATTGGTGTGTTGGGCTCTCGACGATACTATCTTGCATCTTGCCATTTTTATGAGCAGGGTTGTCTCATTTTCTTTACCTGAAGAGTTAGCTTTGGAGTTATTCCTAGAAGCCATCATCATCTCCATGGGTCACGTTATTGAAGGCTCCAAACTGGCGATGAGTATTTCACGGGTGTGAGGTTTGGTTGGTAGCATTGAAGGATTAGCGTGGCGAATAGTATTATATTTTCTTAGTTTTCAATGATGACAGTTTTGAAGGCGTAGACTCTAAACTCTCGCAAGGCAGCGACAGCAGCTAGCAGTATATCTGCGAGATCATATGAGCTTGCCACGCCCGACTGTCAGTCCAGCTTCCAACTAACTATAGGGCCAGGCATAAATCATGTTCGGCAAAGTACTCAGTACACCCCATGTATCAAGCACGACTCTGAACTGGGTCGGCATCCGGAAATAAAAGAAGGAAAATATAAACTTGCTGTATGCCACTTCGAACATGGGAATTAATGGCGCCGATACTTCGTATATTGGCTAGATTGCGTGTAGTCTCAAATTAAGAACAGTTGGTGGCTTAACGTACAACCCCACCTTTCCGGCCACATATTGCAATCCAATTGAAGGTATTCGAAACAGTGTATTCAACGTACTATTATAGCTATTCAGGTACAACCAGCTCTAATAGAAAGCTGTGCTCTAGGGATTCCTGAGGTATAGATCTGATAGATTCTGACGCCTTAGCTGGGTCCAGTATTACCTGATTCCGACGTTGTACCTGGTTTCGTTGCCGTTCTACTTCAAGGGCTCGATCCATCGCTTCCTTAATCTGTACAATGTTACCAAATCGTTCATTAGGCCCCAATCGTACCTTCTTACGTGGTTTGGGGCGTAACGAAGTTATAGGGTAGAGCGTGGAACGCCCCATCGGAGGGAAGCCTGGCGCTGGGATATCCCTTGATTGATATCGTTGAGAGCGCCTTGAATCGAATTTTCTGAATATCGAGGCATTGTATAATAATAGCCAATACCGACGATAATCTGTTGTGCCGAAGGTTGTTGTAGTTGGCAGATTGGGTGGCCAGAAAGGTGGGGTTGTACGTTACTTCTTTACTTAAACCTCATCAGGCCGTCGTCTCAGCACATACGGCCATAGGTTCCAGAGAACTCGGGATCCCGTCCGCTCTCCCTTAGATAAGCTGGACACTGCTGGATTAGTAGTTGGGTGGGTGACCATCAGCGAATACCCGGTGCTGTATGTTTTTGCACATTTTAGCTATTTTTGGAGATATTATATATGTAGCCTACCAAGGCTCTGGCCAAATGTGTGGAGATCGGCGAGGTTCCCAGTCATAACGCCTTTAGCAGGGGTTTATCAAAGTTCGGCGCTAGGTGATGCTTACTCCTAAAATAAAACGATCTGGCAGCTACAAAGGTTATTTTAGCGCTTAGGCTAATGTCTGTTGGATCTATTGGATCTGTTGGATCTGAAGCTATTCCTAAGCACCATTATTCCGAATCGCTTTCTGATGTATGCTTTTACACTGTTACGAATCTACGATTCTAACCAACGCCACAGGCCCGATGGCAGGCCCAGTGGATACAGGACAAAGAAGGAGGGGAAAGTCACACCGGAGGGGCTAGCTGCAGGAGGAGCCAGCTAGTACAAGGATCACAAGTCACGTGACTTAAAAGGGTGGATCATTTGGATATGAAATGATCAACATATCCAGTTAGGACCAATAGTATCCATGAAGGATCTAATGGCCCCAGTTATCAGTGAAGGAGGGAATGGATATATAAGGGACAGGACTCCCAGGCATTTCATAGATAGGCAGTCTCTACTTCAGTGATCAATCTAAGCATCAATCTAACCCATTGGTGAGGCAAACTGCCTTGACGACTCTATTCCCAGTTACCCTAGTTGAATACTTCAGTGACCCAGAGCCCTATACTCCATACGTCAGACCCCGATATTATTGCTAAAGGACTCCGCAGCAGGACTTACTTACTAGCACAAACCCTTACAGACTCGTTAGTGGTTTACGCAGCTAGACTATTAGATGCTTTTTTCTACGAAAACAATCTTTAGCTAAAAAGGGTTAAGTGCATTAGTTACGACCCTGGTAAGTTACCGTACCAGCAATCATAATCCCAGGGAGGTGTAGGTTTAGCTTCAAGAAAAAACGATCTTACCTTTTTTAGTATAGTGTTAGATAGTGTTAGCTTTCAGTGTGCTCCATGGGCACTCGATAGTAGGCGCCCTTCATTCGGCCTCCTACTACTATAGCAAGTGTCACGACCTGGGTTGCATCGCATTGGTAGTGTCAGGGTACGGCTAGGCCGAAGGCAATAGTACAGAGTGATGGGGAGTAACGGGCGTCCCTCCTACGTAGCACCGGGTGGTCACTGGCGGTCTCAGGTAGGGGTGCCCACGGTGATGCATTGATCTCTGCTCCTTCCCTATCCTACTTCGAGATGGTCCTTATATAGATAGCTAGGCCGCCGCTTGGACCCGGCATAACAGCAGGGTCGGCGATGCCAAGGATCTTGACTCTCGTCATCCCAAAGCTTCACATAGATTGTAATCATGATTCGGGAGTCTTTTGTCCGAAACACCCCTCCGGCGGCCCGCCGGTGTCCTGCGTTCAGTGTTCTGACACCCACTGGTGCCTATGGCATTCTGTTCTCTGACAGGTAGAGACCTCGATTAGGTGCTATCGACGAAGATTCTACTCTAAGGAGCGAAGGAAAGAAGATGACAACTTAGGTTTGAGGGAGCGCGACTAAGTCATCCACGCTTGGCGGGGCTCCTACAAGGGTTATGATTGGCTTCCCATCTGACACTGCCACGGCAGGTGTTCCAGCTGTAAGTCACCTGGTTGTAGTGAGTCTGCGAGGGTTGACCTTCACAGCAAGTAGCCTTGTGTAGCTACCAAATCTTTCCATTGTAGGAGTGGACACCACCTAGCGCCGAACTTCTAATAAACCCCTGCTAAATGCTAAGGCATTATGGCCGAGAACCTCGCCGGTCTACAAGTCTACATAGTACACTTTTGGCCAGAGCCTTCGTTGGCTACATTAATCTCCAAAATGGCCAAAATGTGCAAAAACATACAGCACCGGGTATTCGCTGATGGTCACCCACCCAACTACTAATCCAGCAGTGTCCAGCTTATCTAAGGGAGAGCGGACGGGATCCCGAGTTCTCTGGAGCCTATGGCCGTATGTGCTAATTAGTTGGCGTCATGAGGGTTAAGTAAGAAGTAGGCTGTCGTGTGAAAGCCAAGCTTGGTATCCCTAGTAGATAGGCCAGCAGCCTCAAGCCCTCCTGAAAACTGATCTATACAAACGATGACTACTGGATGCCTGTTCCTGCCCGTCAATAAATGATAGGTTGTCAGTCTCCACTGGGAGGGCTCAAGCATCGGGTACTTAAATAGGCAACGGATAGGGAGCGGTGTATGTTCAACAAAGATGAATATACCAAGACGAAGGAGTTTAGAGCTACAAAACCAACCACGATGAAGACAATTACAATAGTAGAGTGAACTCAAAAGTTACTTCTAGTTCAATATTCGATTAATGGGTCATTACAGCGTCGATGTGGCCAAAGTGCCAGCCTGCCTGTAGCCCGGTGTGTACCTGACCATTTATCTCCATTCACTCTCCATTCACCCCCCCCCCCCCCCCCCCCCCCCGCTCTGCAAGTACATAAGGTAGGTATTCCGCCAAAAGAACGAGCTTGCTCGGATTTTGTTCCTTCCTGCTTTCTTGTAGGCATGCTTATAATATCCCGACCTGTCCAATAACACCCAGGAAGGTAGTACAGTTATTTCTTGTAAACCGGTGTATTGATGACCCGTTGTTGCCAGCCATCCAATGCCTGCCTGCCCAAACCTATATGAGACATCGCATGATGATCCAACCCATCCAAAGTAGTAGTGTCCCTGAGACGCACTGTGGCGGTAGTGGTCGTAAGCCAGAAAGAGCGGAAAAAACCCAGTCAATGCGCCTGAGCACCTCTGCTTGCGCGTTTCCCAGAAGCCAAGCGCGAGTCATCCCGAGTATGCAAGTTGACCACTGAACCCATCTTTGCCTCCCCCCGGGCAAAAGTAGCCCGCTCTCTTCCCCGAGCAACGATAAAGATATGGCTTCGTGGCGCATTACAATGTTGGTACGTATATATGTGAATTGAATGATTCATAGTGAAGTGTTGGAGTGGAAGCATAGGCTGATGATGCTTGCAGCCTCTGCGAGTGTAGGTAGTAATGAAAGGATATAGTATATCTGGTAGTCAAGGACGTAGTATTTGGGATTCGGCAGTCGGAATGTAGTAATTATTCCTGTTCCGTATCGCTCCCCTCGTCTTCTTCGTCGCTCAGCGGGCCAAATTTGGCCTTGTATTGTGCGAGAAGTTTCAACTGTTTTGCAAGATCATTGAGAACCACCGGCATGGGAGTTCTCAGATCGTCCAGTTGAGCAATGTGGCCGCCCCCAGCCACCAGGTGTCGTAAAGATAAAGTGGTGATACATGTCTGTCACACAAATGTCAGTTCGGGTGCGACGCAGAGTAGTGGATAGGTCTTACCTCGATACGGCTCACTTGGTGCTCCATAAAGTTGAAAAGGAACCGTTCCGTGACTTCACCGCCGCGTTGTTTTATCCTTTCCAGAAGTTCCGTCTCTGGAGGCTGCAGGCCTCTGCCAGAAATCTCTTCCAAGGTGCTACAGAGCATTTCCAATCGCAGACTGACTTTCCATAGTGACCAGATCATCTCGGGTTCGAAGCCGAGTTCACTGCCGGCCTGGAGGGTGGCTGGCTTGTTCATAAGCTCAGTCCCCCGAGTGTCTTGGTTGTGGTGCTCAATACGACCGGCAAGTGAGTGAGGGTATAGCGAATAGATGAATTCGGGGTTTTCGAGGCCCTTGAGTTTTTTCTCGCCCATCTCCTTTACCTCGAATCCTTGGGAACTTAGTGATTTGAGTTCCTTACGTATCGCACTCGCAGCAGAGTCATCATCGAACCCCTCCTCCGATCCCGTCGAAATAGTGCGCTCGCTCTCCTGATATGTTTCGAGGCATCGCTGAATTTCGGAGATAAAGTCGGCAGAGACTGTGATCTGACCACCATCGGCCACGGCAGAGATACGGGACGCCTTGTTGACCATAGGGCCAAAGTAATCCATACGACGGGTTACGGGGTCTATCTCGGCGACGGGCTCACCGTAATGAATACCCATTCTCACGGACAGACCCTTGAAGATAAGGTTGTTGTCCTTATCGAAGACTTCCTGACATGACATCGAGTTGAGAACCTCCGGAGGCCAGTTGACCTCGAGAAGCTGTGTTTGAACAGAGAAACACCACAGCAGCGCTGAAGTTGCCGTAGGGAAGGACACCATGAAAGCGTCACCTTCTGTCTTGACTTCGTAACCGCCGATTCTGCGAAGCTGTCGACGCATCACTTCGTTGTGAAGCTTGATAGCTGACCGCATTGCAGAAGGATACATTTCCCAGAGGTTTGTGGAGTTCTTGATATCAGTAAACACAATCGATGGCTTGTCCGTAGGGGCAGGGACCTCGGCTTCGAGTCGATGTAGGGTTGAGTCTTGAACTTCGGCTTTGGCTCGTTTCCCTCTCTTGGCCGGGTACTGGAAGTCGTCTGGGATACCTGATGGATACAGCGACATGCTCTGACCCCTATGCAGTCGTGCAGACCGTTCTTGCCGACGTTTGAGGTCAGTGATGCTGATCATCATAATCATGATCTTGGCGGTCGAGCCGTAGGCCATGGCAAGATCTCGTAGCTTTTGCGATGCACGCATGAGATCGCCGCGCTCGGAACGCGCAACGTCTACTACGAGGCCAGGAGTCAAGTACTCCCATAGTTCCTTCGTTGCAATGAGGATCGTCTCGTCTTGAGGCGACACCGTCATCTGAGTAACGTGCGGCGCAGCTTGCACAGACGGCATCAAGTCCACATAGCCAAATGCCCGCGATACCTCTAGGAGATCGTTCAGTCGTCCTTGACGAGAGACCCAACCTCCAGCATCCCGGATTCGTTGACGTTCAGCCGGTTCGGCGGGGTCATGCTTGCGCGTTAGCATCTTGTGTGTGCCGTCTGACTGAATGAGCATCGCTTGAGCATCACCGACATTGGCTACGTAAAGCTCCTGTCCCTGGAGGTATACAACGGTGGCAACACCACCGGAGTTCAGATCCTCCTTGCTGAGGACTAAAGGAGCTGCCGACCCACGATGAGAGCCCGACGGTCTCTCTTCCGTGTGCTGGTAGGCGATCGTGACGAGGTCCTTGTTCAAACTCAAGAATGCTCTCCGGAGAGCATCCGTGGGTGTTTCGCATTGCCGCGTCTTGAGAGCTTTCAGCTCCATGGCAAAGATATGACCAAAGTTCTCATGAAGGTATTTGGCGATCTTAGAGCCACCACTACTGAGCGCTTGACCATCAAACAGTCCCAGGAGAGTCTCCGAATCCGACGAATTGAACCTTGGAACCACCAGATCAATAGTAGACAAGTGTTCGTTCTTGCCCATCGTATCAGCCATTCCGTAAGGAAGGTGCCCTGCCAAGGAGCCTGAAGTTCGGACACGCCGATCCTCGCTCTGATCTGGGATGCTTGGCTGTGTGAGCGTGACGTCCATCAAGCCCAGAACGCGTAGGTTTTGCAGGCGGCTGAAGTCTGTGTACTGCTCCCGATTTGAGGGACTTGGCCCAAAGGTAGTTTGCTTTATCTCCAAGCGCTTGTTTCCAGACAGGTTGAGATACCGAAGGTTGGGGTTCAGATTCCAGTTCCAATCGTACGGGACGTTGGAAATGTTGTATTTTAAAGAGTTGTTTCCACAGTCCAGAACAGCAAGCTTCTTGGCCCTCGAGATGTCCGCTGGGAGATTTGTGAATTTGTTGCCATTAATGTGGAGAACTTGTAACAAGCTGTACTCCTCGAGATCATCCGCAGGCAGACTGGTCAAATCATTGCCTGAGAGGTATAACTCAACAAGCTGAGGCCAGCTCTTGATAGATCGTTGAGGCATGTCACTTATATCGTTATACGACAAGTTGAGGATTCGCAACTCTCCCAGCAGTGTGATGTACTCAAATACATCATCGTCAAGCTGATTATCGGCAAGATATAGATTGCGGAGCGAACCAGCAAAGGTGTTTGTCAGTCTACCAGACAAACCGGAATCTTTCCTAGAAGAGATGGAAGGCGCAATGGTGCCGCTAGGGCTCTGGGCCGTGCTCCTGGACATAACAGAAGTCTTGCGGCCACCCTTCCCGTAGACGGAGACAACCGAGCTCTTCCGGTCTGGGCCGGCAGGGACTGGAGAAGGCCCCACACTCAACAGGGTACTGGATGCTTGACTTGGTCGTCTTGATCCATCGGGCATGAGGTCTTCGGTACTGGAGGGTTGTGATAGAAGACCAGAGTTCTGCTTGCCATTAGCTCCAGCAGAGTTCGAGGATTCTCCGGGTGCCTGAGGCGGACGTGAGGCGGGTTTGGGAAACACATCAAGAACGTTGGAGGAGGCGTTCAGCGTCTCCAACTTATTTGCCCACCACAATTCCATCGGTAGCTTCCTGATATTATTTCCCCTCACATCAAGTACTCTCAACTCAGTCAAGCAACCAATTTCAGGAGGTATCTCGCCCACCGAATTGCTGGCTATGCTGAAGTGCTCAAGCTTCCGCAGGTTACCGATTTGGTTGGGTAGCGACACGAAGTAGTTGCGGTCAAGGACAAGCCGCTCAAGGTTCATCATGTTGTTGAATGACCCGTCAATGCTCGCTAGTTGCGCATTCGACAGATTCAACACTTTCAAGGTTGGCACAGGGCTAATAATATCAAACTTGGTGATGGGGTTCGAGTTCAACTTCAAGCTTCGGACACGCTCAAAGCTGCCAATGAACTGTGAGATCATATTGTGGTCGGCAGATAGTATTTCTAGCTTTGGCAGTGCGGAGACCACGTCGATAGCGGTCAGGGCATTGAACTTCAGATCGAGTTCGCGAACATTCGAAAGGTTACCGAAAGTTGACGGTAGAGTACCTGCAAGTCTGTTGTTGGTCATGACAAACTTCTCCAAGTTTCTCATCATCCCAATATCGTCTGGGAGGGTGGCAATGGAATTGAAGCTGACATCAATGTCAACCAAGCTGTCAAGCATGCAGAGAAATGGTGGAAACTTGTCGAGGAAATTGGACGATAGGTTGAGCGACCGCAATGCTTTGAAGCCGCCAAAACACTCGGGAAGACCAATGAGACGATTGTTGGCTAGATTTAGCTTCAGTAGCCCGGTCAGGCCTGATAATTCAGCATGCTCTAGCTCTTCTAGGCGATTGTTGGACACGTCAAGATACGTTAGGCGGCTAGCTCTTCCAATGCTGATGGGCAGCTTCCGTGCCTCGTTGTTGGCGAACTTGATGTCTCTCAACTGGGGGCATGATGTAATGAAATCTCTAGGAAGGTCGAGAGATAGGTTGCGGGAGAGGTTGAGAGATATGATGTCGCTCGTTTTGGAATATAGGTTGATAGGTATCGTCACTAGGTTGCGGCCTGACAGGTCGACATGGTTGAACTTGGTGGTTCTGCCAATCCCGAGATTATCAGGCACGGCCGTGAAGTCGCTATCCCTCGCCGACAAGAACAAGAATCGGCACAGATAGCTATTGTCTTCTCGGCCGATATCTTCGAGACGGTCCTTGTCCTCGTAGCCCACTTGTTGTAATAGCCTCTTCTGAATCAGCAACGGGCGCTCGACGGCTGGTAGAACCCGCGCCAAGTCATGCTTCTTCAAGACGATGTGATAGTTTTCCAGGCCATCCTGCACATAGGTCTTCTTAACGACATGAGACATGACATCGGCTACGGTAGAATCAAGAGGCAACTGGATTGTGGCAAATGTTCCATCGGCCCGGAATACCCGAATACAGTGTGCTGCCTTTTTCTCTTCCGGCCGGGGCAGGGTGACAGAATCATCCATCTGGTTGGCGTGGGCGGCTTGCTCTTCGGCATTTTTACGAACAGCCCAGCTATCTGGTGCATTCCATGCGCCACCAATGCGAGATCTGTCTATTTCGGGAAGCCGTTCGAAGTCGTTCGCCTTAAATAGGCCAGGGTCCATAGGCGTCAAAGGTGGTGGATGCGAGAGGATACCTTCCATATCGCTGAGATCGGTGTCCAGGTGAAAGACCCTGCCGCTATCATTCCTGTCGGTGGGGCCGATGTAGTCTTCATCCTCGGGCCTCATTGATCGTCCCTTTTTGGAAAATGGGAATTTATTGTTGAATGTAGCCTGCCGCGGCTGATTGGGTCGTGGGCCTTGAAAGTCGGGGTGATCTATGGGAGGCAAGGGTTTGTTATAGTTGTAGTTTTCTCTTGTCAGTTCTTGGCGGGAAGGACCTGGAGCTTGTGTGAGGGATCGAGTCGACGTGGGCATGTCTCTGAGTCGAGAAGAAGGTGCTTCCTCCTTGTGTTTATGCCGGCGCAAGCGGTCAAGAATGCCTCGCTTCCCTTGACTGGCGCCATTTGGAGAGGTTTGGCCATCGCCCGAGCCTAGCCTGCCAGTGCTGTTCGAACTGGGAGTCGGGCTCTGGGTCCGGGTCCTCGACGCAGTAGCCATGGAGCCTCTGTGATCTTTATAATGTGCACTCGTCGCGGACTCTTCTCGACTGACAACAGGCCTCAGCGATTTTGAGTCTTCGTTGCTTTTGTTGTGTCGATGGTGGTGGCCCGGGAGGTGAACCATGGAATGAGCGGACCTCGAAGAAGAAGACGTCTTGGGGGGGATCTGCGACGACGCGTTCTCTTGGTACCGCTCGCGGTCTGGACCGCTGAGAATATCGCGAACCGGGGCTTCGCCGTATTTGGCGATGTCATTGGCTTCCTGGTATAAAAATGGCACTACATCGCTCGAAGGCACGGGAGTTCGGGGGCGGGACGAGGAGGGCGACGCGTCCCTTGTGTTGTCGGTGGCATTGGAGTAGTTTCTTGAGCGGTTGAAAGAGTAGGAGCGCTGCTCCTTAGCGGGGACACCAGTTGGAAGGCTCGACTCGGACCCATCGCGACCGGGGAACTCCTCACCGAAGAAACCCTGCAATTTCTTGAAGCCACCTCTGTTCCCGCTATTCTTAGACCCCTGACTACTAGCTGTCGTGATGCTTGCTAATGACGGCCGCCTCTCGTCATTGAAGTATGCAGCATCAAGCTGAGAATCGGTCGTGCTGCCGGGCGTCTGCACGACGCGCGATGCGCCAGATCGGAAGGCGGGCGACAGCTGGGAGACTATGGAGAGGTTGTCGCTCGAGTCATTATAGAAGCTGGTACCAAAGGACATGGAGCTTGATCGCGCATTTACACTGGCGCCGCCGTTGCCCGACGACGACATCCAGGGTGGGATCTGGTTCGGTGTTGGGCCACCAGTGGGGGGGTCCTTCTGGATCTGTGGGACACGACCGCCAGAGGGATCCAGGACGGCGAGGTCGCGACGGTAATTGGCAAGATCGCTCATGCGGCGATGGTCGAGAATGGATGCGGACGGGGCAGTAGACGGCGACGGCGACCGGAGCGCCAACGGTGTTGCTGTGCCTTTGCCGATGCCTTTACCAGTGCCCGTGCTGTTGGTCCCTGGTGCGGCGGCTTTCGATGCTGGAGAGAAGTGAAGCTCTTCTTTGAGCGACCTGTGACAAGAGTAAAGCAGGATCCAGTCAGTTCAAATAGCCACTGGTTGACAAACACGCGAGGACTCTGATGATAGTAGCGTGACCCAATGACAATTGTTTGGCATGCGGCTCAAAAAGATACTACATAGGATTGACGCTCCTCTGCTCCAAAACCGCCCACTTGCGGTGATGGTTTCGGATGGGGAGCGCTGCAACCAGGCAAGGCCGCGCGGACCATCTGGCGCAGTTGCGACTCTCAAGAGAGATGGGCCACGCAGAAGTAGCAGCAGCAAGCAAGAAAAGACACGAAACTACCCCTACGAACCTGATTTTGCTATTTTCAGTGGTCTTGAGCGGCTTTGGCGCTGTCTTCTTGGAGGCCGATGACGTGGATGCTGAGCGACTGGGACTGGGTACAGGCTTCACCGTCATGCTCGACCGCCCGCTGTTGGAGCTCGCAAAGGAGCTGATGCGACCGTGGCCATCGTCCCTCGTCATTGTCACTCATCAGACCCCGGAGACCTCTGTCCTACTGTCGACACCGCGGAGCCATGAAATTCGTGGACAAACGAGTCATTTCTCGGAGGGCCCTCGGTTTGCTTGGGGACTAGGAAATTGCGCGTTTTCGGCGGTTGTGCGGTTGGGGCGATGCTGATGGGTGTGTGTTCATGTTCGAACTTCTTAAAGTTGGTGGCGATACGTACCTGCTGTGTAAATCTAGTGGTATACTTGGTGCGGCCTTGATTAGTGGCTCTATCTGGGATGTGATCTGGGGATGGGATTCATTAGTGTCGGGTAGAAAGTTCCAACCCGTAAGTGGTACGTGCAGCACTGAACAATGTCCACCCACCTGGGACAAGCCCTCCAATTAAGTGTATCATCTCCGTCTAAAAAGTTGTAACTTGGGTTTTCTTGCTTGGCCCTGTTGAAGCTAGTAACCCAGTTTTAGCCCAGCCAGAAGGGAGTTTTAGCTGCCTCTAATGAATAATGGATTGTCACAATACCATTTCCGAAGTCTGGTGCTGAAAGCAATATAAAGGTTGTGACTGAATCTGTATAACAAGCTCGAGTACTGGATGCGCTTCGACATTCCTCATCTGCAAGCGTGATTGAAATACCGTTTAGACAGTTTCCCTTTGACACAGTTGCAAGCAGTATGAGACGTTGCATCAGGGCCCAGCTCACCAGTCTTCCTCATAATCTCTAATATTACACGATCGCCCGAGTCAATGGGTTGTTAGTGTTGGAGGGCAGTAGCTTGTGAGGACTATTACATCTAGTATGGACAATAATAACAAAGCTTGCTTGGTGGAGCGGGTGTTTTCGTTCCCGCAGGTGACCACATTAAAAATTATCCGCCGCTTTATTAAAATTTCACGGTAATATGAAAATTTACAATCTAGCTCGAAGTCGTCAAATTAAAGTACGTTAGAATATGATCATGATGATACTCCATCGCCACTCGAAGATCAAGGACAATAAGAGCGAGATGTCCACTCGCAATGAGACAGGGCTTGTCTTAAGGAATGGGCAGCTATTATGCAGGGAGCTTGCGCATAGACCATTATGTGGTCGGTTTCTAGGGAAGCTGCCGTGAGTCTCCACAAAGGAACCGCCCTGACCGCGCCGACATCCGAGTCATCAATTGATCCCAGTTGTCAAGAAGGGAATAGTTTCAGTTCCTGTTCAGAGATCTGCTTGAATGGTGATGAGAAACAAGAATAACGTATCAAGCGCTTATCTTGAGACTCCAGCTCCTCTTTTCCAGTGTTTCAAGCCTGCGATTTTCCACATCAATCACTTATTTTACTACCGTTCAGGACAAGTTTCTTTCCTTGCTTTTTTGAGGGCTGTGGAGAAATGAGGTTGGCCTTGGTAGTGCAGCTAAGATGCGCCTCCTCTTTCCGTATTCGAAAAGTGCCCAGGATCTTTCACACACCGTCCGAGGGTCATCTCCCATCAGAGCCAGGCCGAATCACCAGCCTGCTTCGTGCTTCGTGCTTCGTAGATTCCCGACCATTCTCGATCGCCGTCGAATAGCAGGGTCGACAAGCAGTGCGTGCCTAGCTTCCGCATGTCAGTTGGTCGATGCGGAGAGGAAACGCCATAGCTACAACGTATTAATCATCACATCATGATCTGTCCCATAAGCCTCCCTTGATATCCTATCCGGCATCAAAAAGACAATAATTCAAAAGAAAGAAGTGTGTGACTAGGATGGTCCATCTCTATTACGCAGGTAGTCTCACTGTTCTAGGTAGAACTGGGCCCGGACATCGCCGACGTTGTATATTCTTAGGTCTACATGTTACAATGTCCAGTTGACCGAATCCAACGGCGAAACATTCAGCCGCACACGATTCAACGCCTTGATGACAGAGCCTTGACACATTGCCATGAAGCATACGGGCTGCGAGTTTCTCGCATGCATCTGCCCTGTCAACCACGTGCGCTCTCAGATTATATCTTCATATTGGATATTAACACGGGGTTGTTCTCGGTTTAGAGTTCCTAAGGCTGAGTGTATATTACGCAGGATATTACACAGTAGCGATGAGCATGGCTGCCACGAGGTCGAGTCCTACCGACTATACGTTGGCCAACATAGAGATCGAACTTCGTCAAAGTTACAACTCATCCTTGAAGTGACGAGGAGTGCAAATAGCTTCTACTAGTAGACTTAAGTACGCATCCCAGATAGACAGCAGAATGGTCAAGACCATAGCTCACACACCGTTCCAGGTAAAACATGTCAAAATCTAGTATCCAGCAACTACCCAGGGAGATTGCACCATACAGTCCAAATAACCTGCGCCAGTTCTGCATGGTTTCGACTACTTTCCCGGTACCGGTATCTATCATTGCGAGACAAATAGTCGAAATCCCATCCATTTCGATCCTCTGAGCTATAGCCTAAATTCCTAGGTAGAGAATTATTGTACGCTACTGAGCTTTGATGCTAGATGATGTGAACACAAAAGTAACCCTCCGTGGTGTTGCATAGCTATGACTCCAACTAGATAGTAACTGCACATAAAAGTTAGGCTGTTTAAGCTATAGCTCTGGTTCTGAGGTCCGATGGTTTCGAGACTCAGTCCTCCTCATCGTCGCTTGCTTTCACAACAACGTCCCTAGCTTCTTCGTGCAAGAAATCGCCAAGTTCGACAGTGTCCCGGAGGATAACCCTTGCATCCTCCTCGCCGACCTTCATGTCCTCCATGATAAGCCGAATGGCTAGCTCGGGCACCAATACTGCTTGCACATATCCAGTGTATCCTCTTGCTGATACTAGTCTGTCCTCGACAGCGCGCTTTCGTACCGTATCTGAAAATGTTCGCATAATGAACTCTGTCATCACACGAAGCCCTCGCGGCCCGTAGTAACCAGGTGTGAGACTGTCGTCAGTCTTAAGCAGTGTTCGATTCTGTCCAGTATCCACCTTGTCGTTGAGAAGAGAGGCGTAATATGAAGAGCGAGCGCCTTGCAAAATATCTTTGATAAATGTCTCATGTTCGATCAGCCGCACCTCTAGATTTACCCAGTCGATGTCGGGATAGCCTTGAGCTGATCGATCGCGCTGAGCCGATTTCCGTTTATGGAGTCTGCAGAAAGAAGTTTGCTGCTTAATGTTCATCCTGCCATGATTGGAGTGTTTCTTTAACATATCCGGGTCGACAGGTGCATGGCACATTGGACATCGTGGCCCAAAGAGCTGGGTGTCTTCGATGCTAATATCACTCCCGGATTCATCACCAGACGCTAAAGCTTCACCGGTACCCTCCCTATCCGACGCGTTATCCAACAGCTTCAGAGCATGCGTACTCAGAGCTTCTTTCACATCATCATCCAGATCAGCACCTTTAATGAACCTCCGGAATACAGGCCTGGGAGGTGATTCTTCCTTTGAAACTAGACTCTTCTGTTTTCTTGCTCGAGTTTTTTTCTCGGCTATTCGGTTTGTTGTCACCCCCCGGATGGAGCTCTTAGAACTTTGATCTGATTCTGTACTATCATCCGAGTTGGGTTTGACCTTGGTACGAACACCCTTCTCAGGCGCAGGCCAGTCATCTGAAGGCAACATTGGTGGACGGTATCGCGATGGAGCAGGATTGCGCATGGGAGAGTATTCGGCAACAAATGGTCCTTGGGTCCGCTTGGGAGCAGTCGGTTTCTGAGGACTAGGACTTAATGAAATTTGAGGTCTCTTGAATGCTTTCTTGGGCGACAGCGATTCTTCTAGCGACACAGTGTTAGTCAAACAATAGACATCTGATGGTCACAAAAAACACACCTCGTGGGACTTTAGATTTGGCAAGTCTTTGTGGTGGCTTTTGTGAGGCTTTGCCATAACTTGCTCTGCCCTTCTTGCTGCTCTGTGATTTTACAAACCCGATATCGTTTGTCATATGGTCTGCTGAGTCCTTACACATCTCCTGAGCAGATCGTTTTGAGCTTGCAGAGCTGGCCTGTGCTGTTGATCTCCTTGTTGTAGGTGGTTTCGAGTAGTTGACACTGGTGTCTCCCTGTTTACTCTTGTCCCGAGATGAGAAGATGGTAGGCTTTATGTTCTGTTTCAAACTATAGATCTCATCGTCTGAATCTGAGTCCACAGACTCTTTCTGCGTCATGGGTTTTTGATATTTCGCGTGCGGAGAGTCATATCTCGTCGTCGGCGTGCCATGATTACCTGAGCCTGAAGGCTCGTTCTTCACCGTGGGTCCGAAAAAGCTTTCATCCTCGTCAGAGCTGCTCATGGGAGGAGCGTCGTCGGCCACATCCTTCTTTGGTCTTCGTGGTCCTGGGGCCCTTACTTTCCCCTGTACTGTTTTCAGGAGCGAAGGGGCATGTGCATGCCTGCTAAACCCAATATGCCTTTTCGAATAGCTCATCCCGGAGACGGGTTAAATGCTTGAGGGTTGTGACATATAACCACTCCACTGAAACTCAGAGGAATTTACAGACCCGTCATTGGTTGAGTATCTTATCTTGGCTTGAAAGAGCAGACCAGATCTGTAATCGGTGTGTCGAGTCGAATTGAATGTCTCAATGAGAATTGACAGTGAGCTAAGGCGTTGTGATCAAATTATGAAGCAGGATGCACTTGTACTCATGTGTCTCACAAAGCTGCCGCAGTATTGTGATATGGCTCCAGTTTGGGCTTCCGATCCTTGTAAGATTGGTCCGTTGCCTGAAAAATGTTTAGCGGGGTGAGTTCATTGAGGTGAGGTCAGAAACGTTCAATGGACGCGTCTCGAGATCTTAGGGAACGCGTTTAGCCGACCTAGTGGGGAGGCACCGACCTCCGACCTAAGGGTGGTACTTGCCAAGACAGCGCCTTTCCATTCGATATTGTGTTCGCAAGCCGTGCGACTAGTCAACGTTCAACATCCCTAAGCATTGCAGTAACTTCGCCTACTAGAAATATCTTTGTTTGGCCAATTGGCTGTTTGTTCTGGACGCAAACCCATCACAATCATGGCATTGAACCGGAAGTACTCAGCTCTACCAGATCTGGTACGTGGTAGCTCTAGCTGCGCCAGCACCTCTCGTGCCTCTACTGACGGTAATTAGGACACGGCGCCTGACATTTACGAGACGCCCGATTTGACAGATGATAATTCAACAATCCCGGTAAATATTTGCTACGGAAGGTTGAGATATTTCCGCTGACACTTGCCGAGACCACCGCTGGTCGCTCCCAATCCGAGAACGACTTCGACGACGAAGACGATGATACCCAAGGCATCTCCCGCGCTCGGCTGCGAATCGACCAGGCACGCTCTCGTTTCATGCCATCTCAAGTCGATGCCCGAGATGTGGACTTTTCCGATCGTCTCAATGACAAACGGAAGTCGTACAAGACGTCCAGTCGAAGACAGCGGGTCCTGCAAGACGGCACAGAACATATAGGGGATCTAAGCGACGAGGAGGGTGGTGAAGATCTTGAAAGGAAGATCGCTCGGTTGAAAAGAGAGATCGAAGAAGCAAAGGAGGAATTTGGCAAACAGAAGGCTCAGCTAGCAACAAATGCCCCGGCTTCAGAAGAGGAGCTTGCTTCGTTGAGTCGGGCTTTGGATGAGATGTCTAGCCTGCTAGAAGGAGGAGCTATGCATCGATCCAAGGCCGTCATGAATAAAAATGCAGACAGAAAGGACGGAACTCCACAACAGGCAATTGATTCCACGAACGGAGCAACATACACCATAACATACGCACCGGACTACGAGCAGAGCCATGCTCTGGCTAAAGCAGCCGACTTTGATAAACGACTTTTGCTGCTGGAGAAGGCTATCGGTATCACAGCCTCGGCTTTTCCCAGCATGGACAATGGTGGGTTTCCAAGAGCTATCTTGCCAACACTGGACACACTGCAAAAGCAGATTATGACTCTGTCAGAGGCATCTACCACGTCTCTTGACAGTGTCAGCCGTCGAGTGCGTGAATTGATACAACAATCCGAGAAGTTAGAGCAGGCGAGAAGGAGTGCGAGGGCAGCGCAAGACTCTATTGCTGCAGCTGGAGGGCCACCTCTCGAAGCTGTGGATTCAGAAGACTTGGAACAAATTGCAAAGGTGAATGCGCTTTACGGAACGTTGCCCACAATCGACCACCTCACGCCACTTCTACCACCTCTGTTAGACAGACTGAGATCTCTCAGGGCCATCCATGCGGATGCGGCAACCGCCAGCGAGACTATCGAACGCATTGAGAAGTCGCAGATTGAGATGGCGGGTGACATCAGGCAATGGCGGGAAGGACTTGACAAAATAGAGGGGGTTATGGCAGATGGCGATGCAGCCATGAATGCCAACATGAAGGTGGTTGAGGGATGGGTGAAGGACTTGGAGGCGAAGATGAATCAGTTGTTGTAACTTCGTTTCTGACTTTGTGGTGTTTGGCTCTCTTCTCTTATGCACTGATACCCTAGATTTGACATGTCTAAAGAGAGTGATAATTATAAGGCAGTGGTCTAGCAGCAAGGATTTCCCTGTTTAGAGGCTGAAGGGAACGATTTGAATTGTTGGTCTTGCCCATTAACAGTATTCACTGCCATTTAATTCATTTTCGAAAAGAGGCAGCCTTGCTAAGGTGAATTGATACACCCTGCAGGCTCGAGAGTGTCCATGCGCTGAACATTTGAAACCTTGCCGTCTTCGACGGGCTGTAACAAGCCTTGAGAAAGCTCGCTAGAGCTGCTCAAAATGTAGGCCTGACGCATCGGAGTCCAGAGAGCTTGGCCATATATCAAAATGGCAGCTGCCAGACAGCTGTTCGGTAGGTAGGGCGCAAAACAGTGGGTCGCACTTTCTTCGAAAATTTTGGTGGGGTGAGCAACCTGTCTTGCAACGCCGGCACAGAATCTCGCACGTTGATCCGCCCCTTGACCTCCTAGACCGTCACCAACAACACAAACACATTCAGCCTCTGTTCGCCCCCCCAGACTGCAAATATGGATTCCTCTAAGCAACCTGTCAAGCTCGTCAAGGTCACCCGCGTCTTGGGCCGCACTGGTACGAATTCGCCGCCGCATGCGACGCTGTGGAGCTCTGAATTTACAGGACAAAAAAGAAACTGACAAACAACAGGCTCGCGTGGTGGTGTCACCCAGGTCCGAGTCGAATTCATGGACGACCAGACCCGAAGCATTATCCGCAACGTCAAGGGACCAGGTATGAGGACGATTCAACGAATGATCAAGAGATTACGGTCTCTTCGCGAGGAAAGAACATATTCGCTGACAATTATGGCTCTACAGTTCGTGAGGACGACATTCTGTGCCTGCTCGAGTCAGAACGTGAAGCAAGAAGATTGCGTTAATCGCGGAGCTCTGGGATGGGAGGCGTTGATGGGCGTTGGAGAAGGCATTTTGTCAGGCTTCGGCAAAGGCAAAGACTGTCACATAATGGCAGCATGGCATCACAGCGATTGCCCCTTTGGAACACACTCCTGCTAGGTGTCACCGGACTCCTGGGGACTATCTGCATCGCAAAATACAGACACACGATTTACATCCCAGAAGACGTCCTAACATTTGTGATTTCTCGTGGCGTACAGTTTTGCTGGTACTGAAGGTACTGAAGTCACCAGTGACAGCGATAGTCAAGATCCATTCTGCGCTTATCATGCTGCTGAACATTTCCGTCTTAAGGGCCGGACTATCTGGATTGCATACATAACTGATACAGAACTGACTATTAGGAGCCCTAATCAATCTAGCAAGGCACGTGATCCGCTGGCTGATACTGAGCCCCAATTTTCCTCCAAATTTTCCAGTCACAACAATACTACCCACCTTCCCATCCACCTACAAAACAATTCTTTCGCTGAGAAATTCGCTTACTATCTTCCTATTTGTCTAAGCAACAAAACACATTGAACGCAGCTGCTATTGGTAAGTCCTGGGCTTCTTTCAACCCTCAATGCTCGTTGCTATGATGTAAAAATATAGCATGTATTACCTGATCACCATTGATGTACCATTTTATCACCAAGATCTCTGACGCAACTCCCAATGTTCATAATTTGTTTTCATGCGCTGTCAAAAATATTGAGCTAACATACCATGAATTCAGATCCCGTTCAGCGCCGAGCAATCAATTCACCATGGGTGCCATTCCCAACCCGCCGAAGGGGCACTTCAACGTCCTGTACTTTGCAAGTGCCGGCTCCTTTACTACCAAAGAATACGAGACTTTTCCTGCCCCCCTTCCTGTCCGCAAGCTTTTCGACACACTCGAGGAAAAGCATATGGGCATCAAAGCGAAGGTTCTTGACTCGAGCCTTGTAACTGTCAACCTGAACTATGTCGACATTCCTGAGAAAGATGATGGCTCAGAACAATACATTATTCAAGAGGGTGACGAGGTCGCCATTATACCACCAGTCAGCTCTGGTTGAAGGCGCCGCCGCAAGAAAATCTTGGAAGAAATTTCGTAGTATTGTGACTTGGGATAACCGCAAGTGCACCGTAATAACTTTATGATGGTAGTAGATGATTATGCTCATCTGGCTCGCCTGTCCGTGGGGCGTCAGCACTACTCTTCCACATGAACATGCCAAGTTTCCCACGCCATTTCGACATATTGCATCTCCATCTGTAATTCCAGACCTTCCACCAACCTGGATTCCTCAGGCTGTACTCTCGGATCTTGCGGCACCACTTCAGCGCCAGTACGGTCAACACGACAACGAATAACGTGGAAAAAATCGATACGAGTGCGGTCAATGTGGTTATTGTCGAAACCTGGCATCCGAGCGGCCGTGTGCGAATCTCCCACCGTTCGGCCCAATGGGGACACACGTTCTTGTCTTCGGCGGGTGCAAGGAGTGGAATACGGTTCGAATTCGGGACGCAAGTCCATGACTGGTTTGTATGTACCCATTAGCTAGGACTGCACAACACTAGGAAAGGCTGGATTACAGTGCTTACAAAGGGACACCAACTGCAAGCACTTTGATCTAGACAGCTGTAGCAGTTCTGCTGTTTCCAACAATGCCAGAAATGTTCGTCCGGGTCCCCTGGGGCTGCGGTAGATAAAGTGTAGTTCATAGTGGCGGCAGGCAGTAGCTAAACTGGGGCAGATTGGTAGCAGTCATTTAATGCGAGAACACAACAGTAATCTCAATCATCGATGAAGTTGCTCCCATGGCCGATGAATTAGCAAGTTCTGTCTGTCGCCACGGCATATGAAAAGAAGCAGCATTAATGTTTACCTCTGCCCTACAGTTCGACAGCAAGCGCAGCGAGCACAGTACAATGCGGGGCAATGATTGAGTGAGAAAAGAGGCACTTTCCATCGCCTACTTTAAGCTTCACTTTAAGATTCATTATTTATCATACTCCATTATTTGATCGGGTAGTTCAGAGAAACAGCAGAAGTATCACATTTTTAACAAGTACATGGTCATCATTTATGACACCTAACCAGAAACTAACACAATATAAACAATCCCAGGGAAGAGCAAGATTCAAGCTGGCTACACAGAGTTTGGAGAGTACGGCCTGGTAGCACCCTTAATTTCTCTATGCAAGTTCTGTGTGACTGCCTTGATGCTGTTATTATGAACTAACTCCACGGCAATTCATTTCAGTTTCCATGCTGCCAGTGCAAACGTCGTTTCATACGAACGTGAGATTCGCAGTCGGGAATCAGCTACCTGTGCCGTCCCAGTTGTCCTGCTTCATAACGTTTCCGACGAGTCCAAAAGCAACGACTACCATCCGTATTGCATCAGAGTCAAGGCTGCCAGCGCGGTGGCGGATGCGCTGAGGACGTAATACGTCCCTCTAGACTGTGAGGGCAATGCAAGTTGTCTATGCAAAAGTCCTAGTCAATGCCAGTTCCCTGGCTGTCTGTTGAAAATCCAAGGGACAGGGCAGAATAGGTACGATGGAGCGTTCTGCAAAGCCGGACCGATCAAGCCACATTGCCAAGCTGCATAAGTCGGTCACCAGCACGATGGTTGGCGTAGTCGTAAGCTTTGGAGCCAGGAGGGAACGTGCCGTTGGCAGCCCACAGGTCAATGAGAGGCTGCATTGGCTCCAACTCTTGCGGCTTGAGCATGTCCAACGCGCAAGCGGTCAGGACGAAATGAGAGAAACAACTATTGAGTTGCTTCTCTAAGTTCAAGTGGTAGAAGGGCTCAGTGAAGTGGGCCCAGTAAAGATGGGCGTAGACCCTGAACATTTGTCGGAAAATGGTCTGGCACACTTCGACAAAGTTCTCGGGAAAACCACTCCTTTTGCCAACCCAGTCACGATCGCCAGGGTTGGACAGCTGTGAAAGGGGCGTTGTGGTGATGGACGGATTGTGCGAGAATGAGACGCCATTGGCATCCGTTGGAAAGATGTTCTCGTCGTCAATCTTACCTGAGATCCATCGTTGCATGAGGGTGATGTACTCGAATGCGGGAAGCTCAACTGGTTCTCTCTTATTGTTGAGCCATGTGAATGAGTGGTTCCTAGGGTTACGAGTAAGTGGAAATCCGCAACTTGCAGCAAGGCAATAGGTAACTCACGCTCCGGCGGACATTCGTGGGCAAGAGTTTGCGTTACAGGTAGTGGTGCCATCCTCCTCTTTCTCATGGATGACACGAACAAAGTTCCACAGGTTGCGGTAGTGCTCAACGACTGTGACATATTAGCAATCTACAGTGAACTCTTGCGTGAGGCGTGTTCTCGAACCCTGATGAGCGATCCATTCGCCCTGATCAACAGTCTTAGGTCTTGCACTGAGCGTCATGAAGTTGCCCTTCACAATATGCTTTGCATAAGCTGGGTTAAGCCATAGCGGCAACGGTCGGGGGAGGTGATAGACGCCGAGAACATCGTCGCCGCTTCCGTTGTTGTCATCCATACCGATAGCTAGGGACGGTGAGCTTGGAAGAGGAGGAATCTTTGGTGCAAGGCTGGACGAGGATTGGTTGCCTTGTGGTAGGGTGGTTGGTGAATTAGGCTGACCGCTGCTGGAAGAAACGGGGCTCCTTTGACCTGGGGCCTTGGCCGCTGTTCCTCTGAATCGAGCGTTGCTATAACGGTAATCAGCTTCTGCTCCCTACACGGTCATGAATGATGTAGTGAATAGAAGGTTTGATCCGAGTGTCTTGACTGGTGGAATTCGGGTGGTCGGCAAAGAATTTATGAGCTCTTGATTACAGCCTAATATAATGTCTCCCGAGGAAGTCATTGTCACACAGGACTGTTGGTTGGACTCGTACATAAGAATGATTGATCTCATGCAAGAGCTCCAACTCAGTGGCTGTTCGCCACAGGGATTGGGCAGTGGACGAGGGAACTAGGTGCTAGGACCAATTGGAGATGTCGAAACCCCATTCCTGTTGGGTTGTCCTCGTTGGATGGGATACTGTCCCAGGTTGCAACCATGGTGACAAGTGATCCGGACTCTCACATCAAAATGGGGCAGGTATCCAATGCTTTTCCCAACTTCAACCTTTCAGGTGGATGGAAGATAGTGTAGACGTCCAGAGGTGATCCAGCTTAAAGCTTCCAAAACAACAGTCGCATAATAATCTAAGCGTAACCTGAAAAGTGATGATTGGGTAGGGTGATAAAGACTCCGACCAAGCTGGGCCTCATATCATGCCTCACTTAAGGAACATTGAGACAGATGACCCTCAACAAAACGGTGACAACATGAAGCTGATGTACCAGCTGGCGAGAGCAGGTTTTGGCCAGGCCTTACTGGGAAATTTATGAAACATGATCCGACTCACATCCCAGAAAAGAGGTTTGACATGGTCGCGTGTGAATGTGAAGCAGGCAAGATGCCAGCAGGCGTCGGGCGACGAAGGGAGGAACGAGACGAGCTGGGCCGCCAGCAATGGGCAGTCGTCGAAATCCGATGGAGGAATTTGGGTTCGGCCTCAAGCTCAGAATGGAAAGCACAATGTTTCTCTAGTTAACTTGAGAGAGAGAAATCCCAGCTTTTGCACAAAAGGGGCAAAACGATCGTAGTGGCAAGTCTAATGTGTCGTGAAGGCCCAATGAATCAGAGAATCTGCCCAGGCGTAGTAGTTGCATGTGGTTTGATGAAATGTCATTGTGAGGGAAAGGAGGCACATAAGAAATGCCGCTTAACCGTTTTGGATCCGCTAAGGTTATCGATAACACGATAACACGATTACACGTCCTGTGTGGCACGGGAACCTCCGACTCCAGCCAGTCTTCAGCCTTCCAAAAATCCATTCCGCCCCAGGGAGCATACCGCGCTTTGAGCCCAGCCTTGTTTTTGATTGACCACTCCACCCTCAGATGCCATAGGCGAATTTTAAATTTCGTGTTCCTTCTCCTAACTATCTATTTCGCCATTGAATTGCGCATTTTGCTACTCTTGCAACCCACAATGTCGGACTCGGAGGATCCTCTTGATCTCGAAGCTGGAGGTGATGATCTCTTTGGCGATGGCGATGATGACAACGAGCTTCAGTCGGACCATGGTCGCGTGCTGAGCGACGGAGATCTGGCTTCTGATGCAGAAGATGGCGGGCATAATAGAGATGATAACACAGCCATGGAAGGAGCGGAGATTAAGGACAAGCTCGTGCTGGAAACCCAGCTCTACAGACACCGAATGCCGAAATCTCGTGATGGAACAGTATGTCAATTGCTTTGGGAATATCTTAGTCAATCAGCACTGACCATCATCCTAGCTGAGGTCGATTAAAGACCCCAACTTTCTCAAGATCGCCGCCGAAGAGTATAAGCCAGCTACATTCCAGGCCACCGAATGGGACAGGGAGAACGTGAAGAGCGAGAACCCCAAGGGCGTAATTCGGCATCAGAGAGATACACAAACTGGCAAATTCAAGAGCAACGCGCTTGTGCACAGATGGAGCGATGGGTCGATCACAATCTCGGTCGGAGGCGAGCACTACGAAGTACAGAAGAAGCTGATGGCACCTGCAAGCGACAAGCCATACGTGGAGAAGCAGGATGCGCACTACTATGCGGCGGCGGCCCATCTCTCCAGCAATCTCCTCTTGACTGTTGGTCACATCTCAGAACAGTACACCGTGCTGCCCAACAGGAATATGCAGGACGACGCTTTAGCTTTATTCGCGAGCAGAATGCAGGCAGCAGCGCGTGGCAAGGCGAAAGATGGCGACAACATATTCATTGCAACACGGGATCCTGAACTACAGAGAAAAGAGGCCGAGTTGGCCGAGAAAGAGCGGATGAAGGCCCAGCGCAGACGAGAAACTGCAGCAGCGAGAGTGAGCTCAGGCGCTGGTGGGTACCGCAGTGGAGGGCTGTCGATTGGCGACCTCGAGGGTGGACGAAGAGGACCGGGTGGGGCTCGCAAAAGAGGGCAACCGGGCGGATCTCGACCCAAGAAGCGCAGGCCGGAGTATGACTCCGACGATGACCTCCCTGCGGGTCGTGGCCGTAACGACGAGTATGACCGCGAAGACGACTTCATCGCACCCAGTGACGACGACAACATCAGCGAGGTCGAAGATGACGATGAAGAAGATCTTCTTGACGATGACGAGGAGGAAGAGGAACCACCTCGCAAGAAGCGGCAAAAGACTATCGAAGCCGAAGAGGATGCCGATGCAGATGCCGATTTGGACGACGTTGATGCGCCTGCTCCGGCTACAGAGTCCTCTAGGCACCGCAGGCGTCACATTGTTGATGATGACGAGGACGATGAGTAAACATCTGCAAAAGACATCTGGGACAGCCAGTCGCAGCGGTCGGAGGGAGTATTTCTGTATACTATGTATTAATGAATGCTAATTAGGTTGCACGGGAGCATTGGAGTTCATATGGGCAAACCCACAGGTCGGAAAGCGTACTACATTACTTCATTCGCGCAACGTGCTTTGATATGTATCGTGCTACTCGTTTGGTCCTTGCAGTACTTTGTCGTTACACGTGCGCTGTCGGAAGCATAGGAACCGCCAAGTATTACCCGTGACTAGCAATGGCGCTTCTGCATGGATCATACCCGGCTCCTTCTGCAATGGCCCCGCGTGGGGTCGCCATTCAAGCAACTATCACATGCAACGGCCAACTGTAAACCCGTTTTACACGACTAGCAAGTGCAACGCTTCCCGCCTGTACGCCACTATTTATGTGCTTCAATTGGGCAGTTAGCTTCGCGACGATGGCCTTGTGATGCCTCTTCCCAGTCTACTGTGTGCTACCACCATTAATCGCTTTGCGCCTTCCTAGAACCCTCCTTTTTCCCTTCCCCTCTCTGGAATGACACGCGTGATACGGTTGAAGCGAACACGCCGAAGCTGCCATATAATGGCTGGCGCCATTCCTTCCCATTGTCTCTGACCAGACCAGAACATTCATTCATTTTCTGTTACCGCAGGCCTCCAATCTCACGTCATTCCACGTCGCATCAACAGGGTTTTGCCAAGGGCTTGATCGCGGCGACAAGACCATGGGCTCATCGATATTTGGAGTCGTGGTCGCCGTCTGTTCATTGGTGCACGAGGTGATACTGTTTTGGTTCAAGGTGGGGAGACGATTGAGTGATGCTATTGTTTCACGTGGAGAGAAGTGAGTATACTGACATGGGGCGCTTTGCAGAAACTCCGCGACTGGAGGAGGAGACGAAGTGTGGTGGACTCATGGCTCGATGAGTTGCGCGATGCCGAGGTCTTTGAAGACTGGGAACACGCCGCACTGCAGCTCGACAACATCAAGGAGCTGAATCTTTGGTCAGTATGCTCACAGCTCGTGCCAACTGAACGGCACAAACATACTGATGTAATTTCCTGTTCTATAGGCGCAACGATCCGTCCTCACGCTCCTACGATTGGGCACTCATCAACCAGCGCCTCGACCTGCTCGATTCAGCCAACCGGCATAACGACCCGCAAGCGCTTGTCGATCTGATCCGATCCGGCCTCGTTCGCAACTTGGGCAACATCACAGCGCCCAAGCTATACAATCGCTCCTTCGCAGGCACCAAATTTCTCATTGAGGAGTACGTTGCCCAGGTCGCCAGCGCGGTCGATGTTATCAGCACCCAGCAGATCGGGCTGACGGATCAGGAGAAGCTGAGCGTCCTGCACGACACGCGCCAGGCCCTGGGGCGGACTACACTAGTTCTGCAGGGCGGTGCCATCTTTGGGTTGTGTCATCTCGGAGTAGTGAAGGCCCTGTTTCTGCGAGGGTTGCTGCCGCGCATCATCACCGGCACAGCCACGGGAGCGCTGATTGCGGCTTTGGTCGCTATCCACACTGAGGATGAATTGCCGGGTGTGCTGAAGGGCGATGGGATCGACCTTTCGGCTTTTGAGGCACATGCACTCCACGGACCTCAGAAGAAGCAGTTGGTGGGATCCGGCTGGGAAACCCTACTGCGTCGGGTTAGGAGATTCGTACGGGAGGGCTACTTCCTTGACGTGAAGGTGTTGGAAGAATGTGTCAAGGCCAATGTGGGCGAGATGACTTTCATGGAGGCATACAACAGGAGCAAAAGAGTTCTCAACATAACCGTGGCGACCGCTGGGCAGGGCGGCGTTCCGACCCTGCTCAATTACATTACCACACCTAATGTGGTAAGTAAAGCTACCTACGGCTTTCTATGCTGCTAATCTTAACGCTCATGGCAGTTGATTTGGACAGCAGCAGTGGCCTCCAATGCTTCGACTCCCTCACTTTATGGAAGCCGGGAGACGACAGTACTCTGTAAAGATGTTGATGGCAACATCGTGCCCTGGGCACCGGCAGACGCTTTCCAACACTGGACGCACATGCACGCGTCGGACAAGGACAGCAAGTCCTCACCACTATCTCGGATATCTCAGCTATTCAACGTCAACCACTTCATCGTCTCCCAAGCTCGTCCCTATCTGATCCCATTCCTGGAATCCGATATGCATGGCCCATCTCTGTTTTCGGCAAGGCATAAACGCGCACAGATCACAGGTCATATAATCCGCATGGTAGGGCTGGAGCTGCGTCACCGGTTGAGGCAACTCGATACGTTGCGTCTGCTCCCCGCAAGCATACGTCGCTTCCTGGTCGACGAGGAAGTGCCCGGACCAAGCATGATCCTGGTACCCAAGGTAACGCCAGGAGACTTTGTGCGTCTGCTCGAGACGCCCACCAGAGAAACTCTCGACTACTGGATCCTCCGCGGCGAGCGCAGCGTCTGGCCTGCCGTGTGTGCCTTGAGGATGAGATGCACGGTCGAGTACAACATCGAGAAGTCGTACCAGCGCCACCGCGCCCTCAAAGCCGGCGTCGGACGACGGAAAGCCAGCACCACGCATGCCACAGGGCTCCCGGTTAATAACGCGCAGCAGGGGCCCAGGCAGAACAGTGCGGATACGGTTCCGATAACGTACAAGGATGAGCGTTCCCAGAGCACGAGTGGCGGCGCTTAGAGACCCCGTCAGCCCAGCGAGAATGCAGTCTTCGGGCAGGGTGCCAGGGACAGTGGGGATCTGTATACTGGCCCAATGAATGAGGATGATGGCCGGGTATGGATCATGTCTCCGCGAAGGAGGTCAGAACAGGATGCCTAGGAAGTAAAACGGGCTCTGAGTGGGTTCTATGGTAGGGGGGCTGGACCGCCAGTGGGAGGTAAGGGAACTTTCACGTGCAAGATGATCAAGCGTGGCTGGATTCATGATTTCACTGAACCTTGTTCGGTTTGAACGTGCGTTGGAATAAACGAGGCGGTCCAGAGGCGTGATGGGCTGGGTAAGGGTGGATAACCCAGAAACTAGGGGAGGTGAGGCATGTCCTGCTCCAGCGGTGACCGTCACAACATGCATAGCAGCTGAGCCTCGTTCAGTTTGATAAATCAGACCATTCAGTTCAGGGGTTGTAGAACCCAAGAAAACGATAAATGCGGGATGACGGACATGGTAAACGAGAATGGAGATATATCCATGTTAGTATTAGGGGGTAGGCAACGAAGGCAGGCTACGAGGAAGCACACGGAGATACCTATGTACGTATTTGACATTCACGCGAGCATTACACATTTAATTACCATGGCGAACAACATAACAGTCGGCAAGCCAAGTACATCATATGATTGGATGGGCGATCATCAGGAAGGAAGAGAGTTGCAGTTTAACATGCATGGAAGGGCATCCACACCGCCCTTCTAGAAGCCTTCCTTTTTCAAATGACGTGGCCAGGCCATGGGTATAGATAGCAGTTGGGGGCCAAACTGCGACCTTGTGCGTATGTGGATCAACTGGGCTGAGTGACGGTTGCTAAGAAGATGATGTCTGGGGGATGAACATGGTTTCGCTACTTAGGCACGAGTGACGTGTGTAAGTAACAGGTGTACAAGACCTCTTATTGTTGGATTTGCTCTGGTTGCAATTGGGACAGTTATCGGGGCAAGCGCCTGTAAAGATAGATGGGGTTGTCTGGCCGTGCAGCAAGCTAAACCGCGCATTCAGCTCATTGGCTGTCAAAATCAAGACTCGCATGTTTTGGAAGACAGGAGTTCATGTTGCCGAGTTCACCCTACCCGTACAGATGCTGTTATGCTATCATCCATGTAGTTGCATGTTGCGTAGCTTATGGTCACAGATGGATTGATTTGGCCTCGTCGTGGACGCTACACACGGCCAAGCTTGGAGGCGTTCAACGGATGAAGTGATGCCAGGGTGGTTGCTTGACCTACCCGACGAACTATGACTGGGCGTCTATACCAGGGTCACCTTGCGTGGTGGGATCAGGGTTCGTACCTTAGCGTGACAACAACTCAGGCTCTCCATTTTCACACTCTCGGAAATGCAAGGCTTTCTTCCAATCTCCATTGTTTCCCTCCCGGCTCTGCTATCGCCGTGCTGAGGTGGAGGGTATTGAAGCAACAATTTTCTTTTGGGACAACATATAATGGATAGCGTGTTCCTGTTTAGTTCGCATTCAGCCGCAGGCAGCGCACCGGATTGCATCCTATTGGAGAGACAGCGCGATGTTCCGAGCCTGCGGGCAAGCTGTGAAACCTTTCCGCGGACGACGGACCGCAACCTTGGGGACGGGTACAGAATCCGGATGCGCAACTCAAGTATCCGTAAAGCGGTTTGCCCGTTCTCGAACTATCTAAATTGGAAAAAGGAGGAGGATGCCAGCCGACTGTGAGCTGTTGGTCGAGTGTTATGTTCTGGAAAGTGCAGTGAGTTTGTAGGGTAGGCACCCCTCGAGCACACTAAGGAGAGGGAAATGCCGTGCTGCCCAACTGAAGTCGCCGTTTTATCGGCAGAAACGCGCCATCCGGAAAAAAAGCCATCTCACAGCCTGTGTCTTCCAGAAGCTGTTCCAAGCTTCTAGCGCCAGGCAGGAGCCAAACCCCAGCCCTGTCACGTATCATTGTCTGCCCCAGATCGTCACACTCGACCCCTGCCGATGGAAGGTCATATGCCTCGTGTCTGTCATGTCGCGGCTGTTCAACGGTGCGGCTGCGCAGTTTTGTGCTTGCCGGTGGGCTCGAATCCCTACGACTGCTTCGCTGTGCGCGACATGTAGATGTCGCAAATGGTAGTGATTGCAACTGTAGCAAGCCCGCAGACAATCGGAGCCAGTCTTCTCGGAATCGACTCTCCAAAGAGCCTCGACGATACGATCATCGGAGATTCAGCCCGCTCATGTTTCTGTGGTATACTAGACGAAAGATGAAACGTAGCAAGGACTTCAGCTCCTAAGATCGCAGATGCCCGATGTGCACTGTGTGGTTTATACAAGATGGGGACTGCATCAGAGCCTCGCCGCCTCCAACACATGCGGGGATGCGTCAAAAGACTGAGGCGGACAAATGCCTTGGCTTCGGTTTCCGCTCTCGTTGATCATGTAGGTAGCGTTGCAAAAGGCAAAAGGCAATCTTGCATATTGGTGACCCGGTGACGTTATCGAATCTGACCTTTACGCAGCTGCGTAGCAACTGCAGTTTGCCATTTGGACAGATCCGCAAAATAATGCTCGCTCGGTTCGCTTCCCCGACACTGGCTGTGCATCATCCCCACCGACCTACTCACACCTCCCAGGGTATTCTACCAGGATCCAGGATCCCCAGAGGGATCAATGTCATTACTATCGCCCGGTGACCGGATTGAGGGTGCATACGTGTCAATGGGCGTTATAGTTCATTCATCCATGGAAGCCACCGACCCCTCTCCCGAACCCCAATTGGAACAGCTTCATATCCATGTCGTGCAACAATACCAGCGTAGATGAGGTAACTGGAGTCCAGTATTCAGCCCTACAGGGATTAGGACCAGTTCGAGCTCGACGGTCGCTGCTCGTTTATGGGACGAATGCTCATGAAGAAACGATGGGTTACAGGTGCAATTCAAAGATGGTTTGAATGGGCAATGGGCAATGTCGTGTTCTACTCCTGCACCCCACGACATCAGAAAAACAACACTGTACCGCTCATCAGAACGGGTCCTCATTCCTGTCTGTCATCGAGTGTGTGACACGGACAGTCTCCGCGCCACTACACCGACGTCCATAATGGTGTGCTTATCGTCATCGCCAATGCATCCAGGTCCAGCTGCTTATACACCAACTCAGAGGTACCTGCATACGTGATGGTGTCCTTGGAAATATTGCAATACGTCTACCAACACACAAGGGCATTCGATCTGTCGCTCTGCTCCAGTGAGCCGCTACATAGGAGGTACAAACTGGACACCACCATCCACATTTGCTTGATTCAACATGCAAGATTCGTAGCCGCCGCCGCCGAGCTCCATACCGTCAACCTTGGGCCATCACGAGGCCAACGAGAGCTGCATGATTCAGTTCCTCAGGATCTGGGGACCTGGGGACGAGAAATAACGCAATCCACGGGTCATATCATTCCATCAAGAAACGGGGCGAGCGGGCATGGTTGACAGGAACGGCATTTCTGGCACTGACCTGGCCTGGCATCTGGATACCACTGCAGGACCCTCACAGCTTTCTTACCCGATTGGGAACGAGAGCTGGAGCGATGGCTGCAGCTCCCTCTGCACTGCTGTGTGCATGCATCCATCACTTGACCCGAGACGCAAGCACCCCCAGGCATGTCAACCTTGCTTTTCGCTCGTCTTCTTCGTCTGCTTACTGCTGTCTGCGCTATACAATCGAGACGCACAGTCAGTACCGCGAGTACATGTTTATTAAGTACAGCGACTACATCCAGCTTTGATGGTCGCCGCACACATATAAATATTTTGTTTCCCGTCCTTCCATGTCTTTCGGTTCGTCTTGAGTATCGCTTATTCAGGTAGATGAGCCAATAACCCAATTGTTTTGTACACAATCACCAAAGAGCTCACCTTTACTCGTCTGTCCTCGTCTTTCCTTGTTGTGCCACACCACCTATCAACAAGTTTTCTCACTCAAATATACTCGGCGGCTATCTGTTACCTGTTGCGTCACTCGACACCACCTTACTTGCTTGGACCGATGTAGGCTTTTCACTGTACCCGCATCTTTTCTTGGCTAGTTGCTTAGACATCATGCGACAGTGCGTTATACAGCCCGATCGCCCCCAGCTACCCTCGACGATGCCCAACTACCAGGAAAACTTCACCAGAGATCGTCCACCGCACCTCAACCACACCAACTTCCCCTCAGCCCAGTCTTCCGGACCGCTCACTGAGCCCGAGTCTATCGGTGCCGAAGACCACATGGAAAGAATGCACCTTGCCCAGGCGGAGACTGACGGCGACCACGACCGCTACCCCCCATCTCTGGGATCGGGTAACACAGACAGCACTATGAAGGACAAAGGCGTCGAAACCCCGGTTGAGAATGGTGTCGATCAATACATTCAGCGCCGCAACCATGTGCTGTACTTCATCTCGAACGACCCGCTCAACTTGAACCCGCCCCTGACTGTCGCAGCCCTCCAGGCTCTGAACCACGGCAACGGCCAATACCATCATCAACATGTCTACCAGTGGTGCCAGAACGGATACTTCCCAGTTGCTGTCGCCAATACCACCGCCGGTATCAGCGAGAGTCTGATGGTTTCAAGACGATCCCAACAGGCCCAAAGCCATGCCACAGAAGCGAGTTCAGTAGCGGTCTCTACTCGGACGTATCCAGCGGGAGAGCGTATCACCGGCGCTGGTTTCCAATTCGATGAGATGCCAGCTCCGGCTCGAAGCCTCAAGGATGACGACTTGTATGATTACGAGATGTAAAAGTCGCGACGGATTGATGCACTATAATAAGGCCCTGCTGGCATGCAGAGTTTTGTTCTTTTTATTTGGCGTGACAAGCGTTGCGCAACTCGGATCCGGTCATTTGAAACCCCTCAACTACTTACCACGTCTCTTGTTATGATGAGGATGGACGACGAAAAGAAATGCGATTAGGAGGTGTCCTCGCCAGACTGAAAAGTTGTTGCACTTGCAGCGCCGTTTTGTGGGGCGGTTTGACTTTGGATACAGTACTAAGGTACTAATAGTACTTGCGAACATCTTGTAACATGTCTTACATACTACCACCTCGTAGTGCATATGATATGACTTTTTTGTTCCCCAGACGCCTGGTCATGACATCTCCACCAGCAGTGTGGACACTGTTCCGCTTCTCATCGCGAAACATGCGGTGCGCAAATCTTAACCACCGACACTTGTTGGCTTAGGCCTGTAGTGCACGACTCTCATTGGCACACCCGCTATACCCATACCCAGCCATCCCCATGATCTCCGCATTCCACATCATCTGCAGCGGCCCGACGAGACATAACGAGATGGAAATATTTCCCTTACTTCGTGCGGGGTTTGCCATATGCATTCTTGCCCTCCGTCCCCGCCGTCCCCCCCTTTAGACAGACCGCAACTCTTACCACGTCCAAAGTAGCACTCGCTAACCTAGATTGGTCTCCAGGAATAAATATCTTCCGACAAAAGTTACCGATTTCCAGGAACCAGAGTCCAACGTTTCGGTTCCATGATATCATCTGCCAAGCATGTTGGGATATTCCACTTAGCCTAATGAAAATTATGGAGACAAGATACCCCAGGTTGGGGTACGGTGGTATAAGTGCTGGCTATATTGAACCCAGATTAGATGCCAATGCAACATGAAAGAAGGGAATGACTCGAAATAAAGGTTTGGACTTCGAATATAAAGTTCCAGCCTACCAAATCTTCGGGTACCAAGTCATCCAGTGTTGGATCACCCTTAGTCGTAATGTATAATCCACTCTGTAGAATGGGGTCGCCTCGACCACTCACTGTCCTATTCCTTGTGGTCTTCTTCTTCTCATCGCAAGCACTAGCCGCCGATATAAGACGCCGTGAAAAGCGGCACTGGGTGGACATCTGGGCAACGATGCCGCAGCTCACTGAGCCGGCCAACCTGCCACCAGCTCCATATGTAAGTCCCCTTACCTAATCGAACGATCTCATGTAAAACATAAGACTGACAGAATCAAACAGAATCAAACAGGCGTTGTGTTCGCAGACGCCACCCTCCGGCAGACAATCCAAGTGTCTCTCTCTGCCTCAATCCTCCGCCTCCAAATCTCCAACGTCTTCGGCATCTCCGACCTACCCATCACGGCGGCCACGCTGGCCCTTCCCCTCAATGGCTCAGCGGGAACTTCAGCCATCGAATACCACACGCTCAAGCCGCTGACATTTTCGAGAAGCCCAAATTACACCATCCCCTCCGGCGCCCTCGTAGTCTCAGACCCAATTGACTTCCCCGTAAAGTCACAATCCATCCTAACCATCTCACTGTATTTAGCCGAAGGCCAGACAACAAACTCCATAACCTCGCACCCCGGAAGCCGGACGACGTCGTATTTCGCGCCGGGAAACCAAGTCAATGCCCCCGAACTAGGAGATACCGAGGGAGTCCTATCAGCAGATCATTGGTACTTCATCTCCACGCTCCAATCCTACCTCCCATCCACCAATCCATCAACCTCTTCCCTCGCCATAATAGGCGACAGCATCACCGACGGCCGCGGCAGCACCACCAACGGCAACAACCGCTGGTCCGACGTCCTGCTTTCCCGTCTCCAGAAAAACCCCGGCACCCAGGGCATCACCGTCCTTAACCTCGCCGCCGGCGGGAACAGGGTCCTTTATGACGGCCTCGGCCCCAACGCCCTGTCCCGCCTCGACCGAGACGTGCTCTCCCACCCTAACATAGGCTACGTCCTCATTTACGAAGGCGTGAACGACATCGGCACCGCCTCCGTCGACGTTGCCGCACAACACAACGTAGGTACCCGGTTAATTGCTGCGTACGACCAAATGATCACGCGGCTGCACAGCAGCGGGATCCCCGTGTTTGGGGCGACAATCACGCCGTTCAGTGGCCCTGGGCAGACTTATACGGATCCCGAGAGGGAGAGGACGCGGCAACGTGTGAATGGATGGATACGCAGGAACGGACGGTTTGATGGGGTGGTTGATTTCGATGCGGTGGTGAGGAATAAGACGCAGGTCGATCAGTTGATGGAGGTGTATAACAGTGGTGACTACTTGCATTTGAATCCCGAGGGGTATCGAGCAATGGGTGATGCGGTGGACCTGGCGCTGTTTGAGAGGTTTGCGGATGGGGTTGATGAGATATTGTGAAGGGAATGGGATGGGATTGGAAAGAAGGCGATGGTTGTGAAAGAGAGGGTGGAAGTTGGACAGGAATGACACTTTACAAGATGGGTGCCTTGCTGCATGTCATATTAGTGATTCAATTGTATCCAGCTGGAGATTGGTTCGCTACAGCAAATAGGGGAATACGACTAGGATTATACGGTAGTGATTGGGTAAGATGTGCAGACAGTATTGTAACGGGTGGAGACAAAAGGCATCCTACAGGCACGCATAACGAACCAAAATTGGACATCGGGAGCTAAGCCTCGAAAAACACGGAGGCTCGAAGGCCTCTTCTCTTGAACGCCTTTCGCTATGCGAATTCCTACCTACGCAATCCGTTTTCCCTACCAGGCATCCTGGGCAGTAAACTTTCCCAGTTATGCTTATCCTACATCATGTCCACAGCCGACAAGTGCCGTCAGCTCCAGCGCTGACCACCCACGGGCTTGTCGGGTGCCAGTCAATATCCATTACACCCAGTTTATTGACAACCTTGTGTCCTTTGAGGGTCTTAAGCGGCACGATAGTCGGATCAGCCATCAGGTCATTCGTAACCTTGCCATGGAAGCTGCAACGAGGATTAGCTACTGAAATTACGCCACAGTTGCCAGACAAGAGGAATATTCAGTCGTATCTCAAAAGAATTCCAGCAGACCAGAATTTTCTTGGGGCAGATACGGACTAAAAAGAGAAGCCCAGGAAGTTACTCACATCTGAAGAGACCCATCGTCACTACTGTCAGCAAACAAGGGGAAGCTTCGGTGGAATTTGACAGCTCGGATAGCTTCGGGGTGGAACCGCATAGTCTTGTAGGGCCTGTTCGATAGTTCAAGATCATGCCAACACTAGAGACAAAAGTCAGTAAATTTGGAGTTTGCAAGGGACAGCTCAGGAGCAGAAAGCCTATCACGAGGATTGGGCGGTAAAGTTGCAGGTTAGAATCACGTGAAGAACTGGGGATCACCTACCAAGCGTCTATCGTATGAGCCCACGACCAAGTTATCTCCACCGGGGTGAATATCGAACGTGGATATCCATCGGGCTCCGGGCTGGAGAGCCTTGACCAGCTCTTGCTTTTGCAGATCATAGCAACGTATTGTCCGCTGCGTTGCAACGAAGAAGAGCGGCCGTGAGGGATGGAATTGCGCCGTCTGGGCCAAACCTGGCAGCTTACGGAACGGAATCTGGGTCAGGTGCTTGGACAGCGTGTGAATGGCAACCGAACTCTTCTGACCAGAAGGCGAAACAGTACAGAAGAAGTCGCCACGTCTATGCCAGTGTATGACCTTAATGGGCGACCGAACTGTGGCTTTGAGCAAAACACCTTGATCCTCGAGTCGCGTCCCTGGCCGAGTCCATTTGGCCGGAGGGTCTTTCCTGGCTCCAGAAGCTGTCATCAACTGTTGACTGTGTGTGGCATAGCCGAAACCGGCATCAAGAACATCTCGACTAGCTTGGTGCAGTTCTGGATCGATATATGATGGAACCAGAAAGTAGATGTCCTCACTGACGGCTGCCGAGAGAATCGAAGCGTCTTTCCCTGGCCGCCAACGGACAGCATCTACAGGCTCATCACTGCTAAGCTTTATGCTGTCCATCTGCTTACCACTCTTGAGCTCCCACTAACACAACGAGTTAGTAACTGCGACACGCCATGAAAGGTAATGAGGGACACCGGGTTTCACGTACTAGTTTCACCGTTCCGTCGTCACCTCCAGTTGCGAGGAACATGCCCGTGGGGTCAATTGCCAATGAGCGGACACGGCCCTCGTGGCCACGGAATTCGATAGAAGTCACAGTTGGGAAAGGTTTCAATTCCTCAGGGCGTGGCAACTTTGGCAGTAGTGACGATGGATCGATGTTTAGGCGGTTCTTGCGGACTCGCGGCGCCACTACAACTGGGGTTAGCGATTTCCACCTTAAAAAAAGAGTTCAACGACAAGTCTGATTTTGCGAGCCAACACAAAACCTCAATGAATTCAAGAGGAATTCCTGCTTTTAAAAATGCCAGAAAGAGGGTAGGAAACTGCTGGCTACTTACAATACAGATCCAAACAACGCTCAAAGCGTTCCTTGACAAATTGATCTACAGTCTTGTAAGTCTCAATCCAAAGGTGGAGCGGAGGCGGAATCATCAATGCTTACCATAACCAGGTACTCTCCTCAGAGCATCGTATTTTTCTGGCAAATACTCCTTGGCTCGTTCCTCGGGCTCGGTCTCGTTCCATGCCTTCTTCTCGTCTTCTGTCGGCAGGTACTCCGGTGGTGGGTTGTAACTCTGATCATATCCCGGGGCCGCCATCTTGGGTGCAGATATACGATCAATATTCGGAGGGTTTTGCTGCTCATCTGCCCAAAGGTCGAACAACTGCTCCTCCTCCTCTTCATCCTTTTCCCTCTCCTCAGGGGGCTTGTAAGGTAAGATCCTGCCCTCGCGTATTGCTTTCACAAGCTTCATAACTTTCTTCGCCTCGTGCTTTGATGGGAGGAAGCGTCTCTTGGGCTCTGGAGCCGCACTGAGCGGCATTGGTTCCTCAAAGGACGTGAACCATTCGATTGTGTCCTACACCAAAGTCAGAAATGCCGACGTCGTTCCGATGAAAAACATTCGACTTACAGCATATGGATCGTAGCCCTCTTCGGGTACTTCATTCATCTGCACGCGACGCAAAAGCTCCAGCTCATCCTGGCTCAAGTTGAGAGGCTTGCCCGTGGCCGGGTCAGTCAGACCGGTCCAGCCCTTTGGCACCTCGATGGAGTCTAGCAGAGCATCGAGAGCTTCTCCTCTTGCGGGGCGCATGACTTTCTTGCCATCAATCGAGTAGCCGATATGCGCTGTATCAACATTGTGTTAGCAGCACGGGCGACGCTTGAGAGCTTAAGAGAAAACCGGGAGCCAACGTACGGTAGGAGTCATAGAAAGACAGGGGAATATTTCCAATCGTATTTACTGGTTCCTGCGCATCTGTGTCGTCTGAATCGTAGTCTGGAACAATGTCTTCGTAGACGTATCGAGTACCCCCATTCGCATCCGTCTCAATACGATACTTCGGACCATCGTCTGCTTCTGCTGCATTTTTCCCGTCGGCATCTTCCTCATCAGTAGGTATGTCGTCACTCTCCAGTGCATCTTCCTCTTCATTTTCCAGATCCGCATTCACTTCGTCAATGTCAGCGTCGTCGCCATCGTCGTCACTACTGTCGTCTGAGTCGCCTTCTAAGACACCCTCGAGAAGGCCGTCGCCAAACTCCTCATCATCAGAGTGGAAAGCTGTTTCCACGACAGCTTCCGCTGGCGGAGCCTTCCTCTTCAGACTGGATCGTGTTCCTGCCATTTTATTGCTGCTGATAGCTGGCAATTGGGAGGAATTAGCGTTCTACCTTCACTGCTGGAAGCTGATAGACAGGGCCCATCCAGTTATTTTTTTGCTGGTAGTGGGGCTGCTTTTCATTCTGCCGCGATTGGAAATATTCACCGCTTACCTTACTCGCTGGCAGCTGTGGCCGGCTGTCACTATGAGAGTCCCAAGTACATGTTTGGTTTAGTTCCGATCTTAAGAACTTCACTTGGAAACATTAGCAAGTGGACTCTAGAAGGTCGTCAAAGAAGTAACAAAATAAGCTGCGCAACTAAGGCCGTGGGGTAGTAAAGGACAACCCGATACTCGAGGTGGCAGAATATTTCATCTCAATTCACTACACTGGACTACCAAATTGCCTTTGCACTGACATTTGAATCACATCACCGGCGTACCAAAAGAAGTGGCTAGCAAGAATGATCCTGTCAGGTTCCGTCCAAGCTTGTGTAGTTTACTGCATCAGGCCATGGCCGACTAGAAACATCTAGACTTGCTAAATCCTAGCTTGTTCGCATTCCAAAAGATGTTGTTGGAGGAATCTAGGTTAGCCATTTCAACAAGTTCTAACCTCCAAAAGCCTTTCATTCCGGATTGCCATATACCCACTGAAAGGTTCTCACATGAGCTTCCGTAATACCATCATGTCTCTGTACTCTGGTCTCGAAATTGAGGCTGCCGAGGATAGCTTGTACGTTATGGATGTCCCGTTCGGCTGAGGATATGGATGAAACCCCGGTAGTCGAAATATCCAGCTCGCACACTGAGAAAGACGAGGCTTCTCAGAATCCCCAGGCCTGTTCAAAAGTGATTTGAGCTCGCCTGTACTACCAAATATGTCATACAGTTTATGAGTATGGCTGAAATCCCGGCGTTGTTTCTGGTCTTGAAGTGATTTTATTATGTTGCTCAAACTCGACAAATGTTTGCTGTAGATAGTCACACATCTACTCCGCTAGGATTTCAATGCTCACATCCCTTTTTATGGCATACCTGTACAAGCTTACAGCCGATTTCTCGTGGTTTAATCGAGGCACCAACTTCGCGATCTCTTTTTCGCGTTTCCAGGTACATTGGAGTGAGGACCGAAAACTCCTCCATCGACGACTGAAGCTATCTTCAACTCATAGCTCTCGGGTTCGGTCTCGCCTTCATGCGTGTGGAGCGAATCTACCAACATAAAGGGCAGGTTAAAAATCATGAAGGCGATTAAAACTCACAATTCACGTCTGCAAGTTATTGTATTTCATTTCACAGCGACGTGCTACTTGAGGTCATACAATAAAAGGCATATGAAGGGTGTAACATTGGGTAGCTCTATTTTCCTGTGGAATAAACTTGGTGTAACTTAACAATCCTGACTGAGTATGCCGTTTGTTTCGTCGTCTAGTTACCACTGTTAATTCGTATGGTCGAATTACCCAGAGCCTTGAAGAGTCTGTTTAGCTGCAGCCGCTATTCTGCTTAAACACCTTTCGTTACCGAGGTAACTAGTATCAAGCTAGCAGTTTTTTATCGGTTCTTTCCATGACTATCTTATGGAGAAACAGTATCATCTATACATTTTGGATAGTCACCGATTGAGCATACCCTGAGGAAATAGATGGGTCAATCGCGTATACTAATTTCAATTGGGATTTTGTGGAATCGAAGTATTCGTCCGTCGGCGTAGTAGATAACATGAGCTGCGATTCTTAGAATTTTGTCGTCGTGAATGGTAAAGAGCTCTGTGCTTTTGTCCTCGTTCTCTCCTACGAAGTTCCTATCGTCCGGGACAGGAGGATCGACAAGTCGCCGTGTTGCTGCCTCCACCAACCATAAAAAACGACATATCTTGCCGATCTTTTTGAGCAGCTTTTTCTTTTGGGGATCTTAAACCCGCAGAACTATAAAAACCACAGTGTTCAGGCTCAGAGGCTTCATTTAAATCCAGAGTCTCAAGTGATCGAAACTCATTTGTTGACGTTTCACCGCCCAACCTCCAAGCTGCTTGTCGACCAAGCACAGAAAGGGCGAACAGTTTGTGACTCAAAGATTGGGAAGAAGCACCGTATTTCGTACGTTATATTAATCCTTGGAATTCAGATGCCGATTTTGTTGACTGCCCAAGTGTGAAAACAAGTTGTGTTCTTCTATAAGTGGTAAGTTCTCCCTCCACAACTGACCATTTAACCACTACCTTGACCGTCATTGGCCACGATGTGGACGCCATAAGCATATTGCATTATGGAAGAAACCAGGTAGTGATCTGTTCGAGCACCTTTATAGTCCTCTCATAAGACTCTTGTGACGCATAATTACGGGTTAGAACCAACTCGGCTACCATTAAACATACGGAACCGCATATTGGGAAATTTAACAAAAAGGCGAGGATTCCAGTCAGGTCTGTTGTTCATTTCTTATGAGTCGTCGGACAGTTCACACCACATCTTCAAGCGCAATGCTCCGACACCTTGATCAGAGTATAGTTCTGATTTTTCAACACTATGCTTATATTCCTAGCTGCCCCCCCGAGAGGAAATACAATGAATTAGCTAGGCCTATTATGCCAACTCTCATACTACGATCTATGGTAAATGGAAGAACTGCCGGGTTCGGTGGTGGGGTACGGAGGTTGGCTAGCCTATTGACTCCGCCAAGTATGGAACCCAAGCCAAAGTGTGGGGGAACAGGCGAGATTCCATCAATCACCGACCAGTGGTAGGCTAATCAATGTAAGCACGCCATTAATAACTTATGTAGTCCGATACAGCTTCCTCTTGATCTGGATATCTCAAAGTCCGATTCGCAGAAGTTCACAACCCAGGGACGCTTTCCTGTTCATCATAAAGAATCCAATTTGTTGAACTCGAAACGCCAACTCGGACAAACATACGCTCATTGACGTCATGCCTGCCTTCTCGGTAAGATCCCCGGCCCCCTAATGTTAGCAATCGCATGACGGGAATCCCATTAAACTGCTGAATAGCGTCTTGTTCGGTTTCTCGCCAGAGACGGTAGAGTATACTATGGTGATGCCATTCTCCCTCGTGGGGTAAATGATATTGCGAAGACGAAGCAGGCTCGCATTGTTACGGGTGATATCTTTGGCAAGCATGAGGTGACGGAGCGGGTTGCCGATGTCCGATTGCTTCTCGCGCCGCTGGCACTTGAAGATGTCAAGACGGTCAGATGTCTTGGACTGAATTACGAGAAGCATGCACATGAGGTATGTATAACCATACCTGTTCGGTGTGGATATTCAAGCTGATTGATACAGTCCGGTCTGCCGCTGCCGAAATACCCCGTGTTGTTTGTGAGTGACCCTTTAAGCCCACCCACATATTCACTAGAGCTAACGCCTAACACAGTATAAACCAATCACTTCTCTATCTGGTCCTTTCGACCCGATCCCAGTCCACAAGATGGCACAGGAAGAGCTCGGACTGGACTATGAATGCGAGCTCGTGGCTATCATCGGCAAACCCTGCGCCGATGTGCCCGAGTCCAAGGCCCTCGACTACGTCCTGGGCTACGCCATCGGCAACGATGTCTCGCACCGCGACTGGCAGATCAAGCGGGGTGGTGGCCAGTGGTCGCTCGGCAAGGGCTTCGACGGCTGGGCTCCCTACGGGCCTGGCATCGTCTCGAGCGAGCTGATTAAAGACCCGCAGACGCTGAAGATTTCTACTAAGTTGAATGGAAAAACTGTTCAGGTGAGCAAAACAAATTGTCGTCTAAGTTATGAAGACGGGTGGCTGATTGAAGGCGCGTGTTTACAGGAAAGCAACACGGCCGACATGATCTTCAACGTCAAGCAGACGATCGCGTTCTTAAGCAGAGGGACGACGTTGCTTCCTGGCGACGTCATCTTCACGGGGACGCCGTCGGGAGTTGGCATGGGACGTGAACCTAAGTTGTGGCTGAAGGATAGGGATGTGGTTGAAGTTGGGTTGGAGGGCGTCGGGACCTGCACGAATAAGGTCGAGTTTGGTAGGGAGACTGCGAAGTTGTAGTTCACGCTCGGGGCTGGAAGGTATCAGAAATGAGTTGGTTTATCAACCAATACGTCTGGTCACTGAGAGTATTGCAATGGGCATAGATCTAATTTACTTGCCTCCGTCGTCACAGCCCGATTGACTCTCTGTACGGGAGGTCCGAATATTGCCTTTGTACCGACCCAAGTTGGGTGAAAACCTGGTGTCGTTCAAGAAGGCTTCTGTCAAACCGTACACAGGATCGTCGGACTGGAATTGTGTTTAATAGAGGCAACTTCTTTGCTGCAGCTGACCTTTGGCGTTATTGATCATTTTACAATTCCATCGCAAGCTGCAGCACTCAATAGCGCTAAAGTCCGGCACAGGGATGCTAGGTTAGTAAGTGGTGCCCCACAATCTGAGCTGTCAAGTGAATTGCTGGCTGCGGTCTTGATGCTCCGCTGTAGGCAGCCAGAAACTGGCCAATCTATTCATAACTTTAGTACCTTTGAGCTCGAATGGGCATTGGTGTGTGGGAAATTAGCGGCAGTGCCGATTGCCCGCGTCGGTCAGCCGTCGAGGTTAGTCGACTTGGGGGCAAGGCATACAACAAACACGTTATTATCTCTAACGGCGCCTCGGTGAAGAGGGCTGAGCGCACGTCGTCGCCATTTACCCAATCCGCATCCAAATTTTGTCGTAAACTGCCTGAATAGGAGGCTTGGACCGATCCTCCTCTCAAACAGGTAATGTATGTCTTGCAATGGATAGCTTGGATGTCCATCACATGGGACTGTTAGTCTTCGCTCTGTTTTCTTTATCAATGCCTACAATGTGCCCCAGTGGGAGAGCATTGTTCCTTGCCTATCTGTCTGTGTATTCCAAAGTTCTGTTTCACCAGCTCGAAATGAACTCTCGCTGCCATTAAGAGTTACTATTCCCTTGTGTGATCTTTAGATTCCTTCAAATAATATGATCGTTCTTGGGCGCCAGCCCAACTATCCCTCATGTCGGTAGTAGAGATGGTGCCCTTCATCAGGGCGCCAAGATGGAAGGGGAAGGGGAAAGCCGTCCTACGAGAAGAAGTCTCTGCGTCTCAGCCTTGTGCCATCGTCATCTCCGATACATCTCCCGATACAACAGATCCCAACGATGAAGAGAAGCCACAATTGAAGGGCGAACAGAAGGCTGTTGCATCTATCCCTATTGTACTAGACTCCGATTTCGACGACGAGTTCAGATGGAAGGGCAAAAGTAAAGCGATAATACCGGATGTGGAGGACCAGATGTCGACTTCCATGATTCAATTCACTGCTGGAGACGTACTCGAGGTGGACTGGACCAAGTATGAGCCTCCGCAGGGGCTGAGAAACACCATTGAGATCAAGTCTGAGATCATAAGGCAGATAATCCAGAATTCCATCGACCAGGTCAAGAGTCGAATAGCCGAGGAAGAGGCAAAGCGAATCGCTGAAGCTGAAGCCGAGAAATCACAGGAAGAGGAGAGGGCCAGACTGGCAGCTGAGGACCGAAAGGCTTCAGAAGCACCAGAAGCTGTCCTCGATGGAGATTCCGACACAGTAGGGGATTCGTCGAGACCTGCGATGATGGAAAAGATGTCTCATCCCATCACATTTGCAGGCGTTCAACTTCATCTTGATGCCCATGGACTGTTGCGTCCAGCTGATCCAGCAAAGTCGAAGAAACGCTCGCTGATGGGACTTCTACGTCGTCTGAACAACAATGAAAAGGCAGAGGGTAGTATGTCAGGGGCTACTCGCCACAAACACAGCCTATACACGAGCAGTGTCGACTTGACTTCGCCCACAGGCAAAAGGCGATTTGCGCTCGATGTTAAGAAGGTTACATCTAATAATAGCAGCAGCCCGACATCGTCGATCCACGAAGAAATTATGTAAATCGACATTAATCTGTCCTTCAGGTGGTGTCATGAGCTAATTCATGGGTAGAGAATGTGTGTCGTGTCTCGACGACTTCACTGCCAAAGAGATGGTCAAGGCACCTTGCCACAGCTATTGTCACGACTGTTTTGCCCGGCTCATCACCGCCGCTTGCGAGAATGAGCAGCAGTGGCCACCAAAATGCTGTCTGAACGATATCCCAGAAGGAATAGTCCTCTCCAACACCAGCACAGAGCTTCGGGCCAGATACCGTGAGCGAGCTGAAGAGTGGAACATCCCCGTCAGCGACCGAATCTATTGTCACCAGCCCGACTGCAGCTTATGGATCCAGCCCATCAGAATCGACCAGGTCAGCAGTCTCGGCACATGTGCCAATGGCCATCGGACGTGTACCATCTGTCACGGGCCGCAACACGACGAAGCCGACTGCCCCCAAGATAGAGACCTGATCAGAACGGAGGAACTGGCCGAGGAAGAAGGCTGGAGACGGTGTCATCTCTGCCACGCTTTTATCGAGCACAGGGAAGCATGTCAGCACATGACTTGTCGATGCGGAGCTGAATTCTGCTACGTCTGCGGCGCCATATGGCGCTCGTGCGCATGCACCATGGACCAGCTCCGCGCGGTGAAGAACAGCGCTGCGACCCGCCGGCAGGAACGCCAGGCACGCGAGGCTCGGGAAGAAGCTGAGATTGCGGAAGCGCTTCGCCTCGTCGAGGAATTTGAGCGCGAGCAGGCGCGGAAAGCAGAGCTCTTGAGACTGGAGCTAGAACGGGTGGAAAGAGAACGCAAAGAGAGAGAGCTCCAGGAAAAGCTTGAGAAGGAAGAGCAACGGCGGGTAGCTGTTGAGGCTAAGTTTCAGGAGTTGCGGGAACTGCTCAAGGATTTGCATGAGCGACAGTGGACGATTGTTAAATCCGAACATGACAAAGAGGAGGCTAACACGAGAAGCCGGGCCCTGTTGGCCATGGGCAAACTCCGGGCACAACACAAGGCGGAGCGCGAGACCATCGAAGTTGAAGCGAACACCAAGATCACTGACCGAAAGAGGGAGCTAGACTGTGAGTACGCAATACGTGTTGCCGAGGAGCGCCGCATCGAGGAGGAATACCACAAGCGCCTGTGCGCCTTTTGGGGCGACAGAAAGGGAGGCGAGCGGGGTGTCGAAGACGCGCTGCGGAAGCTCAAGCGGAGGATGGACAACGCTCATGCGGTCTGGTGGAAGTGGATGCAGAACGAGATGGAGGCTTGTCAGTACCAGGTTCAGGAGGAGCAGGACATTCGGTTTGAGTTGATGCATGAGGCCGAGAGGAGACTGGCTTTGTCTTCAGAGTGGAAATGGGAAGAGCTTCTGAGGAGGAATGAAGCGGAGGTGAAGTGGGTGGATGCGGTGGTTAGGGAGCGCGAGGGAATGCTGAATGATATGGAGAATGGGGAGGATATTGAGGCTTGGTTTGCTGAGGGGGGTTTGAATGGTGCGATAGAGGAGGAGTTGAAGGTTCCGGGGGCGTATAGATGGGATTGAGTGAGAATAGTATTTGCCACTTTTGTTATTCTAGTCATAGTAAACAGATGTGCCACGCATGGCCAATCTTCAATTTGTCCAAATTGACAACATTTGATCGCCAATTGTCTATATATATTGTGTCGTACTGGGAATGTCAAAGCTGTAGGCTCAGAAGTAGAGCTATACATGGGGTGTGACTTGCCACCAAAGCGGCTAGTAGTATGACCTATGACTATCGCTCTGATAGTCACCCTGAGTCCCAGGAAACGCTCCAACTAGAGCCGGCCTCGCAGTAATTTCTTCATCATCAGAACTCAGAGGCTCACCTCCGTAGTCGTCAGATCTATCGGGAAGAGCTCGCATAGCCTGCAGAGACTGTTTGCTGAGCTCAGGCACGGTGTAAGGCTTGATACTGTGAATTTCGCGACCAGAGGGGAGTTTTGCCAACAGAGTTGCTGGGGCAGGCACAATCTGAGTGAGCATCTAGGAGTCTTGTTAGTTGAAAGTAAGCCAGAAGAGATGTGTAAAGGTAATTCACCGTATCATTTACTTTAGTCCACTTCTCTTCCAACATCTCTATGACACGGGTTTCCTCAATTTTGCCCGCCTCCGCCCCCCATCCAGTACCCTTTTCGACCTTCTTGTCCTCTCTCTTCTCAGCCCAGTCTTTCTTCAAGCGACTTAAGCTCAACCCTTTCTTGACGTCTTTGGCTTCTATACCAAGCTCTTGAAGCCCACACTGCAGCCAGCCTAGCGCGTTGCCCGTCTGGCCGGATAATTCCGCATCAATGCCAAAGAACCGGCATGCTTTTGCTCGACATGTCTTTCTCAAGTCCTCGACATAACGCACCAGCCCTTCGTTCAGTTTAGATGTGCCCTTCGTGTTGGATTTACACAATGCAGATGCCTGAGCCGCATGGTCCGCAGCTGCAAGACATAGGCGGGCGAATAGATGAGCTCTGACTTTGGGGATATCAGGTGCCTTGTACATCCATTCCCGGTCATTCTTGTTGCGGTCTTGCACCACGAGGGCGGGATAGGGGTCATCCTTCAAGACTGCAAGCAAGGTTGCCTCAGCTAGCGCCAGAGAGGACATAGCCCTGGTGGTCGTGGCTGTAATGTCAGCACATGGTGGGCTTGTAATCAGACCCTCAGCGCGACGGGCTAGGAAGTCATGAACCGATGCTGCATCTAAGAGATGTTTGGTAGCTGTTGTGATGGCGGTTGTGCGCTCTTGGGTTCCAACAGGTGCCCCAGATGTTACGTAGAGAGGATGCAAAGCCGCACGTGCTAAAAGAGTATGCGCATAGCCCAGAGTCGATAGACAGAAGAATATCTCGTATTCAACAGAGTGTATCTTCACTCGGGCTGTCTCCTTGCCAGGCACAGAATTATCAGAAAGCGTTGGTCTCCACTCAATAGCCGGAGTGGATATCAACGCTGCACCAATTTCCTCACCATGCAGTATCCGATGGTTAAGGCCGGCATCAATAGCAAAAAGGTATGGGAAGTAGCTGTTGAGGCTTGAGATGATGGATGGGAGGTTTGGCGGTTGGGAGGATGCGGGCAGTCGCTTGTGCTTTTTTAGCACTTCCCTTACAACCCCACGATAGGTGCTGGCGTTGAGGGGCAGTGAGGGATGGGGTTCGCAGTTGAAGGTGGACGAAAACGAGAAAGATGAGGTGGTGGGCAGTGTGAACGGATACGGCATGGTGACGAAAGAGGATTACTTAGACTGCTAGAACCGTAGGATAAGTCAAGCCGAGGTCGGCTTTTATTAGAGTTGGTTTAGGGTGCACCCATGATGAACATTGCATTTTCTTGGCATGTCTCATGGCCTAACCTAATTGTCCCGAAGCCAAGATGTCAAACTTGATGTCACTCACAGGACAATGACAGCGGCTCAAGGCCAAAATGAAGTTGAGTACGCCACAAGCACTAGCCACAGCTGCCCTGGAAGGCTTAAAATTGAACCTATTGGCTTTGCTTTGTCCGAAGTTTGTCGAAAGTCGCGTCCCCAGTCTGCAACCTGACCCGTTCGTGATCCCTGCTAAAAAGTTGCGGGCAGCAAGCTGTCATTTCGGACTGCGCCCTTCTTCTTCCCTGGTAGCCACGACAGACGGATTGCACCTCACGACTCAATGAAGCTGCCAACCGTTGTCCTAACTTTCTCAAAGAACCGGTGATCATGGCTTCTGCAGCGCCCTCGCCCCACAAACCTCGGCGCAAGTCTAAGAAGCCAGCCGCCAGCGTCATCAAGTCGGAGGCTCTCGTGCGCACCCCGTCGTTCCCGCTTGCAGCTTTCCTGTGGCCAGCTAGAACCTCGTTGTCGCAATGGGAGGTCCTTCCCCTCATTCTGATGGCCGTTGGCCTCTTTCGGTGGGCTGCTGGTCTTTGGGGATATTCTGGTTAGTTCAGAAGCCTCCCTGCTCCATCTGCTTGGGAGCAATGAACTGATAGTGTTGCTTAGGTTTCCAGAAACCACCCATGTATGGCGACTACGAAGCACAAAGGCATTGGATGGAAGTCACAACGCAGCTGCCCATATCGCAATGGTATTTCCATGATCTCCAGTGGTGGGGCCTCGATTACCCTCCTTTGACGGCTTACCACAGCTGGTTACTGGGCAAGATTGGGGCTCTGATCGACCCATCATGGTTCGCGCTGTACACATCTCGCGGCTCAGAAGACCCGATTCTGAAGATATTCATGAGAGCGACCGTCATCATCTCCGAATATCTGATCTATATACCAGCTCTGGTCATCTTCGTCCGCCGATTCAGCAGGATGTCTGGCGTCGCACAATGGACAGCTTGGGTGGCACTAGTTGCAATCCTCATGCAACCTGCTACTATACTCATTGATCATGTACACTTCCAATACAACACGGTCATGCTTGGTTTCGTGACGGCGAGCATGTCAAGCATGGTTGCTGGTCGATACATGTGGGCCGCCATCTTTTTTGTTGCCGCACTAGGCTTCAAACAGATGGCTCTATATTACGCTCCGGCAGTCTTCTCCTTCCTTTTGGGGAGTTGTATATTCCCCCGCATAAATGCCGGTCGGTTTATAATAATAGCTGGGGTCACCGCCCTATCTTTTGCGTTACTCATCCTACCATTGGTTCTAGGAGCGTTGTACGATGCCAGTCGAGGAATTGATTCGAGACCCGACCTTGATGGGCTGCGACCTCCTCTGCCAATATTCACCCAACTTGAGTCATATCTTGACGAAAAAGCGGTATACTACCCGGTCGTGGAGCTGCTGGTTCAGATGGTACATCGAGTCTTTCCCTTCGCGCGTGGACTCTTTGAAGACAAGGTTGCCAATTTCTGGTGTGCGGCAAATGTAGTCATCAAACTCCGCCACTATCCCACTGCATTGCTCCAGCGCGCGTCACTCGTGGCAACCCTCGCATCCATTGCGCCACCAAACTTCGTTCTATTCCTGCGGCCCCGGAAGGAGCTTTTGCCGTACGCATTCGCCGCCACGGCATGGGGGTTCTTCCTATTCAGTTACCAAGTACACGAGAAGAGCGCACTCCTTCCTCTCTTGCCAATGACGCTCCTTCTTGCCGGGAAGCAGGGTCTCGGCAAAGACATCCGTGCGTGGGTGGGATTTGCAAACATGCTTGGAGTGTGGACCATGTTCCCCTTGCTCCAGCGAGTGGATCTGCGAGTTCCATACGCCGTCTTGACTCTTCTTTGGGCCTACCTGCTGGGACTTCCACCTACATCGACAAGTGCATACTTCCAGGAAGGGGAGAATGTGTGGGCTCAGTGGGCTACGGCAGTCATTCATGGGGCCTTCTATCTCGCCATGGGTGTGTGGCACGTTGCGGAGATGTTTGTCCCTCCTCCTGTCGACAAACCAGACTTGTGGGTTGTAGCGAACGTTGGTCTCGGTGCTACTGGCTTTGCACTGTGCTATGTCTGGTGCCTGTGGAAACTTACGGTAGAGAGCGATATTCTCCCCAAGCGATTATGGCCAGCAAAGATGGATGCAAGCAAGAAAACCCAATGACCCCATTTCAGCCTGCCTGGGATTCACACTTCAGACTCCACGACACTCCCGCGAGTCCAGAAAAGCGAGAAAATAGACAGTTATGAAAAGAGGTATACAAAATTTGCATTTAAATAGTTCCTGGATTTGTCCGTAAACAACAGTCCACAACTATGAGACGGGTACGATACCACTAGCCGGCTAAAACAATGAAAGGACTGATCCCGTACCGGCCATGCGAGTCCATCTGCAGATTTACGACCCGGATCTCAACCACAGAACCGCAAAATTCGGGTTGAGACAGATTAGCTGGTCTCACAGACACAGGATTAGGGGCGTACCAGGACGGCCATGCGGTTCGGTGTTACCAAATACGCGCTCTCTGTCCAACCTATATTTTGACCTCGTCTGTTTAACGACTCGGCTCTGTTTGCAAACTCACTGGTGTACGACCGACGAGGAGCCGTTTCTCTACGCAGTCACCGATTCACGGGATGCAGAACAAACAGACAAGTCTGAATTGACGTCGTTGCCTCAACGCTGATTGGCCTGCTTCTCCGGAGATATCCTGAACTACACATTCCCTCCATGTGAGACAATCGAGGGTCTTTGGTTCGAGTTTTTCAAGACGTTGTTCGACTCTCGGGAACGGAGTGACGACAGTCAACAGCTGTAACCGATTGTATTTATGAATGAGCAGGCCGAACTGGAAGTTGCACGTACGCTTCTCGAAATGTAAGAACGCATCCGTGGCGGGATGAAGCTCTCTCTCAGATACCTGATCGCCATGAAAGGCAGTTGCTTCCAGTTGAAGGTCTGGTCTCTCAACCCCCCCCCTTGTCATTCGTTGCACCACCTGTCAAGTGTAAGACCTAGTAGTTGGACAATAGTTTATCTGCTGAGCTTACCACAATCTCGGGGCTTGATGCCATACTGACTTAGGTATTCATATCACGACGCTCTTATCACATAGGCCACTGTATATTGGAATGACTTTACGGATTTGATCCCTCGCGATGGCATGTGGCGACTGCTACCTTTATGGCAATATTTTTTTATCTCGGACTTGGGGGTAGCAAGTGATGCTTGGCTCAGTCGAGTGACTGCTAATAAACATTGCGAGGACGCCCGACCGTTGTAAGCCCACGGGCCTGCCCGTTCAATGCTGCTGCTATCTTGAGAGCTTGTGTTCGATGATGACTCACTGTCTAAACCCGCAGTACAAACCTCGAGAAATCTGTGCTACTACGGGACGAGCTTGCATTATTCAGTGAATTGGCGTTCCAATGACTTCAGTCTCAAGCTGAGAATTGGGGAGTGACGCCATCATAGATACTCGGGCTCACTTACTGCCACAATGCCAATCACAGCGTGGTCTTCAACTTGAAGCAATTGGCATGAACAAAAATAGCGGGTTATGCACACAATATGTACCTCTAGTGCTGTCTCAGCCCCCAAGGACTCCCGATCCAATTTCCCTTGCCCATGCTGGCGGAAGTCCAGTCAATGTACTTGCAGTCAACACCCTCCACCACCAACCCGTCAGTCTTGTCTTGTCTTGCTCTCCTTCTGATTTCTGATCTAATCCAAAGCGCAGTCCGCTTAGACCGCTCGGTGAATTCGTTTACCTCATCACCATGAAGTTTGCCCTTGCGTTGATGGCTGCAACGTCCAATATCACGTTGAGCTTCGCGCAGTCTACAGCGACGATGGCCGTCTCCCGTCGTGCTACTGCGACTACTTCTTCTACATCGTCTGGGGCAGCTGCGACGTAGATTATCAATGCTGGAGCAGTATGTGTTTGAAGTAACTCATGACAGGATATAATCACTAAACAGGATTTACAGGCCGGTTTCTCTTTCTCGGCGGACTCAGTAGCAGATAATCCGAGAGATACTGTCCATGAGTGCTTCTCAGTGTGCCTGAGGGAGAGCGTCTTAATAGAATATCTCTCAGAGTTAAACTTCTATCCAAAAAATCATTCTGTTGCCTGAGCCGAATTCGAGTATCCATGTATCCCCTGCAAGTATGTCGAGACGGGCTGAACTGGCTTTTTTAGAGATACTTGATTCTTCCTGCTTACGAAAGTCTACTCGAAACTTTAATTGAACTGTGGAATTACCAGTTGGCTGCGGGAGCATTCAAGCTTGACCCATTACCACGGCTATCCGGTGGCCGGAAAGGGCCGTATTACTCTGCATAGCCAAACTCTGAAAGCGAAGTAGCATATTGCATGTGCCGAAATGATCACCACGACGACGTGGTTGTGCATCTTCGATACCAGCAACCGCTTTTCGATGGGCCATTCGGCTGGTCTGTTTGTGTCGTCTTCTAGTGCTCGTCAGGAGACAAAAGCGGCTGGCTTGGGTTCTTCGATTTTCCACGTATCCATTCAACTTAAAATGAGAGACCTCTGATGGAAGAGAAGCTGAATCTTGAGTTAAATACGTTGTGTATGTTTCACAACGTCAAAGTGACGTTCGCCTGGTGCTGTGAGATGTCATACTGTCACAAGTCGCGATTTTTACCTTGGCGAGCCTGGATCAGCTAGCTGCTCACAATCAGTTAAATTTGAGATGATACCTGTTTATTTACTTGACAGATTGGCCTCTTGTTGCTTACTTCCAATCCCTCAACTTTCCTGTGAAGTCGTTGGGGACGAACTCTTCCATAAATTTCCCATAAGCCCTCCTGGCTCAGGGTCAGAATTCATGAAACCGACCGCACCGAGCATGCTAACTATCGAAGAACACGTCCCTGGACACAATTTCTCATTGAAAGAATCTTTTTCTGACTCGGCGTAGTGCAACATTCTTCTTACGTGGCTTGGACTTCTGGTGAAATCCAGATGCAAGAACATGACCACAATCGCAGGAGGACGTGTGTGGTGGGTAACTGCTATATGAAAATACGATCCTCATGTGGCAGTGAGCTCGGCAGTTTACGAAAGATGATTAGCCGAATGACGACGGCATATTGAGGAATACGCCATGGTGAGATAATGGCAGCGGCCTCGACAATTATTAGGGCATGTCTATTTTTGTCTCGGAGGGGTCATGCGGAGGTGGCTTCTAGCGTGGCCGTGCGGAATATCCATGATAGAACAGTACAGGCTTATTTCTACAAAAGCAAGCCGGTGATGGAAGTAGTCTACTATCGCCCTTAGGCATTCTCCACTTGGACTCGATTCAAAGTTGCCCCATGCTTTCGGCTTTGTGCAGTGCAGTGCTCGAGCCACATTTCCAGACCAATTGATAAGCTCAATAGGTGGCTCCATTGAATTGAGGACACGGTTGTTCCTGCCACTTGAGCACCGAACCTACAGGCTTACCTGGCTGAAGCGAATCTTTCAACATCTGGCCACTCTGGAGATAGCTCAGGTTCGCAAACAACTAGTCGTCGTTGCCGATGCCAAACCACCCTTTGTTGGCGCCCTTCTTTTCTTGCAGCTGATTTCAGCCTGGACATCGGCGACTTCTATCCTTCTATCCCCATTTAACAATAACCTTAGCTCCCCACACATACCTGCCCCTATCTCCCCTCCTCGCCGACAGCAGGTCTGCACACATCCAACCCTCAGTCCGACCTCCAACATGGCTCAGATGAGGGGAACAGGCGGCTATCGCCTTGGCGCTCAGAACCACTTTGGTGGACAACATCGCGAGGGCAATTCGGAAGCGAGTACGCTCGATGCGATACGAGAGCAGACGTCCAAGATCGAGGATATTCTGGATACATACAGCGAGCCCATCAAGCCGTACGTCACCACCCAGCTCCCGCTGTTACACCATGGTCCCTCGGCTCGTTCCCGCGCTTTCTGGTGACGTGGCAAGCTAATAGGGTCTTTTCTGTAGTTACCTACCAGCCATCGGCCGCTTCCTGATCGTTGTTACATTCCTCGAGGATGCGCTGAGAATCTTGACACAATGGAGCGATCAATTGCTGTATCTGCATGACTACCGAGGGTTCCCCAACGGCCTCAACCACATGTTCCTCATGGTCAACGTCCTGACCATGGTCGCCTGCGCGACCCTCGTCATCATCCGAAAATACTCCGATTACGCTGTTGGCGGCCTTATGGGGGTTGTGGTTGTCCAAGCCTTCGGATATGGCTTGATTTTCGACCTCAACTTCTTCCTCCGAAACCTCTCCGTCATTGGTGGCCTCTTGATGGTCCTGTCAGATTCGTGGGTCCGGAAGACAAAGGCCTTTGCTGGACTTCCCCAGCTGGACGAGAAGGACCGAAAGATGTACTTCATGTTGGCTGGACGTGTCCTCTTGATCTTCCTGTTCATTGGTTTCGTCTACAGTGGGGAGTGGTCGGTCTGGAGAATCCTTGTCAGTATCCTCGGGCTCGTGGCCTGCGTCATGGTCGTGGTTGGATTCAAGGCCAAGTTCAGCGCTACTCTCCTGGTCGTTATATTGAGCGTTTTCAACCTCTTGGTGAACAATTTCTGGACTGTAAGTCATCACCTTCCCGCCAAGCTCTTGGCTGCATTGGCTAATTGGTCATAGCTCCACGAACACCACCCCCACAAGGATTTTGCCAAGTATGATTTCTTCCAGATCCTGTCGATCGTTGGTGGTCTCCTTCTCCTCGTCAACAGCGGGCCGGGACAATTCAGCATCGACGAGAAGAAGAAGGTCTACTAGCCCACCACAGTCTAGGGAGACGGTAGTCCGGAATTCGAAAACAGGGGGCTACCAGAACGCCTTCGACGTTGCACTAGTAAAATCTAGCACGCATAACCTGGCGCAAACGGACTTGGCATGGATATAGTATTTCAGTTAATCGGACAGGTTGAAACGGCGCAGCCTAACCATCCGAAGACCCTGGTGTAAAAAAAAGTATACAGTTTGGGGAAAGTAGTGTTACTCAAGCATGTCCACATATTCTGTGTGTAGCTTTTAAACATCATGAGCCTGATGGTAGTATGCTGCATCTCTGGTCTCTATGCAGTGCATGTGTGCCATGGTTATTTAAAACCAGAATTTGCGGATACGGGCCAGCTTATAGGACAAGATGTGGGTGGGCACGGTAGCTACAGCAGTTTAATTGTACCAGGTCGCAACGGTTCCTGCCAAAGCACCACTGGCCGTGACTATGCTCAGACACTAAAGCCACCCTCATTAGCCCTGCGACATACACTTATTATTCTAGATGCCCACCATGATTCTCAAACTCTGCACATTGAATATCCCGGCCTGACTCGATTCGAAACAGAGATGTCTCGGCAAGGGAAGGATTGCATTGCAGTTTTTTTTTTCTTTTTCTTTTTTGCAATGAAATGTACATGAAAGTAATCTCAGCATTTGACGGATATTTGACGCTCAAGGTTGAGGTTTGATCAGATTTCTAGCTGACTACGAACAGACCCTGACGATTCCTGCTGGGTCCAGTATCCAAGGGTGAGTGTTGCAAAGTGAGCCAATCGATTCCGTGGTCGGGGAATTGACACTGATGAATTCCAAGCTTTTGGCTTACCCTTCAAGTACGTACATAGCCAACGTCTCTCACTAAGACTCCATAACTCGATGGATGCTCTCCGTTAATACGTGGTGTGTTCAATGCTCACACCCATGCTGTGGAGTGGCTGTGCCCTGTTGAGGTGTAGTCTCTAGAGCAGAAACACTTCCTTCTGTGATGTTTTGCTTTCGATATCTTGTTTGGATACTTAGAGACTGATGTTGCTTCTATATGTCTTCGTATCTGGGCTGATCTATAGTAACTACAGTTGAAAGTTGATAATTATAATCCGGAAAGAAGTCGGTTTTGTTTAGAGAACTCCTCCCTTTCACTGGATTCAGCCCACTTGCCTCACTCTTGTAACCCATCTTCCCAACGGGAACTTCGATGCGTAACTAGGTAATCATCATCTTCGTAATCAATCACTTCACGGATATATCGAGCCATCATGGCTTGCCTAAACTGGATTCGTTGCCTCTGAATAATGCTCACAAAGAGCAAGAATTCATACGAACAGCAAAGCGAGCCACGAGGGAATGGGCCCAGTAACACCAAGAACAATAGGCACAGCCGTCCCAGTATGAGCGAGCGCCCAAACGACCTAATACAACGGTTGACCAAAAAAAGAAAATCAAATCACTGCCATCGCATACAAAACTCCTGATAGCCCATGACGCATAACATAATCAGCAATGAAGTCTGCCAGAAGCACAGCCTATCATTTCCGACAGTGCTCCTTCCTCCACTCGACTTATACCAAGTTAACAGCCCTGAATACCATGTGGCCCACTCAACTGTAAAGTCCTTCCTCGTTTTTTATTATCCATCGACTAGCAGAGTCGACCAAGGACAAGCTTCTTGATGCCTCCAGCGTTCAGGGTTTCGCGCGCCTGATTCTCAAGTGTAATAGTGTCGACGATATCGTACTTACCAAGGCCACGCCCGAGGATGGCTTTAGTTCGTCATTTTTTCCCGTGCTCTTCTTGTGACCGAGCCAGAGCAAGAGCTCAGGCTTGAGGTTGTCCTCCAAGTCATTGAGAAATTTGGAGGCCACACTTGCGTTGAACTCGTGCGCTTTATTTTTCGGAACTATAGTCGGGTTGACAACCTGTGAAAACAAGATAGACTTGAAGCTGCTGATGACAAGAATTTTATCGCCATTACATCATATTTAGCATCATGTGACTGCGTACGACATTAGTTTTGTTCGCCACAGCTGACGTTCTCACCGACAGTCTAGTCATGAATTGATAGCCACGTTCATATTGAACGTCGATATAATCGACGTCCAAAGCCGTGGTATTCGTATTTAAGAACAGTTAGTACTCTGTTTGAGTAGTAACATCAAATTATTATTCGTAGCTAAGACACTTATACCAATTTAATCAAAGTAGACTCCTGTCAGAGGCTCAGGGGCGCACTCGCGGGTAGCGTCAGCTGCACTAGTTTCTTGGCTACATCCACAAGTGCTTACTTAAGTATACCTGCCACCTACCAAAGCAACCTTAGAATTGCCTGTAAAGTGGTGGACGGCGAAGCGCATACCGAATTGCAACTATGTGGGCCAAACCGGCATAGCACCGCCACTTCGTATTATGGTCCCGAAAATGCAGTGAAAAAGCAGGATTTCTCATCTTGATCCACAGCGAAATGGTCTTCTTAAAGGTCGCGGAATTTAACGACTCGATTAGCATACCCAATAATCTGCCTTTATCGAGGTATTTATGACGGGGACTATAGTGCGCTAACAACCACTCCATGGCCGAAGCCCTCGGCACCGCCCTAGCCGTAGTCGGCGTTTTAGGTCAGCTCTTCGACGGCTGCGTAAAAGCCTACGGACACTTCACAACGGCGACGCAATTCGACGCCGACTCGCAAAAGGTGTCGTGCAAGATCAAGATCGAGGAGACAAGGCTCGTGGTATGGGGGCGGGAATGGGGCGTTGCGGAGGGGAAGCTAGAGGCGCATCTCAGCCAGGCGGAGAAGCAGGGTGGTGGCATGGTCGCCGGGGGAATGAGGACGCTGGCGTTGCAGATTCTGACGGAGTTGCATCGGACGATTACGGACGTGGGGAGATTGAGGCAGCGGTATGGACTTGTTGAGGGGGCTGATCATGAGCAAGCAGTGGTTGGGGCAAAGGGTGGAAAGGGGAACGATGGGAGGGGCTTAGCGAAAAAAGAGGCCCTGGCATGGAAGCCGGGTGAGAATGGGACAGGAGGGAATGACAGGAGTTGGACGCACACACTGGCCGTAAGAGCGAAATGGGTGGTTGCCGGTAAGTTGCTCTTCTATTGGCTTGAGCAGAACGAATTGCTAATTGTGCCAAGACAAGGACAAATTCGACGCCCTTTTAAAAGACTTAAAAGGTATATCCATCCGTGGGACCACCCCCCCTCCCCCCCTATCTATACTTTACCATGTCATCTACTAACACTCACCCTCAGATTACAACGACGGCCTAGAACAACTCTTCCCCGCCTCCCGCCTCCCTGGCCTCCAACGAGCCTGGGTGTACGAACTCCTGCAAGCCGCCCACCGGGACGTGGAACAACTCAATCTCCTAGAGCATGCCTCCAACGAAGTGTACCCCAGGCTCAACGCCTCCGCCAACCTGAAGCAGTTGCGGATCAATCTCGACAACAAACCCCAGGCGTTATTCAAACCCACGTTCGCCTTTCGGGTCCCGAAGTCCATGTTGAAGGTTTCCGGTAAAAATGACCCCAAAAGGAACAAGGGGTACCATGAGAAGTCGGGGACGGTGCTCATAGAGTGGGTCGAGTACGACAAGTTGAACCTCGACGAGAAATTCGTGCATATGCGCCGGCTGGACGATCTAGCCCGGATGATGCACTCGGCCACGGACCGACACCCGGATTTACACACTATAGACTGCCTGGGGTATACGGACGATGCAGAGAGTAGCAGATATGGTCTCATATACAAGGCGCCCAAAGCATCGTACTCGACCTTGCATACGCTCATTTCTAGTGGCGAACTCAAGACGCCCGATCTCAATGAGCGGATCAAACTGGCACAAACCCTGGCAGTGGCTTTGTGGTCGCTGCATTCGCTAGATTGGCTCCACAAGTCCCTGTGCTCGAACAATATCCTCTTCTTCCCGCCTGCGGTATCGACCTCCGCCACGCACGCCACCGCAGCTGCGGCGCTGGTACCTGACATCTCGGCGCCGTACCTAGTGGGCTTCGACGCATCGCGGCCCGAGTTGGATACGGAGATGTCGGTCGCCTCCAAGAATCCATCCATTCTCGACCTGCACCGTCATCCCAAATCCCTGAGTGGGCTTTCGCGAAGGCCGTATTGCAAAAGCTACGACATCTACAGCCTGGGATTAGTGTTGTTGGAAATTGGGCTGTGGAAGGTTCTGCAGACCTATTATAAGCCGCACTACTCAGCGGAGCGTTGGCGGGACAAGGTCGTTTTGCCGGTGCTGGTACCTGGGCTTGGTAGTAAGACAGGTCGCTTTTACCGTGGGGTGGTGGAGCGCTGCTTGAATGTGGGAGATGATATATCGAACGAAGAGGCGGACCAAGTGATGGAGTCGGTCGTTGGCATTTTAGAAAGCATAAACGTATAACTAGGTTTGTTTGCTTAAACCTGGTATTTGCGACCGTCAAAAACGCAGCTGGAAAACTCCCAATCTTCAAGGAATGACCAGGTTGTCAATCGCTGTTCTCGCAATGGCAATGATTCTCTGGCACGTCGGCGTCTCGCCCGTTTTGTGCAACTTAAGTGTGCAGTTCGGCTCCTGCCAAGCGCCAGACAGAATCATTGCGTCAAGAAGCGCATGCCGGGCCTTAGATCTGTTCTCCATTTGGATGACAATGTCTTTGAGTCCCAGATGGAAAGGATCCGGCGTTGAGGCGGAACCTGTCAAAGAGCCGCTAGCATCGCAGCTCGACATTCCATACACATCGATGCGAAGTAGGCTACGCACAGTGCGCCGCCATAGTGTTGGTTCCATCAGGCGGTGGTTTAAAATGCCACTTACTGCACATGGGCCGTTGTTGAAAGCGCCCCACATGCCGCCGTAGCCATCGAGCTTGAAGGGAATCTCGCGACGGTCGGCCTGGGCGCTGACTGTTTCCTTGTCGACTAAGGTAAGGATGCGCTCGTAAGCGTGAGCGATACTAGGGATCAAAGTGGCTAGTAACATCAAGTTTTGGAAGTTTTGCATGGCTGCGGCCGTAATATGAAAAGTTGGGGTAGCCGGTCCTGCAGCGAGAGCGCATGCGGGGCAGTTGACAACTTCGTATGCTGTCTTAGCCGCCAGGCGGGCTTGCCGGACGCCTTCTGTCACATCGGACGACAGCTTCTGCATCAAGTCGATGGCGAGGTACAGGCTTGCGGTGCAAGCACACTTTTGGTTGGTTGAGTCTGGAGATCCAGCGGTCTCGGCCGAACTAGACGATCCGGCCGACGACAGATTCGGGAGGGCATCTGGGGTTGTGGCGACGGTGAATAATGCCGGATCGAGGTTGGTCGACGAGAAAGCAGGGGCGTGGTCCACAGCGCCATTATCAAAGTTCAGTGCTTCAAAGTCGTTACCCGTGTACCCAAACTGCCAGTCGACCTTCCCAGCCTGCGTATCGTCCGACCCGCTGCCCATTGGCATCGGTTGATCAAGTCTGAGGTCATGATCAAGACCAAGTTCGCCTCCAGCGACAAAGCTGAGGAAAGCCATGCCAGGATCTGGCGTGTCGGGAGGTATGTTGATCATGGGGGTCTTGTTGGCCAACTCCGCGGATGCAGCTGCATCGTTATCGTTGGATTCCTCTCGTGGACGTTTCCGTGGCCGCCCCATCTGCTTCTGGGGCGAGTAGTGGCATGCAATGCCCTCGCGCTTGCATCTCGCACATCCATCGGACTCTTTGGTGCAGGCCAGCTTTCGGGAACCTATGCCAATCGTCGCGTCAGTCAAGGAACGGAACCGCGACCGGTGGATACCCGTCGGCACTTACGGCATTCATCACAGGCACGGTGTTTCGGCGCCACTCCGTTCTGCTCCGTAGGGTTAGACGGCGACATGGCAACGTGTTGTTTTTTTTCCCCCGAAAAATGGTTCAAGGTGACGGTTTACGATGGGTTCCACGGACCGTAACATATCAAAGCCACAGTCGAGTAGCCTCGAAGGATCCGTCCATTTAGGCAATCTTGCCTGCAGGATTCGTAAGCACATTCTTTTTAGGTCTGGGTCAATGCCCATTTTATTGACCTGGACTCTAAACCCTATTAGGCAAATTCTCCTGTCACGTCACGTCTTGCTAGCACCTCTTTAACCTGTGTAACCTGGTGCAATAAAACTGAAGATGATTGGGGTGTGGGAGAAAGCCGTCAGAGAACATGGTTTCTCTATGGAGCTTGAGCAAGTATAGTATGCATCTTAAACCTGCTGGACAAGGGTACTAGGGGAGCGCCAAGACGTTCACCCATGTAAGATTGGCGAGGTTTATTTATGAACCCTCTCCTAGTCATGCCCTGTCTACCGCCGTCGATACTACAAGTTATTCCAGTTTAGAGGCACTTATTAGGTAAGCCTGAACATTATTGTAAAAACATGCAATTGAAAGCGATTTACACAGTTTATACAGGTAATTGGTCAGCCTTTATCCAGTAGTACGAACTACTTGTGTGGATGTGACGTGGCCCCTTTTCCCTCGTCGCATCCCCGTCGGGCTTTGCCACCGTTCGACGGCTCAGCCAGCTGCACAAGATACCACTTGCAGCTTAATTCGGCCAGGCTATCACTATTCATGTCTTCAATCGAAGAGCTCGTCTCCTTGCATTCGCATTTGGACTTCTAGCCCTTCTCTCCGCGCGACGTTGTCTCGCACGTTGATCTGAGGGGTCCAGTTTAACCTCATCAATAGATTTCAGGTCAGCCAGAAACCGTCGTATTCTCAAGCCTGTCCTTTGCCGTATAATCGCATCACACGTCTCGTCTGCTGCTGCACGAGCTGCAATTTGAAGACCCTTGAGAACGTCTTTATCGTTGATATCCCCGTCATCATAATCGAAGAAAACATCTAGATCACTCAACGCTACTTCCAAAGGCATCGGGGGCTTGCCTGAGACCGATCCAGTTCTGCGTGGATCTTTCATCGGTATTACGGGAGCTTGACGCATGGGTTGAGGCACGACTGGTCTGCTGTCCTTTACTGGAGATTCAGCTGAGATCTTAGCAGGAGCTGTGGGTCTCGCCCCGGTATACATTGCTAACCCCTGCTGAGCCTTACGAACACCTGTGGGCTTACTTTTTGGTCCTAGGAACGCGAAGACAGAATTTTCTAGACCAGAGTCGAGTTGCTTTGTCTGCGGCCGTTGCTCCTGGTGCCTTTGTCCATTGCTTGCTTCCGTCATCGAGGCAGCATGGGCCACTGGCTCTTTGCAAATTGCGTCCCTGCCTGCCTCCACTTCCTCCTTATTCGTGTCTTGAGAAACACGATTCAATGCCAGCTCCAGAGATGATGTATTGCTGACAGAAGACTTCCGCGTGTCAGGAAGTTCAGATATGGAATGAGCCGCTGCTTTCGGGGGCTCTTGTGGCAGGCGTGGCAAGGGTTTTGCCTCCACATCTGATATTTCATAAACTGGAGAGCCATGTCCGCCCTGTGCCTGTCCAATATGGCCCGGAGATATCTGTTCGATAACGGGCTGTTCGATATGGCGCTGCAGGTTCTCTTTGATTTGTGGCTGTTGAACATGGCGTCGAACAAAACCTTCATCCTCTTCGATTGTCCCCGGAAAAGGGAGTGAAGCCCGCCCCAACTCCCTCTCACTGCGAAATGAAGGGTTGCGAGGCTCTTGAACAAGACGCGCATCGTTCGCAGCTCTCGCGACTGCGCTGGTTTTCCTCGACGGGTGCACATGTCGCGCATTGCATTCCCTGCGATTGATGACATGTGGTTTGCTACCGGGAAATTTTCCGTCTCTTGCCATATCATTATGCTCATGGTGAACGGCAAAGATGTTGGAACGTCCTACACTGGGGATCCTCGAGATTCTTGTGGGAGAGGCGTCCTTGTGGGACGTATTGATTTCGACCTTTGGACCAGTACGCTGTGGAGACTCATTCGGCTGCGCTGGGGACCTTTTTCTCAACCATGGCAAGCATTTATTTCGTTCGGACCTCTGCTTGTTCGGTAGCAGTTCCTCGATTAACATAAGGGATAGCCCGTTTTGGGGATTCAACTCGATGTAGGACCACGAGCTGGAGGAAGTTGACAAGTCGGAAGTGTTATCCTGCCTGTCTGGGTTGATATCGAACTGCTCCTGAGTACGTGGAGGTTTGGGTGTTCTGGGCTTACGTCGTGAACGTGGTTGTCTTGGCCGATGCGGAGATCTTTGTGCTTGCTCCTCGGACGTAACAGCTAATCCTGCAGCTTGGAACTCCTTCAAGTAGGGTAACAACGGCTTGACCGTATGTATCGATACTTTCGAATCCGACTCTGTCGGTGTGATGACTGGAAACTTCCCTGTCGCACCATCCGCGTGCGCGTATTTTTCTAGCTGCCTAGTGAAGCGTTTTAGTGTCCTCCGCTGGCTCGACGTCCGAGAAGGAACATCTGACGGGTGAAGCGCCTCCTGAACAACTTGTTCGGGTATAGTCAAGGATGACAACCGGCGCTGCTGAGCAAGCGTTCTGCTGATTGCGTCCCAAGCAGCCGGATCTGACACGCCATACCTCTTCTTGGCATCCCGGCCATGAATCCTCGACACATGCCTCCTGCGCTCACGATCATGCGACTCTAAGGTAACCTGTGTGCGCACTTGATTCAGAGAGGACGTTGCCTGGCTGCTACGCCTACGAACAGGCGTATGCTCTTTATTGGTGTGCCTGCCTTCATTCGCATCGCTTGGCCTGGTCTTTGAGGGCGAACCCTTGGTTGATGGCAGAGTACCCCAGTATGGGTGTTCAGGAAACCCGGACACTCGCATCAACGAGTACCGGGTGTCCTCTTGGTTTGGTTCGCCCCGTATTCTCGGTTCTCTCGCCGGCACACGTCGACTGACACGAACACCACGCTTCGAGCGGCTGATCTGGCGCTGCTCCTGCCGGACTTTGTTGACCGATTCAGATAGTGGGATCCGGAATACATCTATCGCAGCTTGGTGCGCGAGGTTCTCATTGGGGTCTGGTGATGGCGGAAATTCAATTGTTGGCCGTCGATGTGGGCTTCCTTTCTAAGGTAGGTTGATAGGCATCTTCTGTTTTCCAAAAAGCAAGGTCCAAGAAAGCCAAAAGAAAGAAAACTGATGTTGCAAGTTGTATTCTAAACGCGGCTTAGAACAAATATGTTTGATGTAGTTTTCAAGCTAGACGACCAGGCGTCGCGTCCCAACGGCGGTGGTCGAAGTAAAGGTATCATGGTGGTCTGGGTTGCGCTTACTCGCCCACGAGGTCGCAAGGGCTTCCAAACGGCATGATATAGATGCGGCTGCACCTTCCTCCCAAACTCGAAGGTGCTGACCAGTGGCGACCAGTGGGAAAAGATGTTGACAGTCGCTGATGATGACATGTAGAACCTCACGGGCCCACCATAAGGCCGTCTGGCCCATTCATCCCAATTGATACATCTCCGCAAATTGGGCGGACACTTGAGCAACCCCGTCATCTGTGGATGTCTTTGATGCCTGGTGCAGAATAGACCTCCAATTGCCGACGTCCTTTGCGCAACAGGAACTCTACTGCGGCAAAATCTTTTTTGTCAATATTGATGCTCTTTTCGAACTCAATCCTAGCAATTGATTCAGTACAAGTGACGTTGGATTCAACCCCGAAACATACCTTGCGAAAGACTCAAAGTGCGGTCGTGTTGCCTCTGGCTTCTTACGGCTTTCACGGAGGCAACCTCGGTATAGAGCCAGAACTTCCTTCTGAAGACCCGACAACCGCATTCTGACAATATCTTTGGCTGAACTACAGTGGACACAGTTAGGTGTGGCAGTTTAATAGGGAAAATGGATCCCTTGGACAAAAAGTGAATCCAATTGCCTGGAAATGTCTGCTCAGATTCAAAGCGTCATTGCTCATGTCATCAACATTTCTGCGAGTTGGAGCATTGCCAGAGCCCTGGCAGCTGGCAGCTATTAGTTCCGGCCAACAACAGCCGGCGTGGAATTTCTAGTGGATCCACCGAACTTCTCATTAGTCCAGGTTTATGTCGCTGCTCGCAGGTTCATACGTAGGTTCGCTCGGCAACAGAAGCCAACCTCAACTTGTATTATCCCCTTCCCCCGCCCCCATCTGCCTCAGCAGTCGTAACTTTGACAACTTCCGCCGATGGCTGACAACACCATGAGAAACGGATTATTACCGAAGTGTTCAAGCGTTGAAGTGAACGTGACTCGCACCCTACTGCAATGATCCCTGCTCTTGCCAAGATAACATGCTCCAGTCCTGGGTACAGCATATGACTAGGTCAACTCGAGGTTATCCACCCCCAAGCTCTCCAGTTCGACATGGGCGATGGCGTGCTCAATGAAGCAGTTATATAGTATCTGATCATTCCCACCTTGGAAGGATTAATTTTCATAATTATCTACTCGAACTGACAGCAGTGCTTCTATGACCGATTTACCACCGCTTCAAGGCATTCCCTAGGGTCCAGATCGCCAACTTCTGGCTTTTCTTCGCCTGGGGTACACTAGCGCCTTCTCCTACCACGATGAAAAAGGCTCTTGATTTCGCATCCGAGAGGTACCACTCAACCGTGACTCTGCCGGCCTATATCTGCACGCCGCGCACTTATGAGAGATTCAGGAACGAATCTCCTCTTGGTCCCGGGGACCCACAGTCGACTTGTCGGTCAAGCAAAGGCGTTCCTACCCTAGCATCATGGATTTAATCGGCGAACTCCACCATCTTCGGGGATGATGGCTCGACGACACCGGCATGTCAGTCCTTTGAAAACTGCTCAAGACGAGGAGAGGCTGGTGTGCTGGGTTTGTATACGGTCCAGGGGACGTAGTACTGGTGGAAATACTGGTTCGCCAGTTTGAAACGGACAGGAAAGGCCGGCTCGGTGACATGGAAATGTGCAAGCAGTCGCCGGGTCTGAAGGACATCCAAATCTCCTGGGGTATATATTGGCCTCCTCGCCATCACTTTGTAGCTACGGCTAACCAAATCACCTTGAATCAGACAGTCTTTTTCACAATCCCTCACAGCACACATCACAATGTTCCCACAGATTTTCTCTGTTGCTCTCGCGGCCTCCTTGCTTTCTCCCGTGGTGCTAGCTACACTTCCATTTGGGCATTATGGTGGCGAAGGCACGGTGCTCTTCCTCAACGGCTTTCACTTTGTCTCCGGTCATAGCGACTGGGAGATCTCGGCCAACCATCACTGCGTCATCTTGTCCGAAGACATGCTCCAATGTGCTGTCTACAACACGGCCACCACTCCGGCTCGCTTGGCCGGCATTGAATATATCATCACCACGAAAGCATTCGAAACCCTGGACTTCGAAGGTAGACTTCAACCTGTGCTGATTTATCGTCATGAGAATACAGTAGCTGACCATCGAACTCAGAACGACAACTCTGGCATAGCCACGTATATGAGATCACCAGCGGCTACCTGATCGAGCCCAATCTACCAGCTTCCGTCGATCATACGATCATGGGAGATGTGTTGATCGGGACCTACGGAAAAACCTTCCACACTTGGCGGTACGACCAACAGAACTCTTCGATTCCTATGGGTGTTCCTGAGTTAGTCATGGGCTACACTGGGGACGATCAGATCACGCCAGACTTCGTCACGAAGCGTGATGAGCTCTTTGGCGTCAACACGACTGAAATCAGGGAGTCGCGAGCAGACATCCAGGTGCCTCCGGTACTGGAGGGGGCAGACAGCTGGAAATATGGATTTGTTCTTTCTTTGGGACTTGTCAACGAGACTACGTCTACGGATTTCCCATTGGTCAAGTAGGCTGTGAGGGGCCCTGGTCACGGTGAAGCCTTGTAAATCTATACATCAATGACTAGAACCAATTCTACTCCAGCCCAAGTGTATTGATTCATGCATGTCCCATCACATCTGTCACAGGTTCTTCTAGAACGGACAATACGAGGGTGGCTAAGCCTAGAGACTTGTAGGAATGCATGTGGGCATGAACCATCAGCTTGTTGTCAATGGTTTGTTGTCGGCGCAGCGTTGACTTTATGCAGGAGAGAGAGTTACCAGAACACGGGGAACTCTCAACCAATAGAAGACATGACTCTTGCAGCCGTAAAGTAGGGGTCGGAATGAAGTTTGGATGGAGGGTGAAGTTTAACTACAACTGTCAGCGGTGCGACTTACCGATGTAGTCCAATCCCATTCAAAACGCCTGGGGTCACTTGACCCCACTCAGGAACGTGACGCGTCAAACTCAATTCCTCACCCAACTACTACTTTCCAATTTTTATTACGTCAACATGGAGAACACCCCAAGAAAAGAGCTTACACGCATTTTTATCGCATATCACCAGAGAGGCCACAAGCACCCAACTATAGTACGCGCTACTATAGCGGCCTAGCGTATCAGTACCCAACGAATTAGGCTATTTCTCTACTGGAACACTGTGAGAGCCGCATTTAACTCCCGAAATGTCAAAGTGTGAGCGTAGGGTCAAATATTATGTTACGCTGTACCGTAAGGAAGGAGGGGAGAGGTTGATGCGAGTGCATATGGGATGTGAATTGTTGTATTGGGACAGGTTGGTCATGTGGATCCAGTGTGGCCCTAAGGCCCCACAATTAGCTAAAATAAAGCCAACGCTGTTACTGCGTCATATGGCTGGAAGACTTGTGATGCGTGCACCTAGGGGGGAGGATGCTATAATGCAGCAGTGCGCAACGTTATAGTATCTAATTGAATGGGATTCACCTAACCAGTGGGTCCCCCTACCTTTTCGTATCAACTTGGATTCGTGACTTAGGTCCAGTGCGGTAGATCGACCAGGATACACAGTTATGTCAGTTGTTCTGGCCTGGCAGAGCTATTTGCAGCTCTTAACTGCTATCTAGCTGTCTCATCTATAGCTACAGGGTAACCCCATGGGGTCACGTATCAGAGGTCCTGTAGGATCATCGAACTGTGTAGAGGTGCGTGTGCAAGGGCCCTATGGTCGGCGTACTCAATATCCGGTGGGCCTCTCCCGGCGCGGATGGGAGCCGTGGCATAGAATCTCAAGTACTCGGAGTCCCTACGGCGAATATAGTTAATCCTAAGGGCCGTAGGCTAGCGGACTACTAATCACCACTTGTAAAAGGGCAGAGAGGCATGGTTAACTAAGGAACGTATAAGTCACACCAGGGGATTAGATGTAGCGACTTCTAAGCTAGCGTCTACTAAATTATTGAGGCATCTTTAATAACGAATACACGGTCTCGAATAACAGTGGATTACTAACATCGAGTCTAAATAACTACTGTATACAGCACCCTGTGGCTTTATTATCGCGTCACAAGGGAGGACCAAGCCCCTAGGCCAATAGACAAAAATATCTAGAGTGCCAGTGGATCACTAACATTCAGTCCCACTAACTGCTATATACAGTATTCTGTCGCTATGCAATCGCTAGCACTGTGGAACATAAGGTCTTATACACAGACTCTAGAGAATGACCTAATTCTACTCTATATCTCGGAAATAATGTAAGAAGAGAATATTATCTCTACTATCGCGAAGGAGTAACGTGAATGTACACCGAGCTGGCCATGACACCGAGCTGGCCACTTTCATGCGCCAACGCGACCGGCCAACTTAATGTTTGATTTTCTCAACAACCAATTATGGCAAAGTCATACAACGAAGCAGACTTAATACTAGCCCTTCAAGCTCTCAAAAATGACCAAAAACTTAGTCTCCGACAAGCGGCAAAAACGTACCAAGTCCCCGAAGCACCCTCCAAACGCGTAAAAACGGCGTACCTTTCCGACGCGATATTTTGCCCAATTCACGAACTATGACAGAATTAGAAGAGGAGGTCATTATCAAGCATATACTGGACTTAGATGCACGAGTGTTTCCGCCCCGGATTGCTGATGTGGAAGCAATGGCAAACCCGACCGTGGGTATCAAAGACGCCACAGAACCCGATAGAGGCTCATGCACAGTCTACTTTTTTGAAAAAGCGCATCTCCGAGCATCAGAATAGCTCTCCGACGAATATTTTCTCAGCTGTCGACCAGTTTGCGAAGGGAGCAAAAATGATAATGCACGAGCTCGCCCTCATACGGGCCGAGTGCGCTGATCTTCGAGAGGCAAATAAGATGCTAAGCCGGCGCCGGAGGACTAAAAAAATGCAATTACGGGAAGGAGAATCACTTATTTTCCAAGAAGTACAGGACCTACGGGACTCTAGGGAGTTGGCGACGCAGATACAGCAAGAAGAGCGCCGAAATGGTGGTCGCGCAAAGCGTGTTGAAACGCGCCCGAGACGCTGTGGTATTTGCAACGGGACTGGGCATAATGCGCGAACTTGTAAGATCGCATTGCCATCTTCTGGAGAGGAAGATTCAGAGTAGTTTCAATTGATTTACGGCGTTGTGGTTTTACTATCGTAAAATTTCTATGCGAGGTTATGTAAGGGTGGCCAGCTCGGTGTACATTCACGTTAGCTTAAAAGCTAAAGTATCTGAACTATCGACCAGCCCGCTTATAGTCCGGACTAGTTACTGATTAAGTATGTCTAGCGCTATATAAGATCTATATATCTATAAAACACACTAATCTATATAATATTGAGGATAGCGAGATTAATAAAGAAACGATGAAGGACTAGATCCCGGGAGGCGTAGTAGGTAATAGATTAGGCCCTTATAAACCGGCTGATCGATTTAGTGCCCGACTGCGTACGTGAACTACGTAGAGTTCGATTATCTACACCTTGAGTAATCATCAGGTCTGCTACTTTCCCCCTAAGCGCAACTAGGATGACCAAGCCATCCCGTTTACTCCTGCAGAATCGTTGGGACGAGCCGCACATTAAAGCCAAATAGGCCTGGTTACTCAAACATGCTCCGTTGTGAAATTGGTAAATTCATCCGTAGTGATGAAGGGGCCTATCGGTATGGCCATTGCCTTTTTTGCAGACTAGCCAACCCCAGAATAACATCATTTAAGAGAACAAACATCCCGGCGTTCGAATCCAGAACATCGTTCCCTCATCCGCCTCAACATAGAGTTGATACATCGACACGGGATGAAGTATCCTTGACCCCAACTTGAGAACAAAACCATGAGAGACTGATGGAGACGGTGTAGCACTCATATTAACACTCAAGTTCTGAGTGGGTTTGAAATGAAGATCGTGAAGGTCATTTCGTAGTCTACGACTTCCTAACATCGATTTACGAAATGAAAATATCTAAGACGGTAGGATTCCAAGCGTCGTCCCATATTGGCCAATTGTGCCATAGCTCTAAGTTTTCTTCTTCAAGTATGGGCAATCCGACCCAAGAAACCTACATGGTTTGGAGTGAGTAACAGCTGTCTGAAATGCTTCCTTTTGAGGAAAGTCTGCCATTCTTTGACGACTGTGGTATACAGAGCGTGGCGGTCGTGTGACGATTCAAAGCAGGGCCTCTCTTTGCAGGAACATCTAATACTATTTTCCGGATCCCCAAAGGTAGGTTGTGCTACTTTGCTATATTGAACATCGCAAATGGCACCCCTCAACTTGGGTGTTTTGGACGATGAAGACCAGGGTTTCCAATCGAAAAGTAATGCACGCATCAAAGGGGGTGAAACTGGCAAATCCTCTTAATGTTATATTTGACGAATTTTGAGTTTTTCATCTTTATTATTGTATCAAAGTTTACTTTTCTCGGTACTAGAAAGAACGTCCCATTTCACATAAGACTTTGACAGAGTACGTACAGGTAATTCTGTCTTGATACCCATGGTCATACTTTTATTATTCTTGAACTTTGAGTCTTAACATATACATTTGGTCGGTCTTAGTGGTGGATGGGGGGTTTCTTTTTACGCGTCTCTGTGGTTTACAGTTTGAGATAATTTTGTGTGCTGTCACGACTTGCAACTGTAATGACACAGATTATAGCTAGTTTGATCTGAAAAGCTTGTTATGTCATGCTCACTCCTTCGCTTTCTCTTATTCTTCTTCGGATGCTTGATACTGCTTTTGCGACTTAGACCAGCTGATGTCTGCATTTACTTTATAAATAAGTAGAAACAACTCTAGAAATTTGGTGCAAGTCCCTGTCTTGCCCAAGGGAGACAGCTTCAAACAGCGGTTTTCTTCGCACTTAATGTTATTTTCGACATGGTCATTGTATCACATACATGGCCGAATCATCCGTTTCTTCTTCCAGGATTGTAGCAGAGCTCTTAGCTCCTCCTTTTGCTTCAACGGCAACCATCCTAAACAGGAAGGAGGCCCCAAGTTACGTTTCATCATCATCCTCGACATTCAGATGAGACTTCAGATGTAGAAAGAGTTTCGTGGCTTTCCGTCCCCCTCATCATCCCCCGACGAATACACAGAAAAATTAGTAGATTCGTCTGAAGGGATCTCAACGTCTGTGGTATTCCTCTTATATCTGCTATCTTTTAACAGCTCCATTTTTATGTAGGAAGAAATTGCAGCTGGAGCTGGACGATTAGGAAATAAAGCGTCTGTAAGTGAGTATTTGTTTTGTAGATACTCGAGTTGGTTGCGAAATACTATGCCCGAACCACATAGTAACGTGTAAAAAGATACTTGTGAAACTAGGAAACTGTCTAACTCACGATGCTTTGGTGTATTGTGCCAACTGAACACCATGGTGCACAACCGCCGCACTCCCTACCATGGTAAGAAAAGCTCTGTTCTGTTTTGACCCCTCGCAACCAACAACTAGCAGCCGCAGTCTTTCCCAAGCAACCAAATCTCATCACTTCGACACCAACCTCCACATTATTAGACGATAGTCGAGGATACACCGGAGCATGTATCGCGACCCTCGAGGTTGTACTACAAGAGCGTCTCCCCGGAAACTACGCAGAAGATAGCTCTTTCGTGGGCAATGCAGACCAGGGTGTTGAACTCGTGATCAAGTCCGTCCCAAGTAAATCCGTGCGCGACCTTCCCTCGGATATCCTTAACCTCTATTCGTCCCAATATGGATATCCCTCATGAAAAAACACTGTCCAGGTTTCCCCTCTTCGATATAATACACATTCGCTAACAAACTTACCCCCATCCACAATGTGAGCGAGTGCTCTTTCGTTTTATGACCTGTGTGGTATTATACAAAACAAGGCAGAAACTACATGCAACATCTCTCTGCGAATCATCAACGGAAGTTCTAGCATTTTGACGGCGCCAGTGCAAGCCCTTCACGCTGGCAATGTAAAAGCCAGTCTAGTACAGGGGTTTGCGATAGACCGACAGGCGTTCATCGAAGTAGTGCCGTGTATAAAGCTCGAGGAGGTAACCATAGGCCCTGAACTGCCTTTCGCTATCGACTACTGGGCTGTCGAACAGTTGCCTACATTTGACGAAGCCGGTGAACAGCATAGTAGATTCGATGAGCTCGCAGTGCCGGGTCATTTCTCTCGGGGTTTGGATGTATTCGAGCTCCCAACACATTCTAGCGAGCAGACGTTATCATGTTCGAAGATCATCTGTTCGTCGGTAAAGATGAGGCAACGTCAAAGATTAAAGGCTTTTTGGAGGTTCTGGCTCTTAGTTCCCAACGTGCCATTCTTATGATGTCGTACCAAAGAACTTGGATATATATTTTGGGCACGAGTGTCTGGGAGTTATAATTGATCAACCTTGTCACTGGTGTTTTGACGGCCAAACTGAAGCGGCATTTGTGGAACGCACCTTGTGGTAGTTGAAGTTGTCTTCCACCAGTGCAAAACTAGACGTCGTCGGGATACAGAACCATGTTCGCACACGAAACAATTTCATAGTACGATCGTACGACAAAGTTAAGGAGTGCCACTCGCGGGGGAGAAACACGACATCCTTGCCCCCTTTTTCCCTTTTGGATCAGCGAGCTCTCCAACAAACTTCCAATCGTGACGATTTCGGACAGCGGTCGGTGTCTCGACAATTGGAGATGGCCTGACATAGAGGGCATACCGAGTTCAAGGTTGACATTCAGCTTTATTCACCTCTTGTCGTTTCTCTGTCATGTTTTTGCTGTTGGATGCTCGGATGGAGTTCATAAGTCGAGTGTGCGCTTCTTCAGCGATGTTCTCAAGCCTCGTGCAGTTGTCGCAAAGGCTCTGAGCTCGATGTTTGTGAAGCCCACGCTTTCTCTACAGCCAATACCGCTCATTTTGAGGTCGGTCCTCCTAACCACTGTTTAGTCCAAGCTCTCTACTCAGCGAACTCCTCGAGTATAGTTGTGTTTGATGAGGATGACATAAGGAGTGGAGAAAGGCGTGGTGGAGGGATTTGAACACAGTAAGATGGACAATCGCAGATGAAGGATTCATATTGACTGCATGAATGTGGTAGAATACCATGGGCCCTTCCCGTCAGCCCAGCCACAATACCATAACTGTGTATGCCTTCACTGTATCTTTGCTTGACGATCGAGCTGACTGGACAGGCTGATCTGGACGCTTATCACCCTGGTTGGGCGGGAGAACGTTGCATAGATACAGTAGCTACTGAATGCGTTTGGAACTGTCGCGCTGCTATGTGTTGAAGGGCGTCATCATACTTTGGAGACTCCGGATATATTATTGGAGGGGGTGTATGTGAATATCTACCGGTCCCACACTCCAATAATTCATTGAGCTCAACCATCCGTCATTTTTGAAGTTGCATACGGTCATACGGGTCCCTTGTCCAACCATAAGGGCATGAGAGTTTCACTTCCAAGACAGCCGAACACGACTTATTTCTTGGGTCTCGTCTGTATCCCGTACCGAGACCGAGGTGTCTCTCTGACAAATCTTGAAATTACCAAGATGAAAGTTCTGAATCCGATCTGAAATACAAGCAGCAGTCAATGTTTCCAAGACTTTGGCCCAGTTGAAAGGGCTATGAGCTGTCAGATGCTGACTGCATCTGAATTTCGACCGAGGTAGAGACATCGGTGAACATGCCCATGAACATTTCAGTAGCTGGGTCACCTCGCGTTGTGATCCAGGACAGTGGAGGTAGACGATTGATATTGAGGTTGACAGAGGAGCGGGACTGAAATTAGGTTTATGTCTACCGGTACGTTCGGCTGTTTATTGATATCCTTCTGCGAAAGTTCTGCGAACACAGCGCATTTCGTAAATATGAATTGCGTTTGTTGAAGCCGATCACAACAATCTTGCCAGAATACAGCTCCGCGATCATGACGTTAGTAGCAATAGCACCGAGGAAGGTATTGAGCAAACTGCTTCATGCCGTCCGAGGAAGAACCCTGCACACACACTTCCAACCTATTCCCCAACCACCTCCAAGGTTGCGATTGGCTCGTCCAAAGCCTCGACGTCGAGATAGAGTTTTACCCCATGGGGTCATCCCCATGGGGTAGACGCCAAGCTCATCTTTAGAACCACGCGACTTATTCCAATATGTAATGCAGGGCCGAGTCAATCAATTATTTGACGAGTGCAACTCCCGAGGCCTACAGTTGATTCGACTGAGCTTCAACACATAAACCCATACCCCTACTACCCCTACACTACAGTCCAACACGTGGACCCAACATGACCCAACCTTGGCAACACTCTGGGTGCCGTGAGATCAAGCCAGCGCTTCGCTTTCGTCATCTGAGTGACCCTCCCAAAGATAGATCTCGGTCTCAAGATTCCAACGTTGATGTGATGATGGATTCAGTATTATTATACACCTATTTCCCCACCGCCATCTACCACAATGTTATCCTTTTCCCCCCATCACAATCCTTTCAGATAAACAGCTCTGAAGCATACGAAAATTGTTTGGCACCAGCGTTGGCTGTCACTATCTTTGTTTTCCAACTCATAAAAAGATGCATAACGTAATATTATACCTGTCAGCTGTGGCCGGTCTATGGGGCCAAGCTCCTGTCCAAGCCGCGCCAGTCGAGGCACTTGTGTCACGACAAAACATGTCTCCTTCTCCCGCCCCCCTCTCTAGCGCTCCATCTGGCAACATCGCATCCCTGACGGCAGCTATCAACAAGATTGGGAAGTCCCTGGACTCAACTCGAGAGGTCGTTGAATCCTTCAAAGGTGGTTCTATCAAGGGCATCGTAGGCCTGCTCAAGATCAACTCCGGCGTCCTCGATCTCCAGGACAGCATAGATCAGACGACAGAAATTGCCCAACAGACACCCACGCTGAACGCAGCCGAGTCGTCAGTTGCCCCCTATTGATTTCATTCTTTCAAATCCGTTCAGCTAACGGTAATCACAGCGTCACCATTGGTCAACAATTTCTCACAGTACAGCCCCAGATTAGCGCGCTGCTGACGATTCTTGATGACAAGCGTCCCGAGTTTGACAAGGCGGGATTCAAAATCCTCGACGTCACCAGTCTCATCCGGGATGATTTAAAGATTCAAGAGCAAGGAGCCACGGATTTAGGCGGCGCGGTGAGTTTTCCGCACATTGCGTTCCAATTACATCGCTAATTGGCCATGATAGCTCATCAAAGCCCTGGACCCCACGTTCCAACCGATTGCTGGTCAAATCGTTACCCAGATTGAGGGGAATTTCACCACCACCATTAGAGCCTACCAAGGGCGTGGTGGCAAAATCAAGATCCCGTCTAAGGCTGTGCCTAAGCTCTCTGAACTTCTCGACGACGTGGCGGGGGTGCTGGGCATTGGCGGCGGTAGAAAAGGGGACAAAGCCGTCAATGATGCGACTGAGGACCCCAATGGACCTGCAATGTCGGAGGTCATGATTCCAGATACTAACCTCAGCGCTCTTGCGGAGGATGAGAATGATCTGAGTGGTATCCCGCTTCCCGTGCTGGCGATCTTGAGGAGGTATGATATTATTTGAGCGGAAGCGAACCGGATCCCGCTTAGCATTCTTGTTTCGCTTCACTCTCGCGATATCCGTCGCCATACGGTCTTCTTCTTGTATATAAGTTTTGTGTAACAGTTTTTATGTTGGCACCTTATGAACATACTAATGCATGACATTTAACTGGCGAACAGATCGTTTTGGTTGCATGTGTACGCCACGATAGGCCATTAGCACTGAAATTTGTTTATTCGGGTATCTTAGTTCTAATAGTCTCTAAGCTGACCAAATCAAACCGGCTTAACCATGAAAATCTGGCAAGAGGTTAGTATTTACTATTGGGAAGTTCAAAGTTTGGGTACAAGGGAGGCGACTAACCTGGTTTAAGGCCGCCATATCGGCCATCGCAAGTCTCTTGGAAGCTATATTACGCGAACGAGCGTAATGTCGGGCTGACATGGGCTGCGGAGTCGACGCTCCGCTTGCTTGAGGCGTGGTAACCACTAATTGCGTTATCGAAGATTCGGTTTCTGCTGTTTTCTCCAAGTCCACATGCTTCTTCTTCTGCTTTTTCTTATCCTTCTTGGCTCTTTTCTCTTCGCCTTCAAGGTCGACTTTACCGTAGTCTTCGGGGCTCTCGCGTTTCGCCTTTGTACTCTTCTTGCTTTTTGATCCAGGTTCAACCATTGCTTCATCATTGGCCTCTGACTTCTTGTGTTTCTTGTCCTTGCTCTTCTTTGTCTTCTTAAGACCGTCCGAGGCTGACTCGCTTGTTGTACCCTCAGAATCCGGGTTACCCTTCGACCGCTTCTTCTTCTTCTTCTCCCGTTTCTCGTCCGACGCATCGAAACCATCTGCCTCCTCAGCGCGCCGTTTCTTGGACTTCTTCTCTTTCTTAGGCTCTGCTGTTGTATCGTCCCCAGTGGCTGGTGCAGCCGTGTCAGCAGATATTGACTCTGGAACCTTGTCTGCAGGATTCTTCTTCATCAGGTCGGTGAGCTTATCCCCCACCAACAATCCACCTGGGACAAAACGCATGGGTCCGAATTTCCGATTCATGTAGAGGTTCGTCTTGAATTCAGACCGTACTTGTCTCTCCTTTTGAATAGTCTCGTCTGACTTGCCATTGAGACGCCCGAGCAGATCCTTGAAACCATCCAAACCAGTGCACTCGGCGTTCTGCTTCTGGAGGACCTTGGCCCCAAGACCTAGATTATCATCTTTGAGCAGGATTTTAATGGGTGCTGCGCTCGCAGCAGTGTGGTGATCTGCATGCGACGCATTCTGCACACCCAGATATTGACCTGGCTCCCAGCCGTGTGCTCGAAGGATTTTCTGGCCAAACGTCGTCGTGTCGCGAGTCCATTTTGTATTGTTTGGGTCTTGTTGAAGTTTGCGACGGCTTTGCAGTTGAAGTCAGTGATTTATTCCATCAATACGTGTAGGGAGAGTTACATTTTCTGTCCTGCGAGACCCATCGTGTGCAGTCCAGTCTTCCCTGGACGAAGTCGATAATCAAATGGACAAGGAAAGATGGAACAACATCACAATGCAGCTGCAGCTGCATTGGAGTTTTTGGTGGGGCATGCGATTACCAGTCCAATTTTTGGATGATAAGAATCCCTGTCGATTGATGATAACGGAGCGGTAGGACTTTCATCCGCCCTTTCCCGTTTTGATTGACCGTTGGACATTGTCGTAGGTGATTGGTCTTCTCAAATTACGGGGACATCCATGCTGACTGCCAACTTACATCCAGGGCACTCCGCTGGCCGCTGCTTTCAATCCAATTCCAAGTCATTGACGCAAATTGTCACCAGCATCAAGTGGCTCTCAAACCGAGAGTATCCCATTTCCCAATTTCAATTTCCTTTCAGTCAAAACCATTCCATATCTCCACCATGGTCCTACCTCGCAAGCATCGCGAGAAAGCACCAACGCCCGTGAGAGACACTGATGTCGAGTCGAATGTTGATGCAGGCACACCTCCAGGCGTGCAACCAGGCGTGGCGCGGATCGTACAGAATCTAGTAAGGTCGTGAACTTCAAGGCTGTATTTCCTATAGGTCATGGAACTAATACGAGTCCACTGCTTCCAGAAGAGACTGCGAACAAAGCGTGGTGAAGTCCAACAAGGAATTGATGGAGACTACACCAAAAGCATGAATTCTCTGAAGGCACGCATCACAAAGCATTATCAGATCGAGACTCAGAAGCGGTATGTTTATCCTTCCAGTAATTAGTGGGTAGGTATTGAGTTTTTTTTCACCTGTCAGATCGAAACTCTTGAGTAAGCAGTTGGAACGACTCTCCCAGGCGATCGAGAAGAAGCAAGCTTGCGAAGATGCAATCATCAAGCTCATGACCCAACTTTCCACAGATGGAGCACACATCGCGACACTGATGAACGCAGTTCACACCGGGCGGAAGCAGTCCACTCTTGCCGCTGCTGCTGAGTTTAACAAAAAGTGATCCCCCACTGCCATACTGGCATCAACAATAGGCTACTGAACGGAAATTGGACGAATCAAAGAGTCCAAGTCAATCCACTGGAACAAATATATTGTTATCACGGCATTATCACTCGGCCCCCTTTGGCCCTGGGCACACCTCATACGATATGGAGTAGGTATATCTCATAGTCGCTTATCGCTTAAGTGGTTTCTTTTCGTTGCCACGAGACTCTGCACCTCAATGGATATAATAGTGTCTCGATCAGTTACTTTTCGCCGAAGTAATTATAATGTTATATCACACTCTGCAGGCAATATCTACCTAGGTAGTCTCTTACATGGGACAAGCTTTGGGAAGAGACGCAGATGCAGTAAGAAATTCGGATGTTCTCATTAAGTAGTAACAACAAGTATCAGCAGCAAAACCCATACAATCCAAGTCAGTCGAATGACACGCCGTACCATGCAATCTTGGCGACTATCCTCGCAATGCCAAACCATGCTACATGCACCTAACAAATAAGAAACGGGTATATGTCTCACATGATCCCTAAAAATGTAATATTCCATACTCAGATCGCTGAACCACCTGCCCTGTCGCTTCTATGTCCCAAGTCCTCTTACCCTAACATGCCAAAAGCAAAACCATAAGAACTCCATGTGCGTTCTTTGTTATTCATCCCAATGATTATGATATCAATCAATACCCGAGCTACAGTAAAACCTGAACCGTCCCTCCATGTACTCCATCTCCATCAATGGCGTGCCTATCTGTGCCGACAATGCTTACGATCAGCGTCGTTGAACCTTCTTGGGCTGGTGAAACATGGATACAGCCTTGCGTTTCTGCGGCATTGGTGGACTGGAGGCACTCCCCAACGGTGGCGACGATGCCGGCTTAGGCTGTTCTGACGGGCGACCCACCGCTCTCTGAACGGAAGACGCTGACCGGGAAGAGTTGGACAGTAGACTCGGCCGCTTATTGGACAGTAGACCTGACTTGCTGGTCGAGGACGGGCGTGATTGATACGGTTTCTTCTGGGCCGAAGATTCGTCATCGAATAGGTCCTCTAAATCATCTTCGTTGAGTCCACCGCCGCCATAATCTTGCCCAGCATCGTCGTTGTAATCGTCTTCGTCTTCCAGGTCAGAATCGGAAATGAACGTGGCCGACTTGCCAGCTTTCAATCGGAGTAACCTCGCTTCTCTCTCTTGCATTTCTTGATCCCGCACCATTTGCTCAGCGGAAGGCCGCATGGCAGGGGCGTGGATCTTGAAAGCCGGTTGATTGGTGACACGGTGTGCCTCGACCAAGCCCTTGGGTGCTTGTTTCAGTTGCCTACGATCCACGACCAAGGCGCCACCTGGTGTTGCTAGACGATTCCGATTGTGTATCTCCTTTGCCTCGCGCTTAACCTTGCGCATGATACTCTTCGCATTGGTCACCTTGGTGCGAGTTCCGGATGTAAACCGCAGCTCTCCCGTGTCGTTGCTCCCACCTCTCCTGCCAATAGCGACTTTCTTCATGCCGCCTACCGATCGATCCCTCGGTGGCGGCGGCAGCCTCTTCCTGTCAAATGTGATGACCTCGGCCGTACTGTCCTCCTTTTTCTTCTTCAGGCCCGCAAAGGCATTTCTCAATTTCTCCTGTGCTTCCTCTTTCTGGCTGCGGTCAAACTTTTCGTACTTGAAGTAGACACGGTTCCAAGATGCTGGGTTCTTGGGCGCGTACTGGTATTCGTTGTGGAGGCGGCCGAAGTCGCGCTCGATGAGGCGCAGCCAGCACTCGGCATCGTCAAGGGCGAGGTGGGGAGATGTTTGCTCGAGCTCAAGAAGGTGCTGTGCCGTGTCTATTCGCAGGAGAACATGGCGTATGAGGTGATACGGCGTAGAGCCTATATCCGTGATTTCTGCCAGCGCGTTAGGAACTTTCATTATGTGTTGAGGCATTGTGTTGCCGGGAAGATTTGGCTATACGCATGTGTCGGGCTCGTGGGGGTTGGGGAAAAGAGAACAGTTATCAATGGTGCAGTGAACAAACAAGGAACACAAAGGTATTGAGGAGTAGTGTAGTGGTTCGGGTGAAGACAGAGTGATGCAGTAAGAGGCAGGGAACAAATAGGAGGGCGGGTACCTTTGATATTCTTGATACACACAACGGTGCACAATTCCACCAGAGATTTCCTCGGCATCTTCAGAGTAAGTCTGCGTCGCGGTAAACTGAATTCCCTCTGTTGTCGCAACTGCGAGCTGTGATGTGGGTGACGTTGAGATGTGATCAGCTGGTCGAGATGCCGAGGCTGATATTTTGCATGGGTGGTAACCCAAAGTTGGGAGAGAAGATAAGTTTAGATAATAAAAGAATGATACAGTCGAGACATGGGGGTAATCGATTGGCTATTATTTGAAACGAGGAATGGACTTTGTGCGTTTCTGCGCTCTTTGTTCAACACATAATGGAAGTCAATAAGGACCGACCACGTCGTCTCTACAAGGCTGACGGCTCCGAGCTAGTGGGGTTAGCGCGCTTGATCATCCCTGCTTTGTGAAGCTGGAGAGATCCGTCACATCTCACTGGATGGGCACCATTTATGGCCCCGGAGATATCGATGGGGGTCGAAGTATTCTCTATTACTCTATCCGTCAAAATATATGGTACCAAAGGTGGAATAACGTGGGATAGCCTCATATTATAGTGGAGTCGAAAGACGTAACTTAGGTTCTCCAGTTGGGTTCGCTGTTTATTCCGTCATTGGCTCACTCATCGCGTCTGTTGATTCGCATATGAGAGGACCAAAGTAGTACCTTTATACACTGCATACAGCACTTATAAGCCACAGAAAGGGAGAAGTCAGGAAGCGAAAATGGTAGGGAAACAAGGCCGTCAATAAAACTTGAAGGTGGAACATTTGCTTTCATATTACTGAGTCAGTAACAACGCACCTTTCCCGGTACGGTCTGAACACCTTCCTATTGATCTACAAATCAATCAATGCATCACCACGACAGCCCTTTAAACAACAAGAATCTCCCATCATGATTTTGATGACCAGTATACCCGCAAAAGTGGTATCGCCCTTTCTTCCTAACACCTCAAACGCCATCCGGCCCGGCTGGAGTATGACAACTCGTGGAAATATCGCAACAAGGTGAAGAAGTGGTTTGTACATGAGTCCCCGCATGCGCGCAACTATATCATATGCGCCGCCCTCGCCTAAATTCCTGCCACAGGGCTCTATGCTGCTGCTGCGACAGCTCGCGACGGACCAGCAATGGCTGGCTCAGGTTGCGTTGCGTGCTCGTCTTGATCGGCGATCTCACCACCAGCCTCTCGTTCGGCCCACGCGCCCCAGAGACCGCGCTTGCCGCGGACTCGGATTGGTCCACCGACCGTACCTTCCTTTTGTTCCACTTTGATCGCATCCTTGGTCGCAAGTACTAGGCACTCAAAGAACATCTTGGTGGCATCTGCTTTGGTTGTTCTCGCTTCAGGTAACAAATCTTGAAACACCACAGACGTCTTCTTTCGCTTTTCCTCATTCGTTGCAGCATCGGCACCAAACAGATCTCGCAAAACATGGACTGCATGCTTGGTTCCCAAGGATACAGGGCCACTGTCTGCTGGGTGCACTAGGGGAATCGTGGTTTCATCAAAGGCGGGTAAGGGGCTGCCGTCTCGAGCTTGGTGATCATCATCGTCGTGGAGCATGACCATTCCGTCGTCGGCAGGGATCTCCAGAACGGTACCGTCGGGAGCTATACTCTGTTCCCCAAGACCTCCATCCGCCATGGCTAGAGCGTCGTCGTCCTCACCAAGCTCCAGCCGCGGGGATTTCGACGGGCCTTGCTCCTCTTCGCCTCCCATGTCTGCGATGCCGCTATCTCGCTTGCGCTTCAAGTCGTTCGTCGGCCGAATGGTCTCGATAGAGAGCAAATCTCTCAACTCCGGAGCCCAAGCCTTGCTGCGGCCGTTACCCATAATATTCGAGACGAAGTTGCCACTGTGCTTCAGCTCCAGCAACGCAAGGAAATAAGGATCCCTCGAAATAAACGTTGGTGCTTTGAGAATGTTGGAGCGTTCTTGTTGTTGCTCCTTGATGTGTGCACTGGTGAGCTGGGTCGCGGGGTCAAGACCAAAGACCTTGCGTTTCTTGTTGGACTTCCGCTGAGGCGCGGGTTCCGGCTCTTCGGGTTCGTGTCCAGGCTCGTATATACTCGTATTGTTAACACGAGTCCACTCCTCAACGTCACGCGCCGTGTTCTCATCGATGTCGGAAAGCGGAGACTCGGAGATGCGGGCGCGCTCCGGGATGGTTGCAGGTCCCATTTCGGGCATAACGGACTGATCGTCCAGGTGAAATTGCAAGTCGTTGTCCATTGGGATGTCGCCGTCATCATCCGCAATTCGGATGCCATCGTCGCCGAACTCGACGTTTGCCGAAGGTTCCCGGCCACCCTTGGCCTGCGGTGCAAAATCAATTTCGCTGATCATATCCTCCTCAACAGATCTCGCAGCGGGAGCGTCTCGGCCCATTTCGATGCTCTTGTCCATCGGTGGGCGATCGTCGAGATCTATAGCAAAGTCAAGCTCAAGATCAAGATCATCGCCAGGCCCAAGTGCCAATTCATCATCAATCATAGGGTCGTCCTGCAAGAACTGGCTGTTGTTGAAGTCCTCTTGGAGGTTGATGTCTCGGTTGCTAACGCGGCCCCTCTTGGCGGCCTGAGAGCTGGCAGCAGGAGTCGCGTCAACATCTCCCATCTGCGCAAGCAACCAGTCGGCATTGGGCGGTGGTAGGATGCCCAGATTGTCGGCTGGAGTAATTCGATCGGGAAGCATAAGGGCTTCACGGTTAGGCATGTTTAGATTCTCGGGAATATCATTGTTGCCGGTTGAACGGAAAGCCTGGAGTTTTGTTAGCTAAGCACACACGCAAGCACAGAAGAAATAGACACCCACCATTTTGATCTTGAGCAAGGCTTCATTGCAATCATCAAGCAAGTAGCGGGCCTTGCGGCTGTAGATTCTGACGACACCAAGCAGCAGCTGGCCGCTGAGTCGAAGAGCCATCGGAGCTTGGTTCGGGGTGATAATAGCATCAACACTATCCTGGAGGTTTGACTGTAGAATATGCGTCTTTGAGAGCTTGCGCTCCAAGTTTGCTGACAGCCAGACTCGGGCCAGAGGCCCAGTCTTCTGCAGCAACGTCTCCGAATAGAACATGGCGACGCCGCCGACGACAAGATAGGTCCGAAACAATCAAGTATGCCAGAGAAATGATGTAAAGCGATCACAGAGGTACTAGGGCATGGAAGGCAATATCGAAAGCCTAGGTATACTGCAACGCGTTGGCGGTGAGGGGGGTTTCCGAAGATCGACTGGCTAGGTAAACACAAAGACGCGCTTGAAGCTGTTGGCGCGTGGGAAAGGACTTGTCGGTTTGCACAGGGTCACAAAAAACAAGTCGCGCAATACGTAGAGTCACACTCCAGAGAAGCTATGCCACCAGCAGCAAACGCGACAGCGAAAGCGACGATGGACGGGCAATGAGGATTGCGAAGATGCGACAGCGAGAATGATTATGGGATGTGATGAAATTGGGAGGAGGGGGAAACGGCCAAATCGTCAAGGCTTGCACCTGCCCAGTGGAAACCAGGCGACCCCGTTTCTGCCAATTTCCTGCTTAATTAAATGGCTGGGCTTCAGGTTACGATGGCTAGCTTGATTGATTGGCTGCTGGGACGGCTAAAGTGGACCGAGTGTGACAGCCGCCAAACCGAATGACCAAAATCGCGTGGCTGGGATCTGACTAGCGAAATCTTCTACACAACTCTACGCAACCGTCTCCAACAAGTCCTCTATGAGCTTGGAGCTGACTACCAACATTGCATACTTGAGTAAGCACCTGCCTACCTACCTAGAATCTATACATATTCAAGATACCAGCAAACTTAGCTATGCTCTGTGAACGAACGCAACCTAATAGCCAACATTATTCACAGGTGCATTAGTTGTTATTGATCACGTTAAATACCTGTAGCGACTTGGAATGGAATGTGTCGTTTGAACGACACTCTTTATCAATTTTCAGGATTGCCAGATATTCATATACACATTATATATATATATATATATATATATTAAATACGCCGTTAACCCTCGGTACCTCTACAAGTACTCCCTTAAGGGGCTATAGATGATATAGCGGGCCCTTAAGCCGCGTCGGGCGGTTATACAGGTAAACTTGTAGCCAAACGACTACTAAACCTCCTGTCCCTCCCTAAGTCTGTGCTACAACCCCTGCCTGAACTACCGATAAGTGTGGTAATGTGGCACTTAAATTCGTCCCCAGGGGTGGGATGCTGCTAATATGCAGAAGATGCTCGACTATTTTTTGTCGCGACAAGTCGTAGTATCTGCTAATTGGGGTTCTCGTCGAGCGTATACATCTCAACCATACGCTCAAGTGGATAGACCGTAACGTGGTCTAGACGCTCGCAAGAATCGCGGCGAGAGGGGGTCCGATAAGGGGTCGGATTAACGATTCGAATTCTGGACCGGCTGTCGAGTTATATTCCGCCGACGTGGTGCTTGACGGTCGACTGGCTAGGATGCTCGTAATCTTAAACTGCACCAATCTCCCTATTATCGCTAGGTAGGCGAAGTCAACAAGGTGGGCGGCGCGCCGTAAGGGTTGACTAAACCCCCTTGTGTGTCAGCTGCGGGATTCGAACCCGCGACTCGTCACCGACCCAAGTGGGCGAGGCTCAAATCGGGACTTATCTACCAGCGAAGTGACCAACTACACCAGCCGACATATATATATATATATACACTATGGAGAAGGAGGCCCGGGGCTCCGAGTGGATGAGTGAGGAAAAGGAGGTCCCGGCTGCCCTCCTCGACCACTGGAGGAAGAGATGGCTCACCGGAGCAGAGCATCACGATCGCCAGCGACGCGCTATCGCTGAGGAACCGGAGGGCCCTTCGATGCAGATACCGAAAGGGGGCAAGTATTTCGGCCTGAACCGACTGGAGGCGTCTACGCTGTGCCAGATCAGGACGGAAAAAATAGGACTAGCAGCCTTCTTATTCAAGACAGGGGCTTTTGGCGTGTACTCGCCGCTATGCCGCTGTGGCGATGCCCCTGAGACGGCAGAGCACGTAATCCTCTTTTGCGGGCTGTTGGAAGGACCGAGGGAACGATTACGGGCCGCCATCGCACCACGGCCACTATACTCTCGCAGAGACCTCGCAACGGCAACAGGAGAACCAGTAGTTAGTGGGACTATTGTAAGATGGCTGCTAGGGACGGGTCGGACAGCTTCAAGGCCCAGATAGCATCGATCTTCTCAGGGGGGACTTTGTTGGTAGGTTGAGAACCAACGTAGTATGGTAGTGAACGCAACGCAGTCGCCAATAGGGCGAACCGACGACGCAGCGTATGTATTTAGTCCAGCCATTAGGGCACGGTTTGACATACGGGAGTACTAGTAGAGGTACCGGGGGCTTCGAGCCTACGGCGTATTTAATAATAATAATAATATATATATATGCTGGGTTTGTACAGCCCCTCCCCCCAGGCTAAAGGCTGTTAGCGCGGCGCCAGGCATCGACTTTGTTCCGGTAGATTTTAGTGCAGCAATTGCCCCAGACAAGAATTGATATGATTAACAGTAACGTTCCTGTAGACAACTGCGCACAGGATACTGATAAACGTATCTGGATGCCTGGTGCCACGCTAATAACCTTTATCCTGGTGGTTTGTATACACGTGAGCTCGACTGAGTTACAGGCTTCGAGATCCATTGGAGCTCGCAACTATTGGAGAACTTCAAAGTTTCTATATCTTCCAGTTATTGAAGCTACGGTTACTTGATAAGGAATGAATGAACATTCCTCTATCCGTCTATCGATCATGCCGATCAAGTGCATCTGGGGTTGCTTGGCTGCTAAGGATAGACAATGATATGAGTTCGACTCAAGACCCTTTCCTTCTGGTGTAAGCGGTGGTTTACTCTAAAGTCGCCATCAACGGTGTGGTTCATTTTTGAGGGCTATCGTTTTCTCCAGACTGGATCTGTTGGTTCTCGTGAACATATGGGAGTAAATGATGTATTCATCACCAAGCTTCAGGATCTACCAGATAAAATGTTGGATAACCGGGTGACTTTGGTTTACACCCCGATCTAGAATTCTCTTCTGCGCATGTCAGGGGTTTAATGCTGGTCGGAGCCGCACCTGTGTCGTCGCGCCTTAGCGTCATAATTGTCCGTGCTTTCTCCAGCTACATGATCTCAAGAAAGACTCCAGACACGTCTCCTGCTACCGGCCAAAAAAAGAAGTTACAAACCCCAACAATTGCGCTGCAATTCATACCAACCCAACGACACCGAAGAGTCTGAATCAAATAATAATGCATGCACCGACCCATTAATAGCTGATTTGCTACTCCCCATAGCGTTTACGGTGTTTCCTTCCTCTGTCCAACTTCCATGCATGTTGTCTTGACACGCTCATGAAGCATCGCAATCCTACGAAACGTTCTACCACTGTCAGAGATGCCGAACTGGCCCTGGCAGAATCGCGAGGGCGGCGGGATGCCCCTTCTGCCCGTTTCCATACCAAGCATCACCGGGATAGACCGCGATTACGATTATGAGGGTAGGGAGCCGGGCAGATCTCGTACGAGGACGACGAGCCATGCTCGGACTACCTCAGCCCAGTCTCGGGTGAGTACAATCCTGAAGATGTGAACTATACGTCGAGATCGTTGATTCTTGATCTTGAAAACTAATACACATGGTGGTTTAGGGCGTGGCTGACCAGTATTCCTTCATGACACCGACCGAAGCGGCATCGCGGCTGCAAACGTCCCTTACCTACGGCTTGACACCAGTCGAAGCCCTCTCGCGGTTACGAGACTTCGGCCCGAACGAGATCCCCCACGAGCCACCAGAACCCTTATGGCTGCGATTTATCAAGCAATTCCAAGAACCTTTGATCATCCTCCTGTTGGTGTCATCAGTCGCATCCATTGTAGTTGGAAACATGGACGACGCTGTGAGCATCACTGTGGCCGTCACCATCGTTGTGACGGTTGGATTTGTGCAAGAATATCGATCGGAAAAATCAATAGAGGCGCTGAACCATCTGGTTCCTAATCATGCGCATCTAGTGAGGGCGCAATCCACAAAGCCAGTTGCGAGTTCGAAGAACGCGACCTGGCCACCCGTCAATGGTGACCAAAACGAAAGGGACTCTTCAGCGGGGTCTGAGACACCGGGCGAGGAGATGATGGAAGCAACGTCGTCCAAAGTTATGGCAGCGCAACTCGTTCCGGGGGATTTAGTTATGTTTACCACGGGCGACCGCATACCAGCCGACATTCGTGTTACCAAAGCGTCCGACCTTACCATCGATGAATCCAATCTGACAGGAGAAAATGAGCCTGTCAGAATAACAGCAGCATCACGGTTCAGGAACATACATTCTCCTGCAATTGCAGACTCCGGGGCCTTGCGTCAATCGAGCCCTTCGATCCTGTCTCCTATAACGTTTAATGGTGCGCCGAAAGAAGACTCGGGGAAGCACGAAGGGAACAACATTGCCTACATGGGCACATTGGTCAAGTCTGGGCATGGCCAAGGGGTCGTATTTGCCACTGGTGGTGACACGCATTTTGGAACCATCGCTGCAAGTGTCTCCGGTACGGAAAGCCCACGTTCGCCATTGCAAGTCTCCATGGATGAACTGGGATCGCAACTTAGCAAGATATCCTTTGTCATCATTGGCCTCATCTCAGTTGTCGGATGGCTGCAAGGAAAGAAGATCCTCGAAATTTTCACCATATCCATCTCCTTAGCTGTGGCTGCGATCCCCGAAGGTTTGCCGATCATCGTGACCGTCACTTTGGCTCTTGGCGTGCACAGAATGGCCAAATACAACGCCATTGTTCGCAAGATGCCGAGTGTAGAGACTCTGGGCTCGGTCAACGTCGTCTGTTCTGATAAGACGGGGACTCTTACAATGAACCATATGTCAACGGTAAAGATGTGGTATTTTGGTACCAAAGGGGCTATCAATGTGGAGTCGGATGACGAGTTGACTGAAAGGACTCCGGATGTTGCGGCGCTGAGGATACTTCGCATAGGCAACATAGCCAACTATGCGCGGTTGTCTCACCATGCCTCCGGGGCTGCTCGAACAGTTCTATCAGATAACCAAAACCAAGACTTCACTACTCACACGAGATGGGTTGGACAGCCTACAGACGTAGCCATGCTTGATCTTTTGGACAGGTTCAAGGAGCACGATGTAAGAGACTCGATCGGTCCACGCACAGCGGAAACTCCTTTCAGTTCGGAGAGAAAATGGATGGGTGTCGCCATTGGCGCTGACGCCAGGAACAGCGACAAGGAATATGCTTATATGAAAGGAGCAATCGACAAGATATTGGATGCCTGCGATACATATCTCACCTCGGATGGGCGAGAAATCGTCATGGATGCTAGCCGGCGGCAAGAGGCTTTGGATGCTGCCGAGCAAATGGCCGAAAAGGGACTTCGAGTCCTTGCATTTGCAAGCGGGCCCGTGGCGAAATACACTCGAACCAGAACTGGCTTGGGTTCGACGCCCAGAAGCAATACGCCTGCTAGTAACGATAGGAGCGAAAGCCCCGCCGTGCCCAACAACGAAGAACTGTATAAGGGTCTGACCTTTGCAGGCCTCGTTGGCATGAGCGATCCTCCGAGGCCTGGCGTGGCTCGTTCCATAAGAAAACTGATGCGCGGCGGCGTCAAGGTCATCATGATTACAGGAGACTCGGAAACCACTGCCGTGGCGATTGGTAGGCAGCTAGGAATGCAGATCTCTACTCCACGAGAGTCTTCGCCGCATCAAGTAGCCGTAAGACCGGTCCTCAAGGGGGATGATGTTGACGAGATGAGGGAGAATGAACTCGCCGCTGCTATGCAGACTACGACGATTTTTGCGCGCACAAATCCTGATCACAAGCTGAAGATTATTCGAGCGCTCCAATCCCGAGGCGACATTGTGGCCATGACCGGCGATGGCGTCAATGACGCTCCCGCACTCAAGAGAGCAGACATTGGCATATCTATGGGTATGCATGGCACCGATGTAGCCAAGGAGGCATCGGACATGATCTTGACCGACGACGACTTCTCCACCATTCTACACGCCATCGAACAAGGCAAAGGCATCTTCAGTAACATCCAGAACTTCATTACATTCCAGCTCAGCACTAGTGTTGCGAGTTTGACACTTGTCTTCATCTGCACCTGCTTGGGGTTCAAAACGCCCCTCAATGCCATGCAGATTCTCTGGATCAGTAAGTCATATCTGCTCAGTTTAATACGAAGTTTTCTTGCTAATTTTTTTAGACATCATCATGGATGGCCCTCCTGCTCAATCACTTGGTGTAGAGAAAGTCGACAAAGATGTCATGTCCCGCCCGCCTCGCTCGCGAACAGAGCCAGTGCTGTCCCGCAGCCTGCTGCTCCGCGTCATCCAGCAAGCGACTATCATCATGACTGGAACAATGGCGGTGTACAGCCATGAAATGCACGCAGACGGCGTAGTGACACGTCGCGATACCACCATGACGTTTACTTGTTTCGTTCTGTTCGACATGTTCAACGCGTTATCCTGCCGTTCCGAGAGCAAGTCGGTTCTCAGGGGCGAGGTCGGGCTGTTTTCGAACACATTGTTCAACTGGGCGGTATCTTTAAGCATGGCTGGCCAATTATTAGTCATTTACTTCCCGTGGCTGCAAGAAGTATTCCAGACGGAGGCTTTGGCATTCTGGGATCTCGTACGACTGCTAGTTCTCTGCAGCTCGGTGTTCTGGGCTGATGAGCTAAGGAAATGGTATAAATACGGCAGGAAAAGGCTTGGCGGATACAGCCAGGCCGTTTAGGACTTCAGATAGAGAGACTATGGAGTCAACGAATGGCACGCCTTGGTATATAAACGCTGTAGCATTGTACAAGACAGACCTAGCTATTGGGTTACATTAAGGGGCGTCCGGGATAGCACATGCGAATGGATGAACGCAAGAGGCCATATGTTAATGAAAGAGATGATATTACTTGTCCAATTTTCCGCTCATGGAACATGCTTGTTTGCCACATAAACATGTAGGGGGCGACGTTCGTCGCTGTCTTCTCTAGTTCACAGCCGTGGACAGCCTTACTTTACCCTTTTGAGTCATCCTCATCTACATCATTAACGACTCTCCAGCCTTGTCCAAGGCAATGCGCAACTCAGACGTCTCCTCTGGTGTACCAAGCCTCGTCAAATGGTTCCCTTGCCATGAGGAGTTGTCGTTCTCCTGTCAGAATCCGTACCAACACTCGACGCCGACGACGCACCATCCTCGCCGTCCGTCTCGTTCCACATGATATCCTCCGTAACCAGCACCCTTAGCCTGCTCACGACCCCTTCCGACTCTCAAGCATCTCCTTCTTCTTCTTCTCCCCCTTATTCCCCTGCTTCGCCAAAGAGTGTGCTGCAACCCATCCCTTCATCCTGTCCCTCATCGGCGCACCAAACGCCAGAATATGCGGGGACGCCCATCCAAACAAACAAGTCCGCTTCTCGAATAAGATGGCACATCCGGTGTAGAGGACCAGCTCGACGCGCGATTTCAGGTCCGACTGCGCATCGGTGACGGTGAGACGCCCGTTGGTGGCCATGAGGGTGATGCCGATGAAGAGGATGGTGAGCGAGCGTTACGTGCAGGCTGAGAAGCGGGGCGAGACGGGGACCAGGGTCGTGGTCAGTATTAAGGTAGAGAGGAGAGTGAGGGGGTTGACGAGGTGGATTATCAGGAGGTTCGTAGCGGTGTCCAGGTCAGTCCAGGGCATGGTGCGGAGGGGAAACGATTCGTAGTATGAGGTGTGAAATTGCTGGAGCAAGCTCATGGTTGAGGTATTTTGTAAACTGATGTTGGTTTGCTTGTTCTTGGAGGTTATGTGAATAGTCGTGGTATACATATTTTATTGACGCGCGTTTGTGTTGTGAGGGTCCTTCCTGTCATATAGATATACTGAAGTGACATTTATATCTCTATGGCTTTCATTAGTGACATTAAGTGAATCGAATGTATCATTTATAAGTAAACCTCTTCGTCGCTTAATACTGAAACTAGGTTTGGGAAGTCTCTGGTTCTCATTCTACGAAATAGAGTAGTTTGACTACCTTGACTCTATGACAGCGCCAAACAAAATAAATCGGTGCTGCCGGTCCGTCTTCCTGATATGATGATTGCATAGCACCTATGATTTACTCGAGGTCTGTGGCTTCCGTAGTATGGTAGTTGCCATGTGCAGCGTGCAAACCTGACACTTTGGGAGCACAGCAGTATATTCGGCAATGGAATTGGTGGAAAGCAGGATTGCAACTTGAATAGTGGCACGGCTTAGATGAAGGATGTGACTCCTGTTGTATTGCAATAAGTGGGATACTGAGATCCATCGAAGTATATGTGACTCGTTACGCCGAATGTTTCATGGCCAAGCCAGATATCGGCGTGGTCAACGCCTCTATGATTTCCTTTTTGCTTTTTCCCTGTCCAGGTCTTTGAAATGAGGCAAAATGTGAAAATATTATAGTAGTCAGTGGGTTCTTGGAAAAAAGGATACCAGTCGTAACGGGGGATGGGAATTCTTGTCGAGCGTGAGTTCGACATGAGCTTGCTTGTGGTAAACTATTGTTTATTTCAGGCTGGGACACGAGAGTTGACAGCATTCTGAAATCTCCACCTGCACCTGCGACGGGCCTTGATAAGCTAGTGTAGTAATAGTAATGGTATACCGTACTAGTTATTCAAAGTCATCAAGAAACTTGTCTGGTCTTTTTCTGAAAGCAGTCATGGCCTGTCCTAGAAGCAACACGCAGAACAATATAAGAATAGTACCTCAGTGTACACGGTCAGGATACTCGAAAGGATTGTGTAGCTAATAATTAATCCTGGCCAAGCTCAATAGCATTTTATCCAGCTAAATCTGTGATCAGATGCAATTCCGTTACTGCGCTAGAATAGAAAAACAACAAGTATATAGCAACTTAATATTGCACAGATTCGAAATACACTTGCCATGAGCACTAGCTAGTGTCTTAATGAGTCTGTATTACTGATGCACTGTTCGAAGATGTAAGAAAGGGGCCCTTTCGCCATGTTTCGGAACCTAGCGCTCCTCACCAACAACCACCAGAAGCAAAGACAAAAACACAAGTAAGATGCCCTGCCAGAGGCATCGTTGGTACATCTTCTCTGCTACAAGCCGGACCGTTTCCAGCGTATTTCTCTGTGATTACCAGTTCCTTCTCGTGTGTCTTGCCAAGGGTCTGGGTCGTGTCTGAGACTCGCGAGTGGCAAGCAGGCTCGATTCGGAGCCTTACTACCATTATGCCAAATTATCATTACCGTTGCTAAAACAAGAATGGACTTGAATAAAGTTATGAGGTTTGGTCATGGCAGGATGAGTCGACATTGGAGTTGGTGAGTTGGTTGGGAATGCTGAACTCGAATACGTGAAGTGGTCATCGGTTTGATAGAGGTGGTTAGATGGGTATTAAAATTTGGGTGCTCGAGGATATGGGGTCTATAGACAGAGCTCTTGCTTTGAAAGACATGGTTGGCTGAAAACAAGATATATTTCAGGTTGCATTTACAGCATATGTATACCCGGGATGATGGGGAGCGAAGTTCTTCTTTCCCCTATTTCCGCCGCCTGCTCAGGAGCCGCCAGAAGATGTATCTCTGTCTTGCATCATTTATGACCCCCGAGAAGCCACGGGCTTTCAGGAAGTGCCTAGTAGAAATACCAGCTCATGATTGTTAATGCTGCGCACAACGGCTTATGGACAGGTTGGAGCTAACACAGCAACACCATATTTTGATGTCGAAAAAGGGCCAAGAATCAGCTTACTGGTCACTAGCTGTTCCACCAAACTTAAAACCTTTCGAGTTTATGAGGAATTAAGCTAGTATATGCATCGAGCAGACGCGAAAGGGTCTAATTGTGAGTGGTGCCAGCCCGTTCGAGGCCCACGACTTAGTTTAAACTGGGCCGAAGAAGTCAGAAGACAGAAGACACACGCATGTGGCAATCTTGATCAAGCGGAGGATAAGTTTCGTTGCAGATCAAGAACATGGCATGCAACGTGAGGGACATGTTTTCCCATGTCGGGTTGTAGGAGAAAACTGTGTCTTGCCCAGACTACAGCTTAGCATATACGAGCATGCCATGGCGAGAGAAAGTATGTATTTAAGAGCACCTGGGGCGGGGGTGAGGGTTTACATGAAGTATTAATGGAATAATTCTGAGGGAGCCCTGTCTCCTTTCTGTTTGCGTCTTTAATCATACATCATTCTAGTGATCTACGTAGGCCGTGGACTCGGCGGTAGTTCCACACAAGCCAGGCCATGACTTGCTCACTGTCCCAACAGAATGCTACTTCTCGCATGAAAAGCAGACTGACTGAAGCGGTTAGTTTAATTAAGTATATACCATTAGAAAGGAGACGCCGACTTATAATTAAATTGATTTACCAAATTTTTGTGTTTCCCTACAAGTATAATCAACCCGAATATATTAGCAGAATGCTATGCCAATATTTAATCTTATGAGCATGAAGGTTTTCGATGCATGTAATAACGTCTTAGCCGGAAGTGAATGGCAATATGAATGAATACGAGAAGAGGCAGTAAAGCAATGTTCGAGGGCTCTTCATGGCATCTTACATGTGAGAAATGGAATAGTGCAAGACAGCAAGACTACAGTTTTAATAGCTAGCCACCCATGTCAGGCTACACCGAGACAAGGGCCAACTCAGCACCAAAATACTAGAAACGCTCTGCTCACAGCTGCCTCATCCTAAGCACTGTCTTCGTCGGCAGGGTTATCGACACAATAAGCAGCTCAAACAAGTGGCAGCCGGGCACTTGATCCGAAGATATTGTTCACTCTTTAACGGTACAAGTCTTCTGAACGTATATCCTGAGTTGAGTGTAGAAGACAGCATATTTGTAACATAGCACGTAAAAGGAAAGCAGGGGAAGCCAAGGGCGAGCCGATGATCACCATGTGTGCGTTTACAGTTGTGCATACAGCCCTATACAAGTCATAGCTCGAAGCAACTGGTAAACGAAGACATAGTAAACGTATATGGCTGTGTGAATACAGGGATTCGTTCTTGAGAAGTCTGTTGTTCGGCGCATGTAAGTCAACCCTGACAAAAACTCAGCTATGTAGGGGAGGCTGTACGTGCAGCACAAGTCCCCCCCTCTCTATGTCCAAAGCACCCTATGGTGCAAGATCCGGTCATGCTTGTGACGAATATCATTCCTGCCAGCTCTGTTTTGCATTCCCTATCATATCCCATCGTGTGCGAAGTATATTGCCATGCACACTCCATAAGGCTGCCCAGATCACAAGCTAGCCTTCGCTCTATGTCTCGAGAGGTTTCTATTGTTGTTGAGGCGCATGTCGAGAACCAAACCTAGTCATAGCCACCACAATTCAGGAGCTGCGTTGCATCGAGAGAGAGGAAGAGAGAGAGGGACGGGCGCCGTGAACTCCCATCGCCAATGACGGTACACAGAGACCGCAGAAGTGCCAGCCACCTAGCATCCTCCCCGCAAAGCCAGAACCAGATGTAGCGTTGCACCACCCTCGAGTTGGTACTCGCTTGCCGTCTTGTCATCAACCCTGTGTACAAATCCCCGTTAGCACAACAACACAGTTCCTTTGCGCTCCTGCGGGGCAACAACCGAGCAGGGGCCCGACTCGGCTCGTGGGAGGGTTGCACCAACATTTGCTTGCCGCCGTAGATCAGGCGTTGTTGCACGGGCGGGATGCCCTCCTTCTCCTCAACCTTCTCCTTGATCTGCGATACCTACATTCCCCGAGATTTGTTAGCTATGCCAGCCCATGATTTCTCACTTCGGTAACGCCATTGGGTTGTTCGTGGACTCGAGAGGAACCGCTGGAAGATGGCTAGAGGGTCGCACCTTGTAGTCGCTCTCGATATCAAGCTCGATCTCCTTGCCCGTGAGGGTTCTTACTCTGTTTGCGCACAAACGCGCTCGTCAGCTGGTTGGTCTTGATCGATGGTGGGATAGTGAGGGCCCGACTTACTTAATGAGCATGGTGTCGGTTGTGAGGAAACTTGCGAGAAGATGGGTGCTGGGAGTATGAATTTTTGAAGAGTATAGAAATCGGCGACCAACAGCCTCGCGCGAAGTTTTGTAAGCTGTTACGAACTAGTTGTTGGCTCAGGATGCTCTCGAGATGGTGGCGCGTAAGGCAGCTGTGGAGAGTTCCGAGGTTGATTGATGGTGGGGTCAAATGGTGGTGCTGTAGTGGAACTAAGACCAACACCGCGAGCGGCGTTTTGGCACCATACAGCTGCAGTTGTTCATACAACTTGGAAGTCAACTACGGCAAGAGCCTAAGGCACCAAATCATCGTTGAGCACTGGCAGGAAGTTGACAAAACTCGGATTTTTATACGCCTTGATGGTAAGATGGTAGATATTTTTTCCCCATGTCGGAGAAGAAAAGGGGGAGCGAGCCCTGATGCACAGTTGGATGGACGTAGAGCTGACACCTACAGTCGACTCAAAGTGTCGCATATTTTACACGCATTCAGTCCTTGTTCTACATGATTACAGCCTCCCTTAGAGATACAGTGGAGATTTTGATTCCCATAATGCCCTTCCCTACTTCTGACTTGGTGAGTCACCAAACACATTCAAGCCTAGACCCTCCGAGTCGAGCAACAGCCTGTTCCTGCCAGCTTCCTGGAGCGAGGTTGCGATGGCACGTGCGTTCTCGATTTTCTTCAGCTCAACGTATGCCTTGTTCTTCTTGATGGCTTCTCCAATAAGCTCTGCAGAACGAGCCTCGCCCTGTGCCTTGACCACCATGGCCTGCTTCTCTTGCCGCGCTTTGTCGACGACGAAGGCCGCGCGCTGTGCCTCTTGCTGGGCGACTTGCTTAGCCTCGACGGCTGCTGTGAACTCAGGGGAGAATGCGAGATGCTGTATATGCAATTAGCAATGAGGGCTTTCAACCATAAGGTCCCGAAACGTACTGTGAGGGAGACATCATCCAACAGGATGTTGAATCTGGCAGCTCGCCTCGACAAGTTGTCCCGAACCAACTTGGCCACCATTTCACGTTGTGTGATCAACTGACTGGCATTGAACTGTGCAACCACGCTCTTCAAAACCTCGTTCACAATGGACGGCAGAACGCGCTCGTCGTAGTCTTGGCCCAGTGTCCTGTAGATCTGCGGCAGCGCCGCAATCTCGGGTCTGGACAGCACACGGCACGTTATGTTGACCATCTGCAAATCCTTGGTGCCGGTAAGAGACGACACGTTCCTCGGCTTCGCGCGGACATCGTAGTCGACCTGTGTCTCGAACCAAGGAATTCTGAAATGTGTTCCTGACGCAATTGTGAATATGCGTTTATGATGGGAAGCAACCCGGACATACCTTCATTATAGATCTCCTTGCCGACACCGCTTACTCGACGGTACTTGATTGCTCGGTGACCACCATCGACGTTGAAAAGCGAATTCTGTAGCAGAACAGCACCACCTCCGAGGGCCATGACTGCGCCGACCAAGGCGAAACCTGGGCCGCCAGGACCGCCGCCTCCTCCGCCAAAGGGCATGCGGTTGCGGCGCGCAAGGGTCTGCAGCTTCTTGACGTAGTCTTCCATTGGTGGCCGCGACATGATGGCGGTGTTTTGAAGTGGGCAACCGAGTTCGACGAATAAGCTCGGTGGCTGGGAGAAACTGGTCGTAGACGTGGATGGGAGATGCCTTCCAACAGAAACAAGCCCTCTACTCAGCTTGAGCTTGCAAGTGATGATCGCTTTTCGAGGTTGCCAAGCCCGGGGAAGGTCTGTGCACCCCTTCCAGCAGTCCTAGACTTTTTCCGGTCAAGGGTAGCGCGCCTGGAGCTTTGAGCCGCCGCGCGCCAAACGTGAAGGCTTCAAAAAGTCCAATTGCTTCTCGAAGTATCCTCTCTGAAATGCATCAAGATTGATTTTGGGAGTATGCTTGCTCTGCCAAACACGTCGTAGGCTCATTTTGTAGATTGACAATTTACATTTATTCCCCAGAACTCTTGCACTTACTCGTCTTTCAGTGAAATCAATTTGAGCTTGCTTCCTTGTCTGCACCTTCCCACCTCACCTTCCCACCGACGTGCCTGTGCTTCTACGAGATCCATCCTGTCACCTTGCCCAACTTTGGTCTACACCTTCGTTCCCTCACAACTTCGACATAATCACCTGCCACAATGTCGACCAAGCCACCCTCTCGGGTGGTCTTTGTGGGTAACATTCCCTATGGTAAGGCCTTTCCAACTCTACCATCCATTGAGAGCGTCACTAACCTGCCATTTGCAGGCCTCTCCGAGGAGCAGATCACCGACATCTTCAGCAGTGCTGGCAAGGTCCTGAACTTTCGTCTCGTATATGATAGGGAAACGGGGCGACCGAAGGGCTTTGGTTTCGCAGAGTACCCTGATGCTGGTAAGCAGGACCATTGCGACCAAAACGCATGTTTGGCTGCAGCAGGACAGACTTGCTGACCACAGTCCCACTACAGACTCAGCTGCGTCGGCAGTTCGCAATCTGAACGACTATGAGATCATGAACCGCAAGCTTCGCGTTGACTATAGTACCGAAGGACGCGTCGACCAAGAAGACGACAAGTCAGGAGGCAATGCGCACATGGGAGGGGGCTACGGACAACAATATTCGAATGGCGCTTCACTTTCCGCACCACAGCCTGCCGGCGCATTGCCCCCTCTCCCACCCGGCAAGGAGCTTCCGCCCGGTGTAAGCTTCTCCGATGCTGTCTCCCGAACTCTGAACACGCTGCCACCCGCCCAGCTTCTCGACATTCTCACCCATATGAAGTCTTTGGCCACGCAAGACCCCAACCGTGCGACGGAGCTTCTGACCCAGGCACCTCAACTGGCATATGCCATCTTCCAGTCTCTGCTCCTGATGGGTCTCATATCGCCCGAGGCCATCCATTCTGTCGTTGACACGACCGCACCGCCTCCTGCCCAAGCACCTCCCGTGAGCTATGCACCTCCACCTATCCCTGTTTACCCCGGCGTCGCAACGGGCACTCCTCCCGTTGCAGCGCCGTACGCTCCGCCCCAGGCCTACGCTCCCGCTCCTGTCGCAGCACCCGCACAGGATCCCGATCAACTCATGAAGATGGTCATGGAGCTTCCTCAGGCATCGATTGACCAACTACCAGAGGGCGAAAGACAGCAGATCATGGCGTTGCGTGCGCAGTTCATGGGCCAAAGACGTTGAAGAATCGGATCAACTGGTGAAGATGGTGATGGCGGCACATGGGAACCCGCCGGGTCTATTTACCCACTCTTCATCGATGAGATACTATGATTTAATAGCATTGCGAACTTTGTCCACGGCTAAGAAAATCGTGGACGAGGATGTAAATGGCGTTGAGGCACCGGTGATCACGCTGTGTTCAGCTCATAGGGAGGAAAATATTCTCCAGTGAGGAGGATGGCGTCTAGGGATTGAGAGCTACTCTGTTTGCTTCATAGGGAATCAATGGAGTTTCCGCTGAGCCATGGGAATTCAACTTGTGACCAAATTATCGTTGAAGTTGGGGATTGACTCCCTGGCCTGCATTATACCGCGAGCCTACGCTCGCTACAATGAGAATTCTGGAAGATGCTTCCATCATACCTTATCAGCTATGTTGGAACCAACGGCATTCCCATATGCTTCAAGCACCTTGTTGAAAACTAAGCTTGCTCTACGGCCGTAGTTCACGCCATACAAAGTTGCTCACAATACTTAATCTGCACCAGCCGGTTAATTCTTCTCGTCCGGAAGAGGAGATTTCCTTCGGCCTCCCCTGAACCCGCAAACTCTATCCAAGCCTCAAGAAGTCATCATTGGACCGTCAGACTGGCTACTGAGTCAAGGTTAAACAGCTCAATGGAGTTGATCAGACGGTGGCCAACACGAGATCGCCATGTGGGTATTTTTGGAAGTGGGAAACTCGTATAAAAGTCCAGACCGTATTTACTCTCGTCGCTCCCAGTTTCACCACATCTTTTCTCGAGCTGCTACAAAAGCTCTAGAACCCGAGGCTTTGGAATTAGTGTTCCATCGTTGCGCAGAAGATCACGCCAATCCCCTGCATCTCCGATCCCGGGTAACTCTGTCCGGTCTCTCCGCTAGCTAGATACTTCGGTATTCGGCTAAAGCGACAGGAACACCTGGCGCCCGCAGCTGGGGTTAAGTGGGGGGTTGGGGCAAGGAATAGTGCTGTCAATGAATGCGAGCTACCCCCATGCCATGCGCATTACATCACCAAGGAATTTTCTCAATCAAGCGGAAATCCCGTTCTCTTTCTCCATCGACCGAATAACGATACTTTTAGCTCCCTTGCCGATCACTGTCTATCCATTACTGGATCATGGACAACCCCTTTAACGCCCGTAGACGCGACTAATTTGATGATTTGGATACTTTAATACATGCGATTGTCTTCTATTTACCCAGTCATCGAAGCCTCGCATCGAGCATCTTCTATTTGGAACGTCGAACACGCGACAGACATTATACAACCATGGCGTCGACCAATCCATTCGCGCCGCTCGCGTCATCGCTTCACAAGCAATCTTTTTCCGGACCTTCGGAGGCACCCGATGTTGTGGGTAACGCACCAAGGACCCCGACGTCGCGCAAAAAGAAGCACCGAGCCGGGCGCAAACATCGCCGAAAGGCCCATCAGTCGTTCGCAGGTCCATCGGAGGACATGCCCGGCGAGGGCGGCCTGGACCGTACTGGCTCATCCGATGCCAGACCTGGAATCTACGCTCAAGGTCACAACCTGAGCTGTTCGAGCATAGACAGCGAGGCCTTACTTGACCACAGAGATCGCACTTTCTCCTCGCGTCCACGCCGAGCCTCGACGCTGATCGCATCATCCTTCAAGCCCCCTCGGATCGAGCGAGAGGCTCGCCCACGAACTAGAAATGGCCCGCACAGCGATCATGAAGACGAGGATGAGGATAATGAAGACTTGGGCGAAAGCGCTCCGCTACTCAGTAGCTCGGGGAGGTTCGAATCTGGCTCGCCGCGGGTATATGGTTCCAATGACGGACGACCAAAGCTTCATGACAGGTTCAATGACCGTCGCGGATCCAGTAGATCCAGCAGGCGGCACCTCCATCCTTTGCTGACATCGGTTGTTGAACGCTACAATGTCAATTACCCGCCATCGATGCCGCCCTCGCCCAAATTGGGCCCGCTCGATCGCATGGGCATGTCCTTCGGTGATGCCATGATGCGTGAGGAGTTTGCAGACATGTCACAGACACAGAGTGCAACGGAGGGCGAGACGGGCGCGCGCTCTCCGTCCTTTGACCGCCGGCACACCATTGCTCTCGGTGCCGAAGATGACGTCGCCATTCCGCAGGAAGGCATGTCTGAGATGGGAGACGAACGGCCCCATGACGCCCAGAGCGATCGTCGACGCCGTAGACGGCGCGGCAAGTGGCCCGATTTGTCTATTCTAGAAGAATGGAGCCGGGAAGAAAGAAAGAGCCGGAGCCTCTTGGAGGACAGGCGCATCAAGACCATCACAGAACCGGAGCTCATCAATGGCAGACTACGGCCGCTCAACAAGGGGCTGTACCGACCGGAAGAGGATTTCCCCTGGCGCTTCACGTACTTCAGTGAAGACCTGCCGAGGACAATCCACACCAATACCATATCGGAGCTTACAGAGGTCGAATCTGATGAGGTCCCCCCTTTGAGCTTTCGCGAACTTTTCAACCCCGAGGCACCAATACTGTGCGACTCCTCTGACTCCGAGAACGATGAAGAGCCACCGCCCATTCCCTTCCAGACAACTCAGCGTTCAACCTCCATGCAACGTGGCGAGCCCCCATCAAGAATACAGACCCGAACGCCATCTTTGGCGAGGGCACCGATGCCTCCCGAGGGAGCTGAACGTAATCGTGATGGCGCTTTTTCACCTCGACAGTTACGAGCCGAGTCCGCAGCCCCGTCTCGTCAGCAATCAGGTGAGGCGACCCCTGTCGGAGCTAAACCCTCCGCAGGGGAAGCAAAGTCACCAGCCCCCGAACCTGAGAAGCCCATTCGTTATGGAAAGCGGCCCACGTGGTGGCTCGACGTATTGTGTCCCAGCCCAGCCGAGATGAGAGTTCTCCAACAAGCCTTTCGGATCCATTCACTCACATCAGAAGATATCATGATGAAAGATGAGCGCGAGAAGATCGAGCTTTTCCCACACTACTATTTCGTGAACTACCGGTCTTTTGAGCAAGATTCCGAGTCCGACACGCACCTTGAGCCCGTGAACATGTACATCATTGTGTTCCGTGACGGTCTTATTAGCTTCCATCACTCACCGACACCACATCCGGCCAATGTGCGACGCCGTCTCCGCCAGCTCGCGGATTTCAGAGAGCTTGATTCGGACTGGATGAGCTACGCCATCATCGACGAAATCACCGACATATTCGTCCCACTCATTCAGAAGATAGAGGAAGAAGTCGACGACATCGACGACGCCATCCTCCGCCTCCACGCTGGCGGCAGTCCTAAGAAAGAGACGCCAAACAACAACGATCGCGGTGAGAAAGACGCGCGGTCCATCAGCGGCGAGACTGTCATTGAGAGCGGCGCTGACATGTTGCATCGCGTCGGCAACTGTCGCAAGAAGGTCATGGGCCTGTATCGACTGCTGGGCAACAAGGCGGATGTGATCAAGGGCTTCGCTAAGCGCTGTAATGAGAGTTGGGCTGTGGCGCCCAAGAGCGATATCGGTATGTATCTGGGCGATATCCAGGACCACATCGTTACTATGACGGCCAACCTGAGCCACTACGAGATGATCCTTTCGCGGTCTCACGCCAATTACCTCGCCCAGATCAATATCCGCATGAACGAGCGCTCCGAGGAGACAGCCGATACTCTTGGGAAGTTGACGGTGTTGGGTACGATTGTCTTGCCTATGAACATCATCACTGGTCTTTGGGGCATGAACGTTTGGGTTCCGGGCCAGGAGTACGAAGGGAATTTGAATTGGTTTTGGGCTATTACGGCTGGGTTGCTACTGTTTGGGGGTGTTTGCTACTTTACTGCCAAAAGGGTCTACAAGATTGTTTAACTCTATACAACTAGCGCCTGTGCCACACCGCAAAGAAAGAGTGTCAATTAGAAAATGAGACTGAATGGAACGGCATGGAGTGGACGGACGGACGGACGGGAAGGAGAACCAGGGAAGGAGAACCAGGAAAGGTTTGGGCATCATATACGACCAGACCTTTTGGACACCATGGTAGGGAGTTGTCCTGGAGTCTATTTATAGCACTAAGGAGGTACGTTTGCGACTGGAAACAACTGGGGTGAACGAGACTTGGCTGTAGTAATATATTTCAACACAACGCCAGAATACACAACACCAGAATCAACATGTCATATCACTAACACTATAGTGTTGACTATGGTTGTGAGTGATGCCTAGCGTGTCGTAGTACTGCTGACGAGGCGGCAATCGACGGTGGCTGGCTGGCTACCTTAAAGTAGCCAAGGTCTGAGCAGATCCAACGACCAACTGTCCGGATGAGTGACTCTGCAAAGATCTTAGACGATTGCCGCCCTTCCCTTGCCTACCTAATTCACTGCTGGCTTCCACACTGCACTTTATAAGGTAGTGATGAACCAACCCAGTTGGCAAGGGAGGAGCACGTTAAATATTATTATTATTATTAAATACGCCGTAGGCTCGAAGCCCCCGGTACCTCTGCTAGTACTCCCGTATGTCAAACCGTGCCCTAATGGCTGGACTAAATACATACGCTGCGTCGTCGGTTCGCCCTATTGGCGACTGCGTTGCGTCCACTACCATACTACGTTGGTTCTCAACCTACCAACAAAGTCCCCCCTGAGAAGATCGATGCTATCTGGGCCTTGAAGCTGTCCGACCCGTCCCTAGCAGCCACCTTACAATAGTACCACTAACTACTGGTTCTCCTGTTGCCGTTGCGAGGTCTCTGCGAGAGTATAGTGGCCGTGGTGCGATGGCGGCCCGTAATCGTTCCCTCGGTCCTTCCAACAGCCCGCAAAAGAGGATTACGTGCTCTGCCGTCTCAGGGGCATCGCCACAGCGGCATAGCGGCGAGTACACGCCAAAAGCCCCTGTCTTGAATAAGAAGGCTGCTAGTCCTATTTTTTCCGTCCTGATCTGGCACAGCGTAGACGCCTCCAGTCGGTTCAGGCCGAAATACTTGCCCCCTTTCGGTATCTGCATCGAAGGGCCCTCCGGTTCCTCAGCGATAGCGCGTCGCTGGCGATCGTGATGCTCTGCTCCGGTGAGCCATCTCTTCCTGCAGTGGCCGAGGAGGGCAGCCGGGACCTCCTTTTCCTCACTCATCCACTCGGAGCCCCGGGCCTCCTTCTCCATAGTGTACCCTGCCGGTCGGAGTAGCTGCGACGCCTGCTTCCTCTTCGCCGGCCTATCCTGCCGGAGTATATGTGACGCTTTAGCGCTCGCGCTGCGAAGCAGATTTCTCTTCCCGCTAAGCCGTAGCCGTTCTTCAAACTTAGCAGCCCGGGCACTAAGATAGAGGTCTAGTGGCGGGATTGCTGCTTCTGCTTCCAGGTGGCGAACCGGCGTCGCTTTGTGGGCGCCACAGACTACCCGGAGGCACTCGTTCTGTATCCCCATCAGGCTCTTAGCTGGCCCTGCCGGTTCCTCACTTATAGTATGCCACGCAGTCGCCCCGAAGGCGATCGCGCTACGGATAACCACCGTATATAACAGCCTCGCCCGTATAAGATCGCAGCCCCACGACATATTGACTAGCTTTGTCAGGGCTAGCTTTTGAGTTGCCATTTTTGTTTTAACAGGCTCAACATGGGCGTGCCACGTCAGTTTGCGGTCGAACCAGACTCCTAGGAACCTCGCTGAGACTACCGGCGACACTGTGGCGTCCCCAAGGCGAATACTTTGCGGCAACGGCTCTCGGGCCCTAGTAAAGTGCATTAGCTCACTCTTGTCAGGAGCGAACTCCATCCCGTGCCTCACTGCCCACCGCTGACACGTAGCCCATGCGCTCTCCATGCACGTTAAATATAGTTCGCTTTTAAAACGCAAGGTGTCACGTCTATCTGTCTGTCCCAATCTCTCAGACAAGCCTGGATGGGCTTCAACCCGAAACTTGGCAATCTATCTAGATATGCGGCAAGCCCCGAGGATTCAAGACGCAACCAATGTGTGTACTTAGCTCGCTGCCGAGGTCCGGTAGGAAGAATTTGTTGGGTATACAACTAAAGTGACTTCCTCAGATGAAAACATGCATGGAAATCAAAACCATACGAGTGGGTTCATTGGATTGCGGACAATTGACATCGTGGTACCGCTGACCACCAAACACCATCATTGCCGTACAGTCACTAGGGACAAAGTCCATTATTATCAAATGTATTTTTCTCATTTATGATCTAAGTCTACGCAAAAGGGCCGGCAAGCAGCCTAAAAGCCCCCGGGCAATGCACCATCCTGATGAACACAACGCTTTGTGAGGTATGATTCGGAAATGCAGAGGGCAACGAGGGTACGGCAGTTTCTCGAAGACGGCTTGGTTCGACTTCGGCAGGCTGATTGACCAGCAAATTTGGGTCGGCCGTGTTCCGAGAGAATCGAAGGTGTTGCGACAGTATCAGGAGGACAGCCGCGTTAGAGCATCGTAGAGGGTCGGATAAGTCTCACTAGATGTGATCTCTATGTGATTTCTAGTTCCGAAAGCGCCTGCTAGGGTCATGTGTGTATGTTACAGATGTACAGATAATGTTGACGTAGATAGTTGATGGTGGATGGCGTGGTGCAAAAGGCAACAGGCGGAGGGGGCCAAATTAGAACTCCCAGTTCTCCTCGTCCTCAACTGACTTTATAGCCCAATTGAACTTTTCTCGAAGCGTCTTCGAGAACAGCTTCTCAATAGGGACATCAAACTTCTTGGAGAAGACGACTGTCAGACGAGGATCAATGTAATTCTGCAAGAAGAGTCAGCGGGAGTAGAAAGTAGGGAACATGAATAGACTTACGATCTTCGAGGTTCCAAGAGCAACCTCCTTGTTGCCTTCTCGATCAGCAGCCTGCAGCTCGAAGTTCTTGATGCGGTCATCAATCTTCTTGATATTGGCCTCGATCTTCTCAACGGTAGGGCCCTTGCCCTCAGCCTCGACCTTTTGGGACTTGTACTCCTTTTTGTACTGCTTCCCGAGGTCATCAGCCGCCTTCAGGCGCTCCTTAAGCTCCTTGTCGGGCATGGGTTTCTCGCCATCGGCGACACGCTTTTGGTTATCTTTCTCAAATTTCTTTGATATCTTTTTGCGCTCTTCCTCTACGAGAAAATTCAGGTGCTCTTGGATCCAGGCATCATCGAGATCCTCGTCCAGTTTGAAGAAGTCAGCACCCTTCTTCTTCTTTTGCTTGGGATCCACATCGATGAGCATCAGCTTGGTACGCCACTGCTGGAACTTCAGTCCCTTGATGCGATCGCCGAGCTTCTCCATCTGAGCCTCGTGGCCGGCTCCAACTGTTCGCTTGTGGTTGCAGAGAACAGCAACCTCGCGATTGGCTTGGTTGTACAGGTTTACCTTCTCGGCTACCGTCATATTAGGAGCCACCTTGATGTCCTTAAGCAGTTTGCCCATGGTGTACGATGCGTTGTAAGTACGGAAGACTTTCGCTGTCAGACCTGGCATGTAGCTGGAGAGGTGCTTATTCAGTTGTGTGGTAGTAAGGCGATCAAAGAGATCATCACCCTCCCCTTTCGGGGGCTTCTTGAAATGTTGGAAGTTCTTGAACACTTGCTTCTCGACGCGAACTTCGTCGTAATACCGAATACTGTCCTTACCCAAGAAGTCAAAGATGACAGTGTCCGGGGCTTTTAGGGTTACGTGTTCGAATTTGAGAGAGCAGCAGCCAACAGTCTCGGCCTCATTCTCAGCATCCTTCTCGTTACCAGCACGTAATGCCAATTTATCGATCAGGTACATCGCGGTGGCTCGCTGCCGATCCTGCATCAAACTTGAGTGAAGTTCAGTTTGATAGTCCTTGCGTATCCTGGCGATATGGTTTTTGAGGTTGCGGGCCTTCTCGAACTTCTTGAAGTCACTCTGGCCCTTGACGCTGCTGTTTGCTGCAAGCATGACATACTTGTAAGCACCGTTGATGTTTTCCTGCCACATGGCCAACCAAGTCGCCTTGTTGTCATGTTGGACAGCCTTCCACTTGTGACCCGCTGGCGCAGGCGGCACCTCGGCATCCTTGCCAATGTTGATGGTGATCTGTTCGGGCAGGACGCGCTTCTTCACCTTGCCGGTTTTGGGATGCTCACCACGGCCACGGAACAGACCCGGGGGTTCGACTCGGAAGTTGCCAACCTTCTCTTTACGACCGTCCCATTTGCAAAACATGTAAGCTGCTTCTGCCTTGTCTTTTTCCGCCTTTTCAGCCTTCTTCTCAGCACCCGGCCGTGCTTTTCTAGCGTCACTCTTGGCTTGATAGTATTCAAAAATCTGCTTGAAGTCGAGCTTTGAGAACTCTTTGATGGCCACCTTGTTGCCTTGTTTGTCTTTGGCGCCGCCGGTTCTCGTAATTATCTCGCAGAAGTCGCCGAAGAAGTTCTTCTGAAAAACTGGATTCTCCACATTGTGTGTCGAATTCAGCATGGCGCCAAAAAAGCCAGCAACTTCCTCGGCTTCAATATGAAGATTGACTGGAGTGCCGTCGTAGAGAAGCCGCACGTTCTTGGGTAAAGGCTCATACTCGGGCGGGAACAAGACGCCGTTGTGCTCGAGCATATTCCACTTGATACTGTCGTCTTCCTTCTTGGGCGCATCCCACCATCGATACTCCTCTTCGCCTTCTTCACCGTCACCTGGGTCCTCGCTCTGCTCCTTCTTGGCACTCTTCGCAGGAACCTTTTTGGCCGGAGTGGCTTTCGTTGGCTTTGCTTTCGTGGCAAGTGCGGTCTTCTTCTTACGGATGGGCGCATCGGAGTCCGAGTCTATGTCCTTCTTCACTCCATTGGACTTGCCGGCAGTGCCGTTCGATTGTCTTTTCGCCGGTTTCGCGCGAGATAAGGGTAGATCGTCATCGGATTCATCCTTAATTGACTTTTTCGGTGCGGGTTTCCTTTGCTTCGCTTGCTTGGCCTCTCTTGCGGCAGCATTCTCGATCGACTTCCTTTTCTGCGCCAGCTTGACATTCAGAGGTTCGTCATCATCAGAATCATCTATGTCGAGCATGTCCGTCTCGCTGGCCTTGGGAGGCAACTTGGGCTTCCGCTTGGTAAGGGGGACATCATCGTCAGAATCGTCCGAGTCAGCCTTCTGCCGCTTGGTCTGGGCATAGTCAGCACAATGCTACCTCCAATCGACGTTCTAGATGAGCGACGAACCATAGGGCCATCCTCACTGTCCGACTCGTCCTTATAGCTGACAGTGTGGTTGAAAGAGGATCGCGACTTCCGTTTGTTGCCATTCACCGGCGGGGAGTCGATATCCATCGCATGCTCGTCCTTAATGGGTCCATGACGGATAGACACAGGCGCCACCAGAGACTTGGCTCTGGAATTGCCGCGGTCCATGGCTTTATCTTCGGCCTTCGAGATGGTGGTTGCTGAGACTAGTGTGGATTGCAAGTCAGCATGACTGAAAACATCAAATAATGCCAGGCTAATGCGGTTTTGCGGAAAAGCATGGTCAAGTCGACGGAGGATGGAGCGGTGTTAAGCTAGGCAACTGCGATCCCGGGTAAAGTAGGCGCAAAACAAAACTGGTGAAGCAAAATGCATCAGTGGCATGGGCGAGGATGAACTTACGATGGCCATTGGGGCGTGCCAAAGGCATATCGTCTGAGGAGTAATCGGAGGACATGTTGAGAAGTGTCGGTGGCAGCTGCCAAAGGATGGAAGAGCCACAGCAGTGAAGTGGACGGGAAGCGAATCAGGCGCAGGATGGGGCGTGAGATACGAGTGGTGTTTGATATTCGGGTTGGTGGATGGGTGTTAGGCTGACGGGGGCAAATGGTTGACTACACCGTAGTGTGCCAACCGAGTCTATTGGAATATGAAGAAATCGTCAAATTGGTAATTGAAAAGTGAGCACTTGGGGTGAGATCTGGGTTGCAAGTGCTAAGAGAAGAAGAAGGAAGAAAGAAGCCTTTCCCAAAGTCTGGACTTCGTTAGGATTGCCCCGGTTGGTGGAGCCAGCGGACAATAAGAACCACTTGAGAGTCAGCGGACTGCAGCAACGCGCCAAAACGCCCCGTCGTCTTTCGCGCAGAATTGGTGCTGGCACTGCAGGACAATTAATTGTTAGTGGATCTCGTTTCTGAATGGCTGGATGAGTGAAGGGGCTGTGAAGGTGCCGTATTGGGAATATAGAAAGTCCGAAATCAGAAGTTGGTGGATCCAATCTTGGAGGGCGGGAGTCTGGCAGCCACTGCTGGATTCGTGGCTTCCAATTGGCGCCTTCCACGTTGGTGCTTCCACCCCCGTATGTAAGAAATTGTTAGTGAAATTGCTAGTACAGTTTGGTAGAAGGTGACTTCAGCTGTCTTGGCGTGAGGTGACTGAATAGAGGGCGCATTGACCAGCTCAAAGGCCCGAAATTGTTGCGAGGGAAAATAGGCTGGAGGACTGACGGAGCTCTCAGCCTCTGAAGGGTCAAAGCCAACGATTTCGACTACCCCTACTACCAACAACCAATTGATCGCGAATACCTCTCGTGATCGAATAGCCACTGCTGGAAGAGGCTTGGGACACATTCACTTAGTCTTTCAAGATGCTTTCAAGGGCGGCACGACCGGCTCTGCGAGCTGGAGCTGCGGCTATTCCTGCTCGGTATGTCGTACCCACCTCAAAACCGTTTCTCGGATGAGCTTAGATTGAGGCAATTCGCATCCATCGACCAAGCAGCTGCACATGGCCCTGCAGCAATACCCAGACACAGGTGCTAGGTTCTATTGTAAAGCTAACGTGTGTCACAATCCAGCACCGCCAATGCAGCCGGCTATGCCACTCTCCGAGAAATCGAGGGCCGACTGAAGTCGATTCGCAACATCGAAAAGATCACCAAGACCATGAAGATTGTGGCCTCAACCAAACTCACCCGCGCCCAACGAGCCATGAGCGATGCGGGAAAGTACGGCAAGGCTTCCAACGAGGTCTATGAGTCGGCCGAGACCAAACCCCTCGAGGGCGAGGACAAGAAGACGCTGTACATTGTCTGCAGTTCCGACAAGGGTCTCTGCGGTGGTGTGCATTCCGGTCTTTCGCGATACATCCGACGTACCCTCGGACCCGGCAAGCCCGCTGCTGAACTCGTCGTCATCGGCGAGAAGGCCCGCGCACAGCTCACCCGTACCAACGGTCAGGATATTGTGCTCAGCTTTGCTGGTGTGGGCAGAGATGTCCCTACCTTTTCCGACGCTCAGGCAATCGCCGACCAGGTCGTTCAACTGCCCAACGAGTACTCGGATATCAAGATTCTCTACAACAAGTTCATTAACGCTACCGCCTACGAGCCCACCATTATTGAGGCCTACTCCGAGGACGCTATTACCGCTTCGCCTAACTTCTCTGCCTTTGAGGTTGATGAGGAGCTGATCTCCAACATGCGCGAGTACGGTCTGGCCAACTCTCTCTACTGGGCTCTTGCTGAGGGACATGCCTGCGAAATTTCTGCTCGTCGTAACGCCATGGACGTAAGTGTTTCAGAGAGATGACTGATGCAATAATGTCAGAGAACTAACAAAAACCAGAACGCCTCCAAGAACGCCGGTGAGATGATCAACAAGTACCAGATTCTCTTCAACCGAACCCGTCAAGCCGTCATTACCGGAGAGCTGGTCGAAATCATCACTGGTGCCACTGCTTCGGAGGATATGTAATCGTGTGGATGAATTTGGAAGTAGATGGGAAGATGGGCCCGGTGGCCATCATGGGGTCCTAATCTCTATTTTCAGAACCTGTAGAACGCTTAGCACAAACGTCGTGTAGTAAGATACATCCTCTTCTCGTGAAAACTAACGTCTAAGACTATGTGTCAGGGAAATGACTATTATCTTCAACACCATTGCCTTTTTTCGTCCGTAAGGAACGAGTTCGTTCGTTTTCCCTCTCCCTATCCACAAGTAAGTCGCGATGGGCGATGTTTTGGTCCACCAACCAATCCTTATCCTCGTGGAGAGCCCGCAACTCGGCGTGGGCGTATCCCTCTTCGGCTGCATGGCTTATTCGCCCCTGAATCTCCCTCAGCGTCCCGTAGCCGTCTTTGATCTTTGCGTCGAAGGAGCGCATCTTTTTCCACCTCACGTTACACCTCGCCTTCTCGTTCTCGCGCTCAAGCCTCTTCATCCGAACTGTGGTTCTCGTCTTGCTAGCCTCGAGTTTCTTGACATCACCGTGCCTCTCTGCTCGGCATATACGACCTACAATTTACGCCTCACTTCCCATGAGACATGACTTCTGCTGAGTTGAAAGGGCACATATACCCGAGACAGTGCGAAATCAGTTGTACGCAAAGATTCTAACAAACTAAGGTGGGAGGTCAGCCTTTTGCATGTGAAAGTTATCAGATCAAGGCATTCCAAGCGAAGTCTTCTACATGCTCTGACGCTAGACCTTAGTGCCAAGCCAACATGTCCGACTTGAGGTTTTGTCAAGACTGCGCAGTAGACTAGTGACCTGAAACTCAACTGATAGCCTCCAGCAATAGGAAGTACATGTAGAAGTGCATGTTCAGGGTGTGATTAGCAACACAACTCCTCCACATTTGAACTTTTTGGAATGTACTCTCTGTATCGTAATTCCCAAGCAATGGTTGGGAAATTCCTGGCTCCAATAGTCATTTCTTTTAGAAGCACATATGCTCATGTTCTCATCCATCCAATTCACTGGGTTGTGAGCTTACGTCATAATCATGTTGATATACCTTTTTCTTCGGATAGGCACATGTTCCACCGGGGCCGGAGTGTCATTGCTTCTTGTTCTCCAATGAACCGAGGCATCTGAGGAAGTTGTCCGGACCCTTTCATCGGGAGTAACACGGAAACGAGCAGGTTTATGTAACAAGCCCAATACTTTTGTTAGCATAGAACTCGACCAGCTAACCGCTTGCTAGGATATTCGTCTTTCCTCGCTGGTTTCTGCTTACCCCTCCCCCTTTTGACCGGTTGCCTTTTGTTGATTTGCCTGCCCTTCTCGATTCTTCGCAAGATCGGAAAATGCGCACCAATACCGATTGTAGTGTATGCAAATGACACCTGTTAGTGGAGCTTTCTTCCGATCCTCTATAGATCTTTGTGGTCTGCTCGTATACTCCAGTATATAGTCCAGCTGATGGAACCGTTCCTTGAGAAGCACGGGGCCTTCGTATCTCATTATGAACTTGGGCTATATGCCGGTTTGCATTGCCAAAAAGTATATTTAAGGTTGCGTTTCATCGCTAGGGATAGTACTTAATTATGCTTGACAGGGGGGCTGGCTTGTCATCAAGTCTGGTCCGCTTAGAATGCTTGTCCTCTGAGTAGTCACTGGAGAAGCGACATGGTGTAAGAGATTGATTGCCTTGACTATGTGAGTCGTCACTACTATGCGTGTAGAACCAGCTTGTGGTGTGATAATAAAGTGGCCCCTAGGTCTGATGGCGTTTAAAAATCTATGGTATTAGAAATTCCGCCACTTGCTACCAAGGATTTCCTTCCAGACTTAACAAAGAGTGGCCTTTCCTACCAGTTGATCATGAAACATGATGACCTATATCAATACATCTGACATGATGTTCAGAGAAAGAGTCAGAAGTGCTAGGTTTCAGGACTCTGCCTTCCCAGTAGCCAGGAGCTGTAAGCCAAGGGGCCCGCCCGTGTGCTTCCACGAGCATCAACCACCGTGTTGAAGGTTACGGAGCCGGTTATTTCTAAGCCAAGTCTGGAGATAACTTCTAATTGCCAGGATTCGACAAGCATTGCCTAGGGGGTTGGGGGGTTATTGCAACTGAGAAACACTGAGGTTTTTTGGGTTCCTACCATCCCCCACCACCCCACCGGTAACGTTAATTGAGCACAATACTGCAAAAACACTACATTTTTACTTACACATAATTCCGTACATATTGAAGCTATTTATACCGTAGTTATACCTTTATGTAGCTATTGTTATGGAGTTTAAGAATATCGCCACCTCTTGACTATACGACCACTTCGTGTGACTACAGCGGCCGGCAAATCATCGGCCGTAGCCTCTGATTCTGATGAATCAACCCCTTCATCCTCAACTTCCACAACTTTCCCATTATTGGCTGGTTCTTGACGGTTATTAGGGTGTATAGGCTCCCCTGCAGCTAGTGCTTCTGATACTGTTATAAAACGGCGATTCGGACTTGGCAGTGACTTGCGCTTTTTACCCCTTTTCAAGCGGTCTAGTTCCTCCTGTAATGCCGTAGCCTTAGTGCGTTCGGCTACCAACTCTGCCTCTAAGGCTTCAACCCCCTTGGCAACCTTCTGTAGCCTATAGCGGCTATGTGGGCTTGACTTGTTCGCAAAGTTGCGGATTTGACGGCTCGTACGGGGTGTAGAATCACTGTCAAGTCCAGGGGCTTGTGGCGGCGGTGGAGTGCCCCTTTTATCAACATCTACCTGGATTTCTGGATGCCGTAGTGCCTTGGCCCTTGAAATTGGCCAATTTCCAGTAGTTCTCCAGCCAGATTTAATGACCTTATCGGTTATAGCCTTGCGTGCAGTACTATAACACCGGATAAAGTTGACTTTATCAACTGGCGCCGCATCCGTCATTCTATCCAATTTACTGACTTCTGCCCTATAGGCCGACTTCAATACGTTAAAGGGGCCATTGTCATTTGGCTGTAAGCCATGGGAAGTGTGTGCCGGTAAGTAACAACAGTATACATTGTACATAAAGCACGTAGTCATCCACTCATCCTATATAGCCCAGTTAGTACAGTTATACTGCAATAACTAGAAGACTTACAGAGGCGTGGGATCCATGGCCATCTAGTATAATTAGCCTAGCATCAGAGGGGTCTGCTGGCTGCGTCTGAGGCAAGTATACGTCAATAAGCCACTGATGGCCTATATGGTTGTCTGTCCAGCCATTTGGTGACGTTATATAGCGCCAGTGGGGACAGATCTCTCGGAATTGGTCAATGAACCACTGTTTTTGGAGCTCTTTGCCCTTAAACACTATACCTGGCTCTAGAAGGCGGCCATCGGCTGTAGTGGCTTCAATAAAGGTAGTCCAACTACGGCCCTGTGAGCTCTTAATTATAGCCTTCTGTTGGGCGTCAGAACTCCCCAATACGAGCCCGTCAAGGCCTATAGTATAGTAAGTAGCATAGATAATTGCCTAAGAGACTAATAGATAGTTACCAAAGCCAGCCATTATGCCTCCCTTATCGACATTAACTGTATTTTCTGGCTTAATCCAGCCGTATTCTCTCTCACGGATATCAAAGTACCAATGTACGGCTTTTGGTGTAAACTAGTTGAATCGAGCTGTCTCCTGCTTTCTACCCATCTTGGTACGAATTTCTGGATGTCTAGAGACAAATCGGTTGAGCCAATTCTTCCCTAATTCGTTGGTATCCCCCTGTTGAGCCAGAAGTGTAGAAACGCAAGCGCGTACGTGATTGTGCGTAGGGGCATATCCCAAGAATTTTACGGCTGCCGGAACTCCGTAGTACCGATGTGGAGTATCGTGTAACCTTCTAAAAATGCTAAATTGAAAAAACTCTATTCAATTCGCTATTTATTCGTGCAATCGGCTTGTAAATAGCTTCAATTTCTATTAAGATCCGTATCATTGAAGTTGAAGTAATTATAGTGTAGGTTTACCGGTGGGGTGGTGGGGGATGGTATATGACATATTCTCCATTGCCCTGTCCAAGTCGCTGCCAGACTTGCATCTCATGCTCCTCTCCTAGTTGTGGCTTCAGATAATAACATTAAAACCCAGCTTGTCGTGCCTGGAATTACGTACTGGATTTCCCCGTGATAATACACCCCTTCCAGAGACCCCAGAGGTATGTGTTACGCATTGATGCGCTATGGGTTATCAAAATAGGCACGCCCGTGCTTGTATGGCAGATGTAATTGGCCACGATTCTGGGATAACCAAATTTATACAGGACTAGATGCTCATAGAGTAGTAATTAGATAACTTGACGTACATGTAGTAGGACCCTGATGTCCTCGACGAAGAATCGGACTTGGATTTGTCTGCAAAAACTTTAGACCTACATGCAATGTTTTTTTCTGGTGCCGTTCACCTTCCAGGGTCTTTCAGGGGCTTTGGGGATGGAAGCACAAAGGATGTCTGTAAGTAGACTTGTTTGCGGTGGTGTATCAGGATGAGTTTACCCTACCAAGTATTTCCATAGCATTCTCGCTCGGCATTTTCAATCGAGACATAAGTCAATGCATAATAGTTTAGTTAGAAGTTGCCTGGTTGTGTAGGTGAAGGTGTTTTGGGGTTGGTGCGTGCATGAGTTTCATGCGGGAATCTTTGACGTCATATCATTCGTGTGTAGCGTTCGGACGTGGCGAAGCAACTCACCACACCATCCATCTCAACTTCCGTCGTTCCATTATCCTACTGGCATTCCAATTGTATCTCGGCAGCCGAATTATTACCACATCCCAATCGATACTTTCAATTTGATATCTCTCAGTACGAGAATAGAGACGAAGCCCAACCTCAACCAATCACGAACCTCGCATCAATCAACATGGGTCGCTGGTCTCAATACGACACAGACGAGGAACGCCTCCCTTCGGGGATGGAGCGCATCGGCTACGACGCCGACGAGGAGATCTACACCTTCCGTGACAGCGACGGTAGTATCTGGCAGAGCGCTCCGGGCAGCCGCTACGGTCAATTGAGGCGCGTCTCTGGGCCTCCGGCGCAACCGGAACGCTTCGACCAAGACATCGACCTCGAGGGCTCCCCGCCGCCGCCATACGAATCAGCCGAACCCGAGGTGTCTTGGCGTCACGAGATGATGCCTCTGTTCAACTGGTTTCTGGTGATTGGTCTCTTTCTGCTCGGCGTGTTCTGGTACCTGAACAAGGCGGCGGCGGGTGAGAGGACTGTACCTGAGGTGCACTGCAGCGACCGGGCTATTCCGTATTCGATTCGTCCTGGGGATACTTGCTGGGCGCTTGCTGAGAATAGGGGGGTTTCACTTGACGTATTTCTCGAAGTGAATGTGGGACTCGACTGTGATAAGCTGGGGATTGGGGAGACCGTGTGTTTGCCGAAGAACACCTGAAATCGAGCCGAGGATTTAGATGAAGGTACACGAGGAGAAACACTGAAAGAAAGTTTCCCAAGTCGGCCTTGCTGCCTTGCTGCCTGTAGTCAGGCAAGCGGTTTGATGATGTGGGTAGCGACGAGGTTGAGCTGGCATCTCAACTGGAAATGGGCAGTATATTATCAACTTGTGTCAGGCACCAAGCAGGAGTCATGGGAACGGAGTATATGAATCAACTGATTTAAACGGGTGGAACCATAAACCGCGAAGCATATAAATTTTGAGAAACGAGGAGTGGCTTGATTCAATCCCAGTTTGGACCATTTCACACGTGGATACGATTCCGATATCTAAGTGCTGCCATGCTATATGTCAAAACCCATTTCAGTCTTGCCCCAGAGCGTGATTACCATGATGCTAGAGCTATTCGAGATTAGAGTTGCATCGTCGAAGAGCCGCCCAAGACCGCGATGCCGATCCTAGGATCGCCCCAAAAATACCTTCAAGCTTCCCGAGTCCACTTTCAAGGTACAAATAAATCAAAGAAGAATCATATTGTTGCTAATAAGAATAGCTAGATGATTGACCATCTTATGATACCATAGCTTTTCTGTGCATCACGTTGTTTGTTCTTGAAGGTGAGCCGGGCTCGGCCTGCCACGCTACTTGGTGATCAGGCTGGCAGCCCACCGTTGCGCCTGACCAATCGGCTTCCTCCTGGGAAAGTTTCGTTCCAACTTCAACGTCGAAAATCGTCAGCCTTGCAGCTCTAAACCATAATGACGCCTGTGTCGCGGCCCGCTTGACTCACACAATTTACGACGATATAATTTGCTTGCTCTTGCGGAGAGGAACGGGCAGTTGGAAAATAGTTGAATGACTATCCCATTGCAGCGCATTTTCAGGTCGGCCAGAGCCCCGCGACGGCTATTACAAGCTTCACAAGCTTCAATTCGAATTCTGCCACTTTACGCGCTCAGCAATACCCCGCGAAAGTTTACAACCTCCACCATCCGTCGATCGTCGCAAGCCGAAGAGTCGCCCATCATGGCTCCGAAAGCCCTCAAATTCGAGCTCAAGACCCCTAAGGGCACCAAGGACTGTGAGTCTTGTTTGCTCTCTTCAATTGGATTTATGGAGAACTCATAGCATCGCAGGGGAGGGCAAGGACATGGTTATCCGCGACAAGATCTTCAGCACTATTTCTGAAGTATTCAAGCGCCATGGCGGCGTTACCATCGACACCCCTGTATTCGAGCTCAGGGACATTCTAGCAGGAAAATATGGCGAAGACAGCAAGCTCATCTATGACCTGGCCGATCAAGGCGGCGAAATCTGCTCGCTGCGATATGACCTAACCGTACCTTTCGCGAGATGGCTTGCCATGAACAAGGATGTCCAGAGCATCAAGAGATACCACATCGCCAAGGTATACCGAAGAGATCAGCCGGCAATGACCAAGGGTCGCATGCGAGAGTTTTACCAATGCGATTTCGATATTGCCGGCGCATACGATGCTATGGTGCCCGATGCAGAGATTATCCGTATCGTGACCGAGGTTTTCAATGCGCTCGGCTGGAATGGCACGTACACTATTAAGCTCAACCACCGCAAGATCCTGGACGGCATTTTCCAAGTCTGCGGCGTGCCCGAAGACAAGATTCGCACAATTTCGTCAGCGGTGGACAAGCTCGATAAGCTACCGTGGGCCGATGTGCGGAAGGAGATGACGGAGGAGAAGGGTCTCGACGGAGAGACCGCTGACAAGATCGGCGAGTGGGTGGTGCTTAAGGGCCAGAAGGATCTCCTGGAAAAACTTCGAGCGAACGAGAAGATGGCGGCCAACGAATCCATGAAGCAAGGCATGAACGACCTCGATCTGCTCTTCTTGTATCTGGAATTCTTCAATTGCCTACCGGCCGTCTCATTTGATTTGAGTTTGGCGCGTGGACTGGATTACTACACAGGTGTCATCTACGAAGTTGTCACCGAGGGATCGGCACCTTCCACAACCCCAGCAGTTGAAGAAGTGGCGCCGGCGCCTAAGAAGAAGGGCAAGAAGTCGGCGACAGATCCTGACGAGGATCGCTCATCAGACCCCTCAGTTGGCGTTGGTAGCATAGCCGCCGGCGGCCGGTACGATAACCTGGTGGGCATGTTCTCAGGCAAGGGTCAGATTCCGTGCGTTGGTATTTCCTTCGGCGTCGACAGAATATTCTCGATCACCAAGGCGCGGATGGCGGCGGACAAAAACGTCGCCCAGGTTCGAAACAACGAGGTGGATGTGTATGTCATGGCCTTTGGTGGGAAGGGCTTCACTGGACTGCTCAAAGAGCGCATGTCTGTCTGTGCCACATTATGGGAATCGGGCATCAAGGTGAGCCGGATTGTTTCAAACATGCTTCTATTTACAGCTAGTTAACCACAAATACAGGCCGAGTTCCTCTACAAGGTGAAGCCGAAATTGCCGAATCAGTTCAAGGCCGCTGAAGTGAACGGCGTACCGTTCGCCGTGGTTCTAGGCGAGGATGAGTTGGCCCAAGGAAAGGTGAAGATCAAGGAAATGGGCTTGAGGGACGGCCACCCCGAAAAGGAAGGTGTGCTCGTAAATCTAGATGATGTCGCTTGGGAAGTGAAGCAGAGACTACAGCGCAAACAGGTGCTGGATGACATGACGCGACAGGCTGACGGTCTGAGAGTGGTCCACGGCATTCGCGCCGATCAAATCGAAACGGACGTGGCCGCGGCGGGTGTGGAATCTGCCGTGCCTACTGGCACAGCACCTACTGATACCGTCCCTGTTAATGCGGCACCGGCTGATACACCGCAACAAGATGCAAAGTAGTAGCTTCAGACCTATGAGGGTTGCGGACGGTCAGACTCGCTCAGTTGATACGTTGGGACGGGATGGGTGTGCTGTGTGTGTTCACGACAATCAAATTTAAGAGATATCCCGAAGGCGCACCGTAACTAGAAAAGGTTATACATTTGGCTCTTTTCCATTAGTCAATTGGCTGGCTTTCGCACATCTCCTAGGGTGTACCACTGCCACAAGAATAATAAACATAGCTTACCGCGCCGTATGTATAAGAAAACTATTCGACGGCCGGTGTTGATCGCAGTCTGAGAGCCTTCCTGCAGCTTTGTAGAAGAAGTTGGTGCGTCATCAGGAACCCGTTCCTCCAAATCTCCACTTGGAATGGTAGGCCCACAAGTGTCGGTCTGTTGGCTTCTAAATCTCCCATGTCAGACTCCGTCCAAACCTAACTTTTTTATGTTTACAACCCAATTGTCCAATTGGATAGCGAGCCGTCGTGGGGAGCTTCGTCGAATTAATAAGCGTCTGTTACGCATACAAACGAAAAGCTAATGGACATACTACGCCTCAAGGATAATTTTATTACGAACTCGCATTCATCTCACACGAAACTTATTACAGATCGAAGGGAAACGAGTTCCTGACATGTCAGAATAGATTTGAATGTGACGGGACGGGCACAGTTACTGAAGGTAGGTCAAAGAGGGCCGGCCGTGTATTGCATAAGTCGCTTGTTCTTTTTCCTCTGGTCAATGGTGACTGCTGCAAGATCGTCATTTTTTCGCAAAGTGGCCCTGTCCTATCCTATCCTATCCTGTCCGTCCAGGTTCTCCGCCCCGGCCGGGACGACTGAACCGAGGAGCAGCGATGTTTGGCACCATAGCAGATAGGCTTGCGTGGGGTACGCAATGGCCATAGTCGTGAAAGATTTGAGAAGGGAGACAGGGAGGGAGACAGGGAGGGAGACAGGGAGGGAGACAGGGAGGGAGACAGGGAGGGAGGGAACCCTGACGATAAAGTGATTAATTGAACCCGAGAGATGATAGTGTTGCAAAGGAGGCGATGTCAACCGAGTCGCCCAGCGTATCATTCGATCCAGCAGGGCCATAGAGGAGTTGTCCCATGGGCTGTGGTATAGACCGAATCTGAGATCCCTGCTGCGTGGGGATCGACTTTGCTAAAGTGGCGCAAGAAACTGCTGGGCAAGACAGGAGACGGTTCCTTGTAAGCGAATCCTCGATGTAACGCTGGAATTGTCAGACGCTTGTTCAAAGGCATACCAGCCTTTTAGTTGTTATCAGTTACGAATCAAACGCATCTGCTCATGACACGACCTACCTGTAGCAAAGTAGCCTAAGTAGGCCGAGCCGTGAGATTCGATATCCAAGGCAACATGTTTACTCAACTAAACCACCGCTGAGGCCATTCTTTAGGAAGAGAACCGTGTGGTGGTTGTAACGCAGGACGTCACAGTTAACACCCCGCATTTCGCTTCGACACGAACACTGCAGTCATGTCCAAGTCACGATAACGACGGTACTCGATGTTGCCGCAGGCATTAGATGTCTCGTCAACGATACCCCACCGCTCACGGACGTCCAGAACGTCACTAGTGCAACGGTGCGGAAAAGAAAATGGGAGCAAATCCATCCCAACTGTGCCTCGCCCTGCAAGTGTGTCAGTGCGATATGCACCAACTTTACTAGCAAGCCAGTGAAGTAAGAACCTTGGAAGATAGCCTGCACAGCAAACAACTGAAGACTAGGATTGTCGGGAAAAAGAATGAGCCGCATACTCGGAGATAAGCTGGTGTATGATTCAGTGACCCATATGAAATCCCTGCCATGTTTGTTGTTGTGACACCCACGCGAGCGGATATCGATCCGTGCGCAACAAGGGGATGATGATGATGAGATCCCAGTTTGAGGCATTCACAGCCGAGACCCCCAGCCGGAATGGCTCGTAAATGTTTCAACCGTCTCGTGGCTCGAGGCTCTTGCTGCCATTGCAACAATGCACCAAAGATTTGATGTTCGCTAGCACCGAAATTACATGAACGCTCCGCGGCTTCACCGCCGATAGCATTCACGATGTTGTTAGTTGTATATGCTTCTGATCTTGGACACAGCGGACACTACGTTCAGTTTTAGGAATTCTCTGTCATTTCTGGCTTGTTGCTCTCCAAAAGCCCCGGATGTGTCAAAGGAATTTCATGCTGCACCCAAGCACGCCGTCGTCAGGAATCACTCGACTGGATGATGGTGGCAGGGTTCAGGGGAACCTACCTCACGGATCATCTGCAGGGAACGACCTTCGAAGGCCTGTGGCACCGTCTAATCCCCGAACAGTCCTTGAGTACCTTTTACATCAATCACTGGAAAGTGGACGAGGATGGAACGGACCCGGACTACCATCCGCCGCCGCCCGGCTCCGTCGTTCGTGGAAAGCTGCACCACGCGAGCCAAGCGAGGGTTCTGTCTAGATTAGGAAATGAGGAAGAAAAAAACCGACGACTCAAATGGATGGGCCTGCAGCACGCAGCAAGCCGGCCGGCACTGCAGACTTACTGCAAGTGCTCAGATAACCTTCCAAGGTTGGGCCAGGAAGAGGCGTCAGTCGGCGCCAACGACGGCCACAACAACGGCTGGCGTTTTTTTATTTTCCTCTTCGTCTTTCCACACAGAGAATTCTTACCATCACTCGACTACGCGCCAATTCCCCAAAGCCCCGCTTGAACTCGGCTGGTTTGCGTGAACTCAACCAAAAATTAAAAATAAAGATGTGGGCTGGCCACTGTTGAGAACCTTGTGCTTGGTTGGCTCGTGCCAATGTCCACTTTGGTTCCTAGAATTTAGAACAGAATGACAACCATGACAACGCTATGCGCAAACCAGCCAGACAGGCCCGCAGCAACACACAGATGCTATGAGCACTAAGATACAGGGAGTGAAGATCCGCTTGTGCATCTTACCTGATGGGCGAGCTATTACTAGCACATTCGTACTCCACGGCTTGTGCGAGCGAACGGCCTTTGGGACCCTTTGTTCATTCGGTTCTCTTCTCAGAGTTTGATACTAAAAACAAAAGCAAGGCCCCTTCCCATCCTAGTTTCTTTTTCGAGTTTGATTTCTCTCGCATCTCACATCTTGTTTCTCTCTTGTCACTCTTCTGTTTACGCAAGTCGTAAATAGCTGTGTTCTACTATTGTACCCTGTATACCAATTTACTGCATCTGATTGCTTACATACACGCCAACTGCGATACTCCCTCCCCGCGTGTATATCACCTTACCGGCATCGATTCACACTTTCAATTCAGCCTGGTTCCTATATTCGCTTCGCCCGTCGCCTCCAGCCTCCTTACCAACAAACTTGTCACCAGGCCGAGGTTCTTCATTGTTATTCTTATTTTTATTTTTTATTTTTTACTTTTTACTTTTTATTTACAAAGCCCCGGCTTGTTTGTCAACGCGTCAGCCAAACTTGGCAAGGATTGGTGGCTCGGGTTGGAAGCGCATTCTGTTCTCGCAGTTGTCCGGCATTGCTGAAACATCTATTCGGCGAGGCGAGCAACCCATTTCAACTACTATCTGTGGTACTACGTTCTTTGATTTGGTTGTTCGGACGACTTTTCAGGAACGACATCAAGATCATAGTCCTTGTTCAGGGTCCTTGAAATCACCTGCCGTCGCCTCTTTCCGAATCGGGGACTTGTTGTCGGCCTGGTCTAGTCCGGTGTTATGTGCTAGTGCCTGAAACAGAAGAGCTTTTCACGGTCCTGGGTTGTACCAGCTTCATCATCTGCATTATTACTATTACAGACTCGAGTGCGGTCTAGGCCTTGTTGTCACACACCTCGAACAACATCAATCATTAACATCCAGTTACACCTCATGGAAATTTTGCCCTCGTTGGTGCCTCGAACAAGCCCTGTTGGATCTCGGTGTGACTTTCAGGGAACGGATATCTATCTGCATTGATACGAGGGATCTAAAAGGCTGGACAACCTTTTGCATTGCCATTGGTACGACTTGGGACGAATCTCGCAGTTCCACCCCAAATCGGGCCATCATCCCCCACGATCCTCCCGGGTCAGAAGCCCACCTTGAGTTTGTTGCGACACAGCAACCGACACCTCGGCAACCTCGTATCGGCGACTCTACTACGGCGAGGTCATGCTGAAGGAACTCTAGAACCGCTCTCCCGCAAAGTATAATTCCACAGCCTTACTTTTGCGCGGTTCGGTTGATTCCAGTAGCCAACTTAATTGACTTCCCGGCAACGGCTCTGGCGGTATCCATCCATCATGGGAGGACTTATACCCCTTCTGCTCCCGTCGACTGCTGGCAACAGAGCAAGTGTGATCTATAATCCGGTCGAGGCAATAAGACCAGCAACAGCCATGGCCCAAACAACAACAACCAAACAAGCCCACCGTCGTCAGCAGTCACTACCAACACCGAACCCCACGAGACGGCTCTCCATCTCCGTTGCGCCACCTGCTCTGCCCCTCCTGCCTTACACGGCAGACGAGTGGAAAAAGGCCGTCAACGAGGTGAAGCGCAAGTTCGTCAATCACAAATACCGGACCTGCTCGGCACGGTGCTGCGAGATCCTTGACAACCTCAAGGATATATCCAACGTGGAGCCCCTGCATCTCGTTTACCTGCACTTCTACGCCGCATCCTCCTTCGAGATGTGCGCGCGGCCCCTATCCCAGTCTTCGGCTTATCGGACCAAGCTGCTCCGTGATGCAAAACACCACTACGAGACGGCAGACAACCTGATCTTGAAAGTACAGGAGACGACAACCGTGCAAGAGACGAGATCGTTCTCGCCGTCAAATTCGATGACGTCAAGCATGCACTCACCTTCGCTCTCCAGTTCATCTGCCTCCACTGTTAGCACCGCGCTCTCATCACCGCGGACCTCCGTCTTCTCACCAGGTGATAAGACGGAAATTGTTGCTAAGCCGGCCAAGAAAAAGGTGTCCTTTTCGGGCCTGCCAGAACCCATCGAGATTCCCAAGCCGTGGCAAAACTGGTCCGAGCCGTACATCCGCCCGGACAGCCCGACTCTGGGATGGGAAGAAGACTACTTCCTCTTCGGCTCGCAAGGAAGTCCCGCGCCTGTCGTTCCAGCCCCTGGACCCGAGCCCGCTGTCATCGAAGAAGAGCCAGTTCCGCAGGAAGAGCCTGAGACCGAGACGCCTAAAGTACCTCTAGCCGCGGGAGTCTCATCTCCTCGCCCAGACGAAGCCAAATTCGACCTCGAAGCCTTCCTCCAAACCAAAAACATGATCCGCTTCTGCGCGCAGCTCTCCGCTCTCCGCAATCAAGTCTTCTGGCATCGTGACGCCGTCAATGGCCTACTAGCTGAGCACGACGACACCCCCGAGACCCCGGCCGTCCCTGAACTTCCGCAGGATCTCGCCGTCCCACCGATGTCAACCAGCGCTAGCTCGTCGTCTACTCTCGAGCTTGAGAGTCTTACCAGCCCACTCTCGGCACAGCTCACGCCTCTCACGCTCGATAAGGCATTATCGGCGCAGTTGAAGGATAGCTTCGGTGATTTTGCGAGTTTCGATCTAAGCTTGCGCTCGAACACCAGCACGAGTAGCAATAATAACGAGTCTTCGGTCTCATCCAAAAGCCACGGCGACAGCCAGAGCCAAAGTCAGAGTTCGGGACTAGGCCAGAGTTGGCTCCGCAGTCGAGAAGACAGATTTTCCTCCTCGCGGCCCGCGTCCGTCGCCTCCACGATTCGGGCCCCTTCCTCCTGCTCGTCTACCTCTGGTGGCGGTGATGATGCGCTGAAACAGCGCATTGAGCGCTTGCGTGCGAGCGGGTGGCAGCGGAAGCGGTTTGACAGTCGACGGTATGAGGTATTGAGGGAGCAGGTATTGAATGAGCTGGGTGCTTAAATTTGCGGAAAAAAGATTATTTCATGATTAAACGCTGAATGTCGCACATTAACTTTTACTCCTGTCCTCTTCATATTTGGACCTTTTCATTGTTATATAAGAGAGAGCCGCCGGACGCCTAGCGTGTTATTTTGAATTTTATGTATCAGCGCTTGACATGGGCGAAAAGTTGCATATTAAGCTCTTCTTTTTCATCATTGGACACTTGGAAGGTTAGGGGCCGGTGGTCGTGTTACTATTCTCTCCGAGAACGGAGGTTTCCTTCCTGTCTACTTTTCAAGATATCCCAAATCTTTATTCTGTGTATAAAATATTCGTATTACCTACTTGTACTCAATTGATAACCGTGTTACCATTTCGTCATAATTTACGATGCATAGGGCCTTAGCCGAGGACAAAGTTAGGGGGGATTAGATATCTCAACGTCACGAACGGATTATTGAAATCTCAAAAAACTCACCGCGTTCACCCTAGGTCTACCTTTTGTGATGGTAATTGTGGAGAAGAGATTGGTTCTTCAAATTGGAGTAATTACTTGTCCTGGGCTCCCCATTACCCCCTATCCACGTGGTAGGCCCACGTATGTTCGGAATGTTGTGGTCGCCGACTTGCGCTGTAGTCACAGATGAGTCCTGTTCCAGGTGAGCAGCGGTACATGCGTTTCAAGAGATTTTTGAATGTATACAATGAGGTTAAGACGAGATCACATACTGTACGCAAGAACCAACACTCGGGGCAAATTCTCCCATGTACGAAATTCCAGAGAAGCGGTTTTGAACGAACCGAAATTTGTTTGCATTCATCGGTAGAATGATGGATGCCTAACCCGACAGTACCAACGATTCAGTACGCGAAATTGATAAAAAACCCCTCTCCTCCATCGGCTGTTGATCATCCCCTATGCAAACAAACTGGATCGACCACCCCCCCGAGGATATCGAGAACGACCGTGCTACTTCTCCCTCCTAATTATTCTTTCCTCTCTTTTTGGACTTGGAAAAGACTAGTCACATGGTTGCCATCCTCATCTGATACGCTCGCGAACCAATGGTTCAACCAACACTGGCTTGCCTTGTCTTTCCTAATTGTGGTGAGTTCAACCACTGAAACTTTTTCTCTTGGCCTCCTTTTCGACCTCTTCCTTGACCTTCAGCGTCTGCTCCTGCTCCTTCATCTCGCGCACCTTGGCCATCACCACCTCGCGGAAGATGGCGCCCTTCATGGCTTTGGTCAGTCGACCCTTGCCCGAGCCCGTCGTCTCCTTAGGAGAATCCCTAGCGGCAGTGACCGCATCGTCTGGGAAGTCGGGGTTCTCGGGGTCGTCCTCTTGCATCTTGAGTGCCTCGATACGGTTGGCCAGCTTGACCAACTCGATACCACGCTTCAGTCTGGCCTTGGCCATGTAAGCCTTGATCTCTGGCAACAAGTTGTGGTCGGTGGCACTCTCGCCGCGGAGCCAGGTGTGCTCCATTGCTTGCTGTTGAATTGGTAACGTTAGCATTTCAGTCGCAATTACGACTTGGGACTGTTATGTGACCATAACATACCTGACTGGTCGAACGATCATCAGGATCGGGTTGTAACAAGTGCAAAATGAAATCCTTGGCGTCCTCGCTGACATCCTTCCAGTATCTGTCGTGGAATACGACCGACGCATTGCTGCATTCGTCGATCAAGTCCTGCAGGTTCTCGGAGCGGAATGGTGAGTAGCCGCATAGGAGCGTGTATGTGATGACACCCATAGACCACATATCAACAGGCTTGCCGTGGCCCTTCTTGAGCATCACTTCTGGCGCTGCGTATCCAAATGAACCGGCCATTGTTGTCAGAACTTCGTCCTTAGTGTCGAGCATTTTTGCGATGCCAAAGTCGGCGAGGACGAGGTCGGAATCGGGCTCCTTGCTGAGGTAGAGGAGGTTCTCTGGCTTGAGATCTGTTTATCGGCGGCATGTAAGTCAGCCGTAGATTCCCAGAAGGGAGGCAGAGAAAGCACTGGCAACATACCTCTGTGGACGACATTGTTGCGGTGTAGGTAGTCCACGGCTCCAAGGACCTGCTTGATGGTTTGCGAGGCGTCCTTCTCTGTGAACTTGCCCTGCTCGCAGATACGATCGAACAGCTCTCCGCCCGTAGCGAGTTCGGTAACAATGTAGTACTTGTCCCTGGACTCGAACCAGTCGACGAAACGAACGATGTGAGGGTGCTTGAGACGCTGTAGCATATCCAGCTCGTCCCAGACCATCTTCTCATTACCCTTGACATTCTTCTTCAATATAATCTTGATCGCCACCTTGCCCGTTGGGCCATTGGCTTCTCGAACAATTCCATAGGTTCCTGCTCCGAGTGTGCGCCCAAATCTATATTTCGATTTCTTGTCGTAGCTGTCGGGCTGGCCCGACAGACGGGACATAAGGCCAGTGACTGGTAAACTGTCAGCATGCTTTCTCTTGGAAACAATTCGCAGAATTCCACATTCGGATGTGGCTTACAACTCATTGCGGTTAATGTCTTTTTCTCAGTATAGGTTGCAGTCTGTCCTGGCACTTCCCAGCTGAGAGATATGTTTGCAGTGGGGTAGTCGCGCGTCTTGTCGCGGCCTGTGATTGAAGTGCGCAGGCGTTCCGCAGGATCTCCTGGGGGAGAGGTGGCCCAGAGACAATAGTATCTGAAAAGATCAGAATGGTCTACCCCGTCTTTCTTGAAAAAATGTCAGGTTTCCGTTTGAGACGAAGCTTCGGCTTCAGGAGCGGCCTCGTTAAATGCACCTTCCTTGGCTCGTGAAATGGAAGTCTCACAGATTGCTAGGATATTGAAGTAGATAATGAGGGGTCAAACGATTTCCTCGTCGCGCGGGGTCGAAATAACGGATGAACAGCGCAGAGGGGCAACCTGGATGAATCAAGTGCTGCAATTCTCTGGTTGAAACAACGACATTAAATTGCGATGCGAATCACTGTTCCTTCAAATATGAAATTTTGAAGTTGTACCATCAGGTTGAATTTCTTCACTGGGCTGTATTTGTTGTACGGCTTATTTTACAGCCCGTAAAGAGAGAAAGCCTTGTCCGTTCGCTCATCTAAACCAATGCGAGTCTGCAACGCCCAGCACTTTCGTGAAATGACTTCAGCAGGGCTCAGCCGCACCACCTAACAGCCTAGCGACCAGGGGCCGAGCCTAAGCTCAGATATTGGCCCGGGCCATCGTGGCTTATCCATCGCTAACCTTCGGATCAGAGCTACAGATGTAGTAACATATCTGCGAATGGGCTCCCTCATTATGATCGTTCGCTGGCCTCTTGATCAATCTCGTGAAGGTGGTCCAGCAAACAGGAGACATACTGCTGGGATTACGTAGAATGGCACAATATCAGTGGACAATAGTCTGGTATGTCCAGGTGTAGATCCATTATCCAGTACCGAGACATGCCCAACGCCAAGTTTCGAGTATTCCTTGGGTAGCAAGAATGGAGATGCCACCATGTGAATATGATATCACACGTCGAGGAACGTGACAGCAATTATGGTGTGCCTCTGCTGAGCATGGATATAACTACTGTAAAGATCTCCCTCAGTGGAGAGCACTGCCCACAATCAGGTGTCGAACGTACAAAAATAGATACTGCAATCATAGTGTCATTCTCGTGTGTGTGGTTCTTGTTCGGTTCTTTAGTATCGTCAGGAGGCTTTCTCTTTCTAGCCCAGACACCCATGAACTGGATGCCTCTGGCTCTGCAAAATTAGTTACCTTGAGTAGCGAAACAGCCATTTTGATATGAGGTTTCACGAGGGCCTGTACGACCTTTGCGACCCGGAGGAGGTTTGCGGGAAGTCTGGGGATTTCGGATTTCGGAACGAATGACATCTCGGATAGCAGTCTGCCCCACCAAATAGAACACGCGCCAACTTTTTATGTCTTGTCCCGATTCCCTTGTATTCACTGTAAAACGCGGCTGACCGTGACACCAGGAACATATCGAAAATTCTCCTGGGCATAGACATAAGTCGTAGTGTTGATTGCCTCAGACCTTGGAATTCCTTTCTGTATTTCCCCCAGGAACGAACACCATTCTTTTTTCCTGTCATTGTGCTAACAGGCGCAAAGGAGCCGAAGCCATTACAGTTTAGAAGTCACTTGGCTATCCCTGCACGAATCAGTGCTGTGCCGCGCCGTCCAACGTCGGGCTGACTTCTCAACTCACGAGGCCGCGTTTGCCTGTGATTGATCTGGAGCAGTCAATCAACCACCGATCCCATTACCGCCGACCTGCGAGTCTCCCAGGATTAACTTACTCTTTTTATCCCTTCTTGTCCTGGAATTTCTGTGATACACGAGATCTTTTCAGTTGAGACAGTGTACTCGGTCTTGCTCTGCATTATCGGGTACCCCGCCAAGTTGCGCCCAAGTTCTGTCCAAACTCGTTATCATGGCTGCCGGGCTAGGCGCGAAGAGACTGGGCAAAGAGCTCTCCAAGGTAGGATTGGATTCCCTGCTATGAAAATTTGACGATCTTCCAATTGCTGCAGGTCGCTCAAGCTACTAATTGTAGTAGATCTCCAGCAGCTTGCCGCCCGGCATCACTCTGGTCTCGGCGGAGAATCTCGAGGAATGGTTCCTCGATATTAAGGTGCTCGACCAAAACCCCATCTACGCTGGCGAGACCTACCGACTCAAATTCAAGTTCAGCAAGTCATATCCCATTGGTATGTACTTACTCTATCTTGTCTGCTGGATGCATATCGTGTGGGATGCCTTCTAACTTGCGCCAGAACCTCCCGAAGTCACCTTCGTAAAGCTGAGCGACCGGCCTATACCCATGCACCCACACATCTACTCCAACGGCATAATCTGTCTCGACCTCCTCGGCTCCCAAGGTTGGAGCCCGGTACAGAATGTTGAGAGCGTATGCATGAGCATCCAGAGCATGCTGACAGGGAACACCAAGAACGAGCGGCCGCCCGGAGATGAGGAATTCGTTCGAGCGAACCGGCTGCGACCCAGAGACATCGACTTCTACTACCACGACAATACCGTCTAGGAGAAAACCTGCGGGGTCTTTTGAGTTTGCACTGCTGTTTACAGCCCGGCGTTTCTTTTTCATGGATGGGGGGCATTGGGTCGCATAAGGACTTGGACCACAGTTCGCGAGTTACAGGAGTTGAGCATGGATTGAACTGGAATTGGGAAGTGCAATTCAGGAAGGGTTCCAAGGTAGTCAGACGGAGGCACCCATGTTGGATGTAGTAGGCAGCCTGAGTACTGCTGGACAGGCTTGAGATCACTCGTCGTTCAGTTTGAAGTACGAGATGCAGACACCATAGATATCAGATCCAACTCGCTTGAGACACCTCGGCTGCTCTCCAACTGTGTGGTTACTAGCGCAGGCAACCGGAATGATCTAGACTTGGCTTGCCAGGCAGCTTATAAGAAGGCCTGGAGTACCACAAATTATCATCTCATGACCAAATGGCATTCAGCTTCTCTTGCAAACCATACAATCATAACTTTTGGGATGTGACATGGTCTCCCATTCCAAATTTCTCAACTAAAAAACATCTGCCGGGTTGGTGTGGGGCCTCTTAGCGTTGAGCTCAGACCCAAACCTGAGTGAGTGTGACGTCGCGTCGGATCTAGATTTCTGATTACCGGCCGAGCTCCATCTCAATCTCCAACATACAGCTTCCTTCTCTCACACCAGGAAGACGCGCCCCCATGAAGAGCTCATGATGGCTCCTCATGCGGGGTTCGATACTGAACAGATCAGGGATAAGGGGCGCAAAGATCTTCTCTATCTTCTCGAGGCTGTAAGTAAGGCTGCCCACGCCAGCCCCCTCTGTGACGGACAATTGACCACACAGCTCTAGGTCCGCGGAAAGAAGAACCTCGTCTTAGAACGGAGCCTAGCTGGCCCCATTGGCATCATTGTCAAGGTCTCGACGCTACAAGATTATGGAGTTGACAAGTTCTTCTTCCTCGAGAACAACAATGCCGACACAAGCCAGCGCAATATTGTCTTCATGGCTCGAGGCGAATGCGCCCGTCACACCTTGGCTATTACAGGTGAGCATGCCTTTCCTCAATATCCCTAAAACTCTCTCAGCCACAGTCTCATTCAACTCTTTTTACTGCTTCACTACTGCATATCGCCTCAAATGGGCCAGAGGTACCCACGCTGGATCGATTCGCTTCACTCCGCGTGATCAGCCATGAGTGCCCAAGAGCAAAAAACATCAGCACGACCTTATAGCGTCTTTCCACGAAACGACATGTATAAGATGCCATCGTAATTTGCTGACATTCTTCAAGAACAGATAAAGCGACTACAGCGCGAAAGCCAGACAGGACATGAATTCCACATATTTTGGGTCCCCCGCCGAACTCTGGTGTCTGACAAATTGCTTGAAGAAGCAGGCGTACTGGGAGATGTCAATGTCCACGAGCTTCCCTTATACTTCTTTCCACTCGAAAGAGATGTCCTGTCACTTGAGCTCGACGAATCTTTTCGGGATCTCTTCCTCTGCAAAGACACGACACCAGCTTTCTTGATGGCTAAGGCGCTCATGGGTATACAATCCAAACATGGACTTTTCCCTCGTATTATTGGCAAGGGTGATAACGCGCAGCGAGTATCGACTCTTCTCTCTCGAATGCGACAGGAAATTTTGGCTGGCGATGATACTAGTGAAGCCAAAAAGGCTGGGTTAACACCCAGCAATACGACTGAAAGTGTTGTCATCATTGACCGTGAGGTTGATATGGTGACGCCTCTGCTCACGCAATTGACATATGAGGGTCTCATTGACGAAGTGTTTGGGATTCAAAATAATCAGACAGACATTGATTCCACGATTGTCGGAGCGCCGCTACAGCCATCCTCCCAGAGCAGCTCTGCGACACCACCAGCAAGTACATCCGTCAGGAAACGCAAGATTCAACTAGACTCTTCGGACAAACTCTACGATGGGCTGCGCGATACCAACTTTGCCATTGTCGGGACGCTTCTCAACAAAGTTGCACGGCGGCTGCAGAGTGACTACGACAGCAGACATGCCTCAAAAACGACTGCAGAGCTCAAGGATTTCGTCAAGAAGCTGCCAGGCTATCAAGCCGAGCAGCAGAGCCTCAAGATTCACACGGGCCTTACCGAAGAGATTATGAAGTATACTCGAACTGACCAATTCAGCCAACTGCTCGAAGTGCAGCAAAATCTGGCTGCAGGTGCCGACCCAAGCTCGCAGTTTGACGTGATCGAAGAACTTATTGCGAGAGACACGCCTCTTTCGGAGGTCCTCAGACTTGTGTGCATATATTCATGCATATCCGGCGGTATCAAGTCGAAGGAGTTCGATCAATTCAGAAGATTGATTTTGGAGGGCTACGGTTACCAGCATTTACTTACCCTGAACAATCTGGAAAAGTTGCAGCTGTTCCTTTCGCGATCTTCACCAATGGCAAACATGATTCCAATGCCAGGGGCGGGGCAGGCGACGGGAACCAAGACCAATTACACGTATCTCCGCAAGCAGTTGCGCTTGATCGTCGATGAAGTCAACGAACACGACCCGAACGACATAGCGTACGTCTATAGCGGCTACGCGCCACTGTCCATCCGACTCGTACAGTGTGTTCTTCAAAAGCAATTCCTGCTCTCTATAACACGTGGGAACGGTGTGACGGGAGTCGGTGCAGGAAGTGGTGCTCAGGGGTGGCGAGGTTTCGACGAGGCGGTGAAGCATGCACGTGGTGAAACCTTCGATGTGCTTCAGAAAGGGGAAGACAAGGCCGTCAAGGCGCAGGCTCTCTTATCTGGAGGTAGTGACAATAAGACGGTGTTCGTGGTTTTCGTTGGTGGCATCACGTTCACCGAAATTGCAGCCCTGCGTTTTATTGCAAAGAAAGAAGAAGGTATGCATTCTCTAATCTTGGGGTTTCTCTTGTGACTTGCCGCTAATAGAGGTGTTGCCAGCCCGGAGAAACATTATTATCTGCACGACCTCGATCATCAGCGGGAACAAGATGATGGATGCCGCGATGGAGAAAAGTTCGTTTGCGAGGGAAAAGCCAATGCCGAAACCTGCGGCGGCATCAGTTTGAAATCGACATTTCCTGTATATCGTCCAGTTGCGGGGGACTCTCAGGAGCCCGGTGTAACATCGACAACAGCAACACCGCCGCGCTGAGAGCATTCATCACGGGTTCGGGGCGTGCGATTCGATTTGCATGGGTCCAAAGGTGCGCAGCTGATGATCTCGAGAACGAACAATATAGGAGTCTTATCACATTCATCTGGCTATACCTCTCAACGTGCGTTATTATCAATTGGGTAGACTGCAAAGACGAACTATTAAAGTAGCTACCATAGTGTGGTGCTAAAACCGCTCACTGCTCCTGCCTCTAAATGCTGCAGCCAGCGCAAATTCTGATCACGTGCAGCAACTTCGAAGTGTCAACCTTCTGTTCTTGCAGGTGGGTCGTTTTACAACCCTCCCTCGACGCTGCATCTTTACACATATTCCATCGATATCCAATCACTCGAGACACACAAGACCCTGGGACCCGATATTTGTGATTTACAGACCGTCATTTACCCATCTTCCTTGTTTGTCTGCGTACAGGCCTTATGCAATTGTGAATCGCACTCGAGCTTGACTCAGCTGGGATCTACCAAAGGTACTGTGCCCGAACCACTTCACTCACTGTGACTGTGCAATGTCCCTTCAAACCTCAATGCCTTTATGCGCCCTCGGCAAGTGCCACCCAGTCGTTCAAAATGGCTAATACGACTAAGCAGCTTGACTAGTATCGCTTGGTATGGTCTTTCGGTGACAATTATACAAATGATGGGTATTGGAGGATGATAATTTGCGTGAGAAGAGGTCACACAGACGAGTCGCCAAGCCCGCAGACCACCCAAACGACTCTCCGGCCCGTATATATCGATGAAAGCCTCTTGACCACAACGATATATGAGCCTGCGAACTATGAGAAGCACTCAAGAGACGTTGTTGGAGGAGGGGAAAAGCATTGGGCCGGGGCCAAGGGTGGGTTTAGACAACCTCGACCTACATCTTTCCATATTAGCTTCGAGCAGCGACCACACCAAAGAAACCTCTGGTCTCGGGCCAGATATCTACGATTCACACCAGACCGCTCCATCGACGTCAAAGGGCACACCCAGGACTGAATCTGAAATAATAGTACGGATAGATGACATGGATTACGATATGGACAGTTCTGCTCCTGCATCAGTGTTACAGGAAGGCTCCGAGTAAGTGCCATCAGACTTTTAGGCGAATATCCCCTCAATTTGGCATTATCACACTTGCCCCTTTATGTTCCACCTTTAACCAGAGTAGCAGATCCCATCAAGAGCAAGACCCCCCTGTCAACTCGGCTCTTCTCGGATTTCAAGAGAGCCTCAGGAAGTCTTTTGCATCCTCCGCTTCGGCGTTATCAGACTTGTCAGACCTCTCATCTCTTCCTTCCTCGCCGTCCTCTAGTAAAGCAACAACACCTATAAATACGGATGACTCAAAAGAGCCATTAGAAGTGCCTCTGCAGACGACCAAACTCGACACAGCGGTTCCGCCAGCCAAGACAACTACGGCAAGGCAAACGTTCAACGTGCGGCCCAAAGTGTCGATACCGACAGATGTGGCGCCATACGATTATGCGCACCAATGCATCGCAGCTGCCGAACACTCGAGACTCAATCCATATGCCTTGCATCAAGAAGAATATCCGATGCTGCGGGAACACATCAGCCATGCTCAAGTCACCACATATTTGAACATCCGCAACGGTATTTTGAGATTATGGACGAATAATCCGCGAATAGGCGTGGCACGTGAAGAGGCAATTGGCTGCGCAAAAGACCCCAGATGGTTCGATGCGGCCAATGTCTGCTACGAATGGCTCCTTCGTCGGGGATATATCAACTATGGCTGTGCTGAAGTCCCCTCGTCCAAGACACGCCCTAAGAAGGCAGAATTGCGGCGAAGGGGAAAAATAGTGGTGGTCATTGGAGCAGGCATGGCTGGTCTTGGGTGTGCAAGACAACTCGAGGCTCTCTTCCAGCAGTATGCTTGTCAATTTCAAGAAATGGGCGAGGAACCTCCTAGAGTCGTGGTGCTCGAAGGCCGGAGTCGAATAGGTGGCCGTGTCTATTCAAGAGCCGTCGACGGCAGCCAATGCCAACGTCTGATAGGTTTCCAGGGTAAGCGACATAGCGTTGAATGTGGCGGCATGATCATCACGGGATTCGAGCGTGGCAACCCCTTGAACATCCTTGTACGAGGGCAGATGGCATTGCCATATTATGCATTACGACCAGAGACAACACTTTACGATTCAAATGGCAAAGCTGTCGACCCGAATCGAGACCTGCTTGTCGAAAAGCTTTACAACGATTGCCTCGAACGGGTGAGCGACTACAAGTTCAAGAACCCACCGTCGAAGCTCATTGAAGGTAACAAGGATCTGATGGACGAGGGCCGGGATAGTGCCTCAGAGGGGAACAAAACCATTGCGCATGTTGAAGAAGCAATGGCGGCTATGCCACAAGCACCGCCTGTATCGGAACAAAGTCTAGCTCCCCAGGTGAACCTCGTTCCGGTTTCGACAGACCGCGCGACTGGAAAGACCCACGTTGAGCCGGGAACTGCTGCTGCTCTGAAGGCAGCCTACAAGGCCAAACAGATGGGATGGGCACTCCAAGAAGGTGTCACCGAAGATCATGACCTGGAACTTGATGCGGCAGCGAAAGGTGCGGATACTACGCTTGGTTCCCTCATGGACGAGTCGATTTCCCAGTATAGGAATATCATTGAACTTACAGCGCAGGACTATCGACTCATGAATTGGCACATCGCCAATCTCGAATACAGCAATGCCACCAACTACAATCAGCTGAGTCTCAGTGGATGGGACATAGACGCCGGCAACGAGTGGGAGGGCAAACACACAATGGTTGTCGGTGGGTACCAAAGTGTGCCCTGGGGACTGGCTCAGTACCCATCGCAGTTGAACATCCGCAAGGACAAAGCAGTTAAGAAGGTCATTTACGACCCCGACGCCAAAGGAGCCGCTAGAGTCGAGTGCGAAGATGGCATGTCCATTGAAGCGGATTATGTTGTGTCGACAATCCCGCTTGGCGTTCTAAAGCATGGAAATGTCGAGTTTAACCCACCTCTACCTTCATGGAAGACGGATGCCATTGGCCGACTTGGCTATGGCATCCTGAACAAGATCATTCTGGTTTACCAGGAGGCTTTCTGGGATACGAGCCGGGATATCTTCGGCGTGTTGCGGAACCCACCATCTCGCCACAGCCTAAAACAGAGCGAGTATACTTCACAGCGTGGCCGCTGCTTCCAGTGGTTTAACGTATCCAACACGAGTGGGATCCCAGTCCTCCTGGCTCTCATGGCCGGCGATGCCGGCTTCGACACAGAACATACTAAGAACGACGACCTGGTTGGCGAAGCCACCGAGGTTCTACGCAGTGTGTATGGCGGTAAAGTGCCGCAACCCGTACATGCTGTCGTTACGCGTTGGGGATCAGACAAATTTGCTCGCGGTGCATACTCCTCGGCGGGGCCATTAATGAAGCCCGACGATTACGATACCATGGCTCGCTCGGTAGGCAATCTCATCTTCGCTGGAGAGCACACCACTGGCACGCACCCGGCGACTGTGCATGGCGCCTATCTTTCAGGACTTCGTGCTGCGTCTGACGTACTCGATGCTATGCTTGGGCCTATTCAAATTCCCACCCCTCTTATTATACCCAGGGAGACATCCCTTCACTCGTCAGCCAACGCAGTTAAGCGCAAGGCGCCAGGTAATGATAGAGCTCGCCTCTCTCCGAGAGCATCCAAACAAGCACGTATCGAAGCACACGAGATTGCCTCATACCAGCATATCGTATCCAAGATCGGCGAACGCCCCTGGCGCCCGCAAAAGGTCGCCGGGAACGCCTATCTACTCTACAGCAAAGCCAATTTTGAGGCGGCGCGCAAACGATGCGAAGAAGGCAGACGTCCCGGCAAGGGCAAGCCCAATCCGAACGAAGTCCGAGTCATGACGAGCAAGATGTGGAAAGAAGCTCCGCCAGAGGAGAAGAGCCCCTTCGAGGACCAGGCCAGGGACCAGAAGAAAGTATACGGCGAGAAACTGCGGGAATGGGAACAAGCTGTGAAGGACTGGGATATCAAGGCGCTGGGAATTAGACAGGCCTGGGAAGCGGACGGGAACCGGCTCGTCCTCGAGGATGACAGCTTAGCCGACAGTTTCGGCAGAGAACGAAGAGGCCAAAAGGTCAGCACGTACGCTGAGAGTGACAGCAGTGACAGCAATGACCTTGAAATGGAGGATTAGCTGGCGGCTGGTGGTTCAGCGCGTGGCAGGATTATTAGTTGGCGCTTCTGGGTGAATAGATATTGTACATAACACTCCTGGTGGTTCACGATGGACGTGTGAATCAATTCTTCGGGACAATATGGGCTTGGGAAGGTTGGTGATTCCGGTGGTATTGTCGGGCATGTTATGTACGTGGTAGCTTATCCCCTCGTCTACCATGTACGGAGTTTGGGCTCATAGCATAATGTTATCGTTGCGCTTTTTCCATCACTTGGACTAGGTAGCCTCTTCTTTCAGTTATGCAGTGTCCGTGCTGCAAAGTTCACAAGGCTGGATTGCTGGGTGGAGGTTCGACTTAGTAAGTCACGTAGAGCTAGAACCGGAATGAGCTCAACGTTAAGCATCCGGTAAGTTTGCGCTAGACCGCAGAGGGGCCAGGGCTTGGGGAGGGGGGGTGGAGGTGGTTTGACCTAGCGAGGAGTGACTAAGGCGTCATCTTCTTAGCTAATGGAGATGGCACACTCTTGTGGTACCCCCGAAGAGCCGCACTTAGATGCGGCATCGGTAGCTTTCACCAGCATTACTCCACGCTCGATCAGGGTCATGTTTGGGGAATGCTGAAGGTAGCAACTGCACCCACGCTACAAGGTAGGCTGATCTGATCGCTGTCCTGGTCTATATAAAGCAGCGAACCTGGTCGTATGTTAGCGTCATTTCTGGTTATTCGAACATGCTTGAGCACTTGGTTCAGGTGCTGTTAGTGCCTGCCCAGAGTCCGGGAGATAGCATGTCTCAGCTGTGTGTTCATTGAAGGTTTAGTTACAATGCATTATTTAGCACTTTGAGACCCAATGGATTTCAAAACGTAAAAGGCACTCGGTACGCTGAAGAAACACAAAACCTCACCCATTCTAGACTTCTCACGGTGGGGGGAGTAAGTTGCGGGAGAAGGAAGGGGCGCAGACTCGCTTATGACGAATATCGGCAAGGAGGCTGGGTACTGCGTATGATCTACGACGCGGTAACTTGGATGCTGCGGGAAGCGGTGGCCTCAGGTATGGAGGGGTATGGGGCAGGCAGGCACGGATTGTAGTACCTCAGGACCCTCGGGGCCAACTTGGGATTGATCCCTCATGCTCCTTCAATACAGCCCGCGGTAATTGGGATCCGACAGATATATTTCTAACAGCCGCGCGTCTCTTGTTCCTTAGTACCGTTGCCGCCTTGCTCGGGATATCGGATTCTGGATAGCTCTGGGCTAACGACGCCATGATAACTGGCTAAAAATATTGAATATAAGTAAGTTCGACCATGTTAAATTGACATACCAAATTCTACAGCGTTGGTGATGATGACCATGTCAGCTTAGATACACGAAATTGAAAGGCGTATGATGCGAGGTGGGCGGGGCTACCTGTTTAAAACAAGCGTGATAGAGTCATGATAGAGTCTTTGATTAAGTCGTGCTGCGTCCCTCTACCACCAAAAGAAGTTTCTGTAATTCAACTTACCTGCTCCTGCTCGCTAGGATGGTGGCTTGAGTGGCCGAGTGACCTCTATACTCAAGTTTGCCTGAGATTATTAAATCTTGATTTTATAGTTGAATCCCACTGGTCACGAGACTCCTCTCCTCCCAGTTGAAGTGTGTTGTTTCAAAGCCATTCAGAACAGCGCGTCATGCAAAACTCACACCCTTGGAAACCAAAATTACAAGAAGTCTGGATGTGCAAGTAAGATGGGCACAGATCTCGGATATGCATGGCGCAATGCCTATGAGGTAGGTGACGTGTAATAGTTTCTGCCTATCCTATCTGCCATAAGAACCGGCGCATACGGATACGGACACGGAAGCACCAACAAGAAGACTTGGCTGGTATGCTGTTTCCCCAAAGCCACCGACCGATCTTCCGGGCCCATCATGACATACAATTCCTCCACCAGCACCATGGAGCAGGAGGTCCCAACAGAAAGCGTGAAATTCTTTCCGACTCGCCTGTCTCGATTCCTCACATGGGTAGCTCGACGAGTGTCCCTCCTTCTGGCTTTACGCCTATGCTTCGTGCATCTGCGAATACGACTCCTTTCTGTCCATCTAGAGCACTGACTACGATGCGGTCCACGCCCAGCACACCGAATCGGCCCCCTGATGCTGCTGCCAGAGTCGAAACCACGAAGCCCCTGGTGGTAAAAGCGCGACACACCGTCGAGCTTAAATTTTTATATGCTTGTGAAAGCTATATACATTACATGGGCCCTGTCTCTTGTGGATATGTGGAAGAAGACAAGGGAAGTTGGAATGGGGGGGGGGGGGGGTAAATGGTGTGTTTGGGTATACACACTTATTTGGTTGATTTCTGGACGAACCTCTGGTTGGCTTCTTTTATAGTACTGCTGACTCGTAGTCGATTTCTATACTCGTAGCAAAGGTATTATGTAGTGTTTCGTAAAATGGTGTACATTTTGGATGGAATGAACCAATATGTTGTAGTGATTTATATCACATAATGTCCCATGTCGTCTAATCGGAAAGGATATCAAAATTTCGTCTAAATAACCAGTGCCCTCTACTATGCCCCCAAAACCGCCTGCCCTTTAGGTGGAACAAGCCCACGACATAGTGTCTATGCGTTGGAATAAATATCATCGTCACTAGAAACAGACTGTTAGCACTGTAATCACACGGATTCGACTCAACTCACAATTTCCCGAACCTCTCCCGTCCAGGAGCGTTTTTGTTCACCCAGATGGACACCGAGACCCCGGCACACGGAAATATACCATATCCATCTTCATCGATGTGGACCTCGTCTGTGTGCCACCCAAGCACATCAGTCCATATCTCCCCGCTATGCATAGTCCCCACCGCCATCTTAATCTCTCCGGCCTCCGCGTTACTCATAATGCACGCCAACCCATCGGGATGCTCATCGGTGGCCCGTCTCACAAACCCAATGCAATTCGGATCGTCCCAATAGTCCTCCTGACTGCCGTACGCATACAACTTGCGCGCAAGCACGATATCAGGCAGCTTCCCGCCGCAGGCAGGAGGCTCCGGGTTATCGCCTTTCATGCTGTACAAGTCGCCATAGAAGATGCTTGGGTACCCCTGGGCTCGAAGTAGAATCAGTGAGTAAGCCAGCGGCTTGAAGAAACCCTCTATGGGCGTCTCCACCGTCTGGCCCGGCTGCGTATCGTGGTTCATAATCACTGTCACCGCTGACTCGGGACGAGCCTGCACCAAAGTCCTGTCGAACACCTTCCGCAAGTCTGCCTTCTCCGTCCGCGAAATCTCGGAGAACCTATACACCATCGGCGAATCGTAAAGGGAGAAGTTATGGTGCATCTGATCGAGATATTTGAGCATCTCGTCCACATCGCCACTCCAGAATTCGCCCACGAGAAACAGCGCTTTCTTGCCAAACTCCTTCTCCAGACTGGCGACGAAGTTGTTAGTGAAGCGCTCCGAGAAGTGCTGGCATGCGTCGAAGCGAAACCCCTTAAGATGTAGCTCGTTTACGACCCATGAGCCCCAATTAATCACGTCCTGTTGGACTTCCGGGTGCGAATAGTCGACGTTGGCAAACATGAGAAAGTCAGCGTTGCCCGACTCATTGCCCACGGACGAACTCCAATACTTATTGTCGCCGAGAATCCGGTAGATGCCCGTTTTGTCGTTGCCCGCGTCGTAGTCGGTCCCCGAGAAGTGCTCCCAGTGGTATTTCTGGCTGCTGTACTTGTTGTCGCGGCCGGGGAAGTTGAAGCCAAGCCAAGCTTCCATCTCGCGAGGCTCGCCACAGTCTTTGGTTCGATCTGTACGAACACGTGTGTGTATGAGAGTAGAGTTGACACGTGAATCGGAATTGGGATTTCTTTGACATACCTGACGTATCAACCTCCTGCACTTGGCACATCTCCTTCTCATCGGCGCCAGCCTTGTGGTTTAGCACGGCGTCGAAGTACAGCGATATGCCCATCTCCTTCGCCTTTTCGCTTAATGCGACTAGGTCCTCCTTGGAACCCCATTTCGTGGGCTTGCCGCCCTTTTGGTCGAACTCTCCGAGGTCATACAGGTCGTATACATCGTAGCCATTAGCTTGGGTGCCGCCAGCACCTTTGCACGCTGGGGGGAGCCAGATGTTGTCGATGCCCGTGTCCTTCAGATTTTGCAACGCATTCTTCAGGCGGAGGTAGTGCTTTTGGTCGGCAGGGACATTCCACTCGAAGCCCTGCAACATGCAGAAGTTTTCTTCTGGCATCGTCGTGTCGGTTGGACGGTATAAACCGAGTGTGTGCTATAAGTGCAAATGGCCGTATGATGTCGTCAAATCCGAGATTGAGATAAAGTTGCTTCAATTAAGAATAGGCAGTTCCGGCGGGCCTATATAGGTTGTTGTGAGACCAGGAAAGTACGCGATATCATGAATTGCCGGAGAGTTTGATCCGGCTAGAGAACCTGGGTAACCTCCCAAGGTTGCCAGATATCTTCCCGCACTTCGATTGGATGGTTTGATCGCAGACCTATCAAATGCGCGACTTGCCACCCACGTGCTCTTGTATAAAAATATGATGTCACAACTTGGTGGTGCAGCGGAGGAATTCCAGTATGGCTCTCTCTGTATTGGTACCCAAATTGAAGAACGAGGTGCAAAAAAAAGAGATATTCATAGTCCACGTCGTCCTCGGCTAAACGCGCTACAATTTCATGTAGTGCACATCCTATACTGTTATCCGACATGTCCTCGGACCGGGGTCAAATCAAGGAACCTGAAGAACCGGGTGCTGTACTAGTGTTAAGGCTGAAAGGTTGTTAGCTGCCTTTCGGGCCGTATATCCTCGATCGTTGGGCAGCTCTGGGCCACGTCACCACGATCTCATTACACAATAACTTGTTTGTCCGCGGCATAATCGCAATAAGGGATGACAAAGACGATGCCACATCACGTTAGATGTATATTTGCAGCTGTGCTTGGATTATCCTCTGCCATTCGCTGCATTATTCCTACCCTGAATACCAAACCTGCTTAAACCTGGCACTAGTGCCCAGCTTGCTTACCGTAAGTTACCGTCATTGTGACCTTGTCTGACTTTCTTGTGTGCCATCGGAGAGCAGCAGAGACAGTTTCTTCCAAGTTGTCTCACTTAGCAGTTGTCTCACTTAGACTGCAATGAATGTCTCGGGAATGCTCGCGGGGACTGATTATTAATCTTAGAAGGACCAGCTCCTAAACTTCACTCACATCGGGCCCTTCCCCCGTCGTTCTCGTTCACATTGATGGCCTCGAACAAACCAGCCTTCAACTTGGTCTCTGTGATCAGAAAATTGCTAGAAAATTGCTAACTATTTGTATTACACGCCTAACGACCCTAATGAGTGTAGAAAATCTTTTGGATATGGACCAAGTTACGTTGTTGGAAAGGTATAGTTATATATGGACTCTTGAGCCTATCGTATTCACTTACAAACAAGAAAATCCCATGGTTTGAAAGTAGGTTGAGCTATGTGGAACTATGTGGAAACACTCACTTACAATGTAGGTTAGGGTTCAATAAGGTTATGAAATAGTATGTTGGCTCTATTTAAACGTAATGTCAGACGGCAAAAGTAGAACCATGGAACAAAGTTGATTTGTCTGTGTTAGCAAGTGGTTGCTTCGTGGTCTCATAGAACCCAGTAGATACATGTAGTTTTGATCAATCACAAAGCCTAGCCGAAGGAAGAAGACAAAACTTCCTACAGTTCGTAGTGCCTGAGCTGTAGCAGATGGACTGATTGCGGAAGGAAATTGCCACCACCCGAGTAATCGAAGTTCGCATGTGGAATTGACGATAGAAGCTGGGCCTTAGCTCTGCCGCACTTACTGCCCGAAGAGCAAGATACCTTACCCAAATCCACAGCAATTAATTCGATGCTGAGCAATAATGACAACCGGCTTCAGCTATAAGGCATATCGTATCATTGATGAATTCGAGAAAAACTTGCTGTAAATAGTCTCATGCCTCAAGAGACGGCGATGACATGAATGAAAGACCCTATAAGTCTCACCGTCCCAATCGATTGCACCAAAGAATCGGAGTACTGTCTGGTTTCTGCACATCAATGGATATACTCCCTCAATTCAGCTTCTTCAAGAAACGACAGGATCGAGTACCAGTACCCGAAGCCTACGGCTGGACTGCGTATGGGGATCAACGATCCATCTACATGTCCTTTATCGAAGGCGACCGTTAGCGGAGAGATGGCCTGGCATGAACGAAAACGAGAGACTATCTTGTCTCGCATAGCATCATCTTGTCGTCCGGACCTGATCCGAAGGGGGCTGCTGTTATTGAATGGGATCAAGCTGGGTGGTATCTCGCGTACCGAGAGTTTTGTGAGGCGCGGCGGGTAATGCTACTTACCCAATATTTCGATAGAATCTCTCAAGAAGCATGGCTTAGGATGTACGTTCCGATGGTTATAGATCCAGTGGACGAAGAAACCTACGAGCATCCTTGGCTTTGGTTTGTCCTGTCTAAGGGCATATGATCAGGTAACCAACCTAGCATGATCCTTGCTCTCAGCTTAATACTGTCGATACTCGGAGCTGGACTATAAACGGCCAGCTGGCTGTAACGTTCTTTGACGGCAGTCCTACGTAACAGTTTGTTACAGCGCAGGGATGGGTGATTCCTATATATCCTACAGCGGATGAGCAGGCTGAGCTTCAGGCAGCTATTGCCATTGCGCAGTCCAGCTCTTGAGTAGGAAAATTGCTGAGCACCCGCTGTAGCTTCCGTTACTTAAATCACCTGGCTGGAGATGTGGTTCTTGTCTAGTGCCCGTATGTCTACTAATTTGCAAGTCGCGGTCGACACATTGAAATGTGATACCCGAGCGAGTACCTGCCCTAGCTACAATGCAAAAAGCCTTTTCTTAATTTTCTGACCCAAGCAGTTTAATTTGCAGAGATGAAGGGAAATATGGCATATATGCCGTCTCACCTTGGGCTGTATGCTTGCCTTGATGCCCTAATAGCACAGCTGTTCACGTAAACCTTGAAAAATTTGTGCATATTGACTAATAGAGACAAAGTAGTTTGTGATAAATGGGCTAAATAGGGTTGAGTGTTGGCAGGTAAGAAAAAGTTGTAATTGGATATTGTTATCTCAATACTTCGTTGCTCCCACCAAATTACTGAGCCGATTCCTATCATCCGCCTAAGCCTTCATCTGATCATACAAACCTCTTGGTCGAATCCTACCGTGAGATCCGCCCTAGCTATTGAAGTTCCACAATCCTGTCCATCTCGAAGCTTATGAACCTGATGATATTCTTATCTTCCATGTAATCGCTCTGTTCGAAACTCGCTAAAGTCTGTAGTGCTCCAGCTGCCTCCGAGAATCGTCAACCATCTGGCGAGGAACCGCAGGGACGCCGAATTTCCTGTTGGACCTTCAAGGCTACTACATCAAGACTGCGAGTTATGGAAGGACATATGACCACCACCCATCGAACCTCACATGTCCTGCTTGTGGGACAGGCATCAGTCATTCCTGTCTATATAAGGCCCTTATGGCCGCCGTTCACTCCGTTCAGCACTCTCGAGATCATGACACTTTCAATACAAGACCATTTGCCCACAATCCAACATTTCCGCATATTAATGGAAGAGGTTACAAGCGGTGTTGAGTATGAGCACAAGAGTACGCTGGGAAATTTGCAATTGCCTACCAATGTCTCGCAAAGAGGAGAAGAACGATCAACTAAAACTCAACCCGCCAGTTCCATGAGACGAGCATCAATCCCATAGAGACGATGATCGAGACAGTGTCTCTGACACTGTAAAGGGGACCGTTCCCCGGATTAGCGACGTGAAGAATAGACTTGGAATCCAAGCTAAGCAAACAGCAATTTTGCTTGGACCGCATTCACACTCTCTTGCCTATGAGTGGCCAGATTGAGGTTTGTGTCAAACCATGAAAAATGGTCCATGATTCAAGGTACCCCGCAGGCAGCTGATGCCGAGAAGCAAGGAAACCTCGATTAGGAAAAAGATGTAGCGACAGAAGTATTCTGCCCGCAACCAATGGAGAAGCATAGCCTTCATGAATCAGGATAATTGAGGAATACATGCGTGAAATGATGTGGTTGCGAAGACCGGAGATAGTGCCAAGCAACTGGTATCTGAGTATAACTCATGGGTGGTGGGCTTGGAGGGATGGCTAACAAGACAAGTACTGCACGATTCGACTAGGCGTAATCAACCGCTATTTGAGTGATAGCTTCTCCACTGTAGCTCCTCCACACCATGTCCGGATGATCACGCATCTCATGCCCAGTGTGGAAGCTGCATCCAGTCCGAAATCGTCTGTCACCGCTTTCTGAGATAGTCCAGGCCAATGAGTAGCGTATCGCCAGATATAGACTGCGTCGCGACACGACACCCCCACTGCGTCTCTCCCACACTGCCACGCTGCAGGCCCGCTCATTTGGCTAGCATTGACTGAACAGGACACGGCCCAGCTGTTCGCCACGGAGCTCTGACAGCGGCTGTCGATGACTTTCCACACACACTGGAGCTTCCTATAATAGCGAGGTCCTCTCCCGTTGGGTGGATCGTTGCTGTGCGGCCGCGTTGATGCCTCCACTGACTCGCTGCAGACCGGCAGACCGGCAGACTTTACAGAGTCGCCTGTAAAATACAAATCCATTGGATGCACTGACAGCCTCTGCGACCGGGGGTGGAGACCATCTCGAGCTCAATTTGAGCTATGGGGGTGTATTGTTCAATGTACCTTCGTGCCTAGCTCCAACAGCTGCAGGATGGGACATTGTAGCGAAAGAAACACGTAAGATCGGCACTACAAAAGACGGCATTGCAGATCGATGGCTGCATGGGGCGGAAGCAGATGAATAGAGGGGATCCATGATAAAGTCGCGCGGGAGAGAACGAGCACATCGGTCTGATTCCAGTGCTCATGAAGGTTCAGGTACAACAAGGCGACGCTAATATGCCGTGAGCCGCAGCTCGTCCCGCGATCCAACGTGCCGGAACCAACCAGCAAATAGCGCTGAACAAGTCGCAGTGGCGGGCCATCGGTTGGTGTTCCATGTGTTGATGCAATCCTATCTCATGCACGTTGCAGAGGTCCCAAGTAGGCCATCGATGTATTGTGTGTGCTATCTAGACTTTCTATGGTTATATTGGAAGGGTTGCCAGTAGCCCACTTTTCATTTAGTACACGACATATGCACCAGCGTCAATAGCTGGCCTTTGTGTATACCAAATGTGCCTACGAGTCAGCAACGAACTCCTAGTCCTATTCTCGCAGTCATGTGGCCAGCTTTGGCCGAAACTGTGGGGGCGGAAGTTGAGTTCGATGTGCTTAATGACGCCCGTGCCGAGCTGTAAATGGCTTGGGCTTGATTTTCAGTTACAGAGATGCAAGTGAAAGGGACAAGCAAAACATACGCAGCGGCATTAGGTTCAGGTCCGAGTCAAGGTTTGATTTCCTAATCCGGCCATTCCCCAAAACCACTAAGAGTAACCCTCTAACCCCAATCACCTACTGCAAGCCACTGTAATGGTCAATTTACGCGCTGTTGGCATCGAAGTATCCGCGAATCGAGGACCCTTACGGCGGATGTGTATTTGTGGGCAGCTGTCCGCTATGAGACGTATGGAACACATGGAGTGATCTACTTCAGCGATACACAATCTTAAGCATCTTGAACATGACCTCTTTAACTGAAGCTACTACGTCCATACCCGTGGTTGCGGTGCTCCAATGCTCCTGTCCGTAGCTAAGCAACAGAGGTTTGCGCGTTGGATGTGTGACGCGAATACCACTACATCCGGAGATTCCAAACTGGCCGTGCAATACCCAGGCTTGAACCAACGTGTCCATCTCCCCCGTCCTCTTCAAGCAGCGCCCTGCTTCTTAACCATGGCTTCAATGAGTTTATCATGAATAACTTGAAAGTTCTCTTCAACCTGGCTTTTGACCAGTCCCATCAACATGCGATTACAGCTGACACAAACCTCCTGGACCAACTCACAACCGCCATCCTTGCGTTCCCGCGCAAACCAAAACGTCTCCATCACGACGCCCATAGGACTCTTAACCCTGGTCCACAACCCCTCCCCATAATTGACCAACTCTTCCCGACTCACCACCTCGCTGCTCCACACAGGGTTCGGCACATGATCCAGCATCTCGTACACCCTTACCGGGGGCGTGCCCACGATGGGGTCTACGGCGGCGGGGATCTTGTACTCTGCGCGGGCCTTGGCGACGTCGGTGGCTACCGCCGGGGCCAGGCTGGTGTACTTCACAACGTGGGGGTCCGTGTTGAGGAAGATGTCGTGGTCGTGCAGGATGGCAATGGCGGTCGCTTTGCTTACAGGGAGCGGAATGCCCGTCGTTTTGGTCAAGTTGGCAGTTGAGATGAGGACTGTGTGTTGTATATGGCGGCCGTCAGCAGCTGTGGCGCTTTAAATACACCTGGCAGGACCCTTCCTGTTCGACGCCAGATTGCTCTAGGGAGATGAGGAGGCGGGGCAAAAGGCGGTAACCTACACGACATAATTGCGGGCAAATGGGTTTCTACAGAGTTAGGAATATACGGTCGAGTGCAGTATTTATTGGATAAGTGGTGTGGATGATGGCGACGACTGAAGCTTAAATCCTGCGCCGGGCCATCCCAGATGAGACGACTTGCGTTTCATCAACATGTGTTGGTTCCTGCGTCTCTCGTGCGTATTGCACACGTTCTCAGTGGTCTTCCGCAAGGCCTTCCTAGAATGGTCCTGCTATACATGCATGTTCATCTTCGCCGATCCTACTGCATCGGTCAGGGCTTTGCAGCATGTGCTTGCAGGATTTACTCGAGAGTATTTGGCGGTGTCGCACTGCAAAAGCGGCATCCAGTCCCTGATGTCGAGTGGACGTATCTTAGGTCAATGACTTTAGTCAAAATATTCATACATTGCTGACCAAGAACATTTAAATCTGGGGTGTAATTTTGTACCATCATCAATTCGGGGGTTGGGTATCAATGCCGTCCCATGCTAGTGCTACATACAATCAGCCTCCCTCGATGCTTGGTTTATACCACCCATTACAACAGTGCTCAGTCCAGAATCACTACGTTTCCAGACTGCTGCTGCTGTTGCGGCGGTCGAGGCCTATTCGGCCTCTGCATGACCTGCGGCCTTTGCTTCAGTGATCCCTTCGCCATCGACGGCGAAAATTGCACAGCCATTGATTGAACAGCCGCATCTATAGCCTTCAGCAAAGCCCCGATACGATCATCAGCTTCGCATGTCGCACTCGTCATAAAGCTTTGCCACTCTCGATCCTTTGCCTCGTAAACACTGGTGAGAACTGACTTGAACGCATCGTCTGGTTCGCTGCCGTCCCCACCCACTTCTTGTCGTTGGACAAACCACCAGTATTGACCCCGGCGCTCCTTGAGTCTCAGCTGTAAGCTCAATCGCCGCGACTCCGTGTTCGGCCCGGACATAGTGTATCGCATGTCGAACCAGTCCAGAGCTATTGGGAACACCTCGATTTGTCCTTGGTTATTCATTTCTAGTTCCGTCCATGCTTCCTCGATGACACGCAATGCTTTCAAGACTGGAAGCGTAAACGCAAGGTACTGAGGCACTTTGGCAAAGCCCAGACCGGAGTTGAGTAGCTTATTCAGTAGATCGAGACACCGAAGATGAGGATTACCCTTCTCCAGATGCATCCTGATGACGTCGTTCGAAAGATCCAAGGTTGCCTTCCACCGATCAAGGTTCGCTTCCACCTTGGATCCATCCTTGCGGCCGATTGCATCACTATATGTGAAGACGATTTTGTTCAACGTGATCGTCTCGCATTTGATATCAGTGTTGCTGCGACCAATCGCGTCCACACAATCGACAAGTCTTTCGATCGCATGCAAGCGCAGCGACAGTGGGTTCAAGATGGTGCTACCGAGTTCTGCTTCCAGGCGAAGGGCAAAAACGCCCAGGACGGGGTTGTACGCCACGTCGCGTTCGACATTGCCCTTCTTCAGCAAACTGAATTTGGTGCGGTCGGCCACCTGGAAACGCGCGTCTACTACGGCGACAAGACGATCTGGGCTGGAAACTTGGCCAGTTGTAGCGTTCGGCGCAGATATTGCTTTGTGGGCTCTGGATGGTTTCTGGATGCCTTTGAACACGACCAACACCAAGTCGGTGGCCCAGGACGCGCTTCGTTTAGTTCCGCCTGGCTGCATCGACTTGAGCACGTCGGTAAACTTGACGAGCAGTCCCGGGCATTTGAGCCCGCGACTCCCGGAGCGTTTGGCCATGTCGACGTTGAAGTACTTAATGTGCCTGTCATGCATGGCTTTCTCGCTAATAACTTGCGACATCATTGCGGCACTAAAGATATTGAGATTTGAGAAGAACCTGTCGGTAAGATCTGGTAGATTCATATTCAGAGGTATGTGGGCACTTGTCGATATCCGTGGACCGGTGCGGCTCTCCGTACTACCATAATGGGGTCAGCGATGTTCAGCGGTAGTTCTCCAGAGCAGCAGCAACTTACACTTCGACCAACCACCATTTGTCCCCGTTCAGACTCAGACTCAGCATCGTATACCATTGCGAAGGCCAGCCATCCTTCTTGAGAAAGATGTACTGGAAAGGCTCTCTGGTTTTAAGCAGCTGCTTGATATCGTCTGGTTTGATTGGGGCTTTGGGGATGGTCCAGCCCAGGCTTTTCCCACGACGACGCACCTCGTCCAACATGCATTCGCACCTCAACTTTTCTAGAAAACTGTGTGCGTCCTCCGATGGGTCGTTCACTCTCGTGTTTAGCTGTTTCTCTGCACGCAGCACGGGATTGGTCTGCGGGGTCATCGAGAAGAGCCCATTGATTGGGGAAACCCGAACATGAACGGAATCCTCATGGCCAAGCTGCATCTTCAACGACGATTCCATGGGATTGTCCGGGAATGTCTGCAGACTCAAAGCAGCCTCCCGTCTGACGAATCGGCCCTTAACCTGAAGTTTGTCATGAATGGTTGAGAGCATGCACTCAACGTGCCTTCCAATAACTCTCTGCAGTAGTTTTTCTGTGGAGATGTTGGCGTCGTCAAGAGCAATGGTGGCATCTTTTACTTCTTTGTTGTCCTTAAACCACCGTAGGAACAGATGGCTGGTGGTTTTGGGATCCGCAGCAGCAGCGCCGGGCTTCTTGCTGCTATGAACCCCCACGATAATCCAACTCTTGGGACCTTCGGCAGGGAAGCGGCTGGTCCAGTACTGTATCGACATGGCTCTGTTGAGTCGTTCCACCTTGAGCGTATCCACCCAGCGGCCTCGTGCGAGCTCAAACGCTTGTCGGACGAATTCGGTGATCTTGTGGGTCAATACGAATTCGTGGAGGAACTTGTAACATCCTTGCAGGCCATCTTTCTCAAGAATCTCATTCACCCGCGCCTCAAGATACATTCGCAAGGTATCCGTCAGCTCCGAAGGCGCCGGGGTAAACAGAAACCGAAAGTCGATAAACCAGAACTGCTTTTCGAAATCCTCATCAGCTATGGTGAGATCAACTTCGAATTCCCCGTCGACTCTGAAGGTGACTCGTCCCGAGTCTATCTTGTAGTCGCGGAAGTGATACGGGATCTTTTCATGCTCCTCCAAATTGAGACGCATGGAGAGCAGGGTATTCAGCTCCTCGACCCATTCCATCTGTTCCTTTGCGGACAGCGGAGGCGGTTCGATGTAGTGCAAGTCGGGCATCCATGGCGCGTCGCCTGTCGAGAGGAGTTGGAGGGCGGTTTGAAGATCGGGATTTGGCAATCGGGAGAAGGTGAGATCTCGCTTTACGGCGATCAAGTAGGCAATGCTTTCATCGTAGCTTACTCGTTGCATCGTAATGTGGTGCATCAAGTCAATCAGTTTGCTGACAATCGGCGCCTTCCTGCTCCAGGCCGATATGACCAAAGCCTTTGTCCATTTTGCATGTGTATCCTGGACGAAATTGAGCAACTCGAGCTTCTTGTTCTTGTTCGCTTCGGACGTGTCGTCGGGGAGGCTGCCAGGATGTCCTGAATTCCCATTCACAGCAGCTGCGGGCAGCGGGATCTTAGCCAGCCTCAAGATTTTCCCCTGTAGCTCATTATGGGTCTTCTGCGCCAGTCGCGAAAGCAACAATCCCAACGGTACGAATCCTTCCGTGATGTGCTGTATCTCGTCCGGTAGATCGTTCATGCGCGGAGCGCTGCCGATGCCGCTGTCGCCACCATTTAAAGCCTCTTGCCCGTTCACTTGCGAGGCGAAGCTGGCGTTTCCATTGATCGCTCCATTTGTATCTCGGTCGTGGTTCGTAGACAGGCCATTCTGAACACCGTTTTCCATTGTGACACCGGGCATGGTCAGCCGCTAGACCCCCTTCCGCCGCTCGGCGCGCAGCTCAAGGATTGATTGCCAGTGGGGGAGTTGGTTTGCGACGCAAGCAGTTGTGAATACCGAGACGATAAGGCATGTGAGGTTGTGTTCTGCTGGGAGGAGTTCAAGGTTTCGTTTGACGCGACTCGTTTAGGAAGTGGCTGGTCGCAACTTCGATTAGACTTTGGCGGGAGGATTTATGTTTGTAGATATATTTTGGGCGGAAATCGCCCAACTACGGCAACCACGCAATTGTGTAGAAGCCTTCGCAGGATGAGGTAAATCACGGTAACATGTGGTGGGGAGTGTCGGGCGCTTTGGTCATGAGACGCGATGCCGGAAAATTGTACATAGAATGCGAAGGAAAGTGCAGGTGAAGGCAACGAGCGGCAAAGACCAGGATGAGACCAGCGGCGGCCCCCGGGGACCGTACAGTAACCACAATGGAAGGTTGCACGGCTCACTTCCTTGAATGTTGTGCCTGCCCAAGCTTAATACAACGGCCCCCACTTTGTGTCTTGATCACATGTGGCTGAGCTTTCCACCAGCCACTACCTGCAAGCCTTGCATATTGGACTTGGACCAATTGAAGCATTCAAAGGTGAATAGCATACCCATTTGGGAGAATCAGGTTCTGCCGGGTTACAACACTGCGATGCCACAGCCATCCACACTATTGCACATTTTATATACCTTTTGTTTCGTTATCCACTTGCCAACGCTAGTTCCAAGTCGAGACTTGACTCAAAGGTCTGTGGAAGTTCAATGTTCAATGTTCAATCTGACTTGATGTGGGTGGAGTTTGACGTCGATTATTACTTACTGTAAGTTCTGGAACCTTTCCAAGGCTTCTTCTGTACGGCCTCCTTCAGATAATGACTGACACGTTACTTCTCTAATTCCATGAAACCATGTTAATTATTCGTGCGATAGGTAATGCTTGCTCACATTGTCAACGAGATAGACTAGGGCCGTATTACCCTGTGCGAACACTCAGGTACATTTAGTTTGCAGGCTTTCAAGGCATGAGATATCTTCTGTAAGCCTGTGGAGGCATATCTGTTCTTTCTTGAGACTCCGGTCCAAATATGGAATAAACTCTTCAGGCCAATGGCAAAAGCAGGTGAGGCAACTGGGTATGCCTCACCCCTTGTGCCCACTACTGATGTAATTTAAAAACACTGGGGTAAACCCAGTTAGACAGATACCTTGTTCATAGCCTGCGAGTTTCGAAGTTTCGTCCCTTAGTGTTGAGACCTCAGACGACAGAAGACATCACTACCCCACAATGCCCCTTTCAATGTCTGTATGCACTATATTGCGATGGCAGGACTTCCGGCAGTTGGTCTCCTATGATATGAATATCACCCGAAGTAAAATGTGGAAAATGCTGTTATACCGCACCTATCGAGCAGTGGATATGGAGGAAGTGACGTGAGACACAAGCTATGGAGAGAGTGATCTTCAAAAGTACTGTATCGTCCAATTTTACATCAGTGCTGGTTCCATAACGCCGACTTCCCATGTAGAAGCAGTGCAAGCTGGTAATATTTTATCTGGTTGCAAAGAGATCGTCCGAATTTCTTGTGATTCGTAATCTTGTGTAAATGTTGGTCACAACGAAAGTCATGGGCATTTTTACTTGTTGACTATGATCTCCAAGAACTTTGCTCGAGACTTCGCTCGTGCCACCCATGAGTCTGAACACTTGCAGAATTTAAATGACCGATGATGCTAGGTGAAAAGAACGATATTTATACATTGCTAGCATCAAGGTGGATCACGTATAGAAAGAACCACTACTTTAACAAACAATAACTCTATCAATTCTAGGGATATAAAGTCGTCAAATATGTTATTTCGTAAATAATTGTTAATCGTCAAGTGATGCAGGCACTTGCCCTGTCAACCAGATCCAGTAGGAAACTTGTTTCTCACCTTCCGGTTCTGATTCCTCCATAACCGTAGCTTATCTCTTTGCTTGGGGGGCAGGAATTTGCTCATTGTCAGCCAAGTTTTCGTCTAAAGCTAAAATTTCCATGAATTCCATGAGAATCTCGGGTAAGAATTTGGTACCTTCCCACGCTTCTTAGGCTTTACTCGCTCTAATTCGGCCTGATGTCTCTCGTTCGCTGGTCATAGCATTACTCCCTCGGTTTCTTTAGCCTCGAAAGACTTGGCAATCTTTCGAAACCGAAGTCTCGTAGCTGGGGTGGAGCTGTTAGCCATGTCTATAATTTGGCGGCTAGTCCTTGGCGTAGAGGGAAGCAGCGGAGCTTCATTTGATCCAGAAGTTTTGGTTTTGGGGTAAGACGAGGCTTGTCTTCCTGTATTTTGGGGTGCTGCATAGCCTTAGCTCATGAGATTGGTCAACTACCGGTATTACACCATCCTGTCTTGATATTCTTCACCGTGAAGCCCGGAAGGAGGGCTCAATCGTAATACCAACGAAGTTAATCTTATCCATAGGAGAGAAATCATCTAAACGGGCTAGGTTTCCAATAATCTGTTGAACTCCTCGATAAACCATCGGGCTTGGAGTTCATTTTACTTGAAAATAATCCTCGGATTTGGAACTTTGCCGTCTACCGTACTAGTCTCTAACAAGGAAGACCATTCGTGCACGACCTTGGTGTGACGTTAGGAATACCTCCAGAATCTCAGAACAGACAAGAACAAGTATATCCAGCCATTTATAGCATAGCTAGGATTTTATAAGCATAAATAATTAATAGGGCGCTTACCAAAACTATCTATTATGCCACCCTTACCGAAATTTGCCTTAATCCAGCTGTAATCGTCATGATAGGTGACCCTCGGTCAGCCAGATAGCTAGCCAACTCAAGCTTCCCCAATACAATATTTCACACCCCATATGCTCACGCATCGCCTCACGAATGTCGAAGTATTCGTTCACAGTCATTAGGGTAAATCCGTTAAAGCGAGCAGATTCTTGTCTTCACCCATACTAGTGTGAATTTCAGGTTGACTCCTACTAAGACACCCGACCCAGCGCTTGTTTGCTGGCAGGTTATCTCCTTTCTCTTTACATAAGGATTCTGCGATAGCAGTGACGTTGATATGCACAGAGTCGTATTTTACGGACTCTCGGCGGATAATCCATTGATTCATATGAGCCTCCTAGGTGTCTGAGAGCCGTTGGAATGTCGCTGCGGCCTCCTTATACGAGGCAGCTTTGCCATTCATGTGGTCTGAGAGCGTTTGGTGGCGGGTGGCATGTATTTGGGCTGCTTTTAGTACCGAGAGGGCATTATCCGAGACTTCAATGCATCGGCGATCTTATCACCATATGAAGGTCCCAAGTAGATGCCTTGTACAAGGGGAAGAAAGGGGTTTAGCAACTTTAGCCATAGTCACCGTCAGGGCATAATTCACATCGCCTAGCACAAGAAATCATGCTGCGCGGGATAGTTGGAACCTTGAGAAAAGCACATGTTGTTATTCAGCCAATTATCTTTAGAATGAGGTGTTCAGCATGTTAATAACAATGAATATAGTAAAGATCTGTATAAGTGAAACTGCTGATATTTGTGTGTCAGATTCTTAGTGCTGGCCAGAAAGGGAGTCCTCCATGGTTAGTGCTTTATAGATGGCTACAGTTGACAGTACCAAACTTCGCATGCGAAGGAGAATCTGTTGAGACTCCAATTTTTGCTCAGTACGTGTTGTGCATTCGGCCTCGAGGCTCGACGCATGTAATGTTTCGGTTAAACAACTCTTGAAGCATCTTAGGCTAAAGAACCCCAGTGTAGGCATCCAAGCACTTCCAAAACGGAAGCAGAGAGCTCTGCTTTCCGCAGGAACTGCCGACTATAGGGTTGCTGATGTGTTTCGCCTCACCTCTAAGCCTATGCGAATTCTACCACAATGAACGCAGCGGCATTCATCTGCTTCATCTTTTCCCTCGCAGGATCTCACTGATATCCGCATCCCCACAACTTCAAGTCCACCTCATTGATTATCTCTGAGAAGCAATCCGTCAAGCACCCACGCCCACCGCCGTCCTCACCGCCATCCCCACCGCCTGAAACTCAGCAGCCGTCACCACCGTCACCAACACTAACTAACGGCGGCAACGAAGGCGTCTGGGAAGTGTTAGAAATAGACTAAGTGAGTGACAGCTTGGTGAATCGATTATACAAACGGGACGATCTATGTTTAAATAGACTGCAAATCCGACCCTAAGGACCAAATTGTTATGTCATCACCGGAGCAGAGCATCACGATCGCCAGCGACGCGCTATCGCTGAGGAACCGGAGGGCCCTTCGATGCAGATACCGAAAGGGGGCAAGTATTTCGGCCTGAACCGACTGGAGGCGTCTACGCTGTGCCAGATCAGGACGGAAAAATTAGGACTAGCAGCCTTCTTATTCAAGACAGGGGCTTTTGGCGTGTACTCGCCGCTATGCCGCTGTGGCGACGCCCCTGAGACGGCAGAGCACGTAATCCTCTTTTGCGGGCTGTTGGAAGGACCGAGGGAACGATTACGGGCCGCTATCGCACCACGGCCACTATACTCTCGCAGAGACCTCGCAACGGCAACAGGAGAACCAGTAGTTAGTGGGACTATTGTAAGGTGGCTGCTAGGGACGGGTCGGACAGCTTCAAGGCCCAGATAGCATCGATCTTCTCAGGGGGGACTTTGTTGGTAGGTTGAGAACCAACGTAGTATGGTAGTGAACGCAACGCAGTCGCCAATAGGGCGAACCGACGACGCAGCGTATGTATTTAGTCCAGCCATTAGGGCACGGTTTGACATACGGGAGTACTAGTAGAGGTATCGGGGGCTTCGAGCCTACGGCGTATTTAATAATAATGTTATGTCATGAACATACCGGTTGTCCAATAGGTCACTTCGACAAACCTAACTTGTTGAGGCCCTTTTGCGCCGATTGCGAAAGTTTGGCCCCACAATTATAACCTCGACGGGCAGTGGACGAAACGGTACAAACCTTCATAAATTGCACAGCTACGAGTCAGTCGGGGTTTCCCGGTCCCTTGCACCACAGCATCACGGGTATGCCCAAAGATTGCACCAAGGCTAGACTAGCCGGGAAGACCACCGATGTTCCGGGAAGATGACTCCCGAGCGGCAGATATTTCGAGGGCTTGTTGTTGAACACCCCTGAGGGAGGGTCGTCATCGGCTCCGGTTTTCTTGTGTGCTTGTCATGATAGGTAGCTGTCCGTAAATGAATTGGCTGCAGAGGGTCGTGTGTGGGATACTGCGAGCCCGGGAAGTGGCACGATTGTTAATCGAGTTTGTTGAAGGGCACTCTACTGTGTTCAGATGTGGCATTGCCAGGAGCTTCAAATTGAGAAGTGAGGCTAGGTAGAATGGGAATACTAATATCTAGGATAGCGGCAGATGGATCGTTGAAGTCTCGTACATGTCAAATATGTCAGGAAAGTCTTGGTCGAGCCTAGGGAAATTAATTGAGAATTAGCACGATCGATTGATCTGTAACGGTGGTAGGGTTGCCAGGATCGACTCCAGTTTATAGCGGTACCAGGAATAAACTAATTACTCCAAGTCGAGCTTCACTATTAATCACCAGAACGTGACCTAATTCTAACCAGTTGCTATCTATATAGAAAGCTCAACTTAGCCACAAGAGAGTGCATGATAGGTGGAGTGGCGGACTAGACCTGAGAAGTTTAGTTTCCACTGGGAAGATCAAGGTAAGAAAACCTCGTATACCAGCTGTTCAACGTCGGGAATCGAGTCATTGGAGATGTGACTTACCATCCTCATCTGCGGTCAGGCTACATGTCCTCTGAGTCTTGTCCGATGTTTATCGGTGCACATCCACGTGATATACTACTCATCCGAGAATCCTCGATGACAGCCACTGCAGCGCGATTTCGGCGAGGGCGGGCGTGCCTGGGCGTGATGACTTATGTAGCAACGCGGCTTGGCATTCAGCCTGGGATGTAGGCCTAGAACAGCTCTCCCGCAACGATTAGACAACTCAATTACTGTTGGGGCCCACAGAGAGATAGATGCAGTGTTTTGCGGATGGGAAATCCGGGCTCATGCTAGTGGGTTGGATCCCAGTCGTGGTGACTATGCACAAACCACCTGACAATGATTTCGAGTTGAAGGCCCCAGCGTCGGAATCTGCAAGACGACCCTATGACGTGTCTGCTGAAGCGGTGTGAACCTTCACGGGACGATTGGACGGGTAGAAAAGTATAGCTGTCTTTAGAGGACAAGCGCAACCGTTGACTTAGAGTTTGACACTAGCAAGCCGCTTAATGCAGGGGTACCCTGAAAGGCCCCAGGGCCCCTGAAGAATCTGTGTACCGGCGCTTGTCCTGTTCTGTTGATGCAGAATGTGGGGACGTGATGGCGTTCTCTACGTCTAGGTTTTATAAATTGCGCGCCATCTTGTTAAGAGCTGGCCCTGTTTACGGGTTATACATAGAAGTTGTTCTTTGCTCCAGTTTAGTCAATGTTTGCCACTCTGCGGACGCTGCGTGGCGACGGAGAAGTTGTTTGCATTTCCACAGCACATCAACCGCCGCGCCCCGGGCAAAACCCGAACCAGTTTGCTTGTGATGGATGTAGGGCGAAAAAGGTGAGAAATCTAGTCCTCCATGCCTTTGCCTTTGCGCAGGCCAGAACTAAGACATATCTGGCCAACTCTAGTTGAAATGCACCGGCCACAGATTTGGCTGTCAACGCTGTCGCGACAGAAACCTTGTTTGCACGTACTCCAGTACTTCATCGCCCAAGCGAGCCAAGTCTACCAGATCGGTAGCATCTTCTAGCACCGTCAGTACAAACCACCAACCTCGTCGACCAAGGTTCGATGGCTCTGTGAAAGGGCTGAAAACCCCTACGGAAGACCCTCCTATGGACGTTCTGTGGCAATCCCCTAATTCAATGACCAACCCCTCTCAATCGGAAACGCCTTCCTCTATATTCAGGACGCCACAGCATCAGGAAGGCCTCCACAACTCAGTTCCGCACCTCGCGCCTCGGAGCCCACCAGAGTTGAGTCCGTCGGCTGGTGCTGGTCACGCGTTAACTGAAGAGCGCCTGTCCGCATTCCTGGAATTGCCTTTGCTGAATCACTTGAGACCAAGCTCCGAAGACTTTAACATCGAGGAGCTGCTTGACGCAAGTATGTCCCTACCAGAAGAGTGTCCTGTGGGCTTGGCATCAGAAAGCGACTTGGCCTCAAACACTTTATCGCGTGACAAATCCGCCTTCAGCGCTTCGGCGCCAGATATCATTCCGTGGGGGACTACGCCGCCAAGGGGGAAACGGGGAGCGAGTTTTGATTCGCTTGATTGGTATCCAGAGAAGAGAAGGCTCCGTTGCAGCATGCCGCCGGGGAACACGAGCCCTCCCGCAGTCTTTTTGCCGGCGCTGGCCAGTGTCGATTCCCCCGCGGCTGGTTTCGCCACAACAAACTACGACGCCGGACCGTCGCAAAAAGCTCCCACCGCCAGCGACAGCAGGGTTTTCTATCCTACAATTTCAGGTGTATCGCGCTGTCGATGCATGGGAATCATTCTTGGCATACTGGAAAAGGTTCAGAGCCAGGCCAAAATCAAGAGCCTCGGATTAGCAGAGCAAGCTTTGTACTTGCTGAAGATATCCATCCGGCAGTGCCAGGCCCTTGCGCAGTGTCGGTCCTGCAAGAGCCCCGCCAGACTCATGACTTTCTCCGTCTTGCTTATAGAAAAGATAGTTGGAATTTTGGAAGACATTGCATCAGTTTGGGAGGCCCACGCTGGGACAGACGCATTGGAAAGGGGAGAGTCGCTGCAACACACCCAAGCCGGGGAGGCCTTTGGCAGTATTCCCGCCTTGCTCGGAGAATACCCAGTAGATACGCCTCAGGAGCGTTTCGATCTATTTGGGTTCCTGATCCTCCTACAAGTCAGGAATTTGGGTATCTATTACGTGCACCTCAGGTCACAAACCGAAAGGGAGAGGTGGGAAACACATCATAGTGCGTTGAACCCAGTTGCTTTGAGAATCCAAGAACTGCAAGATGCCTTCTGTGGCATAACTATGGGACCATTTGCTTAGATACAGGATTAGACTTATAGTAAGGATTCAGTGTCCTCGGTGAATCTTATCTCAGTTGCAACAGTACATAACAACCCAGGCTAGAAGGATACTCCACATATTTGGAGCATGGGACATGCACAATTACGACGTGGGGCTGGGAGCTGCGGTATGTACCCCTGAGCCCAGACATGACTAGAACTGGAGGCAGTGGATATTGAATGATTCCTCTGCTATTGATTGGCTTCCATGAACCCCAGTAAAACGCAATACCACAGGAAATACACCTCTACCAGTTCTTTGAACGTTAGTGACTGTATTTGCCCTGCCCATATTTGGTTAAGCGTGGTGGACGTACGGCACCAACATCCAGAGGGCTAGTAGAGGTGTGAAATACTACCATGCGCGTCACCCATATGTTGCGCTAGCTATTCAATTCATCACGTGAACACTGTACAATAAAAATCCCAAACTCTGAGAGTGATCCAAATCAGTTCACATTTCCCTCGGTCACACTGTCACGATGACACTCAAAGCCGCTCAACAATGTCACCTCCTCGACTCGGGGCAAAGTCTCGTGTCCTCTGAGGACACTCGGGCAAGCCAGACAGTTTAGTGGTCCTCGACATGTAAAAACCACCATCAACTACTACAACAAACCGGCCGACGGCACCGAGCACGCTCCTAGCATCGCGGGCAAGAGAAGCACATTCAACTAGCCGTCAGTAGACCTCGACGTAGTCGTGACGGACATCACGGGAAGCGAAGGGGACTACACATTGAACAGTCACGGCTTCCAGCTCTGCGAGCACACAAGCCAAGAGAAAGAATTTGTTGATGACAAGCGCATCATCGAGGTCTATTATCCTGAAATTGAACAATTACTCTACGAAGTGTAAATATTAACTCCTCCCGTCAAAAACCCGACGCTAAATTTTGAGAACCGCTGAATAACAAGTTCACCTCGGTAAAGCACCGGTGCCTCCAGAATCCTCCTCTTCGACCACACAATCCGGCGGCCAAACCCCACAGCTGCCAGCTCAGACGACGAGCGTCGCCCCGTCAAGCGTGCGCACATCGACCAGTCCGAACAGGGGCCCATCAACCAGGTCATGCGTCACCTAGGCGAAGACGCCCCGCGACTGCTACAGTCTCGTTTCCAAATCATCAACGTGTGGCGGCCGATCAAGACCATTTACCGAGACCCTTTGGCAGTCAGCGACTCGCACTCGGTGCCCGACGAGGACATCTTGCCCGTCAAGCTGGTGTATTCTGATTGGGTCGGGGAGCCGTGCACCATCTTGCCTAACACGAAGCACCGCTGGTATTACAAGTTTGCGCAGACGCCCCAGATGGTCATGATGATTAAGCGCTATGATTGGAAAAAGGACGGACGGGCTAGGAGGGTGCCGCACGCGGCGTTTACGGATCCGGAAATGGCGGGGAGAGGACCTAGGGAGAGCATTGAAGTGAGGGCGCTTGTTTCTCATGAAGATGACACCATTCAGTTTTGATGTTAGTTGGGCTTGAACCAACCTCGACGTTCTCTAACAAAATGGCATATCATGTAATGACTAAGCCGTGTTGTTGATGTCCGGTCCACTTTGCCTTGCCAGTTCTATCTTTCTTGGCGCATGACTTACAACTCTCGGCGCATTGCCCTTTTGGGACTATACAACCCGCCGCGGATATACCCACGCCGTCAGCTTGGACAACCCGAAACTTGGTTTTACCCGCTGCAAAGGACATGTTTTTTCAGTTTGCTAATGCTTCTTACCAAGTTGTAGCAATCACCCACCTACCATGTCTACTATCGACGTATTCCCCGTGCCAAGAGTTCACGGAACAGATGCCACGTACCAACGAATAGGGGCCCTGATATTCTTTTGTGCAAGTTCTCCCCATTCTGAGCCCAATCGAAGCCCGAAGATACTAATGATAGTGTGAAGGGTGTTTTCTATGTCGCGGTGTACCTGATCTTCAACGTCTTCTTCCATCCCTTGGCAGGATTTCCAGGACCGCTACTTGCGCGCTCCACACTAGTAAGTGGGGATTGTGATACCAAGGGCACTCCTGTCTACAGTGCGTTCACAAACTAACTTTGTGCGAGTTATGGAGAATTTATCATTCCCTCAGTGGTCGGTTCCATCTCGCAATCCAGGAGCAGCACAAGCGCCTGGGTAGGTTTTCCGCTCACAGAAGCATCAAAAAGATACATGTTAACGACGTAGCATAGGCCCTGTTGTCAGAATTTCTCCAAATGAATTATCATTTGCATCGGTTCAGTCCTGGAAGGATATCTATGGACATGCCACGGCAGGAAAGCAAACGATGATCAAGAGCGAGTTCTACGACATGTACGGCTCGGGCTTTGACTCTCTCTGCGTCGGGAGTGAGAGAGACCCAAGAAGACATACTCAAATGAAGAGATCTCTGTCTGCAGCCTTCTCAACCAAGGCATTAGCTCAGCAAGAGAGCATCGTTCAAAAATGCGTCGATGGGTTCATCCAGCGTATCGGAACAGATGGGAATTCTGATAATGGGCTGAACATGACCAAGTGGTATGAGATGATCGCATTTGATATTCTGGGCGAAATGGCATTTGGAGAAAGCTTTCATTGTATTAAGTCTGGTAAGTTCCCCCATGGATAGCGTATGATTGGTGGTGGGTTTTGTCACTCACCATCATTCAAGGAAAGCCTCACTTTTGGTCAGACATGGTTGTCGAGCACCTGTTCTTTATCACCGTTCTGGATAACTTGCGCCGTTATCCAATATTGGTGGCCATTGGCAAGAAGCTTCTGCCTCGCTTGACGGTTCAAGTTCGTGATCGGCATTCCGGGTTTAGTCGAGAGAAGGTGGCCAGGTAGGTAGAGTTGCCAGTTGGACTTGATTACGACCACATCACAAAACATGAAAAAGCTATCTAACCTATCCTGCAGGCGGATCAAGTCCGAATCATCACGGCATGACTTCTTGACAAACATAGCAGAGAAGGTCAAAGCTGGTGAAGTCTCCCAGGAAGAGATGACGGCCCACGCTTCAACTCTTGTGTATGTGCCTTGCAACTGCTTTCAAGAAAGCCCAATCCGATTGCTATGCTAACATTCATTGAACCGTTAGAATCGCTGGCGGAGAAACCGTCGCGACCTTTTTGGCGGCCACGACATACTTTCTTCTGAAAAACCCTGATGCATATCGCAAGCTCAGGGACGAGATCCGCACCCGCTACGATTCATTAGACCAAATCACGGCCATGACAGCACAGAGACTGCCCTACTTGCAAGCGGTCATATCGGAGGGCTTGAGGATATACCCGCCAGGCTCGCAAGGCTTTCCTCGAGTTTGCCCGGGCGACATGATAGATGGACATTGGGTTCCCAAGGGGGTAAAGCTAACCACGGTTTTTATTCATGTGAAGAAAATTCTGCCCAACACTGCTAACTTTGCAAGTACAGACTGAGGTGTATACGAGCGCCTGGACGGTCACGCATGACGAGGCAAACTTTCACGATCCATACGAGTTCAAGCCCGAAAGGTGGCTGGAACCGGAATGCCTGGACCGGTTTGAAGCAAGCCAGCCGTTTTCTCTTGGACCTCGAGGTTGTCTTGGAAAGAAGTGAGTAGTTCTAGTCTCAACGGGCTGTCGGCGTGATCTATAATATCAAAGACTAACCATCGCGTGTTTACGATAATTGCAGCTTTGCTTATGTTGAGATCAATTTGATTTTAGCTAAGATGCATTTCGCATATGATTTGGAACTGGTAAGCGATACGTTTGACTGGCTCGCACAGAGCCGTTTGCATGTAATGTGGTGGAAACCGGCCTTACAAATCAGGGTCAAGCGGGTCATGCACTGACTGATACGTGGAATCATCACCTGTGCCACTGTGAGAAGCTATATGCAATATCATCAATGCTCTGAAGCTCAGTTATTCGATCGGATTAATGACGTCTGCGAGTTGTTATGTTTACATCCTCGGCTAGTCAACATGTAATCAATCAGGTGTAAAGCGGAATGTGGTGCTTCCGAAAGGGGCAGTTCTCCGAAACTCGGTCGTTTCTTTTTTTTGTTTGTGGGGGGAGGCCTACTCGAATAGGAGCATTACCGAATCTATTTACCGAGTTCGATTGGAAGAGCCCCGTATCACAGCCGTGAAAGCCCCGTGCATGTCGATATGCACGAGTTAAGTGACTTAAAGAATGGAGAGTATGAAAGTACAATGTATCACGTCCATGACATAGTCAACCAAGCACACCAGGGTTTACCATGCCATATTTAAGCTTACTCACTTTACTATAACTCTATTTGCTAAGTCAGAAGCTCAACTTTCAAACCCACCATGACAGCTCAAGATTTGTATTCCGAGAGAGCTGTAAAGGAAGATGCAGCGTTGCGCGTTATATCACTTCAAAAGCTCATCGATGGAGACGCAAAAACCAGTGACGAGCTTCTGAGGGCATGTACCGACCTTGGATTCTTCTATCTTGACTGTAGAGAGGTCGCGTCAGGACGGATCATCGAGGAAGTCCAGTCCATGTATAATTTGGCCACCAGCTTCTACGATATGGGTCAAGAGGAGAAGTCTGAGTGGCTTGTCGACAGAGATCATGATGAACATTTAGTTATGGGGTAAGCCGCCTTTCATCTATGCTTTATTTGCTCCTCGTTTCTGCAAGCGCCAAGCTAGTGTGCCGTAAGTATTGTGCTGAATCATGGGCAAAATTATTTAGCTACAAGCCGGCGGGTCATGGTAATGGTCCCATTGAAGGAAAAAAGGATGGCTTCGAAGGACTTATGGTGAGAAGAATTTCCCTCCTACTCTCTTTTACTAAAATCTGGAAAGCTAAAAAGCGACTAAGCTCTTCGAACATCCCATATCCAAAATAAAGGACCCGGCCACCTTTGCAGGACCCGAAGTCATCGCAAAACAACTTGGTCCGCTCAAGCAGGCTATCTCCAGCCATCGAGAGATCTGTATTCTCCTCCTGACCCGACTCTCTGCCGCCTTGGGGCTGGGCGAGAAATCCGCGTACCAGCAGTACCACCGCGCAAACGCCGTCTGCCCCACGGCCATGGGCCTGCTCAAGTATACGCTCGCCGAAGTCGAGCCGGATAAGGTCGGCCAGATCGCGCACACCGACGCCGGGAGCCTGTCCGTCGTGTTTACCGAGGTCGCAGGATTGCAGGTTTTGAAGCCCAACGAAGAGGAGTGGTACTGGATTCCACCCAAGCCGGGACACGCCGTGGTCAACGTGGGTGACTCGCTGCGGTTCATATCGGGCGGTGTGCTGGCGTCTAGCTTGCACCGGATTATTCCTCACAAGGACGAGAAGTGCCGACACAAGTATTCGATTGTGTATCTCCTGCGCCCGGAAATGGACGCGGAATTTGTGGACGAGGATGGCGTTGTGTGGAAGGGATTGGAGTGGACTAATAAAAAGCACGCTGTCTTCCGTGCCTCGGCTGAGGAGCAAGCTAAGGGGACGTATTTGACGGGTAGGGATGGATATGTTGGGTACTGGGATCCGGAGAAGGACCAGGAGAGCCGGACGATCTTGGTTGAATAAGAATCATGTCCTGTTTTATAGGCTGATACGTGACCCCATGAGGGGTTACCCTATAGCTATAGATAAGATATATAAGAGCTATAAAAGAGCTCTGCCAGGCCAGAATAGCTGACCTGGCCATCCTTTCCCAATACAACAATTTACACCCCATATGCACTCGCATCATAGGCGAAAGATTTTACGGAATCATGGTCATTCTACTACGCTTGACAAGATTTGATTATTTCTGGGAGAGGCTAATCTTATTATTTTTGTTTAGGTAACTTATAGATTGTATTATTCAATCTTCACCTTTCTTCTAGTATTATAATAGCACGCACGTCCCTCATGAAGATTCTTCGTCATTGAAAAACGAAGAACGAAAAGGAATATGGCTCTCTCAGTGCTTTCGTGGTCGAACAATCATTTTCAAGGCCGGCTTCTGCCAAAGAGTATGCATCTCCGACTGCGCATGCCAATCCAACGCCGGGTCGACTAGCTCCAGGTCGTACTTGTAATGAATTTTGGCCAGAAACAGGCGCATTTCCAACCAACCGAGGCTAAATGAAACAAAACAAGGCGGTTAGCATATGACACAGGGCACGGGGAAATGAGTAATACAAGATTGACCACAGGAGTACAACGAAAACAACCAGGCTTCTCACCTTTTTCCAAGACAGCCCCGGGGGCCTAGAGAGAATGGCTGGCTGGCGTCTAGAATATCCTGCGGATCCGAAGTAAGCCACCTCTCGGGGTCAAATTTGTATGGGTCACGGAAGTTTTCCGATGACATGCTGGCGGCGAACGGATTGGTGGAGACAATGGTCTGGAAAAGCATCAAACATTAGCCAAAAGCCCCGTTTCCCCATTTGTGGCCGAGGAATATGGGTAGGTGTAATAGGGGAAACGGGAGGAAGAAATAGAAGAAGAAACACGACACTTACCCCTCCAGGAATGAAATGACCATCAACCATGTCGCCGCCCTCGGGCACCACGCGCGGCAATGGAAACGGGAGCGGTGGGTACAGTCTCATCCCCTCCAGGATTACGGCGTTCAAATAGGGCAAAGATGTGGTGGAGACACCGTCTATTTCATCGTAAGATTTGAATGTGTCTCGGATTTCCCGACGGAGATTTTGGAGAACATCGGGGTTTCTCTGTAGGTAATACGTGATGCATGACAACGCTGTTGCAGTCGTCTCGCTTCCTGCGATGCTGCCATACTCGTCAGCTCACTGCCGAATCCAGAACAGAATGTGACATACACAAAGTCAGAGGCATGCGCTGCTATTTGCACATCAGATACTCTATCCGTCTCACGGGCCTCCAAGATATTCGTCAAGAAGTCTCTGCGGTCACTTTTCTGCTTGATCCGTCTGTGGGAAAGTTAGCACTGAGAACAACCGTACTGTCGCCTCCACCCCTGAAAAATTCTGCGACGCGAACTCACTTCTGAACCAAGTCCATTGTATAAGCCTGGTGCCTTTTGGAGTCTTCAATCAACCTGCTTAGCACCTGTGGGAACATTCGCTGGAAGATGGCCGCGAGGAGCGGAAACCGCTTGAAGGTATCCGCCAAAGCGCCCATGCGGAGGCTTTTGACTACGATCGAAACCCAAAAGTGCTCATTACCTGCCGAAGCGAAATTGACCATTAATCTTGCAAGTCCCAAAATTGGGGTTGGAAAGGTCGAAGTGAGGAGGTGGTGTTGACAGCAACTCACCAGAAGCAACCCCGCCGAATGATTGACCAAAGGCAAGACTACCAATAATGTCAAACGTGGCTAGATTAAACCACATGACAATATCAATGCCACCTGGACTGCAACCGGCTTCGCTGATCCGCTCTATGAATTGGTCAATGTGTTCGCGTATAATATATTCTTGTTCCCTCAGTGACCGATCTGAGAACGCCCCACGAAGGTATTTGCGCATGTAAGCGTGCTTATCTGGATCTCGCTCACTGACAATCGAGTGGGCTTCATCTGCGAAATTACCACCATCGTAGAAGTCGCTTTTGATGAAAGGCTTGTGGCCCTTGCGCTTTTCATAGATGTCTTTCCACGAATTGGCCGTGTTGAAGGCTAGCTCGTTGGGGCCGACTCTAACGACTGGACCTGTATTAATAGAATCTGTGAGCATCCTGATACAGCGTATATGGGTTTAACGGGCTCGTCGTCACGGGCGACATACCATATCTCTCATGTAGCTTAAGCATGTCGTATGGTTGCCGGCCGCCTAAGAATCTCTTGCAGTAGGAAAACTACGGCCCCAATCAATGTTAGAACCGCCTTGTCAATGTATAAACCTCTAAAGCCTCTAGCTTACGTTGCTGAATCGAGCATGAAAGGGCCCAGGAAAGCGAGATAGGGGATGTCTCCGAGCATTGAACCATTTCATGACAATACCAAATATGCAGGCCTGGTGTCGTCAGAATTAGTAAATATTCTTTTTGGACTTGCGATTTCCGCGACATGAAGCTCACAGATGCCATAGCCAGAATTATGATGTCACCTGGTGAAAAAGCCGGCATTGCATGGTCAAGCCGGTTTCTGGCTACCAAGTCGGGAGGTGTTTTGTCCATTGTCATGCGGTCAAACTTGACGCTCAGTGGTAAATTTGGTCCTCGAATTCAAGGCTGAAGAATTGCGCTGAGTGCAATGCCTCTGTATCGAAAAATTTACTCAGACACACTATCGGTGTGCGGGCGTGGTGGTCTTTGTACCCAAAAAGGAAACCCTCCGGATCGGCACGTTAAGCACAAGACGGAAAGCTATCAAGGCTAATGTAAATGTGTGATTCGAGAAGATCTCCAACGTGTAACATTGGTCGAATTCATCATGGTATACGATAGGTAATGCCGTATTTGAGAAGCTGCTGTAGATACTGGTTTGTCAGCCGTTCTATGCGCCTGTTTGCTTGTCAGTTGGAGTACCAAGACTTTGGAGTACGCAGACTTTGCGGTACCAAGACTTTTGGGAGTCTAAACTTTTAAGTACCAGGACTTTTGAGTACCAATAGTTTTATGCACCAACCCACCTCACCAGAAGAATGGCCACTCTGAGTATCTCTGAAAATGATATCCCGGAGCTTAGCGGGAAAACGGCTATTGTCACAGGTAAGACAAAAACACGTCCCTATACAAAGATAACCACACCACAACCATGATGCAGGAGGCTCGTCCGGCATCGGCTTGGCTGCCGCCCAGATTATGGCCGCGAAAGGCGCCACCGTCGTCATTTTGGACATTGAGGCCCCAGAGGCCTCGTTGAAGACCATCCAGTACATCAAGTGCGATATTAGTCAGTGGTCGGATCTCAGCGCCGCATTCGCGCAGGTTGGCCCCGTTCACATCGCCATAGCCAACGCCGGCGTGGGTGAAGACGGAAGCTACCTGACCGACTTATACGATGAAAATGGCAATCTACTCGAGCCGACGTACACAGTGGTTGATGTCAATCTGCGCGGGACGTTGAACTTCGTCAAACTTGCACTGCATAATATGAAGAAGAACGAAATCAGGGGCAGTATTGTAATCACCTCGAGTGCGACGGCGTATTCGGCAGAACAGTCTCTTCCGGTCTACAGCGGGACAAAGGCGGCGGTATGTGATCAGACCCTTATTGCGAATGATTTTGTTCATGCTAATGTCCGCGCAGTTGATCAACTACATGCGCGCCATGCGGTCCATCCTCCGAGATACCGGCATTACCATCAACGCCGTCGCTCCGGCCGCGACTATCACCAAGCTTCTACCGCCCGATCTGGCGGCGCCCATCATTGCATCTGGTCTGCCCGTCAGCACGGCCCATTTTGTTGGCCTTGCCGTCGTGTATTCCGCCGTGGCAACCGAGTCGCAGAAGGTTCAGGCTTACGGAAACGATACAGATGAATGGAAGAAGGCACCGGGCCGTTGGAATGGCAGAACTATCTTGACTCATGGGGAACTATATACGGAACTGGAGGGGCCGCTAGCCGACTCGCGCGCTGTTTGGTTCGGGGAGGGTAATGTCCGGGAGACTAGGCGTCAGCAAGTGGCTACGGACTTCAGGTGCTAATCTAGGTTCAAGATTAGAGTCGCAAGACTTTAGTCTTGGCATTCATTGGACGATTTCGTTTAGTGTGTCCTGTATCTCCGCGGCATTTTTATATAAAGTAACATTGAATCTGTTCCTGTCCCTTTCGTAGTTTCGTTCTCTGTTGCAATGTTCTGTTGATATACGCTGATCACCACTAGCCATGCCGACCCAAGCATGTCCCGGGAATTATGGCAATGGGCATGCTCAAATGGCAGTTCTGGCGAGCTCGCAGTACCCACACTCCCCCCACCCCTTCCCCACCCCTTTCCCACCCCTGACTTTTCCATTTTACCCCCTTTTCTCCTCCCCATGCACGGTGGAACTGTCAGTAGAAACGGAGCCCCATAATATCGGGATCAACGACTCACTCGCAGTCTTTCCTATTCAGGAAAGTCACCGTTACTCGGAGTTCGCACGGATTCCTAACTTGGAACTCCAGCCTGCGTCACCTGGTTCGAGCGCATAATTTTTTGTTCATCGCTCACTGGTGACGTAAATATGGAACCGTTGATATGTTTATGGAGTCATGATCTCAAATCCCCCAGTCGTTGAAGTATTAGGCTTGGTAGGGATGATGGCCCCATAACCACTGTGACGTACTGCTCAGACAAAGGTATTCAAACATGAATAAAGCAGCTGTCTGTGACGATATTTCGGAAACTTCTAAGTTTGACCCCACTGCTTGCACACCTAGAGAAACCAGGGCACGGCTAGTCTGGTCACTCACGTCCACCAATGAATTCTCCTACCACCATTCTGCCATAGTTGTTTCTTGTTCACGAACAATCTGTGATACGTATAAGATGACGACGAAGAAACAGAACGCGCGAAAGCGTTACAAGACCAAAAACGAAATTCCACGGACCATTTTCAACGCCAAAATTCACCCTCGAGAGTCTGAAGTCTCTGCCGAGGTCAACGGGTACTTCCTCAAGCACTGGCCATTCGAGAACGACAAGGCCAAGCAGAAATTCGTAGCAGCTGGGTTCCCCCGTGTTACCTGTCTCTATTACCCAGCTGCCGAGGATGATAGGATAGCCTTGGCCTGCCGGCTTTTGACTCTACTGTTTCTCGTCGATGGCAAGTACTTTAGTTTCCCACCTCATCAGGTAGCGAGCGTGCACCTCGTTTACGTCCCATCTGGTTTTAACATCCCATTTCTAACCCCTTGCTGCTTTTCACAGACGTCCTCGAAGACTTGTCCCTAGAAGATGGGGCTAGTTACAATGAAAGACTGATTTGCATCTCTAGGGGCGATGTGGATGCGCTGCCCGATCGCAACGTTCCCGTTGAATGGATCACGTACGATCTGTGGGAAGACATGCGAGCGTGCGACAGGGAACTGGCGGATGGGGTCCTCGAGCCCACATTCACCTTTATGAGAGCACAGACCGATAAGTGTCGGCTGGGCATCAAGGAGCTGGGCCAATACCTGGAGTATCGCGAGAAGGATGTTGGACAGGCGTAAGTACTCTCCCTAGTCTCTATGACCGCCCTGTGCAGATGGGTAAAACGATTGATTCTTACTCTGTTTGTAGGCTACTCTGTGCACTGATGAGGTTTAGCATGAACTTGCACATAAGTGACGAGGAGTTGGCATCTGTCCGGGAGATCGAGATGAATTGCGCAAAGCACATCTCCGTCTTGAACGATATATACAGCTGGGAAAAGGAGGTAAGCGCAGCCAGCAGCGGTCACCACGAAGGCTCAGCACTTTGCTCGTCTGTGTTGGTTCTGTCAAACCAGACGAAGCTGGACGTGACGGCGTCAAAGCGTATACTCTGGGTCCTGTGCAGGGAGTGGGAATTGGTGCATGAGCAGCTTGTGAAGAAAAGGTTGGCTTCGGTTGAGCCGTGCAGCAGCGACTTGAAGGCTTACATGAATGGACTGAAATATCAAATGAGCGGCAATGAGGCTTGGAGTGGGAAGACCCCGAGGTATCATTCGGTCTATGCATGAGACGGCTTGTATGTTGTTAGCGACATTCTTGCAAGCGAGGCACAACATTGTTTTAGTGGTAGCCAGATTGTTTTATATGTTAATTGTCGGGATCCAAGTATTAGGGGCTGTATTGGTACCATGAAAGTGCGTGAGGGACCAATCCTAAGTTGGTCCCGAGGCGTCCCTAGATACTACAACGCGTGCCTGACTGCCTTGTAGCCCTCCACTCCTAAGGCCACAACCTCCCACATTAATAGTATTTACTGAGAATATATGTTTACGTATGGGCATTTGAATATTACAGACAAGTTTTGTTTGCAATACCCATCGCAAGAATGCCCAGAGACTGGGCTATCCAGCCAAGACCAAGTTAGTGAGTCACTTGATATCTTGAGGCATAATACATTAATCTACCTGCTCAAGGGCTTCAACAGTTTTGGAATATGCACTGCCGCCCAGACAAGCAAAGCAAACCCAAGGATGTATATAGACAAGGTCGATTTATATTCAACACTCGTATCCAACGCTCTATAAGTGTGGGGACCACTTTCAACAGGAAAATTCGCGCAGCGCAACCCTCTGCGATCAAGAATAGTACAGGGCTGTTTGCGTGGCTGATCATCCAACGACTCTACAATCGGTGCCGGCGCCCTAAATACCACAATTCGAAGGTGATATTATTTTTGTAGCAGAACAATATATTATTATTAAATACGCCGTAGGCTCTAAGCCCCCGGTACCTCTACAAGTGCTCCCGTATGTCAAACCGTGCCCTAATGGCTGGACTAAATACATACGCTGCTACGTAGGTTCGCTCTATTAGCGACTGCGTTACGTCCACCACAATACTATGTTAGTTCTCACCTTACTAACAAAGCCCCCCTGAGAAGAAGAACAATATAACAACAGCATATTTGATCAATAAGAGATTCCTTATAATTTATCTGTATAGTAATTCTCAGTTATTGTCTTTTTCTAAGTATGCATTGTACTGGATGTGGTTCTGCCGTGAATTGAAGATGTGGTAGCCTGGGCAGCATTCCATTATAAAATAGATTAACAGGGCACTTGCAGCGCAGCTAGCAGCGCACCGTCCGCTGGCGTCCACTCTAATTGAACTTCTGTAGTAGAGTATAATCACGCTGGGAATACTCTTAACTTCCAACACTACTGTATTAATCTTGCGTACACAATCCCTTCAAAAAGGTTACCGGGAATAATCACCAACAATTAGCAAAATAACCGGTTTTACGCATGGATTGTGTAACGAAACCTCTAATAGTTTAGCTGCGTAAACCACTAAAGAGTCTGTAAGGGTTTGTGCTAGTAAGTAAGTCCTGCTGCGGAGTCCTCAAGCAATAATATCGGGGTTTGACGTATGGAGTAGAGTGCTTTGGGTAACTGAAGTATTCAAGTAGGGTAATCGGGAATAGAGTCGTTAAGGCAGTTTGCCTCACCAATGGGTTAGATTGATGCTTAGATTGATCACTGAAGTAGAGACTGTCTATCTATGAAATGCCTGGGAGTCCTGTCCCTTATATAGCCAACCTCTCCTTCACTGATTCCTTGGATCACTTCCGGCTCGCAGCTCAGAAGGTGATCCATTGGTGATCCTTTGGTGAGCCCAACTTATGGCTCACTCGCGGCTCACGCCTGGCTCACTGATCTGGTGGTGATCCAGGTCACGTGACCGTTCCTGTCTTTCTGGTAATAGTGCTCTCTAATAAAGCGATCACCAGATAGTATACTAGTTACCTAATACGATAGACCCGGAGTCGGAGCCGTAGAGCACTAGTCATCCGATTCTTCAGTATACCAAGACTCTCATATTAGGCCATGACTCGCACGTCCCTATACCGGTACTGCACCGGTGCACAACCGGTGCCATGCATCCAGCACTCTGACAACATACACTTTACACGCCATATGCACTCGCGTCAAAGAGCTTCTCTAAGCGTAAAATTGATTTTAACTGTACGTGTTTGCAGATCGCTTCTATTCTTGGAGAAAAAGTCAATTGGCAGTTATTATAATTCTCCGTAGCAGTTTAATGTTCCGGCGGGATGGTCTCCCGGCTTGTGTCCTTACTATTTTTCGAAATTACCTGATCCAGCTGATACTAAATGGAAATCCATATCCAAATACGCAGTTTCGTCCACCAGTTTGTCAAGTTATCGTAGACAGTCAAGCGATTGGGTGGTTCGATCTCGATAGCGCAACATCTACATCGTTCACGTCAATTTGACCATTGAGTGCAGTTTTTGTCTTCGTATCGCAGATATCGGTGCCGGCAGTGAGCTTAGCCTCCAGTTTCTCGTTGTGTGCATTGACGATGTCGTCGGGGAGCTTGGCCAGAGCTTGATCAAGATCTTCGATGATATCTCGCACGTCTTCAGTTCCGACGGAGAATCGGATGAAAGCCTTCGAGAGAAGAGTTCAGTCAGCATGACTCCGATCATTCGTCACGTATTGAGGCTCACATCAGCACAGGAGAAACTTACAGGGGTAATTCCGGCCTCACGGCGGTCTTTCTCGGACATGATGACATGAGTAGAGTTCCAGGGATGGGTCGCCAGCGTTTTTGAATCTCCTACGCTGGAAGATGGGGAATGAAAAGTTAGCTTTCGATCGAGCAACAGGTTTGGGGGCCTTCTTTTGCCGCGCACATACTTGGTCTGGTGAGAGATGACTCGGACATAGTCCAGGAGCATTTTGCTCGCCTTATCTCCTCCTTTGGGACCGAAAGCCAGCACGCCTCCGAACCCCTGCCTGAGGTACTTCTTCGCATTCGCGTGATACTGGTTGCTCTCGAGGCCTGCCGACCTCTTGGTCAGTTTTCTCTCATCTACTATCCAGGACCCATTCCTAGAAATGCCCTTTGCGAGATGGAAGAAGACACATACCTGGATAATTCACCCAAGCAATCCTTGGATGACCTTCCAAAAACCGGGCCACCTCCATGGTATTTTTGGCATGACGCTCACAGCGCAAACTTAAAGTTTCCATGCCGATCAAGAGCTGTTGGGCCGATGCTGGAGCGAGGATGGATCCGACTTCCATCAGGATATCTAATCGGAGAGCCATAGCAAAAGCGATATTCCCGAAAGCCTTCCAGTAAGAGAAGTTCATGGGGCCTTCTTTCTTCATCAGGCGAGGGAAGCGATCACCAGCCTTGCCCCAGTCGAAGGTACCACAGTCGATGATAACGCCACCAACGACAGTGCCGTGCCCGCCCATCCACTTTGTGGCCGAGTGCAGGACGATATCGGCACCGAAGTCAATGGGCTTACACCACGTTCCGCAGGCTCCAAAAGTGTTATCCACCTTTTATCGTCAGTGATGCCGCAAACCAAACGGGCCGGAGAGAGGCCTCTGTTTGCGAATACTCACCACAAGCGGAATATGGTTTTCATGTGCCACATCAGCCAGTCCCTGTAGGTCGGGGATACTGCATCGAGGATTGCCAATGCTCTCGACGTAGACCATCTTGGTCTTGTCATCGATATACTTGGCAAATTCTTCCCGAGTTTCCTGCTTAGCCCAATGGACAGTAATCCCGAGTCGCGGAAGAAGGGTCTTGAACAAGCTGTAGGTGCCGCCATACAGGTTAATGGACGCTACGATGTTGTCCCCGGTTCCAGCGAGACAGATGATGGTGTTGAAGATGGCCGCCTGCCCAGAGGCCGTTGCGACTGCCGCAGTGCCTCCTTCTAGAGCAGCAGAACGTTTCTCGAAGACGGCAACGGTGGGCTTGGGAACAGAAAAAAATCAGTATCAACCTCTAAGTAGCATGCCCTCAATTCCAGACATCAGGAATTGCATCTCCATTAACTTACGTTTGAGATGCGACTGTAGAAGTACCCAGCCTCTTCAGTGGCACACACTCTCTTTGCATGGCCACTGTCTGTGAAAACGAAAGACTTGAGCGCGCAAGTTAGTCAGATCTCCCGCTTCGTAACGACTCATGGGCAATCAGAAACTCACAACGCTGTTATAAATTGGCACTGCTCGGGCATGGGTTTCTTTATCAGGCCTATGGCCCCCATGCACCTGAAGGGTATCATAGCGCAATCCTTCATCGAATTTCTCAATTTTGTACGGCTGGAAAGGATCGTGTCCTGCCGGCGGCGGGCTGGAAGGACGGCCGGCTGCCATTTCGGTGATTGGGTCTAAATGCGGGATGAATTAGAACGAAACTCTGTATATTTGAAAGTTCCTGCACTTTGGAGGAAACGCTTGATTAGAGTTATCAAGCGTGCGTAGTTGGGTATATGTCAAGGAACTGCTTACGAGGGGACTTGGCATTGATTAAATGCATGAGTTGATGGGCGTACCCCTGTTCAGCGAATTGGCGTGGTCGGGAACATTCCTATTTGGGTTAACTGGAGCCTCGATAGAAGTTCAGTCGCATTCTCAGGGTCCCACTTACGCTTGGAGTCTACTTTGTAGATCAACCCAAGGCTCCGGTTCGCCCTGTCTTGGTATTTAGGCGCCAAGTGTCTACTCTGTCGTAGCACATTACTCCTGCACTCTCCTCTTGTTGGACTTATGGTTATCGTGTAGACTGGTTATAGCTTCAAGATGAACAGCATCTTTTCGAATGTTGACTATCATTTTGCGGTCGTCCTCCGTGCACCTGCCTGTCTTTCGAACATTCCAATATGACAAATCCAACATCACCACCATCACCACATTACTGGCCGGCATTGCTGGTTTGATCCTCGTAGCCCTATCATTTTCCAGCTCAAGAGCCCCAAAGTTGGCACCTGGAGTCTATGTCGTGGGTGGCGACGATGAGAAGAGCATCCGGGTCAGCCGTGAGAGGTTCCGACAAAATGCCAAGGAAATGCTGGCTGAAGGCTATGAGAAGGCATGTTCAAGAAATTCGAGATTATCCCGCAATAACTTAAGAGAACGGGAAAGCTTACCTGACCTCGGTTCCCCAGACTGGCGGAGGCCTCTCATACATCCCGAGTCCGTTGGGAGAGCGGTTGATGATCCCTCTCAAGCACTTAGATGAGCTGAAAACAGCCCCTATAGATCATGTTGACTTTGTTGCCACGTTTATTGAAGTGAGTACCATATCGATAACTATCAATTCTATGATTGGGAACTAGAGTCTGGAACTAACCAAGCAAGATGTTCGAGGGTAAATACACCACCATGGGTAGTCGATCGACCTTGCACCCGCGAGTCGTTAAGGCCCAACTGAATCACCACTTGGGTAGGTTATCATAAATAGATTTTCGTGGCGTGTTGACTGTATTGCTGACTGGCTGGAAGGGGATGTCATGCCTGCAGTCCAGGAGGAAATCATTGATGCCTTTCGTGACACATTCCCCAGTTGTGAAGGCAAGTTGAATGAACCCAGTACCCCAAGGATGTGACTGTGCCCGACGTACATACTGATTGATTACAAGTTAGACTGGACGCCGGTGCCTGTGGTTCACACATTAACGCAGATTGTGGCGAGAGTGTCCAGCCGCATGTTCGGAGGCACGGCCTTATCACACAACGACGAATGGGTCCAGTCTTCCATCAAATTTGCTATCGATGGCTTCATAGGTGCCCAGACGATCAAGAAGTATCCGGAATACCTTAAGCCATTGGTTGCTCGTTTTGTTCCCGAGATCCGCAACATTGCCAACCATTACGCGGCCGCAGAAGCCGCAGCCATTCCATTGCTAGAGGCTCGCCGGCGCACAGGGGAGAGGGAAATGGATTTACTTTATTGGATGGCAGAGCAGGCCAAGGACGAGGAATGTGACCCCAAGTTTCTCGCTAGCATTTTGCTCAAGATCAGCTTTGCTGCCATACATACTAGCGCCGCGGCGCCGGCTCAGCTCATTTACGACTTGTGTGAGCACCCCGAGTTCATCGATCCACTCCGACAAGAAGCCGAAAGTGTCGTCAATGCCGACGGCTTGATGGACAAGTTGAGTTTCCTCAGGATGTTCAAGATGGACAGTTTCATGAAAGAAAGCCAAAGATTCAACCCTCTGCTGCTGAGTACGTCGACTGCCTGGCCCAGCTGAGAGCTTCATACCTGTTCCTCGAGTCGCGGAACACCCCCAGCGCTAACCCTATTGTCATAGTCACTTTCGAACGTGTTGTTCATAAACCATGGACTCTGTCTTCAGGTTTTACCATCCCAGCGGGTACGACGATTGGGGTGCCAACCCAAGCCATCACCATGGACCCTAAACTGTACCCCAATCCCGAAGTGTTCGATCCTTTCCGGTTCTCGAAGCTTCGCGAAGAACATCGCGAACTAGACGGCCGCGCACAGTACGTTGCCTCAAACACGTCCTCCATGAGTTTCGGATACGGGAGGCATGCGTGCCCCGGACGTTTCTTCGCCGCGCAGGAAATTAAGGCCATCATGGCCTTTATACTAAGGGAGTACGACATGCGGTTTTCCGAGGGCCAGACGCGGCCCGAGAGCTTGCGTGTCGAGACTCAGTCCTTACCACACCCCACGGCGACCGTGGAATTCAGAAGGAGGGCGAAGTAGGCATTTCTGACTATCAGAGGGTGTTGTAGCAATGGCCGCAGCTCAGGTGGTGAGACCACGAGGCTCCGGAGAAGTTAGTAATTAAGAGATCCATAGCGATTCAATAATTATAGGTACTCCCTCGCTTATCCCGAATAAACTCATGGGAAGAAAACAAATTACATGGCGTTAGAAAAGGTATACACATCACATATGAAAGTAGAAGAAATCGAAATTTAGGATAACTACACACAATTCTTATAACGTAAATGTCGACACCTGCCATGGGTCTTTGCTTTTGACGTAACCAATTTTTCCACGACCATCACCGTGGCAGGGCCGAAATTGCCACCAAAGAAATTAAGTGGTTCAATCCGACGTATTCATCCCGTCAACGTTTTGTTATCCGTCACACTCTCCACCTCCTTCCTTCGCCTACCCACGAGCCATCTGCCAACGGAGTGTCCCCCAAAGCTTAGCAACATGGCCGCACAGAGAGCCCACGGCACAAAGCCCAGGGTGATCATGTTGTAACTTGCGCCGACCCCACGTCCCAACAGGACAGCCCAAATAGCCAGCGTGACGAATATGCCCGTCTGATATCTGTCCTCGTCTTGTCTTCGATGAGCAAACGAGGACAGACAACATCCCAAAACCACACAGGATCCCAGCATCAGCCCAGGGGACGGATCTGTAATGAAATCGAGATGCAGAAAACCGACGACTCGAGACGAAGGAAACAGGGGTGTCTGACACATAGCCTGTTAGCATTTGCACTCTAGTCGCCGAGTAAACCATCTATAAAGCATGCGACAAACATGGAGCTGATCTGCATCCACTCCAGATTGATCTGCGTGGTAGATGTAGGAAGTGCTAACGACACAGCAAATGACCGAGGGAAATAGCTCAAACAGCTCGGAGAAGACCATCAGCACTGTTGTTGATGTTGATGATGATGGCAGTGGGATGAGTTCCGCCTCCACGGAGGCCAGCAGTGAACGGCCTTTCGATGCGTGCATTGGGTGTAAGGACAGAGAAAACTCATTTGTACAAGTTCAGGGACGGGGATTGTTTTGAGCCTCAAGGCATGTTCGATAGAGCTACCTGTCGCGCATCGAGATATATAACGTGTTGGATTCCAGGGATAAGACACGTGGAGCCTTACACGTGGAGCCTTACACGCGGATTCAACTTCCGGTAAGTCAGGCGCCCTTTATGTATGATGTAGAAACATATACTTTAGCTTATCAAGCCGAGGAGCTGGGCACAGCGTTGAACAGCAACTAACCGGGCGTGCGTCATATGGTTAACACGACGTCCTATCACACCAAAGTAGAGGCTTTCCCGGCTGAAACACTATTCGGTGAATCAAAGCATCAGATCCTCTATTGACCGTCTGAAGGATGGTAGCAGGATGACGCGAGGTTTACGTCCCGATTGGATGTCGACCATGCACGGTAGGTGCAGTTTGTATATGGTCTACCCCTCACTGGGCATCCCGCGAGGCTGATTTCAATGGGATAGGAACCAATCAGATGAATGCGGACTACTGAACTGGCAGTTTGCATGCGGGTTAAGTGAGCAAAGCAGGCGTACAAAGGCAACCAGCAGGCGGCAGTCTATAAGACGTGGCAGCATTTTTGTCCACCCACCGCCACATCAAGGGGAGCCAGGCTGGATCGTTGGGCATCTTCACATGATAATTAGGCAGTCTCACAGGTGTACGACGAATATCTCCTTGAGAAAATCCCCGTGAACTGGTAGTTGACGTCTATGATTGCTCCTCCTAGAAGAGTCTCCCAGCCCGTTATTGTGGGTAGCACCATAGAAGCGCTGCTGCATATGGGGAGTTCCCCGTGACTTACATTAGTGGCTGTGATTAAAAGACATATCTTCTGTATTTCTCCAGGTTCATCACTCGATGCCTGAACTTTTCCTGGCCGAGTCTCTCGAGTCTCCCGTTTGATTGACGAAGCCTCATATTCAGATACCCCGTCCGTCGTTCCGAGTGTCTCCTGTGGCCTCATTCGATATAGATCTACGAAATCCGTTTCTTGTAATTGTCGACCTATCGTCATGCGAAATATGCGTGGTCTTGCTTCGGTTGCCGCCACCACGGCCTGCAGGCCTCAGGTCCAGCATGCTGGCAAGATATTGTCCAGTGGTGGGTTAATCACATCGACCTTGTTCCCAGTCTTTGGACGGGAAGACCCGATCTATTGTTACACGTACGCATTGCGAACATCGAACAATGCACTAATTGCTAACTATATCAGGGCATTGGCTATCTTCATTGCATCGACATTTGTGTTCGTCTCGTTTCATGTGAAGGCGATGAGGTATAAAATTCGCTTGTACTAGGCGCCGTAATATGTGGCTGATGGGCGACAGGTTCCTCATACTCACGGTTCCCTTGGTGTTTATACTTGTGGTGATCATGGCCCCATGGCCTCAGCTCTCAGTCGAGTATTTCGCGGTGCGGATACCTCCTTTATTGACCGTGTCGGTTGGCTTAGCCGTGTTCGTAGCAGAACATCTTCCAGCCATATACAAATTTCTGAAACTGCCCGAGACGGATCAGCCCAACCACAGCGGAGCCGAAGCTTTCCAACAAGCGCCATTTTCGCATCTGAAAGAACACGAGCTGTGCTGCATGGCAGGGCCGCCTAGCCGCAACGCGTCAAGTCACACCTCGGATCCCTCACTCTCGGAGCGAGGGGTGGTGAGATCGGAGTGGAATTCAGAGATCCGCCAATTTTTTGTCACCTCGGGATCTGGCCATGCGAACGACACAATCGCGAGTATACCTTCACACAGCATGGACCACTTCATCCATGGCAACGAAAAAAAAGACCGATTGCCGCCGCAGTAACTTCAGACACGCTGGACCGGGAAGTCTCGACTGGATCGGGGTCGCCAGTCAAACCCCCCCCAGACCCCATTGTAACATGATCAGATATTGTCCTTTGGTTTCTGCGTTAAGCACTCAAGCAACTCTTCACGCAGCATGTGTACCGGAATACGAGATTAGCAAGGGGATGGGAGGTCGACTGTGATTTTCGGCGTTTGGAGGAGGTGTTCGTGTATACCGGCTTTGCAGAAGACTTGATTGTACCTGTAGAGTTGAGGGTACCAGGAGACAGGCACGGTGGCGCTTGCATGGCAGCATATTAGAGAATATACCCTACACAAATCGGACCCCATGGAGCAATCCATCGTGGATCTGGCTGATCATTCGATCGCGGCTCAACCAACTTTTCCCACATCAATCATATCTACAATCCTACGAGTGGTGTCGTTGTGGTTTTTGCGGCTTGAGAAAACGACCTTGGGGTAGAGACTGTGCCGCCGAGGGGTCGACCGTGGTTTCGTGGTGACGGTATTCAGGCTTGACGACTTGGACAAAGTGACGTGGTGGAGTCGTATCTGGCTAAAATGAAGCAAGTTCCTAGCAACGCCATCACATTCTCCTGCGCGTCGTAGTAACACGAAATCAGGAACAGAAACCTTTGGGTAAAGACTCGGCCGACATGCACCTGTTTAATATTGCAAGCAAGTCAGGATTGAGCGGGTAACTTGCTGGCCAGCCACCGGCATTTACAGGGATCATAGCTCCGCCAGCCCACTCTGCCGAGCTCCCAGCCACGAGTTTTCGGGCTTCGAACCCCACCATCAAGTTCGAGTCCAACCTCCCGCAGCAGGGGTATCTGCTTGACAATAGCACAACAACCAAGCAAAACTTGATCTTGGCCAGCGCATCGTATCTGTGCATGAGCTCATCGCCAATCTCCGGACCGTTCGCCGCCTCACAATCTCTACGGTGACAGAAAATGACGACGAATCAGGAAAAAGGTAGGTGGTTGGAAGCCCTGCACGGTCTGTCCACCTCTGCATTTACCCATAAGAGCTCATCCGAACCTCGAGACCTCTTGCAGTCCTCTTTTTGTACCTCCGTTACACATAATCACATTGTACAGCATCCGTAGCTCCTCGAAGATTACCGGGATCCTCGTATGCTTACGTCGTGTGTTTGATACGGATTTGTTTATAGGACTTTTGGGGACACGCCTTTTCCATTCCTTGACTCGAGTCCGGTCGTTGCTCGCCAGGCCAGCAAGGCTATCTCCCATACTCTTTCTTGTATATTATTGCTTGGTTTTGCACATCCCCAGTCACCATGATCTTCTCAAGGCAAGCCCGCGGTGCAGCGGCAGCTGCTCTGCTGTTGACCCAAGCAGCGGCCCAAACATACTCCTCGTGCAATCCCACCCAAGGAAGTAAGTGGCCCTCCAAGCTTTAAGTAATGTTGAGCCCCCAGATGCTAACAGTCGCATAGCATGCCCTGCTAATACTGCCCTTGGCATGACGATCAACGTTGACTTCACACAAGGAGCCGTGAATTCCTTCACTTCGTCTGGTGGTGACCCGACGTATGGCTCAGACGGAGTCACCTTCACCGTCGCGAAATCGGGGGATGCACCCCAACTAGCCTCGGTCTTCTACATCATGTTCGGCCGTGTCGAGTTCTCCATGAAAGCAGCGCCTGGTGCTGGCATAGTCTCCTCATTTGTGCTGCAATCCGACGATCTCGACGAGATCGACCTGGAATGGCTGGGCGCGGATAACGATGAGGTCCAGACGAACTATTTCGGTAAAGGCATAACGGGCTCGTACAACAGGGGCCAATTTAACCCGGCCGCGAACAGCCAAGGGGAGTTCATCACGTACATCTTGGAGTGGACGAGTGAGCAGATTGTGTGGACCGTGGGCGACACCGTAGTTCGAACACTGGCCTATGGGGATGCCGAATCGGGTCAGTATCCTCAAACACCCATGCAAATCAAGTTTGGTGCGTGGGCTGGTGGCGATTCGAGCAATGCACAAGGCACCATCGAATGGGCAAGGGGGCCGACGGACTACTCTCAGGGACCCTTCAGCATGGTCATGAGGAGCCTGTCTGTTACCGACTACAGCACGGGCAGTTCTTACAGCTACGGCGATACTTCTGGTTCTTGGGAGTCAATCGTAGCCGAAGGTGGATCTGTGAATGGTAACTCTGATGGTGCGTCCACTGAGACTGTCACCGCTGTTGCCAGCGCTGGAACCGGTACGTCGCCTACCGTACCGGCCGGAGGTATCGGTACGGGCACGGGCACGGCCAGTTCCGGCAATTCAGATTTGCCCGATGGCTGGGTTATGACGCCCGAAGGGAAGATCGTGCCGTCCAGTTCGGCTGTTGTAAGTATGTTTACAACCCTCCCCGTCCCCCCCTTTTTGTTTGTTTGTTTTCACGGGCCAGCGATATGCGAAGATTTCAAGCGACCACAAATTTGACGAACGAAAGACTAATTTGTCTCCAACTACAGGCCCTCCTCACGCCATCCTCCTCGCCGGTCCTCTCATCTTCTCCATTTTCGCCTACCTCTCAGGCAACTGGAGGCATTGAGACGGTGACGAGATATGACGATCGAGGATCATTGACCACGGTGACTGTCCCCGCGGGGATCACCGCTCGGCCGAAGAGTTACGACTCACAGGGATTTCTGGTCACCTCGACGTCTGCCGGCTCGACATTGGCTGCCTCAACTTCCAGGGTTGCCGCGGCACCAGCACTCGGTGGAGATTCGACTGTCGCAAATGCTGCCGACAGCGGCCCTCCTCAGACGGGGTCTCTGCCAATGACGCTGGCATCTGCCCTGCTTGCATTCTTAGTTATAGTGCTCCTGTAGGAAAGAGCGGATGAAATATGGGATGATTGCATGAGTTTGGGGTACAAAATGGATTTGCATGGAATGGTATTTCAGCGAAAGGCGCGTCGACGGCATTATTGACGCTTTGCATGTAGACTTTGGGTATGGCAGCATATACACCGGGGCGGCAGATCTTGTACAGTGCAAGAGAGTTTCGTTCGCCCCATGGAGGATTAGGGTCTGCGGGAATGTCGTCTGACACATTTATACCAATGGCGCAAGTGCAAACTTGAGAACATAGAGCGACTATATAGACTTAATACTGTACACTGAACCACATCGCACCAAGCTGTTCTTTTTGGCTTGTTTTTGTTATGATTCGCCGTCCAAGAGGACGTGATGCTTTCAAAATGGGGGCATGCCTAGAAGATGGCCCAGGTTCAACTACACTGATGGCTGACTGGCAATTACAGACCACTACTCGTGATGCTGCTTCCTTTGATAGAATAAGTACAACCACTTAAGTTGCAGTTCAATATTTTTTCATCTTCATCCCTCCCCAACATGGGCATCAAAAGGTCTCAGACGCCACCGTGGCGTCGTCTAGGATCGCTTATCTTCGGCCCGTTATCGCAAGCTCCGAGTCCAGTAGTCCAGTGCGGTTGAGCGACTACCGCAAGGGCGAGCAAGGCAAGACAGGTTCCACCGTGGCAGTCAGTCAAATAGTTGTAACAACTTCAAATCTCCAAGTAGTTGCTGTGGATATTCATTGCCTATATCAAACTGTCAAGCCTGTGGCAGCCTATATATATTCCTCGATGCCATCCCTCCATCCTAGAACCTCTCGCCTCCTCAACAGCCGCCGGCTGGGTGCTGTCGCCAAACCTCAACATGTATCTTTAATGCGATGCAGACACTCACTCTTCTCGACGACATGTTCAACATCGCGGCCTGCCAATGTGGGAGGCGTTGGACTGTCCGCCAAGGATGCCCAAATAGGCGAGCAAGCTCCCGAACCGCTCACTATCGAGGGGATCAAGGCAAGGAGAGCCAAGGCCGGAAAGCTGGTCGCGCCTACTGCTTCTTATTCTGATAGCGATATGTTCAAATCACCGGTATGCATTGCACCTTCTTCATTTTCTAGGTTCGGTTCGTTACTTCTCAGATTGACACAAGACTGACGGTGAAACAGCACGCATACAACCAGCCCAAAGCTAGGCGATGGGAACGTCAGTATAACTCTTTTTATTTTGTTTCCCCCAATCGGCGTTAGCACTGCATCGACGAAACCATCATATCTCAATATCGATACTCTACATGAACTCTTTCTTATGGATTGTCCCATCGTCTTATTGCTGGCTCTTTGCTCGATTCCCAGCTTCTTGTTGGCTGCACCATCAGAATTGCCATCCGACCCTATTGCTTGCTTTTCAGACAACTCCACAGATACCCGACACAGTCCAGCAAAAAGAGGATTTTCAAGGCCCTTCTTGTTCATTTTAGGCTTCGCCTTTGGTACACTCGGCTTCTGCGTCGCTATCGTCCTCTTTTTCAAATACATCTACCCCCGGCTGTGCTGCCGATTTCGCAATAACGTCTCATCTAGCTAATCTCATCCCCTCTCAGACCTCCTCAGCCCCGAATCCATAGCCCGAAAACCCTGCGTGCTGAAGCTGGCGGCCAAACACCTCAAGAAACCTGGTCTGGTATCTCTCGGCGGCGGCTTGCCATCCGCCGACCACTTCCCCTTCAATTCTCTCAGCATGCACATTCCTATGCCCCCTGAATTTTCGAAAGCAGCTGCACATTCTGCCGGGAGGCAGGTCACGATTGGAAAGCATGATGTGGCTGAGAAGGACGGTGTCTTTGATCTCAGTATTGGCTTGAATTACGGGCAATCCATCGGCTCAGCACAGCTGTTGCGTTGGGTCACGGAGCACACCGAGCTCGTGAGTCGCCCGCCGTACGCCGACTGGCGGTGTGCCCTGACGATCGGCAGCACGGGGTCCTTGGAGGCTGCGTACCGGATGTTCTGTGATCGGAATAGGGGGGACAGCATTTTGACGGAGGAGTACAGTTTCAGCACGGCGTTGGAGACTGCCGCCCCGCTAGGCATCAAGGTATTCGGCGTGAAGATTGACGACGAGGGCCTGATACCCGCGAGCATGGATGAGATCCTAAGCACGTGGGACGAAACGGCCAGAGGTGCGAGGAAGCCCACCGTCCTGTACACCGTACCTTCGGGGCAGAACCCAACGGGAGCTATGCAGGGCGAGCAGAGACGCAGGGGCATTTACGAAATCTGCCGGAAGCACGATATCTTCATATTCGAGGACGAGCCGTACTATTTCTTGCAGATGCAGCCGTACACTGGCCCCAACGCACCAGCCCTGCCACCTCCAGCGACAGTGGAAGAGTTTCTCGGCGGGTTGGTGCCGACTCTACTCAGTATGGACGTCGACGGCCGAGTCATGCGCCACGACTCGTTCAGCAAGGTCATTGTCCCTGGCTCGAGGCTCGGCTGGGTTACAGCGAGTGAGCAGGTCATTGAGCGGTACATACGGCATGCCGAATGTTGTAGCCAGGGCCCGAGCGGGTTCAGCCAGTTGATTACGTACAAGTTGGTCGATGAGGAATGGGGGCATGAAGGGTATTTGAAGTGGTTGATGAACCTGCGGCTCGAGTACACGAAGAGGCGGAATGCTATTCTGGCGGCGTGCGAGAAGTTCTTACCCAGGGAGGTAGTGAGCTGGACTCCGCCTGCTGCTGGGATGTTTGTAAGTTCTTCCCAACCTTGAAACCACCCACTCCTTTCAACAATTATGCATCGAGGACGGTCGCTGACCTCACCGCAACGGAATAGCTTTGGCTTAAGGTCGACCATCAGCTCCACCCCGATGCAGCGACCCGATGCCTCATCGACATCGAGCAGGAGATATTTGACTTATGCATCGACAAGGGCGTTCTAGCCTGCCCGGGGTCGTGGTTCCGCGCGGAGCAAGACAAACCTCTGAGCGGGCTTTTCTTCCGGACTATGTTTGCTTCCGCGTCGGAAGAGCAGATGGCGGTAGCGATCGAGCGGTTTGGGGCGGCGGTTAGGGATAGTTATCGGATGGGTTGAATCAGTATTTAATCACCAATGAAGGGCTTACAACTTTCATTCTGGTGTGGAAGGCAAGGGGTTTCGGTTGAGATTCGTGGCATCTCCAAGTATCGAGACGTCACTGTGGGGAGCATAGACGAAGTATCGGGTCTTTTGGTCCTTGTGCATGCAGCCTTTGTAAGTGGCTTATAGCAATACATTGGACTTCCCCAACCACTGCGGTGTTTTCTTCATGGTGGGTTCGTATTCTTGCGCTCTTCAACATGACGATCGCGTAGCGGTCCAGCTTTCTAACCCCTCGCAACAAACAAACAAATGCACCGCATCTCAGCTCATGAACGGCATTCCCTCGCGCCACATAAAAGCTGAGATAGTTAGGCTAGAGAAACAGCTATTAGAATGGTTCCCGCCGAAGTCGGACACTAGGACAGGTACTAAAAATCCTCCGGCAGGAAATACTCTGGACACTGGCTCGAAGCAAACGACTGGTCCAATCAAGTGCTCCAGGTAAGCAGCCAGCTACTTACATAAAGTGAACCAACATTATAAGAACTTAAATCCAACGACGTCTTAGCCATTCACCGACACCTCGTTCCATGCAATTCCAGTCTGTCGTGTCGTTTCATCATAAGCCTGCCAGCAGCATCCTTCAGATGACATCATTCAGTTTTATCATCAGCCTCTGAACCGAGGAGCAGTTGCCGGAATCCAAGCACGCCTCCTTCATGAACTCTTCCCCACCTCCCAAAAAGCGACCTTCACCCCGTCCCCGGGCTGAATCACAATCTCCGCCTTGAGCGTGGGGTTCCCACCGTCAACCTCATGCATAAAACTGTCAACGCGCTCGAACCGTTGAAACATCCTGGTAAGCACGTAACCCATCTCCGTCAGCGCGAATTGCTGCCCAATGCAGATGCGCGGCCCCCCATTGAATGGTACGTACTGCCAGGGCTTCGGCTGCCAGTAGAACCAGCGGTCCGGGCTGAACGTTTCAACGGGCGCGAACTTATCCGAGACGGGTGGGTAAAGGTCCGGACGGCGCTGCATTACTATCGTCGAGTAGGCGATGGGCGTGTCTTTGAGGATCGGCACGGGGAGCGAGCCGTCGGGGCCGCCGCCCTTGGGAAGCGTGCAGTCTTTTAGGGCGAGGCGCACGTTGAAGGGAACGGAGGGGTAGAGACGGAGGGTCTCGTTCATGATGTTTTGGAGGTACTTCATGCTCTTGAGGTCATGGTAGGTCGGAGTGCGGTCTAGGCCCACCTGGTCTATGATTTCGGCGCGCAGACGGCGTACGCACTCGGGGTGGCGGCTGAGTTCGTAGATGGTCCAGGACAGGGTCGCGGCGGTGGTGTCGCGGCCGGCGAGCAGGATGGCGACGAGCTGATCGCGGATTACGGTGCGGTCGCGGGTAAAGAGGGCCAGTTCGTGAAGGAATGTGTAGCCCTGGTCGGACTTCGTCTTCGAGGAGAGTTCTTCCGGACTGAGGCGCAGCGCCCGGTCGATGTACGTATTGCAGAATTCATTGATCACCTTTATACCAGCACGGAAGGAACCCAGGGGTACGAAGCAGTTCAGTGGTCCCGCGCGGGAACGAATGTTTTGGATTCTCTGAACTTCGTTGAAGGCATGTGCGAATTCTTGGAGGGGCGTGCTGCTCGAATGTTAGCCGGTGCTCTGAAGCCGCTTCTTCGAGTTGAGGAGATTCAACAAGGATAATTGCTCTCTTACGTGAGGGATTGTACGTCCTTGCCCAGCAGGAAGTCGGTGGCCACGTCGAGGGTATACCGGAAGAACAAGTCGCTGATCTCGATGACCTTGCCATTTCCAGCCTCCATGTCCACCTGCTGATTCTCTCCGTGCAACGCCGCGCCATTCGCCATGGCCTCGAAGAAAGTCTTGAGATGGGATTCGAAGCAGTGCAGGTCACTAATACGTTCTTTGACGAATTGGGGCCGGATGAGCTGTCTTCTGGCGTGCCACTTATCCCCATCCGTGGTGAAAATGCTGTCGCCCAGAAACTCCTTCCACTCCTTGTGAAACGGCTCTCCCTTGCCATAATCGCCGAATTGGGAAGCAAGAATAGCCTTGATGTTCTCTGGGGCTGCCGTGAAAACGATGCGGCGGCCGACGATGGTCTTCTCGACGGTATATTCTTGTTCAGGACTGAGCATGTTGCTCCACATCTCCAGATTCTTGTGGTTCATGGTGGCATCTATCTGTGCCTTGACTATATCAAGACCTGACACGGCTGGTGTGAGAACCTAGAGTCTAAGGGGGAGTTGGGGTTTCTCACCGAAAGGCAGCTTTCCGCGGAGGCGGCGAGCGCGGGCACCAGGTAGTCGGCGCAGACGAATTTCTTCGCCAACATGGTCGAAGATATACCACAGCGAAAAACTGACACCCAGGAAGACGAGGGCTGCCTTGATCGAGACATTCTCGATGAGCAATTCTACAAAGCCCATTGCGAAAACTTGATAAGTGGTCTACGTCGAACGTCGCGGACTTATTTTGCCGTCGCCAGGGTACTCGAGTCCTTTTGAGGGAACGTTTGCTGATGACGACCAAGTTCATCCACCTATCCAGAACCACGGCGTGTCTGGTATAACACCGCTAGCAGCACGTTTCACAAGCGGAATGTTTGTTCTGGCTTTATCCCAGGGCCGGGGACCCCAAAGCCTTTGTCGCGTCAATAGATCCGCCAGATTGGACTGGTTACGAGAGAAGTGTTCTCCGCGAATGCTGAACGATGAAACCGCGCGAGTCAACAGGTTGCACCAAAAAACGATAAGATATCAGAACGCCAGGTCATACGACGTAGGCGAAGCGAAGGGAAAGGGACGAAAGCTTCAATGTTGGTACCCATGTACGTCATATACTATGTGCTGCATCGGCGTCAAGGTTGTCCCTGTCGGTATGTTTCCGACCGTTCTAGAGGGTCCCATTCCCGTTTCAAGTGGGTCTGTCTTCTTCCCACAGCAGCAACCCGCAACCAACCCTACTGCTGCCAAGTACCTATTGGGGAGCCATCTGCGCGTCTCCTCAGTGGCTCGTTGGTTGGCCTCGAGGACTCGTCCAGACCCTTCCCATGATTTTCACTCTGGAGAACCCAGACTGGCGGCAGGCAGCATTGGTCAATTGGGCTGGCCATTGAAACGAGAACGCACTGTCAATTGATGACGAAAAGTGTCGTCCGGGGGTTGGGGGAGAGCAGCCAGCTCCCCTACCTTACACGCTTGTACCGAGGCTCCTTTACTCCCCCCTCCAAGGTGGGGTTGCAACTACCAGACTGATATATCACTTGGGCGCTTGTGAACTCCTACGACTCACCAACCTAGCTTGTCCGATTGATATGATTGATATGATTGATATGACTGATTACACATTTGAGTCCTCGCATTTACGTCGCGAGATGCCGTTGCTCAGTACGTAGGACCTTATTGAAGTGATACAGCCATGCAGGTCCATACCCTGTGGCGCTGGAGTAATGCAAGAGAACGGACAAAGCCGCTGGCACTAACAGCTTGGTGGTCATTAGCCCTACCAGCTTACGTAAATTGCAAATTGTGGTTGATATTGCGTACAAGGCCGGTAGCCCAAAGTCTGTGGTCTTCACTGGCCAGTGTTCAAAGCAAAGTAACAGGGGCTTGCGGCAACCTCAAATTCAATTCTAAATCTGGGATGTGGGGCGTGTAGAGCTTCCAATTTAAGTAACCACATCGTCACTAGGGTCGTTCCGTAAGTCAGCCAATTGGATGTTGTGTATTTGTGCCTGAACGTAAGGCGCCAGGCAACTTGAGTAGTTTCACAACAATGAAAGTCAGAAGGAATGAGACGATTACGAGAAACGGTTGTTGCTTAGATCTTCACAAGCGCCAGTGATCCATCACAGAGACGACCGCTTGACATGTTCGGGGTTTTGGCGTAGGCGATAGTTACCATACCTACTCGTATCGAAACACACCAGCTTTTTACTACACGAAGATGGCCTTTTGAGACTGCAAATTGGGTGGCGTCCAAGATTTCAGATGGTCTCGACAATACGACAGAGCCCAAGCGTCGAAATATGTACAAAAATTGTTTGTCCAGCCACATAGCATCCTGGACCTTGCGTTCGTATATGCGACACGATATATCCCTTTGCTCAAATAGAAAAGTTCCCTGGGTCGGCCAAAGGCGACCATCCGTATGCTGTTCATCGTTCTTCTGCACCAAGTGTGCTCCTGTACGACGAGCGTAACAATCAACCTCCGGCCGATGGCAAAAGCTGGCAGTTCGTCGCGTTCATGCCCTGTGTACAGAACACCATCTGCACCGGGCTAGCACCAACGCCACGGGCAACCATACGCTCCCTGAATTCGCCCAATCTGGGCGCGGCTTCTAGCTGACTGGTGTTACCGGTCGGGCCGGACCAGAGCACCTCGCCCGCTGCGCTGCCTCGGGGCCAGAGCAGTGAATCGAGGTTTGTCTCATCAATGGTTTCGCTCCAGACGGCGACCTCGCCGCCGAGCACCAATTCTGCCTCACCGGCCGTCAGATTTTCAGTCGGGTTGTGAGAGTAGATCAGCTGCCAGCTCTTCGTTGGGCCGCACCAGTCGTTAAAAGGGTAGTACGTGGAGGTGTCGACTTCGGCGAATGTGAGCCATTGGCCACGGCCACAGTCAAGGTACTACACATTCCATTTAGCCGACATTATTGGATGCAGTAGATCATTGTTTGCTTACCCAGTAGTTGTAGTTGCTGTCAATGACCTTGTGCCCTTGGCTCGTGAGCAGTTTAACAGCCCCATTGCCCAGCCAGCTCTGGACCACTACATCGTCGTCGATGGTGACGTTGTAGTGCGCGGAGCTGGGGATTTCTTCCCAGACCAAGGGAGTGAGACCTGCATTGCGCACACGAGCGAGGTTCTTATCGGTAAACTTCTGGATGAGCGGCAAGACCACGGAGGACTCGTTGGACAGCACTGAAGGGTCGAGTAGATATTGCTGTAGGTTGACCTCGTCACCTCCGGTGTGGAAGTAGGCCGAGTACGGATAGACTCTTGGCAGCACATCGTCCATCAATTTGTCTAGAAACGTATCGACGCGTGAGTCGTTGAGTCGGAACTGGCCACATGGAGGCTCGGCGCAGTAGGTTCCCCATGGTGTAGAGTCCCAGCCGACGATGACGTCAGGGTGGGATTCAGCAACGACGCCAATGTGACCTGGCATGTCGATCTCGAAGATGACTTCGATGCCTCGGGCGATGGCGTATTTCTGGATGGCCGTGATGTCTTTTGGCGAGTATGTCTTCCCCTTTCCATATGCACCCTTCGCAGCGATTTCGGGCATGGAGGGGATCTCCAGCGGCCATGACTGAGAGTCGGTCACGTGTATATGCAAACGGTTCATCTTGTTCCACGACATGGCGCGAATGGTGCGGTAAATGCTCTCAATGGGGTACCAATTTCGGGCCACATCGAGAAGGACACCACGATGTGGGAACTTGGGCGCGTCCTTGATTTCGACCGGAGCCTTCGTCGTGTACACTAACTTCCTGTCCGAGTGCAGGTAGAAGAGCTGCGTGAAGGTCTCAAGTGCATGCAACACACCGACAGCCGAGGCAGCCTCGATTTGCGCAGTTCCGTTGAGACCCACAGATAGGCTATAAGATTCGTCGACCTCGCCGGCCAGAGGCTTCCATGTGGAGCTGCTGTCCTTTCCGGTCTGGACAATCTTGAGGTCTGAGATCTTCTTGTTGGACTTGGAGGGCATAGGCTCGGTTTTCTGGACCTTATTTCTCGGATATAGCTTCCAGGGAACGAAGTTATTGTCAAAAATGGCTTCCATGGCACGGGACACAGCTCCAGCGACAATGTCCTTGCTGCGCAACACTGTGTCATTTGAAACAACGCCATAATCATTGCTGTTCCAGGAGAGCTGCAGACCCAGGGGATAGTCATCAGTATAGGTTGCAACGAAGTCGCAGGAAGGGTCTGAGAAAGAGGGCCAGCATACCCGCTCTCCGTTGTAGGTGACATGAATATTATCCGATATCCATAAGGTGTCATTACCCGTTGTTATGCTTGAAGGGGCGGGCCATATCGCCACCACAGGCGAAAGGGCGACGAACAGACCCGTTAGGTAGACGGATGGCAACATTTTGGCGTAGTTGAGAACTTTCATGGAGAAGGTGGAGGGGGCTATAAGACATTAAATGCTGACGGATCCGGAATATGGCTTCGTTAAATGAGTGGGCCGGGCTGCTGACGGCCCCTGATGCCAACTTTCCCAACTATCCGTGAAGTGCGATATAAGGCAGGGCAACGGGGGACCAATAAAAGAAATTATAATTGTTCGATGGAGCCTTGGGCTGCGGTTCAATTCCACGTGGGGTACTCCTTGTGGCAATCCTAGCTCATGGACATTGAAATGTGACGAACCAGGAGATATTGGTGTGGGGTAGGTAGTGGTGAGTCTTAGAGCCTTAGGTTGTCCCTTTGTCGGCTTTCAGACGATGATGATCAGCCGTTGGTGGGCTCGTTGGAGGCTGAAAAGCAGTGGTTTGCCACTTATCAAACCAGGACAGCTGCAGTGCTGATTGTCAAATTAGCGAACACCGCAGTTGGCTTGATTTGTTTGCCGGATCTCGCAGTGACAACGCGCAACGTTACGTGAGATCCGGAGAAGCGCGCTGGGATTCGTAAACAACGTCACTAGCATGAAGTGACACACTGGAGAGGCAGTTGACGCATATGGGCCAAAATTTCCAAGTTGACCAAGATTAATGAATTTTAACGAATGAAGTGTTGGTTGAGCTCGGCATCAACGGTGAGTCTGAGTGCTGGTGAGATCTCCAAAGTGAAATAGTTTCGGGCGACTGGGTAATTTACAGGAAACGATGCCCCCGGCCGTGTTGAGAGAGCTGAAAGACTATGTCAGATAAAGGGAAGAACCTTGGATAATAGTTCTGGTGATTTGCTAGGGACGATCTTTCGTCCCATCGGAAGCTGCCCAGGCTGCCATGCTATTTATTTCTTCATGCATGTAGGGATGGCGGGGGCGAAGCTAGTAGTGATCTTCATCAACATGACTTCAGCTTAGCAGGCTTAGCAGGCCTCCATCCGCAAGTGGAGGCTGGGCCTTGGGACACCATCATCACCCAAGAAGCGCGCTTTAAGAGGTTGATGCTGCGACCACAAACCTTGGTTGTGTGTCACTCCCGGTAGTGCATGTGTCGCACGGCATTGCTTGCGTTGGTTCTCAGATGGCTTGTTGAACAGAGTAGGAATAGAACTGGAACTTGACTGGGAGGGATGCAACAGCGTCTGGCGGACCCGTGGGCAGGTCTGCTTACCGGCCACCACAGCTAACAGCATCATTGAGCACCGAATGCGAGGAGGCCAACGACATTTCGGCCGCAGCATTGGTGGCGCCGTCGGTTGAGTCTATGATTTGGATGTGGCTGGAGCTAGCAACAGTCTAAGACTTTTAACGGCTAATGCACAATCGGACGTCAAATACTGGTCATTCCACTTCACTAAGTTTCGGAATCTCGCCAGGTCCATGGAGGACCACGAGATGGACCATGACATGCGATGCCCTGTTTCATATGAATACATTACGAAATCCTATACTATGAAAGTTGGTGGAACCCCAATTGTGCCACAAGACAGTTAAGCAAGTGTATCCTCAAGTCTTGTAGTACGTATTTGTAGCACACTCTACGCTCTGTGCCCAGTCTAGCCATGGCTTTCGTATGCAAATGGCGGCAAGTATACCTCCGGACATGTGTTATCTTAAGTTCGCTTTTCGATTGAGGCCAATCGATCTTATGGACTGGATTTTGCGTTTGAATTCGCGTTGCAGTACTGAACGTCTGTAGACACAGACTGCTCAAATACCCAAGTGCCGTATATGATCAAGCATGGCGCGATGGAGTTTGTCATTACCAACCATTATTACTTGAGAATTGGGTTCGAATAGAGAAGATAGTTGATTAGTTGATGTTTCTGCTTTTGCCATATCATATAGCATAAGGGTTCCAGGCATTGTAAGAATCGACAGTGCTTAAGTGCCTTTTGCTTGCTTATGTTGTTCACGTAATTGCAGAGATTCCATGATCAACAATTGAACGGACTAAGACACGGAATTTGGTGATTGTTGCGCCGCATGGTCCGTGCACAACTGCAAAGGAAGGCAAAAACAAGTGGCGAGTTTCGGAACCAGGCAGAACAGTTAATCCACGTTCCTTCCTCTCAAAGCTGGGCAAGGTTCGAGAGTCACGTCTCCAGTCAAATCGCCTTTGATGTGAATCTGGTATCAAGAAAGCCTTTCTACGCCATTCCTTCATTCGTCTTACCGTTTTCGACAACCACCCCAGCTCGAATCTGTCAAAATCAGCTATTACCGCGATTTCGTCGTTTTCGACCTCGACCCATTAACCCAGTCGCCACATCTTCCGCTCTTGCCCTGCAGCAACGCGACGCAGATTCTTACATTTCTGCACCATCCGCGCTTTTGTTGCCGCTGATACTATGTCGATCGAGAGCAACACTCCACTGGCGGAGGCCCTTGGCTCTGTCATCAAGCCAAAGCTGATCGAGAATGGATGGGCTACCGAAGATAATGACCAGCCAATGGCTGAGTACATCGTCATGATGTTGGTCAATGGCAAGACGCAAGACGAAATCGCGACCGAGCTTGCCGGCGAGATTCTAGGTCTGGGATCCGATGACCCGACCGTCAGAGACTTTGCGCGCTGGACTTTCGAGCAGATTCAAGCTCTTAATGCTCAACAAAATGGCGGCGCATTCGCCCAAGGGCCACAGGATGCTGTAACTACAATGGATCAAGACATGGACATGTCTACAGGCATTGATGCCACCGAGTTCAATGCGTGAGTTTCTTCCACGTGTCATCATAACAGTCACCGCCTAACATATCGCAGTCCCACGGGTCCTAAGTCGATGCGCAATGGCGATGCTCGAGGCGGCGCACGCGGGAAGCGTATGCTCAACAATTTAAACCGGGCCATGGATCGCACTCACGAGAATGTCCTTCACCGCGTTCGAGGCAACGAAAGGATCGCTGCGCACAACCGAACACCCCCTACAGGCCCTCGAGGAGCTGGCGGTCGCAACAGTCGTGCCACGAACAACCGCGCGAGCACCATAGCGCACGGCATGGCGCAACAGATGCCTGGAATGCCCGGCGCAATGAATGGCATGAATGATATGAACTGGATGATGCCGCCAGGTGCCCAGGGAGGTGACATATTCGCACTACTTCAACAACAGAATCAAATGATGGCCGCCCTATCTCAGCAACTGGCAGCAAGCCAAAGCCCCAACTCACACGGTAACAACGGTCGGGGACGTGGCAAATCGTTATTTGAGCGAACACAACGTGGCAATTTTCGAGGTCGCAGTGGATATCACGGAAATGGGCAACACGCGCAACCGAATGAATCTGCCGATGCCAACGGAGCAACCGCCGAAGGGGGCGATATCGATATGTCGCAGTCTCGAGTAGACTCCAACCCTGCAACGACCGTCTGCAAGTACAACTTGAAGTGTACGAACAAGGACTGCAAGTTTGCGCATCAGTCCCCGGCGGCACCACCCGGTATCACCGTAGATGTCACTGACGTCTGCACCTATGGCGCCGCTTGCAAGAACTTCAAGTGCGTTGGCAACCATCCCTCACCAGCGACTCGGCGGGCACATCAGAGCGAGCAGGAATGCAAGTTCTTCCCCAACTGTACCAACCCGAAGTGCCCGTTCAAGCATCCCGACATGCCAATCTGCCGGAACGGTGCCGATTGCAAGGTGGAAGGCTGCAATTTTACCCATATCCAGACGGTTTGCAGATTCAACCCCTGTACCAACCGATACTGCCACTTTAAGCATGAGGATGGACAACGCGGTACCTTCCAGGATAAGGTGTGGACTCCCGCCTCAGGCACAGGTGCCAAGGATCACGTGAGCGAGCGGAAGTTTGTCGACCAGAACGAAACGGAAGAGCTGGTCATGCCGGGCGGATCTGCCGAGATGGACGGCGTCGCATAGGAGAGGGGTCCAGTCCTCGAGGTGTCGTCTGACGTAGGCGAAGGCTAGATTATGCCAAGCAGTGCAAGCAGTGGAATAATGATGAGCGAGAGGAAGCATTATCCCTCTGGGATAGCAAAATCTGTATACTATGAGGAGCGGGATGTGGTCGTTGCCGTGACAGACGCGAGGTCATTGTTTTGGGCGTTGGAGGAATCAATCTTAGATGTCTACAGGTTTTAGGAAAAGTCAGGGACTTTTTTCGAGCGCATTTTACAATATACCCATGCATTACTGTGATTATTTATCAAACCCACTGACTTACTGTCTTCTGGATCGTGGTATAGCTTACGCCAGTGCTCCTGTAAGGTACTCGAGCGGGGCGAAACATCAAATTGTGTAAATGTCAAGCGTCAGCTATGCTGCTCCCAAGGCAAGCGGGCAACAGGAAAAACAGCGCATCAAGGGTGAAGTAAAACTGGACAAAGTGATATCTCGGTGAAGTAGACAGCGGTAACCTAGTTATACTGCACACTTTAGTATAACATAGGATAACCTGATGCTCCCTTGTAGTATACTGGTATAAGGTAGTTCTTCTACCTAGGTGCACCTTGCGCTCTATTATCTATCTGTAGCCTGTTAGAAGTTTGGTTCTTCTCAGTTACAGACCAGACTCAATTACAGAAGAGAAACTCTTTTCGGATTGGTTTGTTTTGTCGTGGAGTACGAACTCTGCTTGTTTTCCCCAGTTTTCCTCTTTCGATGCGTCATCGTTAATCTGATGACCTTATGTTTGGTGTTCGCAAGTAATGCAGGAAGACGATTTTACCCGACTTCCGAGATCAGCATAGCTTTTACAAGCACAACGCGATCCCAATATGCGGACGTGTAGGTGATAACTAGCCAGTTCACCATTATGATGGCGTCAAAACACCCAGAAGAGCTTTTCATTGCTCTTTTGAGGTCTGCCTATGGCAATTCCTGCCGTAGAGTTGTCAATCGACGGCACCGCCTCCTAGCCTCTAAGCTCCCCTCGACCAGGGCCCTCAGTGTCCTGCGCAACTCGTCGGCCAGAACAGCTCGATCAATTGACCAGCTGGAGCCCGGTCACGGTGGATGCAGAGGCAATGCGACCGCCGCAACGCGCGAGAAATCAACCAAGTCCACTGTTCGGCCGCCGCGTAACATCGCCGTTCTCGGAGGAGGCATCACAGGCTTGACAGCAGCTCACTACCTCGCCCGGCACGCCACCAATGCACATATCACCATATATGAGAGCAGTGACCGTTTGGGTGGATGGTTAGATGGGAAGACGGTCGATATTGGTCAAGGAGAAGGCAGCAGCGTCTTGGTCCAGAGAGGTCCTCGGATGCTGCGGTCTGGCGCTACTTCCAACAAGTACGACGACCTTGTGCTTTACGACGTTCTGGCCAACCTCGACCTACAAGACAAGGTCCTGTACCCTGAAGGTGCAGCCAATTCTCGCTACGTATACTACCCCGATCACCTCGTCAAGCTTCCGTCGGCCGAACCCACCCTCGACAACGTTGTGGATATGATACGCTCCTACTTCACCGAGCCACTATGGAACGGTTGCTTCTGGGCCTATATGTACTGGAGACAGGCCTCCAGTGACCCCGAGATCAAGCGTGCCCAGATGCAAACACCCATCAAGGTCCGCTGGGATCGAGACGAGTCGGTAGGTGAATTCTTACAACGCATGTTCCAGGTAAAAACCAATAAGCGAAACGGCGAGCCCATCCAGAACATCGTCTCGGCCATGTTGCACGGCATCTATGGTGGTGATATTTGGAAGCTGAGCGCCAAGCATACAATTTTTGACCGTTTCTGGTACCAAGACCGCGATCCGATAAGCGATTCGTTGCTGTGGATGGCAAGGAAGGAGTGGTCAGTCAAAAACGACATTCTTGAAGGGCCCAACCTGCAACATGTCATCAAAATGGCTGAGAAGTTACGGACCAAGAATTTGCTTGCATTCGAGGACGGGCTGGTGACGCTCGTCGATAAATTAGTAGCCGACCTGGCAGGCCAGGAAAACGTCACTATCAAGTACAATGCCCCTGTGACCTCGTTGGCAAACAAAGAAAATTACGTGGAGGTTTGTTTGGCTCAGCTTCTCACTTATTCACTTATATGCAGCCCACTGACGATGCTTAGATCTCGAGCACCGATGGTAACGGAGGCAAGTATGATCAAGTTTTGAGCACGCTTTTCTCTGGACAACTAGCACGACTCACCCAACCAGCTAATGCTCTGCCGTCCCTCGCCAAAACCAAGGCTGTGACCATCATGGTCGTCAACCTCTGGTACCCGAACCCGGACCTGCTCAAGGCAAACCTTGGCTTCGGCTACCTCATACCACAGTCAGTCGCCGAGGAAGAGAACTCCGAGTGTGCGCTTGGCGTGCTCTTCGACTCGTGCCTCGAGACGCGTCCCGAAACCCCCGGTACCAAGCTGACAGTCATGCTCGGCGGTCATTACTGGGACAACTGGACCTTCTACCCCTCAGAGGAGACGGCAATTCAAATGGCGAAAAGCGTCGTGCGGCGCCATCTCGGCATCCCCGAATCCGAAAAGGTGACAGCCAGTGCTAAGCTATGCCGCGAATGCCTCCCGCAGCAAACAGTCGGCCACCGCGAACGCATGACCAAGGCGCACTACGAGCTCCTAGGCGCATTCAAGGGCAAGCTCATGGTGGCGGGACCGAGCTACACCAATATCGGCGTCATTCCCGCTATGCGTGCCGGCTTCGACGCGGGCATGCGCATGGCGAAGGGCCATGGTCCTCCGTGGTTCCGTAACGATGAAATGGGTCATTGGAGCTACTACATGAGCTGGCATCGTGCCCAGGGCCTGCCAGAAGCCGCGCCTGATCACGTTGGCAGTACGGGGCTTGAGTGGGCTACGGAGAGTGAGCATGATAGTATGTGGACCATGGAGAAAACTGCGATGTATTTCCGGCAGTGGACGCCGGAGGATAGGGTTTGGACGGATGGGGAGGGGAACTGGAAATCGGAGGCGGCGAGAGGGAGTGTGAAAAAGGAGCTCGATGATTCTGGTAGGTGAAAGGGATTGTGAAGAGTGAGGTTAATGAATGCCTAAGAAGTGTCACCCCCGGGGGCTCGAGAGCTTTACTTGATTCAACTCAGTTTGCTGAAGTGGCAGCTAACTAGATAGAATATGTGAGATCCGCTCTCGTCTGTGCTCACCTGGCGTACCTGCTTTTAGCGCTTGGGTATTTATTGCCTGACAGATAACTCGCGCGCCCGCGCGAGCAGGCACTTCAGATTTCATCATTCAATGTTGAGTAGACTGAAACGTATCCAACGCAGCGCTGATGCACTCTAGCAGCGCCATGGATTCGATTAACTATCTTCTCTATTCACTATCTAACCCCCCTCCTCGATTTCATAGATGGATAGTCTCTACTTCAGTGATTTATCTAAGTATTAATCTAACCTATTAGTAAGGTATATTGCCTTAACGACTCTATTCCTAGTTACCTAAGCACTATACTCTATACGCTGAATCCCTATCATATTGCTAAAGGACCCCGTAGCAGGACGCGTTTACTAGCACAAACCCCTTACAGACTCTTTAATGGTTTACGCAGCTAGACTATTAGAGGTTTCGTTACATCTCTATTAATATATAGGACGGCTCTTACAGTAGTCTACAAATGCCGCCAGCTCCTTACAAAAGCTTATAAACCATACGAGAACGTCGTCCTACTTCGCGTCCGATAGCTAGCCTCTCTAACCGTCTTTAAAGAGTAGGCTAGTATCCCCGATATGTATATACTGCTCAAAGAACGCCTTATATGCCCTTTCGAGGTCGGCTACGTCGTTGAAAGATGTGCCGTAGAAGTGAGGGAGCCTAACATATATAGAGCTAAGCTCTCCCTTTAGTACATTATTAATATATTATATATACTTAGAAGAGTTCAGAAAGCTGCTAACGTCACCCACAGGTCATTGCCCCACACGGTCTTTGCCCAACTTTTCAAGAAATCTTGACTTTCCATCTTTACTTATACAATTCTTCCATTCCACAACATGGCACGCAAATCTAGTGAAGCTAATCTTCAATTAGCCATCCAAACTAAACGACGCGATCCTCACCTAAGTTAGAAGAAGCTTGGTAAAATCTTCAAAGTCGACCATAAGACATTGAAGCGCCGTTATGAAGGCGTACAACCATTACACATTACTAACATGTCCAAACGGAAAATGACCGAAACCGAAGAGAATACGATTACCCGACGCGTAATTGAGCTAGACTCGCGAACTTTTCCTCCCCGGCTTCGATACGTTGAAGAAATGGCGAATATCCTCCGACGCGACCGCGACGCGTCACCCGTCGGCAAGAACTGGGCCTCAGCTTCGTACAGCGACAACCAGACCTCCGGACGCGTTTAAATCGTCGAATCGATTACCATCGGGCATTCTGCGAAGGTCCTGTCGCGTATCGCGGTTATTTTAAGCGTGTTGCGGACACAATAGCGAAGCACGGCATCCAGCCGGAGGATATCTACAACTTTGACGAGACGGGCTTTTTAATGGGCATGATCTCAACCGGCATGGTCGTTACGAGTACCGAAAGACGTGAAAGGCCTAGGCAAGCCCAGCAAGGCAATAGGGAATGGGTTACTGTCATTCAGGCGGCCAATTCCCAAGGCTGGGCGGTGCCGCCGTGCATCATCTTCGCGGCCAAAGTTCACCTCGCTTCGTGGTATCGCGACACCACATTACCGGGCAATTGGGTCGTTGATCTATCCCACAACGGATGAACAACGAATAATATTGATCTCAGCTGGGCAGATCACTTCGATCTGCACACACGCGATCGTACGAAGGGTGTCAAACGCCTCCTGATCCTTGACGGTCACGAAAGCCATCACTCGATGAATTTCGAACAATACTGCAAGGACCATGGCATCATTACCCTTCCTATGCCTGCCCATTCATCCCATAAGCTCCAGCCTCTCGACTTGGTGCCTTTTAGTGTTTTGAAACGGGCGTACGGTGTGTTTGTTGAGGGTTTGATGCGACGGCATCATACCCACGTTGCGAAGGAGGATTTCCTTGCCGGTTTTTTGGAGGCGTTTGGCGCTGCTTTTACTGAACAAAACATCAGATCTGGTTTCGAAGCAGCTGAAATTGTCCCTTTTGACCCCGACAGGGTTATATCTGCCCTGGATGTCGCAGAAGTCGCGCGTACACCCTCTGCCGACCCAGAACTCCTACCCCCTATTTGGACTTCTAAGACACCTACTACCACCCTTGAAGCCGAATCGCAGTCAACGTTGATTAAGAATAGCGTTCAGAGGCATCAAGACAGCTCTCCGACGCATATTATTTATTCAATTGACTCGATTGCAAAGGCTACGCATGCAATGATGCAAGATAATGTTATCTTGCGTCGCGAGAACGAAGAGCTTCGTGAGACTAACCATGTGCTAAGCAAACGTCGCAGAACCAAAAACAAGCAAATCCAGTATGGTGTGCCACTTGATATAGAAGATGCACAAGTTCTACGGGCTATTAGGGGTGATACGGGTTTGGAAAGTGAGGAAGAGGGTGAAAGTAGTCGTCCTACAAGGAGGAGGGCAACGGGTGCTAGGCGCTGTGGCATTTGCGGAGGAACTGGACATAATGCGCGAACTTGTCAGGCAGATGTAGAAACAGATAATGAAAAGAATACTGATTAATTTCTTGGATGAATACGGGTTGTTGTTGATCTATCTAAGATTAAAGGTTGGGAGGTCGTGAAAAGTTGGGCAAAGACCCGTGTGGGGCATTGACCTGTGGGCGACGTTATACATACTTATTCGTCGTATAAGCTCTAACCTCTCGATATTAGCTATTTTCGTATACTAAAACGAGCATACGGTAAAGAAATTAAGGATCTTGTACGGACATGTAGTCGTTGGGCAGCATTGCGTGTTCTCCTAGCTCTCATAACCCGACCGCCCAAAATCGCCAAGTGGGTATCTCCAACTCCAACCAGTCACCAGTCAATGCAAAACCAACCAAGTCGCGCCTTAACTACCCAGCAAATAACCAAACAGCTAACGCCAATGTAATATTTCCATCCGATGCTCCGTGTTTGCCTTACCGTCAAGCTTACAAAATCCAGGTTTCCATGACGCCAGCTCTGAGTCTCTTTATCCATATGCTCATATGTTCACAGTCCTTTCGAACACCGAGCAACCATATACCAGAAGTGAAGACCAAGGTTTAGCAACATCATCCACACCTCTAAGTAGGTTGGTACTTTATACAACTTCAATTCCCAGAACGACAGCATAAAATTACGTCGCACGCCGTTGGCCTGGTGGGGGCGGAGCGCACGATCTTGTCGGAAACTCATTTGAGGGACGTGTTCGCCGCTGTTGGATCAATCGACTGCTACGGCTCTCTATGGCCAAGGCCGCAACACGGACACTCAACTTCGCCAAGCTGTCGTAGTATTCCTCGTCTTCGATCAGAGCCTGCTCATGTTGCTCATCCTGCCAGAGTTGGACGTACGGGCTCTGTTGATCCGGTGATCTATCTCTGTCTGGCATGTCTAGTCAGTCACAATCTGGGTGGCGTCTTCGTGGGGAGCTACAAACCCAGTTCAAGATCAAGCGGTCGCGCATCCTGGGAATCGGATTGTGAGGCAGCCGCTACCTCGTCATCCGATTCGTTGTCGCTCAAACAACGGGTGCCGAGAGCAATGTTCACCTCCATGGTGTTGTTGGATAGTATGATGAACCAAGTCTGCCTCCTCTTGCCATCGTACCCGGGTTTGTTTTTATAAAACCATGTGAGCTTGGCTTTTCCGTTCTTTCCTACTTTCGCTCTCGTTCTCTCAAATGAATCTTGGTCGATATAACTACTCTCTCCTTTGCAGTGCATGGCGCCGAAGACTTCCTGCGAATTCTCGGCTGTAGAGACAAGGATGTAGTCGACTTCCTGTAGTGACAATAATGGTCAGCACGCGTTCCCACGACACGGTCTGCATGGACGGGACTTACTTCTGCGTCATCAAACTCGGGGAACATATCCATGTCGTCCTGTGACGGCCCTGGCGGTAAATCGGACTCTTGTTCAGGACCTTGGTCTCCTGGATTACTGGTGCTCGCTGGAGGGGTGGGGTTGCCGCCACGAACCATTGGATCGCCATTCACCGCACCAGCTGAACAGGCCGTGCTGCCTTTCTTCGCTCGATTTCGCGCATTCATGTGCTTCATGTATATGGACATGATGGCTTTGCAGTTCTTGTCAATCGCATCATGCGAGATTGCCGGTTGGGTCCTGAGATACGCCTCGAACTCATCATAATCCTCAAATTCTCGCCCGCTTTCGAAAGCATACGCAATTACCGAGTTAAAGATGAGTTTGGTGACTTCGTCCATCCGCCTCCGTATGCGATTATCGCAAGCGAGAGGTTAATCCATGTTTTCCGACGCTTTCCTTGTATTTTTCTTCGCGTTCAACTTTGCTGCAATGGCGTCGGCATAGGCCCTTCCAGCTTCAATGGCGGCTGCCTCGGGTTTCTTGAGAGGCTTGTTAGGCATGTCCATCTTCGAAAGCCTGACTTTACATACCGTTAGGTTCTTCGCGCAGAAAATAAGTCCACTGTTTGTCCCAGATGCCTCTAGAAAAGTAACCCAGCCCTTCTTGTTGAAATACTCTTCACCAACAAGCAGGGCGAACGGCGCATTTTTAGGACCTACAAAGCAGGTGCAATTCTCCGTCTTATTCTTGTTTCGTCCTATCAGAGTTATAGTAACGGATTTTCTAGATTCGAACGAGTTTCCTTGGAAATCGAACATGATGCCGCTGTTGGAATCGGCCATCCTCAATTGGCATTCAGCAGCTAGTGTCGGGGAGATCCAGCAGTACTTGGTCCCGGAGTCTTGCGTAACCTGCGCCACGTGGAACTGCAGGCTCTTGGGGTTACAGACCAGAGCAAACTGTGGTTTTGTAAGAGTAATTAACTCGGTGCCGGTCTTTGGCTCTCGATTTGCGTCCTGCAAACTGTCAAGTCTGAACGCAGTTGACTCACGATGACGACTTACAGGCCGCAATATTTCATCGTCATGAGAAGCAGTCTTCTCGACGTCTTTTCGTCGTTCTTCATAGAGCGCATGCTTTTCATTGACATGAATGCCCAGACAAATGTACCCAAGCCCTTCTACACGTTTCTTGTCCCGGCGAAGTCCTTCGAAGTATCTCTGCTCTTCCTCATCAAGATGATCTTCACGCCGTCTTCCGAAAATGTCGGCCATTTTATGCTGAGAATTGTAGTATTCCTGGCTTGTGTATTGGCTTGGGCATGCGTTCGGAGAACTACGCTGCACTTTGATCGTTTCGATGCCTGCTCTTGGTCAGCTTTCGCATCGCACGGCCGGTAGCAATCTTCAAAGGGCGGAAACCTGAGCGCAGTGTAATACAAATGGTTTGCAACCTCGTCTTTTGTCCGAGGCAGCAGATGGGCCATATCAAGTCACGTTTCTGTCAGTAAAAGCAAGGCTGTGTCGATCGCGCTCAGTTTGGGGTTGGGTACGGTCGGGATAAAGGATGAGTACTTGAGCGCAGCTTGCACTCAAATCGCAACTCGGCGCGCAACCACATGGAATCCAGTCGTTGAGCAGCCGCGAGGCTCCGGTTTTCGAGGCGCAATATTGAGCCTCGCGGTGTGCCTTGACATGGGTCGCTACCGTGTATTTTTCGCATTTACTGCAATAATGCGAGCTTATTGGAGAAACAGGAGGCGTCTGCAGGATACAGATTCGAGTTTGCCTTATTTTCTGATCGCTCGCGACCCCGGCAGGTTGGGCATCCATACACCCTACATTGCGGCTTGCAGCGACTGGAACACACCTCCACCCAAGGATGATAGATGCACCATTTTCGGTGTATTACAAGGGTTTGCGGTCATGGATCTAGTCGGCGTGCAGAGCTTCCCTGAAAGCGACCCCCTATTGAGCATGTCTTCGCCGGCGGTTCATGCCACCGAAGTAGCTACGCCAAAATTTTCAACTTTGCCGGTTGCGATACAAACTATACAGGTTTATGCAGATTTTCATCCCTAGATTTCATGAAAGGCATGTTCAACTGAGTAGCCAGGATATATTTTTTTAATCACTCGTTCTAAACCTCTGTCTTCCGTTCCCTTGGGAGAGACGAGGCACAGATATGTTTCATATTTTCAGTATGCGTCTTCTTCGAACACGACTGGAAATATCATCAAAGAGAGCTTGGAGCCTCTTGATACTGCTATTAATTTGTTGGTGCGCCTATTATGGTAATGGTGAAGCTGAACAGCCCGCCGGCGCTTCCTGTATGGAGTCAGGCCAGGGAGTCTGACATGCCCGAAACCGGGGACGAGAGTGGGGCTGGGCTTTGCACCGGGACGAGGGCATACCATAGTATGTTGTAAACTACATCCTTCCAGATGCATAACTGCCACTGATGCCCAGTTGGGCAGATGAAGGTGGCGATGAGGGGGCTAAGCTTTGGATATACGGCCAAAAACAGCTTGTTATTGGCTACTAACCTCACATTCGGGTCTACACAAGAGCAAGGGCATTCAAGGAATCGATGGCAAGGCAGACCAGACTCGGTACATAAAGCTTGCCTTCCCAGGTTTTCCCTGAGTCTCAATTACTTCAATAACCTAAAGCAATTCTCAGCGTAATTACCCCAAGATTGTGATTGAATAATGCCCACTTTGCTGCCTGAAGACTATAATGTGGCATGGATCGCGCCATTAGAGATTGAGGCTCGAGCTGCCATACACATGCTGGACCACAAACATTCTGGCCATTTTCCGATGAGTCGCGGCGATGAATACGTGTTCGAAGCTGGCGACATCCAAGGACACAACGTTATTATCGCAACGCTTCCGGCTGGCCAACCATATGGGACTGGCTCAGCAGCAGCCCTTGCTAGCCAGATAAAGAAGTTCTTCCCAAATCTTTGGTTTGGCCTTTTAGTTGGTGTGGTCAGTATTCTAACCCCTTTCTTCCTAGTCGAATAATAAAACTAAGTCGGCCTATACGCGCTGGGGTCAGTTACTAACTTTGTATAGGCTGCTGGCCTTCCGGACCTCGGACGAAAGCCACCCCGAGATATTCGCTTTGGTGATGTTCTCGTCGGCCTTCCTGATATGGACAGCTCAGGACTCGTCGCCTACGACTTGGGTAGAGAGACTGAAACGGATGGACTTGTGCTTTTGCGCCAGGGCCATATTCTAGCCCAAACCGAGCCTGTTGTGAGATCTGCCATTGGTAGTATCAAACTCAGGTCGCCAAATGAGACGGAGCTATTTCTTCCATATTTTGAGGATATGAAGAATGAAGAGCACTCTGACGGCACATTCACGGATCCTGGACAAGAGAATGATAGGTTATACGAAGTTGGTGATGACGGGATCGAATGTCTCATGAAGAGAGCACAGCGGCCAGCCTCCAAGCGCACGCGAGTTTGGTATGGATCAATAGGCTCAGGCGAGAAGCTGATGAAGAACGCCACAAAACGAAACCAGTTAAGAGACAAGCACAACCTTATCGGTCTAGAGATGGAAGCAGCCGGGACCATGAATCACATACCTGTCGGCGTTATCCGGGGTGTGTGCGATTATGCAGACGACCACAAGAATTGGGACTGGCAGCCGTATGCTGCTGCTATGGCTGCCGCGTATGCTAAAGCTCTCTTGTATAAGATTCCTGCGCGAAGCAAGCCAACCAGCTCGGTAACTTCAAGTAGTAAGTTGCATTCATACACGATCATTTATACTATTATGGATCTTCAACCGCTGCGTTTCTTCCCTCCTACATATCCCAGCAGCTAACTCTCAAGCTAGTGGATCGAGATTCCATCCCTAGAGGTCGTAGGTCAACGAAACGCTCCCCAGAGCCAACTGGGGACAACGATGAAGATACTAGCCGACGAAAGAAGCCCCGTGGCTCCGAAGGATCGAACCGAAATTCATCAAGTAGATCGAGCAATAGCTTTCGTGGCCAAGGTAACCAGAACGTAGGGTCTGGCAGTATTTCTATCGGTGGAGGCCAGCATTTTCATCAAAGTTAACCTTAAGATGCTCTACGATCAAATGAGAGACAGCAACTAGGTTTAACGATACTCTTAAAATATTCTTTGGGAACCTATGTCAAGGCGAAGGGGAATTATCCCATCACTATAAAAGCTTTTAGTTCCATACTTACGTGAGGGCCACACCATCAACTTTCTAGCCCAGGCAACTTTTGTAACACCACTTAATCAATGCACTACACGACAGCGACAAAACTCTTTTAGGGATCTACGCATCAACAAAGACGCTAGGCAGTTACTACTATCTACAATCACCTCAACTCAAATCAGGAAAGTTATGCAGATTGATGGATTCTAGTAAAACGGACCGACTTTGCATCAAATAGCTGGGAGTTACGAACGTAAAAGTGTGGATCAGTGACTGCCAGCGGCCTCCTGCAGCAATTATATCAATACAATCGAAAGTAATCCCCTCTGCAACATCCTCATGGCGAAGCACCAGCTACGCTAATTCATCCTCGGTATAGCCCAGAGATGGAAGCTGTAACACATGGAAGGTCGATATATACGCCATCTCGCAGATTTGTCGAGAATTTCGGAGCTCGTCGAAGTCCTTGTTGCGGCGAACGGCTCTTAATGAAGCGGGAAAGCATAAACAACTGGATGAAGTTCTCCGTCATCTGTGGTCTCTTGATGTCCACTGATTGAAGGCTGGGAAGAGTGCGGGACTTCAGGATGCCGTTCTGGGTCTGAAGTTGGGGAAGTTCGAGATGCTTCGCGGGCTACAACAGTTCAATACGAAAAGGGACGAGACATTGTACCAATGCAATGCAGACAAACGACTCCTAGCAAGCTTGGGGAGACATTTTTGGTAGACATTCGAATCAATGACAGAGGTGGTGATCCCACTTACGCCCCGACATTGCCAGCCCCCCAGTTCCCGCATTTGATCCTATCCTAGCTGTCTGGCGATAGGACTATATATCCGTAATACTGGGTTATAGAATACTGGGAAGATACTTACACCTTTGTGGAGTTCCAGGAAGCAAGATCTTAAGAAGGACTTGATACGGCCCTATCTACTTATTATCCACTTTCTTTATAGGTCGGCTTATCTTTATATTTTAGGTGTTTAACTAGACTATACGGCTAGGTCTTTGAGTTAGTCTAGGATATAAGAGAAAGTACCGACTACGGTATTAGTTCAGAAGAACCGCTGCTTCTATACAAAATATGCAACCTATCCTGATCCCGAAAAGAACCTCATCTCAGCATCTGGCGATATGTGCCATAGCGATGTAGGAGTACTTTAATGGTTAGTCACAACAACAACGATAGAGATCTGAGCATGATTCCAGAGTAACAACCGTAATACTAATCACTACAGCATCGGCAAACACCCATCACCCAGGCCTACGGCTACAGTTTGACAACAACCCAAGGATGGGACCCTGCAAGTAGCCTAAACCCGTCCGGTTTTTTCTTCACCTGCAAAGTGCCTTGGTACAGCTCCTGCCTCTGTACGGCGCTCTCCTCTCAGTTATGCGTCACCGTAATATCCAGCGGTTGTACAGTAACTAGATATGGGGATTAGCCAATCTCGCCCTTGTCGCTCCATTTTTCTCCATCGGGTGCCATGTATACAGTCCCGTGATGTCTCAGCTGTCAATGTTTCTAGGAGCGGCGTTACCGGCTATCATAGGCTTGCAGCTAGTGTGGGTTGTTGACGATGTTATGGGGTTGGATATGAAGCAGGAGAAGGAGCGATAGCCTCCAGAATGGACCGGTGTGTTGCTATACCAGTTATTGAAACTAATTTTCTCAATGGAGCACAGGATAGTTTTCTGTGATTTTCTTCTAATACCTAGGTGTTTAAGTGATAGTCAAGGTCTGTTTGCCTTGGGGTGAGGTTCTATACTATAGATTCAACCTCTTTATCCCAAGACTCAAGAGTTTGACTCGTTCCATCTTTGCGATACTTTTCAGAGTGCCTTGACTGATACTACACCCAGTTAGCCAGAACAGGCTTTCCTCATATTCCAAATACACCAAGTGATTGGCCCTGAAATAAGATATTGATAATATCCTTTGTACTTCGTAACCTCATTGTTATGAGAGTATTTGTCGTGGATGACAAATGATGCCAACTAGCACCAATGACGTCATAATGTGAGATATTACCAAAGCAAGTTTGAGTGTATACTCGGAACGGGACAACTTGCCAATCTTGAATTTGTACTAAACGACAGCCACTGCTTACACTGCAGTATATAAATGACTCGCATATTACCAATGATTGGGGATATTGAGGCCTGTGGAATATAGCCTCAATAACATCGCTGGTTTCTTGTTGCAAGTAGCGATTCACGAGGACTGCGTGAACCAAGGCTCAGGTCTCAAGACAGGGCACACAGATTTGTCGCCCGACTAGAGAATACCACGAGGTTCTCGATTATATATGTATACTTACATAAAGTCTGACGGAGTGCGCTTAACATCATAAGATGATACGTGACCCCATGGGGGTTGCCCTATAGCTAGAGATAAGATATAAAAGAGCTCTGCCAGGCCAGAATAGCTGACCTGGCCATCCTTTCCCAATACAACAATTCACACCCCATATGCACTCGCATCATAAGATTAGTTCCCAAGTTATCGAGTTTTGTACGTACCCTGAGGTATTAGCCGCTTACCAATCGGATTTGACTCAGACTTGGTAATCTGCAATTTGAGAAAACTAGCCTATTCTGGCATCCTTGCCGCTGCCATTGTTTAGGGCTGCAGGCTCTAAAAGCATCGGAATTTCTAGTTCTATGCGTGCCCTACATCACGATTCATAACCCGGCGGGGGCCCGTACAAACCAGAAAGAGCTCAATCCCTACCTTGGTCAGATCTTAAGGATCCAAAAGTTTTGCTGAGACTTCCAGGATAGTTCTGAAAAGCGAGCCACGGTTGGTCTTACGAATTCTTTGGCTAACGACTCATTGTCGTGGTGTAAGCCCAACTAGGAAGGGTTCATCAAGGTGGCCACACCAACTCCTCGGTATTATACAACGGGCTGTACGTTAGCTTTCCCAAAAAAGTACCACCAATATGGGCCGCCCGCCGACAAGTGGTAATATTCCTCGACGTATAAGCAATAAACCTAGCTAAAATCAGCTGTAGGATACTGTGACACCTGTCGAAAGAGGAGGATCAAGTGCGGTAAGCGCCAACCCACCCCCTCTCATGAATGTAACCCTGGATCATGACTGATACTGGTATCACTCCTTGACAGATCGAACCCGCCCATCTTGCCAAAGATGCTTCAAAGCCGGCTACGTATGTGAGGGCTACAACCAACCCCTGCGCATCCAAAACCACGTCATCGGCACCGACGCGGGCGGCAGCCAGCGCCTCGTCCGTGCCACGGGTTCCACAAGCACGCTGAAGCAGGGCCCACCCTCAGAGCTGAGTCTCATTGCCTTCCAGGAGCAGATGGCTTTCTCGCATTTCTTCTCCACTTACCGCTGGGCGCACTTCTGGCGGCCTATAATGAAGACGGCGGAGCCGGATGGGGGTGCGGCGGTTGACTACACGGTCAGTCGGGCCATCGCGTATGGACATATGGGGATTGAGCACGAGAAGGAAGAGTTACGGATGAAGGGAACGCAGCTTTATGGGTAGGCGCTCAGCGAGGTCCAGAAGGTTGTGAAAGGGGGGTCGAAGGATAGGCTGGCGCAGCAGACTACTTCGATTATTATTATGACTATGTATACTGTGGGTTGTTCTCCCTTTTCGGATTTTCTCTGATTCCTTCTCTTCACATTTAAACCCCTTCATCCTACCGCCAATCTGAGCATTGACGAAATTATCCAGTGGGCGGTTGAAAGGAGTCTCGGCCTCGCCCACAACCAGGGTGTTGCACAGATACTCCAACACTGTGGTCCAGAGTGGTTTCAAAACGAGCCTTTCCTTACAATATTCAGGTCGTGCAGAGCTCTACTGGTGAGTGTGTATCTTTATTTCACGACTACTGGCATTGTTAATACCCCTGGGAATCTAGATCTGTCAAGGATTTGCCTCAAAACAATCATCATTTCTTGCGGAAGGGCGATGGAAGACAGTTCCGTGGAGTCATGCCCCGAAAACGTCTGAAGACCAACTAGTCGACATTCTCGCTGAGCTACCTGATATAACCCGACATTTCGCTATACCAGGTCATGTTCTCGGACCTAAAGATAGAGCGGACCTGATTGTTAAATCCGACAACTTGTCAGCCCAGCTTGCAAGGTGGCGATCAAAATGGGAGAACACTCATCAGGGGATGGCAATCGAAGTACCCCAGGGACTTGACACCTCGGGGATCCTCGAGCCGGTGCAAGAATTGCTGTCAACAAGCATCGCGTTCCGAGGCTTGGGTCCGGCCTTGGAGATCTTCAACTACAATGCCTCCCTCATTTATCTCATGCGGCTTCGGCTTCTTATGCCCGATACATTTGATCACCTTCGTTCACTGCCTCCAGTCGACATGGACTACGTCAAGCAGACGGCCGGCAAACAACGACAGTCACCACTTCTCTTGCCCGATGAAACAAAGTTTCTTCTTCAACCAGCAATCGAAGCTTTTCGAATACTACCGTACCTGCAGGAAAGCCTTACTAAAACCAATGTCAAAGTGATGGGTACTTTGGAATCAATGGGAATATTGTACAACTCAGTGATGGATATGCCAGAGCTAGCATCTTTACTGCCATTACTGGACAGGATAACATTCTTTCAGGATGGACAGAGAGAGTTGGCGGCATTTAATCTTCCTGCATGGGTTATTGGAAGGGATCATCCATTTTCACAAGAGTAGATTATGCTCTTCGACTTTAGATAACTGTTGATTTCTGCCTCAAAGCTTCTGGTCGTTCCCTTCGTAGACACGGCAACTAAGAAATCCTCAAATAGGGGTTGAATACTAGAACAGAAGCACAGAGCTGACGAGATAGTTAAAAGCAAGGATTAAACAGTATCCTTAATTATTATTTGGCATTGAGGCACGGGATGGAGTTCGCTCCTGACAAGAGTGAGCTAATGCACTTTACTAGGGTCCGAGAGCCGTTGCCGCAAAGTATTCGCCTTGGGGACGCCACAGTGTCGCCGGTAGTCTCAGCGAGGTTCCTAGGAGTCTGGTTCGACCGCAAACTGACGTGGCACGCCCATGTTGAGCCTGTTAAAACAAAAATGGCAACTCAAAAGCTAGCCCTGACAAAGCTAGTCAATATGTCGTGGGGCTGCGATCTTATACGGGCGAGGCTGTTATATACGGTGGTTATCCGTAGCGCGATCGCCTTCCGGGCGACTGCGTGGCATACTATAAGTGAGGAACCGGCAGGGCCAGCTAAGAGCCTGATGGGGATACAGAACGAGTGCCTCCGGGTAGTCTGTGGCGCCCACAAAGCGACGCCGGTTCGCCACCTGGAAGCAGAAGCAGCAATCCCGCCACTAGACCTCTATCTTAGTGCCCGGGCTGCTAAGTTTGAAGAACGGCTACGGCTTAGCGGGAAGAGAAATCTGCTTCGCAGCGCGAGCGCTAAAGCGTCACATATACTCCGGCAGGATAGGCCGGCGAAGAGGAAGCAGGCGTCGCAGCTACTCCGACCGGCAGGGTACACTATGGAGAAGGAGGCCCGGGGCTCCGAGTGGATGAGTGAGGAAAAGGAGGTCCTGGCTGCCCTCCTCGGCCACTGGAGGAAGAGATGGCTCACCGGAGCAGAGCATCACGATCGCCAGCGACGCGCCATCGCTGAGGAACCGGAGGGCCCTTCGATGCAGATACCGAAAGGGGGCAAGTATTTCGGCCTGAACCGACTGGAAGCGTCTACGCTGTGCCAGATGAGGACGGAAAAAATAGGACTAGCAGCTTTCTTATTCAAGACAGGGGCTTTTGGCGTGTACTCGCCGCTATGCCGCTGTGGCGACGCCCCTGAGACGGCAGAGCACGTAATCCTCTTTTGCGGGCTGTTGGAAGGACCGAGGGAACGATTACGGGCCGCTATCGCACCACGGCCACTATACTCTCGCAGAGACCTCGCAACGGCAACAGGAGAACCAGTAGTTAGTGGGACTATTGTAAGGTGGCTGCTAGGGACGGGTCGGACAGCTTCAAGGCCCAGATAGCATCGATCTTCTCAGGGGGACTTTGTTGGTAGGTTGAGAACCAACGTAGTATGGTAGTGAACGCAACGCAGTCGCCAATAGGGCGAACCGACGACGCAGCGTATGTATTTAGTCCAGCCATTAGGGCACGGTTTGACATACGGGAGTACTAGTAGAGGTACCGGGGGCTTCGAGCCTACGGCGTATTTAATAATAATAATAATAATTATTATTATGAAGTCAGCCTAAACTACTTGATTACCTAGTATCGGTATTCCTGTGGTCATTATAGTACTGCATTTGTTCCAACCGGTATGGCCACAATCTGTGTCTTTCTGGACTGAAATGCGGGGGGGGGGGGTGAACCTTATACGGATCATGTACATTTACTCAGAGCAATCAGCTAGCTCTATCAAAAAATATTCTCAATTCACTGCACGAAGTGGTCGGAATCTCATAAATGTAAGTATTATAAGTATTACGTGACACAGGGGATTGCCCTGTAGTTATAGATAAGATAAGATAGGGCTGTAAGGGTGCCAGTCAGCCTAAAAGGATCCTCAGCTAGCCAGCTCGCTAACCAAGCTTTCCTATAACATACATCTTGACCCCTATATGCACTCGCATCAATTAATAATATGTATTAAAGGTAGAGTCGTTGAGTATTACTAGCCCTTACTAAAATGTCAGATGAATACTGAAACGGGGTCGGGCGGTCCGTAGGATATACCTACCACCTAAAACGCTGGCAAGACGGCTCTGTCACTAGCAAGTTCCATCGGATCAGACGAAGCTCGAAGTGCTGGTTGTAAAAGCGAAACTTCTACGCGTCTTTGACTCTGGGTACGCAGGTTGGTCGGATGTGTCCTCTGTATCGGTAATGGCATGACTCTCAGAGTAGGGCGTTTGACTCCAAGAGTTGAAATGAAGCTGTAACCGGCACTAGGTTAGCCTGATCAGAACGAAATAAGACCTTCTGTAGTTGGCAAGGCTGAGGTGAAGGTAAAGAATAAATTCTAGAAAAGCTGTGTCTGAATGTATATGAGAATGAATCGAAACGAAGTGACTGACTGAGGAAAGAAGATGATCGATGAAAACTGCCTCTGCGCGCTCCTTTTTCATGCCTCTTTCGCTTCGTCGTTCCTGGCTGCCGCATGTCTGATTGAAGAAAAGAAACTCTCCCAGTCCCAATCACCTTGTTACACTGAAGTCCGGCCTTGCCCCACTACAGACTTTAGTGGAAATTGCGTTTGTTCAGTCTCTTATTTATGCATTTTCGTCTGATATGGACATGCGACGTGCTCGGGGAAAGCTGCCAACGGTACGTGCGAAGGTCAACAGGGCCCGGGGACCTTATACAGTTAAAATTTTGTCGCTAACAGCTCCTGTAGAATTTTTTCCATTCTCGAACATAGAAACCGCCTATACTGGCTTGGTTAGGGTCTCGCTCCCTTAATTCCGCTAGTAACTATTACTATGGCGATAGGTCAACTTTGGTGGCTTCAGCAATTGACCTGACTGCCATTGCAACGCGAACTTTGTGCTTTCTTTCGGGCATAAGCAGAGCCCAAGATTTCGGTGGCTGATCAGTGAATTCGGAGTTTCGATCTTTCCGACTAACCCGAATCTTACTGTCCATGCACACACTGAGCAGTGAATTCGGGGTTTCGATCCTTCCGACTAACTCGAATCTTACTGTCCATGTAAACACTGAGTGTTTGTAGCTCATAATGAGTCGTCGACCAGGTGTGTCATAAAATGGCGGGATGAACTTCTAGCTGGATATTGGTGGTCGGTCTCGTTTCGATATCGAGCTCTGGAACATTTTCTTGCTAGACACAGTGAAGACAGCATTCCATTATCCCGCAAATGAAGAAAGAGGAAATAAAAGGAATCTTGGCTACTTCGCAGCTCCTCGTCCAAACTTTGAAATTCTGGAAGCAAGCTGAGGGAAGGTGTCCCCAACTGCCTGCCAAGCCTCTCCAAATTCTACAAGGGTCGCGAGCAGGGTGGTGACGACTTACATTCAATTTTTACGACAGCTCCTCCACCCTCCTTCAGCTTCTCTTCTTACAACTATATTCTTTGCGTTGAGTGGTCTGTCAGCGCCTTCCCCTGTTGCGACTTGATCCAGCGGCACTTCATAGGTCCACGTCGGGGCTTCTCTTTCCGCTCAGTCTTTGCTTACTTCTGGGGGTGCTCATAAGTAAATGAGCAGTCAAACCGACTTATCAACATAATGCCAAAGGCCAGGGCAGACCCTAAGGTCGTGGGCACTGCAGGTGCCACCGAGACCAACCCGCCCACAGCCAAGTCCAGTATGAGTGAAGACGAGTTGGCCGCACACGATGCCCAGCTGAAATCTGAACGAGAAGCCAGATTCAGCGATTATGTGGTGAGTGCACAAGAAACGCACCAGAAAAGGGTCGAGCTGAATATATGGCACAGCGTGTTTTCTCATATGCGAAACCATGGGACTTTGTTCTGATGGTTATGGCGGCTGTAGCTTCTATTGGAGCCGGTGTCGTAAGCACTCGCAGCCGATCGTAGTACCGGAAAGGGGCCGTCACTGATATGATCGTCGACGCTTTACAGACGATGCCTCTGTTAAACGTCGTGTTTGGTAAGGCATCTAGCACCGTCTTGCTTGGAAGACAGTTTACTGACCACTGTCATAGGTCGACTCGTTGGTGACTTCAATGGATACTTCATGGAACCGCCTAGAGCGACGCAAGCTCAATTCGACGCGTCTCTTAATCGTAATTCGTGTGTGGTTCGATATGTATCTCCAGGATTGGCGCCATGCTAATGGTGATCCCATAGCTTGTACATTTTTGCTTTGTTCATCGCGAAATTCGGCTTGAATTATATCGCCAAGGTAAGCATTTCCCCGACATTCTGCTCTTTCTTTTGATGTAACATCTCGCGTATACAGTTCTCCTTGCGCATGATCGGGATCCGCATGTCAGCCGGCATTCGACTGGACTACCTCAAATGTCTATTCAGCCAAACTATCCACGTTCTGGACTCGATGCTGCCTGGTGCGGCGGCCGGAACTATCACATCAACAGCTAACACGTTACAATTGGGCATCTCGGAGAAACTTGGAATCTTTCTTGAGTTTATGGCGACCATCATTGCTGCCATCGTCGTCGCTTTTTCTACTAACTGGGCACTTACCCTGGTGACTTGCTCCGTTCTCCTGTTCATCCTCCTATCGTTAGGGATCACGCTTCCACTCATCCTCAAGGAAAATGCCAAACAGACTGCTGCCGAGACCAAATCTTCTTCATTAGCCAGCGAGGCTTTCAGTAGTATTCGCATGGTTACCGCATGCGGAGCTGAGGCACAAGTGGTCAAACGGTTTGCTGCGTGGGCCGACGTAGGCCAGCGGCATGGTCAGCGAAGTGCGATCCCGATGGGCACCCAGTTTGGTCTAGTCTTCTTTGCTTTATATTCAGCTTTCGCGCTGACGTTCTGGTATGGCACGAAGTCATACAGCGAAGGACGTGTCGGAGATGTCAGGGACGTCGTTGTCGTGTTGATGTCGGTGATGCTCATGGTCATCTCCCTCGAGAGGATATCAACCCCTCTTCTGGCTATCAGCAAGGCCATGGTAGCTGCTTGCGAATTCTTCACGGTGATCGACGCCCCAAAACCCGATCAGGGTGAACTCAGGGGGCCGGATGTCTCGGCGACGAACGACATTCACTTCAGAGATGTTCACTTCGCGTATCCGACTCGGCCACATGTAAAGGTCCTCGATGGCTTGAACTTAGTGATCAAGTCTGGAAAACTTACCGCAATTGTTGGGCCTTCAGGGTCCGGGAAGAGTACCATTGTTGGCTTGATTGAGCGCTGGTACACGTTGCACAACCAAATCGTCATTGCAAAGGCTGTTGACCCGGAGCAAGAGAAGAAGAAAAAGCTGGAGCAAAAGATGATGGAGAAAGCCAAAGGTAAGGCAAGCGACGAGGAAGAAATGGTGCCGGTCATGAATTCCGAAGAGATTGGCCCCCCTGTCGCGTTGAAAGGATCTGTGTCGACTTCGGGTCATGAACTGGATGAAATCAATTTGAAGTGGTGGAGGTCACAGATCGGACTGGTCCAACAAGAACCCTTCCTGTTCAACGATACCATCTACAACAATGTCGCACACGGGTTGGTTGGTTCCGTCTTCGAAAATGAGAGCGAAGAGCGCAAAAAAGAGCTTGTCATCCAGGCTTGCCAGGAGTCTTTCGCGGATGAGTTCATCGACAGGCTACCTGATGGCTACAACACTGCAGTTGGTGATTCAGGGACTAAACTCTCTGGCGGTCAACGACAACGTATCAGTATCGCTCGCGCAGTCATAAAGAAGCCCAAGATCCTTATCCTCGACGAAGCCACCTCGGCCATCGATGTTCGGGGAGAACGAATTGTGCAAGCGGCACTGGACAAAGTTTCCCGTGGGCGCACGACCATTACTATTGCACATCGGCTATCTACCATCAAGAAGGCCGATAATATCGTTGTACTCAAGAAGGGGCGCGTCGTCGAGCAAGGTACACACCGCAGTCTGCTAGAAAAGCAGGATAGCGCGTACTACGGTCTGGTTCATGCACAAAAGCTCTCCCTTGGCGAGCCAACCGAGGCCAGCGATTTGGATGAACCTGAAGAGGAGACCCTCGGGGCCATTTTGTGTCGCGAGAAGCATGTCGCCGTGTCGAATTCCGACAACAGAGAAGGTAAGCTCCAGTACAAGACTAAAAGTCTGGCTGGAAGCTTTGGGAGGCTGCTATATGAGCAGAGAAGTCGTTTCCCACAATACGGGCTGACAATACTCTTCTCAATATGCACTGCCACGGCATCTCCGGTGCAGGCGTATCTCTTCGCCAAGATCGTCGTCGTTTTCCAATATCCCCCTGAATCTGCCTCTTTCTCTCGGGAGGCTAATCATTGGTCGCTGATGTGGTTCGTCCTGGCATTGTGCGTTGGTTTCTCGTATTTTGTCCTTGGAGTTGTGTCGGTCCACCTAGCACACTACATCTCGGTGACGTATCGAAAGCAATATTTCCAGGGGCTGTTATACCAGAAGACGGCTTTTTTCGACGAGGAAGAAAATTCGATGGGAACACTTACCGCCCGGGTTGGTAGCGACCCGAAACAGCTCGAAGAACTCCTCGGCTTGAACATGGCTATGGTTTACAACTCCATCTTTGTTCTGCTTGGATCGCTGGCGATTGCTTTCGCCTTTGGCTGGAAGCTGGCTTTGGTTGCGCTATGTGTCACGGTCCCTTTGGGGTTGCTGGCAGGCTATTTCCGCCTCCAGTACGAAATCGAGTTCGAGAAGATGTACGGGGCAGTATTCGCCGAAAGTAGCAAGTTCGCTGCCGAGTCCATCGGTGCATTTCGCACGGTGGCGTCTATGACTCTAGAAGATACCATCACCACGCGCTATGACAAGCTTCTCAGCCATCACGTCGTCACAGCCCACAAGAAAGCCCGATGGACGACGCTGGTCTTCGCACTGTCGGACAGTATCGACTTGGGATGCCAGGCGCTCATCTTCTGGTACGGCGGTCGTCTCCTTTCGACCAAGGAATACTCGCCCCTGAACTTCTTTGTGTGTTACATGGCCGTCATCCAAGGTGCCAACGCGGCAGGCCAAGGTTTCGGCTACGGACCCAACGCAGCGCAGACCCGCGCCGCCGCCAACCGCATTCTCAGTGTGCGCGAGTCCAAGAACACGGACACCAAGGAAATGGCGCACATCCCCAACATCCAAGGCGGGGTCCAGATCGAGCTGAGAGACGTCCACTTCAAGTACCCAACCCGGAACGTGTCCATATTTAAGGGTGTCAATCTTACCATCGCAAAGGGCCAGTTTGCTGCCCTAGTCGGCGCTTCTGGCTGCGGCAAGACGAGCATCATCTCGCTACTAGAACGCTTCTACGACGTGAATCGTGGGAAGATCCTCGCAAACGGCATTGACATTACGGATTTGAATGTGTACGAATACCGGAAGCACCTTTCACTCGTCGCTCAGGAAGCCAGCATTTTCCAAGGCACGCTCCGCGACAATATTCTCCTCGGCGTTGATCCCAAGAAGGTCACGGACAAGGAGCTGCATGCCGTCTGTCGCGATGCGTCAATCCACGACTTTATTATCTCGTTGCCCGATGGATACGACACCGAAGTAGGCAGCAAAGGTGTGTCGCTGTCTGGCGGCCAGAAACAGCGGGTATCCATTGCACGCGCGCTTGTTCGCAGGCCAAATATCCTGCTCTTGGACGAGGCGACAAGCAGTCTCGACTCGGAGAGCGAGAAGCTTGTCCAAAAGGCATTTGAAAGAGCGGCGCGTGGGAGGACCATGATCGTCGTTGCGCATCGTTTGGCCACGGTCCAGAATGCGGATGTCATATTTGTGCTGGGCGAGGGCAAGGTGTTGGAAAAGGGCAATCATGCTGAATTGCTGAAGAGGAAGGGGGTGTATTGGAATATGGTAATTTGCTCCTCTTATGACAATCGCTGGGCTTTATTAACGTTTTTTTTTCGCAGTGTCAGAGCCAGGCTCTAGACCGGTAGGGAATGGGGATTGTGTAGAGACAATTGGTATTGCGCTTGTTTATCATGGGATTTGGTCATCGGGTTAAAAAGTCTTCACTTCTCTTATAACATATCGGTATACGAAACAGGCAGATATCATATAAGACTCTGCGTACCCTCATCTCATCTTTGCATGTTATTTACTTCAACCTTTAACACATAGCCCAGGAAGCCGCCGCTATAAGGGTTTCAAAATTTCAGGACACATTGGCATTGGATTCTTTTTGGGGTGACTTAAATGTCACGGTTACTCCAACTGAATTGTCCTATGGTACTCATCAGGAGGATAAAGTTGATGACTCTGAATGGATATCGATTTGACCGCTATGCCTGCTCTACGCGTTATGCTACGTAGGTTAGTATCGAGAGGCTCTTTAAGGTACTCTCACTCTGGAGTAAGCGAGGAAGGAATGGTCTGATCCATTATCAATACTAAAACTTATGCCGCGTTTGACCTCGGGCATAATTGTCGCGCTCAATCCGGCAGGATTAGCATAAGTGGTATTAATTAGATTATCGATCAGTAAAGTGTATAAGTTAAGGGCTATAACGTAGTCCACAAGCGAACGGGTCACCCAACCGAACGGGTCACGCCCATAGCAAAAAATAGAACTAAACTTCCTAACTTTACCACGCAACTAATTCTCGATGGATTCTGCTCAAAAAGAATCTCAATTACTCCTTGCAACTCAGGCTATCAGAAATGACTCAACACTTAGTATCTGATGTGCTGCAACAATCTACAAAGTCTCGAATACTACTCTCCAGGCGCGTCTTCAAAAACGTCAATCACGTCGCAATATCGAAACCAACGGTCGGAATTTAACAAAACTAGAAGAAAATAGGATTATTCAAAGGATAATTGAGCTAGATTCGCAAGCATTTCCTCCCCGGCTAAGTGCTGTTGAAGATATGGCAAACCGACTGCTACGCGACTCGCATATCACAAAGGAGGACTTTCTTCCGGCATTTTGCGACGCGTTCAAGAAGAGCCTGACCGAAAGCAATATTCGTGCAGGCTTTCAAGGGGCTGGGCTTGTGCCTTTAAGCCCAGATATTGTTATTGAGAAGCTGAATGTGAAATTACAGACTCCAACGTCCTCCCGGCCCCCTACGCGGGAAACCCTTCCTTGGGCTTCTCGGACGCCAAACAACCCAACCGAGGCTATTTCGCAATCCGAATTTATTAAATCTCGAATTGCCAGGCATCAAAATAGCTCCCCGACGTCAATTTACGATGCTATCGATCAGTTTTCGAAAGGAGCGCGGAGTATTATGCATGAGATGGCTTTACTCCAAGCTGAGGTCGCGGAACTTCGAGAGGCAAATGCTCTAATTAGCAAGCGGCGCAGGGCCAAAAAAAACACGAGTACGGCTTGGAGGATCACTTAATTCACAAGACGTACAAGATCTTCAAGATCAAAAGGACGTTGCGCAGCAAGTACAGCAGGAAATGCGTGGAAATAGCGCTGGATCAAATCGTGGCCAGCCACGGCAACGGCGCTGTGGCGTATGCGGGAAGACCGGGCATAATGCGCGAACCTGTCAGGTAGAGATAGAATCATCTGGGCAAGAGTATTCTGAATAGTTTTAATTGATTTACGGCGTTGTGGTTGCGAAATCGTGTTGAATTCCATGTTTTGCTAGTTGGCGTGACCCGTTCGGTTGGGTGACCCGTTCGCTTGTGGACTACGTTAGTTATAAAGCTTTTCTACCTTTTAGAAAATCGTCCTGAGTATTGGAAATTGAGGCAGTATGGGTGGTGTGGAAGTGACACCGTGCCGGTTAAGGTACTGGGGTCCGATTGACTAGAAGCTATCTCCAACAAGTTGTTGGTTAACTAAGAGTTCTTCCGAAGATTCATTTCAGGTGAAGTCAAAGTCTTGACATCAGACTCTGGATCAGTCTTCCTGTGACGAATGCGTCGTGCCTACCACCTTGATCGCAGCAAAAACATCTCACCGGAGCTGTCAACCACGGAAGTCACCACCGTGTTTTCCAACACTAAGCGTCTCAAGAGTGTTAATCGCAAGACATTGTATTTACGCGTCATGCTCCAATAAGATAGCCTAAGTTCTTTAGATTTCAGACGCGTTTGATACAACTCTTACAATCAGCTATAATTATATTTAGAGTAACTTAACAGTAGTTTACTATATAATTATTGAGAAACAAGTAGTCAAAGGGGACAGGTAACATCTCGATAGGGGGGTATTTGGGGGTATTTAGAGCGCAAATTGGCGCGGGTTCAACGCGGTTGGCTAACACTAGGCTTGCTTGGCATCAACCCCGGCTGATATCCAATGCCTTGAAGTCTATCACCACCAGTCACCTCGTTGGCTATCATTGGATCAAGAACAAAAATGATCCTATGCAAGTCACATTGCTGTTGACGTTGTGAAAAAAGTAGTGTATGCTCCACCACGAAAGGATGACAGCTTTCAGAAGCCGGTGTTGAACAAACGATGATCTCTATCAATGTTCGCAGGTAAGCATCCGTAAACCCAAACCCCTTCCTAGGCTATATATCCACTATCGCAATTCCATGCATCTTACTCTGTTGTCTAGTCCTAGTGAACATCAAGAGATTCCACCCTTCCAAATGGGGCTTTCATCCCACTCACGGGCGGTTTAGCTGCATTTGCTTCGGTCAGCCAAATCCGCTAAAGTGGCAGCTCACAGGAATTGCTAACATTGATCACCAAAACACACGACAACGTCTACTTACAACTTGTTGGGGGGTATAGCGGAGGTGGTAGGCCACTGGTAGCCGGCCGCGTCGCTGAATTTGTACCCATAACTAGCCGTAAAGTCATCGAGAACTGCAGGTCCTCTGGAGCCTGGAACTTTTCGTTAGCGAATATGTAATACGAGTTCGCATTGATATACAGCCCTTACCATATGGATAATCCATTGGGATGATCTCCTTGTTGTCGTCCAGGTAGTGGAGCAGGGGAGTGAAGATCCTCCAGCTAGCATCTAACTCATCATCTCGGACAAAGTTGGAGTGGTCGCCCTTCAGGCAGTCGAGAATGAGCGACTCATACGCCTCTGGAATCTTGAGATCAGAGAATCGTCGTCGGTATGTCAAATCCAGTTCTGTGACGACCGTTTGCATGCTAAGGCCAGGCAGCTTAGAGTTCATCTTGATGTAGACACTCTCGTTGGGCTGGATGCGCATGACGAGCTCGTTCCGAGGGATGTCCTTGAAGATACCGCTAGTAACGTCCTTAAACTGAATCCTGATTTCCGTCTTTTGCTCGTTAAGCGCCTTTCCGGCCTTCATGATGAAGGGCACGCCGTCCCACCGCTCGTTCTTGATATATGCAACCAGGGCGCAGAAGGTCGGGCAGCGCGAGTCTTTGGGCACGGTGTCGTCCTCCTTGTAGGAGGGCTTGCTGCCGTCCAACGATTTTCCGTACTGGCCAATGATGACGTTCTTAGGCTCAATAGCGGGGATGGCACGGAGAACCCGAACCTTCTCGTCTCGAATATCCTCGGCCGAGAAGGAGATAGGGCGCTCCATCGCAAGCAAAGTCAGCACTTGGAGCAGATGGTTCTGCATGACGTCGCGGACGATACCGAACTCGTCGAAATATCCACCACGACCCTCGGTGCCGAACGGCTCCTTAAAGGTGATCTGCACATTGTCGATGTGATGACGGTTCCAGGTGGCGCCAAAGAACTCGTTACCGAATCGCAGGATAAGAATGTTCTTCACCATCTCCTTGCCCAGGTAGTGGTCAATCCGGAAGAGTTCAGCCTCGGCCCAGTCGGGCTCAAGCGACTTCTGAAGCTCACGGGAGCTTGCCAGGTCCTTGCCGAATGGCTTCTCAACCTAGGATCGGGTTAGCAACCGGCGCCTGCATGCGCAAGTTCTAGGTTGCTTACGATAACTCGAGCAATTCCTTTTGTGGGATAGCAGCATCTCTTGAGATGCTGCGAGACAATCGTGAAGACACTGGGTGGCAACGCCATGTAGAAGAGACGATGAGCTTCCTTGCGGTCCTTCTCAAACTCTTTCAGGTGGTTGTCGAGGCCGTAGAAAGATTCGTCCTTGTCGTACTGGCCCGAGACATATGTGCAGAGATCGGCGAACTCCTCCAATTGTCTCTCCATGTCTTTGGTGGGAGTCTTAATGAACGACTTGACACGCTTGATATATTCTTCATGGTCCATCTTTGTCCGCGCATATCCAACAATCTTGATGTTCTTGGGGAGGAATTGGTTACGATACTTCCAGCAAGTCAGTCTCGAGACCATCCGATTCGATCTAAAGCGACACATTACTTACGAGACCGAACAAGGCAGGGAACTAGTTTTAGTATTAGCAAAGGGGTCTCAACAGTGCCTCGGACGCCCTCAGGTGTCTGCCACTTACAGTCTTCTTCTTCGCAAGATCTCCCGAAGCACCCAGGACCACGATTATCGTGTTATCCTTGAGCTCCATGGAGCTGTCGAATTCGGTTAGCATCGCAGATTTCGTGGAGTGTGCAATCTGAAAATGTAAACAGGTTTGTAAGGGGGAGACCGTGGCCAAGAACACCAAGACACTCGCCCATCATAGTGAAATGTTGGCGGGGTCGGCGGGGTTTCTCAACTTACGAGGCAGCGGAATCCATCTTGGCAGTCTGAACGGTCTAGAAGACAGAATTAGTCGCGGTTTGAAGATAAATGATGGTATGCAGATTCGGAGGAACTGAAGACCATATGGTTTTTGGGGGTTGCTGGTAGCCAAATAGAAGTGTATGTGTATAATGGAGGATGGGCTGAGTAGTAATTGCTGGGAACTTCGCGCCTTTGGAAGAAGCTTCGCAGATCGATAAATTGAGCTGGCTGGAGTCCAGCAAGGTGGGGGAAGCTTACTCAGGTCCCGGCTCTCTATCAAACTTCAAATTGCAGTGCGATCCGTGGACAACTTTACAACTGCGTAAAAGTCGGTGCTGTGAGGTTAGAGCAAGCCCGAGATACCTGCAGCGAAATACCGTCTGTGTTTTTGTCCGAGTTTTTGTTCAAGGTAATGATGAAAGTGTCGTCAGTGGAGAGTTTTTGTTGCTGACGGAGATATTTCCACAGAACCGCCGCGGGACTTGAAATCGCAGCGAGCTCGGAATCGTCGGGGCCAGATCGACCGGATGGGTGTGGAGTTTGGGCTGAAGGGTCAATGCAAGCGACAACGGCCTTGCTTGTTGATGAGGCACTTTATTCACTTTTATTTCGTTGAGACAAAAGAAGACATCAATTGATGATATAAGCAGCATTCAGCTACCATTACACTAGCACGAGCCGAGTCTTCGAGACAAAATGAAGGATTCGTCACAGTGTTCGTTTTCCTCCGCCTGCCTTTCTGGGGCACCCACCCAAGTTTGTTAGTAGCATATTATGGGCAGCGCCATGGGAAAACTGGTGGGCTAGACTCTGAGTGGCTCAACGCAAAGGTCCAAAGAGAGTCACCTCTACCGCAGTCAGATACGGCAACACAGACGTAGCTGTCTTTGCTTTCGCATCTGCCGATGACTACCAAGCTTTCAGACGACAACGCGGATCAATGGGCATGGTGAATTGATGGTTTCACCGAGGCGAAGGACGTTGCATTGATGTTAGGAAAAGCTCTGTGATGCACGACGCTTTGCATCGATTTCTTGATTGGCGCTTTGAATTGAGCCAACAACCACAAATCTTGGTGTCCGCGGGGTCAAGTCACGAACGGAGCGGCATATTATTCTTGACTTGCAGGATAAGTAAAGGCACAACTGACCTGACGACACGACGCAAGCATATGTAGGTCTAATGCTTGAATAAAAAAACCAACAAAAACCCTCGCAGGTTCGACCGTTGAAGGGTATGCTTGTAGGCAGGCTGCTTAATCAATGCAACCATCCACTGCTCTGGGACATCCGGTTTTGCACTACGAAGGATCCACGGTTGATTAAGCGTCTCATAACTCCGCGGGTCCGGGGTTCCACTATGAGACATGGAAGTCCGGATGGTCCGGGACCCTTTTCAGCGGCCTACTCTATGTCGCAGACGGGGAGCCCCATTATTGACATTATTGATAGCCGATGATCGTCCCAAACTCAATGTACTATGTATATGTTTCCAAAGGCGGCAATTCTTTTCTACACGCATGGTACCTTTTTGTCGGTGAGTACGATCAAGTGCGGACGAGCTCCCGCAGACTGCTGTTGAACGCCTCTGCTGGGCCCCAGCCGATTTTGAGAATGGTTGTCGAATTGTGTACCTATAAAATAATGGAAGCATCACATTGTTGACAAGAAAAATCATTAAATCTCGCAAACGCAAGTTGGTTAGTTGGTTGAAGTAGGAGACCATACCGTCCACACTGGGTATGGAATTGAAAACATATTCCTCGTCATTTTGGTCCTCATCATGAATTGGAGTTTTGTTACATGCACAGGCCAGGCCCGTGGATCTAAAAAGTTAAAAGCCAAGTTGCAAATTGGCAATTGTAGTCTCAAATGAATTTCGAAGTCCTAGTTGGCTGGAAAAGTGGCTTGTGCATTTGCGATTCTTGCCCAAGTCTAAATTGCTGCCGCAACCGCAATTTGTGGCTGGTGACCCGCACCTGCCTGCACTAGCCACACCAGAAAATTTTTGACCACGAAACTGTGCCTTCAATTTCAGGGCTCGCTTAGATCGCACTTTCCAGCCCGGTCGATGAGTGATAACCTCCACCTTAGGACTCTCAACCCAATCCGCCAGCCAGCCATACACCGACGACATCGCCCAGTGAACCAGTCTTTTTCGACAAGACTTCTACCAGTCTCCCATCACCCAGGATTTCTGAGCGGCGGAAAAGAACCACAGTCAAGATGCCTACCGAAGCTGGTCACAGATGTAAGCATTCCTCAAAATTGAATCTCAACAAACGCGAATCTACCAACAACCAGCGCGCGATGCGCCTCCGCTTGCATTCGCTGGCCCTCGGTCGCAGTCTGCAGTCCGCTGGGCAGTTGTGATGCGTTATGTCTTCTGCATCGTTATCATTAAGATCTTGCTGACCCGATTTGCCTTTAGTATACGTCAAGTGAGTTCATCCTAAGATGCAGAAGCGAATATCATGACGGAGACCTGCCCTTGCCTACGCCGCAGGGTCTACACTGGATGTGGATGTGCTGCCACTATATTGCGGGAGGATTGAGTAGAAATGGAAGGGAAAACCTGGCTGACGAAATCGCGTTTTCAGGGGTCGTCACCTTAGCTACCAACGTAGCCGACACACCACCCACTCCAAGACGAGTCTGATCAAGATCGAGGGCGTTGATGACACTCCCGGTGCCAAGTACGTTGGAATGCGCGCATCATCTCACGACCCGACACATGGGGCTAACAATTGGTTACAGCTTCTACCTCGGCAAGAAGGTCGCCTATGTCTACCGCGGGCAGAAGGAGATCCGTGGCACAAAGATCCGTGTGATCTGGGGCAAGGTCACCCGACCTCACGGTAAACTCGCTCCCTTCGCGTTTCGCGATCCTACTAAACATTATCCCGTACTAATGTTTGTTCCAGGCAACTCCGGCGTTGTTCGCGCCAAGTTCACCCACCCCCTTCCCTCGCGATCTTTCGGTGCTTCTGTTCGTATCATGCTGTACCCCTCCTCGATATAAGTTGGGTGTACTTGGCCGGAGTTGGTAGTGTGGATGGTTCATGACATGGCTGCATCTGGGTTACGCAAAGGTTGCAAGGAAAATCGGCTTCAGCCTTGCGTCTAGCATCACAATCAAGAAAGATATACCAACAAAACGAAACGATCGATGGTTTCTCGTGCATGGGTGAGGACGAGTACTGCCCGGAACGCTGGACGACGGATGGAGGACGCATTAATCTGCTCGGGAGACTTTCACGATGTGCTGGGGACGCCGTTGGGATTTGCGGCAGTGACTACTGGTTCTATGAGGTCTCCCTCCTTCGCCGTATTAGTAGGCATGGGCGATGAAAGTCCTCAAACCCTGATGTGCGCGGAATTGATCTCAGCATAGAGGTAATGATCAAAATCGCGTTTTCACATCACCCATATTCTCTCTGCCAATGCTTGAATCCGCTCCACTCCGTGTGACAGCAGGTGGACGTCAACACTCACCATACCTAGTTCAGTACTCTACGCCGAAGAGATAAAAACATTTGGGAATCATAAACTACATGATGAGCTCCGCGTTATCCTCTTTCGTGTCCGAACTATGTCTCGACTTGCATACTGAATGATAATGACCACGACCTGTTTACAGCGAGAAACTTGAGGAAACGTGCTGTAATGGCTACTTGTTAACGCCGCCACATGACGTTCTCGTAAGGGACTAAATGTTTATAGGGGGCGTTCCCGGCGATCGATCAACGCCTCTTCGTCTTGTGTTCTCCCAATACTACATTAACACGACGATTCAATTTGAGACGCAACACGGCATGTTGTCCAAGCCTAATGCTTCGCGGACGGTGGCAGGATTCAGTAGGGCGACTGGGACTTTTAGATGAAGCCTGGCCCTAAGACGCCTCACTGCCGTCCCACGGGGTTTGATTGTAGGTCGCATGTGAGAATCAGAATGGGCTTGGCTGTGTTATGTGGTGTGAGTCGGGACGCGGAGACGCGATGTGGAAGCTTTCAGCTTGTGTAAGTATGTGGCCTGTAAGCGACGAAAAAGGGCGGACAGGGTTGTATCTCATCGGTAATGGGGCGCCAGTTATTTTGTTCCTCGAAGGAAGCGTTCCGTGCATTGTGCGGTATGACACAATACAATACGTCCCGTACTGAACTTGAGGTGTATGCCCTGAGATGCCCTGTGGCCGGGATGTTACATAGCTATACAAATCGATTAGGGAATGCTGTGTCCGCATGATTTGCTCCATCTGCGATATATCATAGATCGTGGCGCTGGACCATGCCAACATCAGGAGGCATTTTCGGCTGACATCCTATGACAGTGTGTATAAGCGACTTGTTCGATAGTTCAGTAGGTATATCTATTCAAATCCCTATACTGTGTCGTACCGGCCGGTTTGAGGGTGGGAAGCTAGCACGTGCTAACTTATACTCTAGGTCTGAAACCGTATATTCAGTCATTGTTCTGGAATGTAATGATGTGGAGGTGGCTGGGCTTGTCGTGATCTTTATAGACAAGGATGTTCGTTGAACAGAAGTTAGACGGAGCCTACCACGCGGTCTATGCAGAACTCTACTTGTCAGTCCCTGTTTCTCAGTTAGCGGGCAGTGAACTGTAGTACTTCCCGCAATCTTCTTGGAGTTGAGACACAAAATGGACCCGAATAAATTGCATACGACGTAGCGCATTACCAGTTGCTGAGTTTAACCGGTTTGTCGCCTATTCTTCCCTACTAACTGCTATTTCGGAGTGGATTTACAAGTAGACTGATCGGCGAAGCCTCTGCGAAGCCGCGCGTCAGGACCTTGAGGCTGTGAGCTTGTGTGTGGGGGGGGATGGTTTTACGGCTGGCTGACGAACAAGACTGAAGTGCTGAGTGGCGAATCGTATGCGAGTGTCTCCAGTTTTGCCCAGTCTTGGTTGGTATAGATAAGGCCAAATCCCGAACTGTACATGCGCTAGGTATAGTTCATGTGCCTCGTATCCTGCAAGAGGGACAAAAAGCAGCCTTAGTTGTGACGGTAGCTTTGAGTCATGCTCCTACCCGCCAGGTCCGGCGCCGCAGAAAAAAGAGCTTGGTTTGGGTTGGCAGGGAAGAGGACTGTGATATACTGGTAATGTTGATCCTGCCAACTGGGTACGCTCAATGTTGGTTTACAACCACAGAGAGTTACCGGCCGTTCAACGGTGTAGCGGCGGACGGTGAGATCGTCGTCAGGAAAATGTCACTGCCGGCACCAACTGTAGCTCCCAGGAACGCGGCGGGATTAAGTACCAAGTTAATGGCTGCGGTGACATCAAGATCCCTGCGTAGAGGTGGAGAATTTGGGAGCTCTCAACTCTTGCTATTCGTTGTTGAGCATGACGATTCGTACATAATCAATAGATGTCGAGATGAGACTCGAGATTAGTGACTCGATGCTGTCTTCAACTAGACCGAAGCTCTGTTTTGAGAAGGTAGTTGGAAATAGTTAGAGGGCATCCAGTATCTGCCAAATTGCAGAATTTCAATTATGCCCAATTGACATTCGGCTCATGCCGGTTTGACGCCGCTGATCAGGAGTTAAATGCTTCCGAAAGTCAATTCAGTTTAGAGATCTTCAGACAGTGCCTGCATGATGAAAGGTAGAAGTCACTTTACGCCGAGTCTAGCAGAGATATTCTGGAGGTCTTCGAGCATTGATACCATTGAGCTTTCTCAAACGTTAATGGCTAACGTAACCCCGGCCGAACACTACGAAGACCCCCGCCTGCACTATTTGGGTAATACCAACCCCAATATAGAAAGATCGGTCGATCATTGCGGCGGCCTGGTCCAGATATCCGAGCTCGGGGTAGCGCAATGCACTTGTCTCCATACGAGCGTTCGTCCAGCACATGTAAATTCGTATGGGTCTCGATGGGATTTGCTGGAAATCGATTGATGGTGGGCTGGCCTGGCGGGTTTTTGGAGGATGCAAAGCTACACAAACAAGGCAGTGCACATAGTGTAGCATCAAATGTTTTCTGCTTACCTCGAAAACGTGTGATTATCGAGAACCTCTCATGCTGCCTTGCTTATGAGCTCCAAGGACGTACCGATTGAGCAGCACAGATTTGATTGATAATGCCTCTGCAACTCATCAAGCCTCCTCAACCAAATTGAAAGTGAGACCGTAAGAGACGCAATCTGTACACAACGCATGGAGTGAATCCAAAACTTAAATTAAAGCCCAGTTCACTGGCTGTCTGGACAGTCCATCGTTGCCCGCTACTGAAACTATACACGTCTAGACCTGGGGATCGTTCACCGTCCCAACCACGTAGACCTGAAGGCGACCGACAGTCGTCACCAAATCATCCCATATCACGGCAAGACAAGCATTGGCCCCTGGAGGCTTCCATAATAGTGTAAAAGAGACAGTCAAACTTGAGGCTGTGTGTTGTGTGGAAGGCGATTATTTCTTTCCTTTTACACCATTATCAAATCCATTCTTATCAACTCTTCCTCGTTCCGCCCTTTCCTCCCGCTCATTGAATCCATCTTGAATATAATCAAACCCTTGAAATCTCGCGGTTTGACTCCACACGTCATCGGAACATAACACAACCAATCGTCACTGGTCTCTCGGTCCTTGTCAACCTGTGTGCAAATACCGTCGTCAGTTTTCGCAAGCAGATTGGTATTTGGTGGCAACGGCTTGCTCGGCGGCATCTATGACAGGACCGGCACCGCTGGTTCCCTTCGATCCTGATCGTCCGCGACACTTACCTCAGTGACAGAAAAGACGAAAATCTCTCCGTGTTCGTCCTGAAACATCCACGGTCTACAAGGGTACACTTCCTACCTTACCCAAACATTGAGTTGACGTCACCCAAGGCTAGAAGACCAACACTACTACTTGCCAGCCTACGCATCTACACAGAGCCTTCCTCCGTCCCAAATGTACTAACGCTGACACGTTGACACGTTAACGGTTTCCGGATACGAACTCGGGAAGGTACCACTCGATAGGTAAAGTGACCAGATCCACGAAATTGAGGCAGGAGCCACCGGGTTGGCTAGAAACCAACTTCGTACAGTTTACGACTGCAGGCGACTGCCCGGCTGCTCGGCTGTTCTCTCAAAGTTCACCAAGCACCCGATAGTGCGGCCGGTTGTCCAGCCACACAGGACACCCCTTCCCTGCATTTCCGCACTTTCTGAGACGGACGCAAAGCTTGGATCCGCACCAGGGTCCTGTGCTTGCGGTTGCCACCCCCCAAAGCCCCAACCACCACCAACTCGTGCAGCATCCACCGACTGATCACTGTCGTTGTATCCTTAGACCTTGAGTCTTGGCCCACTAGTCACGGCAAACTCGCATTCGTAGGGTGGTTTGCCTGGAAAAAGGATCAAAGCAGCAGTCGCATTGCTTCGCCGTCGCGCAAAGCTGCCAACTTCTATCTTCTTCTCCTTTCACCCAGACTATACCAGTACTAGGGCGCCAGGTTCATCACGATAAGGCAAGGCGCCAAAGAAACAGAAACAACCACCCTGGACAGTTGCAACATCCATCCTGACTATCGACGCTCATCCAGATCCACAAACCCACCCTATTCTCCCCCACCAGTCGCTTCCAGGTTCCCAGCACTCCAGATTGCCAGTGACCCAGTGTAATAAAACAAGAGCGCAGCCGCCCGTCGTCACAATGGCGTCTCCAAATTACGACCATCACGCGTTGCCTGCGCCGTTGCAGCAAGGTCAACAACAGCAAGACTACTCATCCTCACCGTTAGCTTCGCAGTCACAGTACTCTCCGCCGAGACGGGACACGCAGCCCTCTCCTCAACCGCACCAGTATCATCCGCAGTACGAGCCACAGACTAAGAAGCAGCCGTCGCCTCGGACCAACAGTCGGCCTAAGTCGAGGGCTTTCAGCTTTCGCTCCGACAAGTCGCAGAAGGCGGAGAAAAGTGCTCCAACCAGCGGCTCCTACAAGATCACAAGCGCCGACCTACACGAGACTTCGGCTGAAAAGGCGAAGAAGAGACTGCACAGCAAGGCTGATCCAACTATGGCCATGAACGAAGCGGAACCATGTAAGCGGAGACTTCCTCGCCCACTACGTAGTCAACTTGAGCGAGGGGCGTATCTAATCTTGCTTCACCCATAGCTGCCGTAGCTCAGTCAGCCGCCAACTTCGACGAGCACGCACCACTTCGATCAATCCAGCACAGAGATCGCAATGGCAATCTCATTGGTAAGCGGCTTCTTGTCTCTCCGCTCTGCCGTCGGATGAAACTGGTCACTGACCCGCATTCCAGTCGAACCCGATCGATCGAATCCCACTCGAAGTAGATGGGAGCGACCGCTCGACACGATCCGCAGCTTCGAGGCCGCCATTGATGGCGGCTACAATCGCAAATCTGTCTATAACGCAGAAACGGATTCGGTTGCTAACTGGGACAGAAGGAGCAGCTATTATGGCAGTGAGCTCGAGCGATCATCTCGCTATCCCGTCTTTCTTACTCACAGCGTTATGTTAGACAACGGCCCTCGATTCCCTCAGAACAGCTACTATGGTGATCGACCGAATTCTACCTTCCGACCCGACAGTCAAATATACGATTCACGAGGTTCGATGATGATGGGAGGGGCTGCCAGAGACAGCTACCTGGATGAGTACAACAACGATGGTGCTTACCCGAACACTGGCAATGGTTTCAGGAACAACAGATTACCCCCTCGCAACCAGTCCGAACCTCAGCTGAATGCCCGAGTACCCGACAAGCGTGTGTACCCCATGCCGAACAACCACCGATCGTACGAGACGGTAGCATCGGGAACGGGCAGCGGAAGCTACGGCGAGCCCATGGGCTACCAGACTGATCCTACTAGCAGTGAGAACAGCTCTCTCAACCGCCAATCGCCCGCCAGACGCCAAGAACCCATGAACGACTATGGCATCAGCTTTGGCCAGTCGACCGCAGCATATCAACCCCCGACTTTCGCTGTACCAGCTTCGCAGCCTCGAACAATGCCATCAACACCACCCCGCCTCCCAAGAAGGATCCTGGCGGTTCTCTGCTTCGTAAGGGCTCCAAGCTGGTTCGTGTGGGGGTCGCCCAGGACCGACCTGAGCTGGGCGAGAAGCGAAAGAGCTGGTTTGCTCGAAGATTCAGCAAGAACTCTTAGACTGCGTTGCGTCACGGCTGCCCTGATAATATCCCATGCGACGGACCTCGACCATATTTTCCCAAGATACCCACATCTTCTCGACTTCTTTCATGTCCCATTCACCACTTACCACTTTCTCAAATAGACCGACCTACCTGGCCAGCGTAAACATCCTATTGACTCCCAAAAATGGGACAGTAACTGCGACTTGTCAGACAAAACGTTTGCACGATTGATGACAAATGTAAGCGTGTTAGGGGGCATGCGTGTTATTGCATGGACGAGCTTGACGTATGAAGGAAGATATTTCCCAAGAAGATGTTACACGAAGTTGAGCATTTGTAGGAGTTCAAGTTTTTCAGCATGATTTGAGTACAGAGCAAAGCAGGATTGTGTCAAAGGAAGTAATTGGCTCATCATTGGATGACTTGGCCGCCCATTGGAGGTCGTTGACACCATATTCAGGAAGCGCTAGGGTCGACTCATTAATATTTCCTCATTCCCCATGCCTGTGACAGCAAATGTACAGGGTTCGACACATACATGATATGGGAAAGGGGTTCGTTTCTCCTTTCCCTTGTCTCACGACAGCTCATATGCAGCTTGACAGATTAGCGATGGGAAAGGGACCTCGTCGGAATGGACACACAGCGCTGATGCATGCGAATTCACATTATGTCACAGACATCAAAAGGTGTTTGCATTTCAGGGGATCTCATGCGAAGACTGCCATAACATGGAAGGATATGATGTATGAAGTACTCAATTCACTCACTACATATGCAAGCATTTTCGCCCGTTTGGCACTTTACGCTCGATTCTCCACATTCAAATATGAATAGGATGAATTGACTTTGCAGAGACAACTGCGGTAGCCTTGCCACCATGGCGAAATCAGAATAAGCAACTGCCGACCGCCCCAATGACACTAGCGCTCCTTCTTTGTGTCCTCCTTCGCCTCTAACTCCAGCCGATCAGACTGGTCCTCGTTGTAAGCAACGATGACGTAGCCAATGAGCACAACGTTTGCCATGATAGCTGCCATTGCGCCTGCGTACGTTGAATTGCCTGTCATGATGATCAGCATCAAAAAGCTCATACCCTTCAGTTCTTTTCCTATTAGCTAGAGGTCATCAGAGACATACCCCCGAAGAGCGTGTTCACGCTTGCATAGTAGGATCCAAGCGGCACCACTACCATGGCCAGAGTGAAGGCGAGGAGCTTGAGGATAACATCGCTGGTCATATCATTCATTAGATTACATGACACCACTATGGTATTTGGTAGTCGTTGAACTCACGTGGGAACCGCTGGGGAGATGTTGGATTTTTCGCCCGCGGCTGGGCTGGCTCCGATGGAGTCGTCCTTCTCCAGGATGGATTTCTCGGACGCGACGATGCGGCTGGACGTCATGCTGAATATTGTGATGTATTGTTGTCCTGAATGGCCGTGGCTGATAGCGGCTCTTTGTGGTGATAGTAGGCGATGATGCAACTTGCACCTTTGAGACAGGCACCTTCGAGACGAAGACCCTCTTGGCACAAGCTTTGACCTGCAGCCGTTGCTGCTCTTGACAATCACAAATAGCCCCGATTACCCAGTACTTGTGAGGTCAAAAGTGAATAATTATTGTCATTCAACCATTCTCAGGCAGCTTCTGCTTCTAAGAGTTTGAATCTTTCAGTCTTCTAAACAGCCCGCTCTGATTCATGTGTTAATAGCTCGATCCCCAGCTCTTCGGTGAAAGTTCCTGGGGTCTCTCTAAGTCTATTGCAAGGGTCAGCTGACAGCGCGTAAACTGGGGTCCCCGCGTCCTGGGTCGACGACGCCAAAAAATCATTGACCAGCCACTGCTCAATTGAGCAACCTTCATTCCTCCCTGAAGTCGTCCAGATTCGTCTGCCTGCCCTTTCACTGTTTTAGGATCGTGCAGACCAGACGAAACGGACGAGGCTTCGTGATTTCTTTGTTGATCAATTGGTCACAGAATTCACTTTGTGGAGTTCTATTTCGTCGTATCGATGCGTATTTTTGTCCCCTGATCTAGCAAGCAGAATTCACGTCACTGCCCCTTCCCGGCCAGACTCATTGATAAATTCACTACGATTCTCAACCAAATTCACTCACAGCATTGTATTTCATCGTATCGGTTTGTGTTTTCGTTGGATCCTCACATACGTACGTCTCTTGGTCCAGCAAGCAGAATTCACGCCAGTACCTCTCCTGGGCCAGACATTGGCATCTTCACCACAAACCCCGATCGCCTTCACGCCGTCTTTACCAGCCCAAATGGTACACAAGATGGCGGCGCGCTTGCCATCACTGCCTTTGGGTGGTGAACCTGAGCTTCCCAATATTGCTTCTAGTGGCGCTCGCGCTGCCGGATTGAACAGCCAGCGGTTCGAGATAGACGACGACGATCTTGACGAATTGGCCGACATCATTCCCTGCTCCTCCCCGTACTTCATGCAGCCGACACAAATCATTGACCAGGCGACGCAACCGACGCAAATAGTGGAAAGGAGGACTACACTGCAACGGTCATCGCCACCCGTGCCAGAAACACCGACTTCCATCGTTGAAGTCCCAGCTTCGTCACCCTTCCGGAGTATGTCGCCACGAGCATCCCATTCGCTAAATCAAAATCAACTGTCCGCCATCAAGACGCAACCGCACGGGGCCAAGACCGGAGGGTTGGGGACAAGGGGGCTCGCATCTCTCATGGCGCCCGCCGGCACAGCTTTCCGAGCCCCTTTTGCTCCACAGCCGCAACGTGCGCAGACTGTTTTCAAAGGTCCTCTTTTAAATACTTCAGATGATGACCTGGCAAAATATTACAAGCGCGAAGATAGCTCTGGTGATGAAACTCCTATGAGAGGTGACATACGACCATCGTCATTTGTCAGGAAACAGCAGTCAGTCGCGGGATCTGGCGCGAGCTTGCAAAATGCGGCCGATCTCATGGACAAGGGGTTCGCGCTTAACGACATCAATGACTTACGCCTTCGATATTTAACCAGGGAGACTCACAAGATCGCAAAGAAAGTCCTGCCACAGGTAACAATTCTCGAATGCAAAAATGCATTGGTGAGGAACGCCCGATCTACGGAGGATGCTGTCAAGGATCTCCTCGGCAAGCTTGGAGACCCTTCTGGGCTCATTGAGACTCTAATGCGTCCTGCTTTAAGCAAATCAAGAGCCATAGTTGGTGACAAGTCAAGGGAACCAAAAATAACTATTCCATCCGATCCGCCGATCACCCTAAGCTCACCATTATCCTCTCAAGCTTCGCCAGAAGTACAGAAGGCGGCTCCACCTCCTCGTCGACGGCTTGTACAAGGGCGCCGGAACCGCTCACCCTCGCCTGCTCAGGTATTTTCTGTTTCTCCATCACATTCCTCAGCGGCGACAACTCCATCCAGCTCCACTGAAATTATCTCGCGGCAGCGAGAACGGGCATCGAAAATGGCTGCTGCGGCAGGCACTCGGCGTCGGTTGGTACCCGGTCGGCCAAAACCAGAGTCCTGCGAAGTCATCACACTAGACTCGGAATCTGATGAAGAATTGCCTGATCTCAACACTATCGCTTCGCGCAAACGGAAGGCAAAAGAGCAGCCGAAAGAGATTGTGAAGGCACCAATTAACGTGCCCTCGGACTCCGATAATGAACCCCGCGTCGACTTCATCAACTCTGACGATTCTGGTTCGGACAGCGGGGCCCAGCCTTCCCAACGAAAGATTGATGAGCAAGTCAGCGTTCTGGATTATCTCAACAAATGCTCAGCCGAGGAACTTGCGCGGATGACTGGACTTCCTACTGGTGACACGCAGCTTGTCCTATCTGAACGACAGAGTCAACCCTTCAAGAGCCTCGAGGCAGTGACACAGATCACTGGAAGACAAAAGTCGAAGACCAAAGCAGCAAAAATCCAAATAGGTCTCACCATTGTCGAAAAGCTCGTGACCTGGTTCAACGCTTTTGATGCCGTCACCAACATCATCAAGGAGTGTGAGCAGAGAGGCGCAGAGCTTGAATCTGTCATGTCCACATGGGAAGTGGACAAAAACGGCAAGGTGAAAGATATCAATCCAGCGGCACTCGTCCGGCTTCCTATCACCAAACAGCCAACTCTGATGGACGCTTCAGTTGTCCAAATGAAGTCTTACCAGCTACTTGGATTGAACTGGTTGAACCTTCTCCATGGCAAGGGATACAGTGGTATACTGGCAGACGACATGGGTCTGGGCAAGACTTGCCAGGTCATCTCTTTCATCGCTCACCTTGTCGAGTCGAGGGACGATTACTCTGACCAGCCATGGCCAAACCTCATCGTTGTGCCGCCCAGCACTCTCGAGAACTGGGTCAACGAGTTTGAACGTTTCGCGCCGGGAATCAAGGTGTTCCTGTATTCTGGTAAGTTTCCATTGTGACGTCAATTTTGTCTTGTCCTTTACTGATGGGTTTTCAGGTACAAATCGTCGGGAGCTTGACCCTGAAGATGCTCGGGACTCCCATGTCGTTCTGACCTCGTACTCCCAAATGGAGCAGAAGATTGAAGACATACAATGGCTCACGGAGATGGAGCCGTACGCTGCCATATTCGACGAGGGTCACAAGCTGAAGAACCCAAACACCAAGGTGTACAAGCACCTGATGAAACTACCCTCATCCTGGCGCTTGGTCCTCAGTGGGACCCCGGTTCAGAACAACCTGAAAGAACTCCTCAGTCTCCTTCACTTTGTGGAACCAGACCTCTTTCATGAGGACGATTTCGAAAAACTGCGAACAATCTTCGAAGCCAAGGTTACGAACAAGGACGTCCACAACTTTGCGGCGTTGGCGAAGGAGAGAGTCGGGAATGCTCGGACCATCATGGCTCCCTTTATTCTTCAGAGACGGAAGGACGACGTACTTGACCTGGCCAAGAAGATCGAGAACGTGGTGCTGGTTGGCATGCACCCCGACCAGAGAGCGGTCTATAGTGAGATCAAGGGAACTTATCTCACGAAGAGCAAGGGAGCCAAAGTCAAAGCCAACTCTTGGATGCAACTTCGCAAAGCTGCTATCCACCATCAGTTGTTCCGCCAGCACTTCACTGACAGGAAGGTGAAAGAGATGACCGACATACTATGGAGCAAATGCTCAGCGGAAGAACTCGACGTTCAAAGCAAGGAACCCAAACATAAGAGCATGTTCCAGTCGTACCTCATGGAGATGTCAGACTTTGCTCTCCATCTCTATTGCAAAGATTTCAATAGATATCTTAGCAAATTCGACATACCACACAGATCCTGGGAGGAAAGTCCCAAGGTCCAGAAGCTTCTTGAGCTCGTAAAGGGCTACATGGCCAACGGTGACCGTTGTCTGGTCTTTAGCCGGTTTGAGATGGTTATCGACATTCTGCGAGAGACGCTGCATTGCGCTAGCATTCCATACTGCGAACTTACTGGAAGAGCGGGTGTCGCAGATCGATTCCCCGAGATTCAAAGATTCAACGAGCATCCTGAGATCCCGGTGTTCCTTCTCACGACTGGAGCGGGTGGCACCGGTCTCAATCTAACCGCTGCAAACAAGATCATCATCTTCGACCAATCCGACAATCCCCAAGACGACGTGCAAGCGTCTAACCGAGCCCATCGTATTGGCCAGACGAGAGATGTTGAGGTCATACGTATCATCACGGAGAACACGGTGGAGACTTTGGTCTACAACTCGTGTGTCAAGAAGCTGATGCTGGCTGCTTGTGTTGAGGGGCAGTTTAGGGTAGACGACGACCACGAGTCGGTCGAGGAGGAGTGTCGCAAGAAGATGCTAGAGACCACCGAGGCGGAAATTCGTGCTACGCAGGTGATTACAGTTGAGTAGCATGTGTCCCAGTGAGACGGTCACCATGCCTAGGCGACTTATCTGGTTTGACTTGTCATTGATTGACTTCAGAACTTGTTGATACAATTTTTCATGGACCAACGCCGGTTACTCATTATGAACAACGAGGGTCTGGGACGATGGTTGATTTGACATGGAGGAAATACCCGAATGTGTAGGTTACAATTGCGCTGGGTTATATGATTACATATGCCGGCGAACTAGTCGGGTTGCGCTTCGAGACGACGAAGCGGACTCCGCCATGGCACATAATTAGAGGAAGCATTTATAGACAAGCAGAAACTTGGCTCCAAAAACACGGGCTTTTTGACATGCGGAATGTGAGCAACTGGACCTCTGCGTACTATTTGAAATGGTCCGACTGTCAGCGGCGACGGATTTTCGTGAATACGACTTTCTTTTGAAGAATCAATAGGAGCTGTTGGCACCTTGGGGGGTGGCGAGGTGAGTCCCGACACGCCAACCAGCTCGTATATTTATCATCATACCATGGCCCATCTGGTCACTCATACCTTGGAGTATCCACCACAAATCTACGTCCATGGTTCGCGTCGTCGGGTTTGGGAAAAGCAAAGTAATTAACTCAGGAATAGATCTACTCATTTCTTGGGTCGCCACAACCCTTCATCATCTAGCACCAATACGTCTTCTCAATGGTACTCCAGTGGGCATGGCAATAATAAGGGGTAATCTCAAGCCACCCTAAAAGAGTACCACAAAAATAAACCAGAAAGGGAAAAAAAGGAAAAAGGGACGAGCAGTAGCAAGTAAACAATAATTACCCAACTTGTCGATAATGTCAAAACATAGCGCCATCTTAACTATCATATGTGGCGTTGTGCTAATCGTCGTCCTCAATATCGCGACCCTTGGCATGCCCATGATTTAGAGCAGAAGGATGGCCATGAGCATGCCGCAGGGTATGAGGCACAACGTACAACATAGTAAACGCATGGTGAAGCTTGGCGGACTTGTTGGTGGTGGTGATTGCGGTAGACATAACCTCAGCCTTCAAGAGGTCTTAATGACACTTATAGTATAGATGGGAGCGGGGGTAGTGGGTATTGGGGGAGGAGTGCTCATGCGGGGCATAGCGAATACAGTGGTAGTTGCAGCACTTATCCTAGTGGACAAGGTGAGCGGAGTGGACATGGAGGTGTTGGCTCTTGGAAGTGAGGGTACGGCTATGCGGAAACGGAGTGGCAGACATCACTGAATAGGGGTTTGACGGATTTGTGGTTTTTGGTATTTTAATCTAAGAAGCTCTCTTGCAAACGGTGATTTTCCAAGTTTGCGGAAGTAGGGGAAGATGCGAGTGAGATACTACAGACATTCAAGGGGCATCCGTTGGGTCCCTTTTGTTTCTTAGTCAGCGATATCTCCCTGAAAACGGCGAACGTGATTCAAAGAGATAAACTCACCAGTCTGTAACAAGATGTTCGTCCAAACCATCCATCTTCGCCACGTCTTCGGCTGAAATCTCAAAGTGCGCAACCTTGACATTGTCAATGAGCCGTGCCTTCTTTACGCTCTTTGGCAGAGGGATGAGCCCGTGCTGCAAGGACCACCTTGTTAATGTCAATATATTATTCCTTATCCACCGATCGAAATCAGGAAATCCTTACCGGACCATCAGCTGCGCCGGGGTACATTCGTATTTCTTCGCCAGCGCCAAAATTGTTGGGTCGTTCATCCGCATCGCCCTCGCCAACGGCCCATACGCCTCAACAACAATGCCATGCTTCTTGCACGTCTCCCGGATGCCCTCCTGGGTGTTGAACGGGTGGACCTCGATCTGGTTGACGGACGGCTTGATGCGCGGATTGGAACCCATCAACTCATCAATCTACATCTCCCGTCCAATTGTCAGCGAATACACGACCAACCCCAATCTCTTCCATTATGAAGGGCGACGGATGCTCACATGCCGACTTCCAAAATTACTAACACCCCCACTCCTCACCTCCCCCTCCTCGATCGCATCCTCCACCGCCCTCCAACTCGCCAATCTCGCCTCGCGCCCTCCGTACGGGCTATGCAGCAGGAATAAATCGATGTACCCCAGGCCGCACGCCTCGAGCGAGGACTTGATGCTCCGCCGCACCACCTGGTAATTGGTGCTGCAGCTCGCGAGTTTGGACGTGTAGAATACGTCCTCGCGTTTGAGTCCCGTGGTGTTGGAGGACGGGGAGGAAAGCCAGTCCCGGATTGCTTGTCCGGCTTCGCACTCGTTGTGGTACATTTGTGCGCTGTCGAAACCGCGGTAGCCAGCAGAGAGGGCCTGGGGGATGGAAGACAGGACTTCGCGGCCGGACATCATGTAGAGCCCGAGTTGGAGTTGGGGAATCGTGTGACCCGAGGGGAGCTGGGGAGTTGTCAGCATCTAGTTATTGGTATGTTGCATGGGATACACTTGCCTTGACCTTGCTGGCCAGAGAGAAAGTGTTGGACGACATGATGCCGGAAGAGATGAGGGTGCAAGCAACTTGTGAGGGGTTAGTCAATTAGCCAAGTCTCTGGGAGTGTATTATTCGCAGACCGTTTCAATGTATAATATGCTGCCTCGCAAACTGAAAATATGGTTTCAAGCCAGGTGATTGCCCCCGGGTCGCGGTGATGCTTGTCTAAGAGTCCTCTGAAACCCCTCGGAAACCGGGCAGCGGCAATGAGGTCATTTTTACTTGAGTAGCGGCCGATTCGGCGGCGGGAAAAGTGGACCGGCCCTGCGGCCTTGAGGAGCCGGTAGATCCTCGTCAAAAGTTGGCAAGTGCCGGAGCAGCTCTATTAGAAACATACACCATCTGTGAGTCGGTTCCGTGGGGAAACAGGCATGGATAGGTCAATACAGTTGCGTCGTAGAGATCCATCGCATGCTTCTCTATAGTCTGTTCCTAGATTCGCTCCATGAGCAGAGATCGACCCTCGCTTGCCGCGGCACAGCTCCATGCAGAACACATTTACCTGAAACCCATTGCGGTTGTACGTTGTTCCATGATTGCTGCATCGTTTGCTCCTTCATTCAGTTGGTCAGATTTCCTCCAGCTAACCATTGTATATAACCTCAGTTGCTTACCGTATACGGCGAACGAGATTTATCTGTCCTGTTTTGCTTATGGGCAGTGCCAAGCTCCACCTAACTAATGGTATTGCGGTGCAGCCCGATTTATTCAAGTACCCTACCTACTAACCATGGTGGCTAGACCGACGTGCTGTTTAGTGTTCTCCAACAGCAAGGAAGGGGTTTTCCGCTTCGGCAGTTTCACCGATGCTTACTACGTGTAGACAAGTGCCAGCGGCTAAATCCATCTCCGCGCCGTAGTTCAACATAGTAATACAGTCTCTTGTCAAGGTAATATAGGTCGCCGACCAGTCAACTAGGTCAGTCCACTTTTTGAACTCGAGTGGATCTGACCTCAATTGCGGACACGCTAGAACGTCATCCGGCTGGGCCGTTCGGGGTATAAATATTGACTTCAATCTCTGCGACTTATTACTGCAAAGTCCAGTTCTGTGTGGATCCTGAAATCATTCCTCATTCTCACTTTATACCCCCAACACAGCCGTCAACATGTCTCTCGAAGTCTACCACCTGCAACTCTCCCAGTCAGAGCGAATCGTCTGGCTGCTTGAAGAGATGCAGGTCCCCTATGATCTCAAAGTCTTTAAGAGGGATCCCACGACGGGCCTCGCACCCAAGGAGCTCAAAGAGATTGTAGGTCTACAATGGCATTCACAGCATCTCCCCAGACCGTTGCTTCACGTTTAACAAAGATTTTCGTACAAGTCGAATCTGATAACGACTGACAACCCACAACCCCTCACAGAACCCCATGGGCACGGCTCCCTACATCCGGGACACCACGACCTCCCCTCCAGCGTGCATCTCTGAGTCCTCGGCAATTATGGCCTATATCCTTGAAGTGTACGGTTCCAGGGCCTCGGGGTCGCGCATGCTCCGCACCCCGGACGACCCGAGCTATGCCCAGTACTTGCAGTGGTTCCACTATGCAAACGGATCTCTCCAGCCTGCTAGTAAGGAGCCTTCTGGTTTTGTTATTCCTCTTTACATCCTTGGCTGTGTTCGAGAGTAGTAAAGATTTGCGTAGAAAGAGTTGTTCTCGGCATATTTCCTTGCTACTCCTGGGATATGATCTAGAAAGCTCGATTTGCCTCTGGAGTCATCTAATGGCTTAAATCACCGGAACGCGGCGCCAACGCCTTTGGTTTCCTTATTTTCTTTTTTTCTCTTGTCTGTCTGTTTCTTTGTAATTGTGCTCACCCCCGTTTTTCCAGTATCGCGCCAAATGATTTTCAACCTCTCGGGCGTCGAGCAGACAGACAAAGTCAAGTTTTGGCGAGGACAGCTAGAGGCCCAGCTCAAATTCATCGACGACCACCTGGCCCAGAACAAGTGGTTTGCGGGCAACGCAGCCAGCGCCGCCGACTGCATGATCATGTTCACACTGTCGACCATGAGAGGGTTCATGCCCTTGGATTTGGGGCCGCATAAGAATATTCTGCGGTGGATGGCAGATGTGGCGGAAAGGCCGGCATATAAGAGAGCCATGGAAAAGGGTGATGATGGGATGGAGCCTATGATCAAGGCCAAGGAGAGGAGGTTTACGCAATTCCCGTCTTTTAGAGAGGCGATTGCGGGTGCCGAGGATTGATGCTGGAGATTAAGGGACAAGAGGAGTGGTCATTGGGAGCAGTGGGTAGTCTCAACTCAGTGATTTTAATGAGTCACGCTTTCTAAGTTGCTTGGATTTGTAAATTCGATCAATTTTGATGCAAAGTGCAGAGTGTAGAGTGTTCTGTTATACCGAGTTGGTTAACGTACTAGTTTTGACTCGGCATCACCCAGGTAAACCCTATTCCATTCTTATGCATAATCTTATACGATAGAGGTACAGCTGTTCATGTCTGTATGTAAAGTCTTCTATACGCCAAACCTAGGAAATGTATTTGTCAGTTGTAGAGATACGAACAATGCATAGTGAGTAAAGCTGCCTTCCGGCATTAAGCAAGTGAGCCGATTTCCAAAGTCCCAATCTCAATAGTTGTGTGCAAAACAGCGCTCAACTAAAAATGGTTACGCTTCTTAAGAAAGCAGCACTGTACCCTTTGCCACACCTTTCGGTCGGAATCGGCATACAAGCATGAAGATATCAATCAATAGTCGGCCAGCGGGGTCCGTTGCGTTAGCCTCACGACCCTTCTAATAGGGCTGACGCAGGGAGCAGGCAGCAACGAGACCATTCGCTTCCGATGTTGCCGACCTGCGGGATATTTTTGGCACTGTACATGGAAGAAACCGCTCTAAACTGTCAACTTAGCGGCACACGTCAACCCACAGCGTTCAGTCCCGAAGTCACCTTCACGACGCCCTGGATGAGGAGCCAAGTACAGGGCTACAAAACCCCGCCTCAAACCAGAAGTAACCATCATAGAAGAAGAAAAAAACATCTTTTTTTGGCCTTCCTATAAATCTCCAACCACCGCGTTAGATCACCGATTGCCGTTGCTGGAATGCACCCCGAGGGGCCGCGATTGTCTACGGAAGTTTTGTGGACAGCCACTTCATTAAATTCCAGCTCATATTGGGACTGGTCATTGCCTTGCGAATTGATGATTTATGGCGGTTCTAATCAGATTTGTCCATGGGGGAGTAAACAGAAGTGAATGGACCACATAACATGGGATCACCTGAACGGGCATTATTCCTCCCGTTGCGCATGCTGGTCCTGTGACGACATCACGTTCATTTACCTCGATCATACCGCTCTCAATTTCAAGCAGAACTTCAAAAATCGAATTCTCATATCTGGGACCACATTATAGATGGGAACAGACATAAGAGTATACTTCCAGAGTTTTTCATCCTCGGCCATTTGCACCCAAATGGCTGTCTTTCCCCTGACACGTATGACTAGTTAAAGAACCAATCGAGAGAAGGCCGCCCAAATGCATCTATAATCCGGATTGTATTCCTGGGGAAAGAATGACCATGGCCGAGAGAACATACATAACGATATACAATCGTAAGGGGAAAGACAGGCATTGACGTCAAAGTCGCAGGACTCGACCCCAAACCCAGACTCGGGAGCGTACGGGGTGTTCAAGGACGAGGTCCAAAGAGCATTATCGTACGCAAACCACCAATGACTCCGATAGGTCGCGTCTAGGTCACATAGAGTGCCACCACCAGCAGCAACAATGGCCAATTCCGTTTGTCACATTCAAGAGTTCAGAAAGCGAGACCAGCTCACAATCTACACAAGGATACTCCAGGCGTTGACCATCATCCACAGTGGAGCCTGCGTTATCTGCTCATACATCGGATGATCATTCACATGACCCCCTAGTTCTTGCCCTTGGAACGAAGAGTTGCCTATTCCTTTGTGTGAATATCGGACGATACTAGATTAGGTTGGCGTAGATCAACTTGACCTTCGTTCCCAACGACGAGGTCCTTTACCGGCGCATTAGAGAGATTTGCCGAGGGTTGCGAGAAAATCTCGCCAGGGATATGTTCATCGTGTCTAGAACGATGGAATACGTCAAGGTAAGCCCAGTGGCTTTACAAGAAATATTAACACTTTACTAATACCAAAAGTCCGACCTCCTGTACCCCTAGAAGACCGGGGACTTTGTAGGGAACTACGAGATAAACTCAGTTCCATCCACCAAGGAGGTGACGAATCGGGAGTGTGCCTTCTCCCTGTGTCCGCCCCAGATCGCTTCTGTTGCGGTATACCCGTTTTTACAGTCAGGCTCCATAAGTGTGGGGACCACTTTACGCCAACACGAAAATTCGCACAACCCTCTTCGATAACCACACGATTTCGTCGTCCTATAAGGCATCAAAACAGAATCAAGCTTGACTGAATTTATCGTCGAGCTGATAGCAGGCTATTAAAAGACACTCAGCTTAGTCCCGTTCAACGTCCAGCCCTGACTACTACTTTCAAGTCAGGACCAAGTTAACGTACCGTCGCGTTGTATTTCACGTCTGACGAGCGATTACTACTAGAATATTTAAATTCTAGATAAATTGCTATAAATTCGACTCGCTAGCCCGTGGCGGTCGTCCTCCTAAATTAATACGCCACGGTAAGCGGTTAGTGTATAAAATATTGATCTCTACACGCTAAGCTTTAGTTAAACTATTTTGTGTGCGAATAGCTTAAAATCATAGAGAATGGCCCAGGAGCAGTTGTAGTGCCCCATAGCAGCTTGAGGTTCTAGCAGGGTGGCCCCCAGATTGTTGGAACATGACTGTATGCATTCATCCCTCAGTCCTGGAGACCACACCGACAAAATTTCCATTGTCAGGCTGCCCAAAATGGTTGCGGCAGACTTGTCTGTATCGGCCAGCAGGGTGAATAGCGGTATTACCGCACGTATGGGACATATACATAGTCAAATGTCTCAACTAGACTCTGATGGCTCTCTGCCTGGCAGCTGGACTCCTGCTGGTTTTCCTTGTGACGACAATATGGAGCTCAATTCAAGGCGACCTGCAGGTGGCAGGAAATCCGGCAGTTCTTGCTAGCGTTCGCGACGTTGGGTTTGAAGACGAATCTCATTACTCAGATGCATCAGGAGACGTCAGTCAACAGGCTGAAGTAGCAGGCCTGCCAAGCATAACTGTAACTCTCAAACATTCACATGTAGGTGTTTATGTAATGGAAGAACCGATGGCCGAAGTCAACTCCACCAGTGATAACATGAATTCAAGCTATGCAATATTTGCGAGGCATACCCACTTTGCGGCTATACTTGGGTCTCAAACTCAAGTTTAGGAACTGAATACACGGGATACGATTTGGAAAAGGAGCGTACGACCATATACAAGAACCAAGTCAAGTGATTTGTAAAACTTGAATTATGTGCATTGAATAGCTACCTTCCTATTCCGATCATTTTGTGGCAGTAATAGACGACTCAACTTGTATGAAATGTGAATTTCTTCACTTCGTACTCAAACGTGACAGAGCTACAGCCTTCAATGGAGAATATTCACTGGGAAGCTGTGACGTAAACGTACTTACCTGAGGAGTAGCTTGCCATGGGGCCCGAATCGGTACCCAATTCCAGGAGCAGTGAAATTCATTTACGTTCATATGCTGGCTATCTTCTTGCTAACATACAGCCAGGTATTGAAACAAGTCCCCGATATCGCGGAGCTAGAATGTGTGGTTCCTATGTAGTGTAGCGTTCGAAACTGGGGCTTGACAGTGGTGATGATGAGCTCAAGTTTTCTGTCTGCTACCGAACTTGGAGTATATATTTCGCGTGAGCAATTTGCTCGTTGAACATGAGGTTGGAAAACCTAATAATGGTCAAGTCGAATCAATGGCAAGTCGCAACGGGACTAGGCTCCGCCGACCCACTGAAGCCACAGTTCTTGGCGGCCCCGCAAGCGACCATTGACAGTCCACTATCTTATCGTGGGATGAGGAGCGGGATTTACGTCAGTGACCATGTCCAGCTGGGATCAACCTGGAGAAGCAAGCAAGAGCTTCTAGGAGGCAGGAAGGGAAACACCGTCCTGTCAGCCGTCAGACGCGGCGGCGGAAAAAAATATAAAAGAAACCGGTATGTGGAGTCTAGACAAGCACGCACAAGCCGGTGGTATGAATCGAATTTATCGGAATGAGCTGGGGATGTCATTGGCGACAAGCTTGCAGGAACGTCAGCTCAAATCTCAATCATGACATGATTGATGGTGGGGATCCCTGTCTGTGGTGGGCCCGGCCTTGGGGTAGAGCATGGGATGGGTTGCCCTGGCTAATACATATCTCTCGATTGTTCTTCAAATCAAGCGCTTGATACCCTTCAGTCTGTTTTGTTTATTCAAAGCTGTAGAGAAAAGCCTGTCGTCTTGTTTCGTCATTTCCTTTCCTTAATCCGCTCTCCCCCGCAAACGAGACCATCCAGGTACGTAAGTTCTACACACCCTGAGAAGCACAATATCCCGCATCGGAGATCTGACCCTGGCGCGAATGATGCGACGGCGGAGATGCTGTCGTTTGCGCCCAGCCGCCCGCCGTTCATACAAAGTCTCAGGGCATTCCCTTCAGATTTGCGTCCACGGCGGCATTAGAGCGCACCCCAGTCCTTCGCGTTTTTACAGGCGACGAGCGACAAAGACTAAACCTGGAAACGCAGAGAAGACAACATGACGAGCCCCGAAGTTTCTCACGGCCGTGGCGGCGCAGGGAACATCAACCCCGACGACACCAAATACGTCGATGGCGAGATTGTGCGCGAGGGCACCCCAGGCAGCCACGGCGACGGGGCTTTTAGCACCGGCCGAGGAGGTTAGTTTTCCTTAACATTGCCCTCTCTGCCCATCCAAAAGCTCGCAAACCTGCTGGCTGGCACAGCACCACCTTATCGCGAAAGCTCCCACCCTCGGTCCCTTTGCGATAAGGACACACCCACGTCCTCAATCCAAGCTCCTTTTCCCCGTCTCCTCTCACCTATTGCACGGTCATATCGATTGACATGCTACCAGGCGGCGGCAACATCGGCGACGCAGGGAAGCCCGCCTCCGTGCGCCACGACAAGGACGTGGTCCCCGAAGCGGCACAGCTGCCACCCCAGAACGTCGACCGCCATGTCGGCCGCGGTGGCTCCGCCAACGTGCACCTTGCGCCCGAGCACCAAGCCCACAAGAAGCAGGCCGACGCTGCGCCGCACCCCGAATCGGCCCAACAGACTAGTCTGGCTGATAAGCTCAAAAGCAAGGTTATGGGCGTTTTCAAGAAGTAGGCGAGGACGCCTGAGACCATTGGTGGGGCGTGGTGGGTTTGGTTTGTGTGCGAAGATATCTCCAAGGAGGGGATTGGCGAAGAACTAGATTGATGGTGGTAGTGATGTTGTGACAGGCGATGCGGTATGAGCCCCGAGAGGCATCGTCGTGGCCTTTTGACTTCGTTTGATCTAATACTCGCCAGTATAAAAATTGCTGGCGTAGATGTTTTTACAACGATATCCTTCTGTTTTCCCCTTATCGAGTACATATTCACCATAAGCTCTCTGCTGTCGCTGTGTAGCCCTGCACCGGAGGATTGAGGCTGCTTGTGAATTCACACCACGTTGCAAACTCAAGGATGGGCATCCAGAGGGCAATAGCTAGATGAGGCAAACCACATTAATGAAAAACTGATTTTGAGGTGAATGATTGTATGGCCCATGTGTATCCAGTAGGCATGCCAACAGATCGTGTTACTACGCGCAACGGAGACTGCATCTGCAGAATATGTACAGCGATGAATAAAAATGCCTGCTCCTCTTCCAATCAGGTTATCCTTGCTCGCAAATGGAACTGGAAATAAAATTCACAATCCAGCTTACGCCAAGGCGTTGGCAATGGCAGTGTAGGCGGCTTTAGGCGAGAAGTTGCTGTCGAACAGCAGGGGGTTGGTGCTAGCTCTCCACGAGTCCTAGTAGAACGCAGTATTAGTATATTTCACCTGCGCGTAGGCCTTCCTCCGGAGGTCGACTTACAGGGTCCCGAACCCCCCATACAGTGATCCCCACGCATTGAGCTAGGTTGGCACAAGCGTTGGTCACGGCTACGTAGTCAGCCGAGGGCGCACCCTGGATGTCCAGCTCAGTGACGGCCACCTCTTTCACGCCCGTGGACGCGAGGGCCTGAAGCGCCCCTGCGGTGTTGGCGCCCTGGCCTGCTGAAAGATGGCTCTGTGACCCGATGCCATCAATGGGCACACCGGCCGCGAGCCACTTCTTAACGTGAGCCACCATGCCCGTTGTGACCTTGGCGTAGCTGGCTGAGTCCAGGTTGTAGTCGTTGATGTACAGCTTGGCGTCGGGGTCGGCCGCGCGGGCTGCTTCAAAGGCGATGCGGACGAAGTCCTCGCCCAGCACCTGCGAGAAGACGGACGACCGCAGCGAGCCATCTTCGTTGAAGATCTCGTTTACCACGTCCTACCCAAGTTTGTAAGTCTGAATTCCGCTGAAGTAACGAGTGAGGTGATGAGAGAAAACCTACCCAGGCGTAGATCTTGCCCTTGTAACGAGTGACGAGCGTGGTGACGTGGTTCTGCAGAACCTGGGTCAGTTTCGCCTTGTCATTGATGCTGCTGACCCAGCCGGGGAGCTGGGAATGCCAACAGAGAGTGTGTCCACGGATGGCCACGTTGTTGGTCGTGGCCCAGTTGACGAGATAATCTGCCGTTGCGAAGTTGAAGTTGCCCTGGCTGGACTCGGTGGCGTCCCACTTCATGCTGTTTTCCGGAGTCACCTGGCCAAAGTCCGCCTTGATGACATCGGCCGACTTCCCAGTGCTCAGACGGTTCTGGTCGGTGCAGGTTCCATAGTACAGCTTCCCCTTTGCCTTGATCAACTTGTCGATGCTTGTGGGTGACTGCCTCTCGGCGAGCTCGGCTGGGGCGGCCAGAGCCGCCAACGGGGCGAGCAGGAGGACAAGTGCAGATCTCATCTTGACTCGGGTTCAGTCCAGATTGAAGAATATGAGTAAGGCGAGCTGAGTGCTGAGATCAACACTGACTAGCGGCGACGCCTGGACCTCTTGGTTTTATAAGGACGTCATGATGATCCACGGAAGGTCAACTCCATGAAGAAGTCAACAGATTCTTTGAACGCTTGTATTTCAAGGCTCCTTGACAGAAGAGGTTGCACCGGCAAAAGTGAAGAGCCTGGCTCTTAATCTCCAGCTGCGGACCTGACTCGCTCTCTAGCACCAACTCTATGTCTTTTCTCGACATCTCTATTGAATGATGCCGGAGTAGGATCAGATGCGTTCGGTGGCGACGGGCCGTAAATAATCAAAGTTGTATAGGGCTCGAACCAGCCCCAATGCGAATTGCGGCGTGCATGATGGAGAGTCCCAAGGTTGTATAATAGGCTGAAGTCGATACCGGCTTCGGGAACTATATTATGTTTCCAGATACGGATCATGCTCATTCGGAAACAAGCACGCGGCTCGATATCAGCTGTCTCGAGAAATCATCTGACTGGGCCGCCGGACGTACCGGGAATGATTCCTTCGAATTCCAGAGAGTAGCTGCATCGAATTGATGAGAAGACAACCATCCAGGGGCCGAATCGGACCTTGAAGGACGAAACAGTGAGGCCAGTGACCCGATTCCAAAAGCGTTTCACGAGGGATCCCCACTTCTTACTCCCTTGAGTACACCTGTGGCTGCTTTTTAAACAATTGACTTACTTTACCCAGGGCCGTGAGGACAAAAGGGCGGCATAATCAACGAGTTTCCCACTCGTGGCGTGAGATGTGTATAAGACGCAATCGCTTTAAGAAGTTGCTGATACGTCATCGGACAAATTCGGCAGCTAAAATCAACTCACTGTGCTACCATAGGCTCCCTTGACTAGGGATAACATGAATGCATAGAATGGTCGGCTCTAGACGCATGGCTATTATGCAATGTCAATCCTCGACTATTCGATCCGCAATAGAAACTTTCGCATTGTGCCTTGCCATTGGCTTCGTCCCAAGAAACGAGAACCAGGTTGCCGGCGATGCTTGAGACTTCGGCGCAAAAAGCTCGACTTTGAACACTTCCTTACTCAAGCATCCCCTGGAACCAGCTTTACCGCGATGCGTCTCGACCATCTCGTAGAACATAATAGAAGCGACACTGTAAACCCGCTCATCTCATGCAATCAAGTGGGGCGGTGCGTTCTGGTGACATACAGACATCGCGATGTTGAGGAAGTTGTGAAGCACCCACCTAACCAATGACCGTGAAGTTGAGTCTTGCAACGAGTCGATCGCTTCGCATGAGTGCTCCTATGATCGAGCCCGCGGAGAAGCGAAGTTGAATACAGACGATTTCAGTGAATGAAACCGGACGCCCGCCAAGGCAGCAGGAGGAGGTGTAAGTGACGATCGCTGCTCAGCCTTTCCTAAAAGTTGTACAGTTGCGTCACCCCCAAGCCGTACTTGGTGGTGCGGACCAACCCTCGTTATGGCCTGATAGTCTGGACGGGCGAGGGGTCCCCAGGTCTGGAAACAACAACAAGGAGTCGTCGACTAGACCAGACATGATTTAAATTTTTGCTTCACACAATTTCAGGTTTCTGCCACCAACCTCCGTGATTAGTACGCGACGTCCTTCGATTAAAGCACCAAATATAGGAGCTCCGTTGTAGCCCTGTGCGAAAAGAGAGATCCTGGCTCCCCAGGAAAACGCTCGATCTAAATTGATTGCAGCTTTAGGCTAGCGAAGACCGGAACAACCCCTGTAATTCCGCGATTGACTGATCTGGGGTACGACAATGGTCTGACGGATTGTCTGTCGTCACAGGTGCCGCAAAAGGGCTCGGTCAGAGCCAGGACGGAGTGGGAAGGTGAGGAACGGAACAAACGGTTGTTTGAGCGAGAGGCTCTAGCTGCACAGCGAAGTTTGTTTGTGTCTTATTCCTTCCATTCACTGGCGGTCGGTGCGACACACGCCGCCGGGCCATTATGGTGCCGCGCAACGAAGACCAGCTGAGGCGGCCGCCACCCAACCCACGCTTACTTTCGATCCAATCCATCGCATCTAAATACTCGTTTCGTTCACACTCATCTTCTTTCGAGGCCGACGATGAGCGCTCCACCACAACAGAATCCATAATGAGCCCACGAGGCAGCATCGATGGTGGTTACCCGTCTGGCCGTTATCAGGGCGAGGACAGTCGGCACACCAGTGAGAAGGAGCTCGCTGGTTGGTACATGTATGCATTTGCTGCAGAGACCTACGTTATTTGCGGTACGTCTTGGGGTCCCGTCTTGACTCTAGTCGCTTTGATTTCCGATTTACTGACTGATAATGTATTGCAGCTATCTGTAAGGACCCCATTATTTTCCACGCAAGCTGGCAGGGTGCAGCTAGTGCATCACCAGGCTTGCCTTTGACCGATGCTTCAAACTTACATACTTGACTGTAGCTTCATTCATCCCGATCCTCCTAGAGAGTCTTGCGCGAGACAATGGCGTGCTCCTCTCCGACCGAACGACCCCCTGCGGTGACAGCTCCGTGAAGAAGCCCAAGGGCGAAGACGCCCAATGCATCGTACAAATACTAGGGTTGGACATCAACACGGCGAGCTTCGCCATGTACACCTTCTCCATTAGTGTTCTACTTCAAGCCCTGCTGGTCGTGTCCATAAGCTGTGCGGCCGACCACGGGAATTACAGAAAGCGGTTGCTTTTGTCATTTGCGTGGGTCGGCAGTGTCTGCGTCATGGCATACATCTTCATCAACAAGAATGTCTACATCCTCGGCGCTGTTCTGGCCATCGTCTCCAACACGTGTTTCGGCGCATCATTCGTACTACTCAACTCGTTCCTCCCCTTATTGGTCCGCCATCATCCTCGAGTTTTATATGCCGAGCCGATCGCTCCCAATCTCCAAAATCCCGATTTTGAAGAGCCACAATGGCAGGAGGACTCTCCCAGGGGCCGAGCACACTCACCGACCGGCTCAACTACTGCTCTGCTGCCCCCCGACAACGCTATCTCCGAACGCAACGAGTTATCAAGGTCACCCACACATTCCGAGCTTACGTCAATAGAACTTCAACTATCAACTGAGATCTCAGCCAAGGGTATCGGTATAGGGTATGGGGCGGCTTTATTTGTGCAGTGCATCTCTATTGGAATTTTAATCGTCATGCAAAGCTCAACTTGGGGACAAAGGATTGTCCTTCTGTTCATTGGCACCTGGTGGACGATTTTCACAATTCCAGCTGCCTTGTGGCTGAGACCGCGGCCCGGGCCTCCGTTACCTAATAGCGGAGGGAAGGGGACGTGGGCATGGATATCGTATGTTATGTACGCCTGGAAGAACCTGTACCGGACGGTCAAGTTGGCACGCCGACTTGTTGATATTGTCCTCTTCCTGACAGGGTGGTTCTTGCTCTCCGACGCCATCGCCACCACGTCGTCAACAGCAATCCTCTTCGCGAAAACGACTTTAGGGATGAAACCATGGGCGCTGGGTATGATCAATGTCATCTCAACGACCACAGGCGTCATCGGCGCCTTCGGCTGGTCCTTCGTGTCGAGATACTTCAAACTTCAACCTCACCAGACAATTCTGGCATGCATAGTGCTGTTTGAACTCATACCTATATATGGTCTTCTGGGGTATCTGCCTTTTGTGCAACGATGGGAAGTCATAGGGCTGCAGCAACCTTGGGAAATGTACCCATTGGCCGCAGTTTACGGCTTGGTGTTGGGCGGCCTCAGCTCGTACTGCCGGTCGTTATATGGAGAGCTCATTCCACCGGGCTCGGAAGCAGCGTTCTACGCCCTGTACGCTATAACGGACAAGGGCTCGAGTGTCTTCGGACCCGTTATAGTGGGTGCCATTATCGATGCATCTGGCGACATACGACCCGCTTTCTGGTTCCTGGCCGTGCTGGTCGGCCTTCCAGCCTTCTTCATCTACTTTGTTAACGTCGAGCGGGGCAAGTTCGAAGGGGAGAAGCTGGCCGAGGTCATTGAAGGCTTTAAAAGCCACGAGGAATTCGATTCGCCTGACGACGGGCAGGTCAATGGTATGCTTGCTTCTTATGATGGCGATGACATGGAGGATGAGATGGAAAGGTGAGCACAGCTCATGCAAATTGGGATAGTAGAGGCGCGGTGAATCGGTGGCAGACGGGGAACAGACGCAGAATCCTTGTATTCCTGCATAGCGACGGCGTTGGGAACTACGTTATGGTTACTACGTTATGGTTGGAATTAGTCCCCATGATGATAATTGTCGCAATTGTCGCACATGTCTGTCTATACATGGATTCGCCACATTCCTGAATCCCAGGAACCAGCCGACAAGCTGTAACCCGTTGAGTGATGCAAGTTTCGCAACACAACTCGCGCAGTATGCAGCTCGGCAGCACGCAATCGTTGGAAGCGGCACAACTGAACGCTGTGTAGTTACTGAAGCAGACAGCAGCTGAGTGACAAACTGCTGGTGCTCTTGGGGGTTCTATTTCGTACGAAGCACTTACGCATTCATCGACTGTGGAAAATGACAGTTGTCTTCTCTGTTTAAGGCTTTCCCAGCTTATCAGCTTGTCGATTTGTCAATTTGTCAATTTGTCCAATCACACCTCCGAGTATTGATCTAGATGCTCACAATTCTCCGGCTTGTGGTGTGTTAGTGTAATGGTTTCTAATAATTGTCCGTCTCTTATTACCGCAACTAGCGGGCGCACCTAAGCCGCCTTGTCCTTCCCAAGGCAGTTAGTCTGGACGAAATAATCACATGACTCGGGCGTGCAATTTTTCTTGCCGACTCTGCAAAAAGCTGCGTGGCTGAGGACTGGTAATAACGCGATCGCGACACCTCATCGCCCCGAAAAAGAAAGAGGACCTACAATAGCTAGAATTTTGAGTCCCGGGGGAGGAGACTCTCACCCATCATCCCCAGCCGGCCCCAGACGCCCTGCCTCTGTCGCATTGCAGCGCCCTCGTGAGTCGAGCTGTTATAAGGCCATACGAAGGACTTCTTTTCTGCGAGGGTTTTTTTTTTCCGTCGGGATCTGGATTGGGGACAGCTCCCAGTTCTGTGCATCATCACGCCAAGTGTGCTGATGCTCCCTTCCCCCGCCACCGAATTCTAGTTGATGGTTGACGACAATCCGATTCCATTCCCTTATCGCGACCCGACTTCAACCCCATTCACGACCACCACGTACTCCAAAGCGATACACTCTAGCTATAATCCATTACCGACGGTTACTTTTTTTAATATCATCTGCGTTCAGCGTTGTATTATCACATTGCGCTCGAAGCCCAGCTGTTGCGACACGGTCAAACAGTTACCCTGTGCCGCGCAATCAACTAGCTCAATCTCATCTCTACCCAAACTCAGCGTCCTTTTATTTTCCTACGCGAATTAGCCCATTCGGTACAACGACGACTCCCGCGGCTTCCACAATGGCGACCGCTAAGAAGCGACCGAGGGGCGATGCCGAGGAGAGTCAGGCAGAATGTCCATTTAAGGTCGAGCATCCCAGTCCTGGCGAGAAAGAGAAGAAGCAAAAGAAGCGGAGACGACAGGATTCGGAAGACCAGCCCCAGCCGTCGCCCAAAATGCCCCTGCAGGTATCGCCCTTCTCGCCGACAGGCAAGTTCAAAGACCCTAATAATACCATGGACCGGCACTACATGGTGGCGCCAAATCCGCGATGGACAGATATGACGAGGTACAATAGCTTTGTCTGTACGTATCCGTGTTTGTTGCCTGCTTTTGATCCGGAATGTCGCGACTAAATTTGTAACCAAACACACAGTGAACGGCGTCAAGTATTACAGCGAAGGTTTCATCTTCGTTGCAAACAACTCGACCATCGAGAGGCAACGTAACCCGGGCGAGGCGATGCAACCTAGGAAGAAGTCGGACGACGACTGGGTAGCGCGGATTCTCGAAATCCGAGCAAGTGATGAGCATCACGTTTACGCCCGCGTGTACTGGATGTACTGGCCGGATGAGTTGCCACCTGGGACACAGGACGGCAGGCGCATGGTGCAGGGACGGCAGCCATATCATGGGGTTAACGAACTCATTGCCTCCAATCACAGTAGGTTGCCATGCCCTATGCTGCGTTGTCGCCAGCTAACCTCCCAACAGTGGACATCATTAATGTGGTAAGTGTGACAGCAGCAGCAACGGTGAATCAGTGGGATGAACAAAATGAGGATGAAATACAGTCTGCCCTTTACTGGCGTCAGGCTATTGATGTACGGACTATGGAGCTTTCGGTATGTTCTTCTCTCCCGGTGCCCGTTGCGCATCATGGATGCTGACCACTTGTGTACTGAATAGTCTGTCGAACTTCGATGCAAGTGTAACCGCCCAGAGAACCCAGACAAGATATTGGTCGGCTGCACCAACGATTATTGTAAGAAATGGCTCCACGATGACTGCTTGGTCCACGGAGCACTACTCGACACGTATAAGCGACTCGGGGCCGACAAGCCGCACAAGCCATCCGTGGTTAAGGAAGAGGAGGGCGACGGACCCAAGCGACCTCTCAGTCCGAGCGAATCGGGTGCCGGCCAAACTACACAACAGTCCATTGATGTTAAGCCCGAGGAGCAAGGGACCATCAAGCTGGCCGATGTTGAAAACAACCCCACTGCTCTCGACGTGGAGGACCTCACAACGATTCCCGTGGCATCGGGCAGCTCAGAACCAAAGAAACGCGGACGGCCCCGTAAGTCGGAACCCGGCGATCCTGGTACATCAAAACCATACGAGGGGCTGTTTGAGGCCGTCATCAGAAACGACCTCGTCCCACCAGTGGTTGAGATTAAGGATCAGCGGCAGAATGTCGACGGCGGAGATAAATCCTGGACTGAACCTATCCGCTGCCTTATCTGTCACCATGTAATTCACTAGTCCCGAATTGCTGGACAGCCACATCTTTATCCACCTGTTTTCGCAGTTCCAATAGACCCGGCACCTGCGGAGGCAGCCGCAGGGACACCTTCAGACGTGCCTACTACCTCTTTACAGCATCCTCGAGCTCACGCAGATTAGCCGCCCGGGTTTTATCATCATCGATTAATCTATAAAAACTCCTCATACGTCGTATATACTCTTGATCCGCGTCCATCACATTGGCATTCCCCACCATCCAGGATTCCACCATTTTTCGCGGGGCGTTTAGGGGAGAACATGATACCCTGCATTTTTTTGCGGGGGCCAAAGTTCCGAGGGAGCTTTATATCCTACAGCTATGATGACGACGTTCAGTTATTTTGTTTCTTTTGGTTTTATGCAGAGAGGGAAATTCTGGGAGGAGGCTGGTGAAGGGAGGGAGTGACTGGCTTGGCTGACTGGACGAGTGAGTTGGCAACACGGGTGCGGCTAGAAATAGCGGTGCTTTTGAGAGAGAAAGGTGCGGCGTCCATTAGGTGCAAAAATTGAGCAGGGAGAAGTTCTACCAAGATTGAAGGAGATGGTGAAGCAGAGCAGGGCAAAGCAGATGAAGAACGCGCTTGCTGGGACGACCGGTGATGGCAGCCGTGAAGAAAGGAGGTCGATCAGCGGCATCAAAACGGGCATGGCGGTTTTGTACGGGTAGGGAGACAAAGGAGACTGGATCGATGACGACTTTCTTGAGAGATTCAGGTTGGTATTCACACCTTTGAGTGTATATATTTATCATCATACTTCAACCTATTTCCTCTTGGTCTTAGGTGTAGAAGTGATGTGCGTAGACTTTATTACAGTCTGGGGACGATATTATCATAAATAGTGAATAATAGATTCTGGCCGGCCATGCGTGTTTTTTGGCTGCTCTGTGAGTAGGGGCTTTTCTTTCGATTGAGGCTCATAAATTTCACACCTCGTTGAGTCGTGAGCCAAGCTATAGTTTAGGGGAATGGGGGCCAGGGGGGGAATTGGCTTGAGAACTTTACGTTCTACTTGTCATTGTTACATGAGATATAACTTTATAGCCGTGTCACCCTATGGTATAGCAACAAGTGAACAAAAGGTAGTAAGATAGCTACAGCCTATGCACATTGAGGAAAAGGTGGCCTGTTGGATTACCTGAAAAGTACTCTCTCTTGATCAATTGTTTCCTGTAGTACTGAAGCAAGAAGTAATCGGAACCATATCACTACCTTATATGGATAATAAGATGCTTTAAAAGTAGTGTAATGACAGGTTCAAAAATCTGATAAGGTATTGGTTCACTCGGGGCGCACTATGGCTTGCACCCAATTTCTATTTTTAATTTGTCCTCGAGCGATGTGAGTAGTTGCGCAAATACTATCTCTCATTGAGTAATTTCACCGAATCTGGATACAGGGCCTGTACAAGCGTAAGCGGCGCCACACAAATGCATTTTCTACCCGATTGGGTAGTTGTACCCAACTGAGACGTAAGGCCCGTAGGCTCCTATACGACTATCTAGGCATACGTTTCAATCGCAGGCATCCGTCTAATAAGTATTCAACCGGGCTGCCCAGGGGTAGGCAGCCAGTTAATTATGAGATTACTTAACGCAGATTTAGAATTCAAGTTTTTCTCACCTCAGCAGAACCGATTCTTGCACTGAGGAACTCGGGAGAATAAGCAACTATGGCAACGCCAAAGTACCCGGATAGAACCAAACAATCCCCATTCGAACGGCTCAGGGGAGCTCGATATGTGTCGACGAGTTTTGTTTACCGAGCGCATCTAACCGAGCCTCTTGAAGATGGCGCAATAGACGTTGCGAAGGCCATATGACAATCCAGCCTGCCAGTAAGCTAATTAATCGCAGACCGTTGCATATGGAATGTATTGTTAGAACGCCCCAATGCTACCTCTACGGTGACGAAACCAATACTCAAACTCAAGGATGCCTTCCGAATGGGATTAATTTAAAGCTGTGCGCTCTCGAAAACTTCTCATCGCCGGGACCCGAGTCTTTTCGGTCGCAATACCATCAGCGTGGGTGATTTTCTTTTGTATCATTGTTTTAGAAGCGATTACTGAATGCTTGTGTTACATCCTGCTCCCGAATCCGAATACCCCCATTCAAGAAGAGGGGACATCTTTATCTTCGTCGTCGACTGGGAGATGGCGCAACTGGAGGTGACAAGTCTGGAACGTGGCGAGATGGTTGGCGAAATGTACGCCATGTGGCTATATTAGAAGGTGGATGCTGGACTATGGATGGTGCAAGGCCATGCGGAGGGATTGGAAAGACAAGCTGGTATGTCCATTAAAGTTGGTTGCCATCTCTTAAGACTTTCTATGGTCACTCCGGGCTGGGGGACACCGCATCAAATTGAGAAGGTAAGGGCTTGCAATATGCATACATGATTTGCGTATTATTTTTCCAGCAGAGCTTGCATCTGAAAATTGAACAGCATCGGTGCAGTGAATGACATTCATTTTGTTGTTGTACAAAGCTTCGTGGAGTTTTCTCTTCTTGTTTTGTATCTTGCGGAGCCTGTTCATAAGTACGCAGCACAAAAATATATTCAAACCATCGTCCCTTGTTTGTAGCAAGCCAAATCTCTCATCACCCAGAAACACCAGCACTCAATAACAATGAATCTAGAACCGTATTCTCGCTGGCCAAAGTCAGACTGGTAGCTCCAGTGACTTTCTGTCCAACATCGTAAGATCCATGCATCAAAACTAAGCCGCTCTTCGAAGTGATCATAGTCAGCGTGACCTCAGCCCTTACAATCTGAGGTCCCAGCGTCAGAGGTCGCGAGACTGGTGCGGCAACCTTGAGTACCAAGGCTTTGGGAGACTTCCCGGAAGCCAATTTCTTTCCGGTGATGGAAAAGGTGTAGTACATGGTTACGCCGTACTCCTTGCAGGTTCCTTCCCCCGTACTGCCGAAAGCTGACAATCCTTCTCCGGGTTCGGCCGGGACTGATTGGACTCTGAAGCTCAACTCCCCAGGACACCGTGTTGAACATCCGACCAAACAAGTCGATATATACTCAAGCACCACAGGGGGTCGAATACTCCTCGGGTGGTATCGAAGTTGACGACGCCATTTGTGTTGGTCGGAGTCCCTGCAGATTCGGGACTGACCTCAGGGAATCCGCCGTGATGGACTGAGCCCAGCGTGTGAACACATGCGATAAGACCGATCGAATCGACCTCATCGAAACCGGCTCTCCCAAAACTCCTCGAGCGTTTCTTCCAGACTAATTCCCGGCTCTGGTACTCCAATTCTTGGGTCGACTTGAGTGGCGTCGATTCGACCGGGCTAGTAGGGGATCTCCTTGCCGCCGCATAGGTTGACTGACGTGACAGTTCCAAGCGCGACAAAGTCGGCGACTAACACCGAATTTAGCAGAAGAGGCATCTCGCGCCCAAGGGTCGGAACAACCTCACCATGCCAACCTGGTGAGCTAGGGTTGGCGTGTATATACACCAATACCCCCACCATTCTTGACTTTGGTTGCCAATGCTAACCTCACCGGAGGCCCTGGTTGGGCAACCTGATTGGTTTATGGTCACCGAGGCTCAAATAGCTATTTTGACCGTACTGGGGGTCTGACAGCCTTAGTATTAGGCAAGTTGAAGGTGCTGGAGGTCCTTGCCAGCCCTATAGGACCCCTTGTAAGGCGTATTAGCTTGCAAATATCTACAAAATGCCTCTTATTCTAGCATTGTTCTAACGCTTAAGCCGCTGCCATTATGCTATGGAGGGTCTAATTTCCCCTACTCCCGGAGGCTTAAGAGCACTTTTTCCAGTATTTCCGTGCATTCACTTTCTCCGAACGCGATAAGGCCTTCTCATCATAGGCGTGGACCTATAGCCATAATATCCAGAAGGATATGAATATAAGCGGCTATTTTCATCTGCCAGTAGAATGGTCACTTCACAGCGGCCAAGCCTTGACGCCGGTATCACTAGTTGGTCAAAATCACCAGCGTTTTGCATTGCAGGGCGCCCTCTATGCAGTGCTGCAAATCTTGGCCTTTCTATAGGCTGGGTCATTCGGACTACTCGTCAATAACCCTGCTGCGAGATCCAGTATATTGGCAAGTGCTGAATAAGCTTACCACATGAGGAACACTTGCCGTGAAAATTGAGTGTGGTAGCAAGGGATGAGATAACTTTTCATCAACAATCATGGTCTGGCCCACGCCACTATCACAGAAATCCCAAAAGGAGGCTTGTCACGATCATTTGAGAATAAGACCTGCTATAACTCTTAATAAAACCATCAAACCCGGTATATAGACATGTTCTCATCCACGACGGTTACGCATAGGTATGAAGCCAAAAGTCTACCTTCACGCGCTTTCAACCGAATTCAGTAGGTCTGAACGATCCCGGACATATCCAGCCAGCGCTGAGGGACAGGAACCAAGTGGTAGTGGCTATGCACAGACTATATCTGACATATCCTGGCATGGTAAATGAATTTCCTGTGGGCAATGCAGGCAAGAAAATTGTATTGGTGTTGATGATGATGGGCCTAACTCCTAGGAGTCTGCCGCTACGGGAGGGCTATGTATGGGCAGTTGGCCTGAGCAATGCACCCAGCACATATCCGACGTGCAGGAGGCACGTAACACTTAGTCATTCCCATGGGCCATAAGAATCCCATTGACGAATATGGCCTTTAATTGCTCTAAAATACTCCAAGAGATGATATAATTATCTGGCTTGATAGCTAAGGAGAATAAACGTTACTGCATGCCTAACTTCACCGGTACAAATGATGGAAGTATGATGCATCTACCAGCACAGAGCCCAGGTCACAATGTGAGGATAATGCTTCTCGAGTATATCTTGCACCACCCATGACCTATGGAGTTTGGCACACTATTCCACAGGTTACGATTTTATTTGTGTCTCTGGTTTAGGGACTCCTAAAGGACAATATTTTGAGAGAAGGACATGAAGAGCAGTTTGAATCTCAATCACAAACGCCGCAGCATCGAAAATTAGTTCCTACAACCCCCTAGAAATTTCCGAACTCCTTCCCAAAGCCAAAAATTACTGCCCGCTGTAATCCATGGCTGTTGGGGACTGGTACTGCTGCTTGTCCCCACCAGCGTGCATCAGCAGCTCTCGCTGCGTAGCTTCCTTGTCCTGCTGAACGAGATCACAGACGCCACAGCAGCAAGCTGTGGCGATATCGACGAGGCAGCTTCCCTGCAAGTGGTACCTGTTGCGGATATCCGCGCGCTGCATCGACATGGGTATCCAGTGCAGACCGACACAGGCGGAGCCAAAAAACATGAGGCACTGCCGTCTCAGTCAGTAGATGGTCATTTAGAGAGAAAATTTGTGGAACAGAGTCCGGGAGCGAAGTGCGTACAGAGGTGTTGATAGGATCATAACCCTGAAGGTTGGCATCCTTGCGGATGCGGTGATGCGTCTTGCCAAAGGTGACGCAGGGCAGACACCATGTCATCAAGCAGAGGTCTATGGGGTTGAAGCAGCCAAAGAGGGAGTTGGTCCAGGGCTGGGATCCCTCGGGGGACTTGGAGTTGACGTGGTCGTTGGGCTTGGCTAGGACTTCGTTGAAGCGGTTCTTCCAGTCGTTGATATCTTCGTCACTGATGGGACCGTTGCTGTTCTGGGCTGAGGCGGCCATGTTTGAGCGAGCGAGTGAAGTTAAAGAGCGGCACGAAAAGTGGGATTACTTGAAGAGAATCAGGGTACCTTGAAAAATATAAATGAGTGGATGAGCGTCAAGTTGTCCTGAGGAAAAGAGGAGCGCATATCGAGAATATTTATGAAGCCTAAGACAAACCCACAGGGGCATGAGTCGTCTAGCCAGCCGTGGTCTATTCTTGATCTTCAAGCCCGTTCAGGAGAATGTGGATACTGCAAGTTACCATCGATTCCCCAGACCGTTTTGAGAACCCCGAAATAAGGTGGCGTCAGCCATGCATCCAAACCATTGGACACGTTTTGGTGCTTCTCAACGCCAGGGCTGAGCATGGGGCTTGGAGCTGACTTTTCAAGGTTTGCTTGACTGAAAATTCCTTGTTTTAGCGACGCAAGGACGTGTTCTCCCTGATGCTAAAAGTGTCAGTCATCTCGATATCGGGATCTTATATACAAGCTTCTGCCGCTGGCAGTAAAATGCATAGGCAGTCAGAAATGTCCCTACATTCAGCCGCATCCGAACTGAGCGTGGAGGTCCCGCATGACTGTGGCGGAACTGCGGCATGACCGTGCGGTGGAACTACTTAGCTAGCCTTTGCATCAATATCCCTTGTATAGGACTTCGATTAGCTAGTGGCATGAGGCAGGCAAGGATTTCCTGAAGTCGGGCTTTATATGGCTTGAACTGGTGCCAACTCCTACAAGTTATGACACATATAGACAGACTATAAAACCAACTCGCATGTGCTACTTCTCGAAAGCCGCAGCCTGGTTCATGTGCCGCAAAATGGGGGGATGTGTCAGTATTTCCGTAGGAATTTGAGCATGGTCCTGTCCCCCAAGCTCCAGAAGTGCTACCCGTTGGCTCGAGATCTAGATATAAGCAAGCCCCTTAGACAATTTGCCTCCCTAGACGGACGTTCGATGCCGGCGTTGGGATCATCCCATTGGCAAGAAGGAGATGTGCTTTCCGTCTAAAGTATTACCCTGCAGATTACCACCACATGCTGATTGAAATGGCAGCTGGGGCACAAACAACTGTTATCTGAGACATGACGGCCACCCAATGCTACGGTCCAAAATATTGCGTTCAGTATGCGTCGCCTTGGACCACGAAGAGATTGGATGCACGTCCTCGAGAATGTCAAGGTTGCGGAGATCCAGAAGCTCTCACAGTATGACGGGGAATTGAGGAGAGAAGCCGGATGGCCGAAGATGGTAAAGAAAGGGTATACGGGAAAGATGGAGAGGATAAGAGCATGACTGGTTGGGAGCGGTGGCGTCAACTAACGACTAGCTGGTTGTCAATGTTTGTGAATCCTGAACTTTGAGGTCGTAGTTTACTTGCATGGAGAAAATTTAGCATTTCTGACAGAAATCAAGGGTCAGAGGAAGAGCTTGGATTATTCAGAATATTTTGTATAACAGCGCTATTGTGGATCGCTCCTCACCCGAAAGTGGCCCAGGAATGGCAATGCTACATCGGTGGGCTGCTTGTTGAATGTAGCTACCATATTTCAGAGTATTTCCACAAGCCTGAATTTGTTCTCGCATGCTTACACGATCCCTCGACGTGTTTACCACTTACTAACCCTCCCACACCCAATTTTGGTTGACCCCGTCTCCATTCCTCCTCAACTTCTTCAGAGCATACCCATAATCCCCCTGGTTCGGCGTCCGCAACAACGTGTGTATGTGAAACCTCTCCGGCTGTCCATTCGCCAAAAACACCCCTCCATGGTGATCAAACTCGACCACAATCACCGGGCTCTGTATCCGGTAATAAAACGCATCGTCGTCCCCCCACCCGCCAATCCAGCAGAAATACGTCTCCCCAAAATGCCTCTCCACATCCTTGACCTTGAGCTCCCTCGCGCGTTTCGGTAAATACAGAAAATACTGGTTCAGAATCCCATGAACAAGCTCCTTCTGCCCCGCCGATAGATTATCGACTACGATGCCCTCATACGGAACAATCCGATTATCCCGGTACGCACCGAGCACATGCCGCTGGTCGTCGTGGTTCCACCGTCCCTTGGGCATCTTCTCATCTTTCATCTTCTCATAGATCCTTGCCTTTTCCTTCTCTTCCGCACTTAAGCTCTGCATCAACTGCAACCCCAACCGCTCCTCCTCATGCAGGATCCGCGTCCCCTTGTACGGCCCATCATCAATCAAGTTCGGCTCTGCGCCCGTGAACCACGGACTCACGACGATCTGCGACCCGTACAGAAACACGGACAGACAGAGGTGATGGCCGTAGAAGCTGAAGCCCCAGGGGTTGGTCGTGGAGGGCGTCCCGAAGACGCACCAATTGTACGAGAACTCATTCATTACCTTGGAGGCGTGCACGAGCTCACCTAGGAAGTGGTTCACGCGCATGGCACCGATGGCTTTTTCATAGCCCTCGGGTGAGAGGGTCGTTTCCAGGACTTTGAGCACGGAGGCGCGTAGAGGCGCGGCAATCTCGTCGAGCCGGATGCCCTTGTTGGAGATGAGGAACTCAGGGTTCGACCATGTGCGCCATTCGGGCGAGTCGATGTGCAAGAGCGTTTTGGTCTTCTGCTCGGGTGTCAACTGGCTTAGGACGGTTTCAGTGGCGGATACGATATCTGCAATCGGGACGCCTTCGTCCCGGAGCTCGAACAAGTCGGGTCTTGGGGTTCCTATGTCTTGATGAGTTATGAGACCCTTTCCCATTAGGCGACTGGGTGCACACCATCCGTAGTGACACCCCGAAATGGCTCCTGGAGCAGTTCCTTCCAATGCATCACTAGTCCATACAGCCATGGCGGCCTCTGGAGTTCTAAAAGCTCTGCTGAGTGAGAATAGGCATCACATTCGACGAGGCGTGTGAAGCGGGGCGTCGAAAGGTCCGGGAGGTAGTCGCGAAAGCTTTTGGACTTCGCAACCTGGGCTTGATTGCTGGCCATGGTGAGTGAATAGCTGGTATGAAAGATGATTTGGTATGAAGATGGATGGTGATGGAAGAGTTCGACCGAGACGAGTCGAGTTTTCTTAGCCCCTCGCGATGGAATTTCTGGACAACCTGTAACCCGTCTTCTTAAGTTCGCTGCAAGGTGTAAAGATAGCCGTAGGTTGACTTAACACAGTCTCCGAGAAGCACCTAGCTTGCGCGGGTTCAACGAGCACACGAAGTTGAGTTTCAGAGCATGACATGAAGTCGGTCCTTGATTTTAACCCGACCCCATTCCCCAAGCGCCCCCCGCAGCGCATAGTCAATGGCGCGACATCGTGTGTTGTGGGGATGAAGCGGGGTTACCCGTCGTCCACCACAGGGAGAGATCTCGGCATCGTGGGCAGTTCATTCGGCCGCAGGACCAATGACGCAGCTTCTGGAAGTGAATGCCTCGCCTTGGTCTTTGCCAGCCGACAAATGGCTTACGTTTTATAGTTTCGAGCGTTCTGCATCGCCCCTCAACCAACTCCACCCCGAGTTCGACGGCTTTAAAGTGGTGAAGCCATGTCGGTCAAATTCATTCCCCATCGCCTATTTGTAGGGTCTATCTCATACACACATCCCGTGTCCTTTTCTAGCCTATGCGTGATGGCCTATACCAATGTAAAAAAATCAGCCACCTTCGAGATGACTCCGTGCCCCGTGCCTTTCCCCCATCTCCCTTTGTACAATGCGAAAGTGCAACCCAGAGTTCTGATAATATACACACATGAGTGGCCCTGAGCAAGATAAAAGACGAGACCTAGAAGCGACCCTATCGCTTTCGTGTGTCTTTCCCTTTCTTGCTCTTGCCCTTCTTTTTATCCCGTGGCAACTCCAAAGGCGTGCCCTCGAGCAGTCGCGCCATAGTGCCCAACATGAAATCATCAATGTTTTTTACACGCTCCCCCCATGCATTAAGCTCGATTTCGACATCTTCGGCCGACTGGTCATAAAGACCAAGATTGGACTTTCCCACTCCAGGGGCGGCGGACACTTCTCTCGTAGTTGGCGTACCCTGCCTTGCACTTGACGTTCCAGATGCGGACACGATAGGCGCCTTCTCGTCAAAGTCGGCTTCGTCTTCCTGGATCTCTTTCTCCGCCACGCGTGCAGCATCAACATCCTCACGGTCCTCGGCTTGTGCCAACACTTTGCCAACAGCTCTATCGCCACCCCCTGTTGATTCGGCACCACCTAGCACACGATCCATAGCATCACCCGCGACATCAGCGGCGGCTTCGTCGCCAACGCCGCGCATAACGTCCGCAACCGAAAGTTTATTGAAGTAATCAGTGGTGAAGCCACCTTCTTGGATGACGACATCATCAAGCATCTGCTTCTGGCTAGCCTTGCGAAGAATGTTGGCCTCAATGGTATGTTCGCTGACAAGACGATATATGTGCACATCGCGTGTTTGGCCAATACGATGGCAGCGGTCCTGGCATTGCTTGTCCATTGCGGGGTTCCAATCTTGGTCGTAGAAAATGACTGTGTCTGCGCCCGTTAAATTGATTCCCAAACCACCAGATCTTGTGCTGAGGATGAAGGCCAGGATGCGTGGGTCATTATTGAAACGGTCCGTCAGAATTTGACGCTGCTCAACCTTGGTGGCGCCATCAAGTCGCAGGTACTTGTGACCATGAATATTGAGGAATTGCTCCAGAATATCGAGGACTTTGGTCATTTGCGTGAAGATGAGAGCACGGTGGCCACCTGATTGTAGCTTTCGCAACAGACGATCGAGGGCTTGGAGTTTACCACAGTCGTACTGGAGGAGGCGGTTGTCGGGAAACTGGATACTGAGGCGCATGCGAGCTTCGTGCCATGGATCTGGTGGAGGCTCTTTGGGCATGAACGGAGCGTTGGCGTAACGGACGGGTGCCGAGAGCTTTAGGTCCACCTCGTTGAATGCGTTGACACCCTCAGAGCCGATCACGAATCGATCCATGTCTCTCGTCACCACAGCCGGGGTGATGCAGGCAAACTTGGAGATGATGGATTTCATCGATGCAGATCGCTGGTCCAAGCTGTAAACCATGGATCGCAGAACTGGCGAGTCCTCTTCAAACCATGCCATGATTTTTGCGGGAACTTTGGGCCGTGGCTTGTAGGGGCGTTCATCTACGCCTATGGTCAAGGCGTCTCGCAGCCGTTTGCCGTAAATTGGACGTTGCTGTCGCCGAAGTGCGTTGAGGTAAACGCAATGCTGAAGCTCTTCGAAACGACCCCATCGAGCGGCGCTTTCGAGATAGACTATGTTCGACTCGACAGTAGAAGGGTCCAAATTGGTGTAAGCGGCCTGAGATCGTGTTTTCTGAGCTTCCCTGAGGTCCATGAGTGCACGATGAGAGCTTAAATGTGACACGAGCTCACACGCAGTTTTCGACAGCCCTTCGTGCTCCGTGGGAATGAAGTTGAGGAAGCTTAAGCTGACAGTGCTCATGGGGTTTTCTCGGAGCAGCTTTTCCTTGAAAAGGCTGTTTGTAGAAGCGTACTCGCCGATAACAGAAGTATATTGTCGGAAAGAAGTCATGATGGGGCGTTCGACAAACAGATCAGGATGGTTGCACACTTTGCGCAGCTGCATCAGACAGTTGATGACCGAGATATAGTTCCCAGATGCGAGAGCCTCCCGTGTGTCAGTGCGAGCCAGGAATCCATCGTACAGCTCTCGTTGTCGTCGAGACAGGCGGCAAAACTCAACGTGTTCATACTTGCCCGGCATCTGCTTCTCGACGTCTGCTTTAAGCCGACGTAGAAGATAGGGCCGCAGAACCTTGTGAAGTTTTGCAATAATCGCTCGGGCTTCGTCGTCCATTTGCTCCCTTCCACTTTCCAAAATTTGGGATTCTGGCTTGTGAAACCAGTCCTGAAATTCCGCCAGGTCAGCAAAACCGCCAACGCCATTCTCGGACGGCATTAAAAAGAACAATAGTGACCAGAGTTCGGTCAGATTGTTCTGAAGGGGTGTTCCTGTCAATAATAGTCTAGCTCGAGTGTTGAAACCTAGGAGGGTCTGCCATCGTTTGGACTTGAAATTTTTGATGTTATGAGCCTCGTCTAGGATCATGTAGTGCCATTGTCGGCGCTTGAATACTTGCTGGTCTTGAAGAACAATCTGGTACGACGTGATGCAGACATTCCACATATCGTCAGTCTTCCAGCCGTGACGCTTCCGCTTGCGTTCCTCTATGCTGCCATAGTAGGATAAAACTTTGAATCCCGGGCACCACTTCTTAAACTCCATTTCCCAGTTGAGCATAACACTAGTCGGGACAATGACTAGGTGGGGGCCCCAAACTTCATGATGACCAGCGAGATGTGCAAGGAGGGCGATGGTCTGGATGGTCTTGCCGAGACCCATTTCGTCCGCCAGGATGCCGTTTGTCTTGTTCTGGTACAGCCCAGCCAGCCAATCTAAACCATAATGCTGGTATTCACGTAGGTTGCCACGCAGTAGGAAGGGCACTTCTGTACTAGGAACCTGAGCCTGTGGAGACGTGGACCTGCTCACGCCAGACTTGATCACGGAAGATGCAGTGTCAGCGTCTGAAGGTTTGCTGTCGGTAGTCCGTGGCGACTGACTAGGATCGCGGCTGGCTGTGTTTGTCGTGATATCCGTCCCGGGACTAGTCTGGGTGGCGTCCGGAGGCGCTGTCACTTCAACACTTGGGACTGCTGCTGTTCCCTCGGCAACGTTTGTAGTGGATGTCTTGTTGCTACTTTCCTGGCGTGCCAGTTCGGTGGCGTTAAGCATCTCCATTTCCACATCTGCCGGCTTCAAGGGTCCCGGTATCGTGGCCATCGTATCAGGTTTATTTGCCTCGTACGGGTTGGAAGGTGGATCGATAGGAAGTTGATCAGTAGACGATGGCTCCAGCGGTATCGCATCAGTCAACCCTTGGGTAACACCATCGCATTGCTTGGTGACCTTGTTGTGGTAAGGAGGATGCTCAGGAGTTGTTCCTAAGGACAGCTCTTCGCCGTTTGCAATCTCTTCGCTGACACCATTGGATAGCTCAGGTGAATGCCCATTTGTCGTAGGCGGCGCATCCTCCCTTAGCTTCTTCAATTCAGACTTGCCGAAAAGCAAACCAAGCATGCCAGATGGTGCGTCATCTTCCTCAGAGTCACCATCATCAGCCTCAGATCCATCGTCGTCGCCGCTGTCCATGCCTTCATCGCTGGTGCCCAAATCATCGTCCATGTCAACAGACTCGTCGCTCGTATCGTCTCCATCGGCCAGATGTGATCGAACTACTTGCTCTTGGTCCTCGTAAACACCATTGCGCATCTTGTCCGAGGTTGGTAGATCGGGAACATTGGCGTACTTCTCTCGTAGCTCCTCCTGAGTCAATCCGAAATCTGACGCGGTGGATTTGGCATCATCGTCATCATCAGATGAAGACATGATGTCGTCTCGTCCATCTATCTCAATCTCGGAGCCAGGCTCGTCTTCCGACACCATTTCTTCCTCCACTTCCTCATCCTCCATATCCGACATGTCGAGATCTTCGTCATCTTCTTCATCCTCATCGGAGGGCAGCTCCGAGTCAAAATGTGCTCGGCGCGCTTGCAGTTTCATCTCGGACATATTGACTGCTTCGTTCAGGGCAGCTTTGACCCTTTTCTGTTCGGCAGTCTCCCATTCCTCCAGCCGGCGACGGTTGATCTCATTCTTGACGTTCTCCCAGGTGCCAATGACTGCTTTGACGACAATCTTGTATCTGGCAATCCACACCAACCTCACTTCAGCTTCAATTTGTTCTGCGGATTTGGGTTGTCTCCGAATCCACTCGTCTCGACAAGCTTCTGCTAGTCTTTTGGCCGCTTGCTTGTGCCGCTGCTGCTCCATGAGCATCAGCTTCCTGAAATTCATCATAGCTTTGACAACATGGTCCGCATGAGCCCATAGTCTAGGAGGCTCTTCGGCAGGCTCAGGGACATATACGGAACATAGTTGCTCGCTGAGTAGGCCGCCTGGTTGCGCCTCCTGCTCAATGCGCTTGATGAGTCTCGCATCTCTTTTGGCCTGTGCGTCAGTGTAGGCGGCGCTATCGTCTGTTTCATCGTGCCAACCACCATCTTTGATATCTATGCTGGGTGCTTTCAAGATATAATCGGCAAAGTTTTCACCAAGTTTGGGTCGCGCAATGGTTTGCCCGGGCAAGACATTGACTTGCGCTGGGTGAACTAGTGGTATGGTGGGGGGTCTCAAGCGTAATCGAATTCGAGTCGGACGTGCGTTTGGGCTGTCTTGAATTGCTTGCCGCGACTCATCGGGGGAGTCGTCGAGACTTTCTCGGACGGGTCGAGAGCTTCGTCGCGTTTTATTCGACGTGCGCTTCGGCGATGTTTGCGCCGGGGGAGATGGGGAGCGTCTTCGATTTGTTCTTGGGGAGGTCCTCGTTCCATTTGTTTGTGACCTTCTGGCTGATTTGGAAGGGGGGGCACAATATTTAGAGGAGCTCCCTTTGGCAGTAGACGTGTTGCTTCGGTGGCCGTTGACATGCCCGCTGGTCTTGGGTATTGCCTGCTTGTCCTTGGTTGAGATAGTGCCTCCGGGTTCATGCAGAGCACCTCTAGTCATCCGCTTGGCTCCTTGAGGCTGAAGGTCAATAGGCAGACGGTTGATACGTCCCGATTTTCGTTTGCCGCCCTCGTTGAAGGTTGTTGGCCCCTCAGCCTCGAATTTCTTCCATGGGGGAGATATTGAAGGAGCCTTTCGCTTCGAGGGGTTTGGAGGTGGGGTTGCAACTCGACGACGCTTGGCAGGTCTATCGTCGAGGTTGTCTTCGTTGTGAACTTCACCGCTTCTCGCATCTTCGGCATCCTCATCTTGGGGTGCGGTTTGCGGAACTGACTCGTCAAGAAGAGGCTCATCGTCGTCCGACTTTATCGGCGTTAATTCAGAGCCACTGCTGAGGTCGCCTAATTCGTCGGTTTTCAGTGGGGGCAGTAACGACTGTGGATGAGCGTGGCCATTTTCTGCCACGAACTCACGTATGGGTTGAGTCGCGGATGATGTCTCTTCAAAATTTGTCGTGTCGTGTGCGGGTGCAGCATCGACCGACGCGGTGCCCGTCATAGCTGTCCAGGGCGTGTGGAAGAGAAAATAGACCTCGAACTCGATGAATATTGCATTTGAAGGGGCCAAAAGTACGTCTACAGATGGAGAAATGACATGAGAGCATTGATACGAAGTCTGAACATGTTCAGAGCCTTGCGTCGATGATTATGATGGAATTTGTGTCGAAAAAGCTGTTTCCCACTATAAAGTAGGATGATGACCTTTTTTTCCGCCGTCGGTCAATCGCGTCTTTTCGACGTTGCAGCCCGCCCCAAAGCCCAAGTGTAATATTCATCAGCACTCCAACTTTACTTTCAAGTGGGGGCCGCTGCCTGGAGCTTGGTCTTGCCCGCAATATTGATTCTCCGCCACATTACAAGCTCCAGGGCTGTCGACCACTCACGACCGGGAGCTTGGTAATTAGCAATTGGCAATTGACCTCATCAGACACCTATCACCAGAGACTCAATACAATCGACCGGCATTGAGGCTCCCAGCAGGCGACGGTACGAACGAATTGCCTATTTTGCGGCAACCTTAGCTGACCTGGTCGCATTCCAGATGCTTCACCGTCGAATTGCGCAGGCTCCGGCCCTGCGATCGCTGGCATCACGACGACTACCTCTAGTTCAACGAAGAGGCTTCCTGCCAAACTCTCTAAATGACCGGGCCATCTATGATGAAAAGTTCCCTGACCTTCCGAAGTTAACGGATGCAGAAGACCCTGGCCAGGTCAGTCGCTCTCCAATTCGGCTCTCAGCGCAGGCGAGGGCGTGATTGCAATGCTAATGGTGGATGCAGAACGGTGGCTACATCAACCCACCGCCTATCAAGCGACAATTCCGCGACCCCTACGGTGACTGGTGGGACAAGCAAGAGCGAAGGAACTTTGGCGAGCCAGTGCATGAGGACCACGATGTGATGGGCATGTTTACGCCACACGAGTACACTTGGGTCTCGCCAGGGAAGGGCGCACTTCAAGTCGGCGCTTTCATGCTGACTTTCTTTGGCGTCTGCTATTTGGTCGCCATCACATATCCTGACAAGCAGTCATATCCAAGGGAGTTTGAGGGAGGGTTGGAGAGAGAATTGGGTGGCAAAGGCGCTACGAGGGTAAGCTCTGCAGTGGAACCCAACGCGGAGGACCATTGAATGTGATACTAATGATGAATACAGGCGAGAGCACCTGGTGACCCAGAGCCATTCCAGACTGAGACGCTGGACTAGGAGAGCTGTACGTATACTAAAGTGGAAGGACGAGTACATATAGCAACGCAAAAAAAACAAGAGGGCCTCAGGTGCTCTCAATTGCAACAACAACAATATGAAGTAGCAATGACTGCAAAGCCCTCCCCTTTTGTGAACTGAAATCCAATGGTTGTATCTCTTCTAGATTACTATATTGGAGATTGTCATCTTCATCCCAGTGCTTGATATCTGAGTACCGTGAAAGATTTCATTCAGTACCTTGATCTTGAATTATCAATCCGGTGTAGACTATTATGGAGTAAAACATGTAAGATTACCCGATTTCGACTTGCAATCATGGACTTAGGCAATTTCTTCAGGAAGAGACCGCAGTTAGGCATAGGTAGGATTAGATGCACACTTCTATTAGCTATCATATATTGTCCTTTTAATGTCTATTCACCCTTGCAAATTACATTGTCCTGAATTTACTCATTGCCATACAAAGTCCCGATCGAGCTTCTAATCTTGTCTCAGGGTCATAGAACCCCAGGCATTTTCTAGATTCGATATCATCGTACCGCGAAGGGACTTACCTGGGCAAGTACATAATAGGTAAGATATCACGTAATGGCCCAACTTTGATCGCAGCTACTTATCATTGAGCGCTACCTTCCTGGCTGTAGTGCCATTACAGGGTTCCCTGTCCTCATCGCCTACCTTCAGCCAAGCACCCCAAATCTGGAAGCGACGACCAAGTCACAGGCTGCGCCGAAGCCACCCGCTCAGGACTTGTCTCGCACCCGCAAATGGGGTTGTTCATGTCTTCTAGTATACAAGAACATGCTGGACGGTCTCCACCAACCTTTTCCTGGTGAACGTACTTGCTTTCATCTAGAGCTCCGAGAGACTCCGAGTCTCTGCCATTTCCCTACATCTACAATTTTGAAGACAATTTCATCCCACGCCTTTCGCTCTTAGATCAATCCCCCTCTCTCAATCCTTCAAGGGTCTGTCATACCCTTTCCTGTCCTCAATTACTTAGTTTCTCTTTCGCAGTATTTCGTCGGCGACTTTTGTTAGCCGTCTGACAAGATGCGCTACGATGACTGGGATGTTCTTCTGTTCCCCAAGGGATCGAAGGTGCCGTTGAAGGAGTTCAAAACCAACTGCCATGTGGTTAACGATATCGGTGCGTTTCTGATCTGGCCCAATCCAGCCTAATCCATTATCCGCTACACGGACGAAACACTGGCTGTCGGCATTGCGCGAATAGAGACTGACCGTAACTGTCTAGAATTCGTCCATACGAGTGGATCCTACGGACTTCCAACAATGACCTGCTTTATGCCTGGTCTGCCTACCGGAACACCGTTCAATATCTCTCTCCACAGCTGGAAAGCCCCTGAGGTTAGCCAGTACACCAAGAACTATAGCGAACATGACGAACTTGTCAAGTTTGAAGCACGTGTCTTTATTGATGGCCGCTTGGCTGCGTATGTCCTCCAAGCCGTTCATCCGCTTGACATACGGTCGAAATACTGATTCTGGTATCTCTACAGTACGGCTTCCTTCCATCAAGGGGGCGTGTGGCCTCAACTGCTCTGCCAGAGTTTCGACTTCACAAAGAATGGAGAGCTCCAGGATCTCAAGTTCCCTGCGTTCCGTGACGAAGTACTCCGCCAGAGCTACTGGAACCCTGCAGATGACCTTGGCCGAATCAAGATTGTTATCAGCGAAGGGTTTCCCCGCGACTCTCTGAGCGTGCCAATGGAGAGAGTGAAGAATATTGTTGCCTTCTCATTCCAGCATGCTCCCATCGGTAAACGCACATTCTTGCTTTCATCTCTGGCCGTTCATCCGGACTAATGTCATGTCTTTTCTCAGAAATTCTCGAGAGCTCCGGTATTGCGTGGCCGAACCCTGCCATGTGGCGACGCGGCCCCTTCAACCCAACCATGCCTGTTCCCTCGCATCAAGGTGGGGTCGAAGCTCATCTGCACTCTCCCCGCCGTGGATCCGGTCTCGATAGCAATACTTCGTCTTCTTCTGGCTACGCTTCAGTAATGCCCGGGATGTCGAATATCCAAACATCCAGCTTCTTGGGTACCATGCCCAACACGCAAGCTTTCCTTCAGCGTGGAGGCATGGGCGAAATTAGCAGCACCAGCAGCAACTACACGAACCCACAAAACCACCTCGGCTCTGGTTCGACCTCGTACATAGACTGGGCCAGTTCTAGCAATAACTTCGGCTCCGTTGGTCAGAGCCAGAACCTTGAGACCGGCAAGTCCAATCACAACGGTTCCACCAAACGAAGGGTGCACAGGGATACAAGCAAGGTCTCTGGCACCGATACCAGCATGTCTGGATACAACCGGCTCAGTTCAGGAAACGCTTCGCAGTATATAACTGACCTGCAACATCTAAACTTTGCCTTTCCTGGTACCAGTGGCTCCGGAGATGCCGACACTAGCACAGCAACGCTCAAGGTGGCTACTAACACGCCCACAACACTAGCGGGGCAGAGTTTCGTAGATGAACTTCTTGCCGAAAGCAACAACCATGGTACACCAGGACGTATGTCGACACCCCAGGATTCCTGTGCGAAGTATTTCCACGGCGGCCTACAACCGCAGCTTCGCGCACGCCCTCTTACTCGTTTTGCGACCGCAAATACTGACCTTCAACTTATGGCAGACAACTCAAGCGACTTGTTCTCACACTCCAACACTTCTAATAATCTTTCGGACGATCTCGCGACTTCGTTGACGCAGTCGTTGCTTAACCAGCCCCTGCCCATTCATGAAGCTGCTGCAGCATCCATCCAGCTCCCGGCCAGCGAAGTCAAGTCTCGCAAGGAGACTCGTTTCGCGGACAATGCGGAATCCTCGTCGAACCAAAATACGCCCACTGCACATGGAGGAGGCCTTGACCACGTCGACATGCGCAGGGTCTCACAGACGGTGTTCGCTGGGATGAATCAACTGTCTGGTAAGGACTCTTTGAGCCGAGAGACCAGTGGGAGTTCGACCTCTACCTCTAATATTGCGATGTCTCCGCACGAGTTTTCGGGCCTATTCAGCAATCGGTCAACCTCGGGTGGCGAGTTTGGCACCAACCTTACCAATAGCAAAGGCTCCAAGAATCTTGGTACATTCGGTCAGCCGACTCTGGAAGTTTCCACTCCTGGCTCAACTGCATCTGGAGACAAAGCAAACCAGTTGAGCGATAGCCGCGTTGGCAGTGGGATGGGCCCCGGCAGTGAAAAGGGAACGAAAAGGACGAGGCACTTCATTCCAGCCAGTGCCAAGGCTATTGATGATGAGGACGAACCCCGCTGCAGCAGCCCCAAGGTTAGGATTGGGTTTGGCGATCAAGGGGTCGTTGGTTGAATGAGGAAGTTCGATGATGGGAGAGGTGTCGAACTCCTGGGAGATGTACAACGACCGGCGAATGCGCTCTATCGTTCGAACCAGCGTGATTGGAGCGATGGCTTGTGGAGCTCAGCTAATTTCGAGGGAGCATTGAATATTCCTCTGAATATTGGAGGACGGAGCACTCGTTAGAAGTCATACCGGCTGCCAGTATTACTTGATCAATTAGCCTGGCGATAACCTGTCCATCTGGTGTAGGCCGATGCGAGAAACAAGCATGTTTTTTTGGTTGAACGGAAGTTGGACTTGGTCAATATTTCTACGATTGCAATAGAGCATGCGTAGTCTTGGTTGGTTTTGGACGAAGCTTAGGGGTATCTACCGTAGTTACCTTACCTCACGACCATGGCTCAGAGCTGGTGCAGCGCTAGGGTAATTCACAAGACTGATAGCATAATTTTGAAATTCCCATTGGCTTCTCCATTACCTTTCCATTGCAGACTAGAGATATCTGGGGTGGAGATGCCCCTGGGAGCGGCCCAGGCGGATAAAGAAATATACTTAAGTAAACAGTGCACCAAGGGTGGAACAATGTGGGATAGCCTGACATTCCAGTGTAGTAAAACGAATAACCTGGATATTGATCTGCATCGGTCGGGGTACTGTTTTATCCTCTGACGCCTCAGGGCACTGTTGCAGGTCTGTTGGCAGGATTTCTGTTGCTGCCAGGACTTGACGAATCACAACATCGGCCAACACTGGGGTCGACCTAGGCACGGGGAAGATGCTTCAACAGGAATCTGACAAATCTTATGGCATGTGTCCATATCAGATGATTCAGAAACAAATGTCTACGCTGTTATATGTGAATGTGGGCAATACAGGTAAGAGAGTTGGATTAGTGATGATGATGGGCCTACCTACCAGGAATCTCCAGCTACACAAGGGCTATTTATGGGCAATTGGCCCAAGCGCTGCACCGAGAACCTAGCTGATGTGCTTAGGGCACGTGTGTATCCTGGTCGATCTGACCTCACAGGACTCAAGTCACGAATATCAGGATTGATTTCGTGCCAAGTCAGTTGTGTGGTTCAGATCTCTTTTGATGGTGTTTTTTCTAGAAAGCTCAGCTATTTCCGAAGCTACGAAATGTTGCTTAAGAGCAACGATGTAGCCAATCAGATCCTCTGATTTGGATCCACACACGCAACGGTCAGATTATTTTTTTGGATGCCGGCCAGAGCTTTGCGAGGAAGGTATTAAACCAAGACGAAACATCATTACTAAGAAATGAACTAGGGAATATGTTACACTTTGCAAATGAGGCACCTAGAGAAATAAGAACAACCGGAAAGACAAATATCAATATATCCAAAGACTTGTAATCAGCCCTCAGAACTCTTATTTGATTATTGTAAAGAACTTGAAGTTTTGTGCTAATATTAAGTATGCATCAATTTTAGACATCATTTTCCTATAGTGTTTATGGCAGCAACTGATTCTTGACAGCTTCCAAATTCTCAGCCAATGTGTATCCCTAAGACCAATGAACAGGAATGAGCCACCATTGGTCCTTTCGTTGCGTATTGCTGCTCATTAAATCTCAGAAAGGTATGTATCAATCGTAGGGATTGAACTGCGTCTCGGAGCAGGAGCCTTGGCCTTACGTTACCAAGATGAGCCAAGCAGTTTTTCAATCCAATCATGTACGCCTTTGTTTCATTGATGGATGCTTTGATATAGTGAACTAAATATTATGGGTGTCCAATGTGAGACTGCATCATTGTACGCATGATGCGGGTCGTAGCGCTGGTCATGGTGCTTACATGGTCCATCATTGTCCCTGTGGGAATTTACTAGTCCAAGAAAACCAGTTTGGGTCTGACTTGGAATGTAGGGAGTAGGATAATGAACACATTGGCATGTGCTCAAAGAATTTTCGTCCCTGGACGACCATGGCAACTAAGCCTTTGTAGAATACGTTAACCTAACTTCCGCGGTACACAAGGGCCGCCGATATAGCTAAAATCTATATAGCTGATTGGTAATGCTAGCTAGAATAAATTTGAATTCGTGCTTATGACCAATTTATGCTGCCAGTTCTTTTAGCCAACTAGTTATACCCTCCTAGATCTTGTAATACTCTAGTTTGGATCTCAAACCGGATTCTTTGTAACCTCGCGCCTACCTGATTCTGAAGCTGCACGATGTCCAGAGTTTACAGACTGAAGACCCTAACATAGGCTTACCCCAATGCGACGCTGATATACGTCCATCAACTTGCCTACTCCCAAAAGCTCCGTCTCCCACGCCATCACGGGGAATTTCATTCTATACGCAGTGTATTATTAAGTTCGTAAATCGAGTATGATGTCCCGCGTCTTGGACATTGTCACTTATACTAGTTTAGCATTAGGTTAGCCCCTGTTAAGAAAATATGCATGTCTGTACGCGACGTACTTCTACCCCACTCCAGCAGCAATCTGAAATACATGCCCAGATGCTTATGTATCTCTCATACACATTCCCCCATTCTTGATTGCCTCGGCAATATCGTGGTCGCATGTCCGTCTATGGTTGCATACATATGCAGATCAAGTCCCCATTCTTGGCATACGTGTCCGTCCAACGACCCGTATCTCATATAGCAGCATCGCTCATACGATTTATCAAGCCCTCGCGATACCAACCTGGATACTTGTTTTTACTGCAGTCAATCTCAACCATGGATACGGCTACCAAGCAGTACACTGGTATGAACGACCATGGCGACCATATTGACACCGGTATCGGCGGAAAACGACTCGTCAGTAGCCATACACCGCCACCTGGAACCTTCACAGATATCCCAATCATTGACCTTTCTGACGCTGCATCACCAGCGCTTGAGTCACGCAGGGAAATTGCCAAGGCTATCCATCATGCCTGCGTCAATGTCGGTTTCTTCTACATCAAGAACCACGGCGTGCCACGGGATATTATTGAGGGCTGCCACAAGGAGGCACATCGCTTCTTCCATGAGCTCTCGCTCGAAGACAAGATGGAGCTAGATATGAAGAAGAACAAGGAGTTTTACGGATATGCGCCGATTCAGACACAAATGCCACCAGGCGCGAGCAAGAAGCGTAACCCTCTACTTTTCATCTATCAAGCTATTCCTCATTCACTCTATGGGGCTAACGTAAGCGAAAGGCGTCTTTGAGTCTGTCAACTTCGGTTACGAACCGACCATGGACCTAGGGGCAACAGGCACCGAAGACAACGGCCCATCCTTCTGGCCACCAGAAGACAAGCTTCCTGGTTTCAAGCACAACATCGGGCTGTACTACTCTGAAGTCATGGCTCTCTCGCGCCGCCTTCTCCACCTGTTCGCCTTAGGGCTGGATCTCGAGGAGGAATACTTTGACCAGTTCTGCAAGAAGCCCGGCGTGCTGCTGAAGCTGAATCACTACCCCGCTGCCATACCGGAAAGCCAGGATACGGCGGGTATACATGCGCATAGCGATTTCGAGGGGTTCACTATCCTGTGCCAAGACGAGGTGAAGAGTTTGGAAGTGCTGAGCAAAGATGGGCATTGGATCCCGGTGGACCCTATTCCAGGTATCACTGGACCCCTAAACGGATGAATTCTAGGCCACACGCTGACACAAAGTAGGCACGTTTGTTGTTAACATCGGAGATGCGATGAGCATGTGGACCAACGACCTCTTCCTTTCCACTATCCATCGAGCTTACAACAAGGAGGGTAAAGCTCGGTATTCCATCCCTTTCTTCTTTGGTGCTGACTACGATGCTGTGATGGAAACGTTGCCGAGTTGTGTTTCGGAGGACAGGCCAGCCAAGTATAAGCCAATCACGGCAGGGGAGCATGTGAAGATGAAGCTAAATAAGACATACCCGAAGACTGCCCAAGTCTGAAGCATTGGTGGTGGACTATTTGCCTCTTGTTTGGGTATTAATCGAGACAGTAAATCAAGATATCCGTTATGCCCTGCTACGACTCGGGTACTCCTATTGCCCCTATCAATCGCGACGTACTGGCATCTAAACAACATGATAATATCAATGCGTCGTTATACTCATCTGAAAAAGCCGCAGCATAGCTGAAATTCATGGTCAAGCAGTGCTCCATATCCTATTAGATTGCAAAATCCATCATTTAGCAGCACAATTGCTACAAATGCGGTAACTTGGCGTTGTGGCTACACGGACTCCGACTATTTTCCTGTTTCTATTTTTGCTTGTATTTTGTTTGCTACCAAACCAAAAGCAGGTAAAACACCCCAGTTCAATCTAATTTCAGGTGCTTAGAGGCGGTAGTCATTTGGACTGCTCACTTTTACACCCCGTCGCTCCCACACCCCATCAATGCCCATGTCTGCACGTCCACTACGAGCACTATCAGCAAAAGAAATAATTGCACATCAAGATTTTGACTTACTCATTCTTCAAGTTGATAAACGGCTCCGTCTCCCCTTCACCCGGGTTTCGAAAAATGGTGTTCTTGGTCTGTGTTCCTGTCAGCCTTCATGTTTGCGACTCCCAGGCGTGAGTCATACCAGCCCCAGCGTCAGATGAATGCCCGGCGAGCCAATCACTATCGTCTCCGCTGGCTCCTTGCCCGCAATCATAGCAGCGATGTTCTTCGCTGCAACAGCCGCCTGGGCAGCACCAGGCCTGGCCGCCTTATGGGCTCCAGTGTCCGCAATGTCACCGACAGCGTATAGGTGTGAGTACTCGGGGTTCTGGAATTGCAGTGTCGGCTTTACGCGAATAAATCCATTATTGGGGTTGATCAAGGAGTTGGGGGCCGACGATTCCAACAATTGATTGAGGAACTGATTGTTGGGAATCTGGCCTGTGGCTTGGATCACAAAGTCCGCCTCTAGTGTGCGGCCGTCTTGAAGCGTCAGGTTGATGGGTTTGGCATTGTTGTCGAAGCCCCCCTGTGGCACAACGGCGCGAGACCCGGTTGTGAGGTTGACATTCAATTCCTTGAATCTAGTCTTGATCATGTCGCTCAATTTCTCGTGGTAGACTGGCATTAGCTGGTCTCGCGAGTGCACAAGTGTGATTTCTTTGTCGGGGTATAACTCCTTCAGGTCACAAGCCATCTGGACACCAACGGCACCGCCGCCAACCACAATGACTGACTTGGCATCCTTGATACCCCGCTGATATGATTGGAGATATTCAACCGATGGAACTTTCTCATTGTGTAGCACTGCGTCTTGGGTGTTAGTGATGAACAAAATCGGGAAACAAAACACCTCGGGGTTTGACATACTGGACCCTGGACTAGGCAGTCTCGTGCCTGTCGCAGCAACAAGATAGTCAAAGGGTAAGATCTTGGATCCCTGCCACTCGCGGTCTAGCGTGAGTTGCTTCGGCTGCAGCGACATTACTTTAGCTTGAATCACAGTGTGGCGTGATGGATCTGGCGTCGCCGCGAAAACACCCGAGTACGGGATGAAAGCCTTGTGCTCATAGCCGGGTAGTATGGCAAATCGAGGCTATACGGCATTGTAAGTCTGAGTCCAGCATGGGTTCTTGTCTTACACTTACGAAGGCAAATAGGTGATGGAAATGGCTGTGTGGGTCGATGAGGACAACCTGCATTGGCGGAATTAGATTATCTTCAGTCAATTCATTTTAGGTCTGTCGCGAAGGCTTACACGATGCGTTGCAGGTAGTAGGTTTGCAAGTTCTTTGGCTGCACTCTGTAAACGCCCGAGTTAGTACTTTCGGCCTTGATTGGCCACATTTGGGAGGACTAACCGAGCCGACATAGGAACCTCCCACCACAACCACGTTTCGAAGAGTTGATGCCATTTTCAAGTTGTATTTTTCCTGGCCGGTCAACCTAAAATGAAATGAGAAGGCTAGCAAGAATTGGGAACACCAGAGATCTGAAGAGAAGCTGGATGGAACTGTTCAGAGCTTGAAAGATACAAGTTTTATTTAATGGTAAGATGGTCTCGGGTTAGGCCGCGTGAACACAGTGGGCACGACTCGCGGAGACCCACCCTCGGGACGCAGTCAGCCGTCCTCGTCTTCCGATATGTCCGATGACTCCGGATATTAGTATTGATCCGCCGAGGCGAGGTCGGTCATAAGCATACATGACCGAGTAGAATCACCATTCACTTTCGATTCCGTTCTCGGAAGCTCAGATAGTGGTTGTGGTGCTTCTACAATCCGCAGCCATTGTTATGGGCATAGGCATGAGCATGAGTCCGTGACCCGTCTAGTGAGTCCTTCAACAAAGCTACGCAAGAGCCGGCTGTTTAAGCGATTAAACAAACTGGTAGTCGGGGCAATTATGTCATTCGACGAAGTTCTGGTACCGTAGGAGCATTGAGATAGATACCTAATACTCAAGCAGGAGTTGAGGTACTGGTGGGACTACCCGTTTTATGACTACTATACCAAAGGTATTCTTCCCCATTCAACTATTTGATTCTCATTGTCGCAGCAACTATAGTGGCAATACAATAGATCATCTAGGTTTTCATCATTAGCCTTATGCTAGTAGACTTAGAGTTATATACTCACTGATCAAACATAGAAGCGGAGGGCCATGCCGCCAGCTGAGTCCATTGTAATACCCACTCCAAATAGCTCTGTGAAAATAATACTGCCAGATATTGCTGCCAACTGAGTGATGATTCCTCCCGCTGCAAAGACCCTCCCCATGGCAGACGTACTAACATATGAACCGATCAGTCCAGAGAAGGCACGACTGTAGCGATCAGTACTGCAACCATAAGTCCTTATACGTCCTTTGGTACCCACATGCGTCCAGTCAAGACCACTTAAAAATAACTGAAATGAGAAGGCGGGAGTGCTGATCTACTAACCTCAGACTCAGGTTCCCAGTGGTGAATGCAACAGGGCCAGGGATGATTATTCAGACATTGAGTGAAGAATGCCGACTCATGGATATTTGGGAAGCCAGACTGGTGAGCCTTGCTGTGAGCAAAAGGACTGTAAGCTCTGCAACTGTGGCAATATACCTTAGAAATGCTATAGTGGCGATTGATCACTCCAACAGTCACGTGACATATTGTGTAAAGACTATGCCGCTTTGAGATGCCAAGTCGGAGAGAAACGCAAGAAATCCTGCTGATTCCTCACTTGGCTCTGGTATACCAAGATATGATTGATTTTGGATCTTCAGGGAAAAAAGCCTCGAATGTATCAGCCTCTTATGTATTAGTATCCCGGATATGCTCAGACATGATCAGCCCTCCCAAACGGGCAGCCAATAGGCATATCATTCAGTGCTGAAGGCCCCTATGGCGACCTTGATTCTTTGACTCTTTGGCTCTGGATAAGATTATTTTCAAGTCATTTTCAATACAGGACTATTGCAATCATAAAGTCCAATAGCTATCCTCCTCCAGATGGCAGGTGTGCTCAGGGGACAAAAGTATGAAATCGGCGGGAAATTCACCACTACCAACATACGGAACTTTGATTGCGTGATCCTCATCGCGCCCGCCTTAGCACTATGACACAATAGCCTAAACTGAGGTGCCACTTTGCGTTGGCATGATCATAGATTGTACTCATAGAATTCTATTCCTAAGACGAGCAGAATACCATCACCTGACTACAACGCGATTCTGTTGTCGTCAGCAATGGGGTTTCAGGCACCTACCAGTTATACAAACCCCGCGAATTGGGGCTTTCAGTACTCCTCATCGACAACGGTGACGATATCGGTGGAACTTGGTACTGGAGCCGGTACCCTGGCGTATTATCCGACGTCCACTCGTTTATGTGTCGGTATTCCTGGGACAGGGAAAATCTTCTGGAAAATTTGGCACTTGACACAGCCGGAGGTTCAAACCTCTCTCAGCCATGTTTTCGGCCGGTATAGCCTTAGGAAGCCTATCCAATTGCGCACAGATTTTCTTGGCGGAGATTTTGATGAGATTAGGGACGTCTTGACTGCGAAAACCCTCGAACGGGGGGACACACTAATGGCGCAATGCTTGATCGCTGCTCTAGCCGGACGGCCTGGGAACTATATACCGGACATCAAGGGTCTGGAAATGTTTAAATGTGGAGTCTAACACACAGCAGTATGGCTCAAGCACCACGGCTTTCGCAACAAAATGGTGGATGTCACTAGAAATGGCTCAAAGGGTAGTCCAATCATCATCGCGCTTGCCAAGGAAGCGAGACATGTCACCAGCTTTCAGCGCATTGCGCAATGGAATGTCCCTAATGGTAACTGACCAGTAAACAAAGGGAAACGAGCCGATATAAACGCTCGCCATGAACATATCTGGCTGGGACGTGGTGTGCAACTCTACAATAGCCTTTGGCTTCCCATAGAGCAAAAAAGTCCAGGTTACAGTTGGCCAGGGTCAGAAAAAGTTGGCCAGGGTTAGAAATTTTGTGGCGCAGCAAAGTTGATCAGGGTCAGAAATGTTCTAACCCTGGCCAAGTCTTGCCAAGCTAACGCTAACGCTAGTCTAACCAAATAAATCATCACCACAGTATCAGAGAAAAGCTTGTACACGGAGAAAATGCGGCGTATATGCAGCGATATAGGAGCATATACATAGGGCCAAACTGTCTGGTATACATATGCGAGGCATATTCTGACAAGGCTCAGATAATAGAAAAAAAGCACGAATAGTTTATTAGGTACTGTAATAACCTAACCTAGAATAGAACATGTCACATAGGATTTGAGCATATATGATGCATATGAGGTGGAAACTTGATACGAAACAAACACCAAGCAATATATTTGCATTATAGAACCGAATTACCAGACCAAGCAAAACAACAATTCATAAGCATATGTCGTACATATGCACAGTAGGTACCCTTTGATTGCTGCTTATCGATGATTAAGCTATTTCATATTAGCTTATGCACTGCCTAAGCTCAACATATGTCATACCAGAGTTACGAGTGGTCGACCGGCTTCCTCTACCACCTCTGCCACCTCTACCACCACGCTTGCGAGAAACTATCATATATTAGTATAATATGTAAGAAGTGTATATAGTGCTTAGACTTACCTCTCTTCCGGCTAGGAGTCTCCTGCTCATCGTCATCTAGAGCGGGAGGTTCCATGAACGTACGCTACATCGAATTAGTATATACTATTAATATGTTTACTTCAGGGAGGTGAACACAATGGATATCGAGTCTATCATCAAAGGAACGGCTGCTTGGAAGGCTCCCGGTGACGACCTGATCCCCACTGGCCTGCTAAAGGCCTGCGGTGAACCCCTATGGGAGATCCTAGCGGATCTGGCAACAGCTAGCTTTAGGCTGGGGTACTACCCGGAGCGCTTCCGCTCAGCGAGGGTGGTTGTTATACCTAAGCCTAATAATACGACAGCTCAGAAGCAGACCCCTGGCGGCTGGCGCCCCATTGCCCTGCTTAGCACGGTAGGGAAGGTAATAGAGACGGCGATGAGCCAGCGTATCACCAAAGTAGCTGAGGCGGCCGGCCTACTACCAAACGGCCAAATGGGTAACCGCGCTGGGAGGTCCACCGAACTGGCAATACGTATAGTTGAGGACGTGGTCTATATGGCGTGGAGACGCGGGGGCATCGCCTCGCTGCTACAGCTAGACATCATGGGGGCATTCGATACGGTCAATTACAGACGGCTAATTTCCATATTAGCCCGGAAAGGCTACCCGGAGTGGGTTCAGGAGTGGGTACGAAGCTTCGTGGAGGATAGGACGGTACGCCTCCGGTTCGATGGCAAGGAGTCAGAGCCAATCCCCTTACGAGCTGGCGTCCCCCAGGGGTCACCGCTATCCCCGATACTGTTGATATTATACATTTCAACGCTGTACGAGGAGCTAGCGGAGCAGCACCCACTACTTTTAGTAGTCGGGTTCGCGGACGACACGAACCTGCTAAGCGTCGGCACCGATCCAGACACGACCTGCCGCCGGTTGGAGGGCGCATGGGCTACGTATCAGCGGTGGACAGTGAGGCACGGGATGGAGTTCGCCCCTGACAAGTGTGAGCTAATGCACTTTACTAGGGCCCGAGAGCCCTTGCCGCAAAGTATTCGCCTTGGGAACGCCACAGTGTCGCCGGTAGTCTCAGCGAGATTCCTAGGAGTCTGGTTCGACCGCAAACTGACGTGGCACGCCCATGTTGAGCGTGTTAAAACAAAAATGGCAACTCAAAAGCTAGCCCTGACAAAGCTAGTCAATATGTCGTGGGGCTGCGATCTTATACGGGCGAGGCTGTTATATACGGTGGTTATCCGTAGCGCGATCGCCTTCGGGGCGACTGCGTGGCATACTATAAGTGAGGAACCGGCAGGGCCAGCTAAGAGCCTGATGGGGATACAGAACGAGTGCCTCCGGGTAGTCTGTGGCGCCCACAAAGCGACGCCGGTTCGCCACCTGGAAGCAGAACCAGCAATCCCGCCACTAGACCTCTATCTCAGTGCCCGGGCTGCTAAGTTTGAAGAACGGCTACGGCTTAGCGGGAAGAGAAATCTGCTTCGCAGCGCGAGCGCTAAAGTGTCACATATACTCCGGCAGGATAGGCCGGCGAAGAGGAAGCAGGCGTCGCAGCTACTCCGACTGGCAGGGTACACTATGGAGAAGGAGGCCCGGGGCTCCGAGTGGATGAGTGAGGAAAAGGAGGTCCCGGCTGCCCTCCTCGGCCACTGGAGGAAGAGATGGCTCACCGGAGCAGAGCATCACGATCGCCAGCGACGCGCTATCGCTGAGTAACCGGAGGGCCCTTCGATGCAGATACCGAAAGGGGGCAAGTATTTCGGCCTGAACCGACTGGAGGCGTCTACGCTGTGCCAGATCAGGACGGAAAAAATAGGACTAGCAGCCTTCTTATTCAAGACAGGGGCTTTTGGCGTGTACTCGCCGCTATGCCGCTGTGGCGACGCCCCTGAGACGGCAGAGCACGTAATCCTCTTTTGCGGGCTGTTGGAAGGACCGAGGGAACGATTACGGGCCGCTATCGGACCACGGCCACTATACTCTTGCAGAGACCTCGCAATGGCAACAGGAGAACCAGTAGTTAGTGGGACTATTGTAAGGTGGCTGCTAGGGACGGGCCGGACAGCTTCAAGGCCCAGATAGCATCGATCTTCTCAGGGGGGACTTAGTTGGTAGGTTGAGAACCAACGTAGTATGGTAGTGAACGCAACGCAGTCGCCAATAGGGCGAACCGACGACGCAGCGTATGTATTTAGTCCAGCCATTGGGGCACGGTTTGACATACGGGAGTACTGGTAGAGGTACCGGGGGCTTCGAGCCTACGGCGTATTTAATAATAATAATATGTTTACTAAGTCCACGAACCTTGCGCTTGCCAGAGGACTTAGGTGTACTAACGGCGTGCTATTCGAATACAGTTAGTATATACTTAATATGTGTGATAAGTTCAAGGAAAATGGTATATAACCTGGGCGAAGCCCATATGATGCCTTCACACGAGACCGACGTGTGCGTCGCATAGGCATTGTTGATACAGGAGCGGAGCTTAACTCCCGCTCCTGTACTAAATCTTCTATAGCCCTGGAGTCTGCAGTTTCATGCTCCATGAATTGGGCTATTTCGTCTATAGCCCTTGAATGAGCGTTAGCGTCCTCATCAGAGGGTATATTACCCCTAGCTGTCGATAAATCGGGGTTAGGTATCATACCTGACGGCTGTGAAGTAGGTTCCGACGAAATAGACGCAGATTGAATAGGCTTTGAAGATGCTAAATGCTAAGTATAAGCTAAGCATATCCTGAAGGTTCTGAGGAATAGGTTGGGCGAGTAGTTGTTCAACTAGAGTAAAGTCGGTCGCCAGGGCTATTGATACTGGAGGCATATGTGGTTCACATAAGGTAGGCGTATGTGAATCGGATTCGGCATGGTCTTCGTTAGGGAGTTGCCCTGTAGTAGGTGAAGATATATCGGTTTGTATTATACCGCGCGGATGCGGGGTATATGCATCGGATAGATCAGGTAGTAAGACCTGTGTATGGGCCTGGGGATGGAGCTTGGCCAGAGGTGAAAATCGGCATAGGTAAGGCATATAGGGTAACTTAATATTCTTATGAAGCCTAGGATATAGTTAGCACCGGCTTACGTATGCTCTGTATATAACATACTTTAGGATCGCCCCCAGAAGAGTCAGCCTCCGACCAGTCGCATTATTATCCTCGAAGTGGGATGCTTAAGCGAGATTAGTATTCTTGTAGGCATATGCTCTAGTTATGCTCGGAACAAGAGAGCATGATGCAACAAGTCCTGCAACAATCCAATCTTTTTATTTCGAAACCATGACTCCAGCTCTGGATATGTTTAGAATATACCCTGTAGAAGCTTGACATATGCGCCACGATATTGAGCCTCCCAAAGGCGAAATAGTTGCCGACATTGAGGATGATTTGGGTGCTTAGCCCAAAAGTTTCGCTGGACATGTACTTGACAGAAGACAAGTATATGCTGAAGATGCTCTTCCCATGTACGAGATGGATCGATTGAATGAAGGTAATCCCCAAGTCCTACTTACTATTAGTATTAACGTGAATGTACACCGAGCTGGCCATGACACCGAGCTGGCCACTTTCATGCGCCAACGCGACCGGCCAACTTCATCTTTGATTTTCTCAACAACCAATTATGGCAAAGTCATACAACGAAGCAGACTTAATGCTAGCCCTTCAAGCTCTCAAAAATGACCAAAAACTTAGTCTCCGACGAGCGGCAAAAACGTACCAAGTCCCCCGAAGCACCCTCCAAACGCGTAAAAACGCGCCCGAGGCGCTGTGGTATTTGCAACGGGACTGGGCATAATGCGCGAACTTATAAGATCGCATTGCCATCTTCTGGAGAGGAAGATTCAGAGTAGTTTCAATTGATTTACGGCGTTGTGATTTTACCATCGTAAATTTTCTATGCGAGGTTATGTAAGGGTGGCCAGCTCGGTGTCATGGCCAGCTCGGTGTACATTCACGTTATAAGTATCCCTTATATACTCACACATTATCAGCGCTCCCAAATAGGCAGCTAAGAGACATAGAGTTCTGAACTTAAAAGGACCTTGTGGCTACCTTCAGGATTTTGACCTTTTGTTCCGGAATATGATCATGAAGTTCAAGGTCGACTAGCCTCAGTAGGTGCTAGTGACCGAGGCAACGGCTGGCCACCAACTATGGGCCATTATTAACCCTCATTCGACTTCGCCAGCACTTTTCTAGCCGAACCAACCTATCCAAAGGCCTCGTTCGTCATTACAGCTGCCAAATCAGTAGCAGAACTGACGGCTGAGGAATACGGCCAGGGCTTGGCCAGAATGCCTCTTCACAGAGTTGATTGGGGCTTCAACCCGCTTTTAGATCTCCGGCTTAGCATTTTAGTTGGGCTACCGATTGCCAGGGGCCAGGTACGGTCGGTCCGAGAACCATTGCAACTTGCCGCAGAGGCACTTCAACAAGGGTTTGCGTGAATCGCGATTCTGGACGTTGGACCGATAGCCTACTGGCCATTAAAGCTAGCGTCAAAGGCGTCCCTTGTCTGACCATCGGCACTGCAGCCCTTGTGGAAGAAGGCCTTAAATTGCTAGAATTGGTAGCGTTGATGTTGCCGTCATGCGTTGGTGGACCCGGACGGCGGAAAAGTCGGCGGCGGCTGGCCGCATCCCCTTCACAAAGCAGTACTGAGGGTGATAATCGTTAACCACTTAACACCGGCCTATTCTGTCGTTTCCGTAGGCTATCCACCAGGACATGACTCATTTGATGGGGTTCAGCTTGGTGACTGGCTTGTAGGCAGTTAGATAGGCCATCTTCATGGCGTATCGTGCGCCTGGCTGTCTGGCATCAAATATACAGCGGTTGCAACCATCTTCGTGACCACAATGGTCTCAGAGCGGAAAATTGGGGGTCGGTCAGGGCTGATGGACTTGAAGAACCATGCGGTGAACTTATCGTGGGAGATTGAGATCTTGAAAAGCTTTTCAAATAGCAAAACTGAGGTTTGTGTGTAATGGTTCCAAGATACGGTGGTATCAGAGGTTCCTTGTGGGTTAAAGCCAACTCTTTTATATAGGTTTTGCACAATAGACTGTCCTGTGGATGGCAATGAATTTCTACGTCTTCTATAACCCTGAAAATGACAGCAGAGCCAGAATGGAACAAACCGAAATTAGAACTAATGACATTTACTACCTCTACTCCTTCAGTGGAACCCATGTCACAGGTTTATCCCTTTCACTTCTCGAAACCGTCTTCCACCCTGTGATACTCGTATCCTTCCACCCAAGAGCCTCGCAACTAATGGTACCCTTGAACTTCCGACAGTTGTTTCCAGAGAAAACAATGTAGCCCATTCCTGTATCTATGAGATTTCCATTCGTCTCTTCTATTGGGGATCCTGGCCGCTTAACCTTGCCACGCCACTGTATCCAGAACTTTGGTGCCCGGAAACTGTTCTTCTCAAAGGTGTGGAAACGATTGCTCCCAGATTTTCCGCGGGACTCTTCTGCACTAGAATCATTGCTTTGCACCTCTTCATCCGGTGATTCCCCGTCTGAAATGGGTTCATCGGAGTCAACTTTTGGACCCTCCCCTTCACAGTCGTCTTGTTCTGAGCCTCTCTTGCCACTGCCTTCAGACTTTGCATGATCCTCGAGATCTTCGGCGGTTTTCAGAAGTACCTTTCGACTGCCTGCCAAAACAATCGTCACTTCTATCATGTCAGGCAGCATAAGCTGACCGAGGATCCCGTTTCCGTCATCTGTTAGACGGAATAGTTCCATCGACGGAGATGAACGCGTCTGCTTGTTTTTCTTTGACGGTGTGTTGGTGAATTTGTCTAAAGCAGGATACTTGAGCTCGTAGGTGCCGAAGGAAGACTTGACGTCGAAGGGGCCGTTGCGGCCTTTGTTGCGTGATACTGAACCCCTGTCCTCTCGGCCAACGCGATTGTGAAAGTGCCTCGACGAAAGGGCGGGTTCTTGCCAATCATCCATGACGAGAAGTGTACTTAATTATTCTCGTTCTCAATTAGGCTCCTTGGGAAGTTGATGCAAAATATTTGTAAGTTATGCATAAGGTCTAGAGTCTTGAAGTCTTGACGTCATGGGCTGCTCTTCGTAGACTTACCATTTTAGCCCCAGCTCACCCCCATATCACTGATTGCCACAGGTCTTAATAAGACTTCAGGTCATTGGAAATAAGACTAATTATTATGCATTTATCATACTTGTGGATGAATAGGGATAGTATGGCTCAAAGCCTTATACGCGTATCAGTAGCTTGCTATGCTCTCAACCGAGAACCAACCATATCATACCCTGTTGCGTGCCCTAGGTACACCGGATGTCTGCTGGGTGCAGCGCTCGGGCCAGCTGCATAGATAGTCCTTCCATAGCCACAGACTCCTGGGAGTTAGTCCCATCATCACTAATACAACTCTCTTGCCTGTATTGCCCACAGAAATTCAAGTAAGTTTAAAGCCTAAGCAACCAGGTCTCGTAACAGCAATGCAATCAGAGTCGCAGACCGCTTTGCTACCAGGAGCTAGAGTTGTGACCTTCAATCTGCAACGTGGGGAGTAGAACAAGCAGAAGCACAAGGAAGATTCGATCAGCTTGCTATAGCCAACCACATATAAGCCAGATTAACGAACGCTGGGTGCTACAGTTGTTGGCAACGACTTGCTTGGCTTGCTAGATAGTAATATCACGCAACCCCGCTATTAGAAGATCCTAGACCCACAGCGAGTCTCGCAACGCGCATCCAAGACTGCATGCAAACTCTTCAGCGGAAATCTGCCCACGAATAATATTGTTCGACTTTGCGACACAATCGAGTAGTTACATGCTAATTTTCTCAGCTGTGCTTTAGTGTTCCCGGAGCTCGAAGTCGACGGTTCCCGTAACCTGGGTGTGTTGCTGAATTCAGTTTAAGACGATCTTGGCATCGCAGAGTAAGTGCGATCACGCCATAGTGCACCGAACACCTCAAGCCTTCAGTTTTTATCAGAGGAATTTGACGAGCCGAACTTGATAAGACTTAGCCTGCAGCGTTTCCGAATTTCACACCTTTCCCCCTCTTTTCATCCCCTCACGCATTTAATGTCTGAAGCTGGCTACATGCCTCTCATGTCCAACCCCGAGTACCCCGATGGGTTGGTAGGGCCCTTATCGGAAATCGGGACCGATGGCGAGTGCGAAGATTCCCGGGAGATCGATCCCACGAGTGGTGTAAAGCGCGGGTTGAAGACGAGGCATCTAAGCATGATGGCACTTGCTGGTATCATCGGACCTGGTCTACTCGTTGGAGCGGGAGGTGCTCTGGCGAGTGGTGGTCCGGCTTCGTTGTTGATTGGGTTCGCTGTCATTGGAATTATTGCTTTCAGGTATGAGAGATTGGACAAGGTCACGTAAGGATGGAATGCTGACATTCTCACAGTATTATGCAGAGTTTAGGGGAACTGACCCAGCAAAGTTACGCTTCCGGTGGCATCAACGGAACCGAAGGGATAGGCTTCAAATACTGGCATGAACCCGGCCCCTTCGTAGAAGGCTTCAGGGGCGTCGCGACGGTTTTCGTATTTTGTTCCACCTTTTACGCCGGCTGCGAGTTCATCGCCGTTGCCGCGACGGAGACCAAGAATCCCCGAGTCGCGGTACCACATGCAATCAGACAAGTGTTCTGGCGTATCATTTTCATCTACCTCGGATCTGCCTTCTTTTTCGGCCTTACGTGTCCGTCCAATGCCGAATATCTGGTGAACGGCGGAAGCCGGGCCCTGCAGAGCCCGATGACGATCGCCATCCAGAACGCCGGCTGGGAGGGAGGTGTGCATTTGATAAATGCTTTCATTCTTATTACTTGTATCTCCGCGATTAACAGCTCCATCTATATTGCCTCGCGCACCATTCTTTTCATGGCGCAGGACGGCAAGGCACCCAAGTTCTTGGGAGGGACGAATAAGCGAGGTGTTCCGGTGGCAGTGGTCGTATTTACAAACGCCTGTGGAGCCCTCTCTCTGATGAATATCAGTACGGGAGCGAGCAGGGCATACAGCTACATCGTCAACCTGAGTGGTGTGGCGACATTCCTGGTGTGGGGAGGTATTTCGTTCACCCATATCCGCTTCCGTTCTGCTTGGAAGGCCCAAGGCTACCGTGAACAAGACCTACCATTTGTTTCGTTCTGGTATCCCTGGAATGCGTACTTTGGGCTGGGGGCCAACATCTTTCTCGCATTTGTGCAAGGATGGACGACACTGAGCCCCTTCGATGCTGGAAACTTTGTTGATGCGTATATCTTATTGCCTCTGTTCCCGTTTATTTACTTGGGGTTCAAACTTGTTTTCCGCACGCGGTTTTGGAGAGCAGAGGAGATTGATCTGCAGTCTGGGAGACGGCGCGATCTTGATGAAATTAAGGAATTGACTACAGGGGAACTTGGCGGTCACCAGACCCTGTGGCAGAGGTTTATGAAGAACCTCTAAATGTAGATCTTCCTAGTCAATATCGCCGGTGCACAATGCATACCTGGCCCTCACTGGAATAAACATACGTTGGATATGCATATATACAAGGACACCCCAGGGAGATTGCAATTGTCGGATTGAATCCGGGGTGTTGACTGGTCCATAGTTCGGATGGCAGACAGACTTAAATTGTATGCCAATTCGGGTTGTGTGAAATGTACAATCGGGCAATAGATTAGTTCGTCGAGCTTTGAATAGGACTAAACTGACCAAGAGAATTCCAGTAAATGATGCAAGCAATAGCAGAGTTAAAATACGATGCGGCTAACCCAAATAATGAATAGAATCGTTGGACCAGTTCACAGCTTGGCCACTCAACTTGTTGATATTCACCAGTTGGATGGTTTTCGTAACAAGACTAATAAGGTGTCTGGGTGCATACTACCCGAGCCGAATGTTGCACTAGTCTAGCTGTCATGCCAAAGCCAAATGCAATATTAGACTGAAGACGCGAGCCTATCTGGGTTTCAATCTATTGTGAACACGAGCGACACTGTATAGTCGCGTCGCGATTATGTAGCTTGATTGAATCCAACATGACGACGGTAAACAACCATCGATAACAAGTATTGCCAGATGCATATAACGATGGCTCTTCGACCGAGTTGGAGTGAATTTTTCATCCGCATCAACATACACTCGCTCACAAACACTCAATCGCTTACTTAAAACATCAACTCTCGCTTCTATCCCACCTTTTGATAAATCAATCCCCAAATATACAAAATGCAGATCATCAGCATCATCGCCGTCTCCTTCGCCGCCTTCGCGACCACCTTCGCCCAGAATGCGACCATGCCCGGGAACTCCACCAACGCTGCCTGCGTGTCCGGCTCTTACGGTTGCGAGAAGTGAGAACACCTCTGCCTTTCCATCTTTCCCCATCTCTAAATCCAGCCTTGAGCTCTCAGAAAAGAAAAGAAACGAGTCGTGAACTGACATAGACCACTAGTCCCCACAATGGCCTCCAGAACATCCGCGTCTGCACTGACGGTGTCTGGATGGTCGCTGCCACTTGTAACGAGACCACGGAGTGCGTCAAGGATGACAGCACCGGTGGCGTCACCTGCCAGGTCATGGATGGTTCCGAGAACGAGTAAGGAGACTTCGCTCGGTGTTTGAGGGATGCATTCTCTTAGAACGGATAGTATTTTGTGGCTATTAGGTAGACAGCAAGAAAAGAAGGGGGCGGACGTTTGGTCTGGAAATTTTGGAGATTGTACGGAGTACTTGCAATGACCACATTATTTACTCATTCATTATTTCAGATTTATGCAACATTGAGAATTGTAGTTCCAACAGTTTTCATGTTGTTTCCCCTGCGTTCTTTCCTCAGACTCCTTGCCATCTTCGCCGCAAATGTAGTACCCACGTACTACCAGAGAATCCCTGAACAACCCCCCAAAAAAATTTAAAAATTCTGCAGCTACGGAAGGGTTATCCATGGGCAATTGTAACAGGCGATGTGCCTGAGGCACGCAACAAATAGTGTATGCATTTCGGTGGCTGTTCGTTGTATGTCTCTTCCTTGCTCTAGTCGGCTAATTGTAGGAACGGCTATGGGTCTCGACGTCGACATGGCAAGATGGTATCGTTGCTATCGCCACCGTCGCTTGTTCTGGGTCTTGAAGCTATCGTCAATTCGCGAATCATCTGGTTTGGGAGAGATATAAGATGTTGGACCTTCAAGACTACTACACCAAGACTGCCAGTCTTGGAAGGATATAGGGCTACGTACCGCACGTTATGGGCTAATATGACCATCACCCATTGGACCACACAATTCCTGCCTGTGGGACAGGCAGGAATCATTCATTCCTGTCTATATAAGGTCCTTATGGCCGCTGTTCACTTCCTTCATGACTCTTCAGAGATCATGAAATCTTCAATACAAGACCATTTGCCCACAATCCAATATAAGCATTGCCTAATCAGCTAGGAATAATACTTACGCATTTACTTGAATCATATCAGAGAGCAGTTGCTGTATTAGTTAGTAGAGCGATGGCCTTCAGCGGCGAAGGTATTGCCTGCAGACGAAGGCAATGCGAGAAGGAAACCAAAGCTGAGCGGCTCAGGTCTACCAGCCCAAAGTAGGTTGTGCACGATCCATTCATCTTGTATGATGGCTCGTTCTTGCAGACCTGTTCGAAAACAGGTCGCTATAATTACTGTACACACGGTACGAGGAAGACGGAGGAATTTGCCATTTTGAGCCTACGCAAAACACTTAACCACAGATGCGTTAGTAATACCGGTCATGTGACTCTGTTCCGTTCTGTCTGTCGCGATTGGATGGTTAAATTGCGCATAGGAGTCTCTTTTTGCCTATCTCAGCCGGATCAGGCTGGCGGCTAGAGCTTCTCCTCTTCATGCCATGACAAGTTGACATTAAGACCTAGTATCGGCAATACTTGTGTCAAATCTTGTAACTCATGAAACAACAAGCAAAAGCATGGGATCATCATGGTGAGTTACGTGCTGTAACCTGGAATCCACGGACAGCTAACACAGGAACGTAGCCTTTGCGACAACTCTTTCCGGATCCCCAGATCTCTGACAGCAAACCAACCAAGGTGGAGTGCGTGAAAATTTAACGTTGGTATTTTCTCGAATTACCTGCTAATGTATCTTAGTATAATTGCCGTCCATGGCCTGAATCCTCGAAACAAGCCCGATACTGACCACGCTTGGGACACATGGCGCAAGCCTTCCGGACCGGACGGACGCTTGTGGCTTCGTGCCGACCTCCCCCAATCCGTTCCCGAATCGCGAATCTTTCTATACGAGTATAACGCGACAGCAGTCTATGGAAAGGACCGGGACACGTTCGTTGGTAAGGCTAGCGAACTTCTCGAGGCAATCCGAATCAAAAGGGATGACGAGTCTCGGCCTATTCTGCTATTGGGCCTGTCAGGGTACGGCTAGGCCGAAGGCAATAGTACAGAGTGATGGGGAGTAACGGGCGTCCCTCCTACGTAATACCGGGTGGTCACTGGCGGTCTCAGGTAGGGGTGCCCACGGTGATGCATTGATCTCTACTCTCCCTCTATCTTCTTCCCGGGCCTCCGCCCCTTACATAGATAGCTAGAACCCGACGTCGGAGCCGCGGAGCACTAGTTTCCCCGATTGTTCCGCAAACCAAGACTTCCATATCGTCATGACTCGCACATTCCTACACCGGAGCCCCACCGGTGTCCCACCGGTGCCTATGGCATTCTGTTCTCTGACAGGGCCACAGCATGGGCGGACTGCTGATCAAGCAGGCGCTGGTTAATGCGCACAACAATCCAAAGTATAAGCCCATAATAGATGCGACCAGAGGTCTGGCGTTTTTTGCTACACCACATAGCGGCAGAGACTCGACGTTGGTAAGCCTTGGCGGTATAACAACTAAGATCGCTAGGACGGCAGGGTTCCAGAAGGGAGATGAAATGCTTGAGACTCTCAAATCAGGAAGCATCTTTTCGGATATCTTACAGGAACACTTCAGGCACCAACTCGATAAATACGATATCATCTCGTTCTGGGGTGCTCGAGACATTGTAAGCTCATATTAAAGAACGGTGGATTCTATTACTAATCACATCCTACAGGTTGTGCCAGCGGACAGTGCACGGCTGGGATTACCTGGGGATCGCGAGCATATCGTGAAGCTGAACGCCGATCATAGAGGATTGTGCAAGTTTGGGGACAGCCAGATTGATCAAGACAACCTCGACTTGGTTCGAAGCAATGTCAAAGAGATTTATAAGGCAGCACTCATGCACCGTGAGTTAAATATCAATATCCCTGCTGTTAATCCGGAAGGAGAAACTACGACAGACAAGGATGAGCTGCAAAAACGGTTCAACAAGTTAAGAAGTCATGCTTGAACGTGCATTTGATGTTGTATGTAGTGAATAGTTGTGGTTCGGAAGATACATATAGCGTTTCAAGACACGGTTCCGTCCATGCGTGTGCGACGACTGGACTAACAATCTACAGAACCTCCAACTCCGCACATCCGTACCCGCACCCCACAGCGGCTCATCCCGTTTCCACGCAACGAGGATATCGTCGACTGCGCTATTTTCGCTGAGCTGGAAGTGCTCCTTCCCCCATCCCGCGACTACCAGAGCGCTGCCCTCTGGGGTTTGGGTGGACCTGGGTAAATATCCTACCATCCGCATCATTGCTACGGAAACTAATATAATTAAGAAAAACACAGATTGCCTTACAATTTGCCTACCGCAGCTGCCGTGACCCTACTTTCTCCGTCTTCTGGGTCCATGCCGATAATGAAACGACGTTTACACAAGATTATAAGTCGATCGCGGAGAAGCTTGGCCTTACAAGCACACCGGAAGGCGAAAAGCTACTAAAAGCGGTACGTGAAGGGATCGAGACGGATACACGCTGGGTACTTATTCTCGATAATGCGGACAATCTCGGCTTGTTTGGCGTCGGCCAGCAGACCAAAGATAAAGTATCGAGTCTGAGGGACTTTATCCCACGGGGTCCAACAGGCACGGTGCTCTGGACGAGTCGCGACGAGCATATTGCTGGGAGCCTAGTCGGCGCGCGACGGGCGATCAACGTCTCCAGTATGGCCTTCGACGAGGCGATGGCGTTGCTTGAGAGAGTTGGAAACAAGAAGGTCGGTAATGACGAGGCAGAAGATGCTGCTGCACTTCTCACCGAGCTCGACCGGCTACCGCTTGCTATCTCGCAAGCCGCAGCATATATACAGAGAACCCGAACGACTATCAGAGCATACCTATCGAAGCTACACAGAAGCAAGGAGCGATGGAAGATGCTAGAGGAAGCCGAGTTCGACCGACATCGACGAATTCAAGTCTCGAATAGTATATTAAAAACATGGAGCATTTCGATCGAACAAATTCGTCAAGACAACGAGATGGCGTATCGGATCCTACATATTCACGCCTTCGTAGACAACCAAAATATCCCATTTGAAATGATCAAATCCGCCGCGAGATACGATGACGAAATTGGGGCGGCGACCGATGATGCAACGAGTGATACAGTCAGCCTAGGCGCTACCATTTCCTCGACCGATAGCGAGGCTGATGACGACGACGTTTTCGCAGCAATCACCCGCCTTCGGGATTTATCGTTCTTAAGCAAACAGGCTTCTAAAGACAAAAGCCCGGCATACGAGATGCACAAGCTCGTGCAAGAGGCTACGCGTTATGGACTTAACAAACAAGGAGAGCCAGGGGAGGAAGGCGATTTCTCGAATATGGCACTGCAGATTGTCTCCAATCTATTCCAGGTTCGGCAGCGGGATCTACGGGGAGAATGCGAGAAGTATGTTGCGCACGCACTGCGAGTGAGTGAATGGGCAGAGTTATGTAAGGGAGAGAACAAAGCATCGGAACTCTTAACACGAGTTTCGAATTATTTACATGACCGTGGCCGATGGAGGGAGAAAGAAGCTGTAGACAGCAGAGCATACAGATTTCGAAAGAAGAGGTTAGACAAGCGCCACCCGAATACTATCCAGAGTATGGGTTTGCTTGCGGTGACATATCATACAATCGGGAGATACGAGGACCCTGTCAGGTGCAAATAAGCCACAGTGGCTTGGCCTGGACAGGGGTCGGAAATGTATAACTAGGCTGCTGTGACCCTCTTCTTTTAGAGAGGGCAGCGATTAACTTGTCGTTATTGAGTCCCCTATACTACGCTATTGGTACCTACCTGGTGACTGGCAGCTTGTTTCGCTTGAGCACTCTCGTCCTTCACTTTGCACTTGAAATCCCGTGACAGACGCAGAGAAGATCAAGATCCAAGTGCTAGAACTACGACAAGAGATACTAGGCGAGAAGCATCCTGACACGATCCAGAGTATGGGTGAACTTGCGGTGACATATCATACAATCGGGAGATACGAGGAGGCAGAGAAGATCAAGATCCGAGTGCTAGAGCTACGACAAGAGATACTAGGCGAGAAGCATCCTGACACGATCCATAGTATGGGTTCACTTGCGGCGATATACCATGCACTCGAGAGATACGAGGAGGCAGAGAACTTGATACCAGTGAATAAGGTCTGAGAATGGTCTATGTATTAGAGTAACGTAGTCCACGGTCCAATTGCACACTTCGGCAGATTTTCGTACGCTACCACTTTGACCTGCGGTTTTTCACCACATAACTATGGTTGGTTCTTGGAACGAAAGTGATATGATTCTAGCATTACATGCGCTTCAATCTGATCCAAAATTAAGTGTACGTCGCGCTGGTCAGATCTATAACGTACCTTTTAGAACCCTTGCGTATCGACGCGACGGTAAAACCGCTCGAGCGATTACGCGATCGCCAACGCAAAAGTTGGCTCCTTCCGAAGCCCAATCACAAAGCAATTATGTGAAAAATAGGATTGTACGACATCAAAATAGCTCACCAACGTCAATTTTTGCTGGAATAGATCAGATTGCGCCAGGTACAACGAAGGTTATGCATCGGCTTGCCCTTTTAGAAGGCGAGGTCGAATCACTTCGAAAGGCAAATGAGACCTTAAGTCGACGTCGCCGTGCGAAGAAAAAACAGCTACAGAGTGGAGGGTCACTTCGTATACAAGCTGGACAGGACCTACAGTCTCAACGAGAGGTTGATGGGCAGTTACATGACGAATTTCGTCAAATTGGTGGTCGTACGAGGCGGCGAATTGCGCGTGTACGGCGCTGTAGAATCTGCGGCGAGCCCGGACATAATGCGCGCACTTGTGGAAATGATGTAGAGACATCTGAAGATAACGATTCTGAGTAGTTTCAATTGATGATAGGCGTTGTGGTTGAATTAACTTATACATTGTCGTATAAGGTCTGCCAAAGTGTGCAATTGGACCGTGGACTACGTTACTTTACCGAGCTTACACAAACATCTCAGTTATGCCCGCTGGCACTAAGGTTATTTCGGCCAAATCATGGGGGCTCTCAGCTTGGACCAAGACCGCAAAGATATCAGCGGTTCTCCCAGATTAAAGTCTCAAGAAATATTTCCTCAAGGTAATTGATTGCCCCCATATCTATGTTGCAGAAGCTGATGCGAGTTAGTGTGCCACTGGGAAACTAGCCGAGGTACAAATGTGGGGAGAGCACTATTCTGCTGGCATTATAGCAGAGCATTTGCCCGACTTTGGCCCCCAACCAGTTGGTAAGGGGGAATATTATGATGAGACAGGGGCTCATGTCTACTTCTACCTGATGAACTACCATGGCATGGATCAGGAGAGCCCTCCCGATCCTGCCGAACTCGCGTTTGCGATCGCTGAACTCCACCGGAAAGTGAAATCCCCCAATGGAATGTTCGGATATCCACTGGTCACTGGTCGTGGTACCTTGGATCGCTCAGAGCACTGGAGCGCAACCTGGGCTGATCAATTTACTTACTTGCTCGAGGATCTTATAAAACTGGACAACCAAGTGAATCAACCCTAGCCAGAGTACGACGCAGCCTGCAAGCAACTCATAGACAAAGTCGTTCCTCGACTTCTTGGAGCGCTTGAGTCTGAGGGTCGGAGCATAACACCTACGCTCTGCCATGGGGACCTCTGGGAGGGCAACGTCGCTACTAATATGGAGACGGGCAAGATCATCATCTTCGATCCCAACGAGTGTATGTACGCACATAACGAGATTGAGTTTGGGACTTGGCGGTGCACCTGGGCGACTCACTTCCAGTCGCCTATGTACGTCATGGCCTATCGACGTGAGATTGAACTTTCCGAGCCGGTCGAGGAATGGGATGATCGCAATAGACTCTATTCAATCAAGGCGTCAATCTGCGACTCAGCGGGTCATATAGGGAGCAACTCAAGAAATCTGTGCGTGCTTCCCATTGTTTACAATATCTGTCTCTTTATTGTGGTTCACTGACTTACATGACCGGGATGAAGTGCATATAACGACATGTTATATCTCTGCGCGAAGTATGCCCCACTCGAATCTCTCGAGAAATACGATCCAGAGAAAGACATCAGTGTCACAGGAGTTCGGGAAGCTTACGATTTGATGGCTGGGGTAAAAATTCAAATTTAAGAACAAGCCAACGACTGATAGTCGAAAGACAATAATAGCTTGGTCGCGTACCTGCCAGCTAAGCAGTGTTGGTATTGTGTGCACTTTGTCTCCACGACATACCTTTGCTGTATTCTACAGGCAGCAGACCAAGAACTAAAGAACAGAGAAATCCAAGTGATGTGAACGTCCAAGCGACGCCAATGGCTTGGATCAAGTCCTCTATGTATGCGACTGCCAGGGCAGCGAAGGCGCACCGTACCACACTTGTGGAAGCGTTGGCCGCTGAGGGCTTTCGGTGATTGATATCCACAAGTAATGTGTTAAAAGCCTGAGATGATCGAGTCAGTTTGGTTCTACGTCGAAGTTATGAACGAAGCTCTCACAGTAAAGTTGAGCTGGAGAGCCAGACCCACGATGAACTGCAGCGTCAGTGGGGCGGCAAGATGCTGATCTCAGATTAGTCTTTTATGAAGCGCGTGGCTTTTCGTACATGGGTGTCCTGTGACACATACCTGCCTGTGTTGAAGAGCCCAGCCGTAGCTTACGACACAAAGAGCGATCACAGCCGTGGGTGCCCACATGACATTCAGTCGGGCTTTCTCAATGGGAAAACTATCCAGATCATCTCCTCGCACCTTGTCGGTTGACAGACCACGCTTGGTGCGGGCGATCCTGTATGTCCTGTCCAGCAGCCATCCAGAGAAGAATGTCGAGGACGTCCCACCTAGAGCAAATGGCAAGTAACTGAGCCCGGCTTGCCACTCAGATAAGCCATATATGTCAATGAGAAGTGTCGCCGAGGTAGCAATATTACACGCGTATATAGTATAAACGAGCCCCCAGGCCAGAACCAAGACAGTATTGTCCTTCCGTAAAAGAAGCTTCAGAGAACCCAGTGGATTGCGTACTCTTATGCCATGTCGCGGGCCCTCACTGTCTTCTTTGGACCAATGGCTCATTGAGGTTGAGAACGGAAGGCGCAGATGGGGCGCTGGCTTGATGGAGCCATTGCCCACAATGTTCCTCGAAGTCTCTGGGAGAAACAAGAGAATAGTACCGAGACATGGGCCTGAGACGATGACCAGGACCCAGAATATCCACGCCCAGCCCGCGGCATAGCTGAGGGCACCGCCAAGAATGGGTCCAATAGACGGGCCAATATTTACTCTGAAAAATTGTTAATTTAAATATCCCTATATGTTGTGGGGCTGCGATCTTATACGGGCGAGGCTATTATATACGGTGGTTATCTGTAGCGCGATCGCCTTCGGGGCGACTGCGTGGCATACTATAAGTGAGGAACCGGCAGGGCCAGCTAAGAGCCTGATGGGGATACAGAACGAGTGCCTCCGGGTAGTCTGTGGCGCCCACAAAGCGACGCCGGTTCGCCACCTGGAAGCAGAAGCAGCAATCCCGCCACTAGACCTCTATCTTAGTGCCCGGGCTGCTAAGTTTGAAGAACGGCTATGGCTTAGCGGGAAGAGAAATCTGCTTCGCAGCGCGAGCGCTAAAGCGTCACATATACTCCGGCAGGATAGGCCGGCGAAGAGGAAGCAGGCGTCGCAGCTACTCCGACCGGCAGGGTACACTATGGAGAAGGAGGCCCGGGGCTCCGAGTGGATGAGTGAGGAAAAGGAGGTCCCGGCTGCCCTCCTCGGCCACTGGAGGAAGAGATGGCTCACCGGAGCAGAGCATCACGATCGCCAGCGACGCGCCATCGCTGAGGAACCGGAGGGCCCTTCGATGCAGATACCGAAAGGGGGCAAGTATTTTGGCCTGAACCGACTGGAAGCGTCTACGCTGTGCCAGATGAGGACGGAAAAAATAGGACTAGCAGCTTTCTTATTCAAGACAGGGGCTTTTGGCGTGTACTCGCCGCTATGCCGCTGTGGCGACGCCCCTGAGACGGCAGAGCACGTAATCCTCTTTTGCGGGCTGTTGGAAGGACCGAGGGAACGATTACGGGCCGCCATCGCACCACGGCCACTATACTCTCGCAGAGACCTCGCAACGGCAACAGGAGATCCAGTAGTTAGTGGGACTATTGTAAGGTGGCTGCTAGGGACGGGTCGGACAGCTTCAAGGCCCAGATAGCATCGATCTTCTCAGGGGGACTTTGTTGGTAGGTTGAGAACCAACGTAGTATGGTAGTGAACGCAACGCAGTCGCCAATAGGGCGAACCGACGACGCAGCGTATGTATTTAGTCCAGCCATTAGGGCACGGTTTGACATACGGGAGTACTAGCAGAGGTACCGGGGGCTTCGAGCCTACGGCGTATTTAATAATAATAATAATAATAATAAAAATAAATATCCCTCATTCGATATCGAGAGACGAACGCAAAAGAGATAATGCTGATAAACGTGCCTCGCTCAGCAGGCGGCGCGATGTCACTAATGACGCCGTACTCAATGAGAATGATGACTGCGGCAATTAGCAAGACATCGAGGACGCATGATGCTTAGAAATGAAATCAATGCTTCATCATACTAGATTGTCCCAGGGCTTGCAATACTCTGAATCCAAGTAGCTGTCCGAAAGACTTCGCTAGGCGCAAGACTGATGTTGGCGATGAAGAACAAGCCTAGTGTAAAAATGTACGCTGGCCTTCTTCCCAGAGTATCAACAGCATCCCCAACCAGTGTTGGTGCCACTGTCGCGACGGCCATATACACAGTGACTGTCAGGTTGATGTGGTTGACCGAAACAGAGAAGGACTCAGCCAGTAGCTTCAACGCCGGCAGGAAAATGAAAGGACTCGTGTTAGCACACCATGAGGCGTACGATACCATAACGACAATGAGGCATTTTTCGGTTGTGGTGAAAACGGAGAACCTGGCCTCTTCGGCACATCGTGCAGCTTCGGGTGTCGATGAGGCCTTTTCGGCATCCTCACTGTCTCTAGGCATAATTGGTGAATTGTTCCGCGTTTTATTTCTGCAGCGCCGCCTCGATGCGGTGTATTTGGGAAGAGAACAGAGCAGACGAGCTGGCTAGATGCATGTCGCTCTGCACTCGATCCGCACAGCCTTCAAGCCCCTCTCTGTGCGGGGTTGACCACTGGTGTTTGCTCCTGAAGCAGTTTTGTGGACCATCTCTTATAAACAGAAGGGCTGTAGTTAACTGATAGTGGATGGTGACAAGGTGACAAAGTTTTTGTTTGCGCCGCTTAAAAGTAGATGAGAGAGGTGCAGCAACCTGGTTGAGATTGATGTATTTGGAGAAATTGACCAGCAGTGAACCTTCAGATCCCAATGCTGGCAACTAAACGACCCTTGATGTGAAAGTCTTGATGGGGATGTGTGCAGGTGTGCATTGCAGAGCTGAGCACAGCCTTCAAATACGGATGGGTGCCGGGTTTACCAATTTTTAGGACCAGCAGTGATGGGTGTATTGCGAGGATCTGTTAATGACGTCCATTTAGTGCAAAACCCTTTTATAAAAAGGAAGCAGCTGTTACTGGAAAGAAATGTTGATTGGCAACAATTGAGCTAGACTTCAACTATTGTCCAAGCTGGTATTATATCACAGCATAACGATCCACACCACGAGTGATGGTCAGCCATATGTTTATCTATTACTTAATTTTGAATATGATCTCGTATTTCACCCTGGAGTACATTTAGTACATCCAATACATCTATAACATTAAGCACCACAACTTAAGCACCACAACTTAAGCGGCTGTTTGATATGTGGCGCTGTCTTCTAAGAACCTTATACATACATATATGGCATATTTTCATAAGTAATCTGCCTTTTCAGGTTCCAATGCGCTAATAGAGATAACTTTATGCTTAAAGGGCTCAACAGCACTCTAATCTTATGTCACATGCAAGCCATCTTTACCCAAGAACAATTGGCGGTCTCGACGAATTCGAGAAATCACTTGACGCTGAGAAGGTCGAGCGAGAGCAGACTGAAAAGCGCAAACACCGAAAACATTGCCATCACCGAGACTTATCTATGCTGTGCGACGGCCACCGGCACAGGCACCACAAATCCACGCTCATGAGGGGACGAAGACGGGCATCGACACAAGCGTTCTCGATAATCAGGAGACGACAGGGGAGACCGTAGACAGCACAGGAGGCACAGACATGATAAGAATCTCGGGGAGAATCGTGAGCCAGAAAGACACAGTCATGTCAAGAAATCGGATTCCGAAGATCTCCCAGTTCCCGACAAAGAAGTTTCCGCTGTGGAGTCCAGTACGGAAGATACGAATCTGGTTCGCGACGATTGGACGACAGGCCCATCTGCTTTGGGAGTCGATTGCATACAGAAAGGGGCCAAGTGAGACAAAACGCCGCCTCCAAAGAAGAAGCCAGCCCGAGCCATACATTCTCGCGAGATCAATGCGGCGCAACGACAACAGCTCAACGAGGGAAAGACACTTGATACTCTGGATTTTCAGACGCAGCACGATATTAATTACATTTTTAGGGACACAGGTTCAAACTGGCACATGACCAAGCTGCTGAAAGGGGTATACACAGTAGCAGAGCAGACAGGACGTCCAGTAGAGGATGTGGCAATAGAACGCTTCCGCATTCTGCGCGACTTTGACGATGCAAGTGAGGAGAGGGTAGGAATGCACAGGCACAGAACTTACGGAGAAGGCTACGTGGGTAAGGAGAAGCCTAGTGGGGAACTATTCCAAAAACGCAAGGCGAAGATGGGTGTTCATGAAGAGAAGCGCCAGTGGGAAGAACCAAGAGCTGATCAGGGCACAGTGATACATAATCCTACGACTAGCCAAACAGTCGGGAAGGTGGAACAGACAGCGCTGAACAAAATGCACGCCCAGATGATGAAGGCGAAACTCCTTCGAGCACTCCGGCTATATATTCGACACCTACCTCAAGATAAGAGATACTTAGACTATGATCGAAGCGTTGAAGTACCTCCTAGGAGTACTAGCTAACCAGTACCAAATAAGTCCGGAGGTACTCGAGTGTGACAACGAAATTACCAAGAGTCTCGAACTACAGACCTTTCTCAGGGATAAAAAGCATATCCGTCTCGAGCCTTCGGCACCTACACCCAAGCACAAAATGGAGGCGCCGAAAGCTCAGGGGCGTAATAAAGGAGAAAGCTCCAGCGATAAGAGAAGGTGCAAATTTACCTTCTTTTCTATAGGTTCAAATCTACAAGGCTGCTGTGTACCTACACAAAAGAACCCCTAAGTATCCTTATCCTAGCAGACCCCGTACGAATCATTCTACACTTACTTAGCGTATAGGGACGGTATAGTTGTTAACGATCGAAAGCCACGCCAAACTCATCTTCGGGCCTATGAATGTAAGGCGTATGCTATGTCTACAGCAGAAGAAACAGTTCAAAAAGCTCAACCCGAAGGCATGGATAAGCTACCTGGTTTAGTATAACTCGACTAACATCTACAAGGTGTGGAATCCATTTACCAACAAGGTTATCGCCGTCATGGATGTTGTCTTTAACGAGGACGGCTTCTTCTCTAGAGATACTAAGGATCTGAAGGCCGATCTACTGCATACCACTGAAGATAATGTAGCCGCCCTCTTACGAGAAGTTCAAGTCCATGAACCAGACAACTATTCTACAAGCGCCTCGACGCAGTAGTAAGATGAAGAGCTCAGCGGAATAATACAGTAGCACTCAGGGGTAGAAGAGAGGACTCACGGAGGCGAACTATCAGGCGGGAAATCGGCACATAATGAGCCGGACTCTGCATATACTGGAGATCTTGATCACCCCTATTCGACTGCACAATTCGAGCCTACTTGATACGTGACCCCATGGGGGGTTGCCCTATAGCTAGAGATAAGATAGATAAGAGCTATAAAAGAGCTCTGGCAGGCCAGAATAGCTGACCTGGCCATCCTTTCCCAATACAACAATTCACACCCCATATGCACTCGCATCACTACTCCACCCCCTGTAGCAGCGCTGTTGGATGCTACTACTAGAGAGCTTACGGAAAGTGGGGAAAGTGCTGAGCATTATGCTCGCTGCTGGAGGGAGTTCGCTAAGGTTACCCGCACTCCTCTAGTTCCGGGCGGAGAAAACCTCTGGGTCATCCGTCGCCGCCAAAGTAATTAGTAGGCCGCGTTCAACGCTGGCAAAATATCTACTCCTATTGGTACGATCGATGGTAAGCGGACAAGCAAGCCGGAGTTCAACAAGCTAGTGAATAGACCACTCAGCTACCTTAATAGGAACGAGTTCAAGAAATTATCCATTCCCGGCTCTAGTATACCAAAAGGTACAAGCCATATCCATCGAAGAGACCTCTCGCTTCTACCAAAGAAGAATAAGGATCTCGAGGTCCATCCTCTAGGCCACGGCTTCTGGATGCGGAGAAGGCTCACCTACAGAGTCATGTAGAAATACAGTCCTCGGTTGAGACTGATAACAGATGCCCAAGAGCCACCAGATACTGAACTGCCTCTGGGTTTATGTATACAAGTTCGACAAGCTTGGATTGTTTCTGAAGTTCAAGGCCCGTCTCGTCGTACGAGGCGATCAACAGGCCAAGTCGGTGTACGAAAACACGGATACATCCACTCTGGTCGGCAGGCCTTTTAGAACTCTTGTAGCTATTGCTGCAAGGTTCGACCTTGAATTTATGCAATACGATGCAGTCGATACATTCGTTAACGCTAAGTTAGCCCACTATGTCTTCATGTGAATGTCCCAAGGCTACAGGAAGCGAGGGACGATTCTTCATTTCAAGAGAGCTCTGTATGTCCTACGAGAGTCCCCTCTACTTTGGCAGAAGGACTTTACGTCTACAATTACTAGGCTTGGCTTCTCAACTATAATGCACGAGCCCTGCTGCTACAGCAGACAAGGGTATTCATCTTCTTCTATGTCGATGATATCGTGTTGGCGTACAGGAAAGAGAACCAAGGCCTCGTGAACAGAGTAATAGAGAAACTGAAGTCTGTCTATACGCTGACTGGAGGAAATGACCTCCAGTGGTTCCCAGGCATTGAAGTCATCAGCGATCGCAAGCAGAAACGGATCTGGCTGTCCCAATCTGACTATGTCGATAAGGTGGCCAGCCTTCTTCAAAATAATGACGATCCATATCCAGATAAGCCGATGAAGAAGATGGAGCCTCTCCCCTTCGATGGCCGTGCTACTATGAGAAGTATCAACCAGTACCAGAAATTCATAGGCTCTGTCCTATACGCAGCGATCATCTCTCGAGTCGACGTGAAGTCGATGCAGTCATAGTCACCGGAAACGATTCCCACCTCGGTATCGGCAAATGACTCTACGAACAGTCGGCGAAGAACCCAAACGCCACTTGGGATTAGCTGTGCCCGACCTCCCTAACTTATTTCTGCTGACGGGTCCCAAATCCCCCTGCACCAAAACGCCTCCTCAGGACGAAGTGCAGGTCGAATTCGTTGCAGGTCTCATCACATATGGGGACTCAAGCTAGGAGCTTGCGTTGTTATAGAAGCAACACCAGAAGCTGAGGCGTAATGGATAGAGATAAGTAGAAGACTGGTTGAGGAAACTCTATTTTCCAAGGTAGGAGGGCGAGTGTTCGGAAAGAATGTTTCCGAGAAGAAGCAGAAAGCCCTATTTGTCTTTGGTAGACTGAAGAAATACCATGAAATGTAGGTTGAGGTCGTTTCCAAGGGCTATGGTGGGTTTGAGGTCAAGAATGTGGCAGATTCGGAGTTATGCGGGCGGGGGGGTAATGTTGTGCATACATGCTTGGCGATCGTGTCAGCACGACTTGTGTTCGATGGGTTGGGATGGCCTTAGCTTCTACAGAGGTGAAATAAGGGCCCGCCGACCCCAATAACGATGGACACCCGAGCTAGTTCAACATCCAGAGCGCATCAATGACAGCATGCCCAGGGTGTTGCAGCAATGTAGACCTGTTAGAGTTTGGAATTCTAGCAAGAGGCTCAACGTCCTCAGCAACCTCTGCCCCACTACAGTAATTACGCCTAAGCAGCGCCTTTTTACGGAGCCGAGCTTTGTGGCGGCAGGCACACTCCGTCATCTGTTTGTCCCTTACGTTTACACGTTCTGATGAAAATTATTCGTCCCGCGCCCATAAGCAGCCCGATCCACACGATACCGTCTCCCCGGGATCCCGTGGCTGACGGTCGTGGTTAGCAGGCCCTAACGAACCTGGAAACAAGGGAAAACTTATCTGCTCGGTAGCCGTGGCACCGACTTTAGGTTGGACCCTGTGGATCTTGATTCAGCAGTCACATCCAAGCTTCGCTCTCAGCTGAGGGTGACATTTCGTCAGCGGGACTCTTGGCGCAACGACGAGCTTACTTCTGCAAGCTAAGCAGGTCCTTATACGCGATGAGCCGAATCCAGAGACGAAAGCTAAGGCCAAGTTTGGATGACGAAGAGTCTGGGGTCGGATCTGTCCAGGTTAAAGAAGTTCCCTAGAATAGCATGGAATCATGTTTTGATTCGAACAATTGTGTAATTACTATTTAGGCATTGTGCAGATGTAAAAATTCCAAAGTCAGAACCTCGCAGCGTCACAAATAGGAAAAGAAGTCATCTCGGAGTAAAGATTGTATCAAAGTGGTATCCTAAAAGCACATCCATGAGGGACGTCTGATATACATATAGATGGACATAACAAATGGAAATTGGTATCTCTGAGAAATCAAAAAAGCGAGCGAACATACTTCAACAACCGGCCCAAAACTGGCAGCTTGGGACACTGCGTGCCATAGGTGTCCTCGGAGTTGTGCGAATCCATCGACTGACGTCGCTCCTTCACAAACTTAGGCCATGTGTTTGTTAAAACCAGATACTTGATGCTAGTTTCCGCATTGTCAAACACCGTCCCATCAAACCCTTCAGGGATATCGCCCCAGTACTGGACTCTTTTGGAAATAGCCCGAAGCTCAGTGGTGCTGACGTTTAATTCGTCTGTTGCTGGCCCGTGAATGGCGTTCTTTGAGGGTTGTGACGCCAAGCGTAGCGGGTCGGCCTTCATGGGCCACTTAAAGCCCTCAAACGGCGTGATCATGTCAGGATCAACAAGCGGCTTGTCTCCATAGAGGATCCTCGCGGCCCGCTCGAACATGGTTACGAGATTCTTCAACTCTGTAGACGAGATGTTGATGGGAAATTCGGCGTCGCGGGGGCTGATGAAGTCACTGTAGATGCGCAAGGCGCCGGTGAATTGCTCGCTGAGCTGATCGCTTGTGGGTTTGGGTACAAGTGAGCCCTTCCACTCGGCGACGGTGGTTAGGAAGGCGATGTTCTCCCCTGAAAAATCCTTGAAGGCCGAGAAATGGCGCAAAGTATTCGGGTTGTTCGTTAGGACGTGCTCGAGGGCACCCATGGTGAGGAGACTCTCGCTGCAGCAGCTGGTGGCGGAGTGTCTTGATCCCTTCTCCATGATGCTCATGGAGTTCCATGAAATCAATGACTTGGCCATCTTGCTGGATCGTGATCCGGCTGTTGAGCTATCGCCGTTGCCGTTATTTCTGTATTCCCAGGCTGCTATTGCTTCAAGTGTTTCTTGACGCAATGTTTGGTGTCTTAGGACTTGCCAGCAGGGAATGAAGATGGTGAATATTTCTAGCAGCATGATGGACAGACAGAGCCTGCAGATGGTTGTTAAATGCATAGAAAAGTCTGAGATGGTTTAGTAACGCTTACCACTGAGGCGGGATCCAGTATGCATTGACTGGAGCCATCTCTGGTACGTACAATGCGATCAGCCACATTGGTGTTGCATGAAGGCTACTGATGTTAGCACCATGTCAACGAAAGAGAATTAAAAGGTACTGACTTGGAAAGGCAGCATGCAATAGTTTGAAATCGCCAACCGATGGTGTCATGAATTTTGCGGGACTTCCATAGAATGACGGGGGCAATTATCCACGCCCACACGAATTGCCAGAAGACGGACGGCCACCACTCCCATCCCTTTCCCCTGGCGAGTTTAATTTCGAGTGGAGATCCATTGACCTCTGTACCCGGAACTCCAAACCATGGATGATATTTTCGTGAAATAAGCCACATAATAACGGTGAGAAGAAGCTGTGGATATTAGACGGAAATGACTACGTGTTGTAAAGAGCTCTTACCTGGAGGACCATTCCCGTGCCAACAAACACCAGCATCCTCTTAGTATGGCCCATGCAGCGCAGCCGGCTAAGGATAGTCTTCTTCGAGGACGCAGTCGCTTTTTCACGAGCATTCGTGACGGCAAACTTCTTCTGGGCGCTGGAAACGTCAAGAAATCGGCTGTTGGCAGCATGAAAAAGCGCAATACCGAAGGGCAGCCATAGGCCCATGACCCAGAACTCGGCGCCGTCGGGGACGAATGGACCGATGATATAACCAATCTGGACTGATATCCAGTATATATGCAGTAGAACGACTGCGGCGAATGATAACGGCAACCCTCGCATTCGCAAAAGTGGCATGCGGCGATTTTGGAAGAGGAAGCCCATACCAGACAGTATGAAAACAGTCCAGACGCTCGCCCATGTGATCCAGAAGATGCCGACCGCATCGAGTTGGGCTTGAGGTTGAGGCGGGGCCGTAGTTGCTACTGTTGCTGATTTGGCCATCTTGATAGATTTCCTCGGTGTGTTTCTTCATGGGATTGACCAATAAACACTCCAAATAGCCCGCTGACCGCTTTGAAGGAGAGACGAGAAGGAAGCTTGGGATTGTATTGTTGACAGGCAAGCACAAGGTCCCATCTGGACAAGTTGCTTAAGGGGGTTATATCAACTTTTGCAGCGAGGTGCAAGAGACGTATCTTGCAAGAAAGTCCGAGATTTTATGCTTTCTCTGTTAAATTTCCGTCGTTGGTGGTGAACATGACTAGCGAGCGCTAGGGATAGGGCGTCGCGCATCGTTGTGTCGATCAGTCGCCGCGTTTTGCACATTGATCCTGCTTCAGAATATGGCCAACGTGGGGCTCCATCAGCTTACAGACCTATGTAAAGTACCATTGGCCTCGAGTAATATATGCTCTCAAGATCACTTGTTTTTCTTGCATGCTGGAGGGAATACGTGATTCTTCTTGAGCTAGACTGCTTCGCGATCAGAAAAGTTCTGGATGACAAAAGCAACAAGATCAGAAGGAGAGCTATGAGGCAAGGGCAAGCTAATCGTTCGATGGGTTCGTCTTGCTTTCTTTTGCAGTCACCTTGCAGCGAAAGTTGCTTCTCTGACCTGTTGGCTGTTCAATCATGTGTCGTACCGGACAAGTCGTTGCCGGGTGGCTCATTTTCCGTCTTGGGTAACCAAGGCACTTGACATGCCTTAAGCAGCTGTTAGGTACGTGTTAACACTGCCAATACCGCCATGGCGTGTCCCTGCATAGGAAAAAGACAATTCAGGATGCTCAGTTAGCAAGTCTGAAGCCACATAATGCTAGTGGCTCGACTCGGCCCTTCTGCGATTATGGCTTAAGGCTAATAGCTATCTGTGCTGGTGGCCACAACAAATGTGCTCGAGTAGTTCGGTGACCTCAGATGAGGCCAAAATGGCTTCTTTGGCGGGAAAGCTAGACGATAGGTCAAGATTCGAATAAAAGGTTATCACTGGATTTATGAAGAAGGCCACAATATTCCAGCGGTCAGCGAAGCTGAACTTAATGACGACGATCTCATCGCCGAACAAGGAGTTCCTCGACTAGGAGATAGGCTTTTTGGCGTCAACCGTTTTGGGTTCTTGATCGAAAATTTCCCTACCCAGTAACCTGTAACCTTTCCACATATATACGGAATGGTCTGCAAGATCTCAGCCCCCTAGCCATGTGTTCGGTGCCCAGTTTTCTTGGTCGCTTGGCAGCTGTCGTCCAATGTCTCCCTTCTGCCAAGCAATATTGACATATCACGAAATTTGACGATGGCGCGCTCACAATTCTTTTGCATGGTCGCGGAGTATGCTTAGACCATGCGGCAACTCCCAAGCGAGCACTGGTTGTTGAATCGAATGAGTTGGATAAGTCCTGTATGATTCGATTCTCATTGTCAAGCCATTTGAGCATAGACATCAAGACCTGGATTCGTCTAGAGAAAACTACGTACGGAAGCGCGTTGAATCGCATTCAGACGGTATGAAATCACTTGCACTCGTGGCCAATCTGTGACGTGCAATCTTCAATGAAGGCAAAGTACAGTGCTTCTCATTGACATGTAGTCTTATTTTGTGGTCGATCTTGCTAGCAGCAGGGTGACTGCGTGGTTACTATCAATCAGAGTATCGACAGACAAGGTTACAGCGCTAAATAAAAGGCAAGGGAGCCGGCTTGCGCGCTGCCCTTTCAACATGGCGGCGTGGTAGACGAAAACAACTATTGCCGATATTCAAGGCACATCATTCTGGAGTGTATTGTCCAAAATATTTTATGATACAGCATCGGAATGCATGCTGTTGTACACTGGATATTTGATACGCGCTTGTAGCCTGCCTTGGAGAAAGCTAATAGTCTATTTAATACGTTCTATACTGGGCCGAATTTTCTGCATCCCTGCGTATCATTGTGCCACGCCAGATCTCTGCCGACAAATCTCCAACGCAGCAGGGCCATACTCTTTGGACTCCGATACTACGTCCTCACGCAAATCTCCGGTGTACACGTTGGGCATGGGCCAAAACACTAGAGTTACCCCTTAACCACCTCTTTCTGGCTACCAAAAAAACTGTAAGTGACAGCTTTGATTTCCAACTTAACTAAGCTTACAACAGGGCCCGGATCATCTTCTATTTTGGCGCTTATACACAGAGTACATACTGTGATCGTTTTCATGCAAACAAGATAAAATTTCCACGCCTGCAGAACGGCAGAATTGATAGTGTTCAAGTCTCAATTGATTCTAGTCGTACTGCGAAGGAGCCATTTATGCCTTCACATAATTTCTCAGGGACCTATAACGTGAATGTACACCGAGCTGGCCATGACACCGAGCTGGCCACTTTCATGCGCCAACGCGACCGGCCAACTTCATCTTTGATTTTCCCAACAACCAATTATGGCAAAGTCATACAACGAAGCAGACTTAATGTTAGCCCTTCAAGCTCTCAAAAATGACCAAAAACTTAGTCTCCGACAAGCGGCAAAAACGTACCAAGTCCCCCGAAGCACCCTCCAAACGCGTAAAAACGGCGGCTCGCCCCCGTACGGGCCGAGTGCGCTGAGCTTCGAGAGGCAAATAAGATGCTAAGCCGGCGCTGGAGGACTAAAAAATGCAATTACGGGAAGGAGAATCACTTATTTTCCAAGAAGGACAGGACCTACGGGACTCTAGGGAGTTGGCGACGCAGATACAGCAAGAAGAGCGCCGAAATGGTGGTCGCGCAAAGCGTGTTGAAACGCGCCCGAGGCGCTGTGGTATTTGCAACGGGACTGGGCATAATGCGCGAACTTGTAAGATAGCATTGCCATCTTCTGGACAGGAAGATTCAGAGTAGTTTCAATTGATTTACGGCGTTGTGGTTTTACTATCATAAAATTTCTATGCGAGGTTATGTAAGGGTGGCCAGCTCGGTGTCATGGCCAGCTCGGTGTACATTCACGTTAACTTGACTTTAAGGTTTACTGTAGTAAGATCAGCAATAAAGAAGAGCCGGATCCTGACGCAAGGCAGTAGATCAATTCAAGTGGCTCTTATTGCCACCTATGTACTAGCTAAATACATGGGGAGATGCCAGATCGATATCGACGGGCCATTCTGAGATTAGATTAGTGCTTGGCACTATTTCTCGACATTTGGAAAGCCATTTCTAGCCGAATTCATATCGGGATTGGTGCTTGCCACTAAAATAGGAAAAGGTCCAGGCGCTGAATCTGGTTTAGTGACTGGCTGGGAGGAAGCCGATTTCGTTACCAACTTACTGCATATCCCTGTAGCAGACGAAGATCAGATCATCACCTGTACACCTTCTACAGTAGGCTCTAGCGTATCTCTCTATTGCCTTCATGTGAGGCAATAAATCCGTAACCTCTAAAGCATATCCTTTCCATACTAAAAAGAAAGGCGGGATAATCTAGCTGTGTACCCTATGTAATCTATATTCGCTTGCATGTATGTATGTATGTATTGGTTTATGCTGTGAGGGAGCGTTGGCCCCCACACATCCCAATGGGGATATACGGCGTGCACAACTATCTATGTAAATATGAACAAAGACAAAGGAAATAAGAAAGCGATATATGTGGTGTGTTTCAAGTCCTAGAGCGTAGCATGAGAGTCAACCCATCCCCGTCAGCCCTTACCCGTCAGACTCGTCTCCGGCAGCTTGAAAATAGTTAGAGGCTTCCCTTTCGGAGTCGCTTCGTGTAAATAAATGCCCGTGTATCTAGTTTAGTAGTTGGGGCAGATTTTGCTGAAGAAGCCTGTAGCCTCTACAACCTCACTAAAGACTTCGGAATCGGTAAGCAGCTCTCGCCAGTAGGCCAGACCTTGGCTCTTTGACGTATCGTGTTCGGGCCAGCGGTGGATAAGAGCCTATGTTCGCTTGCAGCATCCAAAAGTCGGCTAAAACTGCAAGCTGACTGGGCAATTCCAAATTAAATAGAGAAAGAGACTCACTTACGAAGCCTGTTTCGTCCTCTTCGCAGCATCTAATTCTGGTTCCTGGTCGCCACTCTTCTTTGTTCTTTTTTTTAAAAAATTTTTGAATCTCCTTCTCGTGTAACACTTATGGATGGGACATGGGAAGAATTACGAGATTGGAAGAGTATGCTGCCTGTTGTCTGCGTCACTCTCAAGGTTCCGCGAAAGAAATTCTCAGTATTTACCGACATGAATCGGAGCAAACTGGGCACACCCAATGTCCACTGTCTCCTCCAATATTCTTGTTCTCCGGAATGAATACCTGGCAGAATCTCTTCCCTGCCTATCAGCTCGCATTTGGAGCCCTATCCCCCAGCGGTAAGCCCAACGATGATGCCTTTGAGATTTCTGTGTCAGAAGATGATCTCAGCTGGCAAGGAACTTCAGCGCTTATTGTAGCATTATATGTGCCCGCATTCTTCCTGCTCTTGGAGCCTCGGAGAGGTACAGTAACATTCGGGATCCTTAGTTCACCTGCGACTACCATGGCCTTTGTTTCGAAGCTGGGGATGACTGTGAATGTGTACGAGACCACTCTCAACAACTCCACCAACGTCTACATCACCCGCCACGTCCCCAATCAAACGGGGTTTCCAGCTGCTCCCGGCTTTGCGCAAACAGAGCGGATAATACCTGAGATTATCAACCCAGGTGCTGATTCTTCATTGATAGCCGGAGTCGACTAGACGTCACATCCGACGACTATAAATCAGAAAATACCACAAATACATCAGGTATGCGGAGCATTGTCTCTATAGTCCTATGCAGCCGTGATAATTGGTCAAACTAGCGGTTAATCTGTTCGATTTGCAGTAGTTTAGCTACAAGCTAATTCTTCTTAGTGTATGTTCTACATCGCCTACGTTGCCGCCGAGAACACGGAGCTCGGCTTCCGGTCCATGATAGACCCGTACCGCCCGGACTACTAAGTTGGGCCTGAGTGGATTTTGCAGGGCTCTCATAGGCCGTAGAGGTGTTTCTTCGTTAGTCTTTTTTTCAATGGTATCACATGGAGCGGGGGTGGACTTCATCAAGTTGGACACTGGGCGAACACGAGGCAGGCATGGACAGAAAAAACAAGTCCTAGTAGGTAACACATGGACAGATACTGGGTAGTGAACATGACGTAGAATTAGATTGATGATTTCGCTTATCTGCGGGTAACTCCTCTGCCTCTCATTTTGCTTACAGCGATCACCGGATACTTGTTGCAGTTATTGTCATGAAAGGCGCGATCGTCTTTGAAGCCAAGCAAAGTTCTGTTGTTACGTGGAGCGATACCCTAAGGCGCGACAGGCTACTTGACTATTAGTAGATTGGACCATTACCCCAGTGACCATCCACTACGACCGAGCCTATTTATATGTTTCTGTGTTAGCGAATCTGTATCTAGGGTCTTCAAGATGAAAGTCGCCTGCAAGGTGCAAACATACCGAACTTGGGGTGCACAAGCCATCCTGGGGCAGTTAAGTCCCGGGAATTGGGTGTTACCCAGTCCATTAACCGATCCCAATTGACGCATTCATGTGGAGATGTGAGATTGCCTATTGGGCGTAGTCGGTAGTCGGCCCATATCATAGTAAGAACAGTGGTGTCACCCTGGCACATGACAGCCTCCTTCAGCATGTGGAGGCAGTGCGCTGCAGGATACGAGTGTCAGTTGATCATGGACCCCGTAGACTTCGCTCTGAATAGCTTCAGGGATTCATTTGGCTGCGTTGGGCGCAGACGGGAGCCCAACGTAAAGGCAGTAGTCGTGGGGTTGGAAACGTACTTGTGTGGTCCTTCCATGACGCTGCCGCCTCGGCCGTCAAATTGTCTAGCCCGTAGTATTCTGGGTTCAGAGCGTGGGATCACCGACGGGCGTGCCGGTGCCGTGGGCTTCGACGTAAGTGACGTCCTCGGCAGCGATTCCAGCCGTACTCAGGAGCTTGCGATACAGTACCGTCTGCGATGGGCTGTAAGGAACAGTGATTGGCACTTTGTTGCTGCTTTGTCTGACCGAAGTGGCGAGAATTGTACCTAGAACGGTATCGCCATCGGCGACGGCTTGCGAGAGTCGTTTCAAGACAACGAGACCCACGCCTTCTCCACGGCAGTACCCATCTGCACTAGCATCAAACGATTTGCTGGCACCAGTGGGACTGAGGAAGGAGGCAGCGGCCAGATTTTGGTAGAAGAATGGACTCGTGAAGACCGAAACACCACCGGCAATGGCGCTCTTGCAGTCGCCATGCAGGATCGCCTCACAGGCAGCATCGATAGCAACTGCCGAAGATGAACAGGCCGTGTCTAAGGCGACCGAGGGTCCAGATAGTCCAAAAAAGTGGCTGACTCTGCCCGGGACGAAGGCTCTCAAGGTCCCTAATGCCGAGAAAGCATTTGACGAATGACTGGCCACGTTATCGTTGTAGTCGGACGCGCACACTCCGATGAAGCATCCAACGTCGAGGTCTGGCTCACGAGGGCCAAAGAAGCCAGAAGACTCCAAAGCTTGATAGGAAACCTCGAACAAAAGCCGTTGTTGAGGGTCCATCGACGCCGCCTCACGACCGGATTTCTTGAAGAACCGGTTGTCAAAGCTTTCGAGGTCGTCGAGATAGTTGCCATGATACACAGTCTTTTCCGTATTGCGCGGGTGCTTGTGGATCGGAAATCGCCCGCTTGGGGGCTCGCTCAGCACTGATTCTCCGGCGTCTCAGAGGCGCCAGTATTCTTCAACCGAGTCAGCCCCGGGGAATTTGCATCCCACGCCGACAACGGCGATGGCGTTGGGTGCCATGTCCTCCAAGAGAACATCTGCCTCGAATGCAGACATTGTGGTCAGAGTCAAGATTCCTCCTTGTTAAAAGGGGGTTTCGTCCAAAAAAGCACAAGTTAAGAATGTTGAGTGAAACAGAAAAGGAATTCAGGTCAGCAATGGCGCACACGATGTCCATAGTATTTGAATGTCAAGCAAATTCCTATCAAAAAGGACCCTATCTGGGTTTCTCACTCTCATTTGAGACCGACTATCAATGTCGATGTTCACAGCGGGTCGTCTATACATCGGTACTTCGGTACGACAAGGTTATGTTCGATAAGATATAGACTGGCTAGACCAGTTGCGGTCTAGTACTGAGTCGTCATCGACTCTATGCCCGGATGACCCGGCTGTTAAATGGTACTCGGGTCCCCGAAACTGTTTGCTGGAGGATCTAGTCTCGGGCTGTGCCGTCGCTCTGTCCCGCCTAGACGCTTACGCGAAGTTTGTCGTCTTCGACAGGGTTCGCCACGTGACTCGGCTTACATATCTCTCCAAGCTGAGGGGGTGTGTCAGACCTTATAACTGTCAGATAGGGCACCTGGTTCCTAGGTTCAGAAATGATATGGCACTGGAGAAGACTATTGTCACTTAAAGTTCAGAAGGCGAAAGGAACCTCTTTTCTCAAAAGTAACACCAAAGTTACTGTCCACTTAGGGGTCAGATACCTGAATAATGTACCTCCGATATGTTCTAAAGAATCTATAAAAGACAGAGCAACGGGAGTTCGAGAGGACAGAGAACGATACACCTCATTCATATACAATCTTACGCACTTCTGACTACTCGATTGGACACACGTGATATTCGACAATAACTACCAAAAATACCTCATTCTACAGCGAGTGGGTCCCTCGTCTTTTGACGGTCAATTTGGTCCAACAACAGTCAGGGGTTAGGAATTTCAGGTAAGGGTTAGAAATAAGTGGGTCTGCTTATTTCAGAGGTTGGAATTTTCTGCCCCGTTGTCAGGGTACGGCTAGGCCGAAGGCAATAGTACAGAGTGATGGGGAGTAACGGGCGTCCCTCCTACGTAGCACCGGGTGGTCACTGGCGGTCTCAGGTAGGGGTGCCCACGGTGATGCATTGATCTCTGCTCCTTCCCTATCCTACTTCGAGATGGTCCTTATATAGATAGCTAGGCCGCCGCTTGGACCCGGCATAACAGCAGGGTCGGCGATGCCAAGGATCTTGACCTCGTCATCCCAAAGCTTCACATAGATTGTAATCATGACTCGGGAGTCTTTTGTCCGAAACACCCCTCCGGCGGCCCGCCGGTGTCCTGCGTTCAGTGTCCTGACACCCACTGGTGCCTATGGCATTCTGTTCTCTGACACCCGTACGTGCACCGCATATACAACCACATCTATTAGTACGGCTTAGACTCGTATAAAAATGATACGAAAAGGTAGGGGCACCCACTGGTTAGGTGAATCCCATTCAATTAGATACTATAACGTTGCGCACTGCTGCATTATAGCATCCTCCCCCCTAGGTGCACGCAGCAGTATATCTCTAAGAAGAATTATAACATATAATTTAGAAAACGCTAAATTAAGCTTAGTTAGCCATAGAAGCTATATAATAGTTTCGAAATTAATTTAGCGTAAGCGGTAAGCCCGTACTGACAACATCAATACGCTGCAATCACGGTGACGCGATAACTCAGTGCCTTCAGACTGAAACAATCGCTCTGTCAGACCCCTGTATTCTGGCAATCGTGCAGAGCCGAGTCCATTCCACATAGATCTGGGGAGAGCTGGTCAAAGTGAGTCCAGCAGGGTCCGGATCAGTGAACCAAGAGCGTGCCTGTCCGCATCTAATCTTGGTCAGCTTTGCGCAGGCCCGTCCATTCTAGATAATGCGGCTCCTCATGAGCTCTTGCCGATAGACCCAATCAGGACAAAAGAAAAGAAAAGTTAATTACAGTATGACTGCAGGATGAACACGCTAATGTGTGCACCACACGTAAGCCGCTGTTCGGCATGCAATATTATGTACAATCAGATCCTTCGCGAGTCCTGCATACAGCTAGAGCTCTTCTGGGTGCATGCGAGTTGGCCGCTTGCAAACCTGCAATTGGAATATAGACATGTCATCTCAGCGTAATCTAAGCGAGGTACTCTTAAGGCTTTATCGTGGCGTATATTCATCAAGAACGTCTGCGGTGAACAAGTCAAGCACGAAATACTTGTTCGACTATTCAGTGAACGAAGTAGGCAATGTCTACTCCGCGAGAACGGCGATGGTGGACTGTTCAGGAAGATGAGATTTTGAAGGATAGGGGGCAGATTCAATGTAATTTCCCTTCCATTCATGGAGTCGGAGTGCGTCTTCCGATTTGCAGTTTGATTCTAACGACTATGTCACGTGAAACAGTGCGCGAGCACGGGAGTGTCCAAAACTGGAATGATATTGCCCTACTACTACCCGGGCGAACGAACAAGGACTGCCGCAAGCGATGGTCCAAGGTCCAGATGGACATCAGAAAGGGAGCGTGGACACCAGAGGAAGATGCGCGGCTGCAGCAAGCAGTGCAGCAACTGGGCTTCAAGTAGGTTGCTTCTCTTCTCCCGTCGTATGGCTTTCTTCAAAGTGCTGATTCTTACCTTTTACCTTTTGCAGATGGTGTGAAGTAGCTACCTAGTTCAGAGTCGTAATGCAGACCGTAAGCTTTTCATGTAGGATCTACCAGTCCGCTTCAACTGACATTTGACCGGCGGCAGAATGCGCAAAACGATGGCAACACGTATTGGGACCCGACTTCAAGCACTCTCCGTGGACCCCTGAAGAAGACAGAAGATTGCGGGAAGCCATAGGAAGGTACGGGAAAAACTGGAAGCAGATCGGCCTTACAGATCTGCCGGACCGTTCCACTCACGATATTCGCAACCGGTGAGTCGAGAAATAATCTCCTCTACCATTGCCACTTGACGATCTGGCTAATTCTAGTTATAGAAGCCTTGTCCTTGGTCGCCGGAGCCGGAATAGTCTCTCTAAACGATCTATTACAACCCAGCATCCGACACGGTCTTTTAATGAAAGCAGCTCAATGACTTACGGAATGACTTACGGAATTGACCAGAACAAAGGTGACGAAGATGCATGCGATGAAGGTCCTGAGTGTGATTACACTGACTCAGCCGGCCTGCATCAAGCTCAGGAGCCGTCCAGGATAGCAGCCACACAGCAGGAATCAACTCTCGACCCAGAGCTCAGATTTGACTAGGCATGGCTCGAGAAACAAGGTCCCACGTGGATGACACGGCCCGTTGTATCGCATAAAAGCATGCATTCAAACAATCTCGTTGAATCAAAATGTTTGAAACCCGTTCTTGTTGTAGTGTATTGGAATCCGCGTTATCAGACAGAAGTATTTTGCGTACCGTACTCGAGTCAAATACCGTCCTCCACCCTTGATTTTGATCTCGTGTCTAGGACGTTGATCACCAACCGACCAATAGCGCGCTATTATTATTAAATACGCCGTAGGCTCGAAGCCCCCGGTACCTCTACTAGTACTCCCGTATGTCAAACCGTGCCCTAATGGCTGGACTAAATACATACGCTGCGTCGTCGGTTCGCCCTATTGGCGACTGCGTTGCGTTCACTACCATACTACGTTGGTTCTCAACCTACCAACAAAGTTCCCCCTGAGAAGATCGATGCTATCTGGGCCTTGAAGCTGTCCGACCCGTCCCTAGCAGCCATCTTACAATAGTCCCACTAACTACTGGTTCTCCTGTTGCCGTTGCGAGGTCTCTGCGAGAGTATAGTGGCCGTGGTGCGATGGCGGCCCGTAATCGTTCCCTCGGTCCTTCCAACAGCCCGCAAAAGAGGATTACGTGCTCTGCCGTCTCAGGGGCATCGCCACAGCGGCATAGCGGCGAGTACACGCCAAAAGCCCCTGTCTTGAATAAGAAGGCTGCTAGTCCTATTTTTTCCGTCCTGATCTGGCACAGCGTAGACGCCTCCAGTCGGTTCAGGCCGAAATACTTGCCCCCTTTCGGTCAAGAAAATATGGACACAATATCCACGTGTACAGGTATCGAAAAAATTAAGAGGGTTATTAGTGGTAACCAGTGGCTATTCAGGTCGCACAGATAGACCCTGGTTCGTAGTCATCAAGATTGAACCAATCAAGTATCTACCTATAATGCTGAAGGCATGGCGCCAGACTAGTATTCGGTGAATCTCGTCATCTCATCTCATCCGCACCTAGCAGGAAGTAGTCAACCCCGTCACTGTACAGTACGTCCCATCCGGTCCAGATCCGATCTTCGGCGGCTCGTCCCCATTATTGTTCCCCGTGTAGCGATCACAGTTCTTGCCGTCATCCTGGCAACAGTTCGTGATGACGCAGGTGTCGCCGTAGTTGGTGTTGATGCCGCAGAGGACACCGCCGTCGACGCCGATGCTGTTGGAGATCAAGATGTGGCGAGCTCCCCCATTATTAGAGCAGTTGCCGCAGCTACGTACCATCTTTCCGTAGTCGTTGGCGTAGAAGTTCTTGATGTCGACGGTGCCGAAGCCGTTGAATTGAATGATCTTGTCCGCTGCGTGGAAGGCGCCCCCGCCGTTGACGTAGGAGGTGCCGGTGGATTGTTTGAGGGTGCTAAGCGCGTGTGGGTCAGTGTTGTTGAGCATACTTTGGGCAGGGTTCCCGGTGGGGACTTACAGTGCGTCCTCGCAGACGTCGGACCACCAGACATTGTTCAGAGTGCTGTCAAAGGTGTCAATAAAGTTCGCTATCTACAACTGGGATGATAGTATCAACATACCATGTACCCTGGCAGTGAACTCCCTCGGCTTGCCCAGGACCAATGATGACGTTGGAGAGAGTAGCGCCGCTGGCGAGGACGAACATGGCGTCCGCCTCACCCGTTTCAGTCTGTTCCTCGCAGACAACAGCTACGTACTTGTAAGATTCACTGGAACGTACATGACCAAGGATGCGGTTTACTCACGGTAGCGATCGTACATCTTCATTCCACCATCGAAAGAAGCACTCACAGTGATGGCTTTCGATGTGGACACAGCTCCCGAAGACTTGGGCAGCGCCGTAGTTATACCAGTGGGTGTGCTGCCTGAGCCAACACTCGTAGTGGTTGTTGTCTTCAGCGTGGTAGTAGTAGTTGCGGCGGCCGTGCCGGTGTAGTAGCAAGAACACTCCTTCGAGATCTGGCTCGGCTTGTTGGAGCAGTTAGAGGCCCATGATGGGAGACCAGTGGTGGCCGTCACGGCGCTCTTAGTGAAGGTACCGCAGAAGGTGGCAACCGCCGCGTTGGCACTGATGTAGCTTGCGCATTTGTCTGTGTCAGGATTGGCACAGCCCAGAACGACTGGGATAAGGCTGAGGAGAACGTAGCCGTGCATCTTGACTGGGCTCAAGGTGATCTTTCTGCAAATCGATGTCTAGAGTGAGAGAGTTGCCCTATTCAACTACATAGGCTCCTAGAGAGCCATCGACATGAGCTACTTATACTCCATACTCCCGGCCTATTTCAAAGATTGACATAATGTGGACATGTTTATGGAACATACACAAGGGCGAAATCAAGCTGTTCGATATTATTTGCATTGATGCCATTTAGGGATTGTATTTCTCCGTCCGACTTCCACCAGTCACTGGTGCTCAACCGCATCAGGATTGGAACAGGAACGTAGCTTGGATGACAGGCGCTGGATGGCGTAGGCACAAGTGAAGTCAAAATTAGGCCAGGCTAGAACATTTTATGAAACACGGCTCTTGTTGGTTGAGAATGAATCACCAGGTGTGATAAGGGGCGTCCGCCTCAGCGCTGCCGAACCAGGCAATGGCCTCGAGATAAGCTCAGATAGGATGCAAGTCTTACGCCGAAAATGGTTCCATCCAGTTAACCGGGCTACGTCCCTGTGCCCAATTCGTGGAAAATGTCTTCAGATTCTGTCCATAGCCCAAATATGTCTTCCTCTCACTCCATCGTGTGCATCCATCTTGCGGCCTGCCATGGCGGCAAATCCCCGCGTTGTCGAGGCTTGGCAAGCCCCAGGGTACAGCTGAAAGCTTGTCGGGTGACGCATGTGCTATCGGGTTTCCCGTACTGCTATATTCCGCCAGCTGTGTGGGAATCTGCAGCTAATGTAGATAAGAGAAAATAGGACATTCCAGTTCCAGGCCTGGAGAATGCTGCGGGTTGCAACAGATTGGGAACAATGGGACTTAACCCACCAATGATCGAAAAAAACAAACCCATAGCTTGGCATCATCCCCGGAATATGAACGACCGCATACAAGGATTAAAGGCTTGGCAGTTCTTGTCAGGCACACACTTCTAGCAAGGAAACGCCTATCAAGTCAGTGGGATTGAGGATTGTCCTCAGATTATTCTGCTGTCTCCATACTTGGTAGAACAAGCCAAACGAGAACTATTTCGCGGGAGTTCCAACAACATTCCAAATATTTAAGCTAAACGAATAACCGACGTATACTCTAGGTGATCGCACGACAATATGTCGGACCGCGCTAGCCTTCGATTCCAGCAATTGTCTTTTCCGTTTACCGCTACTACAGCCAGTTGACTGATAATGGATGGACTCTGAGAACCAAACCCTTGGCAATGGCCAACAGTCAGAACTTCGGGAGCCAAATCTCGTGTGTATAGCACTTGACTAAGTATGCTGCCTAAAGTTATACTTTTCTGTACTTAAGACCCTTATGGCGATCTTCACTCCTTTGGATTCAAAAGGGGGGGGAGGGGGAATGTCAAAGACACATTCAATTCTACGCCTTATTCCAGCTTGCCAGAAGTCCGATACAGTATTCAAAGATTATTAATATTATCATATGCATGTCCGCAGGTTACAATCGAGTAGCAAATATATTCGGGTTCGACATGCTTGCTGTGATTATCACGCCAGTTTCCTCTATGAGCCGGGGATTCCTCAAACAAGCTTTTTACGCGAACCATGGCGCTGCAAGAACCCATGTCTCATTTTCTCATTTTCTTGTCAAGTAAAATTACATCTTTATTTTCATTGACCAATACCTGACGACTTCTAGTGGTTGCTGTCTGTCTCAATATACGAAAGACTTAGAGTCAAGGATACACACGACTCACGAAAGCAACTTCGAGTTGACACAGACATGACTTCTGGTATTTCAAGTTGCCATTATGCGAATACATTCGACTTCGTGACGTGCCAGAAACCCGACCGGCCTTCAAATCCAAATTTGCGTGATATTGGAAAACTCTAACCAGGAACTCGTCGAGATTATTAGCAAGCTTCAAGCAATTCACTGAAGACGGAGACATGTTTTTGCACTGCGCAGTGACTTGATTGAGTAACCAAAACCATACCAACACGAAAACCCTAAAATGCTATATCCTGTCCAGTAAATGAGTGTATAGGCACAAGGCCTTAAATCCTATCCGGTCCGATGCGACCAAGCCATACCAAATATAGCGCCCTTGTAATGCTACCATCTATCCAATCATGCAATATTTCCACCTTTCCACCGCCTCGAGTGATTCTCCTGTTGACCGAAAACACTCATACTACGAAAGAGAAAACCCCATTTCATCTTTGCAAAGGCATAGAAAATTGACCGGTTGATGAGGTTGCCGGTATGAAGCGAGCCGCTTAGCAGCCAACATCGAAAGCGACGAAGCTCTGGCCGTTGGTGGGTGGAGGAAGCTGGGCGGCAGCGACGTTGAACAGGCGGCATTCCTTGGCCTCGCCGGCGTTGAAGGTGCCGAACTCGATGGATTTGCAGCCGTTGGTGCTCTGGCCCAGAGCTAGGCAGGCGTCGGACGAAGTAATTGCGGCGTTGGACTTAAGGGGAGTAGGGGCAGAACCAGAGCCCGTGGGCTTGGCACCGCAGATGTCACGCTTCTGTTGTTGTTGTTGTTGCTGCTGCTCCTGGCCAGCGGCAGTGCCAGTCTCTCCAGTGGTGGCTCCAGTGTCAGATCCAATGTTGGCGAGCTCGCCATGGGGAGCAGCGGCGGTAGGCTCAGTGTTAGGAACACTACCGCAGCCGACATCGTAGACGACCAAGTTAGTGGCCTGCGCGGGGACCTGGGCAGCGGCTACGGAGAAGAGTTCGCAGGTGGGGGCATCGGCGTTGGTGGGCAGGCCAAAGACGAAGGATTTGCAGTTGGCATCGGCCTCGCAGAGAGCCTGGCAGGCGTCGGCCGTGGAGGCAGTCGGCGAAGAGAGGGGTGTCTGGCTGCCGCTGGCGCTGGGGGTGGCGCCGCAGGTGTCGGCGCGAGCCATGAGCGTGGTGGGCATGCCGGAGGCGTGCGAGGCCATCAGGGCGGCGACGAGGGCGATAGTGGAGGTGGTGAACTGCATTTTGATGGTTGTTGTTTGTTTGGTTGGCAAGTGAAGAAGTTGGATAGATGAAGCGATTGATTCTTTAGTGAAAGTCTGGAAGATGTTGAAAGATTGTAGTGGTGGTAGTGGGTTAACTGTGAGTGAGGATGGTGAGGAAAGAATATGTCTTTGGGGTGAGATTCATTCCTTTCTTATAACTGAAATGTCCAACAGTAAAACTTCCTGTTGTCTGCTCCTGGGCCCTGACCCGCCGTATCGTGACCGAGTAAACGTTTCTCGTGGAGTCACAACCCTGGTTTCCAACTTCATCGACACCGGCTATGGGAGACACGCGTGTGCTTGCGAAAGCCATGCAAAGCGCAACCTGCTGCGGTTGCCGGCCGAAAGCGTCGGCTCATTGGTTCGTGGTTCGTCTTTACAATGTCTCAGGCGGCAGTGCAGTACATACCAGTGGGTTATAGCGGAGCGCTGCGGTTAACTGCCGGCGCTATCACGAGAACCGTTCCAGAACTAATGGAGAAAAACGTGTACAGGCGTGGCTTGGGTGTTCGTCCCGCAGTGTTTCAGTCTGATTGAGCCCCTAAATATTTGTTTCCAAGTCGTTGTTCGAGCGGGTGGTCCGAGGACGTGTTGCCAAGCATGAACAGTAGTATACTGGGGCTGTGGGCTTCCCGATGCGGAATCAACAATCATGCATTAACGAGCCTCACCAACTCTGTGGGGCCGGGTTTACAGCCCTGAGCGCTGCGTCCTCCCAATGCCAGTATGATCTTGGCTTTTGTTAGCAAAAGCTTTTCTCATCAATTACGCAGGCATATCCATATGTCCCCGCTCACCAGGGATAGGAGGATGAAAATAGCTCGAATAACCTCACCATGGAGTCTGGAGATGTCAAATCTGCCTTGCCTTGCCTTACCTTGCAAAAACAAGCGAGCCAGTCAATCAATCTTCAATCATGTCTCGTACAGACTGCAGCAATAACACAAGGCCATTCGAGCAGTTGTCATCCGATTCAATCTATAGTTGCTAGACCCTCAATAGATCCATTGCTTAGTCTCAACCGCCGAAGGTTTGACACATCAAACCAATAAATGCACGTTTCATCCGATCTATTGAGTAGGAGAAACATTTCAGTCGATCTACTGTGTAGAAAGCATCCAAAATATTTCATCCGAACATGAACAGAGTTTGGTGGCACGACACTGCGAAAAACGGGTAACGGGTTAAGCGAGCATGGACCCGGATGCCTACAATCCGTAGGGCTGTGCACTGCCGCTCGTTTAGTTGTTGTGGGGAAAGGCTGGTTGGTTACAAGACCTGTCGGCGACGCGCGTACTATAACCCCGTGTAGTATACCCTCAAATAAACGTAAGCTTTCTGGGGTAAAGATGACTTCATAGGTCTAATGTTTGGACAGGTCTAGATCACCGGCTACAATGGGCGGCTACAATGACTTCCAACTGATGATTTTAGGTTCTTACAATAGAGGAAGCTGGTCATATTTGGGCTTGCTTGCCTCTGTTGGGATGGGGAGGAGATAATGGACGACCAGGTATCTTGAGGCCACGGTACTACAGTGGAAAACTTACTATTGCTTCCCATTGATTTAACTTGCAGCTTCAGACCGTGTCATTGATATAAACACGACTTTGCAAGTGCCCTCCATTAAATCATACGGGCCGTGGTTTGTTTCTCAGCTGCACATGGTCTGGTCAGTTCCTCTTGGCAATATCCATGCCGGATAGCCACTTATTCTTCAAGTCGTTGTTGTGATCTGAAACGATTACTGAGTAATGATGCTTGCTCCGGAGGGCGGTGTGAGAAGTGGGACAATGATACGAAAAGGTAGGGGGACCCACTGGTTAGGTGAATCCCATTCAATTAGATACTATAACGTTGCGCACTGCTGCATTATAGCATCCTCCCCCCTAGGTGCACGCATCAGACGACGACGAACGACAAGACACAAGAACTATATGGTACTGCTTACCTCTTGAGCCCTCTTCTGCTTCACGTCATATCTATGATCTTCGATATTTCCCAAGGTGTCCCAATGATTTCATCCCATTATCAGATCGTTTATACTTTTCTTGAAAGGAAAAGCTCCTTGATTTGATTATATTTATTTATTACAAAGTCACAAGTGTTGACATGTACTACTCGAAAGATGGCCAGCCCCTTTTGCGAAGTCGTTGTCTCTCACGGCCCATCAAGAGACTCATGCCCTAGAGATGATATTGCCGTGTCGAAAGCAGATGGAAGCCCTTACATGCTGCGAATCATCTGTGAGTCAATAATTCCAGACTGCAACTATCATTGCCCGTGGTAGCAGATCAGGCTTGCTTGAAAGAGTTGCTTCTTGCTTCTTGCACCTCTGCTGTCACTTGTAGCAGCCTGGAGCGGGGCGTTATTGCGCCCGACTTCTTCTTTTCTGTTCCATTTTGTCGGACCGCACCAGTCCTTTGTTCTTGCTCTTTCATGCTCGGTGACTGATTTACAGTTTCTCGACTTGCTCTGGTGTAAGCAGCCAATATGCACACTTTTCTGTACTCAAGGTTCTTATGACTACCTTCACTACTTTGGACTTGGGGGGAGTAGAGACAACATCAGTTCTATTCTTTTTCCTAGCTTGCAGTAAGTCCGATACATTTATTTTCTTCCACTCCCAGTGCTTCAGTGTCAGTAAACAACTCCCCCCGGTTAACGCTGCACTGCTGAATATGTAGTAACATTGTGGACAGCTTCAATGGGACGCCACTCTCCATGGAAACCTTCTACACCACAACGTTATAACTTACTTATACGCAGTTGTTCTCGGCGGTCCCGGGTTGTACGTCAACGACATCTCGTCCTCGAGCTCGGTAAATTCAACCACATGATTGCCATGCCCCTTGCTGGGATGCCGCTCGCTGGGCTCATCATGGTGCACGGTGACTTCGACATCGAATCTTCTGTTGATGCCAGTTCCGTGCCCGGGCTCAGCCTCGCCGTCCGAAGTAGCCTGCGCCCTGGACTTGGTGAAGGACCTTAGGCCCACGGCGCGCTCGGTGGGGTCGTATTTCTGGTTGTGGCAATTTCTGTTCCGGGTGGAATAGGAAAGGGAGTTGAAATGGGCGTCGGAATTCTTGCCCTGTGCCAAGCGCGTGATCAGAGATGCCATGGACATTTCAATGTTGAGCTTGACCATGTAGGCCACGGGGTGGAATTGGATGTAGACTACCTCATTGGGCAGGGACATCAGACCGACCAACATTGCCTGGAAAGGGGTGTTAGCATCAGGTGCTTAAGTTTGGATGAAGGTAGCAACTCACGTCCATAGCAACCGACAAGACCATGAGCTTGGCGTTGAAGCTGACCAAGGGGGCGTATTTGGTCAAGCCATGTTGCTCGAGGAGTCTCTTCTGGACAATGCGCAAGAAGTACCAGTTGAGGCCTGCGTCAACGAGCAGGATGAGCACTTTGGATATCCGATCCCAGTACTGGTTGATGGTAGTACCAGTCTTCATCCACCCGTTGTTGGTAGTGACAGCCAAGCGAAGAAATGCCCACCTGTTGCTATTTTAATGGAAAGTCACGTGGGTCTGGCGGTCTACGTCCTTGCGTGCATGGGTATGGGAGTACCTGTCGTGCTTCTATCAGCGCGCCTGAGTGCGCCTGCTGTGCACCATCTCGTTCGGGAAACAGGCGCGAAGCTTATTCTCGTTTCGCAACGGCTCCTTCCTTTGGCTTCTGAGGCTTTCCCTGGTGTAGAGGGAGATGGCAAAGAAGAAGTGGACGAGAATGGAGTAGCTATACGCCCCGTCCTTGGCTACGAAACCGTGCTTTAACAGAAGGACGGTGCAGATGGTCGCATCCAAACCATTTTGTTTCCGAAGAAGATCGCCAGGTGCTTGTCCTTCATTCTTCAGGGACCTCAGGGTTGCCAAAGCCAATACCTTGCTCTCATCGGTATTTCTTGGGATATGCAACCTGTCATACCTTCAACTCCCAGGAAGAAGCCCACGGCCTGACCGTCTCGACGCTCCAATTCTTTCACGTAAGTAATGAGAAACAATTTTCTACTCCTGGATCCGCACTAATAGCAATGATAGGGTTTTGGCTTCGTGGTGATCTGCTTATCCCTCAATATCGGCAAGACGATCTGCATCCCACCGCCTTCCATGATTCCAAGTGGGGGATATATCGCCGCCCTCCTACGAGAATCTGGAGCGAGAGCATTCTTGACCGTGCCATCGATCCTAGAAGAGATTGAATCCTTACGAGAGGGCAGAGGGCACGAGATTCTGCGAGGACTGGACTTTGTTGGCTTCAGCGGTGGCATGCCGAAGGCGTCTGTTGGGGACAGGCTCGGTGATGCAGGGGTGAGGCTGGTCATGCAGTATGGCGCGACCGAGACTGGCCCCTTGACCCCCTTTTTTATACCTTCGAAGGGATACGACTGGTGCCGACTTCGACTTCGGAATGATACGCTTGGCCCGTTACAGGTCCGACTAGATCGTGTCGACATTGAGGTTGACCAGTCCGATGACTCGCAAGCAGACGCTGATTCCCAGCGCATCTTCAAGTACAAACTTAGTTTGAGACCCTTCGGATGGCAAGAGCGCTTCGAGCTCCAAGATCTGATCGTAACTAGACAGGAAAGCTCCCCCGAGGGCGACATCGGACAGTTAGGTTTCACTATTGTCGGCCGGATAGACGATCTGATCTGTCTTGCAACGGGGGAAAAAGTGCGGCCTACCATACTAGAGTCTCTGCTCAGACAGCATGAGGCAATTAAAGACGCAGCAGCATTCGGAGATAACCAATTCGAACTGGGAGTCATTGTGGAGGCCATCGAAGCCGTTGAGAAAGGCGAGATGGACGGTTTCAAGACGCGTATATGGCCAGTCATCGAGGAAGCTGGTCGTCAAATGGATGCGCATGCCAGAATCACATCGCCCGCTGCCATCATGATAGTTCCTCCAGGGGCTCTCCCAAGATCGGACAAGGGAACTATTCTCCGAAATGCGGTGGCGAAGAAATTCGCCAAGGAGATAGCGGACGTATATCAGGCGCTCGAGGCGAACGCAGACGCGCCTCCGTTTGACCTAACCTCGCCCAGGTCAGGCATTAGGGCACTGGTGGCAGACAATATCAAGTGGCAAGCCCTCGGAGACGATTGGTCGGACGATGACGATTTCTTTGCCCGGGGCATGGATAGCCTCCAGGCAACTAAGCTGCGGAGGCTGTTGACAGAGTCAGTGCGTGCGACGCATATCGCGTCTGGAGAGCTGGAGGCAAACCAACTGCTGCCAGTTGAGAAGATCACCGACGACTTCATATACCTGCACCCGTCGGTCAGCAAGCTTCTCGAGGCTTTGATTCCAAAGCACACAGCTGCAAACGGGACCATGTCTGAGACGGAGCTCATCGAACAGCTGGTCGATAAATATACGGGTATAGGCCGCCAAAGCCAGCCAAAGAAAGCAAGTGTCGTGCTTACAGGTGCCAGTGGAAGTTTGGGCTCCTTTGTCCTTGGGCAGCTTCTCATGGATGACTCTGTGTGCCGCGTCATTTGTCTGAACAGACCTGGGAAAGATAACCCGATCGAGGCCCAAAAGCTCGCGATGAGATCACGGAATATCTCGGTCAGGGATGATCTGTGGTCTAAAGTCGACATACGCCAGACGAGCACGGGGGCTCCCTTCCTCGGGTTAGAAGAGTCTGAGTATGAGCGCTTGGCAAACGAGGCAACGCATATCGTACATATTGCGTGGCCAATGAACTTCAAAATGGGCCTGCAGTCTTTCGATGCCTCCTTTCGAAGTGTCCAGAACCTCATCCAGCTTGCCCGCAAGGCACACTTTTACCAGCCTCGGGGAAAACCGAGGGTATTGTTTATATCTTCGATCTCCACTGTCGGCAACTATCCACTGGTCAAGGGGGAAAGTCTGGTTCCTGAGATCACTGTCAAGGATCCATACTGGACCCTCGAGCTCGGCTACGCCAAAGCCAAGCTCGTATGCGAGAGGATGATCCAGCGAGCCGCTGACGACTACCCCGGGATTGAGGCCGGACTGGTCAGAGTCGGACAGATCGCGGGAGCTAGTAGTGGCTATTGGAACGCCAATGAACACTTCGTGGCCGTATGCGCCTCATGCCAGAAAATAGGAATGTTTCCCGAGCTACGTGGTGTAAGTTGAAACCTAAACCCTAACTTGGATGCATGCAATCGTTAAACTAATATTTGCAAAAAAAGACATTGTCCTGGCTACCAGTTGACTCGGCTGCCAAAGCTCTTACCTAAATCCTTCTTGACCCCAGCATTCTCCATCAGATCTATCATCTGGAAAACCCCGTCCGGCAGAGTTGGGAGGAAGTAGTAAGGCTCATGTCCAGCGAGCTCCAGATACCGAGCTCGTCCATCATCCCGCTGGAGCGCTGGCTGGACCTCGTCGCATCTACGTCAGGACCAGACAACCCTGCCGCAAACCTCATCAACTTTCTCCGAAACGACTTTGTGCAAATGTCTTGTGGGTCTATAGTTCTGGATACATCCATCTCGTGGAGTGTCTGCTCAACTATGGCCAATATGGGGCCCGTGGGAGACGAGACCGTGAGGGCCTACATTTCTTACTGGAGAAGGATCAAGCTCTTGAAATAATGTTTGAAAATTATCACAATCTAGGATGCTTTTGTGCGTGGCTTCATGAAGCAGAGCATGCGTGCCAATATGGATTTGATTCCGGAGCCTGGTGAGAGAGAACACAGCGTGGACGTTTTGACGCACCAGAATTGATCAGGGGCTGAGTCTATGGATTCGTTGCTAGGGATGGTCTTGGGCGGTGTGGTTAGTATGAAGAGTATGGGAGAAGGTGTCACTGAGTTGCAGTTTCGCAAAAAGTGTTGTTATAGGCTATGGCATGACGTGGCCGCGTGAAGTTTATACTATTGCTCATTATATTTACAAGACCAAGTAATGATTCATACTATTAAGAAATCAAAGTATTCAAGAAAAGATCGAAACTCGAATCCTTAAATTTTCTCGTGGGAAGCCACTAGTAGATCAGTGTAATCGCATGCTTTACATTGGATGATTAGATCTAGTCCATAAGTCGTCACATCGAGAATCCCCATCGCCTTGCTAATATCCTGGCCACAAGAAGGCCTCTTCAAGTGATAATCAGAAACGTGTAGGAGAGTATCTCCGCAAATCACTTGTCCCCCTACTTCTGACCCATATACTGTTTGAAAAGCAACTCATTCTTCTGGTAAAAGGTGGACATGCGGTACTTTGTCTCGCCTCTGTACTGTTCCAGTTCCTCCAGGGCCTGCTTGCCCTCCCGCTCAATCGTCTTTCGGATCTCTTCCGATCGAGGCGTGATACTGCACTCGAATGGCTGGGGACGCATGTTGAGCCCATTCCTAGAAAAAAATCAGTAAGCTCTTGCCCTAATGAGGTGCCTCAACATCGCAGGCACGAGAATACTGCCGACTTACGTATAATCAAAAATATCCACCTCAACCAAACTCCCATCTGCACGTCTTTTCTTCTCAATATTAAACCCCCAAAGCAACCTCGCGACCGTAATCCAGGTCCCCTGCTCCGCCAGCGCCTGCCCCGAGCAAACCCGCCTTCCCCACCCAAAAGTCATATACCCCTTTTCATTCGGAAACGGCCGACTATCCTCACTTCCCGTCAGGTACCGGCCGGGATTAAACCGATCTGGATCGGGGAACTCGCGATCATGGTGATGAATCGCCCAGACATTCCCCTGTATCCACGTCCCCTTTGGTATAAACCACCCCTTATACACATCATCCTGCGTTGGCGCATGCGGTTGCCCCCCGATAATCGCCACAGACCGCCACCGCAACACCTCCTTTACGAATGCCCTGATGTACGGTAATTGTTCCTCGTCTTCCCACCCGGGACTCCGCTGCGTCCCTACCACACGATCGAGCTCCTCCCAGGCGGGGACCAAAGTCTCGGGAAAAGCTACGCACGCCAGGATGAAAGTGATGAGGGTGCTACTACTCGTGTCAGAGCCAGCACCAAACAAGTTCCCCGTCAGCGCCGAGATCTCGTTGACATCCAAGTTGTACTTCTCTTTTTCGCCAAACACGTGCTTCACGTATGTGTCCTCGTGCGATCCATTATGCGCTGCCTCGTCGGCCAGCGCATAGAAAAACGGAAACCCGCGCTTGCGGCCCAGGCCGTGCTTCCACGGCGCAATGGCATTGGGCACCTTTGCCAGCAGGGGAAAGGTCTCCATCAGCATGGGGAAGCTCTTCCCCGGCACGTTGAGGTCGGCGGCAAGGTGCATACTAGCAATGACCTCGGTGATAATCGGGTCCTGGCTACTCTCGACCCGACGACCGAAAGCAATGATGCTGACGACGCTCGTAGCGTAGCGCTCGAAGTGTTTCACGTAATCCTCGGGAGAGGACAGCAAGTCGTACGCCACGGTCTTGCTCTCGTTGTTCTGGAAGTCACGGTAGCGACGCACTTGCTGCACGCCGACGCCATGGTGCATCAGTTTGCGGTGGACGCGCCAGCGGTCTCGTTGGGAGGGGGTGAAGGTGTACATGTTGACTAGGTTGGATTGGCCGGCGCCTAGCTCGGCGAAGACGAGCATGCGTGGGCGGGAGGAGTAGATGCCCGCGCGCTTTTCGAAGATTTCCGAAGCGGTCCAGGCGTCGTTGATCCAGACGGTTGGGTTTCTGGCTTGAGTGAGCTTTCGTCGGATTTGGGTGCTAGTTGGGCTTGTTTACCTGCCGATCCAGACCGTCACAAGGGGTACATTGTACTTCTTGGACAGCTCCTCGAACCAGATCCATGGCTTGTTGTCCGGCAACATGAAGGTGTTACCCACAATTGGCCAGGGCAGAGGCCCAGGTGGCTGTAATGTGTCAGTAGATGGCCATGGACTTTCCCCCAGAGGATCGAACCATCTTGAGTCGCATCCACAACATGTACCCATAGTCGGCAATCAGGGCGAGTGCCCCAACAGCTAGTATAATCGATATCACATTCGGAAATCCGTCCAACCTGGACCCAAATATACTGAAAGTGTCTATTACTTGATCGAACAACATGGTGCCTTGAAGTACTCGAGCAAACTCTGAGAGGTTTATGCGTGTGAAGTTGGAAATATAGGAAAGTCGACTCAGTGACCACAGCCCAAATTTCGGAATTCTTTCTGTGGTGCAGTCTACCGACAACTGGGATCAACCTAGGTAATTGCACTGCCCGTTATTGGGTGCTCAGATAGTTGGCATTTTAGCCGCGGCTTGGTATTGGCTATGGATATCTGCCGTCGATTTAAACGTGGGGTGGACTGGGGTTTCCCGGTCTTCTCCCCTCATGTGGTGAGTACCTACTCCCGAGCATCTAGCTGACTAACTGATGGATCAACAGGCCTCATCACCCGATATCTCAGAATTACATGCGCTATTGTGAGTCCGGGTACATTTCATCCGTTGTGCGATGCTTAGGTGATCTGTGTCACGACCTGGGTTGCATCGCATTGGTAGAGACCTCGATTAGGTGCTATCGACGAAGATTCTACTCTAAGGAACGAAGGAAAGAAGATGACAACTTAGGTTTGAGGGAGCGCGACTAAGTCGTCCACGCTTGGCGGGGCTCCTACAAGGGTTATGATTGGCTTCCCATCTGACACTGCCATGGCAGGTGTTCCAGCTGTAAGTCACCTGGTTGTAGTGAGTCTGCGAGGGTTGACCTTCACAATCTGCAATACTAAATCGCTTACACAGCGCAAGATCCCGCTAAGCCGGTTAAGCATTAACCGCATTGACCACCTTTTTGCATTCCACCCCAATTTGCAAGATTCAATGACCTAAGTTAACTCTAATACTTTATTCTCTTTATTTGTATATATCCACGTACCCGGCGTGAACTAGATGTGCTAATAACCATGCTATGCCCAGAATCCTCATCCTGGATACCCGTCTCGTCCATACTATACTCGTTATCGGGTTTCATACGGTACTTTGTACGTAAGCGTTCGAGGAGGCTATAGAAGTCTCGAGTCTTATTCGAATCGGGACGCTCTAACTCGGCTAGTGATACGTGACCCCATGGGGGGTTACCCTATAGCGATAGATAAGATAGATAAGATAAGATAACGTCACCCACAGGTCATTGCCCCACACGGGTCTTTGCCCAACTTTTCAAGAAATCTTGACTTTCCATCTTTACTTATACAATTCTTCCCTTCCACAACATGGCACGCAAATCTAGTGAGTCTAATCTTCAATTAGCCATCCAAACTAAACGACGCGATCCTCACCTAAGTTGGAACAAGCTTGGTAAAATCTTCAAAGTCGACCATAAGACATTGAAGCGCCGTTACGAAGGCGTACAACCATTACACATTACCAACATGTCCAAACGGAAAATGACCGAAACCGAAGAGAATACGATTACCCGACGCGTAATTGAGCTAGATTCGCGAACTTTTCCTCCCCGGCTTCGATACGTTGAAGAAATGGCGAATATCCTCCGACGCAACCGCGACGCGTCACCCGTTGGCAAGAACTGGGCCTCGAGCTTCGTACGGCGACAACCAGACCTCCGGACGCGTTTAAATCGTCGAATAGGTTACCAGCGGGCATTCTGCGAAGATCCTGTCGCGTATCGCGGTTATTTTAAGCGTGTTGCGGACACAATAGCGAAGCACGGCATCCAGCCGGAGGATATCTACAACTTTGACGAGACGGGCTTTTTAATGGGCATAATCTCAACCGGCATGGTCGTTACGAGTACCGAAAGACGTGGAAGGCCTAGGCAAGCCCAGCAAGGCAATAGGGAATGGGTTACTGTCATTCAGGCGGCCAATTCCCAAGGCTGGGCGGTGCCGCCGTACATCATCTTCGCGGCCAAAGTTCACCTCGCTTCGTGGTATCGCGACACCACATTACCGGGCAATTGGGTCGTTGATCTATCCCACAACGGATGGACAACAAATGATATTGGTCTCAGCTGGGCAGCTCACTTCGATCTGCACACACGCGATCGTACGAAGGGTGTCAAACGCCTCCTGATCCTTGACGGTCATGAAAGCCATCACTCGATGGATTTCGAACAATACTGCAAGGACCATGGCATCATTACCCTTCCTATGCCTGCCCATTCGTCCCATAAGCTCCAGCCTCTCGACTTGGTGCCTTTTAGTGTTTTGAAACGGGCGTACGGTGTGTTTGTTGAGGGTTTGATGCGACGGCATCATACCCACGTTGCGAAGGAGGATTTCCTTGCCGGTTTTTTGGAGGCGTTTGGCGCTGCTTTTACTGAACAAAATATCAGATCTGGTTTCGAAGCAGCTGGAATTGCCCCTTTTGACCCCGACAGGGTTATATCTGCCCTGGATGTCGCAGAAGTCGCGCGTACACCCTCTGCCGACCCAGAACTCCTACCCCCTATTTGGACTTCTAAGATACCTACTACCACCCTTGAAGCCGAATCGCAGTCAACGTTGATTAAGAACAGCGTTCAGAGGCATCAAGACAGCTCTCCGACGCATATTCTTCATTCAATTGACTCGATTGCAAAGGCTACGCATGCAATGATGCAAGAGAATGTTATCTTGCGTCGCGAGAACGAAGAGCTTCGTGAGACTAACCATGTGCTAAGCAAACGTCGCAGAACCAAAAACAAGCAAATCCAGTATGGTGTGCCACTTAATATAGAAGATGCACAAGTTCTGCGGGCTATTAGGGGTGATACGGGTTTGGAAAGTGAGGAAGAGGGTGAAAGTAGTCGTCCTACAAGGAGGAGGGCAACGGGTGCTAGGCGCTGTGGCATTTGCGGAGGAACTGGACATAATGCGCGAACTTGTCAGGCAGATGTAGAAACAGATAATGAAAAGAATTCTGATTAATTTCTTGGATGAATACGGGTTGTTGTTGATCTATCTAAGATTAAAGGTTAGGAGGTCGTGAAAAGTTGGGCAAAGATCCGTGTGGGGCATTGACCTGTGGGTGACGTTAAGAGCTATAAAACAACTCTGGCAGGCCAGAATAGCTGACCTGGCCATCCTTTCCCAATACAACAATTCACACCCCATATGCACTCGCATCAGCTAGCGTCTGCGACGCGCCTAATTTTAGGCCACCCACTGTTAGCCGAGTATGTTGTTATCCCCTTATGTTACGAACCGTTGGTTCTAACCTGGCCAAAACCAACCCGACAGGCCCTACAATAGGCCATGACGGAACCCCGCAGGAACAAAGCCCCATAAGGACGGAAAGGAACAACTAGGCCCCCGACTAAAGGAAGAGGTCACGTGATAGGGATCACGCTTGGCAGAGTGATCCCCTACTTGGGATCACCAGGAGCGACGTGATCCAAGTGATCCAACGAGATCAGTGAAGGAGAGATGGATATATAAAGGACAGGACTCCCAGGCATTTCATAGATAGACAGTCTCTACTTCAGTGATCAATCTAAGCATCAATCTAACCCATTGGTGAGGCAAACTGCCTTAACGACTCTATTCCCGATTACCCTACTTGAATACTTCAGTTACCCAAAGCACTATACTCCATACGTCAGACCCCGATATTATTGCTTGAGGACTCCGCAGCAGGACTTACTTACTAGCACAAACCCTTACAGACTCTTTAGTGGTTTACGCAGCTAGACTATTAGCGGTTTCGTTACAGACACGAGTCCTCCATCTTCACGCATCATCATCCTCATCTTCATATCATCATCTCCTTCTTATCTATATCTTCACCTTCGCTTTTCAGTCAGTTATTTAGTTATTTTAGTTATTCAGCTTGTCTTTACGTTCGAGATCCTATTATCACGATACGAGTATTGTGACGGTTGTCACGTGATTGACCCACACTGGTTTGAACAGATTGATAAGTGGTTGCAGATACCAAAGTCAGGGACTTTGATATTGGTCTCTTTTGGTGAAGACATCTGGTACGGTGGCATAGTGGCAAGGATTGCAACCCCTGGCGCGGCATGACAAGTATCAGAGGCACATCCGACCAACTCGCGCACCAGACGTATAAGAGCTTCGCTTTTATAACCAGTACCACGATCTTCGTCTGATAAGACCAACAGATGGGATCTGTTGGTACTGGAGCCGTCTGTTCAGTGTGTTAGGTGGTAGGTATATCCTACTGACCGCCTGACCCCGTTTCATTACTCTGGAGTTAACTTTTGTTATCCGGAGGGTGCGTCGCGGTGCGTATTGCCGTGACGAATACGGTGGGGCAATGTAGTTTCCTTAATATCGTACCGATGGGCTCCTACGGTCTGAGAATCGCCCTGATGGGCAAGCTCTTTAGCGCGTTGGATTTTCTTCTCAAAATCGTCCGGATTTCATACCACTAGATCAGCCTTTTTTGGTGGTCGTGGGGTCATTGCGAAGTAAATGAGAGACGCGTTTTTATTAGGGCGCGTGATTTCCCTGCTAATAGGTGGGAAGTTGAAAACAAGTGCTCTAGATTGTGAGGTAGCCGATGGAGAACTATTTATGCAGGAATAAGTCCTAGCGAGTAGTAGGCCAGGGGTCTGTTTTTCTAATTGGTTGCGATGTCCTCGCTTCATGCCAGCTGAACACGGAATCGCTAACAAGCATCAGTAAATGAAAGTTGTCACACCTTGAAAGTCCTTGTTCTATATACCGGATGTAAAAAATAGGATTTATTTTTTTTATGATGAATGGAACTGGTGGGCTTGGAGAGATGGAAGTTTCGCGTCGGGGATGCTGATTCATATACTGAAACAAGAAGACATTGTTCCCTAGCGATGAATTTTGTACTATCCATCGAGAATATAGACGAATTATCAGCCTAGAGTTTCCATGAAAGAAATAACGGGTAGTGACGTCATACAAAGAGATACTCGATGCTTTGTGAGCACTGGTTTGTATTGGAGTCACTTATTGGTTACTCGTCGCTGTGGACGGCAAGTAAGAGTACAAGTTATATTCTGTTGCTACCGAAGTACCCATCTTATAGCCTAGGAATGCTTACGGGCACTCTTACTTTCCCCAGAACCCTTTTCGTCTTTGCATAATTCGTTTCTCCAGGAAGGTCTTTCCTCTTCAGCCAACTCTCTGGGCTGAGTCGGCTTCTCCTCCTGAACTGCCTTGTCCGCCTCTGCCGATAAACCCTGCCCATCTGACTTTTCCGCTTGGAATTTCTTCCTCAGTATCCTCAGGAAGCGGTCGAGAAATACAATTAAAGACCATCGCATCACTGTGCTCCAGCTCTACATTTTCTTCATCCACTCTCTGAATGCATACTTGGCAGCTTTCAAGAGCTCATGCGAAAACAGCACTCCGTAGTTTCGTAGGAGAATTGATGCGAAGGTCAAAAAGAAATGCTGTACTCGCCTTGTCTCATGGCTACTTCTGGCTTGACGCGGGGTTTTGTAGGCCTTCAATCGTGCACTTGGTCCTACCTGCCCATCTGTAGGTACTCCTGAAATTCCCACATGGGCTAGTCTGTATATAAAAGGCCGTCTACTTTGGCATATGTAAAGCAATCGTGCTGCGATTTTGAGGAGATGGTTAGTAAGTGGGATAGGATAGGAGAGCTGTATTTTGCAGTTATTTATATGGATAGCATTTGTCATATATGCAAAACAATCTCTTTCACTTTTGACCATGATGCATTGTCCATTCATAGGTGCATGAGAAACTCTTGAGAGCAACCGGGAGCAAAGGTTGCGTCTAAATTCACCTCATTGAAGCAAAAAATGCGACTTTACTTCAGTGACATTCATGGATGATCGCGTAACTATGCCACGAGGACTGAAATACAAATGTCTACCATATGGCTTCACTTATATCAGATACCTGAACCCCTTCATCATCTTCAATGCCTCGTCGTGTTCCACATGCTCCTTCTGAGCAGTATGCGCCGCCACGTCCGGTTGTGTCTCCCAAGCGCGCTCGCCCTCCTCGATCTGTTTATTCAAGTTGGACAGGATGACGCGGAAGGCGAAGCAGCCGATGATGGTGATGCCAAACATCGCCGTCACGATGCCGTAGCTCTTACGGTAACCGTTGTCGTCGAGATCCCAGACGTATGAGCCGGCAATGTTGCCCAGTTGGCTGAAGGCGTTAATCATGGCGATGGCAACGGCGCGCTTCGCGGGAGGACGCGGGAAGGACGAGCTGATCCATGAATAGAAAACGATGAAGCCCGCGTAGGAGCTGGCTTGTAGGAAGAGAGCAACGTAGCGGCCTGCCGTGTTGAGCGTGGACATGCTGATGATGAAGCCGACAATGCCAACGCAGATGGGACCGGTGATGTGCCAGAACTGTAGAAGTCCGTGTTAGTGCCATGCGAATCTCGATAACTTCAAAGGGTACTGGTCGGCTTACCTTCTCCCCGGTACGGTCAGAGTGCCAAGCGTTGATAAGTGAAACAATGCAAGAGAACAACCAAGGAGGCGAGCTCATGAGCAAGGTTGGAACATAGTCGAAGCCAAGTGTTCCAGTAAGCGTAGGCTGACGTTGGTTCAGTGACGAAGCTTCGAATTGCAGAATAGGTCGACTTACGAAAAAAGCGTTGAAAGATAGTCCTACGACATACGCCGCGAAGGTAATCATCATGAGGTAGATCTTGACGTCCTTCAGTGCCATGATGAGACCGTCGAAGATTCCCTGTCCAGAACTGTCCTCGTCGGCCTCGCCAACATCCTCAATCATGCGAAGTTGGGCGACCTCCAGCTCCTCTGCGGTAAATCCGCGAGAGTTGTGCGGCAAGTCGGGCAGGATGAATGCGGCTGAGATAGCAACCGTCATCGTGATAGTGCCTTCAATCCAGAACTAGAGTACCATAAAGGTTAGGGGGTCGTCATTTCAAGGGCTGCTACTAAAATGATAAAGAGCACCTACAAGCCATCTCCAAGCGGAATGACCCAGAACACCTTGCATGTTGGACAGCACACCCGCCCCGATCAGAGCTGAAAACGCATTCGAAATGAGGTTGCCGCAGAAAAGAATAGCGTTACGTGTCGTCAATTCCTTGCGCGTGTACCATTTAGACAGGAGCAGCAAGGCTCCAGGCAGAAAAGCAGCCTCGATGAAACCCAGGAAGAACCGGATTGTGACCATGCTCCCAAAGCCGGTGGCGTTTCCCGACAGCGTGGAGATGAGACCCCATAACAGCATAGCACATGCGATGTACAAGGAGGGCCTTTGGATGCGATTGATGAACATATTGGAGGGAATCTGCATCAGAATGTAGCCCACGTATAAGATGGAAAGGCAGGTGGAGCTGCATATAGATGTCAGTCACAGCTGTAGAGCACGTCTCAGGAAGCGCGAATCAAGTCCGGAGCGAGTGCCCTCTGCCGACTTCACCACCACTAAGTCAACGGAAGAAGGGGGGGGAGGAGGGGCTGCTCAAAGGTTCCAGGAGTGCTCACTATTCTTGGTTGTTAAGTTTGAGATCTGTCTGTAGACCACGCAATCGGGCGGCGGCCATGTTGTTGCGATCCAGGTAGTTCATGATGTAGATGAGCACGAAGAGACCGCATCGCAAGTCGAGCTTCTTCTTCAGAGACTTCTCGACAGCAACGCGGTGTGCCGGCTCCATGCTGCGAGCGGTCGGGAATGCCATCTCCTGGTCGCCTGTGCGTATGTGCTCGAGCGTCTCGATATCCGCTTTCCGATTCGCAACGTTAGCCGGTTCGGCCCGGGATATCTCGTCAGCCATAGTGAGGTTCGAATGTCCGTTGCGAGGAGTCTCGGAGCGCAGTCGAGATGGATGAAGTTCAAGCAACGAAACATAAGAGTTCGTGTACTTGGCCGGTATGACAGACGTCCTGTGCCATCCTTTATGTGACGAAATGCCTCAGTGTCACCCCATAGTTCGTGCTGATAAAGATGTTAGTTTGTGGGGCAGAGCGGTACGATGACCGTTGCAATGATTGGGAAACTCAACAAGTCGGCCCTTTCTTCGGCGTATTGGCAATAATGCGGAGGGAGAGGACCTGGTTCGGCCTTCGGTCGTCACGAGGATTTTGCGGGCCAAAAATCATCATGACATAAGTTAGTGGTCCCATTTCTCCAAAATCTTGGCATAGACGGAGAAAGGGCGGAGAAAAGGCGGAGTTTTTCTCCTCAAACTTTGTTGAATGTTGGAGTGGAATTTGGGGTTTGGAAATGAGGGGAAATGACCCTGGTCTTCCCCATTCTGAGCTGTGACCGCTAATAACTGCGGTTCCGGAGGTACGAGTCCGCGATTACAGACCTGTTCTCTAAGCCACAAAGGTAGGAGTTTGCCTTCTATCCAGTAACAAGAAAATCTGCGATTATCAAAATGCTGGCGAACTCAGTAGAACTGGTGAGCCAGCGGTGGTTATCGACAGTTTTCGAGGTTCCCCTTCAGTGACCAAAGCCTACCAGGTAAGTGTGGAATTGAGCGCCACAGTTATGCCCGAGGTTGAGGCGGTGTAGCGGAAGTGTAACTGGTGGGTCCGACCGTTCCTTCCTTCCAACGTAGAAATAGAGCAACAACGCTTCCACCAACCAACGCAACACACCGCTTAGAGTACACATAGCAATCAACACGAGATCCACACGGAGTCATCAACAGAGGGTCAAGTCCCTCAGTTAGTTCGTAAGTGAGAAACAGTGCCAAAATCCGAGCTTCGGAAACGCTGCTCGAGTGAGGGCTGCCAACATTCGTGTTAGGCAACCTTGGTGGGCTTTGCCAAGACCACCAAGGTTACCACGTGACTTAGCCCTTTGGGACTAAGTCCAACCTTCGTGCTCCATAGGACTAGATAGAATGTCATGCTTTTACAACCTCACAAATCTTTGACCACCTTTGCGTGTAACAGTTCGGCAACGGGTGCAATCCCGCTCATTAATATATCCCTCTAGAAGTAAAGGTGTAGTGTCATATAAGAACGGTAAAATAGAAATGGAAGCTACAACTATATAAATTAAGTCTACTTTAAACTTTTGTTGCTTGCTTCTACAGGTACTGTTCCGGTTTCAACGTTCCCGCATTTACAGGGCCCCCAGTAAGAACTTGGGGTAAGCGGACGACATTTTTCTTGCAACTCAGCTCTGGGCGTGATCTAGAGACTCGTCAATTTCATGATGGTCCCAATAACCCGGGTTGAGGAATTTTAGAATGTGATATGGGGTCGCATCTTGGGATATCCAAACTGGTTCAAAAGCGGTGACGTCGCAGTTGTGACAGCTTCGTGCGGGATTTGGGGTTGCCCCGTTGCATTCTTATATTAGCCGGGTCCGCCGGTGAGGTTGACGCAGGGAAAGAGTAGTTAAAAGGCCACGACCGGTCTTGTATCTATCCATGTTTTGAATGTTGTTTCAACCTGCAGTTGCCCTTTGTTCTGCGAAGTCGAGATAATGTCTTGGCAATGCTACCGCCTGTCTATTTGCGGGGCTGACAGCTGACACCTCAGTTGGAACGTCTCCGCACTAGGTCTGGGGTAGCTATCGGGTAAATATTTTGCCGACACTAGGTACCCCCGCTTTCTAGTCCATCTGTTCCAAAGACCCACTTCGCGCACCCGAGGTATGATGTTTTCATCGTATTTCTTGGAATAAGCTTCAGTAATAAATATTACTACAGCTCCAGGACCAGCACCCAATCCGTGTGGCTATCCACTCGCGGAGGTATAAACTGTTTGAGAGACCCAAGACCATCGCATTGCGCGTACTCAAAAGTCGCATAACCTCCTGTCACTGGGTCATACCAGCTAGCTTGTACTTCACAGCCAGAGAGGCTTCTTGTATCTATCGAGAAGTTCTGGCCAGTCGGCGAGTATACCATGATCCAACTACCCTTGGTATCTCTCGTCGCCGTCACCCGCTGGTCGTTCGTGCCCGCGTCTCCGACAATGATGCCTTGAGCTGGGATCCGACTAAAATAGCTATTCCTCCCGCGGTCTAGGACCACGTTTCGAATATGCTGCATTTGGCTAGCTCCTGGAAGATGGATATCGTCTGACCATGCAATGGCAGGGCCGCTACCGGCCGGGTCAAATAGACCGGGAATGTACATCTGCATGACGTTGTCGGCTCCATATGTCGCTCCGGTAGCACCCGAAAATACCTGCAAATGCGTCGTCAAGCCCCTATCTCCCTTTGATCTATGATAGACTTACCGCTTGCCAGCTGCCAGCACGAACATCACTTGCGTTCCAGTATGCATTGGCACTTTTTCCATTGTTGTATCGATTCTCGTAATGAGGTTCGTTATCCAATGCCGGACGTTTTCTTCCGAGGGTGTTCTCACCAACGGCATACATCAACTCCACAGTCTCCCATCCACGGCGGCAGTTCCACCACGGAAGGGGAGGATTAGGAGGATAGTCAACATGTCCGGACTGGCTCGTATCGAGGGTGAGCCATGGACGAGCGCCCACGAAAGCGCTTGCGAGAGCAACCGGGCCACCGCTGAACCATTGATTGGTGGGATGGATCGTCATGAGGGGCCACCATTTGGACGGCTCAATGGATTTCGAAAGTTGCTTGTGCTGGGAGGCAACAGCATTTCGCTCTCCCACGACAAGACCATTGGCCAGCTCATCGTAGATAGGGGTCCAGTCAATGTGTTGGTGCTGAGGAGGTACACCACCAGCTGCATAGTCATCCTTCACCGCGGTCTTGTTGAGCCACCAGGGGTTCGTGTCTGCGAAGAGTAGCTTGGGCAGATAAGGGTACCGTTGGCCAATAAAGGTACCGAAGTTTCGGGCTGTGCTCTTGTTCAAGACGGAGCCCATATTCTCTGGATCTGTGTCAAACAAGACCGACACTCTGGTATTGCGGGCCAACCTTACGGTCTGAGTGGACGTAATAACCCCACGCGGGAACCAACGCAATGCGAATACCCTTGCTCCAAGCGAGCTTAATGATGGAGTCCATGTACGCCCAATAGGGCTCATTAGGCCTCGTCACATCCTCATCGACGAAGGTAAGATCGCCATTACGGTTCGGACTATCGATTCCTATTTGCGTGAATCCGACTGCGAGCACCATGTTGAACCCTTTACGGGCCCGGTCCGATAGGTAGGTCTCGCATTCGCTGTAATTCAGTCGATGGAACAAGAGCCATGCCGTGTCAGCTTGCCAGAAGAATGGCTCCCCGTCAGAGTCTTGGAGGAAGTGCCCGTCCTGTGAAGGGGTGAGTGCATACTCCAGTGGAACTTGCCATACGGCCACTACTTTCCAGACGCTACGAGCCCAGAGCAGTAGAAACCAACTGTGAGCCCTCAGCAACATGATATGCGGATGGTCGAAAATTCTGGTTCCCGTTGCAAGCAAAAGCCAAGATGCGGGATACACCCTGCTTCTTCTCGGCAAGAAGATATACAAGCAGGAATAGCGCTCTTAGAGCTATACCCCGAGTTCAAGTAATGACTCGTCTGAGAAATTCTTTCGAGTTAGAAGATTGCCGGGCTTGCCATAAACTCAAGGGGCGACTGATATGCTGGAACGGCCACGGAAGAACTGCGCCCTACGGGAACTCATCCAGGCGGTGAAGCCCAAGGAGGATCTTTGCTTGTATCCAAACCAAGATAGACGGAAGGGTTTACTTTTCATGGGGCCGTCTAATTCATCAATAAGAACCGGTCGCGTGGTAGCATGATGACTCTCCCCGCATTCTCCCACGATGCAACGACGATCATTAAGCCGAGCACCGAGTTGCTGGGACACGACTCTGGAGCAAATCTTGTCGCTTTTCTCCATGCGCTTTCATGCGCTTTGGAGAGATCATCGACGATATTTCCTTGACTAGTAAGATGAAGCGGTAACCATAGACATGTCGATAGCTATGTCTATGGCTTCGAGTCTATAATTGCGACAACGGCGATAACGGCGACAACGGCGACAACGGCAGCTATTGAAAGCTGCTGGGAGTCCGGGGAGTCCGCCATCCTAGAAGTAAATCTTGAATTCCCAGGCTTAGAGAAATAAGAATGTATCACGTAGTTCGCTATGTTTGAAAATCATTAATAAGATATTGTGGTCACCAGAACATGAAAATATCAACCCACGACTGTAGGTCGGTTAGTGTCGTATTTCTTAGCCGGGCTGATAATCTGTAGCAACCCTGCGGCTTCAGGAGGCGCATGCTTATCCTGCCGGCAAGCAGGCTTGATTCTTGTCTTCAGGTGGCTATCGGTGACTGTTTGAAACACGTCAGGCACGGATTTTAGTACAAATATTGTGAGCTTGTGTGCTTTGATACCATATGGGCGTGCCGAATGGTGGCTGGCGCCACCTCAAATGTCTCCGAAGCCAGCAATGACAGCGCGCACTCATACGACTCGAATCCTCCCCAGGCCCGAGATGAAGACTGTCGGTTGGAGCTCTACGATGTGAAAGCGGGTTGCATATCGTGGATAGGGCTTTCGGGCTTCGTCATGGATACTTCAATTATCAGGAAGATACGGAAATCTGCAGTTGCGAGGCTCAAGTAGTTTCGCTCTACGTTAGCAACCACCGTCTCGTCTCACCTGAAATCCCCAAGAAGGCAGCAACTTGTGCGTAGAAGCCATGCCTCGTACTGATGCTAAACATGACACGTTGTAGGTTCTGCCGAGGCTGCAGAGTATAGGAGCAAGGTATATAGATTGAAGCACCCCAATACGCAGCAGTTTGGAAAGCCTGGAGAACAGAAGCTAGATAGAGCTAACGGACCAAGAAAGCTAAGATTGAATTAGTAAGACGGAGAATTGTGTGGGCCCATCCCGCGCCGGACACTTGGGCAGCGCTACCCCAACAGACTACAGAAGTCATATTGGTCACGTCTTGAAATCATTTCTAGACGAGGAGCACGGCAAATGTATCATCGCCGACGCTTATTGTTTGTGCCAGCCTAACAACCATGGTCTGTGTCATTTTCAGGCGATCCTCTTGACGTTAAGTTTATGACAACCGGTTCAGGAGCCGTAATGCAATCCGGAATATGCAAAACGATCGTTTATACGTTATACGCATGATTTGTTTTCGCTTGCGTGGTCCTTGGATTCTGTCTGATGTAAGAGTCTCTGGATATGTGACTTTAATTAAGAACAGTGCCTACAGAGTGCGCCAGAATAACAACGCCGTAAGACGGCATTACCGCAGATAACAATGACAGAGGTCAGAAATATACCACTTAAGGTACCAAAATAGTTCACGCATATAAGCAACATGGCCAATAGGTTTCTGTTCAGCGTTTAGCGGCCCAGCTTATGAAATCTGTTCAAGTCTACGCACAGATAGGCGTGCGCACTACGCTAATCACGCCAATTTGACCAATATTGCTCACCAGCGAGTCGCTAGACTTGCCACTAAGTTTCCGGACACTTGCGGAGGCTAGAAACTACCCGAGAGCCCAAATCTTTTGCCGGATACCGCATTTCAGGCAGACACGGGGTGAGTAAGTCGCTTCGACACCACAGGGCAGGGTGCGTACAGCCTTCGCATCTCAGCTTCGACCATGCCAAAGAAACGAGATGCTGGGAGGCTGTTCAGGCCTCAGCCGGTGATATTTTTCTATTTAATGCTGAGTTTCCCGTCAGCAATGGCACCTAATCAGCATGTTATCAACCATCACCCTAACCCGCGCCTTCCCAATCGCCCCTACGTCAGCACAGGCAAAGAGCAAACACCACAACAGCACGAACGTGTTGTTGTGCTTAGCTTCGGGCAGTCGACCTATTTATCTTCGTCCCCGTGGCTGTCTGGCCTGATCCAAACCCAGGCATCGGGTTCTCCCCAACTAAGCTCGTAAATCGGTTGGGACCCCGGGATCCGATCTCTTTCGAGCTCGCACCACAAACACCAACCGTTGCCCCCAGTAACAAAAGCAAGACAAGTATGGAAAAGTACACCGACCTCAAATCCTCCTCGGGAGGTCTGTCATCAGATTCCGACGTTGCAAGCCAGACGGGATCAGTACTGCTGGCGCCACCTGTCGCCGCCATGGGCGTCGAACGTGAGAAGACCGCCAACCTCGCGAGGCAAGTCACGGCAACTTCGCAACTTCGTGACGGCAATTCTTTGCGAGAGGTTGAGACTAGGGAGGATGGTACTGAGTATCCTACGGGGCTCAAACTGGGTCTAATTACCCTGGCTCTCTGTCTGAGTGTCTTCCTCATGGCCCTGGAGTAAGTCCGCCAACATCACGGGTCTACCTGGAAATATAGCTAACAAATGTGGCAGCAACTCCATCATTGCAACCGCCATTCCCAAAATCACCGACACCTTCCGCAGCCTGCCTGATGTTGGTTGGTACGGCAGTGCTTATCTCCTTACCACGGCTGCTCTGCAACTTCTTTTTGGCAAGTTCTATACCTTTTTGAGCATCAAATGGGTCTATTTAACCGCCATCGGCATCTTCGAACTCGGCAGTTTGATCTGCGGCGTTGCGCAAAATTCCGTCACCCTCATCATCGGACGCGCAGTGGCAGGTCTCGGTTCAGCCGGGATAATGTCCGGCGCCCTTCTGATCTTGGCCTACAGCGTCCCTCTCGCCAAGCGACCCATGTACACCGGCCTTATTGGGGGTATGTACGGCATTGCGTCCGTTGCTGGGCCCCTGCTCGGAGGCGTCTTCACCGACAAGGTAAGCTGGCGGTGGTGCTTCTTCATCAACCTTCCCATCGGTGCGATCACCATCTTCGCCATCTTGTTCTTCTTCCCCGACCCCAAGCAAGAAAAGCCCCGCGAGGAAACCCTTCTTGAACGCATGAAGCGCTTTGATCCCATCGGCACCATCCTGTTCATGCCTGCCGTCATCTGCGTCCTGTTGGCTCTGCAGTGGGGCGGCACCAAGTATCCCTGGAACGACGGTCGCATCATCGCCCTCTTCGTCGTCTTCGGCGTGCTCTTTGTAGCGTTTGTCTTTGTCCAGCACCGCCAGCAGGAGAATGCAACCGTGCCCCCACGCATCATCAAGAATCGCACCGTGTGGACGAGTAGCCTTTTCGGTTTCGGTGTCGGGTCGTCTTTCTTCCTGATGGTCTACTATGTTCCCATCTGGTTCCAGGCGGTTCAAGGTGTTTCGGCCGTCGACTCGGGCATTCGAAATCTTCCCGTGCTCATCAGCGTTGTCGTCTGCTCCATGGTAGCCGGAGGCGCTGTGACGGCCCTCGGCCAGTACGCACCCTTCATGATCGCAGGAACCATTATCATGTCGATCGGCGCCGGCCTTATTTCCATGTTCGCGCCGGATACTCCCACTGGAAAATGGATCGGATACCAGATCCTCTTCGGCGCCGGTGTCGGTTTCGGTATGCAGCAGCCGCTCATGGCTGTTCAGAACGTTCTAAGCATAAGGGATGTCCCCACCGGCACGTCCATCATTATCTTCGTGCAAACCCTCGGCGGTGCGCTCTTCGTCAGTGTTGCGCAGTCCGTCTTCACCAACCAGCTGGTTAAATCGCTCGCGACCTACGTGCCCCAGCTGGACCCTAACATCATCCTCGTGACGGGTGCTACGGCGCTCCAAAATACAGTGTCGGCGGAAGATCTGCCAGGCGTTCAGCTGGCGTATAGCATAGCGCTGACCCGCGCTTTCTTGGTAGCGGCTGGTCTGGCGGCGTTTACTATTTTTGGCAGTGCGCTGATTCCTTGGAAGAGCATGAAGGGCAAGAAGGTCGAGATGGCCATGGCTTAAGTCCTTCGGATGTTTCTGGGGACATTTTCCCTTATTGCTAGCGTTGGCGTTGTCGAGTTTTATGGTTTTATCTGGTTGAACGGTTACTATAGTGGAGTAGAGTGGTGGAATACCCAAACCACGAGGTATAGATGTTTGGTGTACGACATAATTCATAATGGAGGTCTCTGGTTTGAGGCGGCATGTATTATAGTAGGCTTACCTACATGGAAATTGCTCACCAAATGGTGTCATCCTTTTTAGTTCAGTGCAAAATCTCAATGAGAGTGACAATTTACATTTGACTTTGATCACGAAATCTTCTCCACTACCTATTTCTTGCGATTGACCACGAGCAAATTCATGGCTTACCATTCACAGCACAGCTCTTCTGTGATGCGAAATCTAACCATCCGGCCACTTAAGCTTCCATTTCACCCTCAATACACAGGACAGAATAGTCGCCTATGTAGCTCTTTGGGTCAAATGTGTGCTCAAAGCGTGTCGTCATAACCAGCAAGCGTGACGGATACTGCAGCGTTCAACCAATAAGGAAAACAGTGTGTCATAGATCACCATAACATGATATGAAACTGTCATAAGTCCGGGCCGCGCGCTTATTTACTCAGCTTGTGTATCGGCACACCGGTCTTTCATGCAAGGCCCTCAGTATTTGCTTAAAGGAAGACGAGAAGGTGTAATGTGCCTCCATTCGCAAGAATCGACAAACGTTTCGAGTATATCTGATCGACCCTACTACTCACCTGTCATTCTCATATGCATTCAGCGGCCGCGAGGTTTTCTTTTGCTGCGGATCACGGAAGATAAGTGGCATCCCGCGTGGGAGTGACATAGCCATATAGTGACTGTTTGTTGGTCTGACCATGTGTGTAGCACCCCTATAAATAGTATGTAACCGTCCGATATCCCAATATTTTCGGTTCTGGCTCTTCTTGATCTTTTTCCACAGTAATAACCCGATTTAAATGATAGTATGGACATCTCAAACGTTGAAAGGGCCCCCTTGACGGGAATCTCAGTTATTGTCGTCGGGGCTGGAGTCGGGGCACCCAAATGCCGGCGGATGAGACACGACGCTCGATTGTTTCATAGTCTACGATCGGTGCGCATTACTATAACAAGGACGGGTTTACCGCCTAATTAATCTCTGCTGACGCTTGGATAGGAGACTTCTTTACCATGGCCTTTCGAAACTGACCGAATCTAGTCAGGGGGCTTCAGAACGCTAAGTACGATGCCCATATGTCCTACTACAGACACTAGAGCGAGAAAATCTCTATCGAATTAGCACGGGGCTGGTGCGCCGCCAAGCCACGTTCTGTCATATACTACTGGAGAAAGCCCATCGTATTGGTATCCCTGTCAAGTTCAATTATGGTGCCATGAAATGCTTTAAAAACGAGGCAGGCACAGTTGGCAGTGAGATGTTCGAAGATGAGGTCATTACTGCCGATGGCGTCAGCTGGCAGAAGGTGTAGGCTATACGCAGCGGTTACGCCATATACTGCACCGCATATCCCGTGGAGCTGGCGTTGAATAATCTAGTTGTTTGGACATGATGGAGCGAAAGGAGGGATAAAGATCCACAGGGCTTCGAGTTCTAGCTCGAGTTGGCATTGTCATTTACACACCAAAGATGAAGGCTTAATCACAATGCGCAGGCCGGAATTGCAAATTTATGTCTTCTATGACAGTACAAAGCTAAGTGGTCTGTCACTCATAAAGTATAGTGTTCCTTGCTAAGACAACAGGATACCGAGACAGCAAGCGAGTCCTGACGCGGCCGCCACGTCGCTAGCACTGAATCTGTCATCTTGGCCATCAAAGATTATATCTGGCAATAGAGCAGCCCAGGCGATAGAGAATACTATCTCCGTTGCATCTTGGCTACACAATGGGGAAAGGGACTACACGTCATAGGCCACAAGGGTCCACAGAAAACTGCGGGAAGTTCATCTCATCTTATTATTGGGAAAGCTGCCGCGGTGGTCTTCAATAGCAAATGTTAACAAACAGATACTTGCATAGTTTCGAGCGGGTCTCCTCCATCCAGAAACAAGAGTATTAGCTCCACCCTAGAATATCTAACTCTCTGGTAACATTATTGGTATTGTAGATTTCCCGGTCAACATCGAGAAATCCATTGCGTGCTCAGGAGCCACAGCGCGTTGAATGGTGTACAGTGCCAAGTAAATTGACCTGAGAACTCAATATATCTTACAATGTTCACCATCATAGATGGTAGATCCGAACTGCCTTCATTTCCATATTTCAATAGTGCTCCAGCTCTCCGATACCAACTCCGATGCTCTTTCCCTTTGTGCGATTTTCGTCCAGTGTAAGGAACAATGCTCCGCCGTTCGTAATCTCGAGGAGGAAAGTCTCAGGGTTCTAGGTGTCGGCCGCGCCATTAGCATTAGGCTTTAGGCAAGTGACGCATTTCATAGTCCACCTGCAATTCCGCGCCTGCAATTCCGCGCCAAAGAGTCGGGTATGATGGCCCGTCTGACGACTGGTCAGATAATCTCTTCGCATAATAGTGACAGTCGAAATACTTGTCGAAGTTGACGGGAAATTCCCACAGTGAGGTCCCAAAAGTAATGTAACTGCCGCTGACCTCGCGAAAAGGGCCTTGGCCTTTGCCTTTGTGGTCGCCATGGCTAATCCAACAATGTGTCTGAATGCACTCCGCGATTGGGAGTTTTGGACGGAGACCCTGCAGCGACTCCGTCGACAGAAGCCTACGCATAAAGCGGCGCTCTGCAGTGGGTCGGTCTCCTGCGACTTGGGCCAAACCCCGTGAAGCTCCATGGCAGACATCGACAAAATTTGATTTCCACAGGCCTGCAAGGTATTCGTCTTGGCGCAACCAAAGTAATTTCCTTTAACTCTCCTCCTAAAGTAAGAGATACAGAGATAAGGGGTGCTAGGTTAAGATAGTAGTCCTACTTATTCCGCTTTAGAATCATATCTACGAGGGTTTCCCTTCAGGGTATGGGCTAGTAGCCGCATTTCAATAGGGTTTAATAAGCCCTATTAGATGATGGAGGAATAGACTCATAGGTGTAGCTAATTAGGGCGTTCTCTAGAGAGTTACGATGCGGTATAGATATAACGTACCCCACAAGCAAGTTGGCCACTTTTTCTTGGCACCGTATGAATAACTTCAATAACTTAACTAAACTAAAAAATAATAATTCAAACTAATCGAAATCCTCTTCCTCGTCCGTATCTTTATCATTCTCACAAGTACGAGCATTATATCCGGGCTCTCCGCAGATCCTACAGCGCCGTCGGCGTGGTTCGGCCGGTCTCGTACGACGACTTACACGTATATCATCCTGTAGCTGCTGTTCAATATCCCGTTGAGACTGTAAGTCCTGAGCGTCTCGTAAACTAAGAGATCCTCCATCTTGTAGCTGTCGATTTTGAGTCCTTCGACGACGGCTTAGCTCTTGATTGGCCTTCCGAAGTGTAGTAACCTCATCCTCAAGTAAAACTAACCGATGCATAACAGCCGTCGCACCACGTGAAAATTGGTCAGTAGCCGTAAGTATTGTCGTCGGGGAGCTATTATGATGCTGTACAATTCTGTTTTTAACGTATTCAGACTGGGATTGCGCCTCGGTTGGGTTATTTGGAGTCTTTGATTCCCAGATTAAGGGGGCGCCAGACGAGCTCCCAGGAGGTGTAGGCGTATGTAGCTTAATATCCAGCTGTGAAATCACATATTCCGGGTCGTACGGAATAATTCCTGTCCCCCTGAAACCTACCTGGATATTCCACTTAGTTATAGTCGTACGATACGCCCTATAGAATGCCGAAAAGAAATCCTCCTTCGAGATATGTGTTATATGCGCCCGTATTAGGTCTTCAATTTCTTTGCCGTACGACCTTTTCAAAGCCATAAAACAGCCTACATCGAGAGGCTGGAGCTTATGTGACGAATGAGCAGGCATACTAAGTGTAATAATAGTATGCTCTTTACAATATAGCTCGAAGTCAGTCGAGTGGTGGCTCTCATGCCCGTCGAGGCTAAGAAGACGATAAACACCCTTCGTACGATCCTTCGTATAGCGATCAAAGTGCTGAATCCAGTCTACGCCTCGCTCACTTGTTGTCCAACCGTTTTTGGTTACAACGATTACCCAATCGGACGGGAATGGGCTATTCTCGTACCAGGATAAGAGGTGGTTTTGACCCGCGACAATAATATACGGCGGGATAGCCCAGCCGGACGAATTAATACCCTGGATTACTGTAGCCCATTCTCGATTGCCTTGTTGGACTGTACGAGGCCTTCCGCGTCGTTCGGCACTTGTAACTACCATCTCGGATGAGATTAAGCCCATCGCGAACCCTGTCTCGTCGAAGTTATAGATATCCGCCTCTTGGATACCATATTTCGCAATTGTATTTCGTACGAGCGTAAACCACGCGCGATACGCGTCAGGATCTTCGCAATAGGCTCGTTGGTAGTCGATTCTTCGATTAAAACGCGTCCGAAGGTCTGGTTGTCGTCGTACGAAGTTCGAGGCCCAGTTGACGCCGACGCGTCCAGCGCCACGGTCATGGAGCAGTCGGTTAGCCATAGCTTCAACACCATGGAGCCGGGGAGGAAATGATGGCGAATCTAGGTCAAGTATGTATTGTACGACCGCTAACTCTTCTGATTCCGTAAGCTTATGACTAGATTGTCGAGTATCGTGTCGAGATAGTAGTCCGCGTTTTCGGTTAGCTAGAGTTGTATGAGGGACATTGTAGAGTTGGGCAGCGCGTCGGATGCTTAATTCGGGTTTCGATTGAAGCGCCTGACACGCTAGAATCATGTCGCTTTCTTTCCAATTCGATCCCATCTTGGTATGTGTAAAGATGTTAATTACAAGGTTGTTCGTACGGTGCCAAGAAAAAGTGGCCAACTTGCTTGTGGGGTACGTTAGTAGAAGTGTAATATGTAGCACGTTCTACATCTACATCAGAGAGAACTGGTTACTCTCAGATACCGTCGTCAGCTCTGATTGCACTAGTGGTCCAAGATATCCCCATAGTCTCGATTGATCCCGGGCGATAGTTTTAGAAAGAGTATAGTTAAAAAGGCCTTTGTAAACGCATGTTGTAAGCCGCAATAGTCGAGGCCAGGCACAACCGTTGATTCCTTCTGCCAGTAGTAAAAGTGTATAGAGAAAGAACATTGCCCTTCTAAGTCTATTCGGTGCCTTGAAGTAATTTTTGAGGATTTGTAGGGTTCCCTGAACGCCGACGGCCCGTCACTGCTCTGTTAGCTTCCCGATTTTACACCTAATCCGACTACCACCTGTAGCTATACAACTGACTTTTGTAATAACCTCGTACTTTTCTTTCAAGCTGTTAGCCTAATTAATACCACTATCAACTTATTCATTGTACTTAAGGCTAGGGACTAGGAAAGCTATATCCGTTCGGGATTTTGACTTAAGGACAGGGTTGATGGGCCTTGTGTTTCGGGTTTTCAGATTTTGGATGATTTACGCAGTAAAAGTGCTTCTAAAGGCTATAAAAGGACCTGTAAAATCTAGGTAGTTATTTGGAAGGTTTTCAAGAAGAAACAAAAACCAGAAAAGAACTGAATGTTAGATCCCTTTGCCTGTAAGGTCCTAGTTGTTTCATGACCTGTTGCGGTCTTATTCTGTTATTCGTGCCTGTTGAGGTACTTGTATTATCCAAGCCCATCGACTCCAGCCTGTGGAGGCTCAGTCGACTGTTTGTGCCTATTGAGGTATTTTTGATGATCTCAACAAAGCGAAAGGCTCTCGATTATGTTTTCTGTTACCCCCTCGGACAGGTGATCTTATTCCGTCTCCATTATCTTCACCTTGAACCTGCGGGCATATACTGCCCGTAGTCAATATATTAGTCATGAAATAAAAAATATAATGGAATAAAAAGCCTTATATAATACTATGAGTAACGGGTAGATCTGAACCCGACATATAGGCTATCCGAAAGCAGGCCTAATTAATTTACCCAAGGGCTTTTGGCGTGTACTCGCAGAGACCTCGCAACGGCAACAGGAGAACCAATAGTTAGTGGGACTATTGTAAGGTGGCTGCTAGGGACGGGTCGGACAGCTTCAAGGCCCAGATAGCATCGATCTTCTCAGGGGGGACTTTGTTGGTAGGTTGAGAACCAACGTAGTATGGTAGTGAACGCAACGCAGTCGCCAATAGGGCGAACCGACGACGCAGCGTATGTATTTAGTCCAGCCATTAGGGCACGGTTTGACATACGGGAGTACTAGTAGAGGTACCGGGGGCTTCGAGCCTACGGCGTATTTAATAATAATAATTAATTTTCAATTTTATTGGGCGCCTTCTAGTTATTACTCAAAATCTTCAACCTCGCAGCAATATGTCTTGCCCACACCTTGGCCCTCAATCCTCGTAGCAAATGTGACCGTTGCGCAAAGCAGCCCGGAGTCCTTATCATATCACATGCCATTATGAGTAGATGAGGTGGTGAATTCCACTTGTAAATTTGACCTATGTATTTGTCTGGTGGTTCTAGATGTTATCCCAACTTCAGGGTTAAGAGGATTAGGGTTGGGGGTTGACTAGGGATTAGTTCAGATTCGCCTGAGAATGTAGCCCGTAGTTAAGTCCCGTTATCGGATTCTAGAGAATATAGTCCTTCCTTATGATCAATCACAGATTCCGTTAATGTTGCTTGATCTGTTGAAATATACCTCAGATTAATTGCTCTGAATGTAAAGGACTATATGCACACGTTATCTTGAAAGGCGGTCATGCTGAAAGCCCGTTCATTGGCCCCACTTGCAGCCCGAAATTGTGTTGCTCTGGGACGCTGGCAGCTCTCAACCCCACCATCCCTACTTTACACCTCTCGTATCAAGCTCAAACAACCTAGTAACCCACGCCTTAATACCTTCCTACGTTCCTAGACGACATCAAATCCAACAAGATGGCGTCCGCCGATCCTTTCGACTCGGCTCTGTAAGTTTTCTTCCCTCATTCCCTCCCAAACCCCCCGTACGCCAAAGGACCAAACCAAGCTAACCCGCCTTGCCCCGCGCTTCCTGCAGCGACCTCCTCCGCCGCCTCAATCCCAAACACACGACGGCACACCTCCAATCCCTTATCTCGCTCGCGCCCGACCTCACCGAGGACCTCCTTTCTTCGGTGGACCAGCCGCTGACGATACGCCGATGCAAGCAGACGGGGCGCGACTACCTGCTGTGCGACTATAACCGCGATGGCGATAGCTACCGATCGCCTTGGAGCAACGAGTTCGATCCGCCGCTGGACGGGGGCCAGATAGGTGACGGCGGTGCGGGAGATGGTGCGGGTGCGGCTGGAGTCCCCTCTGACAAAGTCAGGCTCATGGAGGTCAAGGCCAACGAGGCGTTTGATGTCTACCGCGAGCTGTACTATGAAGGGGGGGTGAGCAGTGTCTATTTTTGGAACTTGGATGATGGATTTGCGGGTGTGGTTCTGTTGAAGAAGGGTACGTGAGACTTTTCTCTACTATTTGCCTACCCTTGGTGATCGAAGATGCTGGATGGGATTCTGCTGGGATTTGTGAGGCCCCAAGAAGAGGAGGGAATCTCACACCATTGGGGTACTACGAGCTAAGTGGCGTAGAAGCTCTATATCGGGAACGCCTCGATCAATGGGGCTTCACGAGATTGGCATGGGAATCTGCTGGTGCTACGCGCATCTGAGACTTCGGATCTAGCATCTGAATAATGAAGCCCAAGAACCGGGATCGCGGGATCTTGTACCTCGCAGCTTGATTCAGCTCAGGGCGGACAACAAGATGGTGGCGTCCACGCAGATCGAGATGCTACAACTATTGACACGGAAAGCAAACTCCTAACGCTGACCTCATTCACAGAAGCCAAGCCCGGCAGCACCAGCGAGGGTTCCTGGGATTCGATTCATGTTTTTGAAGCTCTGGACCGCGCCCGAGTCACCCAGTACAATCTTACATCTACCGTCATTCTGTCTCTGTCGACTAGTGGGTCGGGGTTGGGCGACATGGATCTCAGCGGCAACATGACGAGACAGATAGAGCAGGAACTGCCCGCCGAGAACGACGAGCAGCAGATCGCCAACATTGGCAAATTGGTTGAGGACATGGAACTAAAGATGCGTAACCTGCTGCAGGAAGTCTACTTTGGCAAGGCCAAGGACGTTGTGGGCGACCTGAGGAGTATGGGCAGCTTGAGCGAGGCTGGCCGGGACCGCGAGGCCCAACGGGAGATCATTGGAAGCATGCGGAGATGATCCTAGCTGCCTTCAAGTCAAAAGAAAACCATACCTGGAGTTTGTCAGCGGTAGACGGTCTCAGACTCTTGAGATTACTTGTCAGAAGGGGGGTTTGAGATGAGGTTTCCCTGTCAGAGCCAAGTATGGTAATAGGGTTTCGGGAGATGGCCCAAACAACGAGTCGATCAAGACAAAATAGCCATCGGTGGCGGAATTGAGTGGTACAGCAGGCCTCGGAGAGATTGCGCGATCTGCTGATGATGCTGAAGCATGTCTGAGAAGCTCAGGGGCATATCTCAGATAAGATGAGGCTGTCTGTTGTGTTTCCCGAATAAAAGAGCCCAGGAGTAAAAATGACGAAGCTGGTCGTGGAAAGTCCAATTTCTTACCTAGCAAGCCATGGCCGCTTTCTTTTCCACCTCGATTCCCAAATATTCGTAGAACTTGATGAGTGCAACATGTTTCTCGGGATGGCCTGGGAAATGCTGACAGCCCCCAACGTGTTCACCCTTGCCAAACTCGCCTGGATATAATTCCGGTTGCGCACGAGAGATACGTGCAGCGTATAGCGCAGATTCGCAAACAACCAACGTGGGTGTATTGTTTCAGGTCAGTACCCCGCGTCCCAGAGTACAGGGTCCAGGTAGGATACAGGATGGCATGCGGGAGGAGTGGTGGTGGTAGTTGGTTCGTGGGCGCCGCTGAGCGGCGCTCAGAAGACATGATATCCCCCGGTTTCATTCGCAAGACGACATGATCACGTTGCCCTAAGTGTGCAAATTCTGCCATCGTCCCTGAAGATCTTTGGGAAGATGACATCCTTCAAAGCAGGAGGGTGGCAGAATTCATATCAATCCCGGAGAATTGTCCAACAGTTGCATATCAGGGGACAAGAGCAGTTACCTAAACGGGACCGGAAGGTGTCCGGTGCCCCGGTCGTCGGTGGCCAGACATAGAGGGACGGTGGGAGAGGGAGGGCCACTACTACCTACCTACTTCAACCTATTGCTCGATATATTCGATATTCTTAAGAGAAGAGGACTCAGCTTGGCAGGTTGGCGGGTTTTTGGTCGTTGGTTTACGGCGAGTCAACCAGAATACGAGAGGCCAGTTGACCGTAAAACTGGCTCCCACGAAATAGAGACGGAGGCCCCTTTGCTCAGTATCGTAAGTCAACATAACATAACTACCATAACATAATATCCTGGCAGACATCAGAGCGGAAGCTAATAAATGACGCCTCATCCCGCCAGCCCAGAATCGCGGTATGTGCCGTGCCCGAGTCAGGTGTAGCTAGGCAGGCCCACAGCTGAAGGCCAGGAACCTACCTAGTGGCTCTGCCTAGTGCTAGGTGAGGAATAGATTACGCTGTGGTAATGGGCGTTTGCACTCGACAGTCTTTCACCACGAACAAACGAACGTAATTCCGGGCAAGCCGCGTAGGCTCCGGTGTTAAAATGTGTCGTTTGAGGTTGTGCCTTGTTGGAGCATGGCAGTGCATCGCAACCGATGTCAGCTTTGCTTGCCTGTCGTAGTCTTGCAATTGAAGTGATACTAACTGCATGTTGTTCAGCAACCGTCAGAAACTGACGGGATAATCCCTCGGTAGCCGGGCCAAGTGGGTTATTGAGGCCCTCCTTGCGTTTCTCCTTGCTCGGAGTTGCAGGGTATGTAGTTTGGCAAATGCGATGTTATAGCGGGGTTGTGAGGAGTGGTGAAGGTTTCCAGTTCACAATCTGCGTGTACTTCTTCGCGGCACCAAGTCCTTTTCCCGGATGCGATGCGCCAAGACCTCAACGCAAACATCTACAGCTACTAGATGCGACCCCGACTAATGAGACTCTGCGGGAAGCCTCAATGGAATTTCTCCAAAATGGGCGCCCGCATGACTGACCGACCACACTGGCCATTGTCGGTGCAGCCCAGTAGAAGGAGCAGACGAGACTCAACGATTGGTGCGTGATTTAAAGACTTGGACCACTAGACTGCGTAGAAGGCTTCTAGAAAGAATTTTGTTGGTCCGCGAAAGTACTATGTACAAGCTAAGACCGCCTAAAGCAGCAGGAAGGAGGTCCCCTGACTGACTGGGTTCATCGGGAATTGCGGCCCTCGCGGCATAACCAAACCAGTTCAACGTGGTTGTCCACTAGCGACAGCTTGTAGAAACAGCCTCCCTCCGCGCTCCCCGGCTTCGTCTTCGTCGACGGGTCGAGTACCAACGGCCAGTTTGGAACAAGGTGTCCCCAATCCCCCTTGCTTATTGCGGGAGTGGCGATTGGGGGAGCAGTTGCTGTAAGTTGCAGCAGACGTGCAGATGCACTCTGTCTGTATGCTATGTAGTGCCAACCTGTAGATGCAGCACAAAGTTGGACTCTGGACCCCCTGGATCCAAAATGAATTGACGTGGTGCTGCAGAGGAGTTTTTTCTTCTTCCTTTATTCGGTGAGAGATGGGCATTGGGGTGCACCAAGGCAGATCAGGGTTGCATATCATGGGACATCACACAACAGGCGGTTTCGGTGTCACTGAAATCTCCATGTCCAATGTAGCAGTCAGAAGATTGGAAGCATACCAATATCGGACTTTATGATGCCCTCATGTTGTTTCCACCCCTACGAAACAATTGGATACGACCTACCGGATCCGAGTCTACCGTGTGTTGATTATTGGCCTTGTTGGGGCAAGAACGCGTTGTCCATCATTGTCACCTTGTGGTTAGTAATAACTGAGCTGAAAAGGGTGCGTTCCTAAAATAGGCGTGCCGTAGCCCCCCCACGCCCCGATCCTATTAATTGATGATGATGATGTTGGGTGGTGTAATAGAAGGCGTTGCATCATACTTTTTTCATCTTACTTTTTTCGTCTTAAATCGAACATCACTTGACCGATGTTGGTGGTGGCCCCTCCACGACTTCAAGTTGGACGGGACCCAAGGAAGTTCCCGAAATCGGGCGTAGAAGCAGCCTTGATGTTTTCCATCTCTTTCAAATGAAGGGGCAACTAAGTTTCCCGGCTGTAAGCTAGGTCAGGAACAACAGTTTAAGTCATGAACTGAGTTCGAGGCTTGAGAATCTCTGACAGACCTGGCGAGCAGACGCCGAAGCCTTGGAAGCCATCTATGCCCGACGGCTGCATCTCCGCTTCTAAAGTGCATTAAAATGCAACTTGTCTTGCAGGCACTCCGTCGATCTGTTCCGCCCCAACTTTGCGTTACGCGTGAGCTAGTTCATGGGATTGATGCGATGAACCCCAATTTTTCCCCTTTGACGGATAGGTGTCAGGGCCTGGTGTAAAAACCGTAATCAATTACAGAGACACACGCATTTGCGTTATCATCTGTCTGGGTCAATTAATATCACCGTCGACACCGGCCTCTTCGGAGTTGCCAGTAACGGTACCAACCAAATACCGGCGACTCAATCTTCAGAAAAGACATCGATCAATTGAATAAATATCGGGAGCTTTATTAGATCGAGTGTTGGGCCGCCCAGCTTTGCCGACCAGCTGGGCTTAATTGACGTCTGAAAAGTTAGGGGGAAGTGCCAGGTTGTTTTTTGGCGGCTGCAAGTGCACTTAGAAACAAGGACCAACCCGCTTGACTCCACCTTAAGGTCCTCCTGGATTGCCAAATGCCCTTGTGCCCATGAATGAACTCATGGCGGCCTCCTAGTAAGTTGCTAGTTGATCTTTTTGCTTGCTGGCCCGCACCGGAACTAGTGCCTTTTTTAATGTGCTTTTTTACACTCTTCCTCCATGGTTCTTCGTCTCTTCCTCAAGTCCTTCTATCTACAGATCCCATACCCGAGATCTTTTGTCGATAATCTGCAGCCTTCTTCCCCTGGGCCTGTGTCGCATCGCACACACATTGTGTTGGGACCAGGGTTGTACTGCACAGGCTAGTGGCAATCTGCTCTCCAATCTCTGGGCACGTCAGGGTTCATTTAGCTCTACTGTCTATATAGGGCTGGGGCTTCCGCTGGGTTCGAATTGGATCCTCTTGGGTATTGAAATGAGCAAATATTAGGCCACCGTTCTCTACTTTTCCAGATCCTTGGCCTTCAAAATACACGTTGCCCGCCAACAACGCCCAACTGCACCCGTACACGTCCAGTATACCCCCCATTATCTCCGCCGTCATCCGTTTCCTGGTGCCAGATTGTTGCAACGGGAAACATACGTCACGAACTTCGTTACTCGATCTTGACTCGAGGACCCCGCGTTGCTTTCGCGCCTCTGCCCCTCCTTAAAGGCCATTACCAGCGCGCCCTCCGCCTTATCCTGCCATCCACTGACTCGCAATGGCGACCGAGAAGCCCTCGGTGCTGATTATCGGTGGGCTGGGATACATCGGACGGTTCTTGGCCCTCCACATACAAAGCCATGGCCTCGCCTCCGAAGTAAGGCTGGTGGACAAGGTGCTGCCGCAACTCGCATGGCTGGCTCCTGAGTTTGACGAGGCATGCTCGGCAGACAGATTTATTCAGGCCGATGCCACGAGAGAACGTACGTGGTGCAGCAGATTCCGCGTCGCGGGTTGCTACCTTGTTCTTGATGCTTAGACGGGGCAAGATGCTAACTCGCACTCTCACCCTACAGAAGCGTTAGCGCGGATATTCGACCGAACCGACGGCAAGGCATGGAATTATGTCTTCAACTGTGGTGGCGAAACGAGGTACTCGCAGGAAGACGAGGTGTACCGGCTGCGGTCCAAGGAGCTGTCGTTGGCCGTGGGCAGGGAGTCTGCCAAGCGCAAGGTCAAGTGCTTTGTCGAGCTGAGTACAGGCATGGTGTATAAGCCGGATTCAAACGCCAGCAAAGAGGGTGACAAGTTGAAGCCGTGGAGTAAGATCGCGGTGTTCAAGCTTGAGGCAGAACAGGAGCTGGCCAAGATTGAGGGGTAAGCCACGCCTGCCATCCATCCCAACCTGGGGAAAGTACTAACAGTTCGTGCCCTGCCAGACTCAACCTCGTCATTGTACGGCTGCCCCATGTATACGGCCCATACGCATCACAATGGGTCGCAACTGCGCTGTGCATGGCACGCGTCTACCAGCATCTTGAACAGGAGATGAAGTGGCTGTGGACCGAGAACCTACGGACCAACACGGCACATATTGACGACGTGACACGAGCGCTATGGGACGTCGCTAAGTGGTACAACGCGGGAAAGGCCAACTGGGATGACAGGGAGATGGGCAAGACGCCGACCTTCAACGTAGTCGACAAGGGCAAAACGACACAAGGTGTCATGGCCAACCTGATCGGCGAGATTTTCAAGATCGAGACGGGCTTCCAGGGCCAAATAGTCAGCACCTTTGCGCGTTTGAACATGGACAGCGTCGTCGACGACGTCAACGACGAGGTGCTGGGACCCTGGGCCGACCTGCTGGCCGACGCAGGAATCACGAGACCGGGCCCGTTGACGCCGTTCATGGAAAAGGAGCTACTTAAAGATACGGATTTGAGCATGGACGGAACTCGCCTAGAAACGGTCGTCGGGTTTGAGTATCAAAAGCCGAAGATCACCAAGGAACTACTCGAAGAGGTGATCGAAAGCTACAAGAGGATGAAGTGGTGGCCGTAATCAGAAGCGTCGTGACGTTCAGACAAGCGCGGAGACGTAAGAGAACGAACTTACCTAGGCCGAGGGACGCCGATGAGAGTTCGTGCGGGCACTCCGTTGCTGTAGGCACCATCATCATCTGACGACATGCCACGATAACGACCGAATCTAAAGCGCAGAAGGGACCGTCAGTGGGCGATTTTGCGTCTGTTAAAAAAGATTTAGGCGTAAAGAATAACAGTCTTGTATGACTAGGATATCCATTATTTTTTTTCCTTCAAATCTCGCTGGAGTGAGGAGGGTTTGAGGTTAAATTTCAAATGTAGAGAGAGAGGCGAGATGGGCTACGACTTTGTAATATACATAACATGCACATTTTTCCCGCCCCTGGAATTCGGAAATTCGCCAGCGTGTGCGGCTCCTCATCAGGAGCAGAATCTACCTTTAGTTACGCCGCCCGAGAAACATGCAATGCACTCCTATCACATTCCCTGAAGTATCTCATCGCAACGTCACATCACATGGTTGATTGTGTCGCTGCCCAGGGAAGGCCTCGGGAAATGCCAAGAATCTTGTTTCCCCTCAGTAGTTGCCCCTCATTCGGGGGTGGTCTCCCGTTCGAGTCGTATCTCAGGGCAGAAACTGCTTCTTATAGGCTGGCCGATCAGACGCGGACTATCGCCATCGTTATCGGGATGACTTTGTTTTGAATCGGTTGGGAGGATTTTTCAGCTGGCATGAAACTTGTATCAAGTCGTTCAAGTCTTTCCACATGATGGTGTCCAACAACACAGACACTTGTAATCTAATGACATCAGTGAGACTAAGCTCCGGGGTTTGAAATCTAGATATTGAAGAGAACCTTCGATGTCAGAAGGATGCGTTCCGGATGCCAGGCCCCCTGCCGTGACCATGTTTTACCTATTTCCAGCCACACCCAAACCCGGTCGACATTTCTGGGGAGTTCTGACTTGGGACACATAACATGCGAACAGCCTAGCGCTGCGTTCGCACTATGCCAAATATAGCGAATGAGGCTTGCCTGGGTCAAGCGACGGAAAGGCTTTGAATCAGCAGGAATGACGCGGTCTACGGTAGTCTCCCGCTTCTTCGGATTTCTTGGGAGCGCAAGTCCCCACAATCCACATGCGCCAATCGGGTCAATGCCTTGTGGCTGGCTCAACGTCAACGCCAGATGCTATTGTACAATCGATCGTGCCTCAGTTTCCCTTGTTCTCAACGCGTTAACAGCATCTGATTTTCATACTACATGCAACATTCCCTGCCTATGGTTATACCTAAGCTGTTATCGTCTCACCCTCGTTTGCTTGGCTTGATCGTCTTTGGCAATAGGCCCTCCCTGCGCTGAGCGTTGAATAGACTCAACTCTACCTTTCTTGTACACCTAAGGGACTTGAGACGAACTACAGCGCCAACGAAGCTACATAGCTACCCCACAATATCCGTACCTCGACAATATAAACATAAGCTTGACGGCCTTTTCAGCACCTTGACAAATCATCTCCTCCTCTCAACTCCCAAGACAACTCGAAACAACTCAGACAAAATGGCTGCCCCCGCGAACAAGACCATCGGCGACCTGACCGGCAAGTGGATTATGGTATGCGAATCCCACACCACCTCTCTCGTGCTATCCCTGCCCCTCTGCAACCACCTGCGGTGCATGGAGGTTGAGCACAGTCCTCGGACACATGTGAACATCCCGTACTAACCTTCCCCTCTTCCCCACCGTAGAACAAAACGCTCTCAGACAGTACGGAGCCCGCCCTCGCCCTCCAAGGCATCGGCTTCCTGACTCGCAAGGGCATCGGTCTGACGACGGTGACCCTGCAAGTCAAGCAGTACAACGGCCCTCCGTCGCCGCCGTCGACGCAGACGGGCGACGTCGTGCACATTGACATCGAGCAGACCGCTACCGGCGGTATCAATGGCACGACGGAGAACCGCAGCATCGACGACACGCAGCGCGGACACAGCGACTGGCTATTTGGCGACGTAAAGGCCCGGTCCAAGTGGCTTACGGCCGAGCAGCTGGCCGCCGTTGCGCAGGAGCACGGCGAGCATCTCGGCAAGGACTGGATTGAAGACGCGGCTGAAGCGCAGGGCCCAGGAGGGGCGTCTCACGTGATGAATTATGTTGAGTCTACCGCGGGCTGGACTGCGGTGCAGATCTGGGGTTTCCAAATGATCGGCGGTGAGAGACGGTATGCGAGGAATGTGTTGGTCAAGAAAAATAACAAGGTCGTGGAGGTGCGGTTGGTTTACGATTACGCTTCTGAGTAAGCAACAGTGGGCGGCATTGTTGTAGCTGTCGCATGCGGTTGGAAGAAATCTAGACCGACCGGCTTACGTTAAAGCTTATCTTGCCGTTGATTTGATTGCCGTTGGGGCTTAATCTGTATGAGTCTGGGTTACTTGCCAGACAATGCGTTGGGGGTGATTTTGGGTCTTGTTTCGGCTGAATGAGTCTATTGCACATTTTATCTATGAAAAGTTGTGTATTCTACGCAAGACTGAAGTTGTCATTCCTATCGGGCCATGTACTCTATACCTAGGATGATAGTGCAATCATGTACGCCATTGGCCAAACCCACTTTTGCCCTGTCGTGTTCTGGTAGTCACTCCCAAGGGATCATATCGCCCTACGCCGGTCTCCTCTTCACAAACTCCTCCAGATCATTCCTTGTCGCTACGCCCAGCACGAACCTCCTGTCCTCATCCGTGACGACGGCAAACTCCTGCTTTTCGCCCGCGCCCGCGCCCTCAAAGAATTCCTCAAGCTCTTCCAGTGGCGTTGCCATGGTGATGACTTTGTACTTCTTGCCCTTGCGTTGGAAACGCACCATAGCCTTGGACAGCGAGTCCTCCGATTGCACCTTGCCCGTCTCGAGCTGCGCCTGTAGGTGCGGTATCGATATGTACCCCAGCAGTGCCCGTGTCGTTGCGTCGACTACCGTCAGGTGCGTATACTCACGCTCGAAGGCCGATATCATGGCGAGGGAGATGGGGTCCGAGGGTGTGAGGGAAAGGGCAGACGGGGGTTCGAGGTCTTGGACTGTGGCCTAAGAAGAATTGTTAGCAAGTTACTGCGTGTGGGATAGGATGTTTGATTGAAATGGCTAGGGGGAGACGGACTCCTCGGTAGCGATTTGACCATTTGGATACGAAGGGTTTCGCGCCAGACAGTATTGATGGGCCAATGTGCGGCGCGCCAGTGGCGATCGTTTGGACCATCTTCGTGTATGTAAGAGCGACTTTAGAAGCTTGTGAGACGGGCGTTGCGGCGTCGACTTCAAATAGCTCTAGGTCACTCAAGGCTCGCGTGAATTTCCAGAATTGGCATATACTATGGGATGGTTTTCATGTGATCATGTGAAAGGGACGCTCGTTTGGGAATCTCGAAGGTTTCCGTAGTGTCAATATCAGGTCGCTGGGATAGGAATGACGAGCGAAGTGGGGTTGCGAGTGAACAAAAAACAGAAACCGCAGGCGGGCTGGATATTTCACTCAACGCTTGACCTTACATAACTCATTCCAAACTCGGCCAAGCGCATGAGAAACATATACCATAGAGCCAATCATCACGACACTATACAATGTACTACTATGCTGAACTCATCGCAATGCAGCAATCTTCCAATTGCAAGAATATTGAATCTTGTTCTCTGGTAGAATGAACCCCTCGGATCATCATAATGCGGGATGATTAAGCCGTCGCTGAGCGTCGCTCGCTAGGGTCTTATCCTTATCGTTTCTATTTCAGTAGACCTGATTGGATCGCATCGGAAAGCCCAAGAGATGATTGGGTGGAGAGCTGTCAAGTCCATGAAAATGTTAAGCTCAGGAAGCTACTACCCCTGCCGACGTCACTGGTACAGCCTCGGGATAGCTCTTTCGCATGCTGCTCTGCGGCGTCGACGTGAGACAAATCGTATTGGCTGACGGCTTGGGGATTTACGGTGGTCTCAGGCCGAAATACCACCACCATGCCATGTACAGATGAGTCGGCCTGTGCACGCTACTACTGTGTATGTCAGGAGTGCTGGACGGCAGCTGGGTGATGTGATCAACTTCCTCCATTATCCGTCTCCTGGTTTATCTCTCATCATCCGCATATAAATCCTAAATCGTCCGTCTTCCCACGTCGCATCGAAGAGTGACTTTGGCCCTAGCCTCCTCGACATCGTGATCCGCGGTAGGATTGTGGTTTCCCTCACGCAGCTTTCTTGACGTATGTTTGTTTCCCCGCTCGCCCGAGCTGTCAGCATTTCCCTCGAGATTATTCATCCGCTGTGACCGTTATTTCCATCCATTCGATGTGATTGTTCTACCGTCGCCAAGCAGCTTCGGTTTCAGTTGGAAGAGCTGTGTGCTGATAATCTCGACTCTCCAATAGGTTGCGCAATCGCAAATAGCCAAGATGACCCTATTCCCCAGTCACCAAATCCTGCAGCAGAATTTCTGCAACCCTCTGAACGGTCGTCGTCAAGCTGCGCCTCAGACCAAGGCTACACCATTCCAAGCGCGCCCCGAGCTATACGGAGCTTTCTCTGTGACGGACGATGTGAAGGCCAAGGCCCAGAAGCTGAGCAAGGAAGCTCAGGCCGAATTCGACAAGGCCAGCAAAGCTGCACAAGCCAATTCCGGCCACATTGAGCTCTATTCTCCCAAGTACTACGCCGCGTGCACGTTCGGTGGTCTCCTTGCTTGTGTAAGATGAACAATACCATCGCTTATACCCAACTACCTAACACGCGACTTAGGGCCTTACTCACACCGCCGTAACACCCCTGGATCTCGTCAAGTGTCGTCGCCAGGTCGACTCAAAGTTGTACAAGGGCAACTTCCAAGCCTGGGGCTTGATTTACCGAGCAGATGGTCTTCGAGGTATCTTCACTGGTTGGAGCCCGACCTTCTTTGGTTACTCTGCCCAGGGCGCCTTCAAGTATGGATGGTACGAATACTTCAAGAAGACCTACTCCGATGCCGTAGGTCCCGAAAATGCACACAAGTACAAGACTGGTCTCTACTTGGCTGCTTCGGCCTCCGCCGAATTCCTCGCTGATATCGCCCTCTGCCCCTTCGAAGCTGTCAAGGTCCGCATGCAGACCACGATCCCTCCTGCTTACACTGGCATGTTGAACGGAATTTCAACCATCACCGCTGCTGAGGGCATCGGCGGATTGTACAAGGGTCTCTACCCGCTTTGGGGCCGCCAAATTCCGTACACTATGATGAAGTTTGCCTCTTTCGAGACCATTGTCGAAGAGATCTATGCACGCCTGCCTGGACAGAAGAGCGACTACAGCAAGCTTACTCAAACTGGTGTCTCCTTCACTGGGGGTTACCTCGCTGGTATCCTGTGTGCTATCGTCTCCCACCCCGCCGATGTCCTGGTCAGCAAGCTCAACGCGAACCGTGGTGCCGGTGAGGGATTCGGTGCTGCCGTTGCCAGAAACTATCGCGACATCGGCTTCATGGGTCTTTGGAACGGTCTACCCGTCAGAATTGTCATGATTGGCACTCTTACTGGTCTGCAGTGGATGATCTACGTAAGCTTTCTTGCTGTTATAATATCCAAGAGTCTTTGCGCTTACTTACATTTGCACAGGATTATTTCAAGATCTTCATGGGTTTCCCCACGACTGGTGGAGCTGCTCCCCCAGCAGAGAAGAAGTAAGCAGGGTCCTGGAGGTTGGCAGCCTGTGTGTACTGTGATAGCCGGATGCCCTCGGTGCATACGCCAAATCCGCGCCAAATACGGTGAAGTAATTATGGGCTGGGCGGGTCTGACATGCAAGCAGCCATGTTCGCGAAGAAGAAGGGAATACAAGCTGTGTTATGAGAGTATCCTTGGCTGACTTAAATTTCTGCGTCGTGTATAGATAGAGTCTACGTGGATGAATAATTGAGATCAATCCCCTTTGCATGAGAGTGATTTCGTGAAGTTCGAAAACATTCAGCTCCCAAGTGTGCGTTATTATCGCAACGACCGACAATTCGGGCCTCTTCTCGCATGCGCAACTCGATCATGTCATTCCAAAAATGGCAGGCAAGGTATCGTCGAGTTGTTTTTAATTTGTTTATTTTTCTGAGGTAAAGTTTTCTTTGGATTCTTGTGTTGAACCGAGCAAGAGGATGGTTATTCACGCTAAGTCTTTTGTACAGTTTACAACGCCTAAATAGCCGCGCCATAAGGGATAACTGGAATCGACTGGATATCGATATGGCCAGACATTTCGCCCTTGGTGTCGTTTTTCATAGCCTCAGTAAAGGCCGTCAAGTCTTTCCAGAACCCATCGATATGTTTTTGGTCAGAGGAATCCAAGGGCTCCTGGTTGCGGCCAATCTGTCGCATTTGCGCTCCAGCTAACATGACAGACAAGCCAAAGTCTGACTCGTCAGTGATGGGCTTGATACACGACTTCACCTTGCCAGACAGGATGTCAAGCGGCAGTCTAGGCTCCATGCAGGCGGGACGGCCCAACCCAACACCGTCGACCGTTCTCAACGCATCGACCATGGCCTTCGCCGAGCGCAGCCCACCTGTGACGTAGCTTTTAGTCTGCTTCAAGTGCGGCGTGATCTTTTCAGCGAACTCCAGGAAGAAACCCTCGCGGGCCCTGGTGCTCTCCCTCTCGTGATGCCACGCCGTCTGCTCGTACGTGCCGCCGCTCAGCTCGACAAAGTCGAACTTGTGCGCCTCGAGCAGCTGCACCAGCTTGGTCGCCTCGTCGGTGCTGAACCCCTTCTCCTGGAACTCGACGCTGTTGATCTTAATGCTGAGACTGAAGCCCTTGCCCGTCTGCGCCTGGATCTCGTTGGCAATCTCGGTGATGATCCGTGCCCGGTTCTCCAGCGACCCGCCATAGTTATCTGTCCGGAGATTCGTGGTAGGCGAGAGGAATTGTGCCAACAAGTAGCCATGCGCACCGTGCAGCTGCACGCCGTCGAAGCCGGCTTTCTCGAGGTACACGGCGCAGTGCACGAAGGCAGCCTTGATATCGGCGATTTCCTGCGCTGAAGCCGCGTGCGGCTTGCCGAACTTCATGCCCCAGACCTGCTTGGTGAGCTGCATGTCCGACGCCGACACCGGGTTCGGCTGCAACTCCTGGCTGATCTGCCGACCCGGGTGGCTGATCTGCGCGATCAGAAGCGAGCCGTCGGCTTTGGCCTCCTTGGCTACCCGTTTGTACGTCTCGAAGCGTTCACCGGAGAATGGGTGGTCGATGCCGATGATGGCGTTACCTGGGGCTTCGAGGTGCTCCGCGTGCACTTGGATGTTGCCCGTCAGGATGACGCCCCAGCCTGCCTTGCCCCAGTTGCGGTACAGGTTGATGTACTCTTCGCTAGGGATGCCGCGCTTGCTGGGGTCCTTAGCCGACCACGAGGCCATGCGCTCTGTCATGGCGCCGTTGAGGAAGCGGTTCTTGGCTGTGAGGCCGGAGAAGGCAAAAGGGAGGGGTTGGCCCAGCGGTGCTGGGTCGACTTCTTGGCTGGAGTAGCGAGTCGACATGGTGGCTGTGGGTGAGTGTGTAGTTTGTGGAGGTATTTTTGATGTAATTGAATGATTATAGGTGATTCTGAATAATCTCCTAGCGGCGAAATGGCATAAAGATTCCGGAAGGATGCCAACGTGCGAAAGCCGTGGTTCTTGTATCCATGCTGCATCATCCGCTCGAACATCTACCCGGCCCAGCCGAGACGAAAACTGATCAACGAGTGGATCTTTGATTTATCAGCGGTATACGTCGTGCTTCATGCTTCAATTTAGTGCCCTCGGTATGGGAGCGAGAGCAGACTGCCACATTTGTGGGGTATAGGACCTTCGGACCCGCAACAGTGACTACTGGAATATACGTCATTGTGCGATTTTCCGTCCGTAGCTTTTATTAATACGCTAGATGAGACATGCCTCCACCACCAGGGGGTGGAGGTAGGGGCTGTGTAGTGTAGACCGTCGGATGTGAAGAATCCAGCCGAACGGTGAAGAGACCCCCCACAATTACTTTGCCTTGAAATTTAGTGTGATGGTGCCTAGAAGACATGGCATACGGAATATTAACTTACGTGTCATGGGTCATTATGTATTTTTTTGTTTCACAAGTCGACAGGAACGAGACGCTTTCCAGTCCCCGATAATTAATATTTAGCTCTGCAATGTGCGTCAAAACCATGCCTGGTTTGCGTATATCACTATCATGTTGTTTGTCTTTATGCTGGTTGTCAACTAGAATCATAGGACATGTTTTTCCTGTCTAGTCCTACGTTAACGTCATATAATTTATTGGACTCATTGCAAGCTATAACCAAGCATAGATTTTAATGTGTCTCTGATCTCCCTAAGTCCAACTTAAGTATAGAAAAGTGACCCTCTTGGCTGCTTACATCAGAGCAGTTAAGAGATTTAGAATCAGGCGTGAAGCACGAAAGGGCAGGAAAGGGCTGACAGAATCACTTCGCTTCTTCGTCAGACCAATGGTGATATATGATATGTTGGAACACTTGGTAAACATGATTTGAGATGAAGACGGGCGCCTGGCCTATGAAGGATTCGATCCGTTCTGAATACTCTGTTTCTTGATAGTATGATCGCTACTTGGACTTACAAGCTTCATCCTTGCAAGGCCCTAGTTTGGCCAAAATCTATCTCACAGTATGTTAAAGGCAGGCCTCCATATCTTGTCTAGTCCTCCGTATTATGTCCGCGTATTATCCGACAACTTATATAACAACTCGCTGTATAACAATACGGAAGAGAACGACGTTGACTTTGTCCTGTAATGTCACCAGCGGCAAGTACTTTCTCGGGCCAGATTGATCTATCATCGAGTTTAGATGAAATCTAAATAGTACAGGATTGCTTTCGTCAACCCCCCTCCCCGATGCTCACTGACTCCACGTACAACAATCTTTCTACAGATATTCCAAATTGAATGAACAATGGCACAAAATTCCAGCCACATGTAATTAACAGAAGTTGCGCATCGAATAATTTCTTTGCAAAAACTCGATTGTGATCATTTCAAGTTCTCGCGCCTGGCATTCACCCAGCATAGCCTCTTCCATAGTCAAATGTGCCTCTCAAACCCTGAAACTCGCCAGTCGTGAAGTGAACTTCTTATCACCGGTAGTGTACAGATATGCACTACGACATCATGGATATTGTTAAGCACCACCTTCGACAGCGGTTGCTGGTCGGGCATGCTGGATTTCCATCATCGAATCGCGTCGCTCTCCAGACTCGATTGTATGTGTCAACTGTTTGAGGGCTAGTGAGTGTGGTAGCAATGCATTGAAAACCAAAACCGGGCTCTTTTGGACCTTTACAGTGCAGTTTGGGGTTTGTCTTTCATATCTATAACGCGAGTCAGGCGAGACAGTTTGCCAATATGAATTCTAACTGATCCGAATCTCATTCAGCCATTCTTTTGCTGGGCATTCCAATTACTCAGAACCGCGCAGTCTGTGTTTCCTTCAATGGATAACATATCTGGAACAGCCCTACCTGGTTGCGATGGACTAGGTACCAAACAGATGCTGGAATGTCCTATTTTGCCTCGGTCCCTTGAGCTCTACTATGTTGCTTAGGGTTCGAGAGGATTTCCGCGCCGTGGTAGTGCTTGGCCATGCTTCAGTTTTACTGCGCCAATAGCCTCCAGGTTTAATAGCGTTATGTAGGTAAAACAGTGATTCAGGGGATCAGACGGAAGTAGCCAGCGTGGACTTGGTAGTATTATGACTACTGGGAGACTACCTATTAACTACTTGTAGAGGCGAGCACCAATTGTCCTAGTTCCCTTCAGGACTGCCTATTTGTATCCGCACGGAGGATGGAGCCCTAGAACAACCTATGCAGTCCGACGTTATCGATATATTCGACACTATAGTTAGCCCAAGCTTACAATGGGCCACAGCGCCTAATAAATCTATTTCCTTACATGTTACGCTGATAGCTTATATTTTGCCTGCGGCGGGTCGATTCCTGATATAACGAGTAGCGGAGAGTCCATATGCTAATAAATACTCATGCAAGTACGGTTAGAACTCGTCAGCAATAAAACGCCAAAAGCCGGAGTCGGGCCGGAGTCGGGGATGGAGTCAGGTCGAAAAAACATTTCATCCGAACCTATGCCGTTTAATGTCTAATCCATATCTCAGTACATATGTATCGAAGCTCCCTGTACATCGAATGACGGCTAAGACGGATTACCAATCGCGGAGGCAGACAGTGCTAAGCCAACTATTGAACTGTATCACTGTTGACCGACGTCTGGCCGAGTGTGGCGCTCCAAACAGTTAGATGTGGCTGTGCCTCTTCCTATTGATTGGTCAGCCTCGACCCGAGCTTCAATCAGCCTTCAATTTGTTCTTGTCTTGACTTCGAACTTATCGCGTCAACACACGAGCTATTCCGGCGCATTATAATCCATTGACCTGTGCGTGCATCACCGAACATCGCGTCGCACATAGTTCCTTGCTACCGATAGCGACGAGTCCTCAACGCGCGAGCCTCCCACATCGAGATCCATCGCCTACCTCAACCGCCCAACCTCGACGAACACGCAGCGCACCTTCCTCAAAATGGCAAACTTCCTCGCCTCCATCTTCGGCACGGAACAAGACAAAGTCAACTGCAGTTTCTACTACAAGATCGGCGCATGCCGGCACGGCGACCGCTGCAGCCGCAAGCATGTGAAACCGTCGTACTCGCAAACGATCCTGCTGCCCTCCATGTACCAAAACCCAGCGCACGACCCCAAGAACCGGCTCACGCCCGAGCAGTGCAAGAACCACTTCGATGCCTTCTACGAGGACCTGTGGTGCGAGCTGTGCAAGTACGGGGAGCTGGAAGAGCTCGTCGTCTGCGACAACACCAACGACCATCTCATCGGCAACGTCTACGCGCGCTTCAAGTACGAGGATAGTGCCCAAGCCGCCTGCGACGAGCTGAATAGTCGCTGGTACGCGGGTAGGCCTATATACTGCGAGTTGAGTCCCGTGACGGATTTCCGCGAGGCGTGTTGTCGGTTGAACAGTGGGGAGGGGTGTGTGAGAGGCGGGTTTTGCAATTTTATACACCGCAAGAACCCCACGCCCGAGCTCGATCGCGAGTTGGTGCTTAGCACGAAGAAATGGCTCAAGATGCGGGGACGCGATGCTAAGAGTGCTAGTCGGAGCCCGAGTCCCGAGCCAACGCGGAAAAGATACTAGACGAAGAACGTGGAGTGTCGGTTTCGTGGAGTTGTAGGGAAGAGGGCATGGTGGCGGTTCGGGACGGGATCAGGGTTGACCACGGAAAGAAGAAAACGAAGAAAAGACCGTTGACACCGAGGTGGAAGCAAAGCAGGGATTGCGAGGAGAGTGGATCAAGCTGACAGCAGGTCAGGTGAGCATCGAGTAAATTGTAAGCGCCGCGTAATCCATGAGAGCTCTTGCACAGAGTACGAATTGGGACAAGGGGATACTCAACGAGGACGGGTTGAGCAGCTCGTGGATGGAGGGATGAAGGTGTTGCGGTTGCACCCGTCGTCCTGGGAAAGACTGGTGACAGGGCGTTGGGGGTTCACATGAGCTTTGTGCGCCCTGCCAGAGAACACATACGGTTCCATAATTGCCTGTATTTATATTATTGCCACCAAAATCATTGCTGGTAGTGAGGCGTGGAATTCATAATACCTTGCCATGTGAAGATCTCCACGTTTCGAGCTGTGGAGATTTGCGTTTAACACTGAGCTGACTCGTATAAAACTCGGTCATGACTTGGCAGATGCTACGAAAGTGGTATAATTGGTACTGCCAAAGCTGTTACTGTTGAAATGCCCAAATCTAAAGTTCACGCAACGACGAAGCCAAACCGATGAAAGTCGTGTATGGCTCATCAACTCATGAACTGAGGTATGTCCGTATTGGTATCACTAGCAGTCAACCAGTCGTCCGACTATCCCTTGCCATAGCCTGGCCAGTTAACCCTTTAAAAACACATCCAAGAAACCCACCACTCGTGGCTCGCTCAGCTACTCAGCTTGTAGTATCGAAGAAAGCGTCATTGCTCTCCGCGGTCTCGCTTCTCTTCAACCCAGCGTTAGGAAGGTCCTTCTTCATGTCCCCCGTGAAGTCGATCAGGGGACCTTCCGGCGCCTTGCCTGTCGACCGCAACATGTTGTGGATTTCACTCGAATGCTTGCTGTCTCGCTTCTCGGCTTGCACGGCTACCATCGAGTTTTCTGCTGGAACTGGAGGAGGAGGGGGGGCAGTGTCCTGACAAAAGTCTATTAGATCACCTGGGGCTTCCTGAGGCGCCGGATGCTCCGCTATACTCGGAGTGGCGGCTGGTGATTTTAGTGGGACGAAGTGGCGCTCCGAGGGCTTTTGGCCCTGGATAATGGGGTATATGGCCATGATCTGCTCGGCCTGTTGCTCCGGCGTTGATGCATTGCTAAACTGTCATTAGTTGTAAACTCATATCCCGTCGCTAAAGATAACTCACATCTTCGCGTTAATGATCCACTCTAAATCCTCTTCGCCTTCTTCTTGCCCACCCGGGCCGCCCCTTACTCTCCTGAAAAGTCGCGGGTGCCATTCGATGTTTTCGGCTGCTCTAGTCGCCGCCTCTTCACGTTGCATGTCCTCAATGCGCGTCTTCTCATCCGTAGCAAGCTCATGGTTCTTGTCCTTGACGGCTTGGGCCGTCTTTTGCCAAAGCTTTCGCGACTCGCGCTCTTCTTGTTCCCCAAGCGGCCGTACCTGGGGCTTGGACGCCCTGGCTCTCGCGCCGTTGAAAAAAGTTTCCCGGTGACCAGTCTGGTTTCGAAGTCAGCGATTTACACAATGCCGAAGCCACCTCAAGAGGAACCCACTCTTAGGTCCTTGATAACCATCTCATCACTCCACAATCCGGAGAGTTCGAAAAGCGCCTCGCCTGTGTTGTCATTCCGAATGGTCCCCCCGATGGCATTGTAAGTGCCGCCAACCCACCCCTTGGTCTTGAACTCAATATCAGCCGAAAGGCCTAATTCAGGACAGCGAACGAAGCTGTGGTCGCCCAGCTCATACTTCATCTTCCCAAACAGGATACCTCGTGCGTACATGTTAGGCTGTGTCAGTATGTACTTCTCGCCTTTCTTTGGGTCCTTCCCCCGATTTGTGAGCGTCAAGACGGCTATGCCCTCCATCATGCTGGCTGCCGAGTTCCCAAGAAACTTGCTCCGTGGCTTGAGCGTGCCGTCGACGCGGATGTGATGATGGGGTGCGGCATAGAAGTAGCTCGACTTCGGGGGGTGGTGCGACGTCTGTTCGGATATGTAGTATGCGCGCGTTTTGTCCGGGAGGTCCCAGTAGCAAGTGAAGAGCTCGCCCAGAATCGGGTTGAGGGGTTTCTTGACGCCTCTGTTGCAAATCACTGTCAGCAAAGGCCCAATAGGAAAGCACACGTTTGGGACACGCACGGGGGTCTGATGTGCCAACCACTCAGGTAGAATTTGACGACAGACACAAACCGGATGACAGGGTCTTCGATTTGAGGGATTGGGAGGAGCATTTCAGGATGGCACATGAAGCTGTGGTTCAGTCGGTTAACGATGATTCACGTTCGGAAAGGCATCGTATTCTTGGATTGCAACGCACTTGGTGATCCTCTCCAGCATGCTCCGCGGCTCGAGGATGAAGGTCGGCAGGACGACTCGGCTCAGGTCGGCACCCGGTCGAAGCTGCGAGATGATGTGCATGAGAACTATGCTCATGTTGCCATGTTAGCTGTTGGTACAGCCAGACGACTTGGGACGGCGACTAGACGAACCGTTGCCCTGATCGGGCTCCATGACTGACGTATCATCATCATCGGAAAGTGACCGGTTGCCTGGAGATGACGGTTAGAGCTGCGCTCAAGTATGTAGCGCCACAGAGACATACTGGCGCTGGACGCTGTCCTTCTGCGCCCGGTCAAACCCATCATGGTTCGATATTGTGGTTTTGGTCACCGTCGCGAAAGGTTCGAAAAGAGCGCGCGAGGATTTGTTCTCGCCAAGGCAGTTGGTTGGGATGCCGTAAGAGCTTGTCCTGATGGGTCGTGGTGATTTGCGAAAAACAGCCCCTCACTCCAGCGGCCTAGGTCTACTTTTCGATTAGAGAGCTCGGCGCTGGTGAGGTCACTGCACGGCAGAAGATTCACTTTCGGCGGGAGAGTGATTAGATGCTGCAAACGTTCAAACGTTCAATCTTCATTCGAGGTAGTGAATGATTTTTAGGAAAGTCTACGATCGTTGTGACCACGACAGAGTCATCAAGGCCAGGTAGTGACTTTAGGCCGTTTTTGCATAGCCGCACTGAAGCATGACGAATGAGGACTGACAGGTCGGGTTTATGAGGGGTCAGAAAGGTCCGGGAATGACGTTGTTGGGTCAGCTCAGCGTAATTTTGGCCCCCGTGGCTGTGTCACATACCCACTTCTATTTTTCAATGTCTTGCAAGACGGTAGTGCCTTCTGCTTTCAGCCTTTAAGTCATTATTCACAACCACTTCCGCGCAAGCCGTTTAGCTGTAGGGAATATGTAAGCCTTGCATCGTGTAGTGCAATTTGATTAGGCAGACACGATGCCAAATGTCGCGTCCTTCCTCAGCAAAACAGAGCCTTGGAAGCCTGGGCGGTGTGCACAAGACCTCTGTCCAATGAACCCATGACATGGCCAATATGTTGTGCACGCTCAAAATTCCTTATCTTGACACAACTCTCATATCAGTTCCGGGGAAATGGACAAATGCAATCCAGACTTGACTGTTGTACAATGTTCAATGCAAGATCTACAATTCTCACTCGAATCTTCCATGTCGGAAAGACTCCTACAACATCTAGTGATCGTATAGTGGGTACCCTGTAGCGGAAATAACCGTTGTATCAACCGCCTACTTAAAAATAGCTGTTCATTTTACTCAGCACTAACTAGGCTAAAAGTTGAGATAGTTGTAATGCATGAGGCTCATATGCTAGCAAGCGGGCAAATATAGGGTAGGAAAGTAAGTAGCAGATACCCTATGGATTCTTATCTTCTAGTTATTTTTCAAGTAGTGTGTAGTAAGGCTACTATTTCGCTAATCCCCGGCATTTGCTTATTCTAGGCTATGGAAGCGGGTTTACTTCCTAGGTTTTCATTCTAGGCTAGCTAGGAGTACAAGTGGTACGGTATAATACAAAACTACTTAGGTTATAAAGCGTGTGCAAATAGGAGGTAAATTGTATGTATGTATAAATGAACGACCAGCACCCTTGCAGCCCTATCTTATCTTATCTAATCTAATCTACTCTACAGGGTAGCAGCACTCTTACGGGCTCACGTATCGGTATACTTAGCAGGAGAGTGAGGGATTCAACCCTCAGATGATGACTCTGTACAGATCCTGTATTGGTTACGATGCTCGATGCGCAGTGTGATGTGTGTATTGACTGCTCGGAGTGCTATGTAAGAAGTTACATCTAAGGTAGGTAGGCAGGTGCCGACCTTTTTATCTACACAAGCGATTTCACTGCCTTAGGCACCACCTCAGGCACCACCTCAGGCACACATATGGCGCTCAGTCCCACAGAGAGTAGATATATATCTCTATGGACAGTTGGCCCAAGCGCTGCACCTCCGGTCTGCGATTTGATATGTATGTGTATTAATCAGCTATACAAATACAAATTGGACTTCACCTTTGGCTGATTTGTCTGTTTCGCAAATGTTTAGCCAGTCCGGATTCATCAGGCTAGCCCCTTCGTTGGCCGGCCATTATGCTCGTCAATCCTAAAAATGGCAGTTTGACCCACTGCGTTAGCAATGAGTCAAGGACGTCTATTTGTCTTTCTCAGCTATATGTCATTTTATGATGCGGTGACTTTGAGGAGGTTCCGGATCTAGTCGTACTGATTCATTACATCTTCGCGAATGCCAGACATGGCGACAAGCTGCGCATGCTGGTGGTGAGGATCGTGGCGTTCAAATGGGCCGACATCTAGTCTTCCATGCTGCTGTTATACAACTCATGGAGTAACATCACGAACTCCGGCAGGCGGTACATCAGAGGCTGCATCTGGAGTATAAGCCGCGGGACGTGGATCAGCTTATGCCTCTGGATAGAGACGATGAGGATCCGGACTATACGCCGCCAGAATGAAACGTACTCCCTATACTTCACTAGTATCAGCGTTATCTCCTCGGTAGCACCTGCTTATTGATGGCCTAGCACTGTGAGCCCGATGCAATATGCCTTTGCAAGGTGATGGCTTATGAAAGTTACAGTTAAAATACGAGAGCAGCATTTGGGATTACATCACTGTTACGAATCCAAACCCTAGAGGTAAAACGCCATCGCCTTAGGCAACTCCGGGTACGGTATAATGTATCGATAACTCTGTATTCCAGTGTAGTAGACCGGATATCACCGATTTATCTCCCCTAGATGCGTTATATATTTTGTCAACAGTTTGCCACCAGTCGAGTAAATACAACGCAGATAATGAGTTTTGAGATGGCAATGTCACAGACAGTCACGACCTGGCAAACGCACTTTCTCTTCTAATATTTCTATGGGCAAAATCGGCAATGCATCGCCGGGTCAGTGGTTTGAGGACAATTCATTGAGATGCTTAAAATGCACGACTGGCACAGTCAAATGAATGCTTCCAAAATACAACGTAAAGTCCCAAAATCCCTGACCAAATCTGGGGTTCGGCACCTACCGAGCATGTCACCTGTCAACCTGTGGTCCTTATTGTGAATTGGTCTGCTACTTAAAGTAAGCGAACCCTCCTGCGTTCCACATGATGACTTAGACGAAAGCATTGAACGGTGAATGTGGGAGGAATAGCGTCTGTTGAGCCGGGCCCAATAATCTCACTAGCGTACATTCGTGAGCAACATGGCGTCTCGCCGTAGTTTCTATGCTCGACTCCTAGATTTCGTCTATTTCAGATTCCAACAACTTTACCCGACTAGATTGTCCATTTGGTTTAAGTATGGAAGTCCATATTGTGACAGTATCAGTTCTTTGACGACAGTGGGCTCTTTGAGCACAAGTGCTGATATACAAGCTCGAGTCATGGACCTGACTCAGAGTTCAAATGGGGAGAAACCTTCACAAGTTGGTGCCGGTCCTTTGGATGGAAACTCAAGCGAACCTCCGGGGACTTCGTATGGACAACCGGTAGTCGAAAGGACCGGCTACCAGCTCCTCAAACATACCCGCGGACTCATAGGCTACGATCTGGTGGTATTCGGGAACGCCGTCATTATGGGGACCACAGCCTTCCTCGCGCTTCTTGTGCCTTCGTCCCGTTGTCGAAATGACAACTACTATCTCGGCACCTCCGTCTAACACCGCGACTATTACATTCTCCTACAGATTCATGGTAACATTCCGGTCCAATTTCACTTGTTCACTGCCTCAGTTCCAACACGCAACGACTCAGTTACAGGAGGGACTTCCTGATAGCCTCTGTCTACCCGATGGACCGGCTGTCGCCTCTTCCGCTCGATATCTTACATTTCCAAATCAGCTAATATCACGTTATGCTGGCGTCTTCTCGTTCTGTAGAAGAAACGGGACCTACGACTTGTGGAGAGGACCGGACACAGGCAAAAATCAGGAAATTATCATATACCTTCGAGGAGACGTTCAACGACGCACCGATTAACTGTGGCGTGCTAAGCCTCGACGCTTCCATGTGCTTCCACCAGGTAGCCTTCGATATATCAGAAGTCGATATGTCGAGCAACAGAGACCTGGTCAAGTCGACGGCCTTATGGAACGCCTCTACGAAAGCATGTGACACATGGGCCATCCGTCAGCTTCTTGTCTCGAACTTGACATCAATGCTACAGGTTTTGCTGTCTTTGCCGTTGAGTCAATTCGCAACTTGATGCATCTCAACAACTCACAGTACTTCTCCAACCAGATCGTCAACAACTTGTACAACTCACCAAAGAGCAAACATATCTCGCGCTTCATGGACACCCAAGGCAGCGGAAGGTTGAGTTTATTACCAGACATCCAATACCAGGCCATCTTCGCCGACATTATCCGCACCACCAACCGTAACAGCCGTTGCTGGGCCTATCACTAATGATGCGATCCGCAGTTCGACGCGGTCGCCCGGCCAATATGACCTCATCGATAATCGTCCAGCTGTTAGCGCAATCACTGGTCTGCCGTGTCGCAGATTTTCTCGGAGCACACGGCATGGATTATACAGGGTTCAACGCAGTCGACGGATGACAACGTGACAGAGTGGCTGAAGGAGATTGATCACCATGTCGTGATGGCACCGTCTGGCCGGTCGGGAGGGGTGCAAGTTACTGTGACGGGAATGAAGGATCGATAACCCCTGAAACCAAATATTTCCCCTTTCTTTAATGATACAAGACCGCTTACGCCGTCCACTATGTAGCAAACAATGTCTCTAATACATGTCTTGCTCATCCGGGATTCTAATCTCCCCAACCCCAGCACAGCAATACCTAACTGCCGCCCCCACAACCTCCTTCCAAACCCCCATCTCCCCCTCATCCTTGGGCGCATAAACCAACGTATAACCCCAAGGCAGAATCCTCCCACCACTGAGTCTATGCCTCTGCCCCCAGCCCTGTTTAATAATATGCTTCTGGTCCGCCAAGCTCAAGACCAAATGCGTACTCCCATCCAGAATGTGAACGTGTACCAACTCCCCCCTCGTCTTCTCCAACACAGCCGGCCGTTCCAACCCCTTCCTAATCTGCACCGCCGGCACTGGGCCCTCCAAAACTGACAACTCCGACTGCAGTAGTTCCATATTCGCCGCGACTAGTTTTCCCAAGTACTCGAACATCTCCCCCTTCCGCTCTGGAGAGGCGACGTCAGTTACCTGCCGCTGCGGCGCTACAAAACCCGGGATTGTGGGTCTTGGCCCCTGACGCAAAGACAGGCGTTTACCGCCGCTCCGACGTAAGTAGCTAGTGGTGGCGGCAATAGCGTCACCCGTGGTCTGAGCGGCGCGAGCTAGATCGTACGGCGCGGGCACAGTGACGTCTTTGCGGGCGCCGAGGCGCGTCATGTAGAGTTGCGTAGCCCAGCCACGGAAGGTGTCAGGGAGCCCGTGCGGGCCGAGCGAGGTGTAGGCCCGGTAGTCTTTGATGGCAAGGGCGAGGAGGGTGGTTAGCGCTGTCGCGGATATGGTGGTGAGGGTTGGGATGAGGTAGGGGTGGGCTTTAAGAGAGTCCATAGTGAGGGATAGGGGTATATGAGTGGTTTTGGAGTTGGTGGGCGTGGAATGGATAAACTCCGGTTGGTTTTGAATGAGCATAGTGAAGATGGTGAAGATGACTAGATGTAAATTGTTTTGCCTTGTGCAACACAGTGCTCAGAAGTGTTTTGGTCCAAGTGAAATGTCTTGTAAGCTGGCTTCGGTCAACTTACATACCAAACTGCTTCCTAATTTGGACCCTTTACGTCCGACCCTAAGCATCTGACTCCGAAAGCAACCATGCCTTTGGCTCTACTAAGCTTTTTTTTCTCTGGGTATGTGACAATTGCATCGGCTCGGATCGACTATACTGCTCCGACGCATGAGAGTAAGCTTCGGAACCTCGGATTTAGGATCTGGACTAATAGCAGCGAAGACCGACAGCATCTCCGACCTTAGAAGCGAGCTATACGAATATCTTATTAGACAGTGCTGACGACGATCACACGCTTGAGCTTGTAATTCAATATCTAGTTATGATGCCTTCTGATTTGTTTCTACCGCAGTCCGTGAAAATAGGGGTAGTTGTTGAAGATATTCAAATCTCAAAGTATACTTTCAACTTCTGAGCTGCGGCTAGCCATGCGGCAATATTAAAGATTTGTGTTACATCTCGGGGTAGAACTCGGGTATACAATTAAGATTTCCCAATCAAGGTTTCTCAATTTAGAAAGGGGGGGTCGATTCCCAGCTGCCTTACCAGGGGATGCGCAGCTGTCTCCCATGTCAAACCTTGCTTACCCCTGGACAACGTTAAAAAAGGCCCAACCGTTTTCCAGGGTCTATTCCAGATTGACTTCAGCCGAACGTATTTCAAGAAGGATCGATGCTGGCATGCAGCAGATCACTAGTTTCCTCAGCATCTCTCCATTCACCTCTACCCGCTCACACCAATACTCCCATGATACGCACCACTCGAAGCGAGCGAGGCGACATGGAGCACTACGCACACAGCAACTCTGCTCCTCTTCTGTAAACCACTAGGGGTATCTTCTCGTTGATACAATGCAAAGCCTTTGTTCTTTCTCTTGAGCGAATCGAAAATTGACCATTAACTCTTTTTCATCGCCCGGTCCGCTCTCCGTAATTTGTCATTTGCCTCGTTCCATCATTCATTGGATAGTAGCACTAATTTTTTCTGTCTGATTCAAACACGCCCCACCCTGAGATCTGAGTGAAGACTTTTAGCCCTTCGACCCGACCTTGGTTGCCCGCGCTCCCTTCACGGGCGCTGGCAGACAGGAGCATAAGCGATCTCTCTCTGTTTCGCAAGTTAGCCACAATTTCAGCATGATTCGGAGTATGGTATTCAAAACTTGCCATTCTCGTCCTCAAACACAATGGTGATGTCATCATGTTCGCCCGCATAGTCCGGCATGTCGAGACACACAAATGCCATGTCGTCCGTCTTAGTGCCTTCCTCATCCGGAATCTTTGGCAGCGGGAACTTGCAGTCCACCATCTTCAGCTGAGACTTGTGACCGCGGCCCGAGCTTTCGAAAACATCCGTTCCCTTAAGCACGAAGCCCATGCACTGCCCATGCGACCAGTTCTCAAAGAAAGCCAGGAGCTGGACCGTCTTCTCCGATTGTACAACTTGAATGCGCGCGGTGCCAGACTCCCACTTCTTGTAGACAGGCACCACCATGCGGCGCCGCGCGATATTCAGACTGCTGGCAACACCGTCGAAAAGCACGTTGTATCCAGTGATTGCCGCTTGGAAAGCATGCAGGTCTCTGAAGCTCGAGAATCTATATGTCCTAACTGTCTCTGATCGGGCAATCGAGTTTTGCAAGGCCGTGAACTCCCGTGGTGCATCTGTTAGTCCCGGCTTATCCATGATAGAAACCGTCATATCCAGTTGAGGGTGGCGCAGGACTTGCAATGCCAAGATGTCCTTTGTATCAAGCCTGACCTTGAACTCGCCGGGTGCCATGTTGATCCTGTCGGTGATGGTGCCCACAGGAGCGCCCTGGCTATCCAACGAGTCGATTTCCAGCCTCAGCTTCTCCGCCAGAACCGTTGGCGAGACATCACCGGAGTATCTGTCGTTGATGATGCGCGCAATCTGCCATGGCAACTTCTGAAGAGCTGGGAAGCCCCCCTTGGTGTCGCCCAATCCCTCCGTCACGTTGAATCCTTGCATGGTAACCTCGGCAATGACCTCTTCATCGTGATGAACGTACGTCCCTTTCAAAAGACTGACGAGCTTTTCCCGCTCTCCGTCGTCATTGAATGATAGAACCATCCGGCAGTTGTCCTTGGTGTCCTTGTATGCTAGCTGTAGCATGGGCTCCCGTTGCTCCCCGCGCAGATACGCGAACTGTATAGGCATTTGTGGCGTGTAGAAATGAGTAACACCACTGAGAGTTCTCGTCTTCGGCCCTGTCACGACAGCCAGCCTGAAACCTCGGTGGAAATTGCGTGGACCCGTCGGGCTACCTTCCTTGAGGATTCGCTCGAAAATCGCCACTTCGCATTGCCCCACCGGCTCCTTGGGGAACGTTCTCGACTTTGGGTCCGCGTCGAAGTAATGGAATCCCCGTAACTTGGTGCGGAAGTTGGGTGCCTCTTCTTTCCGCGGGTACAAATATGATTGGACCTTGGCACCGAAGTCGAATATGTTCCAAAGCATCCTGAAGTCCTGTTGAGAGCACTTGATGGCAAGGATGAAGCCCCGCGGCATCTTGACCTCGAGAGTGTTAGAGTCTGATCTCCATCTGACGCTATCCCAGCTAGCCCCCACATTCTTGTCAGACTGAATCTTCAACCCGACGGACCCGTTCTGGCTCGCCACGATGAACACCAGGTTGGATTCGTGCGTCGGACGAACAATGGACAAAATGCAAGAGAAGCACGTGTCCATGGACTCCATGCCCTGTTCCATTAGGTAAACCTCAGCCGGCACCCGACCGTAACTGAAATACTGTGGCGTGTCGCCAATCGGCAGAGCCTCGAGGGCCTCAAGGGTGCGCGAAGATTGCCTGCTGGCAGCGAGCACTGAGCCCCAGTTGCCATTGAGCATGGACACTACGTCTTGGCTCAATGCTGGGTATTGCACCCAGATGGCTTTGTCCATGTGTTGAGGCATGAAAGGCTCTTCTGGTGGAAGGAATCCATTTCGCTTCATTGAGACGGCCAGCTTCTTCAAGTTCGCCTTGAGAGTTTGCCTGATTTCACCCAGCTCGCCTTCAACGGGACTATACTTGCCATCTGCGATTTCGGGCAGCGCGAGCTCCGTAAGCCAGTATCCCTTCGTCAGATCCGTGTATGCCTGATATTTGGTCATCAAGTTCTTTTGATCGTCAGAATTAGCCTGACTCCTGATAGCAGTCTCGAGTGATGTCCGGCCTTTCAAGAACCACCACAGCGCAGCCCGGCACAACTCCATTGGTTGACAGCTTCCCAATGCCCTGAACTGTTCTGCATGCAACCGAAATAACTCATATAAATGCTTCGTTCGCTCTATGAAGTCTTCGTAGGCATCCTCGCCAGCAGCGACCACAATGTCGTGGAATTGTCGATTGGGTTTCTCCGGCGATTGGGAGCCGAACGTTGCCTTATGGGAAAGATCTGGGGTGGAGTACATAGACTGGGAGTACGTCGAGGAAGGACTGTCGACCAAATTGCTCGTGCTTGTATTCAGGCGAAGTTCATCTGGTGATATTGTGCGTTGTGACCTGAGTGACTCATTTCTGAAGACTGGTGGCGCCTCCTGGGGGTATGGAGGTGGTACCGGCGACGGCCCCCGCGAGGACGCATTGTGATCATACGGGGGAACAGGCGAGAATGGAGACCTGCGAGCTGGGTTTCTTGGAGGTGCGAGAGGCGGTTGTGTTCGCGTGTAATCATCCGGCATCGGCGGCGACATTTGCGCGCGAGTCGATTGGGATCGTGTGGGCGGTTCGTGCCCTGGACCTCGCGAAGCGGGCACTTTTGTGGACTGTGATCTGGACGCACCTGAGGAATATTCATCCATGGCAGCTGGTATTTCCTTGCGATGTGTCTGGGCTGGGGAATCTCGTTGGGTTTCAGGAGAGGAAGCCTGGCCCTGGTCATCCCATTCATGTTGCGAGTTTTCACCTGTGGACCTCATTGCTTGCGCGAATGCTATCCCTTCGGCCTGCCTCTGCTCCTGCTGATGGAGCTCGATGAAGGAGCGGCGGTTTTCATCCTTGCGGTTGGACGAATCGAGGAAACGGGATCGACTCGTCTCGCCCGCAGGAACAGTTCGGGGTTGCGGTGGTGTTGGCATGGGCGGAGCCGGAGCCGGAGCCGAGGCAGACTCGTCTCTGAGATCGGATACGGTCGAAAAGCCGGTTTGCGTCCTCCGTATCGGACCTGGCACGAAACCCTCATCGCGGCTGGGCTTCACCTCCTGGAAGGCCCCAACCTGTCTCGCATACTCATGCCCCTGTTTAGTAGGGGGAATCGGCGCCGAAGTGGGCGCTGACTTGGATCTCTTTCGCTTGCCAATCTCTGCCACTACCGTCTGACACTCATCACCGCCCTCGCCGATGATCTCTGGGTAGCTATCCGCGAACCGCACCACCAGACCCTTATTCTTCCTCCGTGGAGGACTGTGTGACCGCGTGCGATAGGCCAGACTCTGCTGCGATCGGTTGTTCTCGACATCCAGAGCGGCTGGATACCTGGTGGCCCGGCTGGTGTCGAGAGCGAGGGTCGGCTGTTGTCTTTCATATTCTCGGTGGCCCTGCGAAGGAGGGGGCGGTGGAGGATGCGAGATCTGGAGCTTGTCCGAGTTGCCAAGGAAGGCGGAGATGTCATTGGCACTCTGCTCGGACGTATACTTTCTGTCCTTATCTTTGCCACCGAAGAACTTGCCCATCAGTCGGTCTCGTCGCTTGGGTGCATCTTGCTCCATATTGAGAGGCAATTCAGAGTGTTGGCTATGCTCGGAGTGGGGCACAGCATGTGGCCTGCTGAGACATGCAATTACCCAATGCCACTTGCTTGAATGGCGGGGTCGGGGGGGATAAAGAGGGAAAGAGCGGCTCGAGAATGATCAATTGGCCGGTCGAGGGTTGTAATTGAGCAGGTAAGGCAATCGTCAACGTCGAAAGGAAAGGGGTTGGGTCGGTCGAGGTTGGTGTGTGGTTGCAGAGTCGAGACCCGCCGCAGGATTGCCAGGTGGTGGGTGTCGTGTGCATGCGTGCGTAGTGTGGTCTGGCGTGTCTATCGTTGAGACAGGCAGATGCGATCGTCAGTGCAGCACAGTAACGAGTGGGTGGATGTCTATGGCATCCAGCGCGGAGTCTGGTATGCCGATAATTAAATGTTCGAACACGTAAATACGACAGCCCAACACAGTAGTCCACCGGGTACCAAAACACCTCGACGCGTGTTCTAGCAGAGTCCAACGATGTGATCACAGAACAAAGCGGTCGGTGTCACTTGAATTTGTAGCAAACCGCTTCCCGTTGCACGCTGCCCGCTAAAAGGCAAGTGGTGGTCGCACCACATAATGGCTTCTCCAGGGTTCGGCGTTAGAGATCAACTAGTTTCAGGATCCGGGAGGTGGACCCGCATTTTGGGCCGCAACGAGTCAATACGTGTAGGTCCCTCAATTCAAGGGACACTGTTTACGGAACTGCTCTCCACACTCAGTGGCACACGGCAAAACGCTAAGAATAGCTTGGGAACCCAAAGTGCGCCTACGGAGGCTTGCGAAGCGTTACAGCCAAACAAGGATTGCCAGCCATCGATGTCATAGTTGAGTGATTGACAGCAGCTAAAGCATTGCATAGTAAACAAACATTCAGGGCCCGTCGGGACCAGTTCAGAAAACGAGCGGTCCAACTCTAATCTAAGCGCTAGGGCCACGGAACCAAGATGACGGTGCCCAATGGCAGGTGGGTGAATGAGTACGACGTATCATCTTATACGTATCATCTTATACCTCGTACTCTCTTGGCCCTGTTCCGGAGGAGCCCAGACCCGTCATTCGGCGCACCTCAGAAGGCTGGTTGGTATCTCTTATCGTCGATCGAAAATCTGTATCCCGGTTCTAGGGTTCGACGTTAGCATCTTTTAGTCGGGATGGTCCTGCTTGCGTGCTGTGCCGAGGCGGATTGCCAGTACGAATTCGACTGTACCGTCTATGCTTGGCCTGCGCCATATCAGGGTGCAAAAAGAGGTCAAGGTTCAATGGCGTTATTCTTTGCATGATTCTAGAAATGGCAACGTTCTCCAAGAGCTGCGAGAGGCTTCAGATATAAGACAATAGCATTGCCTCAGAGGTGACGCTGCAATGCAGCACTTACTAAGCGGATGGAACTGTTTATATCCACTTTTTTCTCCTATATGCTATGCTGATGTCCTGAGGTGATTCCGAGACCAACCTCGTCAGCTCGCCTGCACCCAACAATTGAGAACCAATGTACCCGATTTCTCAGGCTTTTCTCGATTGACACGATTCGTCCCGCAAATCTCTGACTCCATGTCCTCACCTCAAATCGCAGATAGTGATGGGGTTGACCAGCTCTGAACCCATTTCGTGGCCGGTTGTGTTCAACACGGCCAGAAACTACTTTTGGTCAATCGTATGACAAGTCTCACTCCTCCGCTAGTGAGGCAGCCCCATATGCCGATCTGAAGCCCCAAGTCAGGCAGATGAGTTTGTCCGACCACACCAATATGCGATGCCGTGAGCCGCCCTCCGCCGAAAGACGGCAGGCTGACGCATCATAATTGGACATCGGCCACAGGTCGTCATTCCCTAACTTCCTTCCGAGGGCCGCCTCTCGTCCTTTTCAGTATATGAATTTGTGGCTTCATCTTCGGTCCAACCCACCAGCCGCCCGTCACTTTCCTCGCTAAATCTCTGACCTGCCGCACCGATTTACCCCGGCCGAGCACCTTGCCATCACCACTCTCAAGGTCGCCCCTTACGTCCGATCCGGGTTTCAATATTTCGATCCCGGCAAAACTCTCAATCACTCCGACCTGTTCCCAAGTTCCAATAACTTTACTCGGATCCTCAACCAGGGCGTAGTCGAATTTGTCCCAGAATGTGGGATTTCGCAGCGTCGATGATTTCTCCGTCTTGTCAAAGGTGAAGGACACGCTCTCGTCAGATTGGCGTGTATCGGTAGGTCGGTGTAGCTGTTGACCAAAAAGCGTCACACCAGTCATGCAAGAGAGAACGTCTGTGTGCACCATGACGGTCTGGAAGTCGGCGGAGGTACTTGTGGTGGTTACTACGGAGCGGAGCGCCGTAAGAGCTTCGCCACCAGGGTAGTTCAGTGAGGACACCAGCAGCATCCCTGAGCTGACGGCAAATGACAAGGGAATAGAAGCGACGAGGATCACGGTCAAAATGCGGTACCCAAGCGACTTGGCCCGGCGGGTGAACGCGTAGTCGGCGCCGAGTGCTGCCACTGCTGTGAGGGGTGGTATCACATAGAAAATGAAGCGCGCTTCCTTGTGTGGCTGAAGAGAATAGATGGCAACGAAAAGCAGACTCGGCAGCGTGAGCTTTCGTGCTTCATGTTGTGTCCCTGGCATGACAAGTGCAGTTGGAATCATCAACAGTAAGTTGACTGGGTTAATGAGCTTCGGCAGAGCTGCCTTGAAGTAGTAGTGCCAGGGCGACGTTCCCCATTCGGAAGAGGAACCTTGCACGGCATTGTAGTAGAACCCCCATAGCTCAGGCCAGAGCGGCTTCTGCCAGAAGTAAGAGTCCAGGGGAATCGACACCGCGAGTGAGAAGAGGAATGCGATGAGGAATGGCCAAATGACCTTGTAAGGGGACAGCCCGTAGAGTCCCACAAGATAAAGAGTCGTAGTCACCAGGAGAATCGCCAGCTCAGACCTGAAAATGGCAGTGGCAACGGTAAGAAGCCCAATGGCGAACCTGCACCGTGGAATGGTGAGAGAACCTACAAGCTGCGCAAACGCCAATGTTGCTGTCGATTTATCAGTTGAAGTTTCTTCATAATTCAGCGTCAGACCTACTCAACCCGAAGGCAAACATGTTGGGCAGTGTCCGCGATGCATAGAAGAACACATGAAACTGGCTCGCCTGCAGCAACACATACCATCTACTGGTCGACCGGCCAAAGGCCTTCTCCACATTACTCCTGAAAACCAGCAAACAGGCAATGTTGAAAAGGGCCAAAACGGCTCTGACGATGAACTGGGCATGCTGAAAGCCAAAAAGCTCAACAAAGGGCTGCGAAATGCCTGCCAGCATCACAGCGCCCACGAAAGTGCGGGGGACCGCTCCGGGGAAGTCGAAGTGGTCATATTGGCGGGAAAGTCGTTCGTACACGTCCGACGTGGGCATTCCATACACCAGGATGTCATGAGTGGCCTGGATGTTGAATGACTCTTCGACCTTGGTGTAAGGAGCGACGGTAAGATGTAGGAAGACCAAACCTGGTATTAACAACACCAGAAACTTGTCTTGGTCTTTCGTTAGCTCAATTCTATGGACTTGTGAATTAAATGAAGACTCGTCTCACCAAGTAAAGCCATTGTGGCCTCTGTTTTGCCAAGATCGATTTTCTGGCGGGGAGAAATGATTGAGGATGGAAGTGACCGTTTACATCGCCATGTCAATATCTCGAAAGTACTTAGGCCAAATATTCTGATGACCTAAAGCTTCAATTGTCAAGTTGGCTGGTGTCATGGAGATACTGGCCTGTCCCATAACTGCATAGCTCCAACACGCTAATGTCTCCTGAAGTCCAGCCACTCAGACGCCCGAAAACCGTCCCGGCAGAGCAATATTCCGAGTCCGGAAGCTGCAACCTGGAACTTCAACATTTCAACATCAGGACAGCTGGGCAACATCGCGCCGTCCAAACCATCATTCAGACCGCGCTGAGAGCTTCGACCGCTCTATTTCCCACCTCTAGTTTCCTCGCTACCATCTTCCACCGAACTTCCAAGCATAACTACCCAAAATGGCGCTCCTCTTCGGCTTCGGCAACCTCATCTACAGTACGCAGCCCATGCGCCGCCTCTCTCTACACCCTCCCGAGGTATATATGTAAATGTAAAGGGCCAATAGCTGACCGAAGCCACTCCAAACAGCTTGCGTCCTCCTCATCAACGCCATCGCCGTCCTGTCCGAAGATCGCTTCCTCGCACGCATAGGCTACTCCTCGTCGACGTATGACCCGGCCTTTGGCGCAGGAGCCGAGGCGCAGAGTATGAAGGGCAAGGTGGTCAACTTGATATCGAGTGTACGGACACTTACGCGAAGTATGTTGAAACTTCCCCTGCCGTCCTGGTCCTGGTTTTGGTCCCATCGATTCCGAACGCGCGCACGAGCTTGGGAATGGTACGGCTAACGACGATTTTCTCTTCTACAGTTCCGCTAATAGCGGTTAATGTGGTAATCATACTCTACGAGTTGGTTTTTGGATGAGGAAGGACGACTTCATGGGGTCTGGTTTGGCATTGACGCTTATGGTGTTTAGGAGAGGGCTGTTGATTCTGGAGGTGCATTCAATCGAACCTTGGCGTTCCGGATACGGTGGTCTCGCCGGCTTTATATTTACGTAGAAGAGTCCCAAGGATTCCAGGCTGGCAGAGTGCGTAGGAAAATATGAATGTTTGCTATTATAAGACGAATTACGACCATCAAATCGGGGCCGACGAACATGTTCACGAGGGGGCTCAACGGCACAAGTTCAAGAATGCATTAAATCGACCTGCCAGATCATGGCCATCTTGCAAGCTCTCACGCCTGTCCTCCTCTATCGTAAGCACAGCTAGGGTCAAGTGTCCAATTTTCTGCTTCGCAGGCTCGCCGCTCTCCATTTTGACTTGAGTCTAGCTATTTGGACTACGTAGGTCGCAATATGCGCGCTTATTATTGTACAGACGAGAAGACAACCGTCGGTAAATATTTGCATCATTAAAACCACCAAATAACCCCTTGGCGCCTGCTGCGATGCTCGTGGGGGTGGCTCTAGATTAAGGAAGGCTTCGGAGCTATCCAAGCCCATCATCCAAAGGCTCATGCCATACGCGCAAAATGCTTCCAATGAGCCCGATCCATGGCTAGCAATCGTTCCATGGACTGCTTGAATGCTACACGAATGCAAGCCGTCGTGTGGTGTCTCGAGAATGAGAAGAGCTTGCGTCTCCCCCATTTCATTTGTTAAGTCTTTAACCCTGAACTCCATGAACGGCCATTGTGTCGTACTACGACAGGATGTTGCTGCTCTTTTTGCGCCCAATGCTGAAACTAAATCGCTCCTTAAGTTTGTGGTGGTCGTGCTTGTCAGCAGTTCCACTACTCGACTCGCCATTTTGCCCGTTCTCCTGTCCCTCGTCGCTGTCGCGTTTAGACTTGTCCTTGTTGAGAAACCCAAAGCTCTTCTTGGACATGGGCTTGCTACCCTTGTTCGCCCGATTCAGCAGTCCTGAGGCATGTGTCGGTGTGTTCGGGGTGGCCGGTTCTTTTTTCCTTGTTTCCTCGTCCTGTGCAGCCATCTTTTTGCTCTCTTCGAGCGCCTTTCTAAGATTATCCGCTTCCGTCTTGCGGGCATCTCTTAATTGAGCCTCCCTGTCCTTGCGCTGTTTTTCCTTCGCCTTGATTTCTTCCTTCTCAGCCAATTTTCGCGCTTTCTCGACCGCCTTGGCTTCCTTCTTCTCCCGCTCCTTTTCTTCCTTCGTTTTCTTCGGTTCCTTTGTTGTTGGTATCGGCTTGGTAGTCTCTGCCTCAGCCACTCCGTCCACTTGGTTGATGGTAGCCGGGAGTGAGACAGGCTGACTTGGCGGCACTGGAGCAGTGGCGGCGTAATCCAGGTTGGCCAAAGCATTGTGGTCATCTGTTGGTGAGATTGGTGTCGTGGTCTGCCTGAACAGACCGGAGGGCTGTCCATTAGGTTGCCCATTCTCCTGAGCCACGCCCGCCTTCTCGCTGGCTATTCGCACCTCTTCTAAGCCTTCAGCCTCTTGTTCCGCACGAACCTTCTCGAAAGTTGTCTCCTGGTAGAATAATACATATGCACAGGCCATGCCTGGTTTGTCTCCGAAGAAGTTGCGGACATAATGCTTGTCCACAGGCTCGACCATTTCATCGTCAAATAACAGCCAGCCTCGATCCTCCGTTTTGATGACTGATACATAATGACCATGGTACGCGTTACCGCCAATGTGGATGATGACAGCATACAGTTCATACAATCGATCCGGGTCATCGGCGTCGTCGGTTGTGTTAAACATACGTAGCTGGTACGGGTAAACCACTCGATGGAAGAGTTTCTGCAAACGACTGTAGTCTTCCGTATACTTGAAACGCTTGAGGTGCAAAGCCAACACTTTCGGTAACCGTTTGATCTTCATGCGCTTCTCAGCTTCTTGTAGACCGCCGCAGTGGTCGCAGTGAAACTTGTTCCTCTCACATAGCATCTCTTCGGCCGAGAATTTCTGTAAGCACGATGTCACCGAAGAATGTTCCTCGAGATCGATGGACAAGTCCAAGAACGTTTCGTCTCGTTGCGAGGCTGTCTCACACGTCAGGCATTTCGTTTCCGATGTGAGCAGACCCTCGAAGATATCGTGAACCCAGCCTGTGCCCGGTGAAGTTGTCCCATTTGGCGTGCCCTTAGCAACAACTTCTAGAGCAGACTCGAGCGACGCGGCCAATCCGTCTTTGGCGCGCTTAGCCTCCTGTTCTATTAACCGTCTGGCATTGGCCTCAACGTTTGAGATGACGTCGTTCAGCACAAGGCCGTAGAACTCATGGGCGTCCTGGTGCATCGAGTTTCGAAACATCTCGTTGTCACGCTTGAAAATCTCAAGGAATCGCTGAGGACTCAGCACGCCCGTCCGTGTACTACTCTCAACCAGTGTCATGAAAATGTCTCTTAACCCCGTGAAGGTGCATTCGTCCATTCCGAATGCGCCCGGATTTTCCTGCGCCAACTCCAGTATTGGACCTTTCAACATGGCCTGCTTCTTCTTGTATTCGGGCGTGTCTGGTTTGTCTTCCGGTCTGACGCCTTGTTGGCCCGGTGGAGGTTGTCCTGTATTGATCTGTCTCCTTCTTGCCAGAGCTTCCGCAGTAGTCAATTGTTTCTTCCCATTTGCTTGTTGCGCACTCCCGTTCTCGGCCGGCGCTCGAACAACGACGTTGACTTTCGGTTTGTATTCGTTTGGTGTGTCTGCCGGCGTTAGAAGAGGATAGTTGAGCACGTGTTCCCGGAAGGCTGTGGTGTAGTAGAGCGCTTGCACCATCGAATTACAATAGCTGCGTTTGGATTAGCAAAACTCGGCGTCATAGCTCTCCTACACATACCATGTATTGCCGAACTATGCAAGACTGGTTAGCATCGTCGAGAAGACTGGGTACGCTCAAATAAAGTAGGCATCATACATTCTCTAGACCAAAGTACTTATCGCTTCCGTCTTGCCGAAGGGGCCCGGTGGTCTGCAGCATCTTTTCCAGAGGTGTAAGCTCCGGGGCAGGCTCCTCTTTCTTCTTGTTGGCCTCCTTGCTAGCATTGTTCGATGCGCCCTAGAACTTGTCAGCCTGTTCGCAATTCATGTTGGCCATTTTCGGCACGTCGGCAAGCCGATGCAGAAGTTGAGACGGCCGAAGCTAAGCAGGCAAACTCACTGCCACACCTGGCTTCCACTTGTTCAGGAAGCTCGCCATGCTTTGTTTGTAATTGCGGCACTGGAATTGGCAAGGAGGAAAGAAGAGGGCGGCGGCCGGGGCCGGGGCAGCGAAGCACGAAGTCAGCAGTCGACAGTGGGACGGTATACGACCGTCATCCGAGTTGTTGTCTCCAAGTGATGTATAAGAAGCTGGATTTAGGTGTTTGGATGGTAAAGACTGATTCAGCAAACACCAAAAGAGCTCTTCTCGAAAGAGGCGACTCGAGAGTCTGTTACGGAGAGATGCAATGCTGTGGCGCAGAAGCAAGCGAAGTCCCTCAGGTTCGTCAGCGGTGATCGATCGATTGGTCCAACCACCAAGTCAGCGATAGCCGGTAGAAAGTGGGCGACCTGGGGTTTATCTCGGACATTCAATTGGCGAGATTTGGGGGAGGTATGGGTGAGGTCAAGCGTCAATGTTGCGCAGGCAGATCCGATATCAGGCGACGAGACAGTTGGTAATATGGAAGGTAAGTGGATGGATGAATACTAGCAAGACGAGACGACAGCTTCTCTCTGATTTGTGCTGGTGGTGTCAAGTGGTGGTGAGATTCGGGGCCTGGTCCGGTAGCATTCGCAGCAGTTAGCGGAAGGGGTGGCCGACTTGGAGCGCGCAGTTGGGGACGCTAAAGTGGAAAGACGGGGTAATCCCAGGCCACCCACTCACCCCCAAGCGCCTTTCCTTCCTTAGATTCTACTTTCGAGGAGCAAGACCCCGAGTCGTTATTTTTATTACACAGGTTCGTCGAATTGAATCCAAGCGACTAGAGTCAAATGACTTGCTGAGTTCTCAAGTTCAAGCCAGGCAATAACATTCTTCTGTCATTTCGTTATGCGCTCTAACAGCACTACCAGGTATTTAAAGCAAGTTCTTGTTGCAATATTTCACCAAGCTCAAAAAAACTGACGCTTCTCACTGACAGGCAAATAACTCTGACTTTACCGAAATCATATGAACTTGAACAACCAAGAAGCTGCACCTGTGATCATCCAGGGAGGGACACCAAGAACGGGACAGCGAGAAGGGGGCGTACTATCGCGCTGGCGTGCCTCATGAGGTAATTGCCAAGTAGACATCCTCAGGGATTATGATCCTTAGTGCAGTAACTTACCAGGGTCCTGGCCAATGCAGGTAACCCTTTTTAGCTAGAGATTACTTTGCTAGCACTTTGTACGGGAAGTAACCTCCAAGATTGATCTAACCTACGTAGTACCTTAGTACCATACTAATAAAGCTTAATTAATAATATACCAGCTTCAGGGCCCAGATAGCATCGATCTTCTCAGGGAGACTTTGCTAGTAGGTTGAGATCCAGCGTAGTATGGCAGCGAATGCAACGCAGTCGCCAATAGGGCGAACCGGCCAAGCAGCGTATTTAATTAGTCTAGCCGTAAGGACACAGGTTGACATACGGGAGTACTAGTGGAGGTACCGGGGACTTCGAGCATACGGCGTATATAACAAATAATCATCCGTATTCTATTAACTCTTCCATCCAACGACCATATATCCGCTTTAAAATACTAAAATACCTAACGTTAAGTAGCTAGAGTAAATTTAACGAGTACGGAGGTATACAAATCGTAATAAAATCGTTATAAAATCGTTATATATATATAGAAAACTGTGAATTACTAAATGTAACTTTCATAGCTATCGATTACTAATATTCTATATTTACCGTTACTAACAGTAGTAGTATATTTATCGAAATATCAAAGCTATTATAAGCCTATCTCGTTATCATTTCATCTTTCAACAATTGGTTTAATAGCCTAATCTTACAGAAAGCTATACTCTCGGCACTAATAGGTAAGGTAGTAGACCCTCTTTACTACAATAAATAGTAGGATAACTGACTATATGTTGACGTGGGGTTAGGGTTTTTGGGTGCTCGTTTTCGTTTTTTTGGACATTCAGACGAATTATGTAAGCGCGTTCTTGAAGGGTATTTAAGACTTTGTGTACATAGTCGCTCTCTTGAGAAAAAGATAGGAATTCAAGCGGCCTTTTCCACAGTAATCTGAACCAATTTCTCTTTACTTGGACAGGCATTCAATGTCTGACGTACCTGTTGAGGTACTTTCTGTTCCCCTATAGATCTGATTGTGCCTGTTGAGGCCATTGTTCCCATCTTTCACCTGTTGAGGTGATTGTTCAAGGGCCTGTTGAGGTTCCTTTTCTTCCCCAGCCTGCTGAGGCTACAGTTGTTAGTACAAACTCCCTAGGCTACCTCTGAAGAAGACGATTCTGAGTAGTCTTAATTGATTTAATGTGGTTAGCGTTCGTACGAGTATTAGTTGAAGCGAGGGTCTGGTGGGGTGCGTCGCTCGCTATGCAAATACATTAGTTTCTCTTAGTATGTACCGCATTAACAAGTAAAATCCATGGGGAGGTGCATAGCAACCAGTTCGTCATTTCGGCTTACACTCGGCTTACACGAATTTGATCACGTTCAATCCTCGACTGATTTCATATTCAATGTCGATGATCTTGCACGAGCAACGGGCAACGGTCCTTATGCATTTTGCTGCAAATCACAATTGCAGCCCCGAGCGAGTGAGCTGCTGTAGGATCGGTGGAGTAATCCAGTGATTGTCGAAAAATGCATGTTGGAGGGTGTCGGTGTCTCGCAAGGCTCCACTTCACTTCACACGCACCGGACCGAACGTTGACGAGTCTGTGAGGTGACGAAGGCTTGGCGCTTCTAGCCCGCAATCAGAAGGTGATATGGCTGTGCATTTTACCAATGCATCGGGAACGAGAACACAATTTTAGACTCCCGTCAGCTCGCGTCTGCGTCTGGCAGTGGTACCTGCGGATCGAGATAGCGAGGCTTGAGAACGTGGATTTTTACAGCTAGCATGGAGTGCTTCGATGATATCACCTTCAGACCCCCTGTGCCATCATCTCAACGGCAATGGGAAACGGACTCAGCTGCCGCAAGTGCTGGGAGATCATGTCCGGGGTCCTCGAAAAAAAGTCTCGGCCGATTTTATTTCCCCGGACGACAAGTGTCAAGGTGCTGACAACCCACACGATCCAATCTCTCAACTCTGCGGGGTCGCGCCGAATAGTTGGGTCCTCAGACGAGTCTCGTGCATTGCAGAGTATGCAAGGAAATAATAGAAACACGAAGCGTTCTAGTCGACAATGATTCAACTGAGACTAAACGCCCGGAACAAGACCAATTTTGAACTCCAAGCTATACTCTACTCGCCCATTGCCCCGTGCTAACTATTGCGCTTGGCGCATGTTGCTTATAACCCACCCTCTTTCTTGATCTGATCCCGGACCAACCGAGCTATGAACTTGGCATTTGCAGCTAACTTGTCAATTCGGACCTGAAAAGCCGCATCACTGGCCACCGTTCTGCTCCATTCTGCTGATGCAACTAAGCTCATCTTGGCCCCCGCGATCGACACCAAAACAGAACCGAGAAGGCGCCGCTTTGCATTCGCACAAGCAGTGTCTAGCTAGCCACAATCTCCAACAGCGACGTGAGATGACGAAATCAGCAAGCGGTGAGGAGGGAGCAATGATCACTGAACCACTCCGCCTAAACCCCATTCAACCATTAGTCCCGACAGCCTGGTCGGGTCTTGGACGATTGAACCCGCCCACCATCGGCTGCGACGCTATGGGAAGATGTCAGGTGGTTTTGGAACGCAACGAGACATCGCCTGGCCTTTGCCCGAGTGATAGAGTGCCGAGAGCAAATGCACGACGGCGATCAATTCCATAGGCGCTTTGGGTGACATTGGTGGACGTACTAGGCGCTCACGCAAGGTCAACGGGCAAGTCATCCCAACAATTTCCAAACGACCCTCTCGATTTTGATTCACAAAGGTCTCGCCGCCACATCGGTCGGTCGTCGAAACGGCAGTTAATGAGCTGCCTTAGCAATTCCGTCAGAGGCTTCAAATTTGGGGGGTGAAGCCATGCTGTCGCGACTGAGTAGTACGTCTCCCGCGTTGAAGGAAATCAAAGCCGCTATGCCTCTGCTTCTGCCCTCCCAAACGTCAGTGGAAGGTTCCCCGGACTCCAGCCAATGTCATTATACCACAGGGGCTTTGGCGGATAAATAACATTAACTTGCCCTGCGATCCAATAAGAGCAAGCTGCGCCTCATGCTTACCTCTTCCTTCCCCAACATGAGACAAATCACGTGGAATCCTGCTTGATCCTCCCAGGTTCAAGTTCCACGTACAAGGCACGTTGTTCACCTCTCATTGCTACCACCGGGTCATCATAATATTGCCTTTCACCAACAACAAACACCAAGTCTGGCCCTTGTGTCTGGTATGTTAGGTTCACACTGAGTTCAGTTGCACCTTTAATTACAAGACGCAATGATTGGTTGATTGCATAAACCCCCTTCAGTGGCACATTAGATTATGTCGTGACTCAGCTTTCTATAAATCTGAGTGGTCAGCGTTTACAAATAGGTTACGTGCGAGCTCTTGTCATCATATGTAAACCATGCTGAGCTGTCTCTTCTTTCCCAGCAATGAGAGGCTAGCTAGAGCACATAGAAGTAAAGTGACTAAAGAACCCTAGCTCACGTCGGCTAAAAGGGCAGACACTCGTGTGCTATCCGATCCAGTGCTAGCAGACCCGACTTTACGTCTATAGCACACAATGGCAACCAGTCCACAGCCCCGTCAAGTTACACACGAACAACATAACTTTGCAAATCTCGATACATGAAAGGCAGCCTGTCCGAATAAAGGAGTATTCAAACGGGATGCCACTCGGCCGTTTGAGCTTCTTCAACGGCAATCTTAACCAGAACCAAGATACTATAATGCCCAAGCTGTGGAGGGTGGGACTGGAATGCCACTACCTTTTAGTAACCTCTAGCTAGTAATGTCTCCGAAACGTGATGGGAAGCCTGGACGATATGGGAAGATGAGTCCAGTAAACCGGCCAAGTGGTGGTAACTCGCGACTGCTGAGGAACAACTTACACGTTACTTTCCCATGTCCCACAACAACATCATATTCGAGCAACATTAGGATAGACCCTCCCTCCAGTCCAAATAATGACCTGCACATCATCGTGTCGCCGCCACATTTGTATAAATAGCATCGATCACGATATTCGGGACCCATCTTGCTTCTCCAAATTAGAACAATCCGACGTCACTATATGCACTAAACCATAACATGATGTTAAATAAATGAGAGGCGCGCCAACCGTGGCACCTTCAGATGTTACAGGGTGGATGCCGGATAGTAAATTCCACGCCAAGCAACCACCAACGCAATACGTACGTGCCTTGGACATACCGTCCCAGCAACACCCGAAGTTGTCCGTCCAAGCCGAGAGGTAATGCGCGTTTATGGGAGCTCCGCCGAACAACGATCACTTGGAGAGATCAGGGTGGTGTCAGACCGTGCCAGCCTTTCTAGTTCTTCCATGCTCTTTCATGCTCGACAGCTGATTCCGAGTGTCTTAAAACTTGCTCTAGTGGAAGCAGCCAAGAGGCACACTTTTCTGTATTTAAGGCACTGATGGCCACCTTCACTCCTTCGGATTCGGGAAGATCAGAGACAGACTCAATTATATGCTTTGGTATAGCTTGCAATAAATCCGATAGTTAGGTGCGGAGTACAATGCGCACAGGGAATGCTTATACTTTTGGGCAGCCCTTCTCTTGAGTTGCTGAGATCCAAATTGAGTCACGTACAAGTCTGTCTAGCATAATAAACATGGGTTATGTTGAGTGGCTTGTGGGTTGACATCCTTAAGTGTCATCTGTGCGATGAATCTCCCGATGCTGCGACGCCTCAGGTTGCGACCGAGACCGGATTAGTGTGCTTTCCTGTCTTTCGACTGAGTATAATACACATGGGGTTTCTATAAACAATCCAGCCATTACTTGTGTGAGTTCTTTATTTCAAGTGCAGCAGGTTTGTATCTGTAGTAACTGGGCTTTTATGTGACTCTAAAAACACGTCTCCCTCACCAACTCTCCAGCATCAACACAACTTCAAAGCACGACTATCAAATAGGGAGCTCTCATCCGAAGTAAGATCAGCCATGATTACAGCCGCTGCGGGCGGTGAAACGCCAAGTCGGTCACTAAGGACTTTAGTACCCGATTACGCTTATGCTAGAGGGTTCATTAAGTTAGCATGGTTAAGTTGGACTTAGTACTAGCGCGGACGCCGATTGATCCCCGATAGGTTGCGTGCTTGTCGTAAGATAAAGGGATGCTGTAAGCATTGTTGATAAATAATCAATCTGCACTTGCCTCCTAGTCAATAGTATACAAGTTAATCAAGGTACGCCTATTTTGCGTCACGATTATGTGTTAGTGGGCATTCAAAATGGGGGGTGGAGCCAGATAAAATGTCAGACTGTAGCTTATGAACTTTGATAAATCTAAAGTGTAATGGATGGCACCGGCTGACTAGCCTTACCATAGTACAATCGTACGTGAACTTGTAGAGAAACTCAGAGTCAACTGTTGCTTGGCACACTCTGTGTTATCACGAGAAGAACATTGAATTAGTAAAATATCTCAAGTCGCTTCTTGCCCAGAATTGCCAAGCTACTTAGGTAAACTAGATCAGCTTCAATCAAGCCGAAGTTTGAAACAGACAAGAAACTAAATCCTTCTGAAGATGTTGTGGAGAACCGACTGATCATGATGCAGGAGAAAGAAACCTCAAGCTTCGGAGCCATAGGCTGATCCGGCTTAATCATAACTCATCTTGTCTCTGCTCCTTCAGGGTTATACAAGCTGACGGATATCCCAAGGCCAACTCACTCTCCCTACAGATGACACGACTCTTACAGTGTACACCCGTACTATAACTAGGCTTGATTTGCAATTCGGCTTTTCTGCCATCAAAATGTCCCATTTGCAGTACTTCTCTTACCCCGACCAAGGAGCTGTCATTGCTGACAACGCACACTACAGCCAGGCTGTCCGAGTGAATGGCCGCATCGAGTGTGCCGGCCAAGGTGATATATCTCTTTCCAATCATAATCATCATTCAACATTCCCTGATCGAGCTGCATTGACGAGTCTCTCGACTAGGAGGTTGGGATCCTAAGACTGGAGAGATCTCCGAGAATATCCACGCCGAGATTGATCAAGCATTCGCGAATGTCGACATCAATCTAAAGCATGCCGGCGGAAAGGGGTGGTCGCAGGCTTTCCGAGTCACCGCGTACTCGACGGACCTGAACGAGAAGGTGTTTTTGAGATTAAAGGAAAACTTGGAGAAATGGTGTCCTGACCACAAACCGATTCTCACGGGATTCGGCGTCAGTCAGCTTGGGTTGCTTGGTATGCGGATTGAAATTGAAGTGGTGGCTCACGATGGGAAGTAGTGCAAGTCGACCACTTGAGCCCACAAATGACTTTAACCACTTCTCTCGCGCTATTTACCTAGTATCAAATCTTGCAATTTAATCCGCATAGCTAGAGGCAAATGAAAACTGCAGTTGAATAATGAGTGGTTTCTTTCAATTATACTGTGTCTTACATGTTGCAACTTAGGCCATTGTAGGTATCCTGTAAGTGATGTTGCTCGGTGAGGATGAGGGCTGTCCCAACACCTATCGCTCTGATAAGCTGGAAAAGCAGATTGGGATATAGCAAGTATTTAAGCAGATCTTCGCATACTGTTTACCTGAGTTTGAGAGGATGCTTGAGTATATCTGTTGGAGCACCACTGTCCGCCATTTATTTCTGGAGCGAGAGCAACTAGATTTAGTTGGACAATATGGGCCCTGTGGGCCATGTGGGTCCTATACTTGCCACTATCGCCACCTAGAACGGCGACCATCCCCACATACCTCTATTACGAGAAATGTGGCAAGGATAGAACATTCCCTACTTATCTATATGCTTCTACACCTTGTCTGAATTAATCAGCAAGTCTACCATTCATTGACTATATAAGAACCCTTTTGTTTCCATACATAGACCCTCGAAGAGAGGACCAGAGTTAGCTACAATACATACAGGTTAGGCATATGTGCCCTCCTTTTGCTCCTTCAACGGGAACATCAAATCCAAGTGATTTCTTAGTCGTCTTCGATGACCGCACCGGTAATACACATCCATTGGAAGGAGAATTAGCATGGGATATGAAGCCAATCTCATATCTAACCCCTCACACATTGAGAGACTTACTAAATGCGTTGATTAATGTCACGGCGATACCACTGCCTTCCCGAGGCAGTCAAGGTGGTAGTATAATATGCCTATACGATGCGATAGCCAACAATCAAGGACATCGACCAAGCAGAAGAGAAAACGTGGCCAATCATTCGCGGCAATATTCATCTATTATGTGATGGATCGGCATAGTTACGCAAACCATGGGTGTTACAAACTCCTGCACAATGCATGTTGGTGCTCGTGGTAAACATCCCTGTCCGTACCAGCATGACCCGATTTCCGATCCTTTTCTGGCTACGCCCATGGTCTCGCAGGTGCTATTCACCTCTCTGATTGAGTGCTTGCTACGTGCTGGCAGTTTCTGACGTCGGCTGATCTCATTCGATCTTCGACTTCAGCTCCCATTTAACAGTGGCGATCCTTAGTGTAAGCCGCATGCAACCGACAACAAATGACAGAGCAGTCCGCGCAGCCCATAGCTGACAGGAAGCCGTGGAAGCTGACGAACCTGCGGACGATGACTCAACACCAGAGCGAGGCACACCTGCACATCATTCTGCAGCTGCGAGAGATGGAAGAATATCCGAAGATAGCAACCGAATGGCCAGATCGAGTGGCAAATAAGAGGCTAGTGCGCATCACAGAGCACACGAAGATGGCTTCCTCACTATGAATGAAGCTATCGGAAGAATTTTTGCAATTTCTTTCCGATTTGTGCAGGAGTTGGAGTTAGGTTGCTTGAAGCTTTTCGTTTGATGCACACATCTAATGCAAGCAGAGAATGGAACAAGTTCTTACACATGTATTTCTTCATGGCCCCGATGCGGGACTTCACTCGGGTTGATACAACCCCTTAAATCCAAAGGAAAGATAATCCTCCCATCAATTTGGAAGTATCTCGTCGAGCCAGGATGGACGTCGCAATGCAGACGTGGTCCAGGGACCAGCCGGCCGGCGTTCCTGTGGAATTTACCAAAAGAGGTTTTGTCGGCCGGGAACCACCGGTCCACCGGTCATCGCAATTCCCAATAGCAGTATACCTCCTGGTTGACTCTAGGCCGTCGGCCGTCATCAAACCCTAGCCAATGGTGGACGCGACAGTGGGCTTCAGGTGGATCTGATGATATACAATCCCCTATCTCCAACATGTTTCAGAACCATAGAGCGATAACGATATGATTATGTCGCCCTTGGAGTTCAGTATAGAAGACGCAACTTTCGGGGGCTCACCATATCTTTCCTCCGTCAGCCGATCGGAATAAGTTCCATACGGTTTGGTAGCTCATGCAATGAATCGGCATATGCTTATGATATATCTGTCAGGTCCAGGGGGCCCCAGACGATAAAACTCGCAGAAAATGACGTTGCTCATCCAAAATGGCTCGGCATCACTTCCGCTCGCACATGTTGGGAAGGCCCTTTCAAGATGCAGTCAAACACATTGGAACCGGTGCGAAAGGCACATGTGACAGGTACGCCAAAAGAAAACCCTCAAGCGACTGGGAAAGGACAAATGGGGTGATTGTGAGTCTGCGGCTGGACTATAAGAACAAACATAAGAACTAAATGCTGATTTTGAGAGATTTGACTAAAGGAGAGCCAGTCTTCGCCGAAGTAAGAAATCATATAATGTCTATTTCAACCCACTGAGACGAGGAAATCATGCACTGATAGAGGAGTACTTCGACCTATCCGTTTCGGCTCTTGAATCTTTTGTATCGCCAGTATCCCATACACGCTAGTCTCAAGGTTCTTTGGGCCTCTGTCCTCTGTCATGAATGTAAGTTGGTAAGGTTCCTGGGTGCAATATCGACCCTTGGAGCTGACAGTGGTATAGAATCCTTCTGAAACAACTAAAATTGACGTGGATGCTCCTGATTCAGATTTCACAGACTTCTATATAGACCCAGAAGGAGATCGAGACCGAGATCAAGATTATGATATATAATTTCTTGTACAAAATCAACCACCAATGACTTCCGTCACTTGGATCACGCAAGGGACAATACGAAATGCAGGGGCTACGAGAAAGGCACCATAAACATATACGGACGTGTGGAAATTGCAATCGGATACGTGAGAGGAAGCCATGTCTTCATATCCACAAGCAAAGAGATCATGCGCGGTTACGTCCTGCCTTTAGCGGCAGGATTGGAAAGCAGAACCAAAGAGGAATGTCACAATGTCCTCCAGAGCTGTCGCAACACGATATCCTGCGTTGTTGGAAAGCTCGTTGCCATTCAAGATGGAACCACACACGACAGCGAATTGACTAAGATCAGAGTTATTCCATCGCCACTAGCACAATCCTGTCAACCTTCGCCAAATAGGGGTAATCCACTAGCGGCCCCCTTCTATCACACCCCCGGTACTCGTCGCATTGACAATACTCAGCGGGGACTTCGTTTGGATAAATGGCGGCAGTGCTGAACTGTTAAGCCTACTCTTTTCAGTAGTTCGGATAGATTGATGTAACCAGTCTGCACCAGGCGAATAGGAATGTGGCCAAGCGGATTGCATTGTGGTACACACAAGTATGGTCGCTTATCAGTTGCTGGGGCCCGGTCTGTCACATTATCGGATTATCAATACCAAGCTTCACCGATGGGGTTTATTAAGAAAGACCAACATTATTTGGCACATGAGAAAACGACTGAAACTCAGGAAGAAACAAAAGGGTTTATATAGGAGATTCTCTTCCATCCCCAAGCTTCGGAAATTATACCTATAAAGCATACCTAACAGAGAGCTAACCACCATCCATAATCGGCGGTCCTTGGTATAAGTCGATCTAGAGACAAGACATCAGACAGGCGAACCACCCCAAACAAGGCATGAGTGAAAACCAAGAACTAGCAGCCAACTCCTCGTCGGAAACCTCCAATGCTTGCGATGCTACCAGACCGGATGAACCAACGGTCGAACGAATGAGTGTGCGTGCTCAGGACAATGATATGCAACAACGGTGACTGATACTTGCTGTGCCCTGAAACCCCCCGTTGAAAATGCATGACGTCGTCCCGTCTTTCCCAAATCAGATGCCAAACAACACTTCAATAGCCAAAGCTGTCGTGCTGATGGACAGGACACCGACCTGGGTGGTTGACGAACCAAGCCTCTATACAAGAGCGGTGGAACCTGCACAGACACTCCAGTCGTGCCATGGGCACGCCAACGGAAAACTCCTCGAGACAGATGGTACATTCGGCCGAGTCGACACAGTCCTTCTCAGTGGCCGCATACGGAAACATGCCAGTCCGGCGTGCTATGCGCTGCGGGGGTGTTCCATGAGCGCCTAGTTGATTAGATGTGGCCGCCGGCGGTCCGTACGTGCTGTGCTGGGTGATGCACGTGGTAATGTGCGACTCGCGTAAAGCCTCGAAGTTGGGCAATCGCTGAGACGGTAGCTCACGGTGGCAGACGGGACATTCGTCTTCCTCTGGGATCTGCTGCGGCGGCGGCGGCGGTAAGGGGCGATTGTTCCGGGAAGCTGCCGAGGAAGACGACGAGGCAGCAAGGTTGTCGAGAAGTGATTGGTAATGGGGCTGAGCGGGTGGCTGATACCGCGAGGAGGATGAAGACGCATACCCGGAGGGATAAGGATAATACGTCGGGGGAGTGCCGGATAGGATTCGATTTTGCGTTAGATTTTGTGTCAGAGAAGGAACACCCCTCGAACCTGCTCGATGTGAACTGGAATACTGTAGCTGAGTTAGCCCGCGGTTCAGCATCCCGGGGCTGAAAGGAACACTAACGACCGTGGCGCTCCTGCTTCTAGAACCAGCATCGTTGGGTGCATTGCCAATCAACTGGGAGGCAATATAGGGAAGAGGTAGATAGGAGAGAGTATTGCCCACATTACCGGCATTCCCAGTCCCCGAGGCACTACTATGTGACCTGTGGTGAACTGACCTCGGCTGGAGCAGGTCGGTACCCGGTGACCGTTGAGCATGTGGCGGCGTCGTATTGGGGTCCGGAACGCATGGATTGCATAGCCGTACACGCTCGCCACCGCCGATGGCGCTAAAGTCGGCAACACCGCCCTCTTCGCCGAACAGAACCGAGGCCCGGAGACGTGACATGTCGCCAGGCGGTCTCACAATGTATTGGTGGGGAATTGTGATACGGTGCGGTGAGCAACTAGCACATACTACCCTCCCACATTTTCGGCAATGATGTTTCCTAACAAGAAAGCTGAACTGTTGATGGCAGATCGGGCAATATGTCACTTCGGCATCAGGTTGCCAACGTGGAAGCGTGATTTCAGGCAAACCTCTTCTCCTAGGAGGGGGCTGCGTGGGTTGAACGGGTGGCTGTAATGGCCGATAAGTCGTAACATCTCCTCGTAGACCTGTCTGGCCTGAAGACAAGGGTCTTGCACTTGCCGGCGGCTGTATCTGACTCGCTGCTACTGCCGTTCCGCTTTCGAGCTGAGTACGTCCTAGATCCAAATCCTGTGATCGGGCTGCCGCGTCGCTCAATGCTTCCAAAAGCGACACACGGGACGAAGGTGTCGAGCTTGCCGGTGGCTGTAGTATCTGGTTCGCTGCGCCCGCCGTTCCGCTGCCAAGCTGAACACCTCCGAGATCCATAACCCGTGGTCGGGCTGTCGGGCCGTTTACGGCGTCCAAAAGTGAGATGTGCGATGTACCTCTAGTTAGCTCTGCATCTTGTATTCGTTGAGTTTCCACTTCAACACCTGGGGCTCTAGCCGTAGAGACTAGTGCTTCGCCTGGGCCGGATGCAGCAGCGGGGTTCGGCAATGATCCGGTATTGAAGACTGAATCGTTTTGACCATTAAGCTCTCCCGATGTCGTATCCTGATGAGCTAGCCTCGAAGTTCCACCGTCTTCATTGCTGTCTCGTTGAATAGGTTCGGTCCCATGTTCAGAACTTTGAATTTCTCTCCTGATTTGCGGAGTTGGGTCATCAGGTGCGACGCGTTCAACAACGTGGGTCGGGCAATCGAAGAAGCGAGAGCACTCCTGATCGTTGAATTCGGGCGTTCGGTGGGGACAAGGCGGCTGGTTGGAGGCCGAGCGGGCGCTACCCGCGTAGGAGCTTTCGGACTCGGTATCGTCGTCGGTCCAGCTGTTGTGTTCGTTGTTGGGTGTTAGCACTGGCTGCGAGCCTTCACCTTCGCGTGACGCCATGCTGTGACATCAAAGATAACGCTTCTCAAAATTCTGCAGAACGATCGCAGGACAGAATGCCACAAGAGGATAGATGGGCGACCAAGATGGCAACTGTAGCGACAGTGGAAGAGACCAAGGGCTGGGGTTGTGCACTCCTACTTCGTGCCTTGATAGCCAACGCATATATGGGGTCAGCCATGCAGTCGCTGCAGGTAGAGCACCATCTTCGTTGGAAGGGAGAACTCACAGAAACATCAGAACATCAAAACTGTGGAAAAGGCAATGCAGAAGGAATCAATACTGCAAAATATTCGATTCTGGAAAAGTCTATGGCAAGGCAGAATGAAAGAGACAAGACCGTTGACTTTATTTTTCTTGGTTTGAAGTCGAAATGTCGGGTCTCGAACTGTCCCACAGAGGAGGCGGGATGTCTTAGCGCTGCTATCAACAGCTAAACAACCTTATCGCTCGCGTGATGGGGCCGCTGCCCCACCTACGCTAATGCAGTCAAGGTTGATCAAGGCAATCGCCCCTGCCACATGTGGCTATACTTGATACGCCACATGCGTTTGAGAGGTAGGGTTAGGGTGTCAAGTTGTCCAAAGTCCTTTAGAGAAATGTTGTTAGATATGGGCCTCGAATGTTCAACATCCAAAATATTATGATTCACATCGTAACTGCCGTAGCATTTGCATAGTAAACATAACAGGTTCAGTCGTACGCAAGCGACCTGCTGTTATTCAAGCCTCGAGGCAACCTTACCAAGTCAATCTGGTTAGCCAGGCTTAGCGTGGATAAACACCACAACCCACCGAATCTCCGGATTTTGGTTGTCAAGCCACACCGATTTAGAGATTTGGTTGACATGGTAAGGTTGCCTCGAGGGTCGTTAAGAATCGAAGTTTCTTGATTAACCTTGAAACCGAGGTAGAACTAGCGATGCTAAGCTTCCGGCAGTTCGATAAACTATGGCTTTTATCTAGGGAGACAATCTCGCTAACTACATCTAGCGGGCCACTGTAAATATCGAGGAACTACATGGTTTCATAAAGGAGAATTTCGATCCCTCTACTATCTTAGATAGGGTCTGAGTACTAGATAATGGAACAGATCGAAGCGCTCTCGAGGTTCAGCTAGAAGAAAGAATCTCTAGGATGAAGGATTTCGGGACCATAGGCACCCTATCTCAGCTTACAGCGCGTTACGCCTTGCTATTTCCAAGTACATACAAATTATATCGAAGGAACTGGATTAGGATTCGTTATTTATAAGGCTAGGAGGAAACTCTTTCACGGCTATCCGACTTTCTACTTTCTAAATAAACACAGGTATTCGATCTTAATGCACTAGTAAATAACGTGTATAAACCTTTATCTCTTGCTTGCTACGTATTCTAAGACGAGACGCTCTTATTGACCCGCCACTATAAATACGTCTCCTGACCTATTTCTTCCTGATAGCAATAATGCTCATTGAGGCACGCACATGCATGAGAGAGCTCTCGAAATCTCTGAAGCCTTGGCCTTATCTAATTGGTTTGCCCTTGTTCCGACCTGCAGCTCGTTCGGAGGTTTGGCCCTTATAGATATTTGGTCATTTTGCAGATAGGAGCGTAGCCCTGTCTGTTTGCCGATACGTAGAGCAGTGAGGTGCTCAAGGGAAATATATACGCTGGAAATAATCCAGGGCGCAGCCTCTTGTCGGCTTCCCGCGCTATTTCTGTACCGGGGATAGTAAAACGCAAGTTGCCACACGTTATAAGTGGCATAGCGTCAGAAACGGATGACCTGTAATATCAATGACATCTGGAAGCGTGGGGTTTTGCGCCCTCAGACATAATGGCATTCTCAGCCCGGGCTGGTGATTCGATAAATGCATGATCTACCTTTGTGTAGATTGCGCAAGTATAGCTGATGGCGGCCTTTAACGTGGGGCTGATATACCTGGGCAATATGCACTCCGGTTATCCAGAGGATCGACATGAGCATCGCCATGTTCTCTGAATCTCCATCCCCCTCCTTTGCTCCCATTAAGCTCAGGCATAGCATCCGGTCCTTAAAACTTTTCTGGTGTCGCTTTCGATCCGAAATCTTGCTGCCCTTTAATATGTTTTGAAGCATTACGTCATTTGTCTCCCATGCCCATATATAGCGCAGTGAAATTGGATTAATATGCTTGTCGTTATGGCGAGGTTGGCCTGCGTCAAAAACGGGCTGCCCCCACTTGACCATCTTGTTACACGCAATGGTGGTCAAAGATTTGTGAGGTTGTAAAAGCGTGACATTCTATCTAGTCCTATGGAGCACGAAGGTTGGACTTAGTCCCAAAGGGCTAAGTCACGTGGTAACCTTGGTGGTCTTAGCAAAGCCCACCAAGATTGCCTAACACATCTGGTCTATCTGACACCCCACATGTCCTGTTGGCCTTCCCATTTCCTCCCCTATCCGCCTGTGTCCGTTTACTTAGCCGGAGTGGCGAAGTATTACAGCATTTTTGCCTTGATTCCCGTAACGAGCGCAAGACAATGCATGCTGGACTGAAACCTGAGCTTGAGCTGCAGGTGGTTGCAGATGCAGTGAAAAGGTCAAAGAGCATCGTTATTCTAACGGGCGCCGGAATTAGCACGAATGCAGGCATTCCAGTAAGTGTTCCTTTTCCCTGTTCCTACACGAGACTTCCTCGACATAGGACCTTCGTTCTAGAAAGAGCTTACATACTATAGGCAGTTGTTAAGGATGTACAGTTAAGGGTAAATATATCTTCTACGTACGAGCACTTCTAGATCCCTTAAGGACTCCTATCCTGTTTAAGCTCTTCACCAGAGTCCGCCGGACCGCCCTAAATAGCGGTACAACGTACAAATATCGCTTTATTAGCGATCTAAGCGTAGCCGGGAGCTCGTTAGGAACTATACGTGGAATATAAACGAACCCGAACAAAACGCTAGTCTCTATAATACCCTACGGAGGGGTCCGGGCCTTTGGACTCAGGGCGTCGTTAGAGGGCAGGACCGAGGAGTCGAATATATTTACACATAAACTAAATCAGACTTAACTCAGCTCAGTAGTGAGCACGGCGTTGCGACACAATGCAAACTGATCGCTGTACTTTGTTCAAAATTCCGTGAATACCTAGTTACGCGCACCGGATAAGTCTGGCGGCCGCTCATCAAGGAATATCCATGACAGATTGCGTAATTAGTACGGATGACAATAGTTGAACCACTGTCACAAATGACGGTTATATACACAAATATGTGTCTCCACGCCCTGACTGAATTGTGGTTCATGTGAATATCCTCTTATAAGTTGTGATATATGTAGATAGCAGTGCCATCTATCTCGTTGGAAGTGGGAACAGGTTCCTTGTGAGTGAGTCGCGACTTATTACCAACATGTTATCACAAATGATGTATAGAGTGCCCTACAATGACGAACATTTCCCGGTTTGAGCCTTGCAGGCTCACATTCCTCATCTGCACATCTTATATATCCAGCGATATAAAGTCACATTTGTAGCTGTTTGAGGGCTCGAACGTGTAGAATCTGTAGTCAAGCTATAATATGACGTTTCGCAAATCATACGGGTTCAGCTCTCACTACGTACTGGGCGGCGTGTAAATACACTGCATGCTCAGTCTGCCTAGCAACGACCACATCTACCTGCTTGATGTTGACGCAATTTTTACAGACTGACTGGAATGAGGCTTGGGTCATCTGACAATGAGGTCTGACAAGAAACAGGAGGATTGGCCGTGAAATCGGGAGGCGGGGTTCGTGCATCTGACAAACTAGCCGGTCTGAATGCTCAGCCCCAAACCCCAGCCGTCGTGATGAGTCGGTATGATAGAGCCGGGATCTGCTTTCGGGGGGTGTGGGTAGCCGCCCAGTAAACGTCAGCCCAAGAAGTATCAACGCGGATGTACAAGTTGGGGCAGGAAACTTGCCCTTTTCATCAATCACATATTTCCATTTCCAAGTTCGTTCCACTTCTTCCACTGGGCTGGGCAGAGCTCCTAGTACAAAACTCACACGTCTTCTGCAGATTGCCCCGCTCTCGAAGAACACCCCTCCTTTTGTATGCACCCTATGCTTCCGATTTGATCGCATCTGTGCACTTTACCGTCAGAGTCGCCACGTTCGGCAACGCCCGTCGAGATGAAGCGAGCAATACGCAAGGTACTTCAACTACGCGCAATAACGAGACGGAAATCGGCCGAGCAAGTTTCATCGCGAGTAGATGAAATCGATGAGGAGCCGCCAGATCAATTGGGCAACCCATTATTGCTCGATAAAACCATGTTGAACACGTCAATCGTGTTGCCTAGTCAGCCTCCTGGTGGGTATGCCTTCATGAAGAGGCCCATGCATTCCTTACTGATTTATCTTCACAGAATCAGGAATGGAGACTAAGTGCAAGTTCACTTTCAATTTCATTCCCGGCTTCTTCGAGGATTACGTCCAGATCGCGAAAGATAGTGCAAACGGGCTGGCGTCTACGCAGCACAATCTCGGTCTTATTGACAGAGCGTATGAGACGGATTCACACCTTCGCAGCAGCGGTAGCCTGACCCAATGGGAACGTTTCACGAGGTACATCGAGCATCTAAATCAGCATAGTCCCGCAGGTGAGTCGTATAAGTTGATATATGTCATCCGCCATGGGACAGGTGTCCATAATGTCGTCATGGAGAGAGTAGGCTCTGAAGCGTGGAAAGTGAGTAATACTGGTCCCTCTACTTTGACTTATGCAGTTGCTGAGTTGCAATAGAGCAAGTGGTCTCAACTTGACGGAGATGGTACCGAGACTTGGGCAGATGCACATCTCGTAGACGCTGGTATCAAACAAGCCCAGATTGTCGCCAGCTTGTGGCTTGATGGAGCGAAGGAAGGAATGCCTCTACCGGGCACTATTTACAGCAGTCCTCTGGCTAGGTGCCTAGAGATGACCAAGCTCGTCTATACCCCGGTATTGGCAGAACACCAGAGGCCTTTTCAGCCCGTAGTGAAGGAGCTCCTCAGGGAACGACTGACAGCTCATACTTGTGACAGAAGAAGTTCAAGAACTTGGATAAAACAAAATTACCCTCAGTATTTACTCAAGGATTTAGAGGAGACGGATACATTGTGGAGTGCGGATAAGGTCGAGACGGCGGAAGAACACGCATCCCGGAAGCTACGACTATTCGAAGACATTTTTGCGCAAGACACATCTCTATTCATCTCCTTGACCACACATTCATACGCCATTACCGGTGTCCTCGCCGTCATTGGAGCGGAAAAGTTCCGTGTTACGGAAGGGACTATGTTTCCTTTATTTGTAAAGGCCAGCAAGGTTGCGCCAAGTTCAAATTTCCCACAGTTGTGATGGAATTTAAAGGATTAGGGAGTTGATCTGGGGCTGCCCGCTTACGTATCTTCAGCAGTGAATGTAGCTCATGTATGGACTGCTGCTTTGCGCTCAACATTGAATCTGTTGCGTTCTCTTGCGATCGAAGGCACGCTCACAATTTTACGGAAATCGTGCAAGCCCCCAAATCTGCATATATCTTGCAACCATAGGCTTCCTATGTACATCCCTCTCGAACCTGTGATTTCTGTATCTTCAAGCACCCAGCACTACCCAGCCTGTCTGGGCCACTGCCTCGCCGGCAAGATGCAGGCAAACACGCAAGTGGCGCAAGATTTATGCATCGACAGACCTCCTGGTTTGTCGAGTCGAGAATCAATGTCACATTGGTGATTGATCGAGATCCCAAGAAAGCTGGCCGGTGTATGGACTTCGCCGTGTCAACAGCATCTTATAAAGAACAAGGGATTCATCATAAAAAAAATGAAACTCATGACACTTCTGAGAAAATTACAAGTTCGACACCTGGGCAGACTCCACTACCGATTTCGGTCATACGATGAAGGAAAGTGGGCTTACAAGGGTTCGGCTGCGCCATATGCACCTCGCCTTCAATGCAGTGGTTGAACTGAGATCGCATCGCAGCGCGTAGCCTGCAATTCGCAAATCTCTGCCCATTCTGCTGATTGGCACAGCGGAATGGCAGCAGTGCCCTGCGGTCCCGTCACATCCGGCGCTCCATACATTGGCTGGCACCTTGACGACTTTTTAGCCCGCTTGAATTCCGCTCCCATTCGATTGAGAAATCTGAAATTGTTCGGTGGTTTCGTTCCAGCGTCAACTTAAACACCTTCAAAGAATCACAGCAATTACACTCAACTATCTAGCGGCCAGTCTTGCACCAAATTCGGCAACAATGGACTTCCTCCGGCGAGTGTCACTCGACTCAGTTCGGTTGCCCAATGACGAGTGCGAAGGTGTTCCTTCCACACAAACATCAAGCTCGATCTGCATCTTCAGGGCAACTTCCACTTGGAAGGAGATTGATAAGGAGGCAGCCGACTTTCTTGACATTTTTGACTCCTTGAGGCTTGACTCAGCTCTTATAGCCTACGTTAAATCATCCAGGGCAGGATGGTATGCCCTGAGGCAAATGGAAAACGGTTTGTATAGTTTTCTCCTCAAAGACTACATGGTGAGCAAGCCTCTGAACCCCTTCCCTTTACTGTTCTTGCACTCGTTATGCTCCAGGGGCTGTAAAATCTGTGGAAAGCAGACTTCTCCTTTAACACACGATAAAAGGAAAATTTTTGATGCTGAGGTTTTGCCAGTACATGCTTGCATGGACTTTTGACCCAGACAGAATGGAGACGAGGGCAATTGTGTGTGAAAGGAGTGAATACATCTCTCGCTCCATTTTGAAAGGCGCAGGTGGTCAATTTGACCTACCTGGACTCTGCACGCTTCATCTTTACCATCCCTTGGCGTTGGCATGCATCGTTCTCGTCGACTTCGTCTCGTATTTTGACAAGCTATTGGTTCAGGAGGGCTACCAAGTGGGGGGAATCGAGGACATCACCCGCCATGGGTTCTGGGGGGTCGACGACGGGCAGGAACATGAGGTGCCCGAAGCGGAGTTGATTAAAGCATCGAGGAAGATTGCTAGGCTCATCGGTCTCTTCGCAAATATGTTCAAGAGCCTCGAGATCGCCCACGCAATCGCGGCAACACTGAAGGAACAGGACAAGTGGCGGGATCCCTTACACGTCAGCACTAAAGTACAGAGTGCCAAAGTCCACAGCGCCGAAGTGCAGGACTGGCGAGAAAAATGCGCAATCTCCCTCACCGAAGCCACCAGTATCCTTCATGGACGAATACGAGCTATGAAGCAATCTTGCCAGGTATTTGATGCAAGGGCAAAAGCTTTGTCAAGTGTGGTATGGAGTTCCAGACCAACTAAATTGCTCTTTTCGTGTTGTATTTGGAACACAGTCTGACGTTGTACCTAGATATCAACCCTGATGCGCCGCGAGGACACCCGTATCACAAATGAACTGACCAAGGCCAGTAACAAGCTGGCTGCGGCCGCAGCTCGTGACAGCAGCGACATGAAGGTGATTGCCATCATGACCATGGCATTCCTCCCGGCAACTTTTTTTGCTGCACTATTCGCGTTGCCATCTCTGGACTGGCAGTCCCCCGGAGTGATGGACAACAAATTCTGGGTCTATTGGGCCTGCACAGTACCCACTACTCTGGCTGTTTTCATTCTATGGGACGTGCTGCAGGCAAATAAGATAAAGATGTTATTTCAACGGTGGAGGAATCCAGAGGCCGTGGACAACGAAACCACTGCGGACCAGAAACATAAAGAGCCCCAGGGAATCCAGAAACAGGACGTAGAGATGGGCAGGGGGGTTAGGGACGAAAGAAATAGGGACTTGTTAGGCCTTGCGGCCGTGGATGGGGGGCTGAACTGTCAGGCCAGCACTTTTACCGTGAGTAACATGGCATTATAGGCTGCTGCTGTTGCAATACAAGGAAAGGAGGGCGTGGGACAGCCGGCACGGGAAATTGTGGACATCTTCATTAGCAGAGAGTTTCCTCTATTTCACTTCATACTGCTGCTGGAAAGGCTAGGCAGCATATGGCGCATTCACGTAAAATTTCTTCCCTTGTCTTCTTCTCCTACCCCTGGAACGTCTACAGCGAAGAGACATTTAAACTCATGTCTAATTTATGATATGTGTATATAAATATTGACACATGAATGGATAGCCACACGTATAACAAGAATCGCAGAGTTTAGGGTCTTAGATCCCAATATAGGGGTAACTCGAACGTTTATTCTTAGCCACAATGTAGACTGTTCCTTCCGCAACACGTACCAGGGGTTCTGATTAGTCAAATTGTATGACAATTTCCAGCTCCAACTATGAAGGATCAGCCACATACCATATGATACCAGCATCTCGAACCCCTGAAGTCAGGTCATAATCTGCATAGAAGTGCATGCGTGAATATTCGTTTACTCTATGTAACCCAAATTGGTAAGCAAAGAGGAGTTCAAATATAACGAAACCTGCTGATAAAGGATTGATTTCAAACCTTGACGATAGTGGCTCGGAAGCCCTAGTTGCAATGTGGCGACCACACTAGCCTAGTGCCTGATTGATGTTGGACCTTCAAGGCTAGTACACAAGACTGCCAGGCTTGGAGGGATATATGGCCACGCACCGTACGTTATGGGCCAATATGACCACCACCCATCGAACCACACAAGTCCTGCCTGTGGGACAGGCATCGTGCATTCCTGTCTATATAAGGCACTTATGGCCGCTGTTCACTTCTTTCAGGACTCTCCGGAGATCATGACATCTTCAATACAAAACTATTTGCCCACAATCCAATAGTTGGTCATAAACGTAAGGGATTCCGAGTTGGGGCACGCTATATGAGGGAAGCACCCTGCCATACATCCAAGTCATCATGTAATTGTCTGCAACACCGATAGACCTAGCTAGATAGCGGCTATTGATATGGCTAGTCTCTCTATAGTCTTGTTAAGCATCGACGCTTCACCCTTGGTGGCACAGTTGGTACATGTATTTCTCCGATTTTGTCTGACAAGTCGCCAACTGGAGCATAAAATTTCTGGTGCCTGGTTTCCAAGGCACTTTTTCCCACTACTCTCTCTATAGTCTGCGAGTCTCGTAAGCGGATAATTAGACGACAAGTCGGAGAGTTTCCAGGCCACATGTATCCACTAAGAGCGGGTAGCTAGACGACAAGTTGGGGAATTCTCGTGATCTCGGCATATCCATGTCCGCCACTCCCTTACTTCGGCGATTGTTAAGCACAGTCACCTTGCGATTATCAAGTGGTACCAAACATATAATATGAAAATCCACGAAGCTTTTGAAGAACCACTCAGGCCTAAGATCAATCAACTTCCAAGGATTAACTCACTCGAAGAATCGTCACCCATCACCAACCACCATCTGTCATCATGTCGATTAACCTAGAAGACTCCCTCGCAACCAGCTGGCCCACCGTCCGGGCCTTCACGCCGTCCTCTCACTCCGATACATATAACTTCATCTCATTGGCCCACACCGACTTGACAGGTAAATCCGTCCTAATCACCGGCGCATCTCGAGGCATCGGGAAAGGCATAGCCCTAAGCTTCGCCAGAGCAGGCGCTTCCCGCATCGCCATCGTCGCCAGATCCGGCCTCCAAGTCGCAAAAGCCGAAGTCATCGCCGCCGCCAAAGCCGCTGGCAGAGCGGAACCACAGGTCCTCTGTTTTGCTCTCGACGTCACATCCGAGGCCGCCGTTACTTCTGACGCGAAAACGGTCGCTGCTGAATTTGACGGCTCCCTCGACGTGCTCATCAACAACGCGGGCGTCAGTGAGGGAATGACACCATTCGTCGAAACTGAGCCCAAGAAATTCTTGGAAACGTGGGAGGTCAACAGAAAGGCCGTGTATCTCATTACTCATCCCCTGCTGCCGCTGATTCTCAAGTCTTCCACGCGTACTATTCTCAACGTTTCGAGTTCGGCGGCGCACCATGTCTTTCCAATGCTGAACGCATACCAAGTCACGAAGTTCGCCCTAGTGAGATTCACGGAGATTCTGAAGTTCGAGCTCCAGGACCAGGGCCTGGTGGCGATTTCTGTGCATCCGGGGGATGTTCTGACCGACTTAACAGCCAAGGCGGCGGACAAATTTCCAGGCCTCTTTGTGGATACTACTGAGTTAGCGGGGGATACTATGGTGTGGTTGGTTCGGGAGAAGAGAGATTGGTTGGGCGGAAGGTTTATTAGTGTCACTTGGGATATGGAGGAGTTGGAGCGGAAGAAGGTTGAGGTTGTTAAGGGGAATTTGTTGAAGTTCAGAATGACTTTGTGACGCTGGTTCCAAGCATAGAGGCTTTGCAGTGTAGCGGATGTTTTTCAGGTTGACTTTGTCGTGTTCCTATTTCAACTCATATACGGTGGCTGGCTGTTTGGCACGTTGATGCAGATTTATGTTGGCACACCACTATGGTTATTTATACAGCATGTAGACATCCTGTTGATACAAGTAAATGACAAGTAAAGTGAATCTCATTGTCCTTTACCCTTATATACATTTTGCGAAATGGGAGCAATTGTACGCAGATTGAGGTGTTGAGGGTTTCATATCGCCGGAAATGCCACATGATAGTGACGTCCAAGTTTCCAATAGATTATATGGTAACTGTCAAAAGTCTGGCGTACACTCGCTCCACTTCGGCGACCCCCAACATTCAACACCTAGTTGTTAACTCAATTACACACCCATTCGTACCCAAGTTTGATAATAACATATGCTTCTTGTTCCCATACTTCGCCTTTTCAATGATATGTGTAATAAACACGTACGCGAAGTTGCCCACCCACATGGTTAGGCATCGGGTCGATCAGTCTATTAATAAGGGCCTTATATATGCTCGACTGGCGACTAATCAGGACAATGGGCAAGCTAATCGATGACCTAAATACCATAGAGTTGCAGCCACTCTTTAGTAGCATTAGATGTATATATTTTAGTGTCATCTTACTGAGAAAAGTTGCTAGGAGTTTATACTGTTATTAGGACTTCCTCTAGATCCTATATTACGACGAGGACGAAAAGCCCTTACGCTTAGCAAGTAAATTCCGCCCTATGATAAAGATCCTAGATTATGTAGAGATAGCAGGGTGATCTACGTAGTTGACCATCTTCCAATCAAAGCGCTTGTAGAGAATTTGCCAGACCCAGCCAATGCTAGAATGAAGAGAATTTGGCACCGTATACTCGTCGCTGAAAATATCCTAGTAATGTAGGTTCTATTAGTCTCTAAAATCGCGTCGCTATACCTCCCTGCCCTTCCGGAAACGTTACTACGCAGTAAATGAACATACGTTTCTGGGGGTTAACTAACTACTTTATAGCAACTTCTGGTGCCTGGTATTGCATGTAACCACTGACAGCGAGTTGGTGTAGGTGAGTGGGAAATTGAGTTGGACGCGTGCGCCAGGCTTTTTGACAGTGATTATATTCTTCTTACGTCGCCAACACCTTGACTAGAGGCAAATTTGACAGGGTAGAATATCATTAGTCCGACGTTGTATTACCATCTGTGTTGAGCCACCATCCTTTGCTGCGCCCCTCTTGAGTTACAAGCGTGCTGTCACCCCGCACAGCTACCCAGCAAGAGAATCGGAAACTCAGCCCGAAAGATTGGCGAACAACTTCGCATCATTTCTTTGTGTCTTCTCGGCACCATGGTTTAAGCTTTACTAAGGGCAACGAACGACCGACCATGCCAGTTTTCAGGAGCAAGCAATTAGATATTGACTGTAGGTAGCTGATATTCCCGTTTTGGAGTAGTAACTCACAGGTCAAGTGCCACAGGATGTGACAATCTGGGAGTGGCTTTTTGGTGACAACTCTCGACACTCGCCGCTCAACAAGTTTGTCGAGCAAGACCTGGCCGGTTATGTCGATGCTTTCAGCAAGGAACGGGTCAATTGGAGAGAGGTCAAGGAAGCAGCTATTGCTCTCTCCACGGCCCTAACGAGGAAGTATGGCTTAAAGCCGGGCGAGACTTTTTCGATTTTCAGCAGGAATACGATATGGTACCCGGTTGCTCTCTTCGCTGCCATACGCGTTGGTATGCTTTAGACCTTTTTGCCAGGTATACAGTGGGCTCTACTTACAGGACTGTCCAGGCAGCGTCGTATCCGGTGCTTCACCCGCTTACAACGTCGAGGAAATGACCCATGCCCTTCGAACGGCAAAGACAAAGTTCCTCGCAACGCATCCGACATCAATACAAGTCGCCGTGAAAGCTGCTCAGAATGTTGGTATCCCGCAACGGAACATATTTTTGCTGGAAGGAGAGCTAGACGGCTACACCACGATCCAGGACTTGATCAAGATGGGCCAGAGTTATGGCGAGAAGGGTCAAGTTCCGCACTTCAGCATCCCAGTGGCAAAGAAGAACAAAGACGTGTGCGCTTTTCTGAGCTTCTCATCCGGCACGACGGGATTGCCAAAAGCTGTAAGTATCCTCTGGCAGCTTCATACAATTGCTCATGCTCATCATCTACAGGCTCTCATATCACACCAGAACGCCATTGCGCAATCCCTACAGAAGCAACTCATCACGCCCAAAGACCATAAGAAGGTCCTCGGCGTTCTACCTTTCTTCCACATCACCGGCCTCATTCAGATCCTGCATCTCCCTATCATCCTCAACGCCGAAGTCATCACGATCCCTGCTTTCACATTGGATACTATGCTATCAGCGGTGGTCGAGTATCAGATTGGAGAACTCCTCATCGTCCCGCCGATTCTTATTCGCATGGTCCATGACTCGACAGTAGATACATACGACTTGAGCTGTGTCAAGCGCTTCACCACGGGGGCAGCTCCTATTTCCGATGAGATCATCCAACTGCTGAGAACAAAGTTTCCAGCGACTGGATTCAAGCAGCTTTACGGCATGACCGAATCTTGCGGGTGTATCACGGCACATCCACCAGAGGCCTATAGCTACGACTATGCTCGTACCGTGGGCTCCCTTGTCCCCAGTACGGAAGTCAAGCTGATTATGGAGGATGGATCCGAAGCTGGGGTGGGCGAGCCCGGTGAGATTTTGGCTCGGGGGCCACAGATTGTCATGGGGTACTTGGACAATGATCAGGCGACTCGGGAAACGTTCGATCAGGATGGCTTCGTGCATACAGGCGATCAGGGGTTCATTAACCACGAAGGCTTCATCACCATCACGGACCGTATCAAGGAGATGATCAAAGTGAAGGGCATAGGGGTTGCACCTGCGGAATTGGAGGATCTACTGCTGGGTCATGGCAAGATTGAAGATTGCGCGGTTCTTGGTATTCCGGATCACTGGGCTGGGGAACGTCCAAAGGCGTATGTCGTGCTCCAGAAGGGGTACGTTCCTGATGAGAGGACGGGGCTGGAAATTATTAGGTATGTGGAGGAGAAGAAGGTGAGGCATAAGTGGATCAAAGAGGTTGAGTTCATTGACGAGATTCCAAAGAGTGTCAGTGGGAAGATCTTAAGACGTGTTTTGAGGGATCGCGTAAAGCATGGAGGAAAGGAGGGGTTTGGTAATGTGCGGGCGTCGAAGGCAAAGTTGTAAGGCTGGCTGGCTACATTGGCCTGGGAGTTCCTCGTTAGCATCGAACAGCATCTTCCAATACATTTATAGCTGGTCCCCCCACTTCTTTCCCACGGGCACCCATATTTGTAGTAACAGTTTTGTTGCGAATACTGTACAAGTATTAACTGCATTTTCCATCGAACTGAGCATTGTATCCCAATGGTTGCAACGTATTCTTATTCATCATTTTTATACTGCCGGGGCCAGATATTCATAGCGGTCTTCAGCCCCCCAGTCACCGGCAATCCAGCATGCACAGTTCTGCTGTCCGCGGTCCCATTGGACAGGAAGTTTACCCAGAATAACGAGTTCCCAACCACAGGTTTGAAAGCAAGTCCTCCATCCTCATGTTCCCACCACAACCTGCCCTCCGCTCTCCCCCACTTCTGGGACGTAGCCGGCCGGACATGCGGAAACCATGTCTCTCCCCCCGTGCAATTATCCTGCAAAATGACGAAGAAACTCGCGATACGGTTGAACGAACGAGGTGAGCCGTCAAATGCTCGCTGTGGAATCCGCAACCAGTCGTGGTGGAGGTTGTACTCCTGGCCAGCTGTGTACCGCACTAGTTGCGGGACTCCCATTTCGTCTGCACTCGGGTCTAGCATGGTGCCTAGGAAGCCCTGCGCGCGGCCGAGCACACAAGAAACGGCGGCATCGTCGGAAGGGAGTGGGGCACTCAAGGAACTGCGGTAGGGGTTCCTGATTAATTGTCCGTTTTGGTATATTTCGGATGGGATGAAGCGGTTTTCGCCCAACTCCAGAAGTCCCTCGATGTCTTGAGGGTTGACGAAGTTTTGGATGTAGATGAGTAAAGGGTCGATGGATATGATTTCGGTGGTGTAGTGCTGTGGTAGACACTTGAACCCTGCTGTTGTCGGGAATGACAGGAAGTTGAAGGTCGAGAGTGCGGTTTGTAGTATGATGATTATGTCACCGAGGTTGAGTAGAACTGTGACACACAGAGCGAAGCATCCCGTCACCAGCGCAATAGAGTTAAGTGCATCTTTGTATTTTTGTCTTTGGGGTTTCTTGACCTTTGCCATGGTCAGCACGTCTCACAGGTATTGTGAAGGAAACGTGATTAGAAGGAAGACAAACTTCCAAGGCCATGATTGTAGAGCCAAGGGTGTGGCAACTTTAAATAATTGTGTTATGCACGCAACGATCAGCAAGGTGATCACGCCACAGCATAAAATGCCCTCAAGTTTATCATGATTGTCCATAAAGGTTCGCCCCTTGCTGGGCAGAGTCAATACGGCAGTCATTCGCTCTATCCAACACGTACATACATAGAGCAGTTATGGAAGGACCAGATAGTGGCCTCTCCATCTACGTAATGTAATTAATACGTTAATTTAGACATAGAGGGATTCTTCTACGATACACGCCATAGTCGATCATGAAAATCATGTGATTCATTAGTGGAAGGCAGTGACTCAAATAGCCGGCTCGGCTGAAGTGAAATTGATACATCTTAGGGACAACCATTGTCTTTCCTTCGCGCTAGACCAATGTAGGCAAAATTATGAATATGCTGGTTTCGTGGAGAAAGTCCCGTCGCATGTCACCCTGGGGAACAGATTAGAGCAAACATAGGCACTCCATCCTCTACGTTTGGTTCTTTAGACATGTAGGGGGTTACAACTTGATTCGTATTGCTATGATTCTAAAATGAGACGTATTTTGTAGAGTAGGAGTTTATATGATGAAAGAAAATTAATGCGTATAGTAGATAATATAGGCTTTGGCATGTCCTAGGATGACTGACGTTGCAACTACAGGGATCAGCCGCCTGCTCACCGCCACATCACTTGTGGGCTTCTATATAACCCGATGGTTTGAAAATATATCTCAGGTTCTGAATTATGCTAAGGATCTATAGATGGTCTCTCATTGTTAGTGAGTCGAAATTGGGGCTTTTAACCCTAGCAAGCTTCAAAGCCTTCTTTTTGGCAGCATATCAGTCCCCCGAACTGTCGAAAGCCGAAACAGGCTTCAAGTGCATCATGAAGCTCTTAGAGCCAACATGAACCATCTGAGGAACCTTCCTCGAAATTAGTGTAAACTTCTAACTATTAGCCTCAAGAGAGTACAAGCGCAACCCCAAGTTCGTGCATTACTAGCTTTGGGCTAGTCTCAGACGATATCAAGCAGAGGGGTCTACACCCCAGAAGACCCGAACTTTATGCCAATGCAGTTTCTCCTCGTCCGTGAAATCAACTCCAGGAATTTCTTCTCCACGCTGTGCCTTCCCGATATACTTGTACGCGTTGGACGCCTGGTGTCTGTAGGAGCAGAAGCGAACCTCCAAACGGGTGGTGGTATCGGTGCGGTACATCTCGACGAACTCATCAAGGTCATACGCAAACGTCTTCTGAAAGAAGCGCTCGAGATAGTCCTGCTGGACAATTTGGCTCGGGCCGGAGACTTGCAAGACACGGGAGTGTTGGCTCGCGGGCTGCTCGGGCGCTTTGAATTTGTTCATCGTGACCACTGGGATGTATCCATTGACGGAAAACTCGCCACGGTTGACGAGGTCGATGAACTTCTCAGCCGCCGCGCGAGTCCAGAACACCAGCTTTGCAGCAGAGGTATCATACTGCCCGGATGGAGGCGAGACACTGGACGCGTGGATTTTGCCAACATTGCGGATGGCTTGCAAGAGCTCTCGGGGAGTACAAGTTGGGGGCAAATTGACAAGGTATAAGGCCGTGCTCTCGTCGACGGGGATGTCAGCTCCCCAGTTCTCAGGATTATTAGAGTTACCCCTATAATTCGGGCTATTCGGTCCCGTGATATATTCGTATGTAGATCCAGTGGAGACGAGATGGTTCGGCGTCAGTGAAGAATCTAGACCGGTGGGGCTGGCTTTGTGGTCTGGCATTCTATGCAAGAAGCCAGGGCGAGAGTTGGCATCGTTATTGAAGATGGGCTGACGTGAGGGGGCGTGAACGGTGGTTGCGCCCTGATCTGAGGTTTTCGTGGGTAACGCAGCAGCACGGTTTAGTCGGCTATACGGCCATCGTGAATCAGAATTGATTCTGTCTCCCCTACGGCCTTGGCTGTTGGATTCCATGGCTGGAGGTTTTATGTGGGTTGGTAGGGAGTGAAAGGTGGATTGGGAAGGGTATATGAACAACATTGTTTTCGATATGGAAGACCGAGGATTTATTTTGGAAAGGTGCAAGAATAGTGGTCGATGGTCAGTGTTGGCTTCGGTTAACTGAAAATACCGACGGTGTGTTTTGGAAGTGAAGTTTTGGAAGTGAAGGTTGAGGAATCAAAAAGCGGCGGTTCTAGCCCAAGTTGGTTTGGGGCTGGTTGTATGTAGAAATTGGAATCCAGCTCGAGAACATCAAGTACTCTAAATAAAAAGATGTTGGGTCCTAGAATCAATGGTGTGCAGCGTGAATATAAGTGATCCTGCACGGTGGGTATCTAGGTGAATAATAACAGAATAGGCAACAAAGCAACCGTGGTACCAACAGCGGAGTGCCAGTATTATAGAGTATCATGCAAAATACTTAGCTTAACTACTATCCATTGAAAATAGGTATCATACACCATTTAATTAATAAGGCGGTTAGAAAGGTGTTGTAATTAACCTTCAATCGTGGTCATATACCTTCTCTGGAGTTGGCCTAACGCGTATAAATATTTCCTGCACATGCCAACCATTCTGGTGGTTATACCAGCCTCTATTGTAACTACTAGCATAGGACAATCGCTGATATTTGGGTGAAGAAACAAAATGTAAATTACACAAGGCACATTTCTTTTCCTCCTCACAATTCATATGCGCTGTCGACTTAGAGAGCTTCTACTGCAACTCTTCCTGATATACTCGTCTACTTATACTCAACACCCCCAAATGCCGCGTTTCTCTTTTTACTAACTTATCCAACAACCTCTTTTTCATTCCCCAAGCCCTACAATATCCTTTATCGCCAACAATATCTCCCCTGCTGCATCTTCAGGCTTCCGTGTCGTCGCGTCAATGCTTAACCCCGGTACATCAGCAAACCGAAACAACTCCATATCCCGAATAATTCCTTTCAGAATATCCACGTCCATCAACTTCCCCTTCCCGCCCTTGCCCCTCTCCTCACTGCCCAATCTCCTCCAGTTCTCCTCCTCCAAACAAGTAATATAAACCGGCAAAAAGGCCCTTCCGCTCTGCCTCGCCGCGGCTTCAAACTCGGCCGCTACCCCTGGCCCCACTGGTCCAACGACCTGCGAGTCAGTGAAGACGATGATTTTGTTCTGCATTTGAGGAGCGAGCACGTAGTTTTCGAGGGCGGCTTGACGTATCCTGCGCCGCTCGGCGTAGTATGCTTCTCCTGCTGAGCGGGGGATGGTAACAGGGTCTATGAGTTGGTGGTTGTCAATTAGGAGGGCGCGGCTGGAGCCTAGGAGGGTGCAGAGGTGGGTGGCGATGGTTAGCTTCCCGACGCCAGGGTAGCCGTTGATGTAGACTAGACAGCCTGGAGCTTCGTGTTTGAGAGGGTCCATAGTGAATTGGTTTGTTTGATGGTGGAAATTGGGTAATATAGAAGGCGAAAGTATGCAGTAAGCAGGCAAGTGAGTTGCTAACGGCATAGATTGGCTAAGTGCTTAAGTCAACTTCTATTGAGCGACTGGCCGACAGTGCCTACATTTCCCCTCGCATTGTGACTCTTACCGATTCTGGCTTCAAGTTATCTGCTCGGTAATATGAGTCCGATCTAGACAGTTCTTTAATATATTTTGGACCGGCGGGACATTCCGTGCTTACCCGATGCCTCGGTATGATACACAACAGCGTGAACGTGACGATGTGATGAATCCCGAAAATGGAAGATGAAAGTGACCATCAGCTGTTTTCCCAATCAAATGAGAAAAGACCCTTATATATTCTCAAATAGCCCTGGATTTCCAGGCGATGTTTGCTACATACGATACCGAAGCGCCCAATAAGGTGCGATTGAAGGCTGACACTACGCTACAGACAGGCAGGATGATTACATGTGATTGTGTGCTTATTAAGGCTTGTATTGCAGAATCCGTGGCATGAGGCCATGGTGAGGTACACATGAGATACTTTAGTGCCTTTGCCCCTCCAGCTGTACGCTCTAAATCATTCTTTTGATTGTATTGCCTTACCATCACTGTTAATCAATGCTTCATTGTTGCTGCTAGTAAAGTTGCATACTAAGCACCTCGAATCTTCCATGTGAGTGATGAATATTGTGGTTTGGGGTTTCTATCAGTTAGGACTAGTTGCACCTGATCTTCAGGTTCATATGGTGTCCTTGTTTATACAAGGAATTTCCCTGTCAAAATCGGAACATTTCCAATACCGTAAGACCAGTGCGTTTTGGGGGTTAGCAAAAAAACAATCATTTTCCGCGATATATTTACGTAGAATGTAGTTTAACCCTATGAAAATACCCATGCTTGCTAAACACCCGTCGTCACTGAATAGACAGGTTATATAGTGTCCCGTGTGGATACTAAATATGTTCATTCTCATCATATCACCATACCTATGGTTACAGCAGATGACTGCACCCAGGATCCCGCTCTTCGTCTAACAGACTCATTCATTGTGATATTCACGGTCTGTATGATTCAATATCGATGTCTCATTTCAGCCGCAATAATAACGTACAACCCCACGTTTCCGGCCACCTAATCTGCCAACTACAACAACCTTCGGCACAACAGATTATCATCGGTATTGGCTATTATTATACAATGCCTCGATATTCAGAAAATTCGATTCAAGGCGCTCTCAACGATATCAATCAAGGGATATCCCAGCGCCAGGCTTCCCTCCGATGGGGCGTTCCACGCTCTACCCTATAACTTCGTTACGCCCCAAACCACGTAAGAAGGTACGATTAGGGCCTCATGAACGATTTGGTAACATTGTACAGATTAAGGAAGCGATGGATCGAGCCCTTGAAGTAGAACGGCAACGAGACCAGGTACAACGTCGGAATCAGGTAATACTGGACCCAGCTAAGGCGTCAGAATCTATCAGATCTATACCTCAGGAAGCCCTAGAGCACAGCTTTCTATTAGAGCTGATTGTACCTGAATAGCTATAATAGTATGTTGAATACACTGTTTCCAATACCTTCAATTGGATTGCAATATGTGGCCGGAAAGGTGGGGTTGTACGTTACTAATTACCTCATTCACCGTTTCCTATCTCGCACACAGAAGAATACCCAGCACGGAAGCCGGAAAACAGGGATCGGCTCTGGACGCGCTGTGCTAAAGGCCAGTAGAGCGGGGATGATGTGCTTATCATTACTCAGCTGGGGATCAGGCCGGACAGCGGAGCTCCTACGTAGAACGGGGCAAAGCGGATGCACGAGGGGAGCATGCCTGCCGATGCTGAATCGTATCCCGCAAGCTCCACCTCATGCTATATGAGCTGCGTGACGCTGCAATTTCTATCAAGCATGCCATTGAACACCGGAGTTTGTAAAAGAAAAGGCGGGTCCTGCCAAGCAACGCCATGGCTTCCATTACAGAAAAGATCACGGATCATGGAATTGGACCGGTAGTCTCAAGGACCTGTGGGTTGAGGTATTTACCTCTAGTGTTGTTGATATTCTGGGCGCCCTATCAGTTTGGGGACATAAAGCACTGCGGATGGACCGACAATGGAAATGTGTGTGCTCTCCTACTCGCTTTCAAGGTGATCAGCGAACGCAGCAGATCTAGGACTGACCATGAAGCCTGCCAAGCCCCTGAGCGCCTTGCTCGCAGCATGGCAGATTCCCTCCTCGACTGCCCTGTATAGCAACAACAAGACTGTTGCCCTTGAGGGATATGGCCAGTTCTCAGGCACCGTCATCAACAGCACCTTCACCGGCCATGCACTCCCAGCCCCAGTCGACGCATGGCTCGGCATGGATTTCTCCACGCAGCCCGTGGGAGAGAACCGATTCCAGCCCGTCACTTGGCCAGCACCCTTCAACGGCACCAAGGCGGCCACTGCGTACGGAAAGTCGTGCATCCAAGACCCCTCCTTCACCAGCCTCGACAAACAAGACGAGTCCTGTCTCAACTTCAATGTCTTCCGCACCCAAGGCGTGCCCCTAGACCAGAAACTGCCCGTGTTGGTCTGGATTTACGGCGGTGCCTTCTACTCTGGAAGCTACCATAGTTTCGACGGGGCCGCGTTCGCGGCGTCGTCGAAGATGCCCATCACGGTGGTGAATTTCCACTACCGCGTCAACTCGCTCGGATTTCTGCCCTCGCCCCTTTTCGAAGAGGAGGGGTTGTTGAATCTGGGTCTTACGGACCAGCATCTCTTCCTCCAGTTCGTGCAGAAGCATATTGAGGCTTTTGGGGGCGATCCGGACCAAGTGACGATTGGTGGCCGGTCAGCTGGAGGTCACTCAACAGGAATCCATTATTTCCATAACTACGCTGAGGATGCGGGCAAGCCCCTGTTTGCCCGCGCCATCCACCAATCCGGGTCCGTCACCGCCAGGGCGTTCCCGAACGCGACATATCCGCTGTACCAACGCCAATTCGCGGAGTACATGTCGTACCTCGGCTGCAACGGCACAGCCGACAACGCTGCAGCCATGGCCTGTCTCCGCGCGGCGGATATCAACGACATCCGGAATATCAGCACGTCCCTGTACTACAAGTACACCACGGCCATGACTTGGCCCTTCCAACCCACCCTCGGGGGCCCCCTCCTCGAGAAACCCGGCTCGCAATCCGGCTACGACGGGACCTTTTTCCACGTTCCCACCATCACGTCCACCGTGACGGACGAGGGCAAGTACTACCTCCCCGGCACACTCGAAACCAACTCGGACTTCCTCGACTACATGTCCAACTGCTCCCCCCAACTAAACACGACCGACCTCTCCCTCCTTGACTCCCTGTATCCCGACCCGGCCACCGACTCCGCCAGCCCCTTTGCCCACTCTCCCAACAGCACGCAGTACAACCGCCTGGTGGCCGCCTGGAGCGACTACGCTTACATCTGCCCTGGCCAAGAAACCGCGTACCGTGCTTCTACCGCGGGGGTCCCGACGTGGAAACTCCGGTTCAACACAAACAGTTCGTGGCCGGCGTGGCAGGGGATCCCGCACACGTCGGACACGAAGTACACGTGGGACGAGCCGACGACGCAGTACCCGGAGGTGGGACACGTGTACCACGCGTACCTGGCTAGTTTTGTGGTTTCGGGCGATCCGAATACGTACCGGTATTCTGGGAGTCCCGAGTGGCCTAATTATGTGCCCACGTCGTATGGGCTGGAGGCGGAGGCGCCGTTGCAGTTGGTGGTGCAGCCGGGTAATGGGACGGTGGTGGAGAGAGATGCTCTGAGAAGGGAGGCGTGCTTGTATTGGAGGGATCCGGAGAGGGCGCCGAGGTTGAATAAATAGATGTCCTAGGGTGTTGAACGTGTAACTCGTAACGCGTAATCCAAAAGTTTAGAAGCCGTGATGAGCCAGACTTGGTGATTTAGGCATGTAAGGGCACAAGGAGCCAACATGCTCCCAGTCACCGAGAAAACCTGTGAGCGATAGTTCTGCAATGGGTTCCAATGCTTTTGCCGCCGAAGGACAATAACACGAGTCTATCCATGATGTCTGGGTATAATACAGCGTTTCCTCACATTCAATCATGTAAACCCCACGGGCTGGAACCTGTTTCCAGCCTGGGGGTCGTCTTCTTCTCATCTTCTCATCGTTAACCACAAGCCAGACCTTGGCGGGAGCCTCCCCCCTTTCAAGTCGCAAAATCGATGACTTCGCAGAGCAGGTTGTGGGCCAAGCGGTCTGCTTTCTTGCCGTATCACAGCATGAACGCTTTATTCATGCCCCTCTTCCTCATCCAAGGGCTCTACTCTGACCAGGATCTCCTCTAGTAGCCCTTCCAAAAATGTGCCCACGTCCTTACCCATGCCTACAGGCTCGCTCTTATCAAGTCGGTCGATCTCTTTGCAGATATTGGCAAGCTTGTAAACATGCTTGCGAATCTTGTCGTGAGCTGCCTCAGCCCTTTGCCGTTGTGGTGTCACAACCTGGTCATTGCGGTAGATCTGCTGTAGTCTAATCTGCCGTCGCTTCAAGGCTTCTTCCAATGCTGGGAAGATGACGTCATTCAGTGCGTCAAGCTCACCATTCGGGTTGGCTGGGGCTGGCGAAGGGAAGGATTCGGGCGCCGCTGGCAGCTGTTTAGGCTGGGCCTTAGATGCGAACGCCTGGGGTGACTGAGGCGCAGATTGCTGATTTGTAACCCTCTGTAAAGCAGGGGCCGGCGGTGGGACACCCCGGTACGGAGGAATCTCAGGCAAGTTGAACGATCCGACCCTACTAGATGGGACTCGTTGCTGATGGTGCTGCTGTTGTGCTTGCGATTGAGCAGTCCTGGGGGTAAGGGATGGCTGTGGGCTCCTAAACTGAGGTTGCGGTGGTGGAGCAATGTTGAGGTGGGTTAAGTCACGCTGCAGCTGCTCCTGCAAGGCCCTGTCATAATCCGGGGAACCCATGGGTGGTGGCACGGGGTGCACTTGCTTTGACAAAGGCCGCGGGGTGCTCTGCTGATCTTGGTACTGCTGCTTCTGCGGTGACGTGGGCAGAGGCACCTTTGTCGGGGACGAAGGCGTGACCCCCGGGACAGGCTTTCGCTGTGGCGAGCTTTGGCGCGAGTTCCCCAAATTTGCCGGCTTCAAAGTGCTAGAAACAGACGAAGTCGCAAAGTCTTGCACCTTGGTTGGCGAGTTCATGCGGGGCTTCTCGCCATAGTCGCTCTCCAGAGGCCGCGATGCCCGAGTGTTTCTCGCGGAATCATCCATTTGGTTGAGACCAGGACGATTAACCACGCCTCCACGGTCTCCCACCAGCCGCACAGTGCCAAAGTCCCACATATCTTCATTCACTGGCTGTCTTTCCCGTACATCCTCGCCGCCGTCAAGCAAATCATCGTCGTCCATTTTGTGCGTAGCCCTCCAGCGGCTGTGGCGCTCGATCAGCTCAGTCAAATAAGTCGTCTTTTTGGCTCTCCGGATAAAGGGATGCTTCAGCAAGTCTTTCGCAGAGGGTCTCTCCTTCGGATCTCTTTGCAGGCAAAGCTCGACGAAGTCCTTGAATGCCTTGGTGAAGTTACCCTCTAGCCTCGGCGGGGGGTTCTTCGGGATGAGAAATAGCACCTTCATGGGATGAATATCAGCGTATGGTGGCTCCCCGTTGGCAAGCTCGAGCGCGGTGATGCCCAAGGACCAAATATCTGCTTTGTGGTCGTAGCCAGACTGCTTAATGACCTCTGGCGCCATCCAGAATGGCGTACCGACGAAGGTGTTCTTCTTGGTCATGGTTGCGGACAACTGTCCGGAGACTCCAAAGTCAGCCAGCTTGACCTGCCCGTTGGATCCCAACAAAACATTGGCAGCCTTGACGTCTCGGTGTAGTTTCTTGTCCGTGTGCAAATATTCCAGGCCCAAGAGCAGCTCCCGTATGATGATGGCGATGTAGTCCTCCCCAATCATGCCCGGCTTCATCAAGTCGGCACAGCTCCCACCGGAGCAGAACTCCATGACAATCCATAACTCGGCGCCTTTGGCATACGATCCGTAATACTTGGTAACATAGGGCGATTGCAGCTCGGAGAGGATAGCTATCTCTTGTATGATGTCCTCGACCTCGTCTTCGGCGCTCTCAATGTCGATGATCTTAATGGCCACAGCCTGGCCGCTCCTCTTCTCGACACTTGCGCCAGCGTCAGTATAGACTCGGGCGAGACTGATGCATGCTCAACATCAAGCCAGTATACACATACCCTTTGTACACCTTGCCAAAGCTGCCACCTCCGATGCAAAACTCTTTTGTGTACAGAAACTCTGGGTCCAAGGACTCGTTGCTGTCGTCGTAGTCTCGGTCCGCCATGTCGTCTTCGTCGTCGTATCCTCGTCAACCGTGATACCGCCACTCGGAAATCGTGCGTTCGCAGCTCCAATGCTGCCTATCCGTGGGCAGGGCAAGGGCAATGGCGGTAGCAGAAGGCAAGGTAGTTTGCCGGATGAATGGCAAGACCCAAACACAGCGAACCAGTTTGCGCTGGAAAGAGGGTATTGCCCTGGCGACAGCTTCCTGAATGCGATCTTGCTATTCCTCTGTCGCTAGAACTCAACTCACGGCCCCCGCGGTGGAGGAAATGACATCAAATTCGGTAGCGGGGGAGGAACGGTTTGGGACCCGCTGGCTGGGTGTTGAGCACTGACGGCTCCCAGGAAGGTTCGCCTCGTGAACTTTGGGGCGGTGAAGCATCAGTCAACCTGCCCAAAAGAAACAACCAGATTCCCGACTACGAGAGAATACGGGTCGCAAAGTCAACAACGAAAGCAAGGCAGTGGGTAGCCCATGCGTCCACACGAACGAATGGGATACGGCACCCCAGAAAGGCAAGCGCATAAGCGGTTTGTTGTCATGTGTGAGCTGAAAGAGCAACGCTGTCGTGGGGTCAGACGAACAAATGCGAATGATTGGCTGGAATGCCCAATTGACTTGATACCATCGACTGAGAAACCGCGGGCGGGCGGCATTTTTACGCGCCGTCTTGACCGTGTCGCGTCGGTCAACCCAGTGGCCAATGGCGCTACGAAACCCCTAGCAGCCTAGGAGATGAATCCACCGTTTCACCGGCGTGTGGGTTCCATCAGCGCCAATGGATTGGACATGTCAGATCTCCAAATTCTATAGTGCGGCAGCCAAAAGCTTCTTGCGCAAAGCCACATTCTGACCTCATCATTTCCGGGAACTGTGGTAAGTTTGCGCCAGCCCACACTACTGGTCAACGTCTTCCAGAACTCTGACATGGTATTCATTTCCCCATCAGGGCGTTGAGACTGAAGGGCTACCGTCAGATTGTCACTTGGCCGTAAAGGCGATGAGACGTCCATCAGCTTCCTAGAGCTGTCAAAGCTGCATGTACATGGATCTAACTAGACAACACTCCACCAAATTATCTGATCCAGTCTGTGTCACGTTGTGGTTGACTCATATGGGCGCTTCGTCAGAAACTTCACGACTTGGATAGTGCTGCCGAGCTCCTTGGTTCGTTCACCGTTGACCCAGCTCATCTGTCGCGCTTCTGCCGACTCTTGTCTTGCAGATTGAAGCTTTCACACAGCCATGTCCAACTCCCAGTCTCACAGGACTTGTTCGGAAGCATTGCGCGCTGCTCTGGGTCATGGCTGTGCTCACCATCGACGGATACATGAAAATCAAGTTATCGTATATTCTCAACTGGTCTTCTCTCTAGCCAGACGTGTTTTATTCCAACAACAGCTTGGCCCTTCACTGGCGCTCTCCCGAACAACTATCTCAGTATGTATATATCTTGGCTTCCCATTCCATCAACGGCTCCCTGCCAACCCACTCTCTGGGCACCGCCCTCCCCTGCGTGATCTCCCTCCAGTCATCACGTTCCCTGTCCGGCCAATTCGGAACATAGTACTCCTGACCGGGCGTGCTCTCGCCCGAGAAGTTCGCAACGACGACAACGGGCGCGTGTCCCTGGGCCCCTCTCTTCCACGCCATGATCTTGCCCCCGCGGCTTGAGTCCACGTGGATGAACTCCGTATCGACATCACCAAGAGCCAGAGTTTTCTTGCGGAATTTTACCAGATTCGCGACGTCCTCAAACACATCGCTTCTCCACGGCTCTGACTTGCGGCTGTAGTTAACTGGATCAACCTGCTTCTCTTGGATCGGCAGGTCATGCTCGTCGCAGAACTCCTCTCCCGCGAATATCATGGGAATACCCACTGCCGTCAGTAAGCACGCAAACGCAAGCTTGGCGCGCTTCTCCTTATCCCAGATCTGGTTGTTCTCGAGGAAATTGCACAAGCGCTCCTTCCGGATCCCCTCGACATCGTGGAAGGTGATGTAATTGATCGCCTGGGCGCCATCAGTGAAAGGCACACTGGCATTAAGTGTGCAGTCGATCATTTTTCGAATTGTCCATTCAAAGTTGTCGCCACGAGCTGACTTGCCAAGGATGGCGGCGCGGACCCGCACCTGGAAGGGGTCGTTCCAAAGAGCGTTGAGATAGCCGCTGGAGATCATCTCGACGGGCATGCTGAATTCTTCGCCAACGACAAGGAACCTGCTGGTATCTGGGTACGCGTATCGGCTGTTGAACAAGGACCAGCTTTTCTCTTTGTAGGAACGCACGAAGTCCCAGTTTCCGACGTTGTTGACTGAGTCGAGTCGCAGACCATCCACACCAAAGTCTGTCATCCAGCGTGTGAGATGGGCTTGGTGGAATGCCCATGATGGGTGAACATCTCTCTTCTGTCCGGTCTCTGGATCGTACGTTTTTGTTGTCTTGAGATATCTCCAGCTCTGACCACCATAGGCATCTCTCAAGACACCACTTGTATGCGATTGGTAGGCATCTGGGTTGTCTTTCTCGTCGTCCGGCCGGAGGTGATACTGGTCGAAATCAATGTAGCCATACGGATCGTGGCCAAACGCCATAACGACATCAGTGAAGAACCGGATGCCCTTCTCATGGAGGAGATCCACCAGACCAACCAGCTGAGACGACGACCCAAGATCCGTATCAACGGCAAAGTAGTGGGCACTGGCATACCCCCATTCGTCCCTCGTCTTCGTATCAGCGAGGGGAAGCAGCTCCAAGGCGTTTATGCCCAGGTCCAACAGAATAGCGCCCGTATTCACGGTTTCCACGGATCTGAACATATCGCCTACGGCTTTGGGATCAAACAAGGCCCGCACGTCGGCAAGTGTTCCCACGTCGACCTTGGGTCCTCGCTCATCAGTGCCCTCTTTCGCCCACGAGGCTGGGAGCTCATATATAACTAAGTAATTATTGGCAGCTGTCCTCTCGATATCGGCCTGGCGCGCCTTCCAAGGCTAGATGCCGTCCACGTCGCAAGGCCACAGATGTCCGTCCCGAAACTTAATGACCGAAGCAGGCTGTCGCCAGTTATCACTGCCCCATACAAGCCCCTTTCGGTAGTCGACCGTGTGCGCAAATGGATCTGTGACGTGCATCTTGCCCCTTTTGTCGGGCGAGGTATCTTCCACTTCGAACCAGTAGTGGTACACTGCTCCATCTGAAAGACTCAAACGTGCAGAGCTCGGGGCTAGCTGCCAAAGATCGGTAGTATCTGGCGCCTGAGATAGTGGTTCATGCACCACTTGCGTGAAGGTCTGGGTAGCGGCATCGTATGTCCCTAAAACGAGTTGAGGCGGATCACTTGAAAGCTCGAGGCCTGGCATCCACAGAAGGAAATGGTCCTTGCACCTGTCGAGGAGGTCGAGTCCGTACATTGTTTCGGAAGAGGCCATTCTGATATAGGGTTCGATCACTTCGAGCTGGCGCGAATGTGTAAAACTGCAGACAGGAGGATGTGGACTTTGAGGGCTTTACGGTACTTAAGTATTTTCCGTTCCAAGGTTAGACGTGGTCTAAAAAGCAGCCGTGGCAAAGGTTGAAGGCATGGGACCAGGCGAGGTACGATACCAATATGCACCTTCCCTTGAGCTCTAGGGGCGGAGTAAGCCTGCAGGCGCCACACATCTCCTTCGGAGGTTGCGATCCGGCAAAGAGTATATTCAAGGTTACGTAATTTGAGGTGAGACGGATCGGCCGTGGCCAAATGAACAAGGTATTGAAAGACTTCATTACGTTAACGTCGTATCCAGCGCCCTGTCGACAGAACGGCCCAGGTTCCAGACCAATACTGATCGAACCGGTAGGGTTGCAGTGCATAGCTGCAACATTATTACTCTTCGTATTGTTCGGCTGCCAGACCCTAAAGCTTGCCAGCACAGCTGGTGGCTTGGGGGGTGCAGTATTGTATGGTCGAAAACTTGAAATGCTCGAAGTCAGAGAAGGTGGTTAGCTGAAGATGGATACAGGAGTGGCTGATGGCTACAGTACAGATCGCTGCAAAGCCATATACATGATATATGATGTATATGCGTGGATTTTATTTCAAAGCTTTAAAGAGGCTGCGATTAGAGTATTCCCACCAGTCGGGATGGTGCCGAAGAAGGAAGGGCCCAGGAAATACTAAACTCCATATTGCTTGATCCATGGCTACAATGAATCTAAATTTTTGACCTCCAGATATTTCCACAAGCCTTTCTCCGTTGATTTTGGATTTTTCCAAAGGACATTTAAGCACAACTTCTCCTTCTGTAATTTTACATCATGGCCTACATAGTTTTCATAGATTCAATTATATTGCCATACAGTAATCCGATATGCTACACGAGCCTTTCCCACTGCGCCCCTTAAAACTATCGAGACAATGGAGCAAACGCAGCAGTCAAATCCAGGGGAGTCCACTCAAATGGGACCAACCCAGACAGCTTCTTCTACCAATGCCGTAAACAAGGATTTACCGGCAGACCACACTACGAGCAACGCAACAACGGCATCCCCGCAACCGAAACCGAACCCCAGCAAGTGGAAGAGATTCCTCCTCCGACGCGGCTGGCCAGTAGTCGATGACCCTAGACCCATGCCAACAAGCACCCTGGAGATCGAGGGATCGAAAGTCGAGCAAGTACGCAACATCTTCGGTCTCGCAAAACCCGTGGACACCGGCCTGCTGCCAGTTCCGAAGCCTCCCCCAGGAGTCGCACCTATCCCTTACAACGACTTCTGCATTCAAGCCACCTACAACTACCACCGACACAGGCTCCATGGATTATACGCCGGTGCCTACAAGCAACTCCTCCGGTACGAGCAGGCCGACATTCAGAAGTTCAAAGACAATGTTGCCCTTGTCCTATGGGATAACCCAGCTTTGAACGGGCCGCCGCAGGTCAACCACGAGACGGCGCTCTGCCCCAATGTCCAAAACGGAGTGTTTGACATGCCAAATGTGAAGAACAAAGCACCTCGATCCTACTTGGAAGCGATCACTGTAGTGCCGGGCTCTGAGAAATTGGTGCAGCATGTGCCAGTAGACGTTAACTCGTCAAAGTGCGGCGTGTGCTGGCAATGCCAGCTCGAAGCGTTGAAAGCCTACCACCAGGAGGAGCGGAAGCTTCTGTACGCTACACACTGCCAAGACATCAGGCAGGTGTATGAAAGATGTCTGAAGTCGATTGGGAGGAAGGAGAAGTTTATCTGGTGGTTGCCGTGTGAGGACTATGAGTTTAACGGCGATAAGAAGAAGGCGAAGGAGGCAGCTAAGAAAAAAAACAAGGAAGAGAAAGAGCAGAAGAGATTGAAGGCGGGCAAGTAGAGCATTCATAATCTCTGATATGCTGTATGTTAGTAGATTTACCGGACAGATTAGACCGAGTTTGATGGAGTAGAGAGACATCAAATTCATATATGCTCTCTTTTGGAAATAGAGAATGATCTATATATATATATATATAGTTATCTCGCGGGACATATCTGAACATCGGTTTCACACTGATTAATGTCTTGTAACGCTGCATCATCGCGTACTAAATTAAATAAGCCTTGCCCAGTATTTACGGTGTGTCTTCGAATAATGCAATGAAAATACTGTGGTGGTGTGGGAGATGAGACAAAAAGAAAGGTTTCCAAAGTTTTCAACCCTGAACGTATACCATAGCCAGCAAAATGACGCATGTGATTCCCCCAAAGTCACACTCGTTAACGAGCCCATGGAGAATTATCAAACACTACCGAGAAACCCCTTGCGTCTCTTCAGGTTTTCTCCACTTCGACCCTTCTTCATCCTTGTTCGCCGCTGCATTATCTCCCTAGATCTGTGAATAAGCGTCGTCAGCGCGCGAAGCCATCTCGGGAACAATAACTGAACCACGTAGATACATGTCGGAAACTGTCGATCAAGACCCCGGCTTCAAGTTATTGGTGATTTGCATAGGAAGCAGATCTTCAGAAACGAATAAACCGAAAAAGTATCATGTGTCTTCATTTCAAAGAGTGGGTGGCGCCAGAAGTAAGCACAAACCCAACATCAGCGGCAGGCAACAGCCTTGGCGTGTTAAATAGTTGATTATAACAGTCATTTATGGTCTCATCTGAATTCTTTACCAAGAGCTGAAATTTACCTCAGTACAATTGAGAAGCAATTATACGCTCCAGAGCTACGATTTCAATATTATTAAACTCCCCTTATATGGGCGGATTGATATGCCCATAGACTACTTACCGGTTTTACAGTTTGAAGCTCGTTAGACAGAATCTAGATCATATGTCCATATGAACTATCATCACGTTAAGCTTAGCTTAGCCTCTCAATGTTGTTCGCATTCGGTGTTAGGTAAGCTTCAGTGTTTAAAATTTTGTTGTTACACTGCACACTCAAGATAGTTACTTGGCGCCGGATATGCATCCCGTCCGACATAAAGGAAATCATGGGGGAACTCATGAAACTGGATCCACGACTTATGGTTAGGTAAAGAAAGGAAAAAGACTCACAAGATGCCGTAACTGGATACTAGTGACTGTGTTGCGTACCATCATCTTGTTTCTAACAATGTTGATTACGGAGTCCGGATCCCAGTATACCACATTAATCTACAATTTCCCATCACAATTTCTATGTAATTAAATTATGTACCATGATACCGGATACTAGTGTCACTATGTTACCCAGAAAGTAACCCTGTGATTCATCTTGGCCGCCTCTCTCGGCCCCAGTACATACTTGACTCCCGCCTCATGATCCTGATGCCCAATTGCAATACCAAAAACCACCTCCAGATCTTCCGCAATGCCCACTTCACGTTTGACAACTTCCTGATACGCAGCAATGCTAGCTGCCACACAACTTCCAACTTCCATCTCGGCCAGCGCCCGTAAGAATGACTGGAGGTACATGCCAACACCCATAACTTCGAGGTGGTTCACTTCCTTTTTCATTGTGAGAATCGCACCCACTGGTGCTCCGAAGAACTCGAAGTTTGCTTTGGTCACGCGTCGATGTGTTTCTGTCTCGCCACGTCTTTCGTCTCTTCCAACCCCATCGAACACTGCTCCCAATTCGGAATTCGTATCCTTGAGTGAGCCAGTCAGTGTCTGTACAGTCGTATCTGTACTTGAAGACACCTCTTTTGAAAGGGCTGATTTCAAGCGGGTCAGGGCGTCGTCAGTGACAAGATAAAGCCGCCATACGTCTGTACTGGGCCTGCAAGGGCAACGCGATGCGGAGTTGAGCGCGTCATCCAAAATCCCCTGTGATATTGGCTTCGATAGATAGAATTGGCCGTGATGTCGGCTTAGCTGGACTTCATCAAGGATCATATGCTTTGGGTCTGGCTTTTCAGTGGTGCTTTCGGGGGCAGGTGGAGATGCCACTCTTCTTCGCCGGGTCGAAGGCGATGACCTTGACATCAAGTTGCGAGAAAACATATTGTAAGCTTATGGTCTCTGACGTTGTACTGGCTAAAGTTAACGGGTCAGGGGTGAAATAGATCACCATTGAGACAAGATGGGACGTTGAGATGCTGCGTCCCTCATCAAGGGGAAACTCATAAGTATAGGATTAAATCAATACTACAAGCAGTAAACAAACATGTGCCGTTGCCTTTTATTCTTGTTGTTTATTTTCTAGCCCTTGTCAGAGCTTATTGATCTGCATAACTTCAATGTGCGGGTAGTTACATAAAGCTTCGTCCGCAAAGTTCAACCAAGGCGGCAATCACCCGTGACTACTGCAAGACAGAAATATGATTATTTGGGACGTTCAAAATATACCAGGCCGCGTTAAATTTCACTTGGGTGATAATCCCATATTAATAGACAGCAATAACCGTGCATATAACGTGCTTCTCAACTAGAGCTATATTATATTCGGGAAATGCCGCCCTCGGAGTTGAACCCGACCAACCTCAATGTAAACTAGTATGTGTATTTTCGCTACCATGTGATAGCACATATTTATTTATGCTCAAATGGATTTTGTCAGTACGAAGGCTTTATACGAAGGACAATATCATGTTATCAGCTAAATAACTTGCCTAAATGGGTGAGGGGAAACGAATGCTTAGGCTACAGGAGCATGACAACCGAGACCATTATAAGTATGATACCAAGTTACATAATAACCCACAATAATTTCTTCGGGCTAGCTTGAGCTTATATTGCTTTTCTCCCACTGGAGATGGGCATAAGTGTGAGCACGCCACCCACGCTCGCACCCTCCGCACCTCGTCTTAGAGTTCGCGATGAAATACTATGCTGACTGTACTTTTCAGCTCTTAATGAATAATTCAAGGTCCGAAACGACATAGAAAAATGCTTCGGTCCGTAGTTTCTACAGTTTGCGCAGATACTATACCAGAACACGTTCAATCAGCCCTTATATCAGCCAAGGGATTCTCTTCAGCATTATGTCGACAGTGGAAGTCGTACTCACACTCTAGTGACGATGTTACATGGATGATTACTGGCAGCAATTATTGGGCCGCCAAAAATACAGTCCTTTAGTTGGAAGAACTGATGCGTGTTGTTGACAATGGACCATTTCCAGAACTCACGGAATTGATAGATGAATCGCGATGGATTTGCCCATAAAGCACCCTGAAGCCACCACCCGCAAGCCCGGGTCAATAATTTCTAGTTCCTTTCTCTGTGATAATGGGTTTCTCGAAAACATGCTCAAACAATATGGCCGCACATCTCATCTTATGTATGGCCATATTTGGCCTCACCCAAGCCCTTGAGTTCAGTGAAGACCTGGAAGCTTCAACTACAGCAGACCACTACGGTCGCTACGTGACCTTCCTTGCAGTCGACGATCGCACCTATAGGCTCGACAGAAAGCCCCCGGTTCAACTCTACAAGATATGCAAGCTTTGAAGCAATACGCTGAACGCCGAGCTCCAAGGATCACTATAAAAGGTGCAACGGACAATTCAAAGAGGTTAGCAACGAACGGTGGTATGCGAGGCGCGATACGGCGATTCTTTAACTTATGGGAACAAGCGAATCACTCATAGATTTCTCTCGAATCCAAGTGGTGTATAGCTCCGGTAATTATCGTCCCTAATATGTAAATTTGCATTGATAAAGAACCATCTAATATGAACCTGTTGAAGGGGAAGAGGGGATATAAGAAAATATTTCTTGCTATGAATAACTACGTTTAACGTACCCCACAAGCAAGTTGGCCACTTTTTCTTGGCACCGTACGAACAACCTTTTAATTAGCATCTTTACACATACCAAGATGGGATCGAATTGGAAAGAAAGCGACATGATTCTAGCGTGTCAGGCGCTTCAATCAAAACCCGAATTAAGCATCCGACGCGCTGCCCAACTCTACAATGTCCCTCGTATAACTCTAGCTAACCGAAAACGCGGACTACTATCTCGACACGATACTCGACAATCTAGTCATAAGCTTACGGAATCAGAAGAGTTAGCGGTCGTACAATATATACTTGACCTAGATTCGCGATCATTTCCTCCCCGGCTCCATGGTGTTGAAGCTATGGCTAACCGACTGCTCCGTGACCGTGGCGCTGGACGCGTCGGCGTCAACTGGGCCTCGAACTTCGTACGACGACAACCAGACCTTCGGACGCGTTTTAATCGAAGAATCGACTACCAACGTGCCTATTGCGAAGATCCTGACGCGTATCGCGCGTGGTTTACGCTCGTACGAAATACAATTGCGAAATATGGTATCCAAGAGGCGGATATCTATAAATTCGACGAGACAGGGCTCGCGATGGGCTTAATCTCATCCGAGATGGTAATTACAAGTGCCGAACGATGCGGAAGGCCTCGTACAGTCCAACAAGGCAATCGAGAATGGGCTACAGTAATCCAGGGTATCAATTCGTCCGGCTGGGCTATCCCGCCGTATATTATTGTCGCGGGTCAAAACCACCTCTTATCCTGGTACGAGAATAGCCCATTCCCGCCCGACTGGGTAATCGCTGTAACCAAAAACGGTTGGACAACAAATGAGCGAGGCGTAGACTGGATTCAGCACTTTGATCGCTATACGAAGGATCGTACGAAGAGTGTTTATCGTCTTCTTATCCTCAACGGGCATGAGAGCCACCACTCGACTGACTTCGAGCTATATTGCAAAGAGCATACTATTATTACACTTAGTATGCCTGCTCATTCGTCACATAAGCTCCAGCCTCTCGATGTAGGCTGTTTTAGGGCTTTGAAAAGGTCGTACGGCAAAGAAATTGAAGACCTAATACGGGCGCATATAGCCCATATCTCGAAGGAGGATTTCTTTTCGGCATTCTATAGGGCGTATCGTACGACTATAACTAAGTCGAATATCCAGGCAGGTTTCAGGGGGACAGGAGTTATTCCGTACGACCCGGAATATGTGATTTCACAGCTGGATATTAAGCTACATACGCCTACACCTCCTGGGAGCTCGTCTGGCGCCCCTTAATCTGGGAATCAAAGACTCCAAATAACCCAACCGAGGCGCAATCCCAGTCTGAATACGTTAAAAACAGAATCGTATAGCATCATAATAGCTCCCCGACGACAATACTTACGGCTATTGACCAATTTTCACGTGGTGCGACGGCTGTTATGCATCGGTTAGTTTTACTTGAGGATGAGGTTACTACACTTCGGAAGGCCAATCAAGAGCTAAGCCGTCGTCGAAGGACTCAAAATCGACAGCTACAAGATGGAGGATCTCTTAGTTTACGAGACGCTCAGGACTTACAGTCTCAACGGGATATTGAACAGCAGCTAGAGGATGGTATACGTGTAGGTCGTCGTCGTACGAGACCGGCCGAACCACGCCGACGGCGCTGTAGGATCTGCGGAGAGCCCGGACATAATGCTCGTACTTGTGAGAATGATAAAGATACGTACGAGGAAGAGGATTCCGATTAGTTTGAATTATTATTTTTTAGTTTAGTTAAGTTATTGAAGTTATTCATACGGTGCCAAGAAAAAGTGGCCAACTTGCTTGTGGGGTACGTTATATGCAGGATTTCTGATAGTATAACGATTTTCACAATTATATATACGAAGGGAGCCGAGTGGATAAAAGTAATATACTCAACAGCTACTGCTTTACCTTAACAAGGCTACCTAGTATTTCACGTGGGACCTTAAACCTCGTAGGTCGTTTTTCATTAGGGCGAGAGGTTCATCGGAGCATCCTCGGCGACAGTGCATATTTGGATGATTCATCTTATGTGACCGAAAACCTCGTAGGAGATTTTTCATAAGGTCAAAGGTGAATCCAAGTATTTTTGGGGAATTGTGTACCTAAAGGCAAGAATACAGGGCCTAATATATAATGGGAGTTTTTTACTAAGAGTCTGAGCCTCGTAGATGATAGGCTCTCAGAACCTGCGGTCCCTAGACTAAAGCGTATGTTCTCTATTAATTACAGCTCAGAGTTCCTGTATCTTACGTAGAATCGTTATTTACATTATACCCATACTTTAATCCAGACTTACTTTGTGGTTCTTATCAGCCGATATAGCAAACTAAACTCAGCCGTCAAATCCCGAAGCCTAGGAATACACGACTTGGATTTTATGTTCCCGTTGAAGGAGCAAAAGGAGGGCACATATGCCTAACCTGTATGTATTGTAGCTAACTCTGGTCCTCTCTTCGAGGGTCTATGTATGGAAACAAAAGGGTTCTTATATAGTCAATGAATGGTAGACTTGCTGATTAATTCAGACAAGTTGTAGAAGCATATAGATAAGTAGGGAATGTTCTATCCTCGCCACATTTCTCGTAATAGAGGTATGTGGGGATGGTCGCCGTTCTAGGTGGCGATAGTGGCAAGTATAGGACCCACATGGCCCACAGGGCCCATATTGTCCAACTACACGATAGATAGAAAATATATGGAAAGTTCATATTAAATGGTTCAGATCAGGGAAATGAGGTTAAAAATTAAAATGGTTTAAAATCCTAGAACAAGATAAACTATATTCTAGCTGCTCCAACTTTCCATTACGGCCAGACTGTATAGGGTATGTGGATGTCTTGGCCCGAGAACTCGATGCTGAGCCTGCGCACAGTCACGCAATAACGCAAAGGCATCTGCCTGTCGATCTTGGTCTTTCCAAGTCAAAGCGAGGTTGCCCATGCTCGTTAGTGTATCAGGATGGTCCGCCCCGAGCTTCGTCTTGCGAGTCTCCATCACTTGTACTTGCAGCTCCTCGGCCTTGTCCCAGTGCCCCTGCTTCCAAAACGTCGACGCTAGGTTGGCCATGCTCGTAAGTGTATCAGGATGGTCCGCCCCGAGCTTCGTCTTGCGAGTCTCTATCACTTGTACTTGCAGCTCCTCGGCCTTCTCCCAGTGCCCCTGCTTCCTGTACGTCGACGCCAGGTTAGCCCTACTTGTAAGTGTATCAGGATGGTCCGCCCCGAGCTTTGTCTTGCGGGTCTCCATCACTTGCACAAATTGTTTTTCGGCCGTGTCCCATTGACCTCTAAGTTCAGACGCTAAACCTACCATCTCTATACTATTCAATGTATCTTTATCCTCCCGACCGAGAATCTTCTTTCTCGCTTTTACTGCTTGGACTGACATCTTCTCCGCCTCAACTCCATTCCCCATTCGTAACGCATACCATGCTGCGTTGTGTAGTATTGAAGCCCAATCTCTTACTGAGTCTTGGTTCTCCGGCCTTAATGCTGCTGCTGATTTCGCATGCGGAAAAAGAGCCTCACATCTTTCCCAGTTCTCGTACTCTCCTGTTGGAAGCTCTGCGCAAATAACACTGATAAACTGCTGCTCCCACTTTCTTTGTTGATCGTTAGCTTTAAGCCAACTTCGCATGGCTAACTGTACCAGTCCGTGCATTTCGAATATTGTGCTGTTCACACTAATAGTAACAAACGAGTAGTTTCGTAGAGTTACGATATCGTCTTCGAACTCAGCACTTATGCTATATTGCGATGAGCAATCCCCACTGTCATCACTATCGTCCTTTCCAAGTTTATCATCATTACTCTCATTCCGAACTTGCTGGGTACATTCCGGCCTGTTGTAATTTCGAAGTAGAGCCTCTGGAATCCCTTGCCGGTCAAAAAAGCTCATAAGTGACAGTAAGTCGGCTGCTGACGGCCTGATTCGACGAATATGATCAAATGACAATTGCCATGTAATGATGACGGAGTTCTTCGCCTCCCGGTCTCGCCGGAGTTGTCCGCCTTCGTACTCAAGAAGACTTGCTCTCTTGTGATCGCTCTTTTGAAATTCTTTAAGATACTGTCCCACCGAGTAGCGTGGCGCCCTTTGAGAGATATAAGCAGTTGCTTGAACAATAGCAAGCGGTATGAATTCGAGCGATGTAACGAGCTCGGTGAGTTCATTGTTGCTTCCTTGCGTCCCTAAATTTTTGTTAAGGAGCGCTAGAGCATCTGTCGTGGCCATTGGTTCGACTAGAATTATATCGCGATTTTCAACCAGCCTTAGCGCCACATCTCTGCTCCGGGTCGTTATAAGAATGGATCCATTCTGGCACTGTGGAAGGTACGACACGAGCGATTTCGAGTTCCCGCTGTCCAAGCTATTTGTTTGCCTATCCTGGCTGGCGCTTTGAAAGTCGACGAGGAAGCCAGCGTCATCGACATTATCAAGTATGAGAATCCAGTTTCCTTTCCTTTCGTCACGCAGCCAGTCGTATACAAGCTGGAATATATTGGCCTGACGGTTCTGCCGCCCAGAGATTTTGACGTAATTTGCAATATCCCGAAAACTCTGCTCAAAACGCGCCCGGTTGCTCGCGTGGACCCAGAAGACCCATGTTTCGGGCGATCGCTCTCGAGTTCGGTACGCATGTTCGATGGCAATTTGCGACTTTCTTCTCAGCAGTCAGCTATCTGTATCGTCGGACGCGTTTATACTTACCCAATACCGCCCAGGCCGACAAGCGCAGTCCGAGAACCTGGTCTAGCACATTTCTGGTGGACTTGATGGAGCAGTATTCCTTGCTCGACAAAGTCCTCGTCCCGATTGAAGGGTATGACGGCTGACGGACTCGATGGGGTTTCTGGTCGTTCTGGATTGCAGGTGTTGTTAGTGCTGGTCGCCCCGGATACCATTGAGACATACCAGGTGGAGCATGGTGATGAAAATTGGTAGTAACGGGGCCGTTAATGACCCCAGCTTGAAAACCGCAGTTATCGTCACCAAAGGTTATCGCGGACGCCATGACGACGAGAGACGGTGCGAGCCGATAGTTTCAGACAACGGAAGACTGGAAAGAACCCAGTCTGGCGACCTGGCGATATGAGTGCGCTCGCGCTTAGCCCTGTCAGGTTATGCCGCTTCTTATTGGTACAGTAAATCCCGCACTCAGAGCCGCGGAAAGCCTAAACTTCGAATTCCATTATTCGTCTCGGCCTCCTCCAGATTCGATCATGGAATAAAAAAATGAGCGATCCTCTCAGCGTTGCTGCCAGCGTGGTTGGCATTACCGCTCCAGCTGTACACGGTATAAGACTGCTTATAGACGACCTGCAGCAGCTCAGAGATGCGCCAGAGGTGGTCCAACGCTTGAAGGACGATTTGTGGACTGTAAATACGGCGATTACTTCGCTCCAAGCTGTGGAAGACCGAGAGTGGAAACCACTTGGTGCAAGTATAGCCGAGAACTCGAAGACGACTATTAGTACCTGTCTAAGATCATGCGACTTGTTTCGGGCCGACCTCCAGCGCTGGACCAGACATTCAAGGGACGGAAAATTGACGGGCAGGATCGAACGAATGAAGGCTATGTCAGAGCAGCTCCAAAGCTGCAAGATGACAATCAGTTCCGTCGTCAGTATAGCAAAGTTGTAAGTGGTTTCCATGAGTGCTTTGGCTTGAAAGAGAAACTAACCTATGCTATAGATATAGCTCTGTTCGCCACAGCCATATTACGGAAGAGATTCTGAACACGATAAGTATGAGACGGAATGAGATTACAAGAGCCGTTGTGGCAGCAGATGATCAAATGGTGGCATTGAGAAACAGGCGAGAGGAGCTTAACCTTGATAGCGTCGATCGAGAGCAGGCCGAAGGTACGGAAAGCAAAGCTGAGGCACTACAACAAGTCGAGGAGCAATGTGAAGCGCTAAATTTATCACGAAAGCTGCTAGATGAGCTGCTGACCAAGTCACGAGAAGAAGCTATCATAAAATCTTCTACAGAGAGCCAGAGCCGATCAAACACCGTGACATTCGGCAGTCAGAACTCAGGCTTTCAATCTGGCATCATGTATGGCTCGGTTAGTGGTATCAGCTTTGCAGGAAAGTAACCATACGAGTTTTGTATTTTAACGCCTATACAGTTTATTCCTTTATCTTTCATAACAAACCCTCGTTGTATCAGCCACTATTATGCTCAAACAGATCAGTGCTCTCAAATGTGCAACTAAGAGGCACATTATTCTGTACTTAAGGCTTCCCTTGAATCTTTGGAAAGAGGTCTTCAAAGACACTCACACCTTCAATTCAGTAAAATTTGCACATTTAGTCCAGTATTCTGCTAAATAATATGGGAAGTGTGGGATCGCACTGGTACTGGAATTCCGGCTACATACGAAGGTGAAGAAGGGAATCCAAGCCGCACAAGGGCACTAAAGTATCTCGCGTGTGTCTTACGTGACCTTAGGCCACCAATTCCACAGGAAGCAATAAAGCCTGTAATCATCGGGAGAAGATTGACGTCTGATAGGTACCATAATTGCAGGATTGAGCGCCACAGATATGAACTAAGCCGAAAGTATAGTTGCTAGTGTAGCTAGTGGGTCAGACCCTTCTTTCTTCTTACAGAGAGCTTCTTGCAAAGCACTTCTAGCAACCTATGCCGCACAACGCGTAGCTGAACAATAGCGGGCAAAACCATATCCATTTAGAGTCATCAACAAAGTACTGACTCCCTCACTAATCGATAAGTAAGCTTTGAATCAATTCTGGTATTGACGACATTTAAGTTAGAAAGTAGCACTGTATTTCTTTCAAGACCAAAGTAGGGATCGGGTAGAAAATACAGAGTGACAACACGAGGGCTATCAGCACCAAGAATGGCTGATATAGTCCGTGCTCATTATTTTTAGAAGTGCAGATGGGTAACACTTTTTTTTGCAAGCGATTATAACTAATATACAATCTAAAACCTAAAATAGTAGCTAGAAAGAACGTCTTTTACGAGTCTTCTCTGTTAATACGGAAACGACCGCTGCCTATTCCTAGTATCCAAAAATACAAATTTGATACTGCTACTTCAAGCCATGGTTCCGTGTAACTAACTCTAGGTGAATGCTGTCGCGGTACACCCACTGGTTCTCAGTTGCAGGATACCCTTTCCATTTTATGACAACAGATGTTGACTCTTTCCATCGAAATGCTCCACTCGTACTAGTTGCCCGTTCCTTTGACTGGTAGGGATCCGTACGAGATCCAGTTAGCAGCCCGGCGTCTGTAGTGCTTCTAGTTTGGATCCTTAAAAGAAAGCTTCCTTTTCAGGCAAGCTTCCGCAGACCGAGATCTCGATAGGAGAGCCACTAGGATGTGCCAAATTTGGACAACCGGATTGCTAATGTTACGAAAGAATTAGAACCCCGCCCATTGGAAGGCTGTGCCGCAGGGACGCCGCTCCCTCATGTGGTTTCATCGACAGTGACTCTAGTAACAGCCAGCATGCCATTCGGTTTCCTCTTATCGCTCTCTGCTGGGTTTCTGTTGCGGCGACGGCTCAAAGGCCAGCCGGTGAGTGGAAAAGACGACTCTGGGACCTGACATTCCGCCGATTAGGTTATTTCTGCTCGGGGTAGCTGCTTTGGAGATTCGGCCCAATACATGACTGTTTGGTATTAGCAAGCGCTTTGAGTAAGATAGGCATTGGGGATCGAATCGTGTTTTGCCGGGCTGTTCTAGGAGCGATAGGGTACCGGTAACTCATCGCAAGAGGAACTGGACCGCTCGAAAAGGGCTAAGAAGCGCAACGCTATTCCGAATACAAGTGGGCGGTTTATGGACATAGGGGAAGTGCTGGCTGCAGAGGATGATTTACTCTCTACTTTGTGCAAGCCTAGAAGCCCTCGGGGGTTTTAGGGTGCCAGCTGTTGAAGAAGAAGGTAGTCTGGTCAGCAGTGATGGAGAGGAGGACAATGAGTCCGAACTACTCCGCAAGACTACGATATCAAGGCGTGCAGTTAAGGTACCAAGACGTATGCTCATTGCCCTACTTATATATTCAGTGTTTTCTACATGTGTATTGATTTTTGGCTGGTCCCATGGTAAATGACTGGGCACCCACAGCCTGCTGCTCTGACTTAAGCAGCTTATTTTCATCGTCAAATACAATCAGGCCGATAAGGAGAACGCTCTCCTCTTTCTAGCATCAGCTGACATTTATTAGTAGCTCAAAGTCTTTTCATTACCAGTAGCCTCCTCTTGTGCGGAGATGGTCCTGCAATATAGTGCTAGAGATGGCCGCTCTACATCCCCACAGATCTCTGTTCCTATCGGTGCCTCGGAAAATGATGCTCCTTTTGAGAAAACTTAGGTATACAGCGAAGTTATTAGGCCTCTTATTTGGCACTGGACCACGGTTTTAAGCCTTAGGAAGACTCGTTCGGTCAAATGCCTCCGGTGAAACACACCAGGCCCGACTGCAACCAAGTGTCAGGCCCTTCCCGCAGACGAACAAAGAGGCCAGCCTCCTTTTAGATATCGTCGAGGGAGGACGGGTTGAGGCCACTGCTGTCATAATCTGGGGAGGTACCGCATCTGTTATGTCGCATCCAGGAGGCTATTCATTTCGTCCGTCATAGAGTACGTCATAGCCTATCTACACCGTCATGGGAAGGAATATGGAAACATTGTTAAACATAGTAAGTACGGAAGCACTCTAGCCAGAACGTGTGGATGCATAAGTGCTGAAGCTAGCGGATCATGGAACCCTTCTGGAGAACAGCATATGGCAAACGTGAGACACGTCGCCCAAAACGGGAAGCATAAAGCGAGAGCTATAAGTCCATTTCTTTACGCAGACTCCTCTTCTCTTGCGGATATATCCTGAAATCCACAAGCGTATCATGCATAGTCAAGGCAGATTTTTGGAAGGCAGATCCAGCCTGCCTGAAAGCAAGTATAGACTTTGTATGATTGATTAGGGGCGGCCAACTTAGAATGGTATAGATGAAGCCCATATTCTTAGCTAAATATAGATTGAGAAAATCCCGCAAGCGCTGCTATTGCCTAGAACTAACCTATCTATAATAATCTTATCTACGAGGATGTTATAGGTTAAAGCTGTGCTCACCTAAACTTCATATAACTGCACCCGGATTGGGGAACTGCCACCTGTTTTATAAAATCGGTGACCCTATTACATCACAAGCCAAGGATAAGTGAACTTTTCTTGCACTTGGATATTGATGATATTTCCCACCTCAGCATTCTAAACTAGTAGAACAATTAGCACTTTCATGTGACCATGTTACACTCAAGTCGAGATACCGGTCTGAGAAACAAAGAAATTGTCTCTATGTCACTAAATTAATTACGTGTAAGGCGGGGGTTAGAGGCCGGTCACGTAGCTAGGAATCCGGTTTGCCGCTTCCCGTTGACATGACCAGTTGGCGTGCTATCAACACCGACTGGTGTCCGGCGACTGGGTGCCAAAGTGCAAAATAATTAAGCTGAAGAAGGACGCTCTCAGAAGACGACCAATTGCAGAGTCATTGGACACAATGGATACAGTAAGTCTGCTCAAGAATACAGTAGGCTATATTATAAGCGGCGAATTTAATCTAACCCCATAGAGTAGCGTCGGGACATAAAATATTCCTTTTGTATAACAGTGCGCAGGCGTATAAGTTGGGAGAACGGTTAGTGCGCTTTATTGTCTAGGTTAACTGCTCAGACAATCAGCCCAAACTAAAGATGTTGCAGAACGCTGAAGACTCTCGGTCTCCTAAGAAACGAGCATCGACAATCAAACGAATTTAGAAGACCTCGCAGAGATGGCCACAAGCGAGGCAGACCAAACGGGCTTCAAAGTACCTTCACTACGACCGAGTTCTTCAAACAGTACAACAAGCTCGATTGACAAGTAGAGGGTCTTGCCGGAGCGCCGGAATGGTCCCGCTTGCAGTCCTTGCTTCCGACGCTGAACGGTGCCCGGGTCCTCGATCTTGGTTGCAGCATAGATTGGCTCTCTCGGTGGGTGCGAAAACAGCGCCGTACATGTCCACGGTGTCGACTTGTCAGAGACCATGCTAGCAAAGGCTCGCAGCATGATGACGATGGACGCCGTTAAGTACGCGAGGGCGAATCTCGATGAACTGAAGCTGCTAGAAGCAGTGCTAGAAGCAGAGCATGATTCATCTTCAGTTCCCTGCTATTTAATCACCGACTCAATCTCCCAACGCTTGTTAAGGAGACCAAGTGTATGAAAGTCGGAGGATAGCTTTCTCTTTTCCGTTGAGCATCCGATATTCACGGCGCTACGGGTGGCGGATTTATCATTGACAATGCGGGCCGCCATTTGGCCAATGGAGGCTTACCAAAGAGGGAGTCTGTACCTTAGAACTTGGTTCGTCGATGGGGTGAGGAAACAGCATCGTACGGTCGAGACGTACGCCAATATTTTGTTGAATGCTGGATTTGAGCTGACTGATTTTGTGGAATGGTGCCCGACAGAAAAGAGTTGCGCATGTTCTCAGAGTCGGAGATGGAGCACTTCGGACCAACATTTCTATTGATGGGAACAAGCAAGAGGAGTTGAATCGTGCTTCGAAATCCAAACTTGACCCATTACGTATTATGTAAACACGGTGATCACTTTATGCTGATGCTGTCACAACAAGTGCGAAGATCTTCAAGATAATTCCCTGCCCTGAAACTAGCCCGCTAGTGCTAGAATTTAACTCTGGTCCGGGGCATGTGAAATTCCAAATCGGTGAAATGTGATGCCGGGGTCAGCCTTAGAAGACCACATTTGACAGCTTTACAGTTGTGCGTCACTGCCATTGGATGATCGCCCATGTCCAGGAAGCCGATTGAAAACAATGTACGTACTGATGCCACCTCTGCATCAAATGGCAACCTAATTCCACATCGTCACAGTCGCCGCCTACTACCCAATGCGCGCATCATTTCGCGACTTCAAATCTCATCCGAACATTCATTTCACATAGCAACACATTGCGACAAAGCGCAGCTGTTCTAACCGTCGCTTTATCCTTGAGTCATCATCTCGCAGCTGATCCCTGGTTCCTCGAGCTTCCCCACGGGGAACCACGATTTGGAGAACGGTCAGGACCACAGCTCTTCGATCCGACTTGGTGCTCAATTGACGTCGCGACGTCGCCCGACAATCAATTTCCTCGTCTCGACCCCGGCGCTAGGCTGGGAAGCGGTGCACAAGAGTTTCTCGCAGCCATCTGCGTGAATGCCGCCCTTGAACCCCTTCCTGGCTGCCTTCTTCCGATCCGGCAACCCCATCATCAGCCAGTGTTCGCCAGTCCACCACCACATCCTACTTGTCCCGTCCACCGAGTTCCTCCTTACCTCCCGCGAGACCGAAAGCGGCTCGTCCAATTCAGAGCTGATTGCATCTGAAGAATTCCTGGGAAGCCATGTCCTCAAGATTCCCAGCAATGCTGCTACAGCGGGAGGGAAGGATGCAGCCGTGGGCAACTTGCGTGAGCTGAGGGGCAAGGCGCGCCAATACAATACTCTGAATGGGCGCAGCGTCGTCATCAAGGACGCATTCGTATACAGCAATAAAGGTAGGGACCATGCGTGGAAGTCATTCAAGAATCGCTTTATCCTCTACGTATCACAAGACACGTTTCTTACTCTTATCTTCGACCAGGCTTCCGAACTCTTGCCCAAGCACAGCTGCTGAACGATGCCGTGTGGTATCCCGATACGCTCGAACCGAGGCAATGGTTGGTCTACTACATATCGCGCCCCTTGGTTGGTGTCTGGGAAGAAGTACAGATTCAGCCCGCCATTTTCGTCGCGGGCATGGCCAAGCGGAAGATGGCGGAAGCTAGGCAAGCGGCAGCTTACGAGAACGGCGAGCCCAGCCTACCGCGAAAGAAGGAGATCAAAAGCTTCCATGACCTTCTCAACAATTTCCCCATCATTGCTAGACAAATGCAGCCTGGACTAGAGAAGCTCTTCCACGAGTTTACCGTGATATTCGAGAGACCGCTTCCGCCTCCGCCGTCGGCAGTCCACATCCCCGATCCAACGCCAGACGGGCCTATTTCGGCTGCCATGAAGAAGGCACGCTCCAGTAGCATGTCAGCGCGGAGACCTAGTGTGAATAGCCTTAATGGAGCCAACGGAGCTAGAGTGACCGAGAACTTCTTTGCCGAAGACGATGAGGATGTTATGAGGGCGTCGCTGGAAACAGCCGTGACTAACGCCATCGATCTCTTCCAAAACGTCGACAAGCAGCAACTGTCGATGCTTGGGGCTACCACTGAGCTCACGGGTCCTTTGGTTGAGCGACTGATCGAGAGGTATGTCACGGAAAACGTTCACAGTCTTATATGGATGCGATTAGCTGCCATGCGCCGCCCAGATGATCTGGAGCTCGAGGCAAAGATTCGCCAGATGGAGTTCATCGACATCTCGCAACTCGGCATCGCCATTGAAGGCGGTTCGAGGGCGAAGCACGAGCTGATATCCAGACTGGGACGCGCAGTGGAAGAATTCAGTAAGATGAACGCGGCTACGTGTGCCCAGGATATGATTGAGACCCTTTTAGCAACCATGAAAACCGTTACTCACCTGACTGAACAGCCGAGGTTCGGTGCTGCAAGCGTGTCGACCGAAAAGCCACTCACGATCAACGCAGATACGCTTGTATCACTTCTCCTGTTCGTAGTGATACGAGCCGGCATCAAGCATTTACAAGCACGCCTCTTGTATATGAGGCATTTCATTTTTATCGATGATGTGGAAAGTGGAGAAATGGGATATGCTCTCAGCACGTTTGAGGCTGTCCTTACGTATCTCCTCAGAGATTCTGCTAGTCTGCGGCGCGCAAGCAAGCGGAACAAATCTCTCTGGGATGCCACTTCGAAAGGGGACCTGTCAGAACTGAAGAAGATGATGCACCCGGACACAAATGCCATAGAGGACGATGACGATGAAGACCAGTTACCTGGATCGCCCATCTCGAGCCATGGCCCTTCGGAGATTTGGAGCACGGTCAATGGGTCTTCGTCGCGGCCATCGACGGCTTACACGGTCACGGACACGTACTCGCAAGGGTCGGGTCTCAGTCATGTATTCCCATTTCAGAGCGATGAATCAAACGATGCGTCGAACCTCCCCCCGAAGAAGATAGTCAAGAGAGTCGCAATGGATACGAGGAGTGTGTCAAGTGGCTCGGAATACTCATACCATTCCCGGGCGACGAGTTTCGCAACCCTGAGCAGTGGCATCGAAGGCGACACGTCAATTCATCGACTCTGCCAAACCGAGGATTCCTTCGGGGAATCAATCTCCATGATGGCAATCCAGAATGAACGCCCCGAAACACTGAAATATCTATTAACTCTGAGAGAATACTTCCCAATCGAAGTCGTCCTTGAGGACACCAACAATCAAGGCACCACACTGCTGAGCGCTGCTGTCCAGCTGGGCCACACCGAACTCATCGACATTATTCTAGATTTTGTCATGTCACAGACGGCACTAGATCGGGTTATAGAGTATTTGGCGCTGCAAGATGTGATGGGTCGCAGTGTAGCACATTACCTCTTCCACGCGCCGTTCCTAATTGCACGCGTTGGCCAACTGCTCCCCTGGCGCCAAAGGGACAAAAATGGGTTGACTCCACTCTTTGCGCTGTGCCGATCTTACGACCATGCTAATTATCACTCCATGGTCGAAGCCGGGCTTCAGGCGGCCACCGAAGCTCAAGGCGACGGCCAGCCGCTTCACTTGGACGACCATGTGGATTCCAAGGGCAACACGCTTTTACATATTGTGCACGATGCGCTTCTGACGCTCAAAATCCTGCAGCAGTGCGACGTCGACGTGAATGCAACAAATGAAAAGAAGTTCACAGCGCTCATGGTCGCCAGCAAGTATGGCCGATTCGACATTGTGCGCGCGCTCTACGGTGATCCGAGGGTTGATGTCGCTGCGAAGGAACTTAGAGGTTTGACAGCTGTGGAGTTGGCCAAGGATGATGACGTTCGCAACAGGATTGACGACCTCACGCTTTTCTCCATGCCAATGGGTGAAAATTCCAGAGTTACCGGTGTAGTGCGCTCATTCTTTGTAGAGGATGCTACGATACGACTGGTGTTAAAGTCGGGCGCCCCCAGTGGCAACAACAACTTCATCGTGACGACTTGCCGCCGGTCCATGGCCGACTTTGAGCGTCTAGCAAATCTGCTTGCCGTTGAAAACCCGGCGTCCTGGATACCGAACGTGTCAAGTCAACGGACGCCATTCCAGATTCCGTCGAAGCCCTCGAGAGCTTTGCTGAAGGATATTCAGATGCGATTGGATGCGTTCCTCAAAATCATGCTTGCGCACTCGACCTTTGCTACACACGAGCTCCTGTGGGAGTTCTTCCTCGTGCCTGACTTGCAGGCAGACATGATGGAGCAGCGCAGCGGTCTCAAGGCTGAGACGCGTGCCGAGAAGGTGCGGGAGGAACTTGAGCCGCTGGAGGACATGCGCGAAGTGGAGCAGTTCGTCGACCACGCCCGAGAAATGGTTCGCAGCGTCAACTACTCTACCAAGAGTGTTGCGCGGCGGGCTAATGTTGTGGGTGTTGTGAGTGCTGGTAAGCTTACAGTCCCTTTCCTTAGAGCATCTTGCCAGCCTCTCATTACTGAACCTCTGTATGTTACCATAACTGACACAATCATAGATCTTCATGAAGCAGCGTGTCTTGTTCAGAGACAAGTCACTAACCTGCAATTCTTGCCCCAGTCCCACATCTCAGCTTTCGAGGCTTACGTCCGCACCCTGACACCACCCTCCTCGTACCCAGCACAAACTTTCCACGGAACGCTCCTTGCCCTCCAATCAACTATCGTTGCCATGCTATCTGCGCTCTCACGGCCGCCTCAACTCGTCTCCCAGATCAATGCATCCCGCAAGGCGATCGAGCGCTCATATAATTCCCTATCCCGGTCAACGCGTTGGCCATTGGGGCTTCTTGACGAAACACGGCAGCGAATGAATGAAGAGAAAGAGGAGAAGGCAAGGGAGAAGCAAAGAGAGGCAGAGGAGTTAGGAAAGGAGCTGCGGTATAGCCAGCAGATTGTCGCCGGGGAGTTGGCTGGTTGGCAAGATATGCATGAAAGGATGGGCAAGCAGGCTATCAGAGACTTTGCTAGGGGCATGGTGATCATGGAGCGAGCCAGGTTAGAGGGGATGAAGAGGGCGTTGAGGAGGGTGCACGATATGCCTGAGAGACCCTCAGTGGTTGTGCCGGCCGACCGAAAACCAATAGGCGTCGACGAGTTGACGGACCGGATAGGGAATGGAGTTGATATACCTTCGCCGAGCTTCGAGTTGGAAGCCAACGAAATCAGAAGCTCGGCAGAGGTGGAAAACGGTGCAGGCACCGATTCAGGTGGCGAATCCAGTGCCATGGGAGCGAGCGCCATGAACATGATGATGTAGCTCGAAGATAATATCTGGTATGGACTGCGAACACCCTATCTTGTTGACGAGATGCCGACTACAAAGGCCAGCCAGACCCTAGGCGAGCTGCGGACCCCATACGAGGCCGGATGCTAAGGCAGGCCGAGTGAGGCTTTTGGGTGGCAATTCAGGATCGAATAGGGACAGGAAAGGAAGATACTGGCTGTCCTGCTTATTGTTGATGACATCGATACTCACATTGATACATGTGTCGTTGCAATAGTCTGTTCCAAGAGGACACCTTGCTCCACGCCATGTGACCTCTATCGAGTATGCAACACGCTGATCGTGAGGTTTGGTCAAGAAAGCCTGGTGAGGTGCCTTGCAATGATAGTCCTCACATCTGCGCCAGACCTCGTGATAACTACCGGGCATGCAAGATATCTATCACGAACTCATCCAGAACGTTCGAAAACCCCGAGAGGCAGCCTACGAGAGCTTTGAGACTTATCAAACAGACTCGCAATCAGCTGTCTGGAGGTGGCAGTGTTGAGGGAAACAGGATCGACCGAGAGGTCTCGACGGCCCCAATGGTGCGGTGGGAATGGATGATTACTCCCATCTTTCAACGAGGAACAATATAATTCCTACGAGTGACGAGCCCAGTCCACCGCTCCCAAAGTGATGATACAAGATAATGCCTGTCTCTGCATCTGTGACCGGGAAGAATGAGTCACCCACTACGAACAGTTCATCAACCATTAAACTAGTGTGTACAAGTTTGCAGCAGTAGTCTACTTTCGCTCCCAAGTCAGTCTTCATCAGTCTCCTCGAAAAACCTGAAACACTCGATTTCGTTTCAAGGTTCCGACCAATGGGAAGTTCCACAAAGTAGACAAGCTCGACGAGCCAATATATCGGTACGAAGGGAGGCGAAGGCCTCACAGCCAATCGACCCGAAATCGACACGGTCGACGCTGGACTGCCGGCGCCCGATTGGCGGTAAGGGGTGGGTCGCGCCGCATACAGATGGGCGCGTGCTGGCTGTCCAATGACCCATCAGGAAAGCCAAATCGCCAAATCGCACCCACGAGGCGTGCTGTCGTGCACTCGTGGCTAGTGTGGATGGGACGACGGGTCCAAAGTCATGACACCACAATTGCCAAGACCTGGACCTGGACATTGTGTTACGCGCCCGCGATTGCGGCTGTGCATAGTAAGAGAGATGCGCTCGCCAAAATGTCGCGCGGTTGTGAGGCGTGCGGAACAGACCACTGCATTGATACTGCACACCAGACACGAAAATCAGACGGGTGTGCGCTTTTCGGGCCCCGGGTAACCTCGACTGCCGCCCGCTCGCTCACTGCACTGCCCCTCCAGCGTAGTAGTGCCTGACGAGACAGACGCTGACGCCCGGCTTCGGCGGCTTACTACTTACACGAGGTGCTTCAGGGCCGTTACAGGGCTCTAGGCGCGCTGAAGCCGGGCCCTTTTCATCTGCCTCAGGTGTTAAGGCTTTAAATGAGGGTAACCCACATCCGCCTTCCTTTTCTTTCCGTAGCCGCCCGCGGTTAAGAAGGAGCGGCTACTAGCAGAGTGGTGGCTTCAGGGCTGACTGTCGCCGGCTCTTTTTCTCTCTTGCCCTCAATTTCAGTAGCCGCTCGCCTCTTCGCCGGAATAACTAGTAAGCTTAAGCGGACGGGAGCGACAAAAATAGAGCAATCTAGCAGCAGCAGGAGACTGCCGCACCCGCCCCGAGGTTCCGAGGCGGCGTCGGGTTTTATTAGGCGCAAATTGGATGAGAGGGGCCTCCATTAGGAAATCACGAGGGACGAAGGCCTGGTCTGCGACTGGCTTGATACCTGCGGAACCTTTCATTTGGCGGTGGTGAACTGGCGCTTCAGATGTAGCGAGACTCGAGCGAGTGGTGAGTGCAGTTTTGCTGCTTGCTGCGAAGTCGCAGTATTCACCGTCTCATGGGCCGAGGCAGGAGACTGTCGCGATGAGTCTCGTTCGTACACGGCAGACACGCAGATGCAGCAACCGTGATGTGTTTGTGCGCGACTGGACGTGTCCTCGCCCACGTCGCGTCGAATCGCAAAAAGAGTCGTGTCGCTGTCGTGCGGAGAACGGGAGACCCCCACAGGGCGCGTTTTGGCGCCTCAGAGGTACATACACAATCGACACCCGAACTACGTCGATGACGGGAAAACTCCAACCCAAGAGAAGCTAATGCAAGGCGATGATGATGCTAAATGTGAGTGAGTCATAAACGCCTGCAGAGACGATGCATCGTCGTTAGAGTTTCTGCATTAGGGTACGTCGTGCCGGTGTGGATTGCCAACGTTGTACAATCCAGTCAGTGGACAGAGCTGGGCAGCGATGGGGTCTAGGGTGAGGAACCCCCCGGATTTCCCGCATGATAGGTGCGCTGTCGCTGCAAAGTCGGGTAGGGGTCCTTGCTTCAACAAGAATACGTACCCCGAGATATCCAGAATATACCTTTGCGTCTTGGCTTGCCTTGCTGGGCCGATATACCACGAGAGACCTCATGTCCCAAGTATCCCACACCCGCCGTTGCCCCCGCGATTTGCTGTAGCCGCACGGCACGAAATACTTTATTTTCCATGTCACTTTTTTCGTCAACAGTCCACCCGCACACTAAAGTAGGCCGACCAGACCCGCGGCCAGACCAAGAAACACCTGCAGCAGACAGGATCATCGGGATCTTACAGACATGGAATGACACCTTACGTCGAAGCCGACCTCTTTTTGTTCTTTCTCCACGTTTCAGGTTTCCCTTGCGGCATGGGCCTATACATCGTTTAATCAAATCTTGAGCCCGAGTGGGTTCGTTGATGATAGTGATCGTGGCCCGGCCCAGAGTCCCGTCGAGGATAAGAAGACCGGCTGTCCTCACCCTCCTCCATGGCCTCATTCTTGTTTACTTTGCTCTTCAGTCCACTGCTCCAGTCCAATACAATCCTTTTCTTTTTACTTACCTCTTCTGCATCAAACATCACTTAGACAAACAAGAGGCAGGCCGCCCGTCACGCGACCTTGGTTCCCTCTCTGCTTCACAGCAACTGACACCGGCATCGTACATATCCCTCGTCGAACTTACAACCACATACTCTCCACGCAGCTGGTCTGCCACTCATCGGTCTCGATAATCCATAATCCCCTCACTGTTGCGCAAGCAGACAGCAACTCACCATACATCAACAACATGGCTTCGTGAGTCTCATTTACACTCTCCCACCCGTCCCGCCTTGCGGATAAGTCAGCATGATCAACAACTAACACATCCTTCCAGTCTGGTAGCAGACATGTCGTCCTTCGACTTCACCTTCCCCTCCTGCGAGCCGGTCACCCCGCCGAGCTTTACCTTCGACCCGTCTCTGCTCGAGATTTCCTACAATCCCGGGCATGCTCGCTCAAGCTCGTATGGTTCCGTCTACTCCACCACCGAGACGTCGCCCTCCAACTCGGTCAGCACGCGTGTCAGCACGCCGTCGCGATCTCCTCCACCAATTCGTCAACATGGACCCATCCTGTTGCCCAAGATCCGGTCTCAGGACCAAGCCATTGACTGCTCCCCGGCAAAGCGGGTCAAGAGGTCGCCTAAGCCGGCGGCTACTGCCAAATCTAGCCGCCAGGGAGGTTACTGCACCTCGCACACCCGGAGCTTCACCAACCCGGAGACCCTGAACCACTTTTCCAACTCTTTCTTCGCCCCATCCGAGGATCAGAACGCGTTGTGCCAGTCGCTGCTGTGCTCCCCTGTTGTCTTTCCTCAAGACGACCCGCACTCGCGCCGTGCCTCAACTTGCAGCCTGGACGGCTCCTCCCTGGAGAAGTTCGGATTCCCAACCTACCGCCAGATGCCAAATTACGTCCCGGCCGTCTCCCAAGAGCAATTCATGTACACCCAGTACGCAACTCGCGCACCATCGCCATTGAGCATGGCATCCACCCCGGATCCCACTCCGTCCACGACCTTGATGACCTACCTCACGAGTTCCAACCCGGCACCATCGCTTGTCCGCACCATCTCCTTCCCCATGCGCGACCCGAACACCAAGCACTTCTGGTGGGACGTGCGCCAAATCCGCCCCTGGACCGCTTTCAATGCCTCCACCATCCTTTCCCTGCCCGGCGCCTCCACCTTACTCAACTGCCCCGTCCCGGCCCCCTTACTCCAACAACCCCCGATCTCATCCCGCCACCCTGAGACCGAAGCCGCGCTGCACAGCATCTACACCTCCTACTACGTGCCCAAGCTCAACGCCGCCCTGGCGCTCTCCTCTCAGCGCCCCCTCCAGCTCAACGCCTCCACCTCCAAGACTGCCTCCCCCAACGACCACGTCTTCACAGCCAACGTGGCGGGTGAGTCAGCCTCAGCGGCGGCCATGTTCGGCGGCAAGCCGACAGCTCGCGTCGTCGGGCTCGTCAAGAGCTTCGACCGCTTCAACACGGGCATGCGCGTCGAGGGCAACATCAAGCGCGTCGAATACCTGCGCGGACTGGCGCACCTGCACCACGTCATGCGCGAGCACGGGTGTCGGTACGGCTTTATCCTAACTGAGATCGAGCTCGTCGTCGTGCGCAATGGCGGGGAAGGAGTGCCGCATTTCGGGTACCTCGAGGTCGGCAGTGTGCAGCTAGGTGCCTCTGCTGATGATGACGAAAATGAGGAACACATGCCACTGACGGCTTGTCTTGCCCTTTGGGGCCTCTGCATGATGGCTTTGGACAAGGCGGCCCCCGGGCACGCGCACTGGAAGGCGGAGATTGGAGCCCCGGCCGAGGGGACGAGGCGCAAGGCGCTGCCGAGGGATGAGTGGATGCCGTTGCCGCAGTTGGCGGAGAAGCGGGAGGCCAAGAGGGCGAGGGGGTGGGTGTTGCCTGAGGATGCGGTCGGGCGCAAGGAGCTTGGGAAGAGAGGGGTTAGATATGGGAGTTGCTAGATGTTAGACTTGAAGGGCGAAGAGGGAAAAAATAAAGGAGCAGAAAGGAAAAAACTGCTTTGCGAGCTTCTCTTTGGCCGGTCCAAAGAAGGGGCTCGGGAGTTGGTTAATGATCATGTTAATGAGGGATGACGACGGGCATAGAGGTCATGGGCGCTTGAGAAAAAAAGAAAGGATATTTCATCGCATTGCTTTGGAAGGATAGGTGGATGATGGTTGCATTGACTTGGTATATATGCGAATAGTTATTGTTAATCCTTACATGAAATTGAAGCAATTCAACCTGACGATACTGGTTCCTGTCTCGTCGTGCTCGTGCGTGGTTGATCTCAGTTGCCTTAGCCAGTTTGGCTGATCTGGCACCGTGCTTAAGAGCATGGACCTCTGCAGCAACCACACCTTACCTCTTCATCCACAATTTCGACATTGCATGTGTCGCTGTTAGACATTGAATGCCGATTATGTCTGCGATGATAACGAGTTTTTCGGTGGGATTCGTTGGTGTAGAAATGAGTGTTGCCAAGCAATGACGCGGATCCGAACTCCCCCCAAAGGGATGTCACGTGAAAGCCCCAGGGCAAAACACCGGCATGTAATGTGCCCCTTTCTCACAACATTGATACATTGAGTGAGCTGAAAATGAAAATAAGCTCCACCGACGTTGCCTCGTCAAGTGGCAGAGAGTGGTCGACAACTATAGAAGCGCTAAACCTCAGATCGCCAAGCTGCTTAGCTGCGCCTCAAATGCTTATTTTAAACCGCTTTCTCCCGGCCAAGTGTGATTTACCCAAGGAGTCAGCTCATCGTTCGAATTTTCACGGTGCCCAGCCAATATTTTGCATGCGGGAGCTAATGTCTGGACTGCAGCAACGGCAGCTGTCAACTGCACCCAAGGGTGTCAGTCCCTGCAATATAGACACAGGGATTTCCCTAATCGTTTCAACATGTCCTCTTTGCAGTGATTGAGATTGACCTGATTGCGAGCCGCGGCTGGCCCCCAACATGGATGCCACGGTCACAGATTCATAAAACGGTCGAGCTGGTGGAGTGTTGGAACGACATTACGAGTCCCAGGATCCGCTCTGCTCCACAGCCATGACATGGGAATCAATCAACTTCGACGCGCACCTGCGACAAAGGTGCCAACGGGCGAGGCAACTTGTTGCTTTTCCACGCTTTCCCACTCACTAGACGTTCCCTTCTTTATCAAAGTTCCCATTGTTTATGTGGAAATTCTGATCGCAGTGCTGGACCCCGAACCCTGCTGCTGCTGCCGAGCTCCCTCCGTCATTCGTTTGAACAGAAAAAAAATACAACCATGCGTTCATCTCTCGGGGGCGTAGGCCTGCTGGGCCTAATTGTCCAGTCTGTCGCTGCTGTTGACATCACCTGGAGTGACCCGTGTAAGCTGCTCATTCCCCCATAGCGTCGATGCTGTTGTACTGATTAAAAGACAGCATCCATAAAGTCCGGTACCAGTGAAGTCGCGTATGGCCTGGTCAAGTTCTACACAGGTTAGCTCAATCCATTAAGACTCGGTGGTTGAGAGACCATGCTGACATGAGCGACAGGAAACAACACAGGCGATGTCCCAGGCAATTTGCCCGACCCATATTACTGTGCGCCGCCTCAGATGACTTAGAAGATGTGATCTACGGCTGACATGACTTCACAGGGTGGGAGGCTGGAGCATTTTTTACCACCTTGATCGAGTACTGGGCATACACGGGCGATACGACCTACAATGCCATCACCAAACAAGCCATGATCCACCAAGCTGGAGACGATCTCGACTTTATGCCCACAAACCAAACACGTAGTGAGGGAAATGATGATCAAGGTTTCTGGGCCCTGGCCTCTATGACAGCAGCCGAGATGAACTTCACCAACCCAAGCTCCAGCGAGCCGCAATGGCTTGCGCTTACCCAGGCAGTCTTTAACGAATACGTATCGCGCTGGGACAACACGACGTGCAACGGCGGGCTGCGATGGCAGATCTTCACTTTCAATAACGGATATAACTACAAGAACTCGGTCTCCAACGGGTGCTTCTTCGATATCGCCGCGCGGTTGGCACGGTACACGGGCAACGAAACCTATGCTGAATGGGCGGAGAAAGTCTTCAACTGGCAGATGGGCGTCGGCTTCATCACCGATGATTGGGACGTTATGGACGGTGCCGGCAACGGGGATGATTCTAACTGTACCGAGATCAACGGCGCTCTCTTCACCTACAACGCCGGCCTTTACCTTCACGGCGCCGCCTACATGTACAACTACACCGACGGTAGCGAACTCTGGAGAAGCCGGCTGGCAGGCCTGGTCAACTCGACCACCAGAAACTTCTTCAAGGACAACATCATGTACGAACTCAGCTGCGAGACCGCAGGGCTCTGCAACGTCGACCAACAGAGTTTCAAAGGCCATCTCTCCCGCTGGATGGCCATGGCGGCCAAAATGGCCCCCTTCACATACGACACCATCGTGCCCCTGCTCACCTCGTCCGCCACAGCCGCCGCACAGCAATGCTCCGGAACCTCGAGCGACTTCAAGGGCACTCAAGGCACGGCTTGTGGGTTCAGTTGGCTCCAGGGGTCGACGTGGGACTCGAAAACGGGTATCGGCGAGCAGATGAACGCGCTGTCCATCATGATTACGCCCTTGATCGACGAGGCGCCCACGCCGTACACGTCAGACACCGGAGGTTCCTCCACGGGCAACACGGAGGGTGGTTCGAGTGATAGTAGCAAGATTCAACAGGAGAGGGCCATCACCACGGCGGACAGGGCTGGTGCGGGAATTCTGACGGCGTTCATTTTGGCCGGGTTGGCGGGAGGTGTGTTCAGTGTCACCATTTAAGAAAAACAGAAAAATGTTAGATCTTTCTTTTCCCATTCGCGCCTTTTCGAACTCTGCCTGTTGAGTGGCACTCCCCGGAACTACGATGAATCGGGTAAGGGAATGACTTGGGCAGGCTTGTACAAGGACCTTGTATTAGGATCGATGGCAGCCAGAATACTGCATTCTCATCACGCCCTTGACCAACTACAGTCACTTCTTTCATATGTCTTAGATATCCAACAGCCCGTGCGCGGTTCGTCACTACAGCCCCTTGATTTCTGGCAGAAAACGCGATTACAAAATGGAGGAGGCACTGGGGTTCGCCTCACATGGGCCTGGACATCACGAAATGGAGTTTACGGATGCATTTCAACAAACTTGTTTAAAAGTATCATATTGCATAAATTGTCAAAAGGTTACGAGAACCGATCAATTTCTTCTTAAGCCTATTACGCGTCTTTGATACTTGGTTACGGGTTATTTCTCGTTGTTTATCCGGCGAAGAGCCCCTCAGAACTGATAGCTGTAATACGAGCTGACTACGCCCTTGTCTTGGCTTAGATGCGCAGCTGATCTACAATCGTGCTATGTTCGGTCGAGCGGTGGAATCTAACAAGGTACTCGGCGTATGCCCCCATGCGTGCCAAGGAGATATGTCCCAGAGAATCACGGTAAAAATAAAATACTCCCTCCCCGGTGGTGAACGTCCGATTACTAAATCGCAATGGCGGATTCTGCAACGGCATCGGTTAATTCCTTCCTCTTCTTCTGTGTAGGGTCTTCTCATTCGTGCCGCTACTGCTGATGGTTTCCGGCCACATGATGAGATAGTGACCATCCATATCGCCAAAGGCGTAACTACATCTCCTTCAAGGCCTTGTAGCCCGCAGAGCCCTTGATAGCGAGGTGCGTTATCGTGATGATTCTTTTATCGTTTCCATCAGAGCCGTCGACACCGCATGTGCAGGCTTTGACTTACCCAACTTGATCTCCGGTGACGGCTCGCACGAAGGAGAAGAAGAGGTGGGGTTCTTGAGTCTGTGGTTGTTGGCAGACCATCTAATGACCAATGGCCAATTTATAGTGAGTACGCGAGATGGTTGGCTGGATTCTACCTGTGCCAGCGTTTGTGCGTCGTTTCGTATTGCTTGGTCAGTACCAACAATTAGGACCAAAAGTGCTTTCAGTTCTTACTGGAGTCTTGGTCGTCGTCTTTATTTTTGACGTCGTATCAGATATGCTTGATCTCATACGGAGTACACGTGGCCGTACACTTATAGGTCTCTCTGGGATGTATTATATTTACTTGGAGTCTTCTAGCGTTGTACAGGTTCCCAGACCTTGTTGGGCTATCTTGTCAGTCTGCTCTATTTTCACTGATATTCTGGATCAGTGCAGCTATGAAATTATTTCCAGTTTTCTGATTTCGTCCAAGTCCGATCCATCGGCGGGTGGCGTCAACAAAGTAAACAGAGTCATATAATACTGAGTTTGGGGGCGACCACTTAAGTTGCAAGCCGACCGCCACCAGCCTTTGGCACAAGAATTCTCTTCATGCGTATGTCTAAACTCAATCTCCGTGCTTCGCGATGACACTCTGTTTCAATGTTCGCAGATCCTTCTGTGATATGAAACGACTTAAATAGTTCATGTCACGTCGGCCTCAATCATAAACACAATGTTGATTCATATGCGGCGGCTGCCGGGAGTCAACCCCTTGTTTATAAGCTCTGCTTTCCTGTTCTGCCTCTGTACCCTCATCTATGCCTCTCGCTCAGTATGGAACACGGCTAATGGTGGCCACAAGGCCAAATCAATGGGGATGGATAGAGAGTCAGGGGTTTTCAATGAGACACTAGGTGTAAGCATGCTGCTGTCCAAATGCCCTTGATCGCAGAGTCACAGATTCCCACTATCAGCATTACTAACCGAGTTACCCAGTTTGAAAAAGTATTCGTCATCGGGCTGCCTGAACGGACCGACAAGCGAGATGCTCTCGTCCTCATGGCTTCTCTGACGGGAATAAAACTTACGTGGCTGGATGGCGTGAAAGGTAGCGACGTGACGAACAAGGCCCTGCCTTTGGTTTGTTTCCAACACCTAACCATGTTCGCCTGTTCGCCAGACCCCTCTAACAACTCCCAGGGCTGGGATCCCACCAAGATGCCAGAAAACAACCTGGGCTCTTGGCGCGGCCACACCAACGCCATCCGCCAGATCCTCTCCGCCGACCTTTCTTCCGCCCTGATCATGGAAGACGACATGGACTGGGACGTGCACCTCAAGCCCCAACTCTCGCTCTTCGCCTCGGCCGCCAAAAAAATACAAACCCAACCAGCAGACAACCTTTTCTCGCAGTTGCCCAGCCCTCTCGCGGCTCCAAGCCCCTACGGTCAGAACTGGGACATGCTCTGGCTCGGGTCCTGCGCTACTACCTTCGACGAGCACCTGCCGCCGGACCTGCAGATTCCGGCCCAAGAAAGAGATGGCCGCAAGATCCTCATTTTAGATGACGAGACGGTGCCGTCTTGGAACCACATCAAGGGGAACCTGTCGTTCGGGTGGGAGGAGTACCCGCCGCAGACACGTATTGTGCATGTGCCGGGGGACAACATCTGCAGCTTCGCGTACGCCTTGAGTGCTTCAGGTGCAAGAAAAGCGTTGGAGTACCTTGGACTCGAGGGGCAGCACAAAGCGTTTGATAATCATTTGAGTGATTTGTGCCGGGTGCGGGCGAATGGGATGCGGTGTGTGGGTGTGGTGCCGAGCCTGTTCGTGCATCATCGGCCGCGGGGAAGGGTGGATGGCGATTCGGATATCAATGTGGGTGGTGGCAATGGAGAGATTAGGGAGGTGGGCATGACTGAAAATATTTTGTATAGCACACGGCTTAATTTGGGGAATCTGCTCAGGGGGTTTCAACCTGAGAGGCAGTGGCCGGATTGATCAGGGTGAGATGCGGGTTGGTCGTTTCTCTGTTCTCTATTCCACCCGGACGAGAGAATCTGGTTTCCGCGGTGTACTACGCGAGGGACAGGGCGATATGTTGCCAGGCATGAATAGACATGAGTCACACGTAGAGTTCACTCGACATTGAAAGAAACGTCTTGTTTAGACAAAGCGACAACGTGGCAGAATATCGAAAGGAGCAACGACTGGGAGAATCCTGCGAGGAATGATTTCAATAAATATGGATGACCCCAGAGTCCTAAATAAGGGGAGCTGGGAAATCGATCGCCAGCTAATGGTAAAAGGGCAAGCTTATTGCGTCAACAACATGCCCAGTTAAAAGCAATCACTCCAAATGTCGTAGAACGGGCATCTGTTCAAACGTCACTTCCCATCAATAAAGAATATGCGGGCTGAGACGCACAAGACCCCGTTGCTGACACTTCGACCAAGTTACCTGAGCACGGAACCGAAGATAGCCCAGTCCAAAATCAAACGCTTAATGCTGGGGTATCTTGTGATGCAATCTGTCTCCTGGAAAAAACTTCGTAGAAAAATGTTCTGGCTCGTCGTCTCAAGTTTCATGACGTCGTTGTTCGTTGTTCGTTGTTCGTTGTTTGTGATTCATGGCTCGTAAAGGGGCACGAATCATGGATCTTCCATCGTGCCTTTCGTGATCATACAATCGTGAGCGATAGTAAATATGTCGGAAGTAAAAAAGTATGACTATCCAAGAAAAACCTGCAAGGTAGAGCAAGAAAATATCAAGCATCGTGACGCAGTAAACGCAAAATAAAACAAAACTGTGTGGCCTGTTTTCGAGATTCCGTGTTGGATCTTCATTGCTGACCGCTGGGGCCTGGGTCGCCCGAGTCATCCGACTCGGTAGATACTATTGTTGGCGGAGGTCGAGGGTCGAAAAGATCTTTGAAATGAGTGGCACCTACGCGAACATCATTAGTTTGTGCGCTCAGTCATCTTGGGACAACTAGTGCTCGAACTGACCTGCATCCTTTGCAAAATTCAACTCGAAGGCACCGTATTTGCCCTTGCGTTGTTTGTGTGCCCGGTAGTTCTGACAGAACACATACGGTTGGATATCGCGAATTTGCACGCGATACCGGCTCTTCTTCAGCAGCCACTCCTTTGGGGGCGCATCTGGAAGAAATGCCGTCCAAACCGGGCAGAATCTCAACTCTCCATCCCAGACTGAAGCGTGAAGGCGTTTGCGACCAGAGTGGGGATCCTGGAAGACATTGAGGATGTGTTCATATCCATCATCGATAATTTTTCTGCTGACTAGTTAGTTGAGGGCACACCTATAAAACTTCCTTTCTATGTCAATACGCACGCCTGGAAAACTTTGGATTCTTTTCTAAGCTTGAATTCATCCGGATGTCGGTCGATCGTCAGAACGCTACGAGCTTTGAGGCAGACAAAAGTGCAGTAAAATAGAACTAGTTCTGTCAATTCGTCAGCACGCCATTACTACTACCTACTTGTTCCATTCTCTTGAGGGATGGACGGGGGACAAACCTTCACAGGTGATGAATGACAAAATTGCCCACGGCTTGGAGTGCTCTTCACTCTTGCTCCAACGGGTGAGGGTCAATGTGTTGCTGGTGCCCCGGCGAATGGATAGTTCATGGGCGCCTCTCAAGGAGACCCACGACGAGCCGAACTGCATCGTACGGATGAGGAGAAAGGGGGCTTCGTCACTTGTCTCTAAGAAAAATGTGACAGAAAGACGGTCGTTGTCGAAGGATCTGTCCGCTAGGGTCAACAAGACCGGGGGCGATTACTAGGGTGAGGAGTTGAGAAATTTACCTTTTGATGAGTATTTTGACATCTGGGGATATGTTCAGTTGGCCAAGACGCTGCAATGGGCCATACGCTTCAGACAAGGTCCTGGATAACATCAGCCAAGTTGCAAACAGAGATGCATCTTATGGGGCTAGATGTCCATACCGGCCTGGTTTCTCTAGCTCGGTTCGCGATGGCAAAGGCTGGGTGAATATGGATTCAGCCCAATGGGAGTTCTGTCGCACGTCAGTACTCGAACCTCCAAAGGGGCCACCCCGTCTCGCACCAAACGAACCGTTTCTTGGGCCCAGAAGTTCGGGGCACCATTGCGACGGATAAGAGACCGCTGGATCGGACTTGGAGGGGCTGAAGTGGGTCAGAGTGGTCCATTATATCATCCATCTAGCACGGGCTTTCCAACTTACGGATCCCTCTTGCCTCTCTGAGCTGGAGTATTCTCGTGCGGAGTGACTCGAGACCGTTCATGTCGAAGTTGGGAGACCTAGGCCAAGATCAGCTTGCATTCTCCTTGCTTATGACAGTAGCATACTTTGTCAGCAGATGCTGCAGGCTCACAAGGAAAAGATTGTACATGACAAAGCGGGCTGGGAGAGTTGTGCCGAGTAACTCGCTGCTCATCTCGTGATACATCTTTTTCCATCTCCGATCTCGCGGCTGCGAACGATCTTCGTAGAATGTGGTGATATCACGGAGACTCCTGCATAGGCATGGAAGGATGACATTGAGGTAGTCAATAACGACGGGGACGCGGGAGATATGTATTTGAGACTGGTCTGCTAGATCACGAAGCAGTCGGCTGGTAGAGTGAACTTCTCCGATCAGTCCAGTCAGATGCGGCCGGAGGCTGTCGTTTAAAGAGTTCCGCAGGCCTTCGAGGCCGATGCCAACTCTCTCGGCACGCTCGGCCTCGAGGCAACATCCATCGAGGAGCGATGATCCCAAGGCGTTGGCACCGATGTCCATGGCGGTAGATCAGAGCACTCGGTCGAAGTCGCGTGGTTCAGGACGGACTTTCTATTAAGGACCCATAGTGGTGAGAAGTGACAGTCGGTCGATAGAGATAGCTATCTCGTGTATCCTGAAGAGGAGGTGCTCCCACCAACCGCCTCTTTGCTCGATCAAACCTATCCACCAGCCAGCAAGTGAAAGTGTCAAATTACCCGCTGGTTAGTTGAAAGAGAACGAGATAGTAAGATCTCTTTGCCTGCTGAAGATGCTTACGAAGAAGCGGCTCTCTCTCCGCAGCAGGCCGGTTAGGTGGCCGTGTGGGGCAATGTGGTAATGACCTCAATGATGTATGCAGATGAATCTTTCGATGACTGTTGTTCAGTGGCGATGCCAGATTTTGACAAAGTAACAGAACAAAAGAAAAGCGAGAACCTCCCTCAGCGTAGTACTCTGCCGCCGAGCACTTGAGCAAGATTGTGTCGATAATGCTTTGGGGACCGGCAAGTTCAATGTTGTGCGGGTTTCGGCGACTCACAGATCGGACAGGAGATACGCACGATATCGGGATGCAGTGACAAAAATATCTCAGAACCTACTGACGGACTCCAGGTTTGTGGCTAGAGCTAGTACGCCCAAGAACATTGAACAGGCCTGGCCGCAGATGTCAATTGCAATGAAATAAAAAGAAGGTTCTTCCGAGACGAACGCCGTCTAGCGAACGCATTCACAATGGGCGAGACGGCAAAATTGTTTGACAGCCTAACAGAGGGAGAAAAAAAGAATATACTCAGTGAGCGGCTGCCACGAATCCCAATGCCAGCTCCCATGAAGCATCTGCATCAGGGATTGGTCGAGACCGCGATCCGGATCAGGTGCAGTGGTCAGTTCATGTCTCCAGTGCGAGAACTTGCATGAGTCGCATGCGGGAGAGAAATTGGACGAGTGCCAGGTCGCTCCTGTGGCAGCATGTCCGCGACTCAGGCGAGACAAGACTGCTGGCTTACTGGCCCTTTGATTCCTGCTTTGTCCTAAGGAGGCGCCGTACGTTGGTGCTACGTGTTTTCATGTCGATGGGGGAAAATCGGATTGAATTTGTATATATACCACGTAGGTGGGCGGGCATTGGATTCTGAGAGTGATTGCGCTTGAATCTGACAGAGCAGAAGACGGCGACAGCCGAGTCGGTTAAATGCCTTGCTATCGACGGAATTCAAACGACGTGCCAATCCCTTCGTGAGGTAAGTTTGCGACCAGATATGGTTGACAGGCTGAAAAGAGAGGAATCTCCTTCGATTACGCAAACTTCGGCATCCGACTTCTGGGTAACATAATCCAGCCCTGGCTCCGAGGTCCGCTCCGCTTGCGCTGACATGCATGAAAACCGCTAGACATCTCCTAGAGACTAGAGGCCGCATGTGTCCCCAGAACGTTCCCACTCAGGTGCATCTATTGAGGGCCATAGGGCTGTTATAGACCCCATACAGTAACGTCATCTTGCTAGTCGCTAGCTGGAGAGGCAGGTAGCTAGTCGTATGCTTGGAAATAGTGTGAACAAAGGTGAGGGTTTGGGAAAAGCACCCGTGGGTAACACCGAGTATTTAAGGGTTGGCGGGATCAGCGGTCAAAGAATTCATTCCAGCCTAGCTGCGCCCAACCCTGACGTCGCCTCAGGAGCAAGGCTGTAGTCGTCGCCCCAGAAAAGCAAAATGATGGCGATGGATCCTTGAAAGTCAGGCATGTAAAGGGCAAAATTAGAAAGCCGTATTCCCAGCTCAACCTCACAAGACAGATGTGATCCAATGAAAAAGAGATCCTTGCACCCTCCCTCCACTTCAATTCATGCCACTCGGTCGCCTCACTCGGTGGTCAAAGCGGTGTTATTACCCTACCTGTTCGTCGCCCTGTTCGTCGCCTCCGAGGCGCAGTTCACTTACTTTCTAGATCCGCAATCCACCCCTTTGGCGTATGGCCCATTCTCCGCAGAATAAGAGATTCTGGGTACGAAACCTCGACATGAAACACAGCGAAATCGCATAAGTACCTTTACTCTAAATAGATTCTAAATAGATTACTGGGACATGTCGCTTCCCTATGTCCAAAAGCTTCATACTACTTTGGAGCAAACGTATGAATCGGAACCAGTCCTAACCTTGAAAATCAGTCCAATTTTAAGCATGTTGATGTGCACGATGATCTCCATTGGGAACTGTCATTGGGAACTGTTCCCACATAGAACGCGTATCTGGTCTGATAAGTTGATTTTCGGGTCAGCAGTAATTGTTCCCAGAAGTCACTTCAAGAACCCGATAGCATTGGTTCGAGTTGCTCGAGTTTGGTATTATGCACAAGTCCCCCGAGACTTAGAGCCACCAGACAGAACATCAAAACATTGAAAGCATCAAGATAGTAAGGGAAAACAGCACGAGAAAATAGTGTACATTGCTGTCAGTTGGTGACTACTGGTATCTCGGGGTCACGACAACAGCGTGATGTGGGTGGAGGACCTGTGTAAGAGCCTCATCTCGGCATTCCTCAAAATACGAGCCAAATGTCCTGCTCAGACTCGAAACGCAGAGCGAAAACAAGCACGGATTCCCTCTTCCTGTGCTGGAACACCTTTCCGAATCCCATATTACAAGCAAGGAAAAACCTAGGCGTCCACGGGCGTTGCAAGTTTCATCCCTCATGAAAACTCGTGGACTGGTAGTGGAGAAAGTGAAAGAACAAAGACCATTTAGTCCTCGTCTTCATCATCAATACCAGCCTATTCCTCCTCGGCCTAAGTTAGCTCTGCTCAGCATCCCTATTCATCATACTAAAAACTAGGGCAAGGAATTACCTGGTAGGCTTGCTTCTCGTCCTCGTAGCGCTTCTTGTCGGCAGCAGCCTTGGCCTCGTAGGGGGTACGCTGCTTGTCGTTCAGGGCCTTCCATCGCTCACCCAGAATCTTGCCGACTTGACCGAAGGAGATACCGGGGTTCTCATCACGGACATTCTCGCGCTGCTCGTTGGCGAAGAACATGTAGGCAGAGAGACCGCGCTTGGGGGCGTTGGGGTCTGGGTGACAAGTCAGCAAGGTTGCGTTGCCCGGGATGGACTGCTGACACTACGGAGAGTCATAAGCCACAGAAGTCGAGGTGATCTTACCCTTCTTTGTCTTTCTCTTCTCAACCTTGCCGGCCTTACCGCGCTTGGTGGTTTCCTTAGGCATCTGGATTGCGAAGTCAGCGTTGGTTGCTTCAATTGAATAGAGTGCAGTCAAGAGGTTGTGTATGGGAAGCGCGTTGAAGTGAACATTGGGGTAATTAGAGAGGCGCGCGCGCGCTTCTATGAAGACGCGTCGCGAACTACCCTAGAGGGAGTGAGGGGCAGGTGATGCGTGCATGGAGTTGGTGATGATGCGCTTCGGTCGCAAATGCAATTGCTCATCGCAGCACCAAGTAATTGCCATTTGAAGCTCAATTTCGACCGGATGGGACCAGGAACCGTACCTTGATAGACTTTGCGGAGGTGAAAGTGATGTGTGGTGGACGTGGACGCTGTTGCCAACGACGCTGTCAGTAAATGCGTGCACGCAAAATGGTGACGATTGTTGACTTGGATGATTGGAAAGGGTCGGGCCAACAAGTTGCGATGGGGAAAGCTTGGGCAGTTCAGATTGCGCATGCACTTGGGCCTGACAGAAGCGGTGCCAAAAAGGCGCGACGGGGTCATTTGTGCAGCGATAACCCAATGGAGAGTATCGATCGAGAGGAATTCGCCAGATAAAATAGTGACTTCACGTTGCGCAGTGATGAGTATGGGGAGGGAAGTACTCACTTTGTGTGTGTGCGTTGGTTGAGGATTGGTATGAGGGCGGATTTGGCTGGGAAGATTTGTATGAGGACAGGAAATGGGCGAGAGGGAGAGACTGCGAGGAGGGACACCACGGTTTTGTGTGGGCTGGGCTGATTGCCAGTGCGGCCTAGACACAAGGGACAAAAAATGGGCGAAATGGGTGGCCGCCTTTACGTGTGAGGTGCGGGCAGTCTTGCCAATCCACTTGAGCACCACCGAAACAACGAGTAGAGAGGGAAAGCGCAGGCCAGGCCGACCACCACCAGAATCAGAGGGCAGGCAGGAAAGGAGTGACTGGATTCGTGAGGGCCACACGTCAAACCCGTGTCAAAAGTCACTTCGGCTACAGATAGAGTAGAGTACAATGGGCTCGTACTGCGCAATGCAGCCAACTACCGGTACTGTGTACTTCGAGTTGGATGCCAGTGGCCTCAGTTGGGTGCCCTTTAGCAGTACTTCCCGGCCAGCTTCTTCATTCACTCACATCACTGCCAGTGGCCTACCCCCATCCATCAAGAGCCATAAACCCGTCCTCCCCCCTCAGCCCGTCAATCAACTGTCTGCGTGCTGCCACTGCCTTTGCTTGGGCCTTTACCTGCACCCTCCCAGAGCAAGGCATTTGCCCACACCTGCCCACGCCCTTTGGTTCGCCAGCCTGGTCCTCTTCTCCTCAAGCCTATGTACCTCGTGGTCCCTTGTTAGCGTGCTTGTACTTTTGTTGCTCTCTTTGCCCCAAGACCCAATGTGGGTGCCATGCTTTCACACTTCGATGGGGATGCAGGCTGATTTCCAAGCTTTGCCAGCCTTTTCTCCCAGTCTTTCGTCCTCCCCGCTTCTGCGCTGCTTACTGCTTTCCTCCCCTTCTCTGCGTTTCCTTGCCTTTTTGTTACCTCCACCACCACACACCGAGGCACGGCACACAACCGTGACCCTTTCTTGCTTTCTCTCCAAACGGAGCTGACACAACGACCAGCCACTCTGATTGCTGCTTTGGCCCATTGCCATACAATAGGCCTTTTATATCTGCTGCTGCTCACACCACACTTACACAGATGCTTCCTCAGCTAAAAGTAAGGGCAATATGTGGTTGCAGTCAGTTGCAGGTGCAGGGAAGTCTGCTGCAAACCAACATCGAGTGACCTCTTCGGAGTCAGTCTACAGCTGTCGCTCCGTTTTGTAAGTTGCAACTGCGCTACAACGCCCAGGGCCCGTTACGGCGGATGTACGGACTGAGGAGTTACTTCCACCCAGCCTTCGTTGTCTGATTGGTCAAACCTCGCAGAGTCAAACCGCTGATGAGAAGCCTCGTATCCTTGCTGGAATGAGGTTGCTCTTTCGGGATCATGAGCGAATTGCTTCATAACTTGATATTGATAGCGACCTGGCATTTTCTTATGCAAGATATCCCGCAACCCGCAACCCGCAAACCGCGCGTCGCCATTTTGTGCGTTGGTCCATTTGCACGTTGCCAAATCGCATCCTGGATATTGTTGCAATATGGAGAGGCGAGCCTGTCACACGGAAGAAGCTGTGCAACCTGTTCAACTGTCCGTCCCGCACCTCTGCCAAAACTCGAAATGACTACTCTAAGGTGTTTGTTCCGAGTTGCATGTCACATTTTTGCGACAACTGTTTGCAAAAACTGTTGCGAATGTCCGAGTGCATTTTGCAGGCAATTTGATGCCCTCGACATAGGAATAAGTGCAACGAAACAGTCGGACAAGAGATTATTGATACAGTCAGCAACACCACACTCGAACGCGAGCAATCAGAAGCTCCCCTGCAATTGAGCATATTGTGCAGCACTTTGTTCAAGCTGAAGCGCTTGGATCCATGCTGCTTTATGCGGCGTCGTGTCTCTCATTCCACTAGGAGAGGCTCGCACCGCGGAACGTCAAGCACCAGATGTCTCGCTAGCCCCAAACAATAAAAGGAATCACCCAAGTACCCGACGGTTCTCCTGGTACACTGTACAGGCGACACAAGGCATTGACCTAGTACGACTCGTCAACGTACAACCCCACCTTTCCGGCCACCCACCTTTCTGGCCACGTATTGCAATCCAATTGAAGGTATTCGAAACAGTGTATTCAACGTACTATTATAGTTATTCAGGTACAACCAGCTCTAATAGAAAGCTGTGCTCTAGGGCTTCCTGAGGTATAGATCTGATAGATTCTGACGCCTTAGCTGGGTCCAGTATTACCTGATTCCGACGTTGTACCTGGTCTCGTTGCCGTTCTACTTCAAGGGCTCGATCCATCGCTTCCTTAATCTGTACAATGTTACCAAATCGTTCATTAGGCCCTAATCGTACCTTCTTACGTGGTTTGGGGCGTAACGAAGTTATCTCGGCTTCTAATGCGTGCACACGTTAGGTCAAAGTAGCGACCTCGACGCTCTGTACATCTAGCCGACGAGTCAGCTTCCGAAACAATAGCCGTTGCGACGATCGCAATGGCGTAATCGCTGCCAGACTCTCCCTAGCTACTAAGCTAGTCACTGGCGTCGCTATTGTCAGATCAACCCAATTACCAGCTGTTGGTGGTGTAGTTGGTCGTTCTGATAGGGGGGCTATCGTCGGCTGAGGTCGCGATGGATCTAATGGGTATATTCCAGTTGCAGAGAAGCCTGATTGTATATTACTGATCGTGAACGACTTCGTATATGCCTCGATGTATAGCGAGAGGAACGTCGACTTTTTAAATGGAATAGAACAGTACTGGATCGAGAGAGGTCGCTAACGAGCGATAGTACCGCTTTAATGGAGCAAATACGGCTTGGAGCCCGTGAGAACAGTGTGCTGGCAAAAATAGTAACGAGATCTTGTTACAATAGGCTAACCACATAAACTCGACGTTGTCGTGAGCGATATGACCATCTAATATCAAGAGCCGCTGCTCGTCGGGATCAACTGGTTGTGTACGAGGTATAAAGATATCACGAAGCCATCGAACGGCGATATCTGTACTGATCCAACCGTTAGACGAATAAGTATATTGCCAATCAGGTATATCGTCGCAATCGTTAAACCATTGAGCTTGGAGGCTCTTGCCAGTATATATGACTGCTGGGGTCAACGAGTTACCCATCACCGATATAGCATGTAATATAGTGACCCATTCGCGGCTTTCGTCACTCCGAACGAATGTTGTATGTTTCTCTGACGATCCGTACACTATACCCTCGATCCCTTCGCCAATCGCGATGCCTGTTTCGTCGATATTCTGCGTCGATAAGCCATCAAATCGCTGACGGTCGAGGCGTCGAGATTGGATACTTCCGACCTCTGGATGGCGTTGAATAAAGCGATGAACCCAATGGCGACCGAGGCCCTCTGATCGACGATCCTGAGATAACAGAATCAACGCCATCTTAGCGATGAATAGCGCCGACGGGCTACGACCCTCGTGATCCATTTCGAGGATCCATCCAATCAGCGCGTCTTCCTGATCCCTAGATAGCTTCATCGACGCGATTGACGCGTCAAAATGGCTGAGGCCATCGCCGAGTCGTAATTGGAGGGTAGAGCGTGGAACGCCCCATCGGAGGGAAGCCTGGCGCTGGGATATCCCTTGATTGATATCGTTGAGAGCGCCTTGAATCAAATTTTCTGAATATCGAGGCATTGTATAATAATAGCCAATACCGACGATAATCTGTTGTGCAGAAGGTTGTTGTAGTTGGCAGATTAGGTGGCCGGAAAGGTGGGGTTGTACGTTACCATTAGGATCATAGTCGGAGCTGCCATACTTCACACTGTGCATCCGGTCATCATGGGTGCTGTGACTGTGTGCCAGGTCCTCGTTTCTCCACCAAATGCAACACCGCGCCAAATTCGAGCTCTCTTCGGCAAGGCTCACCTGGGCGCCGGAGCTGCGCAGGGTCTGATGGCTGATTCGGACGCGCATTGTTTACATCACGTGGATCCGATGATGATATAAATGAGCCTGCACCCCTTCCTGGCACCGCAGCAGCGCCGGCGGATTACAGCTCTGAATACGGCCGTAGCTGAATGAATAACTGCGCGTCTATCAAGAAGTCTGGCAGCTATTTCAGCTCCGTAGAAGGACGTGAAAGGGATCCGACATGGCGGCAGAGATGTACATGACCCAGTTGCGACCGCACTAAGCCCTATCTATCCAGGAACAGAAGGTCTCTCGTTGGCCGGCCAGTTTCCACAACGTGGGAGACACCCGAGATCTCGAGTCACGCCTTGTCGCATTGTAGCCCGGCAGGCTCGTACATTGGCCATTGAAGGATGACTTTCAGCATATTTCGAAAGTATGACAAGAGTATCCAAAATATGCATGCGTACTATAAGTGATCTTCAAAATAACCAAACTCGTAGCACCCAACCCGGTGTTTCTCAATGCCGTCGTACCCTTGTCGTACTGGTGACGTTGGGCAGGCCTATCCATGAGGTCATCATGGAGACTCTAAACTCAACGAGACCCGCCGGCGCGGATGTTGCAGACGAGTCCCCGGAAAGTCCATCATAGGATCTCCCGGGGTTGGCTGTTAAATGTTGTTGAATTCCAGGGTCATTGATTTGTTCATGGTTGTTCGACCACAAGCCATGGATTGCATTGTTTTGTCGACAAACTGTATTTGGGTTCCTGTTTCCGTTCTATGTGGCCTGTATGCGTTCCAAGGGCTGCTCTGCTCACTGAACTGCTAAGACCATACTTGAAAACAATAGTTGGCCAATGGCCTACCACACGTAGATGAGTTCCCACAAGGCATGGCAGGCACATGTAGCCTCTTTAACGAAACAAGTCGATCCGAACCGGGTATCATTAACAAAACACCACCGCATCTAACTCCGAAGCCTCAAATATGGTCATCGTATCCAACACCAGTGTTAGACATCCTCTTCTTCATCAAGCACAATGCTTTTTAGCCTGTCATCCCTAGCCCAGTCCACCCCACTGCCGGCAACGATGGCGCTCGCGGTGCCCTTCATGATCCTCCATCTCTTTCGACTAGCCCTCACCTCAGCTTCCAGTCTCGCAATTTCCTCAGCGTGCCCTGGATCAGCAATAGGCGCGGTTTTGCTCCGGTTGGTCTCTTCAGCAAGTTTGAGGACCTCAGATGCAAGTTGCACATTCTCCCGACTGATTTGCAAGCTCTGGCTCTCTATCTCCATGAGTTGGTCGAGGGTTTGTCGCAAATCGGTGGTTTGCTGCGCGAGAGTAGTTGAAGAGTCATCCCGCGCTATAAGAAGGGGCAACAGATCCTTTTCGATGGGAGACGCATTTATGCCATTGTGAACGGCCTGTAAGATGGGGTTGGCCATCATCACGCAGTCCGCTATGTTATTGCGGAGGACGTATTTCGCCCTTGATTTGAGTAGCGCGTTCTGGGCTTCCTCTACGTTACCAGATGCCGGTTGGCCTGTGACGCTTTCAGTACTATGAGCTGCAGGCTTCAGGAGGAAAATAAACCTTACCGGGGCTGTAGTTCTTTTGTGCTTTCAGCAGAGCTAGCTCAAGCTGAATTTGTCGCAGCCGGTCGTAGAGCTCTAGGACGCGCTTCTCCTCATCAGACAGGAGAAGCTGGCTGGGCTGAACCTCGTTCCCGAGCTCCGATGACGCCATTGTAGGAGTTTCTGCCTCTTGCCGAAGCTGGATTGCCTAACACCTTCCAGCAGAATCTCCATTCGCGTAGTAATCTTGGGGCGATTGAAAGCGTAACTCGCATAGTTGTGGCGGGTGAATGTGGCGCTTAGTGGAACTCCAACAATTCATTGTCAGTTGCGACATCGAGGTCTGGCTGACCGAAGACAAGAGCAAACTGGTCCAACGGCTGAACTGATTTCTTGCAAAACGGCTTGAACCAATAGTCCATCCTACAAACCCCACTCGGAATGGTTTTCTGAACCCATTACCTGGTCTTTTAGGCCTCTCCTCATTCTCTGTTACTTGACTTACACCTGACACCGAGCAACAAGATCACGAACAGCACGTTGCTTATCACGAGGTAACATCCTAGCCCCACTAGCCACAAGCCGAGCCTGGGATCGTTGGCCTGGGTTTTGATTCGCGAGAGTTCGCGGCGTTGTTGTAAGCCTCGTGCGCGAGTCGGCGGATTTGACACGGATGACCGGTGCGGGAAGCTTCCATATTGCGTTCACAGTAGACAGCACCAACCATCTCTTTGACCGAAGCATATTTCCTATCAGAAGCGTCGGAAGAGAATGCATACGCCATGGCGACGTCGACGCGGGTGTTGATAGCCCATACGGGCCAGCGCCTGCAAGTCGATATCTCGCAGTTCGCAGGGTAGGTCTTCTTCTTGTCTTCGCTGTTGCCCAGAAAGGGGACTTGCTGTTCGAGACAGCCGCATAGAGGCTGATAAAACTTCTGCTGCAGTATAGATGATTTCAAAGCATGGGTGGCCCGATCCAGCTCGATACCAGTACAGAATATCGTCGCTCTTACTCCCCAGGGCAAGACGTTCAAGTTCCAGTCGATCCAGCTCGAGAAAGAGATATACGTCTACGACATCCGGATAACCCAGGCTTCCGCGTCGAGCACTGCGAAATCCCTCATCCCCGAAGCGCCGCTGCCCAAACGCTACACCGTCTCGACCACGCCGAACTCAATCGAAGACACGAGGGATCTGCAATCATGGCAGGACTTATTCAAGAGCCGCCGAAACTGGGCGCTGAAGGTGGTGGAAGACTGCGCAACCATGTCCGATGCAGCACAAGAGAGATACGGCGAGATGGATGCGATGGCCAAATGTCTTGATGCGGCCGTGTCCAACCTCGAGGCCGCCGCGCGACCCATCGGTCCGAAGTACAATGAGCTGAAGAAATGGGTCATACCAACGCAGGAAGACTACAAGAAGCTCGCTGCCAATTGGGAGAGCTACCTGGATCTGGCGCGCAGTATCAACATATCCCCGGCCATGGTGCGCTTCATGACAAGTCGCGAGGTGCGGAAGACACGCCAAGCTACTCTGGAGGATCTGATAGATCTCGAGACTACGCGCAAGGCAGGCAAGCTGGCGAACACTTCGCTGCGCAAGTTCAACAGCAAAGTGTATGAACTCAACAAGACCGCCGACAGCATGTTCAAGGGCTGTGATGAGCTGTTTGAAGAGTTTGACAAAGCCATGTCACGGTCTGCGCTCCAACATGGCAACGATACCGTGCAGCTCTTGGAGGATATTGAGGCTGTTGCCAAGAAGATTGATACCGACTACCAGACAATACTAGAGTACACCAATTTGGCAAGAGATGTAACGCAAGCATCTAAGACGGCAGCGAATCACACGGAACGCCTCCTGCCAAGCATACGGAACAGAGCCTTGGAAATGGACGACATGCTGCGCTACGCCACGCAAGCCCGAAATGATCTCGCTGCCGAGTCTCTTGTCTTCATGCGCAGCATTGCCGAGATGACAAGCCTGCATTCCGACGTCAAGGGTCAGATGACTGTGTTAAACCAGGGCGAAGAGGAGATGACTACGTTCGACTATTTGCGCCTGATCCAACAACTGCCCTACATGTACGCATCATTCGTTGCGGAGGCGGTTCGACGTCGGGAATGGGCAGACAAAGTGAAGGCCGATTCCTCCACGCTGGTGAACGAAATGGCCTTGTTCCAGGAAGAAGAGGCCAAGAGGCGCCGGAAGTGGCAGAAAATGGTCGGCAGCACTTACGGCCCCGAAAAGACAGAGAGTAACATCATAGGACTAGAAGTCAACCTTCTCGGCGAAGAAGAGCCCTGGCCAAGCATGACGAAGCGCGATCTCGACGACTTTTTGGCCGTGGTGCAGAGACAGAAGGCGGACGAGACCGTAACTGAGGATATCATCAAGTTAATCAATGAGCTCGGCGCTCCGACAAAACAGCAGTCCAAGAGAGTAAAGGCCTTCAAGAACGGGAGTGTCCACGAGGCGGTACTAGGCCGGAGTGGGCTCTTAATACGCGGAGACGATGATCTTCTAAGGAACTTGCAAGATGAAAAATCAAAGCTCGAGAGCAAGTTGAAGACGGCTGAAAGTCGAGTGCGCCGGCTCGAGGGTTTGTTACACCGCCAGAGCACAGAGTCGAGACCTTCTCTTGGGAACCTTTTTCAGCCTGGTCATGAACGCAATGGCTCGACCGCCTCTATCAAATCCCCGCACGTAGAGGATCGTAGGAGATCCTCCGTTTCCGAGAACAACGACGCCCTTCTTCACCGCATCGCCCAACTAGAGAGTGATCTCAACACCGAGAAGGCGCGATCTGCCGTCTTAGAAAGAGATGCCACTGCTCGGACCAGGGATATGGAAGGTCGGATGGACGAGGCCAACTCGACCAAGAAAGATCTCTTGGGCAATATGGAAGCTCTCAAGAAGGAATTCATGGATGAGAGGAAATCGCTCGAAGACGATATCAAGACGCTCAAACGTCGACTAGAAGAAACCGAAGATGAGATTGAGCATTTTGGCGAGTCGCGGGAGAATGAGAAGGTCACCTACGACGAGAAACTTCGATCGCTCGAAGACGACGTTGAACGCCTTACCAAGGAGAAGACCGACGATGCGCTCAGAACCCAAGGACAGATCGAATTCCTGCGAAATGAAACACGACTGCAGAGGGAACAGAACAATGTACTAGAGAGGCAATTACAAGAGGCAACCGAGACGATCAAGCGCTTGACAAGAAAGGCCGAAACATCTGAGGAGAGCAGCGATAGCCAAATCCGCATCCTACAGGAGCTGCACGGGCGGTTATCTCCCAAGGATAATGTGCCGGGGGACATAAATGACTTGATGGAGGCTGTAGCAAACAAATCAAGCGATATCCTCAGCCAAGTCCAGGCTCTCGAACAGGATGTATCCATTCTCAAGTCGGATTTGGAGCTTGCCCACGTCACCATCAAGGAGACCAAGACGGAGCTCTCCGAGGCGAAAGACAAGCTGTCGGCCGAGCAGACAGCTGGGATGAAACTCCATGAAGCCCTCGAAGAAGAAAAGGTTAGATGCTCCACGCTTGAAGGCGAGCTAGACGAAGGACGAGAACAGCTCCACCAGCTTCGAGTCAAGATGACCGAAGGCGAGACTGGCTCTGAGTCTATGAGGAAGCAGCTCGAGGATGAAGAGAAGAAAGTGTCGGGACTAACCGAACACCTGGCCTCGAAGCAGTCTCAGCTCGGCAGTCTGGAGGAGGAACTCCGCACATTCAAAGAGAAACTCCGTGTGTCGGATGCCCGACTGGCTAGTTTGAAGCAACGCTTCGAGGGCCGTAACGAGCAAACCAAGGATCTCACTCAGCGTCTGTTTACCCAGAACTCGCGACTCTGCGGTACTCTAGAAAGACTCGGCTTCTCAGTCAACCAGCAAGATGGCAAGACAGTGATCCAGAAGATCCCGAGATCCGAACGCACTGCGCGCGACCCCAACGACTCTTCGGATCCCAGCTCCTCCATTCGGCGCTCTGTCTTACTTACGACTGGCAACCTCGCCGACAGCACCGACCTCAAGCTTCTCTACTGGATGAACGCTGAAGATGCTGACGCCGAGGCAGCGCAATACGAATCCTTCATCTCAGGTCCTGGCGCTTTCGACATGGATGCTTTCCACGATGCCATTTACCGCCGCGTCAAGGACTTGGAGCACACAGCTCGGAAGGTGACTCGTGATGCCCGCGCCTATCGTGAGCGCGCCCATGCCGCGGTTAAGGATTCGCATGATAAGATTGCGTTTAGGCATTTCAAAGAAGGAGACCTCGCGCTGTTCCTGCCGACTAGAAATCAGACCACGGGTGCCTGGGCCGCGTTCAACGTCGGGTGTCCGCACTTCTTCCTACGCGAACAAGAAAGCCATCGGCTTAGGCAGCGAGAGTGGCTCGTGGCACGCATCACCCGCATCCAGGAGCGTGTCGTCGACCTGTCCAAAAGTTTGAGCTCTACCACAGCACAGCTGCCGCCAAGCGAGACAGACAGCGTGAACACCGGCGACGAATTCGATAACCCCTTCGACCTATCCGATGGTCTCCGCTGGTGGCTGATCGACGCACACGAGGATAAACCCGGGGCGCCGACCACGCCCGGCCTGGGGAAAAGTACCGTCGCCGCTAATAACGTAGAGGCCATGGCTGATATACGTACCCGACAGTCTCGAACTGGCGCCAGCAAACTCCTGCCGGGTAAGCATGGCGGAATCGAAGGCGTCAGCAAGACCTTGAGCATGAGTCTCGAGAGCCGTCGCAGCAGCACAGGCAGTAGGAAAGCCCTGCCGTTTGCCGGTGGCGTAGGGGCCGGGGCCGCTAAGGGTAGCGCGCTTGCCTCGGAGACCAACAGCTTGAGGGCCGTGGCGGTCGAGAGTCCAGACCTGACACAGTCGGGCTCGGGACAGAGCGCCCAGGTGGTCGTGGGGTCGCCCAGTAAGAGTCGACTTCACGAGTCCACGGTTAAGGACACTGCGGCGGGAGACAGCAACCCGGAAGCTGCTGCACCGTCGAACGAGGTACGGCATGACGTGGATGTTCTGCTTGGTCCGTGATCATCTGTTAGGCATACTGATTGATAGGTCGACAGGACCGACGGCTCTATCCACAGTCGCCTCGTACCTCCCGTTCTAGTCCTCAGAAGCCACAGCAACAGGAGGCTGTTCCTCGTGGCAATTTGGCACGTGTTGCGAGCAATGAAAGTGGAGAGGGCCACGTTAAGAGCGTCGTCTGGGATTCTTTATGGAGCATCGACGTCAGCTACCCTGGCAAATGAAGCCAAGGGAGGTTAACTGTACTATAGTCATAGCTATACATGGCGCAAGGGAACAGGGATTGGGGATTTGGGGGCAGCTGGTCTTGGTTTCGGACTTGCTTTGGAAGGATGTGTCAAGGAGTGATGAGGTGCAGACAAATTGATGGATTGCTGGTTAGGCACTTGCACACTTAAGTGGCGAATACGGATACCCTTATTAGAACTGCCTATACAGATACATCGGGTAATGAGTACGGATTATCGTGTATGCATAACCTAACGTACCCCACGGTCCAATTGAACACTTTCGCGCATTTCCGTACAACCTAGGTTTTATCCCTTATTTTCCACCTTCTACAATGGCACATAATTGGGAAGAAAGCGATATTCAATTAGCGCTTCAAGCGCTTCAAAATAACCCCAAACTAAGCGTACGATCCGTAGCACGGATCTATAATATCCCTCATACAACCTTAAGTCACCGATATCGCCGCGGTACTTCACGACAGGATATACGATCACCAACGCAAAAGCTTACCTATTCCGAAGAAGACGCCATCTTACGCTACATAGTCGACCTAGATTCACGATCATTTCCTCCTCGAATAAGTGGTGTTGAAGATATGGCGAATCGACTACTCCACCAACGCGACGCAGGACGCGTCGGTATTAACTGGGCTTCGAGCTTCGTACGACGACAACCAGATCTCCGGAAGCGTTTTAATCGAAGAATCGACTACCAGAGAGTCCTCTGCGAAGATCCCGACGCGTACCGCGCGTGGTTTTATCTCGTACGGAATACAATTAATAAGTATGGAATTCAAGAGGAGGATATCTATAATTTTGACGAGACTGAGTTTCTTATGGGTCAAATCTCATCCGAGATAGTTGTAACGACCTCTGATAGACGTGGAAGACCTAGAGAAGTACAGCAAGGGAATAGGGAATGGGTTACAGTTATCCAGGGCGTCGGATCGGACGGCTATACTATCCCTCGTATATCATCTTTGCTGGTAAAACTCACCTATCTTCGTGGTACGAAAATAGCCTACTGCCAAAGGATTGGGTTATCGCGGTTACGAAAAATAGCTGGACTACAAATGAAAGAGGCGAGGACTGGGTTCGACATTTCGATCAACATACAAAGCTTCGTACGAAAGGTGTTTATCGCCTCTTAATTCTCGACGGCCACGAGAGCCACCACTCGACCGCTTTCGAGCTCTACTGTAAAGAGAACTCTATTATCACACTCTGTATGCCTGCTCATTCGTCGCATAAGCTCCAACCTCTCGATATCGGCTGTTTTTGTGCACTGAAAAGAGCGTATGGTAAAGAAATTGAGGATCTTATGCGGGCACATATTACCCATATCTCGAAGGAGGACTTCCTCTCCGCGTTCTTAAAAGCGTTCCAGGCAACTTTTACGATATCAAATATCCAGGGAGGTTCCCGAGGGGTAGGACTCGTACCGTACGATCCGGAATATGTGATTTCGCAGTTAGATGTGAAGTTACATACTCCAACACCTCCGGGTACCTCGTCTGGCCTTCCTATTATCTGGGAGTCGAAGACCCCAAATAACCCAATTGAGGCACAATCCCAGACCGAACACGTGGAAAACCGAGTTATACGACATCAAAATAGCTCTCCGACAGCTACACTTACTGCACTTGACCAGTTTGCGAAGGGTACGACGCAGGTTATGCACCGGCTTGCTCTTTTAGAGGGTGAGAACGCCGCGCTTCGAAAGGCAAATGAGACACTTAGCCGGCGGCGTTATACGAGAAAAAAACGGTTACAGTATGGAGGATCACTTCGTATACAAGCTGGAGAAGATTTACAGTCTCAGAAGCTAGTTAACTGAGAGTTAGATAATAAATCGCGCTGGAGTCGTAGTCGTACGAGGAGGCCAGAGATACTTCAGCAACGCTGTAGGACGTGCGGAGAGCCCGGTCATAATATGCGTACTTGTCAGAATAGTAAAGAGATATCTGAAGAAGATAGTTCCGAGTAGTTTTAATTATTTTTTACGTTATAGTTGAATTAACTTATATCTTATTGTACGAGGTCTTAAGAAGTGTTCAATTGGACCGTGGGGTACGTTAGTCGTATATGGTTTGACGTTTGGTCGATTCAAACTGAATTGAGTACTTTCCTCCTCTCGCACTTCTTCACAAGCCTTGTATGAGGTGTAATAGTACAATTCTTTTGATATACAGCTGCTGTCTCATCATGTACAGGCGTAGTCTACATTTTCTTCCATCCGTTGGTGTCGTCTCTTCATGCTCGTGGTTTCGACGCCCGATCCCTAATCCTCAGCAACCACCTCAACACTCCTCCTCACCATTCCCTTTCCCGTCTCAATCTCAACATCAAATCGCCCCAACCGCTTAATCCGGTCCTCGCCGTCCTCAAGTCCCAAAATCCGGATCCCGTGTGCCTCCAAAGCGACACGGTTCCCATTCTGGTCCGCCTGCAGTGCGTCCTTGATGGCGGCGAGGATGTCCACCACCGACACGGAGCCGAAGATGGCCATCACACTCGGTGGGGCGGCGAGGTCCGAGACCGCTGGATGCTCGACTGATGGCTGGGCCGCTTTTTGGGCTTGCTGCTGGTGCGAGACGGCGGCGTTGGCAGCTAGGGATGGGGAGCGTCGTATTTCGGGCTCAGGGGCGGGGGTGCTGGAGTTCGCGGAGGATGATGGGGAGGAGGATGGGGAGGTTTCGATAGTCGTGGCGATGGGTTTGCGGGCGAAGGTCAGGACGTCGGGGAGTAATTGAGAGAGGAGGGTGTGGGCTTCCTCGGGCTGCGAGTGGTGTTCCGTTAGCTTCTCGTTCCATTTTTGTTCGCATCGCATGAAGTAATGAAGGGGATCCAGGAGAGTGCAGCATACCGCCAGCGTCAAGGCCTCCTTCTTCTTCGTCTTGGGTCCCTCCTCGACGAGCACCTTGCCAGACCCATTCTGGTCTTCCTCAACTACGAGCTGCGTGCCGAAGGTGCGGTCGCGCACGCCGATGGCAGCTTGTGTCAGGCCGAGCTCTTCGAAGCGCTTCTTCGTCATGTATTCGGCGAGGCCCTTGTGGTGCCAGATGTTGCGCATGCGGCCTGGTTTGACGCGGATGATGGCATCTGCGAAACGTGCGAGTTAGCCAAGATTCTTCCTTCACAAGACAAGGAAACCGGGGTTAACGTTGCGGTTTCTGAGATTGTTGTGAATGCATACTTTGGCGACCAAAACCAGTGATATCCCTCAGCAGACGGACTGGTATCCCCTGGAGGTCCTCCTCCTCGGCTTTCGTCAATGTTCGCGCATAGCGGACTTGGCCCAGGGACAGCGGCGAGGGGACGGCCGACCGGGGGTTCGCGATTCGGTGGAGGCAACTGAGGCACGTCGGTGTGCGGGTGAGACGTGGTGTCACCATTCTGAGCGGGATGGCTGAACGCTGGCTTCGAGGTCTCGACGTTGAAGCTACCTCGAAGCTTCGTGATATTTTTCGAGGATGGGCTTGGGTGGAGCGGCACTTGCCGTCGGGGGGGGTTGTGGCCAATCAGGATGCGGTTATCACTTGCAGCTTGCAACCGCAATGAAATTGTCATATACTCTTGTTGAGAGCATACTGCTTTTGGAGCTCATATCTCATAGTTATTGGGATAAAAAGACTACGTATAGTTGACTTGTTTTGTTTACACCAAAACAATCACTCAATCCGGACTGCAGGGTTTTCCAAGCAACATACGCATCCCGGTACCTACACTGTTCGGTGCTTCCTTGACAGAGTTTGGTCGAACCTCCCATGTATTGGTATACTGGCGTGTTCTACTAAATCTGAATTCACTGCAAGTGCGGAACTGGTGGTTTTCGTTTGCAAAATGTCGTTACCCTGCTAACTAGAAACCAGTTCTGTCGACTTTACTTGATTACTTCAGTAAACAATAACGCCCGTTATGATATTTCCATATTTATTGCCCTTAGGGCTCAAACAATCAATCCTCACACAAGCAACCCAGTACAGACTGGGACCCGCCCCATGGGACAGAAGTCGTGGAACTAAGTCTAGCGATAGCGACAACGCTTCAACTCTCAAAACCCCGGTATGGTATGGTCTAGCAGTGGGTTATCGCCGAACGTTGGATAGACGCAATCACTATAATATCAAAATAAAATAGCTTCTTCAGGGTTCTCAAATAAGATGAATCTAGATCGTTACACAGAGAATAAGCCTAACCTGTCGCGGTCAGGCTGTCAACAGAAGCTTACGCCCCTTGTTGCAGTGACTTGCGTCCAATCTGGTCCAGCGATTGCTACAATCTCAACAGAGCACGACTCTGATAGCGACCTAATTAATGATAGTGTCATTTGACAACATGACATGAATGTGGATGAGAGAGTTCCAGCTTCCAGAAGCCAGAGTTGCAATTGCGGACAAAATGTCGCAACAGTAACCTCTCTGCTCGATTTAAATTGAATCTTTGTGGGTTGAGACCGGGACTTTTGGCAAAAGCACTGTACGGTCACCAAAAGGGGGTTTTCATCCATACCCCTGAATTTGTGTCAACTTTGAAGCATCGCTTTACAGTATTGAGGTCTTTTCTATGCCAGAGAGGGCCTGCTTTCTTCTAACCAGTGATCGTTTCAAGGCTGTAGAAGAAGGAAGCCCATATCTTCAAGCCAGGTCAAGCATATGCAAGGCTCAGGCAGATAGGGGTGAGGGTGAATGGGAGGGCAGGAGCATGATTGAAACACCGCAAGCTTCCGAGTCTCTATAGAGTCGTTATTGATGGACGATACCGGCGTATTCTCAAATTTTAGGCTACAATCCTAGCGCATTTGAGACATGCGAATAAGAAGAACACACCATTATCGCGTCGCGTCCTGAAGCGCGTTCCTACTTACGTGGGTGGAATAATACTTCGCCCGAAGCACTTGCGCAAGCACGCGGCTGCTCCAACTGCCAAATTCAGAGCATTAACAAGAAAAGCACGGTCTTGATCTCACTCCGTCACTGCTCAAGGTATACTATAGTTGCTAACTGCATTCAGTGCGTTGTCACATCAACCTCTGCTTGGGAGTTACGACTCTACCTTCGATACTGCTTTGCCACTTCAGGAGCATTTCGATACCCCCATTTTTTCACTGTTCACACAAACGACAAAACATCTCTAAACATCATTGTCCTCCATCAATCTCAGAAGTCACCATGGAAAAATCCACTTCGGACAACACTAGATCTCCTCAGACGACTTTCGATGTCGCGGAAGCTGTCTCAGTAATGGTCGCCATGGCAAAGCTTACACTTGACAATCAGAACCACGAGACTGTCTCACCCCTGCCCAACACATCAGCTTCGGAGGCAGTGACCACGGAGGTGCCGCTCTTGATCACCACAATCGCCGAGTACCATCACTGTGAGCCCCTTCTCGAAAAGATGTTCCCTCCGCCCGGACGGCCCACGAAGCCGATCTTCCGATTCAAGCTCGTCGTCCAGGTGGACCTCGATGGCGAGATGGATGAGCTGCTTGCCCCTAGAGACGAAGTCAAGTTCGTTCCCTCGAGTCAACATCTTAGCATCATCTCCAAGCAATGCAACCCTTCGTACGGCAACGGGCCCATGACCACGACATATCCCGTCAAGGACCCAAACGAGACAAACGATCCGGATGATTTTGATAATAATCAGCCAGCCGGTCCATATGGTCCTGATTATGCGGAGCTCAAATTACTGGTTCTGCGTCTTTCTCGCCAAGAAAACCACGTTTCCCATGACACCTTCGGGGATATTGAGCGACAAGTGGAACGACTCCGACGCCTCAAGCTTCTCGGCCCGGACGACGTAGATGGCTTCGACTACTTCACCACCGAGCAGCTGCAACACTACCGGGAGGAAGCTGATGTCATTTGGGACGCCATGTTCGCCGACGAGTATTTCAGAGAATTTTTCATTGATCAGACGAAAAAGGTTCTCATAGCGTCCCTCGAGGATGACAACCTCAAGCTCCCTTATAATTGGCCCCGATCCATATTTGAGACCAAGTTCAAGAGTTTGGTCCGCGGCATCAACAACGAGACTTGGACTTACGCCTTTTTTGCTGGATACTTGGACTTTCAGCGCAGATTGTTGCGTATCCTCTAAGCTTGGGAGAAGATGAGGAGACGTGGTGGAGAAATCATGAGATATGGATGGTAAGATTCATAGATGATGATGGTGTTGGAGTATAATCCGATTCTTGTAGAGAATGCGCGCACGAGATGAATTTTGAACTCCATTCTGATTGGTAATGGCCAGGAAATACAGGAACTCATTGACAGATGGATCATGGCGATGGCATTTAAAGACCTGAGGTTTGAGGAACTCATCACGCAGCCTGAACTGGTAGTGGCTAGGAAAAACCGCGTTCTATTGGTGGATTCATCATGGCCTGTGAGGCTTGTAAGAGCACATCATTATTTACAAACAGACAAATGAAGTCACTGCTAATGATTATAAATTCTCCCATATGCCGTACTAGCCCGTCAGATTGGGGACTCTATTTTTACTAGCAACTGATAGATCTAACATGCTAGCTAAAATATGTCAAGTTCGTTGTTATCAGGCCTATTGCAAGCTATACCAAAGAATAGGATCAAATGTGTCTGTCTCCTCTTCTCAAGAGTTTACAGTGGCCATAAAGGTCTTACACATGTAAAAAGGAACGATGCCTGCGCCACAGGCAGAAATTGTGTGGTACGGTGGGTGGTGGTCATACCAGCCCATAACGTATGTTGGCCATATGGCCTCACAAACTGGCAATTAGGTTGTAATGCGCTTGAAGTTCCAACACCATCCCTCGCCAGTCAACTGAAGGCTGGTGCGATCCGATAATTGTATCAAGTGATCCGCTACCTTGTAATCCATATATGTACTATAAGCATACGTTTTAAATCTCATTTATTATACTGCCTTATAGAAGCCTAGGGTGAAGTAGACAAGCTACTTTAAAGGTAGCTTCCGTCTCGCTTATACATCCGTACATACTAAAAACCTTTCGCTCGTACTATAGCTATCATTGATACAAGTAGCAGTTCCTCGCAGCTATTTTCATACTAGCTAGGTAGTCAAGTAGCCCCTTTCCACCTAATGTAGTATTAAAGAGTGTATAAAGAGAAGCATATGTTAATTCCCCCGTAAAATTCTCGTGCTACTACCAAGATGGCTGCACGTATCCACTTTGTTGTGATCTCGACGTAGATAGCTCAAGTCAGTGTCACAGCTTTGTTTGTACACGTCAGAATGGGAGTGGAGTTGCTACCAGACTTAAGTGATACAGTGTTGGTAATAAAGAAGAACTGGCTACGTATGATTTTCAAACGTGTTGTAAACCCATTGCGATTGCCGTGTCGACAGGCAAGTAGAGTAGAGGGTGCCAGGGATCAAAACAGGCTTCGGGGGCACCTGGAGACTCTTTAAAGCGACCAGGATACAGGATGAGAGACTGCAACGCCTAACCCGCTGTAACACGATGGCATTGAATACATATGTGCATATATGTGCATAGTGCCCCAACTGTCTTATACTTGACAGATGTGCTGGAGCGGCCGGTCCTGGGGTACTTTGCTACACATAATACGCTCACTAGAAGATTCTACCTTATGCAGTGACATTTGTGTTTTGCAGGAGCTTCTCATCGACTAAATTACAGCTCAATTACGTAAACCAATCATGAACCTATCCTAAGTTTATGGATTGTCCCACATCAGCTTATACTTGCGCCTTGTAAACTGTCGGCGGAGGACAGATACTAGTCGTTGTATCATACTCAATCGGCGGCGCAACAGCGGTGGCCGGCACCTCCCGAGGCGACATATTCCCATCGAGTTCCTGTGGGCTCATGACCCTGTGACTCGGTTGCTGATAAGTAGACGAATGCGTTGGGTTGTGTTGACTGGGGGAGTGCTGCAAAGCGGCAGAATTTTGATACCCCTGCAAGTTGGGCGAGTATTGTGGTTTCGTTGCTTGGCTTGTTGTTCCCGACCCATCGTTCCAAGACTGGTTTTGGGCCGAATCCCCTGGCCGGTAACGCCGCATGTCTGTAAGCTCTCTTCGTGCTTTCCAAAGGAACCACAAGCTGGCTGTCAGCGCTAGAAGCAGGGGTAGACCGACCCCCAATCCAACACCTAACCCAGTCCAACTTTTGGCTGTGTCCACGGCTCTGTCGCTTGATTCTCCAACAGACGTCGAGTTCCCCACGACGTACATGACGCCGCTGGAACTGCTATCTCGATGGTCGTTGATGTATCCTGTGGGTATTGTGAAGTTGTTCGTGCATTCGTTGACATCACCTCTGCAGGTCCAGATAGTGGACTGGTTGTTGCATTGGCGAAGGTTACCCAGTCTGTCGCCTTGGACATTATTGAAGCAGTAGCGGGGACAGGCAGGATCCCTGAAGGTCGAGTCGGTACAGCTGCCACGGACGACGTGGCTGTTCATAGGATCCCAACATAAGCTGTTGGATAAACATGCTATTTCATTTCGATTAGCCATCTGGGATCGCTACCATTGAGAGAATAATAGGGAAGGACTTACTGTGTCCGGCTTGACAACAAGGGACAGCTCCTGTTGCGTTGGGATCACAGGGTTGACCGAGAGAATGGACATTGCCATGGGGGAAGAAACATTGTGTCTCCTTGGCTGCAATTACACGGGCGACCGCCAGTGCAAGCACACAGGATAGTAGCCATGGTAGAGTATTCTGAGACTGCGACATCGTGAAGTCGTCGAAAAGTCGCGAAACGTAAACTAAGACCTAGCTGGTCATGGAGAAACGCGTGTGACAGTCACAGCTACCAAGGAAGCTGAAAAAAGAGAAAGACAGCCCTGAGGTGCGGCTTATCATCAATAGATCAAGGACGTGTCTTCCCAGGTTACTGACAGGGATCTCCAGGATTAGGATCCAGGGCACCTAAATCTGTATGTACTGCCGGGTCACCGAGGTGCAGCCCATTGTGGCCTGTCGATTCAATCTTTACAAGGCTATGTTGTCATTATTCCGCCACCGCAACAAGCTGTAGGCGGTGCAAAGGGGCTCAGGGGTGGCCGTGGGAAGGGCTTGGCGCGGCCGATGCGGCCGCTTCGGTCGGGTACTCGGAGCTGGGGTGGTATCCGACTCAGCTCGAGAGCTTATGTAAGTTGGGCACTGGAATCTGTTTTATTAAAGTTGGCCAATGACCTCACAGGACTGCAGGACCGGCGGCGAAGACAACGGCAGCCCCGACGTGTTCGAAACGGGGGCTCCGTATGTTGTCGTTATAGCCTAGTAGTGTGTCGCACAGTCCGAACCAGTCTCGTTTTGTAGTCCATAGCTTTTGTTGTATAAGGCGATTGGATAAACCACTCAATACCTATAGGCAGATCAACTGACCTGCCTGTAGAACAACATACTTGAAAGGGGGTGGCAAACAGACTTAATTGGTGTTGAGAATGTATGTTGAGGAATTTAGGTACGAGTGAATTGACTCACCGAGCAACACTATTACAATAGTCCATGAGACTGCCTGGGTTATATCACTACGACTTCAATAGAGTAGTCTAAGATGGCAATAAACAGAATGATTTGATTATTCACTGTAAGTCAATTCCATCCTATGAGAAGCAACAAGTTCCAGATAGTACTCCCGAGTGATTTCGCTTATATGAAGCTCATGTTAGATGATACTCGTTCAAGTAGTGACAGTAATTCCACTATAGTTCAAGACTATTTTTTACACTGTAAACGAGATTGTTGGTCCAAAGCGAATAAGTGCCGACAATACGTCCGATAAGTCTGATAAGCCATCGCACTCACTCCACGAACAGGTGAGTGACACAAACATTATAGGTTGCGTTCATCCAATCCGCGTAGGTCCATGGGCCAACATCTCACATTTTTGAAGAGATTTGAGTCTTGGATTTGGGACCATGCCCAGCTGCTTCAACAGCCCAATCACTCAAGTATAGCGGCAACTCCGTCTCAAGCAAAAAGACCGTCAGTCCTTCTGTCCCCAACTTTTCTGGCTTGAGAGTCGACTTAGTAGCTCGTTGGAAATCTGCCTCAACTGCTCCTGTTGTCAAGTTAGCAAATATCCATTGCTCCCGTATGCTCGCGAGTCCCTAGCTCGTCATAGGAACATACCATGTGTCGTCATACACCCATGCAATCCTGCAACAAACGGCCTGAACTCCTGGCCCCCTCCATTCAACCCATGCTCTGGGTCCTGCACATTCGCAATCAATCCAAAGAATTCACTCATGGTATTCCTATGAAAATAGGGCAACCGCAACGTATCCTCCGCCACCATCCACCTTGGCGGTATGATGGCGAAATCAACTACATTCGTACCCGGCTCGCGATTCGACGGCGCGCTCAGGAGCGTATATAGACTCGGATCATGCTCATCGAAGAGCAAGTTCCCCATTACACAATACCGTGCCAGGTCGTACTTATACGGATAGAACGTGCCATGCCAGGCGGCTACGTCGAAAGGTGTGTGGTCTTGCGTGCAGAACCAGAGACGTCCGGCTTGGCGGGATATGATTGTATATTCTGTGTTGTTGGCAACAGCCACATCGCCCTTGAGTTCGCCGTCAAAGCAGGCGGTGGGAATCTGGAAGTCCCGGATATTGGCTAGGCCCGTGGATCCGATGGGCCCCAACTCGGGCAGCCGGAAGTGGCCCTGGAAGAGCTCGCACATGTAGCCGCGTGCGGGCCCGGCAGGGAGGGTCACACAGTACCGGATACCCCGGGGAATAACACAAATTTCGTTCTGGCGGACGAGTAGTTTTCCGAGCTCCGTTTGGATGTTGAGAGTTCCGGCTTGGGGGATGATGAGACAGTCCCCGTCGAGAGACGAGAAGGCCACGTTGGGTTTCATGGATTGGGCGATGGAGAAAAGCCATATGGCAAGGCCTGTCTTGGTTGCTGCGTCGCCGTTCTGGGCTAGGAGTGTCTGGGTGAGCCAGTCTGCATCTGGGTCGACAGGGACGGATGGCCATAGTGAGGAGTTGGGCGACAAATAGCTGGGTGGGTTTGCCGTGGATTTGTTGTTGTAAGGCACGAATTTGGAGTGTTTGAGCGATGAGGTTTGCCTGTACATGAAGGTCTGCAGGTTGTGGTCCCTTGGCGCTGTGAAGGAACTACCGCTTATCCTCTCCGTCCGCAAGCCATAGGGAGGCTTCTGTGGGCTATTGTTTACCAACGGGTTGGCACCTGGGAATGCTTCTGATCTGAGATGATGCTGGTGAGTATTTTGTGTTGCATACAGCCAAAAGAACTGACTGGTGATAACTCCCAAACCCCTCCAGATACTGATACTTCTCCTTGACCGCAAATTTAGTCACTGGCGTCATGATTCAGTGATTCAAAGTCGTATACACAAGGCGTCTCGGCCAACGAGCTTTTCATCAAAGTCTCAGAAAATATCAAGGAATGGCTTGTGTTCACCTACCAGTGGAATTTCAAATGATATCGGAAGTGAACAAGACCACTTGTGGACTCGACTAGTAACGTCGGCATCATAACTCTGGTTGTGGTCAGACCGAGTACCACCTTGCCCACCATCAGACGAAGTCTAAAATTACCAAACGGAGGCAATGAAGCGTACAACCCCGCATACCCCGCGACAATAGACTTCATAACCTGCAAGTGCATCATGGACAGGGAGGCGATCATCTAGCGCAAGCCGAGGCAAAACACTCGAGAACCCCCAACGTCAATGTTTGGAGAGGGTATTACTAAATCCGAATTGGGACATCCATACATGTGTGTGTGGACGAGATATAACAATACAAAAGAGCATGTACTTAGAATACTGCTATATAGTTCAATCCCTCGAGGACATATTCTAGGTCAACTTAGGAGCGAATAAACCAGAAGCAAGAATGGCAGCCCCAGTGACGCAAATCATCTACCTACAGATCGGTATCGACAAGGACTTAACAGACGCCAAATCCGATGCTGGGAAAACGTGGAGAGAAGCCTTGGACATCCTTCAAAGCCACGAAGGATTTCAACGTCTATACTGGGGACGCTCCCCTGAAGACATGACAAAAGTGCAGTTGCACGTCGGTGAGCTCAAGTTATTCTATCAATCCATTATTTTACCTACCTACTTACCCCCATTCGCTCTGTAGTCAGAAACCATCTATCTCAACACCAATCCTTGCAAAGTTCCCCCCAATACACCTCATTTCAATCCCTCCTCCAATCCCTTATCATTCCCACAACCCAGCCCCTGACCCGCCACGCCCTCCTTGAAGAAAACACCCCAAACTGCTGCTCCCTCGGCAAGGGAGCCCCCGTCACGGGGACCGCCATCTACGTCGGCACCGACGCCGCTTGGCACGAGGGTGCCTGGCCGCTATGGACCCATATTGTGCGGTATGTAGACGGGTGTCTGGGCTGTGCGGGCGGGAAGTTATTGGAGCCGGTCGATGGTTATCAGAATTGTTTTTTGGTGTACGTGGGGTGGGAGACGATCGAGAAGCATGAGGCGTATCATCATACTGAGCACTTTAGGCAGAGGTATATTATTTTGAGGTCCGGGAATAAGGGGTTCAGGGAGTATGGCCACGTAAGATTTGAAGGAGGGAGGGAGGCGGTGGTGGAGAGGTTGTGAGAAGATGAGGTATATGGCAGAGACGTGTGGAAGCCAGGAGCAAGTTACTGTGTGGTACGCTATCAAGCCCCTGGTTTTTGTTCCTATGAATATCAAGGTTTGTAGATAGCTTGGTCGAAGTCAAGTGTGTTCATACGTTACTGGTCTCTATAGAGTTTGACTTGAATGTCTCAATACTATCATTCTTATTCCAGTACTTGAAGCTTGCTCATCTCTTTGGCAAACCCTTCGACATCAACCTTCCCACAGGACTAAGCTATGCTTACAAAATCCTCGTCTTGCCTCAGAAGTTACCGCAGAGTCTTCCCAGCAGGACTTCCTCGAATGGATGCCCTGAAGACAACGCCCCCGCTCATCTCTTTCTAACCTGATAGCAGCTCTTTAACATAGTCGACAATATCTTCCTCGACATTTGGCAGTACTATCACCTCGGCGAGTTGATCTACTTCGCCGCCCAGACACTTAATAAGCTGTCCATCCTAGTGCTCATGGTCCGCGTATTCCCCCGATTCCAACGCGTCGTCTACGGCGCCATCACCCTCATAATCGCCTATGGAACGGCCTTCTTCTTCATTACTCTCCTTCAGTGCTGGCCCATCAACCGCGCCTGGCTGTAACTCGACGAACGACACCAGGGGAAATGCAACAATGTCCACCTTCAGGGGTGGCTCAGCGCCATCTTCAATATTACGCTCGACATCGTCATCTTCGTCCTCCCTTTGAAGAATTTGTACGAGTTGTACATGCCACCCAAGAAAAAGCTACTCGTTTCTGTCCTGTTTTCCTTGGGTATCTTTCAAATCAACCTGATCATCCCTACATATCTTCCCGATGGGATATTGACGGCAATAATTACAACGTAGTGTGACAATAACCAACGTCATCCGCCTCCAATATTTTGTCTCCTTCGCTAATTCAGCCAACATGACCTACGACTACGTTGAACCTGGTGGAGCACTCTCGAGCTCCACATGGGTATCATCTGCACCAGTCTCCCCGCCATCCGTGCGCTGTTTGTCAGCCTCGGCGCCAAGTTGCTGGGTTCGTCCAAGAGCAGCAACTCGAAGCCCTCCAAGTTCTCGACCCATGGCGAGTCCGAGCTCAAGTCCGGTGGTGCAAAAAACCAACAGGCCCCCAGACGAAGATATGGGGGTGATTTTATCCCGCTGGAGGATGTTGACAGTGGGAGGGGCATCAAGAAGACTAGTTTGAAGGAGTGACGGGAGAAGCAGTCTGCTTATAGCCTGAAGTGAAGGGGTGGGAACGAGAGTTTAATTCGATCGTGTAGTGTATCAAAGGACTGAAATGCATGTAATTCGTCTAAATCTTGATGGACACCTCAGAGTGAGAAGTCTTCGACAGCACTTGTGCAGGTGCCATCGAAGAGTTGCGTGTACCATATTTAGTGTCGACCAAAGGTTCTAGAACCAGACTCCCATATGACCTTCCCAGAGTCGGCAGCAAGAGTTTATGTACATCAGAGATTACATGCCGGGAATTTACACCGTCAAATTGCTATATCGAAAGGGTAAGATCAACCCATGCGAAGCAAAATTCTCAACAGACAGAAACATTAGCCATGTTTTTCCAAAGTAGCGCCGACAGGCAACAGTCCCAACGCTGAATTCAAATCGTCTCCTCTTTTCCCTCATGTAATCTACCGCTTTCGTTCAAGGATTCAAACCTTGATTTGCGGGGTTCTCTCCGCCCTCACAGACCAGGGCTGAGCCAGGGAATGAGCCCTGCGACTGTTGCTTTCTCTCAGTTCAAGACCCCGGTCCTGCCCCGTTTGTCTTATCCCTGCCGGTGTCTCCCATTTCCTGCATTTCGTGAATCTCGAATCTCGAATTGGTCGAGAGATAATTCAATACAAAGATCTGCGGTTTGCTCCGGCGGCTGGTATTACAGTCAGTACTTCGTAGAGCGGTCATTATTGAGGAGTTTGGGGAAATTTTCCGGGTTCGTATCACTTTTTAGCTGACAGGCGTGAAATTCACACCTACATGTCATGGACGAGGGACAACGGCAGTTGATGGCGCAAAGGAACGATGGGAAAGCAAACGCATGACTGACGGTGGGCACTTGTCACTCTTTTTAACCAGTTGATGGGCTGTGAGAAGCCCATTCAAAAAGTGAATCTTTCACCATGGAATTTCTTACATCTGGCGGCCTTTGGGCCAACATCGCACTTGGAGTGTTAGCAAACGACGAGTAAGTATCAAAATCTCCATTTTAAACGTGCTTACTCGCTGATAGGTGATGTAGGAATACTGTTTACCCACAATTGGGTCCAACGTATAATACCAAATATCCCCAGGCCAACTCGACATACAACTACATTGTCGTTGGCTCAGGCGCTGGCGGATCTCCCTGCAGCTCGGCTGGCCCTGGCCAGCCACAGCGTCTTGTTGATCGATGCTGGTGAGGATAATGGAACCGACAGATAGACTGAAGCGTCAGCTCTCCACATCCTGTCATCGTCATTGGAGTACAATGAGATTCGGTGGGAGTTTTGTGTCAACCAATATGCGGATCCTGACAATAAAAAAGAAATACCAACTTGCAGATGGTTCAATTGTGAGTGAGTAACTCTGAGATCTTTCGGAATATTTTTTTGGCCTTCTAGTGTTGTTTTCTTTCTTTCTTTCGAATTTCAAAGCTGATCTAGGGGTCTGATTGTCCTCTCAGGGGCATAACCTGAAAGCCTTGACCACTCAAATACTATTTCCACCGAGACATATTTACTCAAGGTCATCACCACTGTGACTGGCCTGCTCGAGGTAACTATGCCTCTTTTGTTTTCATGATTCAGACACACGAAAAGTTCCCAAAAACTGAAAAAATCCATCCCAACTGATTCTAGCAGTTAATAATATCTCTCCCAGTCACAACCAAAACGAAGACATCTACCAAATCCCCGTTGGCATGAAAGGCACCGAATTCTCCCGCTCCTCGCCCTGAGACTGGGTTTGCGAGATCGCTTCCGCCACCAACTCCAAGAAATACAATCTCGTTACACTACAAACTCTAGTGACCAAGCTCAACTTCAACCGCACCAGTGAAGTCCCCAAGGCCACAGGCGTTAACTACCTTCAGAGAAACAGACTGTACTATGCCAGCCCTCGTGATAGCATGAAAAAGAATGCGGAATCCCCGGAATCGTTCATTGGCGTTGATGGTTCCCGCAACTCAAGTGGAACCATGTTTCTCGAATGGCCACGACCACTCAGCCAAATTAAGATATCCATAGCCGTAGTTCACTGTTTTTGGCGTCTGTAGCACATTCAATAACGTCACCGGCTCTACGGACAGAATATCCATCACCCCAGAAAATGCTGCAAGCGTATTGCATTACAATTATAACATACCCGGATTCATGGCGAACAGCGAGGATGGGCCTTTAGAAACGCCCTCCGCCGCCTCGACAGGTGCTACCGCGGAGGCAATCAAGAATTTGTTACTGCATCCAGGAGCGGAGAAAGAAATCCGACCTTGACTACTATCCACGCAACGGAGAAGCTCGCAGCTGCCACAGTTTCGTCATATATATCCGACACTCGGACACTTCCCTTACCTGAGAAAATCCTTCAAACAACTTGGTTCTGGTGCGCTAGGCCATATAAAAAGTTGGAATACTCCACCAACGACAGTATACTATGGATTGATCTGGCTGTGGAATCGATAGCATATTGGGATTTTCAGTTTCCAGGAAGATTTACAGATCCTGACCCTTCTATTACATGGTATAACTCGCCTTCGACATATATATAACGAACGATAATAGGACAAGGTTACATGTATCACTATCTATTTCCAGCGAAATCCAAACATACCTTTCGAATTATCAGACTTATTGCAACTTATAATGTCAGAGGTGGTACCTGCGCAGCCACCACTACTTATTTCCAGACCAACAACACTAGCCTAGCTTTCTTTCCTCACCACAATACATCACTTCTATTGTGTGTCCCTCAACAGGTTATGAGCCCTCACGCTCACGCGCATCAAGAATAATTGCATTTCTGAAGCATTATTCGTCATCATCATCATCATTTCGATCATTTGCACAATTTTCGGCATCTGATTCGACCTTTATTTCGCGAAGTTGGCCTTCGAAGGTCCGCTACGGTAGGTGCACGAATCTGCTGCAACCTGCAGCAGCGCGGTCACTCTCCAACTTCACGGCTTGATCACAACAACAGCATTGAGAATAGTGACTGCACGAGCCTAAATCATTGATTCTGGCCTACTCTCCTCGGATTCGTTGATTTCTGCAGTTTTTCCACTTTGTTGGAAGGAACGCGTATCCGACGTCATTACCTTGAAGTGGGTCACGAAAAAAAAACTTCGTGCCTGCCTCAAGCTTCAACACTACTTAACATCACACAAAATTGCGTCCATCTGATAACGCAGTGACTTCACGATCGCATCATGGCGACCGAAGCATCTGTACGGCTGGCGCCAATTCTTCAGCTGGAAGGCGAGAAGAACCTCAAACTCTGGCAAGTGCAAGTAACTCAACATGCCGAATACTTTGGCCTCGAAGCCTTCCTCGATGGCACATCAACAGCACCACATGAAAGCGCGCCTTCTGAAGAGAAACTCAGATACAAGCAAAAGCAGATCCACGCTATGTCATTGCTTACTTCAAGCATCGTCAAGGTTCATGAAAAGCTGGAATCAGCAGGATGGGACATGCTTACTGAAAAAGATCCCTCTGTTCTCTACAGTTTGATTCTCAGAACCATTCCCAAAGAGTCCGAGAACAATGTACCAGCAATTTTCTATGAGCTCGTCGGCCTTATGAAAATTCCTGAAGGCCAGAAGCTCGAGAAATGGTCATCTCGACTCAACTATCTTATCAATCGTCTCACTGCCCTACAATGTGCCATGTCCGACAAAGCTCTGACACTGATCGCGCTCAAAGCATTTCAACAACGTTATCCCTTGGTCCATGGTTTTCTTACCAGATCTTTCGAAGAGGGTAATTTGACGTGGAAGAAAATGCAAGAAGAGATCACTCGCAAGGCAAATGAAGAAGCACACAACCCCGAGATCATGTTACAGATCAAAAATAACCAAGGTAATTCAACTCTAGGCTCACAGGCAAATAAAGAGAAGGAAAAGACAAACGACAACCAAGACAAGAAAGGCAAGACGGAACACTGCAATACTTGCAAACGCAAACATCCAACCACTTGGCCTCTCTGTAACTATTGCAAGTTGCACCACACCGGCGACTGTTTTCGACAATTCCCAGAAAAGGCATCTGAATAATGGCGCAAACGTAATATGCCAGACTGGAAGCCTTCATCGAATGAAAATGCCTCAAAAGACGCACTTGATGTCAATACGAATCTTGGCCAACTTTGTCTTCAACCAGATTCAGTAGCGAAGCGTCCAACCAATCTGGATCTCTTCGGCAATCTGATGTGTTTGCCAGCCAACACAATCTCAACTGATGGTGATGGAATAGATTACCTGACTCGTGACAGCTTCATCAATGACTCTGGTGCTGGAGGACACGTAGTCAATGATTTGAAGTGGTTTACCTCACTACGTCAACTTCCTGAACCAATCTACATGGACACAGCTAATGGTGGCGTTGCTGCTGCCACAGCTGTTGGCACCATTAAGATTCATCCTCAAAGAACTGATAGTAAACAGGTTAATTGGACTATCGGTAGTGTTCTCTATAACGAATCTTCCCCAGTTAACATCATCAGCCCTGGCTTACTGAGGGAAGATGGCATCATTGAAGATGGACATACATCAACTCTTCGCATTCGGGAATCGAATGTTGAACTTGGTAAGATCAACTGGCTCAAAAACGTGAAGGTTATTCCTCTCGTCTGCAAGCCAACAGCTCCCGCAGAGCACCTTCCACTCTTCTCAGCAACAATTGACATACAATTGATGCACGAGCGACTTATGCATGCGAACTACAAGACAGTCAAAAAGGCCTGCGAAGCCGCTGGTCTAAAAGTCACAAAACCAATCAAACCCTGCGAGACTTGTATGCTCTCGAAAGCAAAACAAATCATCCACAGAGATCCGGCTATTCAACCGAGTAGACCACTTGAGATCATCTATTTCGACACTATTCATCATCAACCGCTAGGCCTTACTGGCTGGCGTTACAGCGTTCACTTTACAGATGGGTTTACTGACATGCAGTGGACTCGCTTCACTCGCAAATTGGGTGATATACATGCGGAGATCATTGCCTTCGTTACTCAGGTCGAGCTTCAAACTGGTCTGAAAGTCCAAATATTCCACTCGGATAATGGCAAGGAATTTCTTGGCGATGCAAAGCAAATGGACACATTCGTCACCAAGAAGGGCATTCAATGGCATCGATCTCCTGCTAACACTCACGAACCAAATGGAAGAGCAGAGCGCTCAGTCCAGACTCTCATCACACCAGCTCGTAGCGGCATCATCGGCGGTAACTTGCCCAAGTTTCTCTGGCCGTGGGCTGAAGAGACAGCGGATACGATACATAATCTCCTACCAAATGGAAAAGACAGCCTGTCACCTCGCCGGCGTCTTGGATTCTATCTCAACATGACAGCACAGGTCATTAATGGCAATATTTCCAATCTCATCAAATACGGAGCTATAGCTTATGTCCACAAGAAAACACCAGCTGATCTTGCCAAAGCTGACAAGGTGGAGCACAGGGCATGGAAGGGCAAGCTCGTCGGCTATGCTGACCTTCGTACCAAACTCTACAAGATCTGGGTTCCCGAGAAGCACCGCGTGATGCGAGTGCGTGACGTTCGTTTTGCGGAGACTTTGGATGATACGCAACAAGATCACGACGCTGACGCTGACTTCATCGTTGAATTCGAAGATGAGAATGCTGACGTTGAATTTTCTGATCTGATAGCTAACCCCGTTGACTACGGAGTCGTCACGCACACAATAACCCAACCATCTACTTTTCCATCCTCTCAACCGGCCGATGATAGGGAAAATCAAGAGACAAAAGGAAATATGCAGCGCGAAGTTGAAAATGATCCACTCTATCCCACACCTGGGCCTGAGCAGATGGCCAGTCCAGCGCCATTGACTCGAACACGCGAAGAATTAAGCTTCGATTCCGATGATACTGATTTAGATGACATCGATGCCGAACATCCCTTAGGTCCCCAGAGTCCTGAGCCGAATCCCGAACCGAATCCTAAATCATCGACAACCTCAAATTCACGCCCTCGTCGTGCTGCGGCCAGGTCAGTTGCAGATTATCGACATCTCGCTGGCATACGCACATACAACAAGAGAAAGGCAGACCAGTTGTCATTATTTTCGGTCAATTTCTCCAAATCTATCAACAAAACTCGCTATCTTGAGCTCGACGCCAAGATTAGTGATTCCACACATCTATGTCTGTCTGCAATCAAGGTTGAAAAACTCTTGAATCAATCCAAAACCGCATCAGACTTCCCTTCAGCCAAGTCATACAAGGATGCTCGAAAGCAAGAGAAATGGCCGACTTGGAAGTCAGCTTTCGACGATCAGATAAACGAACTGGTATCTCGTAAAGTCTTTGAGCTTTCAGATCTCCCTCCTGGAGCGAAGGCCTTGCCGACGAAGTGGGTAACGGACCAGAAGTTCCATCCAGTTACCAATCAACATTTGAGAAACAGAGCGAGGCTTGTAGCTATGGGGAACTTCGAAGACTCAAGCAGCTTTTCGGTCGAAGAAATGTATGCTGCAGTCGCTAGCCTTACATCTCTCAAAGTGTTTCTCGCTCTTATGGCCACTCTAGGTCTACACGCCGAGCACTGTGATGTAGTAACAGCCTTCTTAAATGCTAAGAAGCCTCAGGACACTCCAGACATCTATGTTCGCCAACCAGAAGGATATGATGACGGCAGTGGACGCGTTTGGCGCCTGAAAGCCGCTCTCTACGGTCTCAAGCGAGCACCAATCTGGTGGTTCAATACCCTCGTTACCGCAATGAAGGAGATTGGATATGAACCTGTCGAAGCCGACCTCTGTCTTTTCAAGAATGATAAGACTGGAGTTATGGTACTTGTCTATGTAGATGATCTTCTGCTTGCGGGTCATCACAAGTCAGACATTACGATCGCTAAGCAGAAACTCGCTGCTTATTTCCGCCTCAAGGAGCTGGGAGATGTGCGAGAGTTTCTCGGCATGCAGATTTCAAGAAATCAAGATGAAAACAAGGTTTTTATCTCACAAGAGAAGTATGCGATGAAGATTCTCACCAAATTCGGCAAATTAGACCTCAAACCTTCTGCTGTGCCCTGGCCATCAGATATCAAAATACCAGCTGTATGGCCTAAGATTCAGCTGGATGACCAATCAAACTACCTCAAACAGACGGCCTCGCTCAACTATCTCAGTATTGGCAGCAGACCAGATATGACCAACACCAACAAGGCACTCTCTGAGGCGCAAAGCAAGCCAACCAAGGTTCATATGGACTTGCTTCAACATCTCTGGAGATATCTCAAAGGACAGCCTAATCTCGGTATTGTTCTCGGCGGAAAGTATCCCATTCATGATCTGAAACTCAATGTCTGGGCTGATGCGGCACACGCTGATGACCTGGCTACTCGAGCGTCAACAGGAGCTCATGTTGTATTCCTCTGCGGTGGTCCGATATATTGGAAGTCCAAGAAGCAGACCCTCGTGGTCATTTCAAGCACCGAAGCTGAATTCATCAATCTCACACCAGCTGGTTTATCCGCTGTTTGGATCTTACGCTTACTACAACAACTTGGGTTTCCCCAAGACACTCCAACTCTTCTCATGACTGACAGTCTCAATGCCAAGTCAATCGTACTTAACCCAAACAATGCAGCCAGAACCAGACATATTGACACAAGGTACAAGTGGATCATAGATCGCGTCCAACGAGGAGATTTCGATATTCAATACGCCAGAACAGGAGAGATGATTGCAGACGGTCTCACGAAGCCGTTAACGAAAGAGAATCATCTGAAATTCGTCCGTCAACTCCGTCTGACGCCGTGTCCTTGGTGATTCTGATTGAGGCGGTGTCAGGTGGCAGAAACGCATATAAAATTGGAAGTCAAGTTGATGAAAAACGGATATTCTGTACGTGTACGTAGCTCTTTTTAGATGACTAGCTCTATTGGCCTGGGGGGGGTGTGTCAGAGGTGGTACCTGCGCAGCCACCACTACTTATTTCCAGACCAACAACACTAGCCTAGCTTTCTTTCCTCACCACAATACATCACTTCTATTGTGTGTCCCTCAACATATAACAAAGCACGTAATTTGATGTGTCTATCCTCCGAAGTCAAAAGAAGTGAAGGTGGCTATAGAGAGGTTTCACTCCTGAAGTTCTAAAAGTTGGTTGTTGCCAAGGGGTTGGGAAGCAGTGATTGCGAAGCTAATATTCCTTTAGTCATGTCGGCGGAAAAATATAGGTGGGCAGCGATGTTAGTAGCGGGGGAATTAAGAATACTTCTTTTGCGCCAACCCAGGTATCAATACGTAGGGTATCTGGGTCACAGTGCTTACGGAGTGAACATACGTGTTGGAAAGAATTTTGAGGATGGGACTAATAGACGGCTAGCATTAAAACACGCGTTGGGAGAACTGAGCGATTTCGACTTGTTGAACGAGAGGTTTGCTCTCCGATGATTGAATTTCTCACTGAATCTTTCGGCGGCAAAGCCCGATGCAGCTTACCCACATCCGGGACACCCCCACATGTGGGACACCCAAAAATGTCTCATCAACACCGCCAGCCTCTAACTTCAACCTGGGGGTGTCCCGGATGTAGGTGTGGGACGTTATATCGAAAATGGGAACCTTACCCGGTTTCTGCAAATGGCAACCGAAGCGAAGCAGTCTATACTGAATCGTATGCTCTCGGTCATACTGTTTTGCTGTAGGTCTCTCGAATAGCTGAAGCTTCGAGGGATGATGTGTGACTAATACGATATGTTTTGTAGTAATAAGAACCTGTAAAGCCAAGGCATATCCGCCAAAGGGCGATGAGGACGCTGCTGTTCAGTTGGAGACTATTCCCAGGCCTGGCATCAGGGCTAATAATTGGAAGGCACACGACGACTTGCACGGGGGAAATAGTGAGTCGAGAACCCTCTACGCGCCGACAGTGCTAATACAATCTAGTCATGCTCGGTGATATGGACTCGAATTGTCCAGAGCACACGCTATGCCCTGTCGTAAAACTGATTGATTTCGGCCTATCCGGCCAACTGGCGCCTTGGGGGCAAGTTGTTACTTATTACCGGAAAATCTCTCGGGGAGAAATCTGACTAATTACGAAATACTAGAGAGAGACCTCTTTGGTTTAGAAGATAACCCGTGTAATATTGCAAATGTAAGAGCCTGCCCACCACGTTGCACGAACACATGGTACTATGCTAACGTCTACCAGGCGGTTGCATGTATGGCAGCAATTCCCACCGAGGAGGCCCAAGTAAAGGTTGGGTCAGACTTTTATAATGGAATAAAAACTTCTGCGGCCGGTATTAACCAAGGAGAAGTATCCGGAGCAGGACGAGGAACTGGAAGACTTGCTTGCAAGAAGCCTGGCGTTTGAGCCCAGGCATTGGCCAGGCTTGAGGCAAGTCTTGCAGGCTGCGGATAATGAATTGAACATGGGGCCGGCAGATTTCAAGTCGTATGACTCTCGTGCTCGTGAGACGGATGAATACATACAACAAGTCGTCCAGAGCCTCTTGTTCGATGCAAATCCACAGAGAGGGGCAGATGGGGGTTGAGATTAGGCAGTTGACGGGGCTGTACAGTTGAGAGAATATGGGTTGCGTATGTTACAACGGGCTTCTTCTTAGATTGTCAAAGAAATACCACTAATCATCACTTAACCTGTCCTCTCCTTGTAACGTCTATGCCTCGGCCGGCTGCCGAACCATGTACCGAAAAGTATACTGTCCCCACCCATCACATCCCTCAGCCCTAGGTGTCCTAACCGCCCACGCATCAAGATCAACCGTCAAGCGATCCACCTCCTTAAAGCCCAGCTTCTCAAACATCCTCCAGCCCGCCTCAGATGAATGCACCCAACAAAAGACCCCATTACGGTCCGCCTGCTCTATCCCCCATCGAATGAGTTGACTTCCTACCCCTTTCCCCTGATACACCGGATCGATGGTGATCCCCCCAATGTACATGCACCTCGTCCCCGCGGGCATGATCCGCTTCTGGAAATCTGCCAGGTGGGAGCTGGTCAGCCTCTCTAACTCGGCTATGCGGTCAGCACCTTGAATCGGCGTTTCCTGTGGTTGGTCCGTAGTCGTTGAAGTCTGTTCCAAATTGGGTTCGGCAGGATCACTGTTCCCTTTCTCATTGCCTCCTTCATCGCTGCCCACCTCGCTCTGAAGTAGAGGTACGTCCAGCTCCACACCCTTGTACCCCCAACTGATGAAGCCGACTATGGTCCCATGACTGTCGTTGGTGGCTTTGAGGACGACGCATCGGGAGGGGGTATTTATCCACATCCTGAGGCCCTGAGCCATGTCTCTAACGAAGGATCCGGGCTTTGGGGACGTGGCTTTCATTTGGGTGTGAGCATCATTGTTGAAGGCGGCCGCTGCGATTTCTGCGAGCTTGGGGACATCTTTTAGGGATGCTCGGGAGAGATTGCAGATTGGTGTTGACATTTTTACGATGATTACGTATGCTTGACCCTGAGTGTAGCTGGAAGTATCCTGCCACTCTCAAACCTACAGTTAGAGCTGGTGTTTTATTAAAGCCACGACCTTCCGAGGTTGCCGTGTGAGAGGACTAATACACCCCGAATGAGTCATAGTATGCGCCATTGTTACAATGCATCTGCAGGATGCAATACTGGGAGTGTAATTGTTTAGTGAACTTGTGTTAGAAGAGGTTTTAAATACCGTGCTTCGGATATATTGCCCCACTCAAAATCGTGTGCTGTAGGCACTATGGTATAAAACCCAAGTCAATTCTTTGCCACGCAGTAGGCTCCATTTCTTCCCAATTCCGAATCCAACACGCCAACACACACCACCCTAAGCGACCCGAGGTATATGGTAAAAAAAACAAGCAAAGAGATTCACACCAATTGTTACGAAGGAAATCTCGCGGCGTGCTTTTCCCGTAATATCTGCGACCGATACCAAGCCTGGAAGCGGTGTCCCATTTGACAAATTAGCGATGGCCGACTCTCGCATAGTCGGCTGGATTGTAGGAGTAGCTATTCGGCTGGGAGTGTGTCTTTGAATCTTTTTTGTTCGAGTTCTGATGCTGGTACTCCTCGTGGGTCTCCTGGTGGGTGGAAAGCTCAGATGCGAAGCCCTTGTGGTCCATACCGGGCGATTGAAATCCGTTGCTACTCGTGTCGGACAACATGGACGTCGGTCGCGAGTTGTTCTGGAAACCCGGGCTATGCTGACTCTGCGACCATCGCCAACTGTTGGGTTCCGGCGTCGAGACGGAGGAGGAGTTGTGCGATCCGAGCGACGGGGACAGTCGAGACGGGTGCAAGTGTGGCGAGTCCTGAGGATGGTAGAAGTCCCCTGGTAGTTCCATTATGACCGCCTCGGTCCCGCTAGGATTGGAGGTGGGCAGCTCGTTCGCTTGCTGGTGAACCTCACCGGGCTTCTGAATTTGGGGTTGAAAATACGGATGTCCGGTGTATTGCGACCCGGCAGTCCCTGGTCTGCTGTTCTGCTGCTGTTGATATGATTGTTGGTTCCGCAGCGACAACGGTCGTGGGATCTGATATGGTATCTTGGGCGACATGTGAGCGTTCGACTGATGATCCATGCTGGCTGGCGAGCGCGGTGGCGACATGGAAGCTGAGCCGGCCAGACCTCCTGTGTAAGACCGGTCATTGGGGTTTATCGTTTTCAGCTTGCCGTCCTCGATCATGGCGTGCAATGCGCCTGCGTCCAGCAGCTCAGCCTTCTTGATGATGCGATCCACCATCTCCTTACTGGCGGCTTTTAGCTGCGACTTGACGAAGCTAACCATGGCGAAGTTGCATGCCAACCGGATGTCCTCGCGCAGGTATAGGCCGTCGCTTGGCGCATTCAGCCCGATCTCTTGCTGCTCTGGCGGCTCGACACCGGGCTGGTTCCCAGCGACGCGGTAGGTGATGCGGATGTCGACATTCGCGGGCGCATATGTGTGTGTCTGAAGACCCCACGGGAGATCGTGGAAGCAACCATTGAAGTTGATTTTGCCCGATCCAATCTTCCCAATTCCGGGAATGTATTGTATCTGCTGACTGATCTCGTACCAGGTCAAATAGTATTCATCGGAGGCTGCATCGCGAGGGGCCTTAATGGGCTTATGGTGGAGGACGAGGGGGTTGAGGGTGATGACTTCGCTGTGGCTATGGAGAATATCTATGGCTAATTGCCTCGGTATGAAGCCGGGTATTGGAGTGATTGTCGTGTAAGCCAGGGACTTTCGGAGCACCATGGTGAAATGAAATAATGTAGATGCAGTGGGAATTGACTACGATGGAGAGTACTGTGCGAGGTTTGAGCGAAAGGGAATGGGAATGGGAGTTGGTCAGTTTGGTTCCAACATGTTTGTAAGGCTACCTGCCAGTTCTCTCATCATTTAGCTCGGTGCCGGGCTTGGGGGACACGGTGATGTGGTGGCCACCCGACGGCGTCAGCAATCGCGGGCTGGCGGGCTGGAAATGCCAATCTGGTTAGAATTGAACGGCTGAGTTCTCATGCAAGCCGACCAACACTAATCGAAACTTCGCGCTCTTGTTTGCGCGGGGTGTGTCACAGCCCCCAATGGCATCGCCTTGGGTACTTTGGTACTGGCGGTTGATCATCGCAAACGCCAAACAGCTAGGGAGCTTGGGGTTACGGCGACGGTTTGCACGACCGCCACTAGTTGCGCACTGCGCGAAGAGTCCGATCCCCGCCTACGCCAACGCTACGTCGTCCTCTTTCCTAGAACTTGGGTCATACATATTACGTCAGATACCTTTCGAACATCGCCAAAAAACAAAAAAAGAAGGAAGACAAAGGATTTTCGATTTCCATTTCCGCCGCTCTTTTTGGTCTTGCTGACAATGAGCAGCGCTTCATGGCAGCTGTCTCCGAGGCCCATTTGCCCTTGATAGCAGCGGCGGCAAGCGTACTCTCAGGGGATCAAGAGTTGCATTCCGGACTCGGCAAAACTCGAGTCGCAAACCACAACCCAGCTCAATGAGTCTCAACCAGCTGCTAAGTTTTGCAGAGTACACTGACCAAGTCATGGCTATAGTCTAAAAAGCAAGCCGTCGCAACTAGACCGCTAGCCGTGCTGGATGTAGGACGCTTTTTGAAATCGGCGTTGCAACGGGCAGTGAACAGGCAACGGTAAAAATGAGTGACATGCAGAGCCGCTCACTATAGTGGCACGGCGCGTGTCACTAGAAATGGTTATCAGAGCAACTCTCGAGTGTCTCGAATTAGTTACGACGTCGCAGACACCTGATTCTTGTCCCATACTCCACATCTTCGATATCATTACAAGAATAGCAAGCCTATCTAAAACACATATCGGAATTTTGGGTTCTGCAGATGTCAGCACTAGTCACAATGCATTGTAAGAGCGGGAGGCAAACAACTCACCTCAAAGTCGGTTTTATCAGCCGACAGCTCATCAACTGCAGGGTCTTCAATCGCGTTCGCAGCCGCAGCCTCTGCATCTCGCTTCTTGTTTCGCCTACTCAACAACATGCGCAGGCTAAGGGCCACGAACATTTGTGCAACGGAGCACCCGATGATCACCTTGCACCCGGTGGGATAAGTCGGTGCTTCGCGCCCCAGGAAGAAGTGCGGTCCGACGATGTTGCCGACACAGTACGCGCCGAATACGATGGCCGTTGCCGTCATTCGCTTGGTGTAGCCTCCGAGGTTGGTGGCCGGCATCTGCATTGCTGTCGCAAGCGACGCAACAAAGGCGCCGCAGATATAATACCCGAAGAGAACGCCGATTTTCATAGAGCTACGATCCAACTTCCACATTAAGGATGTTCCAATGAGTGTTGGAATCAAGTAGCCGGCCATAACAAGCGTCCGCACATTGCGAAATCGGGAGGCCATGTATGTGCCAGATAAAACTGCAATACTGGTCAGCATTTCGTGACTTCAAATAAGTTGAGGTTAGGACGAACTCCACAGAATTTGAAATGCGCCCATGGGAACTGATTTCCAGTTAGCCACCATGAATAATACAGTCACCCTCGGGGTTCTACTTACTACCAAGAGCGGTTGCACGAAGCGAATCGTGGACAAGTCCCTTGATGATGAGTTTGCCAAAGTTGGCGACACCACCATTGATCATTTCGTTCAGAAGCACGAACAGCGTCAACAGCCAAACCTGCGGGTCCAGCACGGCCTCCTTGATCTGATAGAGCTTGATCGATTGATTCAGGATCCCCGTCCGGCCGAGCTTCCCGCGGCCGATCAAGGTGGCCTTTTCCTCGAGGGTGAAGCGTTTGGCTACAATGATGCTGTCAGGGAGATAGACGAGCAGCACCAATCCCCAGAGAGTAGTGAGGCCACCGCATAAGAGGAAGATCGCTTTCCATACAGGAAAGGTCTGGATCTGGCCTATAGCGTAACTAAGAACCCCGCCAATCATGGAACCGAGACCATTACAACTGTATATCAGACCAGTCCGGAATGGCTGTTGATCGCGGGTGTACTGGTAAAAGTTAGCCGGGTTCTTCTTTGCTGCTTAGAAGCTCGTGTCTGTACTCACCCACATGCCGACAATCATGGTGAAGCAAGGCGTAATGGGCGCCTCAAATATTCCGAGCAGAAAGCGACATGCCGCCAGACCCGCATAGTTATTGCAAGCGGCCGTGGCCATGAGTACAGCACCCCAGCAAATGACACAGCCCGACGTGACCTTGGCCATCAGCGTCTTCTGCGCCAGGTAACTCCAGGGATATTCCGCCACCAGGTATGCGATGTAAAACATAGACGGGAATAGGGCATACTGGTCCTGGGTGATGTTCGCATCGGTGAACAGGTCAAAGACGGCGGCGTAGGAGAGCGCCTGCTTGTCAATGTACTGGAGAAGGAACGTGACACACAACAGGGGAAGCAGGATCAGGTCGACTCGGCGGACTAGGCGCTTGTTGCCGGCTTCGTCGCTCAACAGTTCCTGGACATACTCGCTGCTGAAGTTGTTCTCCCGAAGGAAGACCTCGGCGGCGTCAAGGTCTCTCAACTCCCCCGTTTGGATGTCGAGCTTCTCCGGGTTGACCATGGCCTCGGCCTTCTTGTCGTCTGCGCTGAGGTTCATCGCGAGAGTTGATCAAGCCGTCGTCTATTGCGCTGCTTGGCAGAGAAAGCCGAAGGGAAAATGGGGAGGATTACATCCTGCTGAAGATCTCTCATATGGTCTTTGGACGCGACATTTGTGGAGAGATAGACTCGTCCTTGAGTTATCTTGGATGCTATCTATCATCGGCACAGGCATAAGTTTCGGTACCGTCGTCCATGCTATCTATTGAATCCGAAATGGATCCGCTTGTTGCAGGCCGTTGACCCCACAGCCGTCCCACAGTCGTGCTGAAGCGTTCATATTATCGCGGTTTGGAGGTGGCGGGGCTCCACCATACACCACTGAGACTCGAACAACCTGACTCGCACATAAATGAATCTGGCGACTGCGAGTGCGGAAATCTTCTTCCGATCCCATAGGGCCAACCGCAGTCCAGGAACCTTTATCTCACTCAGGAGCTCGTCTTGGCCCTGCATACTTCCAAGAATAGACTCATATTCGACCCTAGTCCATCTGGTGACGTCAGTCTGAAAGCCGGTACCAAATGCTGGTCCGGTTACTTTGGGTCAACCTTCGTTCAAATATGGTTCCATCAGCTGCACCTACAGCGGTCACATCTACCATTAACAGGAACAGCCTGAGTTCTGATGACTTCGGTCGCAAATTCGTCCAATTATTCAACACTCATCAATTGAACTTCAGGATACGCATGGATGCCTTCACATCGACGATCAAGGCACTGAATTTAGCGTAAAAATTCGTCCGCATCCCCGCTTCATCTACTGGCATCGCGAGCATGATATTCAGCTTGTCTTCGGCCGTTTCGCTAAAGATATCCGAGAGATACGTAGGAAATGGATGAGGAAGTGTGGTCGAGGAGCCTGCGTGGGATTTCCTGTGACCGTTGCAACGAGTTACGACTCCGAGCGGCACGAACTTTTGGATCGTCTCACTGTCGTCCTGGCTGACTATATTCCCGCGTCTGGGACAACGTTCAAGGCTTTGGAGACTGCCTTTTCTCAACCTAGAACGCCTGCTCACAACCCAAGAGAGCGTCGTTCGGATGAGCGAAATCAACATCCAGAATCGCCGAAAAGGGTGAATAGCCCGCTTTCCACACAAGATGAAATGAGACTGTCTCATGTCGTCTTAGGAGACAGCGATACACATTCAGTGGAAGCCAACAACGTGTTTTGGTCAAGGTGGGAACACGGGGCTCTAAGGGCTTCTGTTATCGCCTCGGTCTCTACCTAGGCAGCCGTTGGCTCTGTAGTATTCTCTGACGCAGGAGCATCATCCCATGAAACACAAGCCACAGTTGAAGCAAGTTCCCAGGAGAAGCAACGTCTCCCACCGCAGGAACCTGATTTATACCTTCCATTTTCAGCTACTGAACGCAACCTCCCGGAATCTTTCAGTGAACACCATCAGGAAAAGCATCTTAGGGAAAATGTCAGGACGCCATTGGCCGAGAGCAGCCATTCTGAAACAACCTGCTCGCTCTTCAACCAAACTGTCGAACAAGAAATCATGAGAAATGGAAGCTGCGGATTATATTACCGTAGCTCATCGGAATTTGGAGAGCAGCTAGGTGACGTATGGCGTAAGTCTGTTTGATTCTCTATTTCGGGCTCCCGACTTGTCTACTGGACTAGGCTAAATTCATTCTCCTCCTAAATTCAATGAAGCTCTGCTTGCTATTCCCTGGGAAATCTTACAAGTGTCCCTGTTCGCAGCATATAGCCCAATCATTTCAAGTCCTGAAGCTTGGACGGCGTGTCTAAATAACTTCATGACTACGGATCAAGTGGTCGGCCTCTCTGCATCCCTACATGCGAACACCTTTAACAAAAGACCGCCGTTTGATCTTCAGTTGAACCAACTGAAACTGAAGCTATAATTTTCGCAGACTTGCCAGATGTCGTGGGTCTAACGGTTTGATTCAAGTTGTCATGCCTTCAATCATGCCGCAGAACCTGCCGGCTCTGGTAAGGAAGCACGGTGTCGGGTCTCATACTTAACAGTTGATATGACCACAATCTTCTGAAGTGAGAGCGCTATCGAAAGCCTGTATGATGGCTACGCTGAGCATCCCGCATCTTTGGGAAGAAAGTGGTCTTCATTTTTCGTCAAACCTGGGACACCAGCCATTACAGATTGTGCGTTACGTCACTACTACAAAGTTCAGCCCTGGCTTGGTGTACCTCAAGCACATACCCAGGTTACAATTGCTCTCATGGGATGTCCGAGGAACTTACCAAACTCAGGAGATTTCTTGAAATAACTATTAGAGATCAATTGTATGACACGAGTTGCTCTCACTATTATTCTAGTTTCTAACTGTTAGGATAGAGTAACTGACGGGATATCTATAGAGCTATCAATAGGAGGCGTTACGTACATCAGACCTCGTACTTAAATAGACTACCCCCTAAAGAGCCGTAGAGATAGCGGGGGGTTAATAAATTGCAGCTGTTTAACTTTAGAATGCTATACCTGATAGTATTGTTCTTAAAGAAACTAAACGGACCAGAAAATAACTACTAGAGAATAAGAAGTTAATGACAATTATCAAAGTGTATTAAAATTAAGAATTAGTGAAGTAGACCGACCTACAAGTATAAGTAATGTGCTTGACGAGAACGAAGGCCGATGGGTGCTCATCGGATTTCCCTGATACTTCGGAAACCTTTGTCCATGGCATGGATGTGCTTGTTGTCCGCAACCCCGCGCACTACATCAGTGACATACAGCGGGTTAAAGTTGTCTTGAGGCCCGAATTGGCGCGCCTGAACGACGTCATTGTGTTCTCCACCAAGGGAGACATCCCACTCGCTGACAAACTATCCGGTGGATACTATGGCAGCGATAGAGCTTGGGTCTGTTGGAGCCCTCTATCATGGAAAACTATCACAGTGGATAGGATTTCCTACGAGGCGAAGTTGGACAGACTTTGCCCGAAGTCGTGGTTAGGTATTGCTCCCACAGCCAAGGTTGACGCCGGTTCCGAAACGATGACGCTAATGCTTGGCCCGGAGGACTCGACGTCACATCTTAGATAGATAGCTCTTGTACATATACGCCATTTTCTTCCTATGAGACAATAAGAAAATAGAAGCAGAACGACGAACAGTCCGGACCTGCTACTATTAAAGTAAATGTCAAGAGACTATGACAATTCCCAATTACGTCTTTGGGTCCACCGGAAGCCCTCCCGCAGCCGGAGCCGATGCCATGTGGAGCGCCGAATGTTTCTCCAGTATCGGAATGACTACGGCCAACCGAAAGTTGACTTACTCGTACACTGTGCTTCAAAAAAGGAAATTAACAAACAGCTCTGCTCTCTTCTTTCCACCTAGTTATTTTGCTTTTTGCTCACAACAAGGCTCGTCAGAGCACAGTATCATTCGTCACCATGTCGGACCATCACAGCTCAGAAGACCGCCCAACGGTTACCCTTCCTCAAGGGACGGTAGTGGGCATCAAACAACGGGGAGAGCATCCCAAGACGGTTGAGTCATTCCTGGGTATTCCATACGCGCTACCTCCCACGGGCGATCTACGATTCCGCCCACCAGTCAAGGTGCCGTCCTCCACCAAGACCATTGACGCCTGCCGTTACGGCCCCCGCGCTCCGGCGAAGCAGTTCCTGATTATTGGCCCTGAGTTGGAGGAAAGTGAGGATTGTCTTACGGTTAACGTATTTCGCCCTGAAGGCGTTAGCAGTTCGGACAATCTGCCGGTCGCGATTTACTTCCATGGCGGGGCATTCAATCGCGGAAATGCTGCCATGTACAACTCGACGTCAGTGGTTGGTTGGTCGGCGGAGCCGTTTGTCTGCGTTTCGTTTGGTTACCGCATTGGGTCGCTCGGTTTCTTGCCTTCGGGGTTGAGTACTAAGGAGGGGGCGCTTAATCTAGGTTTGAAGGATCAGATTCTCTTGATGGAGTGGGTTCAGGAGAATATTGGGGAGTTTGGTGGAGATAAGTGCAATATAACGATTATTGGTCTTTCGGCTGGTGCCCATTCTGTAAGGATTGCCCCACAACCATTTCACTGGAGCCGTTCTGATGCGATATATAGATTGGCCATCACCTCTTGGACTACGAAGCAGGCAAGACGCCGCTGTTCCACAGAGCGGTCATGGAGTCAGGGGCGCCGACTTCACGAGCAGTCCGGCGTCCCGACGCCGCCATCCACGAGCAGCAGTTCAAGGACTTTCTGAATGCGGTGAAATGTCCTAAGGACTTGCCCGAGTCCGAAATCTTTCCCTTCCTGCGGTCACTGCCACTGGAGACGGTGGCCAAAGCGCAGACGGAGGTCTTCGGCAACTACAACTCCAGTTTACGCTGGGCCTTCCAGCCAGTCATCGACGGTGAGATCATCCGCAGGCGACCCATAGACGCCTGGCGTGAGGGGAAGTGGCATAAGGTTCCGATCATGACTGGTTTCAACACGAACGAAGGATCGGTGTACGTTAACAAGAAGATGTCAACCTCTGACGAATTTATCGATTTCTGGCGCACGCTTCTGCCCCAGCTGACTGATGAGGATGTGGAAAAAATCAATACCCTCTATCCTGATCCATTCGTATACCCCGACTCAATATACAAGGAAGACCGACTCCAGTACGGCGTGGGGGAGATGTTCAAGCGCATCGAAGCTGCCTACGCGCATTATGCGTACGTCAGTCCCGTCCGACAGACCGCGCATTTCGCCAACCGGCACGTGCCTGTGTACCTCTACCATTGGGCCCTGAGATCGAGTATCGTTGACGGTGCGCAACATGGGAGTAACATGAAGTACGAGTTCCAGGATCCTGATACGTGTGCGAAGTCCAAAGCGCAGGATGAGATATCGAAAAGCTTGCATGCGTATGTCACGAGTTTCATCTGCTCGGGTGACCCGAACAAGGTCAAAGGGGGTGATGAGGCGAGGCCGGAGTGGGTCAAGCATGAAGGGGACAAGCCGAGGTTGATCATCTTTGGGAGGGAGAATAAAGAGTTGGTTGGGGGTGAAGTTGGCAAAGCTGCTGAGATTTCTGAGGATGTTTGGGCGAGTGAGGAGTCGAACTTTTGGTGGGATAAGGTTGAGATTTCGCAGCAGTGAGGAAATCATGAGCGCTTGGGATAGTCCTCAAACCTTTAATATGAACCAAAGTACTTTGTACGAGTGCCTTCCTTTCGCATCGTTCTAATATTGGTCGTTTGATGTGATCTGTGTCTACAAGCCCGCAGATATTTTTATCTAAATACGGTGAACGGCCATGCTATGTTCCAGTCGGGCAACTCCCTTGAGTACACTAACTTCATACACTTACTGACACGCTTTAGCCGACTTCCTGACGTGTTAAGTCATACCGGCGGCCATTTCTTTTTCTCCCAGAATCTGCAAGATCTGCAATAGGGAGTTCATAATTAAGTACCGCCCGAATATAAACTAGCAAGGCTTGATCTGAGCACACTTGTCTTCACTATGTATATTAACGCAATGTTGGTATGACTCACCATAGCTAGCATTTAGTCTTGAGTTCTTCCCGGAATAAGTGAACTAAGCATTCTATGATATTGGGGGCGGGGGGAGTGGCTCTTATTTTACGCCTAACTTCGCATACTACAATCAATAGATGGCGATCCACAGCCTCTTATAATTATACACCGCTATAGACACTTGCCTTGCAACAACAATTGAAACAAGGATAACCCAATAACGAAGGCCGAGAGTTGAGCTTTTCTTTTGACTCGGTTTTCTGATCCGACCGGTCGATGGTGGCGGTGGATGGTGAATATTTGAAATTGCGATAGTTCGGCCAAACTGTGGTAGAGAATAACGTAACAACAATCACAATACTTCCTTATTTTCACACTAAAATATCCGCAGCAGCGGCGAATTTTTTACCACGTATCTAATTATTTAAACATATATAAAAATAGCGATTTCACTGTAAGAAGTGGATGTTGGAGCAAATGGTGACCAGGTTGAGATATTGATAGATATACAAAAGATCATCGATTCTATAACACTTTGTATTGTTACCTAGTTAATATCTTATGTCCACTTGATTTCTGCTCTATTTTTCTACTAATGGATGTATGAAGCTAATAATTAGCAAGTGACTATTACTCTCACTCTTCCCAGGAAAGATCCATTTTCAGCGGCTTGGAACGTAAAACTTAACCTATTATATAACAGAAGCGGTAAGTTTGACAGTCATCTCCGGAAGCCTTTCATTCTATCGCACGTATTTATGGACGGGTGAAATTTTTCAGTCTCGGTCGTTTGTTCATTTGCTTGTGGCATATTCTGCAGAACATTCCATCCAACCTGTTTGTCCATTAGAACCACACTTCCCCTATGCACACATCACTAACAACGATAACCTCAATTTCGTCTTTATTTTCCTCTTCGCCACTCTATATTTTTAGAAGAAACTTACATATGCCGTTTATCTTTCGACACGTATGAAGTAGCTTCGCGCAGAGAAAGATGTACCCAGAAGTCTACGCTTCCATGGACACTCATAAGCAATTCATCGACAAGATCAAGATCACCCACCGCAACAATAAGCAAGACAAATGGACGCCCTTTCCAAAAGTGTTTCGAAATAGCCCATTGAGCAAGGAAGTCAAGGCCACACGGGAGGCACAGTTATTCTACTACGATACGGACAAATTGATAACGGAAGCCCACGAAGCTGAAAAAGTGTCGAACGAAGATTATAAAACGCGCGTTAAAGCAGCGAGAACCATCAGCATCAGTGCATCCTCCTCATCATCATTCTCATCTGGGTCTGGAAAGCCGCAATATTCATCCAACACCCCCCAAGGACATTCCCGACCTTCAACGCTCAAAAAAGAGATGGCGATAAAAGTCGAGCTTTCAGACAAAATAAACATCATCCAACCTCGAAAGCCATCATATCCATCTCACCGACTTATCCCTGCTCAATCCTTAAAGGGTATTCTCAAAGACGATACCCCTCATCAACAAAAGAAAGGTCTCCGAATCACCGGCTTCCGCAAGCCCTGCCAAACCGTGGCTACAGCCCAAGAAAAATCAGTACGAACAGTCGACTTCACCGCGCCCTGGCCCTTCGACCTGATTACCGAACAACCAGTTTTGCCCCGTCGCACCATGTGCGCCAAAGAATACAGAGCCTGGTGGCGCGACTATAGAAATGGCCTCATCACAGTCAAGGACAACGAAAAACTTTGGGAAGCTCGACGATTTTACGATATGCGGGAAGGGCAAAAGGTTCCATTGACCGTGCCTACACGCAAGGTCACACGCCGACGAATGATCCAACGCAAATTCTGTGAGTGGCTCACTGAGAAGCCTCCCGACTGGATTACCGAAGAGGATAAGATACAAACCGAGGATACCAAGAGCCAAATCGTGCCTCAAAAAGAGGAAAAGACAGTCTCAGAAAAGGGCCAGAAGAAGAAGAAGAAGAGTAAGAAGAAGTCTTTCAGGAAGAGAGATCTGATCTGGTTTCTGATTAGACCCGGCACCAAATAGAAGGCGTGGATGGTATTTGAGTTGCAAAACATGATTGGATAAAGATTTCGAAATTTTTCAGTTGGACTGGATACCTTGGAAATGTGTTGAACTTGAGTTCGGATAAGGTTGAACTATGTATAGTCGAGAGAGCTATCGAGAATAAAGAGGGAGTTGATCATAACTACTCGTGTTCGCTCCTGGGTCAGAGGCGGGGCCTCCACACTAGGTCTACTAGACTCTGAAATGCAATAAAAATTCAAAACGAGCCAAATTCGATTCCATAAAAGTGTGAACTTGCTCTGGTACTCTATGGTCTCATCTTGCTCTCATTTTACCCCTTTCCACACTCGCTTTTGTTGTGTATGCCCTTATCCTATACCAAAGCACAACCAAAGCACAACCTCGCTCAATTTGAATTCTCTGTGGGTACTCTCATTGGACGTTGAACTCTATATCTTAAACTGCATATCTAGACTCAGAGTGGACCTGCCCTTGATGATACTCCGCCAGACATACAGATTATGTACAACAGTCCGAGCCCCGGAGGACTGTTAGCATTGACATGAATCCCATTACCTCATGCAAATATGGCCCAAATAAGTATCCCAAAGAACAGGAAAGGCTTTGCTACCTGCTCTCATTGTAGTATGAGTTAGAAAGGAAATGGCTTTTAAGAGGCGGTTAACATGAGAAAAAGTTGCTTGAGTATGTATGTAAGCAATCTTTGCGATTTTGATAGCAACCAAGGGGCAAGTGCGACCATCGTCGTCTGATTGAAATTATACTATTTTAAAATCAGTGCGCATGTGCTTTCGCTGTTCCTGGCACTTCATCCCAGTTTTCCAATGCAAACTCAGTGAAGCGTTCTGTGTGGTTGCTCCTGCTAAGTACCTTAGTGCACTAATCGTGCGCCCGCAGGTTCTGAAAATTTGCGGAGAAACAACCACCGAACCACCAAACATCTTTCAAGGCATATATATCCGCAGGAAATTCGGATATAATGGCAAGTGACGGGCCGTTGGTATGGATCGATTGCGAGGTGAGGCAATTGACGAATACGTACCGGTCAGCACCCGCTAATTGAGCGTTGTAGATGACGGGACTCGACCCCGATCGCGAGGAGATCATTGAGATTTTCTGCATCATCACGACTGCCTCGCTTGAGGTCATGGACGAGAGGGGCTGGGGCGCCGTGGTCCATCAATCCAGGGAGAGAATGGATAAGATGGACGACTGGTGCACCAATACCCACGGCAAGAGCGGACTGACGGCCGCCGTGTTGGCGTCGGAGGTCACTCCAGAGAAGGCGGCCGATGAACTCCTTGCCTACATCAAGAAGTATGTTCCCCGAGAGAGAGTCGCGCTGCTGGCAGGGAACAGTGTACATGCCGACCGCGCGTTCCTTAGGAAAGAGCCGTACAAGAAGGTGGTGGACTACCTACAGTACCGTATTTTGGACGTGAGCAGTCTGAAGGAGGCAGCAAGGCGATGGTGTCCTCCCGAGGTGCTGCAGAATGCGCCCTCAAAACAGGGATTACATCAAGCAAAGGAGGATATCCTGGAAAGCATTGCTGAGGCCAGATATTACAAAGACGTGATATTTCAGGACGCATGAGAAAATATTGGTGTTGCGTCTCACCGCATGCAGATGGAAAGCTTTTGGGAATAGCGTGAAGCTGCCACAACATCTAGACCGCTGTGTCGCTGGAAAGTGGCTTCAATATGGTGCGCATGGGTGACAGAATGTACGCCACCTCAGACAGCTTAAAATCAGAAGGCTGACAGGGACCAGTTTGGGGCAAGAGAAAAGAACGTGGCGGCTTTTCTCGCAGAACATTCGTCAATTCCGTTCCGACCTTGTTGCCATTCACGATACGACCATTGAGTGTCAAACTGTGCATAAGCTGGTTTCTAGCCAAAGACAGTCTCGCAAATGGATATACACAGTGCTTGGCTCGATCAATGCTCGCCGCCACAAAATGAGGTCACAGCGCTTGCTTGATACGAACTCCACCATGCTGCCGTGCCCAACAATACATTTTCGAGCTCACCGATCCCCAGGGTTTTCTCGCCCTCTATACACCCGTACCCAACCCACTTGCCTCTTTCTTCTTCAAGTTTCTACGCCATTGCATTTCTTACATTGCACTCATTCTCACCATGGGTATTCAGACAGTCGAGTTCAAGTCCTTTACGGACCAGAAGCCCGGAACGTACGTCAACTGCTGCTCAAGCTACCCCACCATCATCGTCCTCCGCAGATCCACAGCGTAGACTGTCAAGGAAATCGAAGGACGATCCAGACATCCAGACCAATGGCTGACTCATAGTGTAGCTCGGGTCTTCGAAAGAAGGTCAAGGTCTTCCAACAAGCCCATTACAGTGAATCCTTCGTCACCAGCATTCTCCTGTCCATTCCCGAGGGCGTTGAGGGTGAGTAGCTCGAGGGGCTTCGGCTTCTGTCACTCGACGACGCAAGCTGAGGTTCAGTATAGGTTCTTTCCTCGTTATTGGTGGTGATGGCCGATTTTACAATCCCGAAGTAGTTCAATTGATTGCCAAGATCGGCGCTGCGTATGGTGTCAAGAAGCTCCTGATCGGACAGAATGGTATTTTGTCCACCCCTGCAGCCAGTCATGTCATTCGCAAGCGAAAAGCGACTGGCGGTATCCTCCTGACTGCCAGTCACAACCCCGGTGGTATGTTGTCCCTTCCCATGCTGTATGACTGCAGCCTCTCATCCTAGTCTTGTCTAGGTCCCACCCAAGACTTCGGTATCAAGTACAACCTCGCCAACGGCGGTCCTGCTCCCGAGAGCGTTACCAACAAGATCTACGAAGCCTCGAAGACTCTCACATCCTACAAGATCGCCGATATCCCCGATGTCGACATCGCGACTGTTGGCACCAAGACATATGGCGACCTTGAGGTGGAGATTATCGACAGCACGGCCGACTACACCGAGATGCTGAAGGACATTTTCGATTTCCCCACGATCAAGAAATTCTTCACCTCCAACCCAGACTTCAAGGTTCTCTTCGATGGTCTGCACGGTGTCACAGGTCCTTACGGCAAGGACATCTTCGAGAAGGAGCTGGGTCTGACGGGAGCGACACAGAACTGTGTGCCATCACCCGATTTCAATGGTGGACACCCTGACCCTAACCTCGTCTACGCCCACTCCCTGGTGGAGAAGGTTGACCAGGACAACATTCCCTTCGGCGCTGCTTCTGATGGTGATGGTGACCGAAACATGATCTACGGTGCCGGTGCTTTCGTCTCGCCCGGTGACAGCTTGGCAATCATTGCCCACCATGCCCAGTTGATCCCCTACTTCAAGAAGCAGGGTGTTTACGGTCTGGCCCGCAGCATGCCTACGTCAGGAGCTGTTGACCTCGTCGCCAAGGCTCAGGGACTGAACTGTTACGAGGTCCCCACTGGCTGGAAGTTCTTCTGCGCACTCTTCGATGCTGACAAGCTCAGCATCTGCGGCGAGGAGAGTTTTGGTACTGGTAGCAACCACGTTCGTGAGAAGGACGGTCTTTGGGCTGTTGTGGCCTGGCTCAACATCATTGCTGGTCTCGGTGAAGCCAACCCCGGATCCAAGCCCAGCATCAAACAAATTCAGCAGGATTTCTGGAACACTTATGGCCGAACCTTCTTCACCCGCTACGACTACGAGAATGTCGACTCTGATGGCGCCAACAAGGTCGTCGGTGTTTTGAACGACTTGGTCGCCGACCCCAACTTCATCGGCAGCAAGATTGGAGGCAAGTACCGTGTGGCACCCCTGGTTGATCATGATGCTAACTGGTACATATCAGACCGCACTGTCACTGATGCGGGCAACTTTTCGTACACAGACCTCGACGGATCCGTTTCGTCCAACCAGGGCTTGTATGCCCGCTTCTCATCCGGCAGCCGCATTGTCGTGCGCCTGTCTGGCACTGGTTCCTCCGGTGCCACCATCCGTCTGTACATCGAGCAGTACACCGACGACAAGTCGAAGTACACCTTGGACGCACAGGACTTCTTGGCGCCTGAGATTAAGTTCGCCACTGAGTTGCTCAAGTTCAAGGAGTTCGTTGGACGTGATGAGCCTGATGTCAAAACGTAAAATAGGGGTACCATACCATGGGCGTCTGAGCCGGCCAGCCAGCCAGTTGTCACGATTGAGTGAGACCTAAACACACACAACTCATAATGAAAATTGGTTGACAAGTAAAATCTTGATATGTTCAGTTATCGACTTCTAACGCGTGCAAGTATTTTACAACTTCGCCTTCTCGGCCTTTGCCTTCCCCTCCTTCTTCCGCTTCAGGTCCGCAACCATTAAATCCTTGACATTCACCACATCCTTCCCTGTCGCATCCAGCAACGCAATCTGCCCACGGTACATCTCCTCCTTGATCAGCCCATACACACCCGTCTTGCCCTTGGTCGCCAGTCCCCTCTCCGTAATCAAGCCCATCACCCCCTCTATCCCCTCCACCGAATCCACAATCCCCGCCTCCAGCGCCGCCCTGGCATCCCACCGACGCGCCTCCAACACCATGTGCCGGTACACATCCGGCCGTAACTTCTCTCGGAAAATCCCCGCCATAGGCGGCAAGAGCGGTGACCCAAAGTCCAGCTCGTTGATGCACATGTACCCCTTCTCGCCGCTAAAGACGCGGTAATCGTGGTGCATGGCTAGCATCAACCCTCCGGCGAAACAGTGTCCGTTGATTAAAGCAACGGTGGGCATAGGAAACGTCAAGAAACGCCGGAATAAGGGGTACAGACTTTTTTCGACGAAACCGGGCGTGCCGAGAGCCAGCTCGAGGTCTAGCCCGTTGGAATAGAACTTCGGGATCGAGGAAGTGGTTATCACTACGCCCTGGGTGCTGGTGGCGTGGACAAATTCGATTTGGTCAAGGGCCGAGAGGAGGGCGGCGCAGCAGGGGGGTGTGAGCCGGTTGTCGGGCGGGGAGGATATGGTTAGGAGGTAGGTTTGCGGCGCCGGGAGGGTGCAGGTTATGGTTCCGCCTGGGTGGGCTTTTAGGGGTGGTATGGGGATTGTGAAGAGGGTTTGGGTGGTGGCCATTTTGGTGGTTTTGTTGTGGTGGTGATACTGGTTGCGAGACGAGTGAGTTGTCGGTATGTGGAGTTGTCGACTCTTTGGTGATGGAGAACGTGTCTGCTTCGGTTGGAGACACCGCCCGAATGGGATCGGAGAAGTCTCTCGAGTTATCTGTTGGTCTTCGAAATACTTTGCATGTATGTGTACAATAGCTAGCTCGCGGAATGCTGTCCTTTCCCGTTTTCAGGTTGCTTTGCGTATGTCCAACGTCTGGAAACCAAGCTTGTTTACACTCAGAAGAGGCAACGGCTTTTTCACATACGTATATGCACAAATCTAATTATATAGAAAGATACAAAACAAGATGTACATGGCTTATCACTCAGATTGGATGGACAAGTATTGCACTCTGGGATTACAAGCTGTTCGGACGTTAAATGTCGAGTTGTTGTTGGATGTAGTCCGAGGTAGACCCGCTCCTCACCGAGTGCCGAGCTCATCACATGCCAGAGCGTCGCCAAGGCAGCATTGTATGCAAGTCCCCGGTTGACGCATAAGATTATCATCGTAGCAGCAGGTGGAATAGTTTTGGGGAGTTATTGCTGGGCGGCGTAGGAAATTATCCAAATAGGACCTCAGTTTCACCTACGAGACCACACCTTCAATGACATGAAATTGATTCTCGACTGCCAGTAGTTTGCGCCCGCGAGACGTGCCCGCAATCCAACATGCTTTGATTCTGGCAATCTTCAGTCAAAAACCTTGACGTACGAGCGAAGCCAAGGGAAAGAACATGGAATGCTGGCGTGCTAATGACTCGTCGTATCACGCATCCTTCTGTGGAAACCACTCGTTGGCTCGGCCGGATCCTGGATCTAGCTCCTGAACCCTGCCAAGCTGGCTACACTGCGTCTACTCATCGTCGATCACGTCACATCACTCACAGGGGCAGGAAGAACCCATGCAGATCTCATTGTTGCGTCTACCCAGACATTGAAGTTAGAAATAGGTCTCCTTGTTCTGAGAAGATTTTCGAAAACTCTCAATCGTCACCTCATTGGTGACTCGGATATTATTCCCACTGTCGTTCCACGGCCTCCCGTCGACAATATCGGCAGACGGCCGCGTATCGAAATTCGATTTCGTGCTGACCGTCGACTTGTCCCTGTTTTGAAAAGTCGATCCATCATCCTGGCCTGGTAACATGCTCTTCCCAGCAGAACTTTTCACCAATGTCTTCCCTGTCAGCTCAATCTCGTCATCGGCTCGATGTGTGGTCTTCCTCGTGGTAAACGAGCTGCTCGTGTAGGCGATGGTTCGGTGCACCAGTCCCTTCAGCCATTGGGGGGTGTATTTGACGATCAAGGGGCGCAGATGCGGCAGACATGTGGCGATGATATAGGTTCCCGTCTCGATGATGCTCCATCCTACCAACTCGACGGACGCAACTATTGTCAAAGTGTTAGCGAGTTTTTCACGTCCAAAATCCGTTGGTTGGTCCCATGCTCGGTATGGTAGAACCAGTCATTACTTACAAGTTCTATCCGAAAAGGCTGAGGTCTGAAAGAAGGTCTTGGCTCGTATGATGGAGGCAACGACGCCACTGTCTTATCGTCAGCTATTTCCTAGTGGGACCGATATCAACGACTTACAAACTAGCAACCATGAAGATCAACACCAGGGCAAGCCGCTTGTAAGTGGGCATCTTCAAGTCCCAAATGGTCTTCAATGGCAGGCCCATGATGAAGAAATCAAGCACAAATTGCGGGATGCTCGACGCATGGAAGAAGGCTTGCACATCGATGCATGTCCCGCCCACGATCGTGTGATCCCACCAGAAGTTGATGGGCCGACACTGGAAGCAGGCCGTCAGGACCAGCCCCAGACCCGTGCCGGCCACGACAACAATGAGACCCAGCGCCACGACGCGCATAGGACCCTTCCAGTTGAACACTCGCAGGTAGAGGAACAAAATAGCCAGCTTCGGCATAGCGACGCTCGAGAAGTACAAGATCTCGAAGGCCAGGATGCACTGGGCCCACTTCGTTAACAGCGCCGGGTTGTTCTCCTCAATGAAGATCACATGGCGTCCCACCCCGGCGATTTTCACCATCACTGTAGTCAAGAACAATTTAGCCAAGACGTCGCGAATAGAAAAGGGGAGGTCAAGTCATGCTTCCTTGCTTACCTATACCAAGCGCGCACATGCCAAGATTAAGCACGTAGGCGGCTATGAGAAAAACATCGTCGGTGCCGAACGAGACGCTCGTGAATCGCTTCGCGTAGTATCGCAGACCGATGATTACAGTTGTCAGGGCGGCGAAGGCAATGGAAATATCGACGAGCCTGTCGCCTTCATCTTCCAAGTCGGTAGGTGTGAGTTCCATGCTAGCCATGTTTTCGAACCATTTTCAACAAAGTTTGAAAAAGGTTGCCAAGGGTGCAGAAGAGACATCGGACTTCTTTTATTCAGTGTGATGGGCTCACTGCGTGTTAGTCGTCAAAACCAGTTGCCATGTACAGTCCCTGGGTGTTCCATACTACCGCAGAGCAAGGTGCTCCCGGTGCTTGGCCCGGCTCCTCAAGGTGGGGGAGCCGTAGTCCCTGCACGACACGATGCTAAAGCAATCAAAGGCTTGACTTCCCAATTCAGAGCAGCTCAACGGCAGTTGTGACCCTTGCGGAACACAGCTTGCTGTTTGTTCCTAGCCAATGGTTCCACCTGGGAACATGCGCTTATGGCAGTGCTCATTAGCAGTAGGCGATATGACGAAGTATTGTCATCTTTCGCGTGCCACGGCCGTTTCGCCGGCACCGTTTGCGGGGACGACATGGGTCCTGAAGTCCCTTTTTGACACCGGATCTTTGGCCCATGTGCGAATCACGAGCTGCACAACGGGTGTGATAGGGTTCCACAAGCTGAGAAGGAACAGGTTCGATCCAGGGCCTCCCGGCCAGACCTCTGGTCCGAAATTTCCCAAACGTGCCCTTCATTTTGGGGTCTGCGATTGGGCCTACATTCGATACGGGATTGTGGCGTGCCTGCTTGTTGCATGGTAGCATCCGACAAGGCCCATAGTAGTCTCTATCCTACGGGTCTCTATAGGTCCCCGGCGTGAATCCGGATTTTGGTTGTTTCTAGACCGGGCCATCCCTGCCGAACGGAGGTGGTATTCGGCCTAGACGACGGCGTTGCTTCCGAGATTTGAAACTAGATTGGGCCAAAATTTGGAATCAGATGGTACTACCAGTCAATTTGACTTTAACCCTGCCGTGGTTGTCGCCAATGGTCTGACTCCTCTGAGGTGACATCGCCCAGGGAAATCATGGACGGAAATAAGTAGGCGATCTACTGCTCGGTGCTTAACCTGACATCTTAATCGTATGAATCCACCTCAACTTGGAGTCGCCCCTTGTCCAGCATAGAGCTACGCCGCTCGCTTCTTGGGACGTTTGCATCCGTGTGAACCACTATTTTGAGGCGCCATGGCGTTTTGGTTTTCGCTACGGCATGGGTCCATACTTCGCTTGGCAGATGGACTGAAAATGCTTGATTTGCTTGATATGATTTGTGCCGTTGCTTCACTTGGAGGGGCAAATGATTATTGAATATGGCATGCTCAACTATCGATACGAGGGATACTCATTTCTGGGACTGTCATGCCGTGCAAGCAGTCTCAATAACGCCAACCCTTGCAGTATAATCGCGACTATAGTAGTCGCGCATTAACCACCCAGCTCGGACCTCTTTGCTTCCGGCTGTGCTTCCACAGAAGCTAAGCTTGCCGGTTCCACTAAAATATCCTGCACCCATCCTTCTACACGACGTAGCCGCGAGGGCAGGAGACTTAGTCACAGTTGGTAAGAAGTGGGGATGGTGGATCTAACATGCGTAGGGCCAAACGAAGCCATGCTTACCATAAGTGCTTCGTTCCATTTCTTCATAGAGACACCTTGTATTGTGCGTCGCAAGTTGGCATGCTGCTTCAGACTGGGCTAGGTAGGAGATTGGGCCATTAGGTGGGCGTTACCCTCGCAACTGTCATCAGCACTGTCGACCGTGGTAGAACCGTCTGGGAACTCAAGCCATCTTCCCGGCTTTGTGTAATCGAATGCATTCCCATCCACCTTTCGGCGTGTCATCGAAACCCGTGAGAACAAACCGCAGATGAGCACAATCGAACTGGCAATCCTAGACCCAGTCGTCTCCGGCATCTTCTTTGAGAAACTCGTAGGTAGAGGGCGCATTGAGCGGCTGTATCTTGCTCAAGTCGGTGCCGATGACTCGACAGGTCAGGTGTTTTTAAGTTCTGTAGGTAAATTTGGGTGCTCCTTTCGTCTAGAACAGTGTATCACCCCGGCACGTAAAGACCTGAGTGGGAAGTGCTTGCATTGGGTGTTACGCCAGTATAGTCTTTTCCCGTCCGAGACGGAAGCCTATTACTCACGTGGTCGTCTTGCGGAGCGTGATTCCTAGGTTGCTGGCCATGAGAAGGAGTTTCTTCACTGGTGCCGTTGCCGCTTGGTGTAGTACAGGGTGGAACGAAGGCAAAATGACAATGGTGCTACCCATGGGTAACTTTATGGAACCTGAGATGAGGGGTTACGACTATGCAGCCTGCTAGATATGGAAGTCTTACTCTGAGCCAATCATCTTCCTTGGGTAACACGTTCACGACCCCAGTTCATGACAATCGTGGTCCTACACTGTCGGGACAGGCAACATCTGCAGCTGAGAGGTTGCTATAAAAAATAAAAAAAACCTATGCATTCACTGAGCAGCACATAATTTTCACGTCATAGGTGGAAGATATTCCATTACAGCCAGAATTGCGATGTTGGAGCAGTTTGGAGGATCAAGAGGAAACTCCTTTCAAATGAGTAGTTCTTTGGAATACGGCGAAGGGGCATTTTCAGGGATATAATACATCTGTTTTGAAGATTATGTATGTACGCAGGGTTTTCCTATGGCGTGAACATGAAGATACTGTTAAGAAACGGTGCTTCCACAAACTGTCTACCCACTTTACCTAGTGTAGTCATGATTACAAGCAGTGAAATGGGCTTTCGACCCCTAAGAGCACTAATATGCTGGAGGTTTCGTTGTGAAGATGTGCAGCAAGGGTTTCTAGCAACCTACAGCCCCATCTATCGGGTATTGGCCCAGTTGTGAACCCAGATACAATTATTTGATCCTTGAAATAATCTGCATCATTTTACACTAAAGAATATGGTCCGTGTAGGGATCAAGCCTGCATGCTACCCGAGATGTTACACTGCAGCTCGTGCCGTTGAGAAGCAAACTTCAGTAAGCAAACATAATCACTAGTACGACAGACAACAGACAGCAATTGCTGGTCGCAGAGATACTCATAGCACGTATTTCCTGTGGCCTCCAGTTGAAGTGAATATCGCTGGCCGGCCGTCCTCGTAGAAGCGTACCTGCCCACCGAAGCTGAGACGATTCTTTTTCAATAAGACCATCCAGGTAACTACAGTAGGGAGTGAATATGGGGTGGAGGCACGAGTGATCATTTAGACAGGCATGATTGTTCAGATCAAATAAAATCGGCCATGTTCGTAGGGTAGCTTCAAGGGCAGGCGTCTTTGAACAGACACCGTGTCATCGTTCCGACGACACTCATGTGTGAGTAACATACAATTGCTTGTCATTGATTCCAAGACCATCTCAATGATTTGCATGTGCAGAGGGGCCACTGGGCTTCATATAGGCTTTTCCATGACACACGTTGTGATCCTTACGTCACGTTGAATGAATGAACGTCGAGGCAAACAACTACCTACCACGCGATTGCCCAGGCAACAGTGAAAACACAGCAGTCAAGCGCATTTCAAGTCAGATAAAGACAAATTGCAACACTTCTCGCCACCGGCAAGCCATCGAAATCGACTTTTCCTTCTCGCATGCAACTGCGTCAGACACGAGCATCCGCCACGGAGAACAGAGATAATCGCGACCCGAGGAACAGTAAGCCAGCCTCTTCAAAACTCGAGAAACAATACTGAAATCCTTGCCACTGTAGAAGCGCCTATTTCATACCCAATGGAGCCTTCAATCCTAGCAGGCTCTGCTCCATATCCTCTGGAGCCAACCATCCCAGCCGGTCCTTCTTCGCAGCGAACCCCCCCAACTCGTCCTTACCAAAATGTCAGCATAGAAAAGGACCCCTACGCTTTCCTCACGCACTTCGACACTGCATTCCTAATCGACGACTCGGCCTCGATGGAGCCCTACTGGGATGAAGTCGAATCCCTGCTGGTCTCCATCTCGTCCATCTGCATCGGCCACGACCCCAACGGCATCGACATATACTTCCTGCACCACCGCCCCCGCGGCTATATCCCGCTCATTTCGTCCACCGCCGATTCTGGGTACCGCAACATCGGCCTCGTCGAAGGAATCCCCGACTTCCACGACAATGTTGAGGGCATCTTCCGCGACGTGAAGCCCCACGGGCGCTGCAAGCTAGGCGACCGTCTGGACAGTCTACTGAGTGCCATTGTGTTCAATGTAGACCAGCACCGCCGCCGCACGAGGGGAATATTCCCGCGCCCGCTCAATCTCATAGTCATTACGGCTAGTATCTTACATGGCAGGAGCCTTGGGTTGGGACCCGCGGTGGTTAACGCGGCGAGGAGGCTGGATAAGATGGAGGCGCCCAGACATCAGATTGGAGTGCAGCTTTTCCAGGTGGGGAAGAATGTGAATGCGCGGAAGACGATGGAGTTTGTGGATGAGCAGTTGTATAAGGAGAGAGGAGTCCGAGATATTGCGGATACCATGACTTGGGAGGGGGAGCCGGGAAGGTTGACGGCCGAGGGGGTGTTGAAGGTGGTCGGGGGTGCTGTAAGTAGAGCTCTAGATAAAAATATGTTTTGACAGACGCAAAGCAGTGCTAGTGCTCGAGTACATGCCTGTATTTCCAACTGAAGTACTTGATGGAATAATACGTACACAGGGTTAGCCATCGATCGAGCGCTCGCCGAGGGGATCGGCAAGCCTTGGCGCCAAGAACGAGCGTATCGCCGAGTGGGTCTGGCATACTCAAGATCTCGACGAGTGATAATGGCTTTGCAAATTCTCGCGGCGAGAGGTCTTGACCTGGATCGCTCGCTAAGTCTCGGCGAGAGTAGGGTGCCCCTGGAAGTTACTAGGGGTCGGGCCCTGTTGACAGGGGTTGAAGCTAAGAAAGTGGAGCTAGAGTGGTATCGTGACCCTATTTTGGTGTTTAGGACCGTTAGAGTCCCCTAACTAATTGCCAATAAAGCCAATGCCTCGCAATCTCCAATTCCGACCGATTTACAGGATGACGTTGACCTGTTCTTCGATGACAATGTTAGCCTGATTAGATCCTCAAGTATGGCCTTACTACCAATGATTGGCGCGTGATCCGGGCTATTCAGCTCGTATTAAGGGACTTCGCAGTTATCTCAAAAAGCCTGCAATCGCGCGCTGTTGTCAACGATGACGAGGAGGGCAAGGTCGGCGGCATGTGGGATTACTTCCCTTCATTCGAGATCTTGCTTGACCATCTCGAGCTCTCTGCCAATGAGGGCGTTGTCTATATAGAAAAGAGGTCTCACAATGGTCAGCTAAATGGTGAAGATATCCCAATCTTTGAAGGTATGGCGCTTAACTTTTCCCTTAGCTAGTACTAATACGCGATTTCTTTACAGGACTTGACCTTAAAACGCGCCGCACACTCCAGGTTTTTTTTGCGTCTTAGTTGGAAAAAGCTCGACGAGTTCTGTACCAAGATGACGGGGCTCGCGTACTATGCTGCCGTAATCTTCCATCCTTGCCGAAAGATGAAGCATCTCGACGACGCCTGGTCGTCGATACCTTGTCGGCAGCAAGATACGTGGAGGGCTGACGTAATGGGCAAGCTAAGGATGGAGTGGGTTAATAACTATAGTACCATGTAAGTTAGCGTGCTCTTGTGCGATAATGACTAATTAGAGATGTGCCATAGGGACGTAATTACCAGCGAGCGTCCAACTGAGCAGAGCGTGGCCTCGATGAGCTTTGCTCAAAGACGTCTATTCTTTAGGCAACGTAGTAACAACTCCACGATACCCGACCCCGGTACGCAAAGCATACAGAATACCCAGGCGACAAGAAGGACGAAGATATACAAGTCTAGGGCGAAGCGTCCGGCCCAAGTTACCCAACCGCTGCCGCCAATCGAAGATGAGCTCGATCTATACCTCGCCGAGCCAGTCTGCGACATCGCAGTATGCAAGGATAACCCAATACGATGGTGGAGGGATTGTGGTCAGCGACGTTTTCCTCGGCTTAGCTATGTGGCTATAGATTACCTTACTATACCTCCGTCAACATGCGAGACTGAGCGTCAATTCAACAGCGCAGGGCGTATGTTGAGTCCGTTGAGGAATCGCCTAAGCCGATGGATCGTATCACAGGCCCAGAGCATAGGGTCTTGGAGTCTGAATGGTGTGTACACCACAAATTCCCCTCCATTTGGTGGATAACAATGATTGGCGGCTTGTTGTAAGAGCAGCTGGCCTCTCAGGGCTGGACGACGAGGTTATGTAGTAATACCAAAACACCAAAAACTATCACCATTCTCGCCGAGCTCGCCGATCCTCTCGCCGAGCGACCCACCTAGCGATACGTCAACGCTCGACGAGCGTCCTTAAGGCCGCTCGCTGGTCAGCGAGCGAGAGTGGGTCAAAATGCCAGCGATACGATCGATGGCTAACCCTGTACGTACATTCAGCATTCCTTTCGGCACCAACCAATAGGACGTCCATGAAGACAAATTATATGTCATCTTATGGCTGAGCTGCGAGTCTAATACACTTGCTGTCCTTACTTCTTTACAATAATCTTAAAGACTTTAAGGAGGTGGTCGGCACACCTTTTCGGCCGCCATAGTTTTTTGCGTTCTATAATCAAATGTGGGTCAGAGTATTTATAATCCGCTTTAGTGGCTAATTCCTGAACGAGCTCCTCGGCCCAATAACTTTCCAAGTTCTCGTTCATGGCATCCGGCTATCTTCTCAGACATCTTAACCTCTTTCATCATGTTTAACCGATCCAGCGTCCAACTGAAGCGAGTTAGCTTTTTCTACTCGCATAACTTATGGTTGTTTCACTTGCACTTTATATAGCAAAGCACTGCATAACGCCCTTTCATTGACATACACTCCGGTGACTCACATCATTCCGAGCCAAGACGCCAACTTTCACAAGTGCATTATGTACGGCCAAGCCCGACTAATCGATGTTTGAGCTCTTTGCATCTTAGATACCCCAACACTGGTTCAATGCAGCCTGATCACTCACGCAGCCTCAAGCAGCAAATATTACCGCCATGTCGTCCGCTGACCCTTCTTTTTCGAGCATCAAATACGTTCCTACCACCGAAGCCTACAACAGATGGGCAAAAGTCTACGACACAGATGGCAACTTCCTCCAAGCCCTCGATAATATCGAGATGCAGCACCTTATGCCTCGTTTCATCTCCTCAATCAGGTCCCCCAAACCGTGGCGAATGGCCGATCTGGGATGCGGCACTGGTCGTAACACCGCTCTCCTGCTCATCGTGGAGGACGCGCACATCGCGGCTTTAGATTCAAGTGACGGGATGCTCGAAGTGGCCAAAGCCAGACTTAAGGAATTTAACGCCGAGACACCGGCTGAGGCCGATGCAAAGAGCCGGTCAGATGTCCAATTCGAGTTGTTCGACCTCTTGGCATCATCGGACCCGCCAGCTCATGCAAAGGATGCAGACGGTATAATCAGCACTCTCGTCATCGAACACATACCCCTGCCGGCCTTCTTCTCGAAAGTTACGATGATGCTCAAGACTGATGGTGTGCTGCTGCTGACGAACATGCACTCGCATATGGGTGGTATCAGTCAGGCTGGGTTTGTTGACCCCAATACCGGCGAGAAGATTAGGCCGACTAGCTATGCGCATACGGTCGAGGATGTAGTTGCGGAGGCGGCTAAATGGGGACTGGAGCTTGAGGGCGATCGTGGTATGGTTGAACGGGCTGTCGATGATGAGATGGTCGGGAAACTTGGACCGAGAAGTCAGAAATGGGTTGGTATTACTTGTTGGTTTGGCGGGTTGTTTAGGAAGAAATATTAGGGGCGTTGGTATTGCTAAAAATAAAGGGGGCCCAGGAGATGCCGGGAAGCGTGTTGATATTACACGAGTAATGTACACGTGGTGGTCAATAAATATACAAAACGTTCACCCACGACTACAAGACTGTCTATACTAGCTGCCGTAGCCTAGCAACACTCTTGTGATGGTACCTAATTCCATTGAACTCCTTTCTGTATTTATCTCCACTTATAGATCTTCATGATCACAAGTGCATGTTCTTCCAACTATCGCCTGTCAATTTTGGAAACTTACATTCAATTTGTATTACTATCAATATAACCCACCTCGCGTTACTGACCTACCGTGTCTTCTTATCAAGCCAATGCTAAGGTGGATTTCCTGCTTCGTCAGGACCATGGCCCTTTGCGATCTCAAATATAAAGCGGAAACCTCGACCTCGAGGCTCAGCAATTTCCCATGGACTCTTCCGTATGGTACAATAGGTCAAGCATTCCGTGCAGCTTCTCGCAACTCCCAATGAAATTGGGACCAGTCAACTCACAGGCTGGCTCAGTGCGACCACTAAGTTTTAGTGTTTCTCGGGCGCTTTCAGCTCCAAGGTTGCAGCAACATGAGTCACTCACCGAACTTCAATGAGAAATCTGCAATAAGGCCTCTCGTCAAGTCTTACATCTGATTCATTTCCATCATAAATCATACTGCTGCTGTCGTAACATCAACCACAGGTTTCTTCAAACAACAGCCATGTCCCGAAAGCGCAAAACCCCTCCCCCTCCCCCTCCATCCCCCTCCTCCGCAGCCCCCAGCAACACCCAACCCTCCTCCCAAGCTCCATCAAAACCACCAAAAACCACAGAAACACCCCCATCCCCCTTTCTTGGCAGCGGCCCCCTCTTCTTCTACCGCGAGCGCCACCCACGCACTGGCTTCCTCTCCCAATGGTTCAACCAGCCCTTTCGGGACCCCTCGTCTTCGCAACTCGAGATCTACCCAACAGCAGAACACTACATGATGCACCACAAAGCCCTGCTCTTCAACGACACTGAAAACGCGGCGGCAGTTCTGCACGCGACCACGCCCCGGGACGTCAAAGCGATTGGACGCCGCGTGAGGGGATTCGACAAGGATATTTGGGAGCGGGAGCGGGAGGGCATTGTGAGGAGGGGAAATTATCTCAAGTTTACGTATCCGGTTGCTGCTGCCGAAGAAGATAAAGGCCGGCAGGTTGGCTGGAGGTTGGGGGATGTGAGTAATGCTGTAGTGGTGCGCAGTACGAGTTTCCGGGAGGCGTTGTTGGCCACGGGGGACCGGGAGTTGATAGAGGCGAGCCCGTGGGATGGGATTTGGGGGATCGAGTTCAGCGAGGAGGATGCGTCAAAGCACACCAGCCGGGAACGCTGGGGCCTGAATCTGCTGGGGAAGTGTTTGACGGCTGTTAGAGAGGAGTTCAAACAGGACAAATTGAACAGCGAGGGGAAAGCCAGAAGTTCAGATGGCCAGCCTGCCAAAAACGAATGAGGTGGTGTCTAGTCTTCCAGGGTGGATGTTCGAGGCATTGAGACATCGTGTAGATTTCCACGATATCGCTTGGTGTTCGGCCCGAGTTCTATACCTCAGCGCAGCACTAGTTGCGAAGCAGTGAACGGAAATGGTGTTCATTGGCTCAAGCGAACGCTTTCACCCTTCCACTATGCGCCGTTTTGTCTATAATACAATCGATCCAGCTGATGCATACACGCCATATATTGAACGCCTTCATGCCAGACCCCAGAGTGGTGTGATGAGACCGGCCGCCGCCGCAGCAATGACCTCCATCCTTCTACTTATAAACCACCCATTTTGTACAGTAATAGAACATATAGTGGTATCAGTCGTATCTCGCAACGGGAATAGACTTGCGGGAGAGTCGCCGCTTAGATATAGTCGCGCCCACTCTTTTGCATCTCAATCAACCTCCAGCCTCTCGTTTCGGGGTTCTGCACGTCCTCTGGCGTTCGCGTGATGCCGATGGCATAGGTAACAAGCTGCACCTTGTCCTCCATACCCGCCGCTAGCTCGTTGGTCTTGGCATTGCGGTAGACGTGGACCTCCTGCGTTCGGCAGGTGATGATGAAAACGGGAATCTCACCCGGATCTAACATCCGAGCCTTCAAAATATCGACGTGGCGGATATCGAGAATGCGGCCATCCGACTTCATGCCGGCTTGGAGGTATTGCTTGGTTAACGCCTCGTAGACCGAGTATTGTGCTGCCGACAGCCACAGCTTCAGCGTCTGGACATCGCCCTTGACGTATGCGTCAAGAACTTCAGGCAGTATGTATTCTCGGAGCTCCTGCAGGAAAGGCTCGATTTGGAAGTTGGGGTCCATCGATCGGAACTTCTTGATGACCATGGCGGTCTCATTCTCGGCGAAGAAACCGGCAATTCGATCAGTGATGCTTCGGGCCGTCGAAATCAACGGGTTTTCGGATTCTTGGTAGATTTTGCTCGCGCCAAAGAATCCTTGAACCACTTTGTTCTGGTCTCGGAAATCCCGCCATGCTTCCTTCCACCTTGCATCTTTGTGGAGTGTAATATTGGTACCAGCACTATTCATTTGTTAGTCAACAACAACTGTCTCCTTGGGAGAGCGGCGGCATACTTAGGGTCCTCGACCATATCCTCCGGCTTTTGTCCGTTCGCAGCCTGCCTTTCCCTCAGCTCTCTTGCCTTCCGACGTTCCTCTTTTTCCACCCAGCCGCCATATCTGGAGCTGCTGCCGTCATCAATGACATCCTTAACGTTCTTGTACGCCTCGGTCTCCCTGATGGGCTTCGTCGCCTTGTCAAGCGCCTCGCCAGTAATGTTGGCGCCCTTGCGAACGCCTTTCATAACGGGAGTTTCCCAGGTCCAGGCCGCACCCTTGCCGATGGCGCTTGCGCTGGTCTTCAGCACCTTCCCGGCCGTTGACGAAACTGCACCGGTTGTGCTCTCGTAAGCCTGTCTCGCGCGCTTGACTGACTCGCTTTCGCTGATCTCTTTGGCTCCAGCGGCGAGCTGCTTGGTTGACTCATTCCACTCCTTGTTTTCCTTGAACTCGCTCTGCATGGTTTCCATGAAGACCTGCCACGGCGTCTTGTCACCATGCGGAGGCGGCGGAGGAAGATCCTCTTTCTTCTCTTGCTTGCTGTCCTCTGACTTTTCTGAATTTTCGGACTTTTCACCGTCGTCCTCGTTCTTGGCCTGTTCGTCGGGCTTTGCAGATTTGGACTCGGGCTTCGTAGGTTGTTGCGGCTGATCCTGGAACCATTGTGGCGTTCCATGAAGGCCGCGTGATTGTATTGCGCCTATGGACTCGGGAAGGAAAGGCGATCGGAGCGATGCGTAAGGGGATGATGACAGCCTCGAAGAGACAAATGTAGGCTCTCCGAAGACAGTTGCTTTTGGGTGGCCAACTGTTGATGCTAACCGTCGATACGCTGGAGATCTGCCAAAAGAGGGCGCCAGCAAAGGCGCCCTCATAATTGTTGTGGAAGCATTACTCGTCCTTGCGACTTGCCTTAGGGAACTCATGGTGTCGTTATGTGAGCCTCCCAGGACAAACTGCTGCGGACGATACCGTGGACAGGCTAAGAAATTGGAATCGCTAGGATTTTCTTCCCGACTTTGCTGTTGCAGCTACGATCCTCCCGCCAACCGCTGGGGCGAATGGCAGCTGTCGGATCAATGCTTTGCCGATTCCGACTTAGCAGCTGGAAGTGGGACCCGTATCTATCTCAGCTCATTATCTCACTGTCTAGACCCAGAGCTGAGCCAGTTGATATAAGCGATGTTCCCATGGGATGAACCCAACACAACATGAGATATCTTTGAGCACCAGCAGAGTCGGCGATTTCGAGAGGTATGCAGTCGACTTTTTTTCTTGGCATCGTCTTCTTGATCTTCCGTAGTTCGAGTGGAGCTGTTGGCACCAGCATACTGACGAACACCTTCTGCGAATCTACTGTTACAGGTTAGTGATAACCCCCTTCCGAGGCTGAATAACCTCGAGGGCCACTAAGGATTTATTGTGCATTGTAAGTGTTCTGTATGCTTTGATATAAGCCTCAAAATTTACAATAATTAGTTGCTAATATGGGTTGGGATTGCTGATTCCGGTGCTAAGGTAGTAGAATTTTGCCGCTTTTGTGCCAACTTTCATCAAGACACAACACTAGACGATATTACACTGAATACATGAGAGATACATAGGTAAATTCAGGTCATGTTACCACAAAACTGAATACATACCACAAGGATTGAGTCAGGTCAAACAGTTCAATCAAAGCACATATCAACTGCAGTCGAAATAACCCAATCTCTTCTGACAGCAAGATAATTTGTGATTTAAGTAGCAATAAATGATGCCAAATGGCTTCAAATACTGACATGTAGCACTATTGTGTGCTTATGACATCTGATATAGGTATTTGGGGATAATGCCGACATGTGATATGCTATAGCATAGTCCAGCAACCTTGTGGTCCAGTCACAAGGCATGTTATTTTTTGGGTAGCAGACTATGCCAGGCATGGTTTTATATAAAGCATGGGGTCATTGAAACCCGTTTGGGGACCTTTGGGTGACAAGTTTAATTATAGCAGCGATAACTTGCGGTGAGCGCTTGAAATCTCCAGCAGTGCCGACTGTCATGTCTTGAGTGGACACATCCGGGCTTCAGCACACTTACAGCGTATATTACAGGCAGATAATATGTCTTGTGATCATAAAAATATACTTGAAAAATATGCTGACAGAAGGAGTGATGGCCCATCCAGTATGACACTTTCCTTTGCTGTTCCAACCCGACTAGCTAAGACTATCATAGTATCCCTGTGTCCAGCATCCTTAAAGATCATTGGGACATATATTGGACCTTGCAGCTACCCATAAATATTAATAGTACCATGTAGCCTTCTGATGCTGCCGTTATGATTCTCGGCTATTACAGCTGCAACTATGGGCTCGTATCAACCAAATGGGCTGCATCTAGCTCGTAATGTGCAATCACATGATCCTTCTTGGTAAATAGAGTGTAGCAGAAAATTGACCTATCAGATAATTAAGACATGGACGCGCAATCAGAGTAAGAATAATGGTATGCTTCAAAATATCATGAACGGGAACTAGTGCGACTCTTATTGAGGAACCCGTAACCAGCCAGCCTCGCCCTCCAACTATTTGAGCAGTCTTCTCTTCGTTCAAGCCTCGTCTCGATCCTTTATCTTCAATTATACCCACACTGGGCAATGAATAATCAAGAAAAGTATCCCCCAGGACAGGACCCCTGCATTGCACATAGTGGTGTGGATGGTCCTTGAGTCGCCGTCGGGGCATCTCAGTTATAATCTTTTATTTATTTCCTTCATTTTCATTATGTTAAATCACTTGATGCGGTGCCATGAGGAAGGTGGTTTCCTGCTAATAATGTGTCTTGTTGTTTTGTGACCCCCCATACGCTAAACACCCATCCTATGATACTTATCTTGCTTGTAGACTATGACATGCTCTACTCAGAGCCCGAGAGAGGGCCCTTTTTCTTTTTTTCTTTTTTATATGTCGTAATATATCAAAAAATCATAAAATTTTGCAATCTTACCATTGAGTGACTTGTCTGCAGAATGTTGGGCAAGGAAAGCTGGCATTACCGTTGTCGCCATCTCACTGATTGATTCACAGCAAAGGCTTCCCGTCTTGCTTGCTTATTCTCCAGTACACAACATTAATATGTGCATTGCTACGAATAATCACTTTTATTCAATATAATTTTCGTCGGTAACTTCCAGTGCCCTGTTCTCAAGATGCTGCGCCCATCTACTCAGCGAGAAAGTGCAGGGACGGCTTCAGAAATGACAATCCATCTTTGTGAATCTTGAGACGACCGATGACCAACACTAGATGATTAAAGACTAGAGAAGGCATAAGAGCATGGAAGACATCTACAATGAGGATAATCTTTGCAGAGCAACCACTGAAGACTGGCAACGACAGTCAGGATACACTGATGACAATCCCCGCAAAATCCTGGGAAGTTTCTCACTGCTGACATCCAAGACAATCCACACCAAGGATTACAGCAACGAAGAAGCAAACACATCGACCCAAAAAGAGCCGTCGATCGTTTCGAGCATAATCAAGCATACGTTTTCCATACTAAACCGCCCCTGGCTACCATTTGACAACAAGGCCATGTCGTTCATTTGACGCACGGTCTAAACTGAACGACCTACGTTGAGGCAGAGCAGCTACAATGTACCCCGAACGCACGCAGGCACGTTTTACCCGGTGTGATCCGGACCAACGGGGGTGCAAGGAAGGCTGTGGGACAATTCAGTGTTGGTCCTGCCACAATATTTCATACACTTTCTGTGATCAGGCCCTGAAACGCATCGCTTTTGTAATCAAGCAAGAAATCCCTTGATATTTGTTGGAATGGCACCAAACATGGCAATATCTTTGAATTCACTCAAACAGATCCGGGCTCGTCAGTGGTAGAGGGATCTTTCACAATGAACTAGGTGTGCGAGTCTACAAACGCTTGAACAAATGCACCTGGAACCTCATGTTTTCCAGACTGACCGGGTACTTCAGGCTCTCGGCCAGCCTAAACCATGTACTCTCCTCATTCACAACTTTCTCCCACGCCGATGTCGTCTCCTCCCCCTCGCCTTCGTCTTCGTCCCTCTCGCCGTTCTTGACCCTCTTTGACAACATGGTGTGGTCCATCAACCAAGACATAGGATATTTCTTCTTTGTAGTCTCGGAGCAAGATCCAGCGCTATCAATCACCAGCAGTAGGCTCCCTTTTGGTGCTGCCGTTGTCAGTTTCAGCAAGAAGGCTATTGTTTTGGGCATTGATGCTGTGTAAAGCTCGTTCAGGGTGAACATGAGAGTCAGCAAGGCCGGTTCGGGCCCGATCATGGAGCTTAGATCCTCAATCCCAGATTCAAGAATATCGCCTTGGGTGAAGGTGGACTTCAGAGCGTCAGAGGAGAGGAACGACGCGTTTGCCACGCGAGCTGCGGCGCTTGCATATTTGGAGAGAGTTGGAGGGGTTGTGAGGGCAGCATGCAGCTTCGACACGACCGAAGACCAGTTCGCGGAATCGACAAGATGGAGGTTGAGGGCAGTAGATGTCGAAGTAGCAGTAGACTCAGACATCGATAGTGCTTCCAGCTCCTCGGAGACGTCTTCAGGAGGATTTGGTCTGCCAGCTGCGCCAGCACGAAGATGCCGTAGAAGTCCTGCAAATGCCATAATTTCCGCCGCGCCACCGCCGAAGCATACAACATTCGCTGGGCTGTCCTTGGTGATGCCTATCAACCGTTTTACCCATATCTCCTCCGCTCTCTCTCCACAGACCCAAGCCAACAGATTCGAGTACGCTAGCGCTCGACTCGGACTCCACCGAATCGCATAGGCTTCCAGAAATTCTGCCTTTCCAAATGCCCTATCGAAATTCCTTTGGATCAATGCATCTTTTATCTCCTGCAGAGTGGGTTTCAGTGCATCGAAATCATACGATGCAGGAAATGTGTCGCGGAAGATGTCAAGGACCAGTTGCTGCAGCTCAACCGGGAGAAGCTGTTCCTGGACCACTGAAGCAGGCCCTTGCGGTGAAGAAGGTTTGGGAAGTTGCCGAGGTGCTTTCTTGATATAGCTGGGCCCTTTCCATCCTGGCCGACCGCTTGGTGGTGCCACGGGTGCTTTTGACGCAGAGCTGACCGAAAGAGGGCCATGTTTCCTCTCTGACTGCGCTTTCCGTTCAAATTTCTTCATAGTGGGATCCTGGGCGGTACTCGTTTCCTGGGTTGATTTCTGACGCAAGTATAGTTGTGGGTGCGGAAAATTGTGATACGAAGTGAGTATATCCATCGGTTAAACAATGTTCCGGGAATATTGCCCCCTAAGAGTAAGTACTCAAGTAAGTGTAGATCTGAATGTGCCAACGCTGGACATGCGCGCTATCTATACTCAAGTGCGCAAGCGACATATCCATATCCCATGCCAATTGGTGTCGTAGCAAAACCTGCCACATCATTTTCCGTGAGGCCGGTCAAGCTGGGACCCTGAAAGGCGAGTTCTTATTGTACCAGCCCTTATTGTAATCAGCTTACTTCTTTTCGTCTGATAATGGGCCAAATACCACACGCGTTGACGTCCGTTACTTTAACGAAACCAAAGCTGGTCGAATCTAGAGAAAAACTGGCACATGAGCAATGCCATGCCGGCTAGATGGAAGTCCTACACCCGAAGACTAATGCCACAATGGAGGTAATCATTTAGGTTCCCTCAAATGACATACTCCAGCTCGGGATTCAGAGCGAAATCGATGCAATAAGCCGCTATTTCCCACTCTCCTCAACCCAATATTGGAGTTTAGCACTCTCAAGAATTCTGAGGCCCACAGAAAACGGTCTGCAAAAGTTCTTTTATTTGAGCAGAGGTACCGGGGGCTTCGAGCCTACGGCGTATTTAATAATAATAATAATAATCTTTTATTTTATGCAAGATAACATTTCTAGCCCTGACTCGGCCGAAAATTTTGAATTTCATGTATGATCCATTGCATACTGGTGGGACTCCTCACACTCGTCGATACCATATAGTGTCGCAGTTTCAGCAAGTATGTTTTGTCCATGGGAAAGTTTCTATATGTGGTTTAGGGAACATTTTGCGAATTTCATGGCATCAAAACAAGTTGCGCACCTTCTTCCCACACATTTATCTAGAGGACAAAGAGTACGCTGCAATTGCAGACATGATACTTTGTGTGGATGGTGTATACTTTCAACGCTGAGAAAAAGGCCGGATCCGAGAAAATGCCGGACAAGGTCAGCGGAGACACTATGGGACTATTCGGCGATAGACACTAACACATTGTCTGCTCAAGTTCAACCATCAAATGGGACGTGAGCTGCTTTGCAAATTTCTTTGGAAGCTAGTACCGGATATACCTTTTCCCCATGTCAATCTTCATGAAGCATATCACGAAAAGCTTATAACAATCATTAAGAGAGAGGCAAACTCGTTTGCACAGAAGATGATTTCGTTGGCTATACCCAGTCTCGGGGCTACAGTAGCATAGAGTTGGTTGAATTGTTGAGGCAATGAGGACGGGAATGGATGGCTTAACAGATTGAAATTCTTGATGTCCCTTCTGTGCAGAGATCCATAGCTATATCGTTATAGTAAACGTAGGATCTTATTCAGCAAAATTAGGTTCGTAACAGCACTAGCTGTAAAGGCGTTAAGGGGCGCTTCGGGTAAGGCTATTACAGCAGCTATGTAACGATTCAATTTAGATTTGCAGAATATACAGGAGGATCATGGATATCTACAGGGCTGAGGTGGTACTTATTATATGGCATTGTAGGGATATATTTCTAGAAAAAGAAAGAATAACTCGTGCCAGCGCGGAGTGGTGAAGACAAAAAGAGACCCCACTTAATAACATTGGAATGCTGCAGGAGGATATGTCGATTTGAAGTTCTTAACCTGAGTCGCTATTGTTTACCAGTTCTGATGGAAGTGGCCCACGTGCCACGTCTGTTGCACTCATCATCTACCAACATCCGAATTTTAAGGTACATCTATTCTACTAAGTAAAAAGAAGCTATCTGCAATTTCGTGTAGAAAAGCAGTCTCGTTGTTGGCTTTTTATTCTCATCTAGCGTGGGGGTCTCTGTCGACCAGCGAAGGCTATTGATGAAGTATTTGCAGAATAAACGAGACAGGAATATCGGTATGCTTGCAGTGTAGCAATCCATGTCCGTACATTTGCATTATGAATACGTAATATGGCCAGTTTGCTAGTGCGCCGTCTCTCCTCCCACTGTGACACATTATGCACCGGGAAACAGGACAAACGTGGTACGAGTGGAGATTCATTGGCCTGTCTGATTATTCGACACGAGTTGGTGACTGTTTCTATTGTCCTACCATATCTTCCATTTTCTCATATGCGATGCATGCTGAAAGAGAGCAATATCGATGAAAGACTCCATAGCATGGTACATTGCACATCATACTTGCCTTTAAAGGTACGTAAGCAGACAGGATACATCTATATGTGAACATTAATGTGATGCAATCTCGGGCCTCAGCTGCATTCTGGGTAGGGGATGAGGCACTATGCCTCGTGCTCGAAGCAGTTTGGGTAAAGCTACCCGCGATTAAACCCTTTCGCATCTGTAGTTAAAGTGGACCTTGGTCTTAACACACGGACCCACACCAGCCTGAACCAGCTTTTGACAGCCGTACGTAGTATTGGCTGTCAGCTCAATGCCAAAATTTCGAGACTTTCACTGAGGTAGAAACAACGACACAACCCTCCAGCAACCTCATGCCTTGACGATGAGCAGGCCAACTGGTCGCCTTCTGGCGACTTCAAGGTTGCACGCAATGCGATGCATGCGAAATGGGGCTCCCCAGTGTGTACGGCCCTTCTCCCAAACGTTGCTTCGAAGAACAGACGCAGAAGACCAACCGCCGACACCACCGCAAGAACCAGCGTCGCCGAGGACTACATTTTCCTCTCTTCGCCCTAAGGCGAGCGAACCGCCCTCCTCGCCTTCCCTACACAGCTTCAGGCCATCTCCCAAACCGGTCAATCCCCTGCAGCATGTGGCCCAGATTCTCTCCATCCCTAAAAACTCGCAGCAGCTTGCGCAGGACATTGCCGCACGCGCATCAAACTTGCCCACCTCATCCGAGCTAGCGGCTGCCGAAGTCGAGGGTAAGAAGAAAGACTGGGGACCTGAGCCATTCCACTTCCACGTCTACGGGCACAAACACAATACGCACATCACCGTCACAAAGCCGGACCGCAACGCCATAATTTCAATATCGACTGGCCAGATTGGCTTTAAAAAGGCGAAACGAGGCACGTACGATGCAGCGTACCAGCTGTGCGCGTACGTCATGGATAAGTTGAACCAGGGCGGATGGCACAAGGAGATCACACAGATGGAGGTTGTTCTGCGGGGCTTTGGCAATGGACGAGAAGCTGCTACGAAGGTGTTACTTGGAACAGAGGGGAAGTTGCTCAGGAATGCGATTGTGAAGGTGTCTGATGCTACGAGGCTCAAATTTGGTGGAACGAGGAGCAAGAAGCCCAGACGTCTGGGTTAGAATCTGCTAGGTAAAGGGCACAAACACAGAGGAAGGGGGACCGCAACGACAGTATGGAGTATCTCCAGACCAAATGTATCATATGTTACACTGCATGCACACGCTGTACAAAAGAGGCCATGCCGATTTTTCACAAATCAATTGAGTGAGCATGCTCACCCATGCAGGGTACTCTCTGGGAATGAAACAAAACCATATGGTATCAGTTGCACGAAAACACTCACCTATTCCAACGACCGAATGACGCCCCAAACACCTTGAAATGCAAGCTGAATCATCCCTCGCCTAAAGGGGGTTATACGAGACAATGGCGGAGCCGACACGATAGCATGCACAAATTCGACTTCGCCCGTACTGATCTGGCACCGTTGCGTGCCTTACGACCTGCCAGCAGCCGGAGCTCTCTCAGCAGCTGGCAGTGGCCTTCCGCTTGAATCTCTGGTCTTTGCCTTTCCTTTCCCCTTGTTCTTCTGATTTCCACTCCTTGGACTCTCGTCGACGCCGTCATTCCCCACAATACTCCCTCGGAATGAATTGCCGCGGCTTAAAAATCGAGTCCGTTCGGACGTATCAAGCTCGTCTTCATCTTCCTCCATCAACTCTCCGTTGGCAGTTTCGAAATCCGGCGGATCGATCCAGTCTCTTGGCACCACGCAAGGTAGTGCCACTCCAATGGATGCTGCGCGATTCAGCCAGCCCGGTCCCCGCCGTCCGGTTAGCCGCTCACATAGCACTTGCGTGAAGTGATTGCAGTTCTTTGTCAACAGGTTGTAGGCTGTGCCCTGAAATTCCTCCGATGTTTCTTTGATTATCGTGTCGATTTCGGCAGGCGTTGCGAATGTGAAGCCGTGGAGAATCTCGGTGCGGAAAGTGCCGCCTGGTGGGCAGGTTTGTGGAGTGGTCCAGTAGACTCCAGTTGTGTGGGGTCGGTCATGGCCGCCATAGGCATATTCTTTGTGGTTTATCACGACACCAGTATGGAGGAGCGAAGAGCCAAGTGTCCAGAGAAATGATGAGAGCCGACCGGGCTGGTGTCAAACAGGTCAGCAGGGCTAGACTCCTCAAGGCTAGAAGAATAATGGCGGCACTTACAGGTAATAGGTCGTAGACATTGATTATGATTTCTGTTCGGCTCAGCGAGAGGGTAGATCTGTGGGAGGATTGTCGCGATGACCTGGGCTTCTTGGAGGACATCGTAAGGTTTGGTGACACGAACGCAGTTCTGGATGGGCTGGTGGGATGTCGGATGCGGAAAGCAATTGAAGCTACAGGATAAGAAGTGTGCTGATAGATATATGACAAAAGCCCTCTACGACTACTCCTGCCAGGCAACGATGCACAATTGACGGGCGAGGGATTGATAGAGGGTTTTTGAGCAGGAGGATTCATAGGTTGCGCAGACGACAGGTATACCTGCGCCGTAAGTGCATCAGCATCAATACCTTGGTGGTCTAGAAGCCAGGTGCTTGGAATCACTAACTATGGCGACTATGGCGACTATGGCGGACTGGAGGATTGAAATTGTAGCACCAGCCACTATTATCTCGGCGCAAGCTGAAAGCGGGATCCAATGAGCTTACGGTGTGCAGCCCCAGGCACACACTGGGGAGCCTTTATCACTGGAACTTGTCACAGCGTCGGTCGCTCGATGAGATCAGACCAACTAACCTATATCGGCCCACCACCTGCACCGTGGGCTCGGCAGAAAGAGCCACCGAAATCCGCTGCAGCATTTTCTTCGGGTGTGAAAACTTAGAAAGACTGGCGGGAATTCTCTCCAATCCTGTCCACCCACAGAGCAGAGCGCAAAAAGCTTTTCGCTTCCTGCCCTGCCCCTCCATTTTCAATGTGAAGCTCGCCAACTTCCATTGAGGACGAGGCTGTCCACTCCCTTCCCACTCACACGACCAACACCGAACCACTGAGCTTAGTTGCTGCAGTGTTATTCTTCCTCTGAGTCCGGGGCTGAGAAACCAGCCCGTACCTCCCAAAACGTCGTCCATATTCTCTCCCCATCCTTTCACTTCTCTTTCCCGCCGCCTTATACCCCTCGCAGCTAGCTCTGCGCTTCATCCCACCTTCGTGCCTAGCTGCATTGCCACCCACATCTACATCACCGTTCGCGGCTACGCAGCCAAAAGAGGCAGCAAGAAAATGGCGCCCAAGAAGGGAGCAAAGGAAGAGGAGAAGATCCTTTTGGGTCGCCCTGGAAATTCCTTGAAGAGTGGCATCGTTGGTCTTGCCAATGTCGGCAAGTCGACATTGTTCCAAGCCATCACCAAGTGCCATCTCGGAAACCCGGCTGTAGGTCAGACGTCCATCGGTCTTTATAATACCGTGCGCTGACGTTTCTGTCCAGAACTTCCCTTATGCTACCATTGACCCTGAAGAGGCTCGCGTTATTGTGCCCGACGAGCGGTACGATTGGCTCTGCGAGAAGTACAACCCCAAGTCGCGCGTGCCTGCAAATTTGACCGTCTATGATATCGCCGGTCTAACTCGTGGTGCATCGACTGGCGCTGGTCTTGGCAATGCCTTCTTGTCGCACATTCGCGCCGTCGATGCCATCTTCCAAGTCGTACGATGCTTCGACGACGCCGAGATCATCCACGTCGAGGGTGACGTCAACCCAATCCGAGATCTCGACATCATCGCCGAGGAGCTGCGTCTAAAGGACATCGAGTTTACTGAGAAGGCACTCGAGAACCAGAAGAAGAAGACCCGCGTGGGTGGTCAAAGTCTCGAGGTGAAGAAGGCGAAGGAAGAAGAAGCCACGATCGAGAAGATTCTTGCATGGCTTAAGGATGGCAAGGACGTCCGAAAGGGCAACTGGTCACCTAAGGAGGTGAGACAATTTCCAATTTCCTCGGCTACATACGCCATCCTCGCTTCTACATGATGACAAAGGGCCATAGCGCCTGAATAATCCCAGCTCTTCGAATGCCTCAAATTAACGCAGAGGACATACTGAGATAAAAAACACACTCTGACTGCAACCTCCCACTACAATTATGTTTCGTTATACTGTTGACAATAGCTAACGGGTTCAAAAGGTTGAAGTCATCAACCCCCTATTCCTGCTCTCTGCGAAGCCGGTGGTCTACCTCGTGAATCTTTCCGAGAAGGACTACACGCGCAAGAAGAACAAGCACCTTCCCAAGATTGCTGAGTGGATGAAGGAGCATGCGGCTGGCGATCCCATCTTACCTATCTCTATCTGCTTTGAGGAACGTCTGACTCAATTCGAGACAGAGGCTGAAGCCGCCGAAGAGTGCAAGAAGCTTGGCATTGAGTCGGCTCTGCCTAAGATCATTCTCCAGATGCGCAAGGTTTTGAACCTGGGCAGTTTCTTCACAACTGGCACGGACGAGGTTAGACAGTGGACGATTCGCAACGGCACGAAAGCGCCACAAGCTGCTGGCGTTATCCACACCGATTTTGAGAAGACATTCATTCAGGCCATAGTATATAACTTCAAGATCTTGAAGGAGCTGGGCGATGAGAGTGAGGTTAAGGCGAAGGGTAAGATCATGACAAAGGGCAAAGACTACGTGGTGGAAGATGGTGACATCTTACTCATCAAGGCTGGCGCTGCCAAGGGTTAATGTACCTATATAGACTTATAAATGCAACATGACCTGAGCATGAAAATCACCTCCTGCTATATGATGTGCCGTTATGGAGACTTGTGGGAGATGTGATTCTTAACCCGCCTTGCGGGCAACTAAGCCATACCCAGTGAATCAGTAAAACAATATCACCAACGCCGCCGTCAAATAAAATGCCCAAATCAGACGTAGAAGCAGGTCGCTAAAACCAGTTATTATTGAATAGTCAGAACTCAGTACTGTCAACAAGTTGATAAGTGCCTTGTTAACCGCCTCGCGCTGCTTCTCGATGGACACCTCTGTAATATCCGTTGCCTATGAGATCTGGCCTCAGGTTGAATGAAGCTGTGCGTCAGCTCCGCTGCTTATTTATTCTAGTTGAGAGCCGATTTAATATCGGAAGTCTTCGCCAAGGTTGATTGAGGTTAAATGTGTCCTCTTCCCTGCTCGGGTTGGTGGCCGTGGCTAACAGTTGCCAACTCAGTGTCGTTCCGTGCACTGATCGCAATTTGCTCCTGTTACGTCGGGCATGATATCAGTCATGTCCCTACCACAAATAAGCCCGATTAGAGAGCGCGTAGCCGTTCTTAGAAACGTGTTGGTCTTGTTGCACTAAATGACCTGTTGATAAGCACGTTGATAAGCACAAGAGCTACAAATCGAAGCAATGTGGTGTCTATATCGATAATCACACCGTTTCATTCGGAAACAGACACTAACTGACTTAGCTTGCAATTGTCTAGGCCGGAGCTAGGGTACTGGATTGCGTCTGGGGTCTGTCTGTTGGTAACACACAATGGTAGGCTCACATTGTCCGTGAATGCGAATAACATGACTTTTCGGCTAAACTGCTGGCATCATGTCTCCATCATCCAGCCTGTCCAGTGCCTAGCTCTGGTAGTTATTGAATGGTGCGGGAAATAACTGACTAAAAGAAGGCTGTAGTTCGGTACCACTTAGTCTAGTACATCCACGTCGCCGTGACAGAGCAATACAATAACAGTTGATCGAGTCGACACTGACAATTATACCTTACTTTGACATATTGATCAAGTGATACAAAGAAGCAACCGACGAAAAAGGGAATGTCTTCTTATACCGCAACTTCTATACATTGGTTCACCGCGAAACAGTGTCTAAAATGGAGGAGTGGCTGCTTGTTTGATAGATTTTACACTGGGAAGGCATATAGTTTAATAGACTGAAAATATACCTTTGAGAAAGAAGCAATCACGGAGGAATCATATAGGCTGTACCGAAAGGCCATACAACAAACCCTAATGATGTCAAGTTCTTCAGGCCGATTGCGAAGGTTTGGCCTCATAACCATAACCTTGACAAACACTTGTATCAGCACAAAAGTCAACAAAGAGAGCCGAGCAGAGCAAAGATATAACGAGTACAAGACTTATCTCCACTAGACCGACAGAATTGCTTCGGATTATCTCTACATCATAGTCCCTGGCTCGGGTACTCTTAGTTACTTTCTTAGAAGGTATTTATGCACAACCTACGCCAGCCAGGCCATAATATTCAGGATGGAGGTTATTACAACTGAACGGATAGTCTCTCTTACCTTACAGCCTTTTTGATGTACATAGTTATCAGATAGTTCCAGCTGTGAACTGGGCCTTCTGATTATACCTTGATGAAAAATAGCTTGAATGATGGGTTACACAAGTATTACAAATTATACTAGAAAATCTAGCTGGATCATAATATTGGCTTTGGTGGCCTCCTGGAATTGCTAAGTGCGCATTACCACTAGTCTAAGTCTAACTCCTGACTACTGTAAGAACCATGGAGAAGATGCGTTAGTTCTTCGGCGTGTGTATCATTGAAAGCCTGAAAGTGACGGCGTTCCATAGCGAAAAGTATTACTGGGTGATGACGCTTCCTCATGATGATGACGTACGCACTCAAAAATATCCGGACTGTTGAAATCTTGTTAATCACCGTCGCCACTTCCTCGATTTCTTCGTTTCCAATTTATCGAGACGTTTCAGCCCTCAAAATACCTAACAAAGCTCGCAACAACCATACGGCCATCACCATGTACATCCCAACCGCCCAAAGTGTTATGACGTCCGCATTGGCCATGTGCGGTGTCTGGACAAAATGTACGTTAACGAGAACCAAATTGCCGCTTCTTCTTTGCTGATACCAGTAGCATCAACCGTGGCCGAGGGTAAGGTGATGGACTACTCAGTCGAGAAGTGCCTAGATAGCGACGGAAACATGAGATGCTCGAAGCCATTCATGGTGTCAAAATCCACCTGCTATAATGTTGAGTGGCGTACCGAGGGCACTTTAACCCACACCACGGTCGAAGTTCGTGACGCGGGGTCAAACGAGATAGTGTATTATCGTGATACAAATGGCCAGTGGACTCCCGAGAAGGGCGAGGTGAGTTGTCTCCAACTGAACCCCCGAGCCGTTGCTGATGCAAAACACTAGCTTGTATATCTCGACTTCAAGCCCAAGATTCCGAAGATGGGCAATTCAACTGTCGAGTACAAGGTCACAACATGCGAATAAGTGGATTGTAAACGTGGGGGTCTAAGCTATGTTCGATTATAAGACGTCCATAGTCCGTTGCAAGTTCCAGGGGTCCTGGGACTTCATCTGCTACTTAAACAAACCCCATGTCAATATTTGAGGTCCAGTTCACATGGATTAATCACTGGCCAACAGCGGCAAAATATTTACTGATAACTTTAATGCCCCAAAGCGGTATTTCTACCATGTGAACTAACTCTCAGTGGCGAAAAATGCAGAAGAAACACGCCCAGTTGACTTTAGCAAAAGTACGAAAAAAAGTCTCCAGTATAGTGTCCTGATTTATGCTGTATACGCTTAACTGCCGCATAACTAGGGAACGCATTGTATATTGGAGTACAGGGCCTCAGGCCGGTTTCGTGACAAATTTGACTATCTCTGCGAAATTTGCTATAGTGTCCGATACATACTACTATTGTTATTTTATTATTATTAATATTATTATTAAATACGCCGTAGGCTCGAAGCCCCCGGTACCTCTACAAGTACTCCCGTATGTCAAACCGTGCCCTAATGGCTGGACTAAATACATACGCTGCTACGTAGGTTCGCTCTATTAGCGACTGCGTTACGTCCGCCGCAATACTATGTTAGTTCTCACCCTACTAACAAAGTCCCCCTGAGAAGATCAATATTATCCGGGCCTAAGCGCTATCCGACCGGTACTTGGATTTGATGTTCCCGTTGAAGGAGCAAAAGGAGGGCACATATGCCTAACCTGTATGTATTGTAGCTAACTCTGGTCCTCTCTTCGAGGGTCTATGTATGGAAACAAAAGGGTTCTTATATAGTCAATGAATGGTAGACTTGCTGATTAATTCAGACAAGTTGTAGAAGCATATAGATAAGTAGGGAATGTTCTATCCTCGCCACATTTCTCGTAATAGAGGTATGTGGGGATGGTCGCCGTTCTAGGTGGCGATAGTGGCAAGTATAGGACCCATATGGCCCACAGGGCCCATATTGTCCAACTCACCCCCTCAACAAGGCGGTAGAACTGGTTTGTTGGAAACCGAAGTAAGTACATGTCCTAACTGTTTGGTAGTATAGGATTTGAATAGTGATATGTTCAATCTAACTGGGAATTATCGTCTGAAACCTCCTGTGCTTGGATAAGCTCTTGTATATTTTTGAGATTGCATATCTGCACGAATAGGTCGTGTTTTTGCGGAGGTAGTGCTTTTGTAAGACCGTCGGCTGCCATGATAGCCGTTGGGGTCCAGGATACGTTAAGCCTTTTGGTCGTATATGCCTCGCGAAGCCAGTGGTTGTGTATATCGACGTGTTTAAGCTTTGTGGATAGGCGTGCTAGTTCTTCTGTAACTAGGCGAATGGTCTGAGTATTGTCGCATTCTATTACTAACTTCTCGTGAAGGTCGAGACCTATAGCTGCAAATAGTCGCTCCATAGCAAGGGCTTCTTTGGCGGTTTGTGATAAGGCTAATAACTCGGATTCTGTGGTATTGGTTGTAACTGTATCCTGTTTGCTTGCCCGCCAAGCAATGGGTCCTCCAAAGAGCTTCATTATAAAGGCTTGAGAGCTTTTGCGATCGTGGGGATCGTCTGCAAATGCTGCATCGCTGGATACTATGAAGCTTCGAGGGACGTTAGTTGTGTCGTCTCCTCCTAGCTCGAGGGCGTAGTATCTGGTAGATAGCAAATATGTAAGGCAGTCGTCGATAGCCTGGTGGTGCTCTGGAGAAGGGTTGCTATTGAACTGAGCGAGCTTTGAAGCAGCGAATGCGCAGTCCGTTCGAGTGGTTATAGCCGCATATAGTACGCTGCCTACCTTAGCTTGGTAGTCTCGTCGAGAGATAGGACTAGCCTGTCTAGTGTATCTAGAGAGGTCTCTATAAGGCGACAAAGGTACTTTGGGGATACGTTTCCGATCAAGGGAAACATCGTACTGGGTACATATTTTCTCGATATACGAGGTTTGAGAAAGCCAGATCTTTCGTTCGGTCCGATCCCTTATGATCTGAATGCCTAGGAACCAGCGAAGTTCTCCTAGGTCCTTTAGTCGGAAGCGGTTCATTAGCTGTTGAATGAAGTGGTTGGTTTGAGCTTCGTCCTGCTTGCGATATAGTAGGCAGATGTCGTCTACGTAGAAGAAGGCTAGAATCTTGCCGTTCGTAAGGATGCAGGGCTCTTCGGGGACCTGTTTAAGGCCTAACTCGGTCATGCCTGATGCTAGGTCGCGTTGCCATAGGAGAGGTGAACGACGGAGACCGTATAGGGCTCTTTTGAGCCGTAGACAGTAGCCTCGTTGCTTGAAACCGTCTGGGAAGTAGACGTAGACGACTTCATCGATTTTACTATGAGTAAAGGCGTTTACGGCATCCAATTGCCGCGTCTCGAGGTCAAATTTTGCAGCAATAGCCATTAGCATCCGGAAGGATCGTCCAGCTAGGGTCGATGCGTATGCGTTTAGGTCTGATCGTGGCTGGAGATCTCCTCTAACAACAAGGCGTGCTTTGTATCGATCGAGGTATCCGTGTTTATCGAATTTGTAGGTAAATACCCACATTAGGGGGATTATGAAATGGCTGGTAGCTTCTGATAGCGGTACCTTATCCCACGAGTCTTGGCTAATGGCGTTATATTCCGCTAAAGCAGCCTCTTTCCAGTTCGTCCAGAGAGCGTGTAACTGTGCTTCGGCCCAGTTCTTCGGAGGTGGAGGAAGGTTTCTCCGATGTTGCCTTTTGTGCTGGATTGCAGTAGTAAAGGCTGCGTTCAGTGGTGTATACTGGGGGCTAGAAGTGTGATATTTGCGGAGAGCTTTGGGGATAGCCTGAAAGACGTCCGCTGTATTGGCTTGATGGCGGTTTCGACGGCTTCTTGTAGTTGTATTCGGCAAAAGATTCGGATTTAGCTCTGATCGTATCTCGTTAAGCATACGGGAGCCTCGTCCAGTGGCTCGTGGCTGCTGGGCTAGCGGTATTATTGGAGAATCTGGCGATGGGTCTGGTGATGGGTCTGGTGTTGGCAGTTGTTCTGGTAGCAATCCTTTGTCGGCTATAAGCTCTGGAGGTACTGCCACGGTAATAGAGTCTTCGATTCGCTCTGATGGTTCTCGGTGGTCCACCCCCTCAGCGTTAGAGATGTCGTTAACTGCTTCGTCAACGCTGGACTCAGTTGTTCCATTGTATCCGAGCACGATTTGCAGGGCTGTATCATCATTACTAGCCTCAACTTCGATATGCTGGATCTCATCGTCGATTTCCCTAATCCGGAGAGGTGTGTAATGTTCCGATGGATCGTATACTCCTTGTTCATCGAAGGTTACATCTCGTATGGATATAACTTTGTTTCTGGTCGGGATCCAGACCTTATAGACAGTCTGGTTCTTGTACCCAACATGGTATCCGATATATGTCCGAGGCTCCATCTTCTTTAACTTATTCCTTCCGGCTCGATAGTCTTCGGTAAGGGGATAAGCCTTGCATCCCCATGCAACGAGGTGAGAGACTAGAGAGCGGTGGTCTTGAATCGGGAGATTATCTCGTTTGGCAAGCCATTCTGAGAGAACTTCGATAGGAGTTTTCCACTTTAGTCGTTTAAGTGGTGTCCGATTTGTTAGATATGTAGCTGTTTCAACAGCTTCTGGCCACAGGCTTGGCGGTAGCCGTGAGCTAACTATCATGGCACGCGCTTTGGTATTGATTATCCTCCCAGCTCGTTCGGCGACGCCTACCGGCTCCTTGGTATATGGTGGTGCTTGGTTATGCTGTATGCCGGTACGCAAGATCCATTCCTGAAAATGTTTGCCGAACGCTTTCTCGCCATCTGACGTAATTGTTTTCACGTCAATGTCATACCGTCTCTTAATGTAGGATACAAGGCTTGTAAGGGCAGGAAAGGCGTGCTTTTTCCGTCGAAGGGTATATGTAATCCGTACTCCGGTAACTAGGTCAGTGCCGATTAGAGCCCTAGTTCGTCCGTCGTAGGCTGTCTCGTATTCGAAGAGATCAATATCCATATGTTCCAGGGGTTTGAATCCTCGGTTTTTGGGATGTCGTGTAATGCGGCGTGTCCCTTTTGCGAGAGAGCAGTCTTCGCACTGGATCGTAGTTGGCGCCTTAATCTTTATGCCTGTAACTGCGTACACAAGCTTCTCTAGGCTTCTGGGGCCAAGATGGGCCATCCGTCTATGCCAGAGTGTAGCGTCACCGTCAAGGGGGTTTTGAGGTCGACGTGAATCGTTCCCATGGAGCTCCTGCTTCTGCTCAAACGGATTTGTGGGCCTTAGGTCGATACCCGGCATCCCTGGAGTATCTACTGTAGGTATAGATGCAGGCTCTAGTGGTATTGACACCCTCTCATCTTCGGAGAATTCAGATACCTGTTCGGAGTCGGATTCTGAAGGTTCAGTGGAAATTTCCACATCTGCTTCGTCGGTAGCAAAGGCGCTGCTATAGGTCGCGCGTTGGGAGGCTATAAATGGTTCCAGATCATCGTTGGCAGCGTTGTCGTTTGTTAAGGGAATGTATTCGAGAATCGGCTGGTTATACTTTTCTGTAAGGTAACAGAGGGTTTTCCGATGTCCTGCCCGAATGTAATACAAAGCTTCATGTTCCATATCGTAATAGATGCCGGCTTTCTTGAACAACCTAGCAGAGGCGAGGTTTGTATGCATGGCGGGGACGTAGGCGACGTTCTCGAGGGTAAATACCATAGACTTTCCTCCTGGTCGTCGTATTTGGATTTCGACGTCACCCCATAAGAGGATATCTAGAAGAATACCTCCACTGATGATTTTGTCTGTAGGGGACGCGCTTCTGATTTTCTTGAATCGGGAATGCTGGTTGCATATATGGATGCTGCTTCCAGTGTCGTAAAGGGTTGATCGTTTCAATGGATAGTCTACCTGGAGGCCTGTAGTAAAAGCAGAGACCTCGTGGATCGTATTGACAGTATTTAACTGCTTGGTGGGTGCGCTGGCGTTGTTGCCAGCGCCGTACCTTCAGGCCTTGCCTGGT